ATATCATGCAGTGAAGGGGAGGGAGAAGAGCCGGGCACCAGATGCCGAGACGTAGGCCAGTGGCGGGCGATGGCTATGCGGCGAAATTCTGGGAGATGGATCTTGGCAGGTTGGCATTTGCCCAGCGGGCTGAAGAATTGACACAATCGGCCGTCTCGCGGAGGACTCAGTGTCTGTTTCCGCCGGTAGACTCGGGCGCGATCTCGTTCTCGATGGTCAGGTCGCTCTGGTTGGGCTCGAGGGTGTCCACGGGCTGCGATTCGAGGCGCTTCTTGGCCTTGTACTTGCGACGCAACTTCATCAGGGCAAAGCCGACGATGGAGGTAAGCCAGTAGGCACAGTACCCAACAACAGAGCCGATGGTGGCAACGTTGTTCCAGCCCAAGAGCGCGTTGAAGATTTGCCAGCCGATGTTGTTGGATGTGCTGAGCAACGGATTGCAGCAATTGAGATACCACAGCGTGGATCGAACGTCGACGAGAGGGATACCAACAACATTGTCGGGATCGGAGATGCCAAGGTTGCGGGAGAACATCTGGGCCTCGAGGAGGTAGACGCCCTTTGAGAAGAGACCCGAGCCCATCAGCAGCATCACAGCGGTGCTGCAGATGAAGAACCACTTGAGCTGGATCTTTCGGCCACCCCTAAAGTGGCATCGAGAGGAAGACGAGTGAACCAACGGCGATTAGTTCATGTCGAGCACAAGCCAGCGCATCTCGGCCGATACTCGTGCGCTGCCAGACTGCCCTGTGCCCCGGCGGAGGTACTAGTTGCGACTGTGGCTGCTGCAGCTGGGTCGAAGTACGACACTCACTTGTACATGATGTATCCGATCAGACAGCCCAAAAGGATGCCGCAGATGGTGGCCAGTGGAATAGCCCTGACGTCGTCCGTAAGCGAAACCTATCCGTGGCAATACAGTCGCTGATCAGTTCCTCATCCTGGCTTATGTGGCCGCGGATATCGAGGGAGACGGCACAATCGATGAGACTTACTCCGCCGACGATGAGAACACCCTCGACACCTTCACGCACGACCGAGACAAAGGGCAGGAGCATCAGGGCGTATTTGCCCTTGCCCCGCACGGTCGGGCGCTTCTCGTTGGTGTTCAGGGACTTTTCGAGCTTGTCTTTCCAGTGGTCGCGCTTGGACTCGGAGGCCAGCATTGTCAAGCTCATGCCGCCGATCAGGAACGAGGCGATCAGCGAGAAGCTGCCTTCCCAAGCCAGCTCGTTCTGGGACCAGGCATTGGCGCTGTTGGCAGCCAGATAGAAGATGGCAATGAAGACGGCGCCGATGATCAAGCTGACAAGCAGACCCAAGGCCGTTCCGATCCACACCTGAAGAGGAAACATGCCGCGCCAATCGGACGGGATATCAGCGATGCGCAACTCGATCCAAGACACGAGCCCAGGGCCAGGCGTACTCATTTGCAGGCAATGCACAGAGCGCGCCGACGGGCTTACTTGTTTGCGGAGGTGTTTGGAGATGATGGGATCCGGGAACGCTTGGGCGATGAACGTCAGGAGGACCGAGACGATGATGGCGGCCTCAAAGGTCTCGCGGAAGATGACAAAGAAGATGGGGATTGAAAAGTATCCCATGGTGCATCAACTGTGATTCGAGGGGAGGTAGCTTTGGACGGAGAGATACGGAAAGCTGTTCAGCGCAAGCGCAGGATACACTTGGACGAGAACAGGGGAGCGAAGAGTATGAGGAGTGATCCAGGCACGGCCCCAAAGCAAGCGGGAAGGAGAATGTATGGACGAAGACTCTGTGGAAGCAGAGAGGGACGAGGCAACAACATTGATGCAAGGCCAGTGGCGGGAACGGAGGGCGGGAGCAATAGTGGCGGTGGTAACAGGGTTCGGCGGACGACCAAAGGGGCGGGTGCTGCAGACGGCAAGGCAAGGGCAACTGCCAGTAGAGCGGGACACGAAGCCCGAGGCAAAGAAGCTCGAGGCAAGGCTCGATGGTGGACTTACCGATGCTACTTGAGGCCAGAGAGGACGATGATCGAGCTGAGGCCAAGCCGGATTGGGACGGACGAAGAGAGCAAAAAAAAATGAATGGGGCGAATGTACTGGCATGGCGAGCACGGCGGCGAACGGGCCCTGTTGCACAAACAGCCGCAGTCTGTGCGCATGGGTCGAAGGGACGGCGGGCCAATGGGGGGGCAGAAAAGTCAAGGAGGGATATCATCACGGAGTGAATATCATCAGGGAGTGAATATCATCAGGGAGGGATCTCGTTATGGAGGGATGTCGTTATGGTGTGAATGTCATTATAGAGCGTATATCACCATGGAGTGAACATCATCGAGTGAATGTCATCGAGACTGGCGGCCGAATCGATCCATCTCATCATCTGGGAGCGTCCACAGAGACAACGCAGCCAACAGAGACACAACAGAACCAGCGGTGAGTCACGTCGCACACGGCAGCGGATGAATCTGTCCCAACCGCAAAATGCGCGCACGGGTCGCCCGGCCAATCGGGCTGAGGGCGGCGCCGGCCAATCGCTGCGCCGCAGGTGTATGACAGCGCCGGCTGTGTCACCGGCACGGCGGGCTGTGCCAAGTGCGGGCCAGTCGCCGTTGTCTGTGTGCGCATCAGCAAGCCGCTGTGGCGCTTGGTTTCCCGCCCGAACGGGCTGCGCTTTTTTCTTGCGGCGGGTCTTTGGGCTCGGTTCATCTGGGCAAGCAACGATCTGATCCACGTTCGTCCAACGTCCATCCCGACAACGTCCATCCGACGACGTTCCAGCTCAGCGACGTTCGAGCTCGACCACACCCGGCCAACCGTCGGCAATATCCACCTGGTCGGTATCCCTCGCAAGCACCTGCAGAGCCATCGCCGAGTACGGACACGCCCGATTGCCCCGCACTTCGTGGCAGCGGCATTCATCCGCTGTTCGATCCGGCCTCCCGCCCTCGCCGTCCCGACAACACATCTCATCCCGCCGCCTGGGCTCCCTGCTTTGCCCCCGCCTTCCCAGCCAGACTGCCATATTCGCACGTCGGCAACGCTGATCTCTGACACCTGCTCCACAGCCCATCCCGAACACTCGATCCCGAACACTCGATCCCGAACACTCGATCCCGAACACTCGATCCCAATGGCCAAAGCCAGCATCCTGGGCGTGTGGCTGTTGCTCGCCACTTTGGCCTTCGTCGCCAGAGCCGCAAACGTTACCGTGAACTGGGATATCACCTATGTCTACAACGTCAACCCCGACGGCCTCGCCGCACGCTGGGTGATCGGCGTCAACGGATCGTGGCCGTGAGTACCCGCCGCTGCATTCGCTGGATGTAGTGTCTGCAATCGCTCCCAACCAGTGCTGCACTACTGGCTTCCTCGCCATGCTGGTTCTCATATTCCCGGATGACTCTTCATCGACTCCAGCATCCCCGCCATCAATGTCACCGAGGGCGATCTGCTCATTCTTAGTGTCGTAAGTGTGCATCGCCCACCCACGCATCTGCTCCATCCATCCATCTGGCTCGGCCGCATCTAACTCGGCCACCACTCGCTTGCAGAAAAACTCTCTCAACGTATCGACGTCCCTCCACACCCACGGCATGTTCCAGAACGGAACAGGATATTATGACGGCGTGCCCGGTGTGGTGCAGTGGTAGGTATATCTGGAATCGCTGCATCGCTGCATCACTGCCGCAGTGCATGTGCTGCTATCCAACAGTATCTAGGCACCATCCCGCTCCAAGTGCACCCCATGCACACTCCGTCCGACTTACAATCATATCATTCGGTGCCATCGTCGCATGTTGCGACAATGTCCTGCACGCACCTCTCAGCCCCATTCAGCCTGGCCAGTCCTTCACCTATCGCATCCCCATGCAGCAGCACGGCACCTACTGGATCCATGCCCACTACAAGGGCCAGTACGGCGATGGCCTGCGCACTGCCCTCACCATCAAGCCGCAGACACCGGAATACTATCAGTACGATCAGGAGTATACCGTTGTCCTCTCCGACTGGTACCACACTCCTCATGACGACCTCATGGTCAAGTTCATGAGCCCTTACAATCCCACCGGATCCGAGCCCATTCCAGGTAATGTGCCCCGCCTTGAACATGCTGCTACAACTTCTTCCACACACATCGCAGAGCCACTTCCAGCCTGCATCCAAACCGCTCGCCGGACGCTCTCACTGACTCGTTCCTGTGATTCTCCTTGATCCAGACTCAGCTTTGATCAACGACAACTCGGACAACAGCACCTTCGCCATCACCGCCGGCAAGACTTATCGCTTCCGTCTGATCAACGTGTCGCTCATGCCATCAATGTTCATTTCCATCGACGGCCACAACATGACCATCATCGAGGTCGACGGTGTATGTATTTAGTCAGATAGCAGTCCCGCTCTCATTCATCAGACCATTGACGCCTTCTTTCCACCACAATAGATCGATGTTCAGCCGTACACTGTCCAGTCTCTGCCCATCACAACTGCCCAGCGATACTCGATCCTCGTCACGGCCCTCAACACCACCACACAGAACTTCCAGTTCCACGCTGACATTGACCCTAGCATGCTGGACTTTCCCGACAAGTGCACCAAGCCAAATGCGACTGCCACGTTGATCTACAACGCCACAGCTCCGACGGCCGTCATGGATCGTGTGCCCTGGAACATGACCTTCAACGACATGGAGCTGGTCCCGGTCGTCCCAGTCGCCGCGGTTGACCCTGACACATCCTTTGAGCTCAACGTCATTATTAATGTTTTCGACGATGCCTCTAACCACGCCACTTTCAACAATATTGTCTACGCTGCTCCTCCCGTCACTCCGGCTCTCTGGACTGCGCTGACCATGGGCCCGCAGGCCACCGATCCGACTGTCTATGGTCAGAACAGCCACCCTCTGGTTCTGCAGCATAACCAGATGGTGCAGGTCGTGATCAACAATCTTGACAGCAAGGGCCATCCCTGTGAGTTTGCGACCACTCGACCGTTGGTGCTGTGGTGCGCTTCGGCGGCTGTTGCGAACCCCTTTTGGCAGTGTCCCGGACGATTTGCGATGCATGAAGAGGGTCCATGGAATGTATGCTGGCTCGATCGGCTCACCAGGCTGCTCTTCTCTCAGTCCATCTCCACGGCCACGTCTTCCAGGTAGTCTTCCGCTCCACCGAGGCGGGGCAGTACTACAACTCCAGCATCGTCATCCCTCCTCAGCCCAACCCTGTCCGGCGCGACACAGTCATTGTTCCTGGCACCGGCAGCGCCGTCTTGCGGTTCCGCGCCGACAATCCTGGCATCTGGTTGTTCCACTGCCACATTGAATGGCACTGTGAGTATTGCTTGAGAGTCGGGTGTGAGCACTCCCACCCCCTGGCGCACAAATCATTGTTGCACTGCATCGAAGCGATGTCTTGTGTTTTGGACATTGGCAGCGCTGTGAAGTGAACCTTGGCCACTTGTCCTGATATTTGATACCCTTTCATGCTCAACAGTGGAGGCAGGCTTGGCCGCCACTTTCATCGAAGCCCCGCTCGAGATTCAGTCCCGCATCGCCGTTCCCCAGGAGCTCAGCAACTTTTGCACAAACAACGGCTTCAAGACCTCGGGCAACGCCATGGGCAACAACGGCACGGACCTGACCGGCTACCAGCTCACGGCGCAACCCCTGAGCGGCAACTTTGAAACCAAGGGCATCATCTCGCTGGTCGTGACCATCGTCGTTGCCTTGCTCGGACTCGGCACCGTCGTGTGGTTCGGCCACCATCAGTAACTCGGGATCGCTGAAGCTCCGACTTGCACCGATCCCTGCATGGCGATCGTTACCTCTGGACTACCAGGCCGTCCAAGCACCGCCGCGTGTTCTTTATTATTAGTACCCTTGAATTCGAACAGGCGACTCCTCACAGAGGCGCTCCTTCGCCCAGAAGAGAGCCTCCCACTGACCATAGATTCAGCATACTTGCAATCCTCATCTGCCGAGCGTCCTCACACCTCCCTTCTCCCTCGAATTGCTTTCACCATGCATTCACTGCTTCGGCTCTTGCACACCCGTCAATCCCTTTCTTTCCTGGCTGCGTCATGGTCCCTGTAGATTACCCGATAGACACGCTTATGGATACTGGTTGCTTCTTGCTGCGGATGATGAAGGGATTTGCAATTGGACTTGTGTCTCGCCGTACCCCCCCCCGCCCAAGATTCACTCTGCTGTCCATATTATACAATACTGTGCCGTCAGCCCCATTTGCGATCACATCTCTGCCCGTCCAGGACCAAAGTTGAAGCATCGGTCTGTGCAATATGAATGACACCATCGCCGCAATCGTGCCCCACAACACGGCAAAGTCGGATCATATCATACACCCAGTCAAGTGGATCTAATCGTTTCCCTGGGTGTCCCTGTGTGAGGGAGGAAGACACAGGGCAAAGAGCATAATCGCCGCAGGACATCGGCGAGGGGATTATATAGGGGGGCCGATCAATGTCGCCTGATTTACACAAGACACGCAAGTCATTCGTGCGTGAAAGTGTCCCATTGGCGGTACACTGTATTCAGGGGGAAATGGGTGAAGACCGCCGGTCGCTCTCCAGTCTCCACAATCGACCTGCACACTAGTCTCGGAGTGCCAGCGGTGAATGGTGCTTTTGGACACACTGAAGATGGTGGCGACCTTGTGCAAGCTGCCGAGCTGCGATGCGGGAATCGAGGGTGCTGTGTTTGGCCATGAATGCGATGAGTGGGTGGGTGTATTCAGGTCACAGAAAAAAACCCTGTCATGGCTCAAAACGGGGGTGTCCCGTTTCATTTTGGAAACGCGGTAAAACCCGCCAATATGGAATCGCTACGAGTTCAAGATCTGCTGCTTGGCTGTGGCCACCTTGAGCCCCTCCCTTCCTCAAGTCTCCACGCACATCCCCCCCCCAGCAGCCCACAGCGATGCCACCCAAGAGCAAAGGCTCTGAGTCAGACTGGGACATTGATGACGATGATCTTAACGACCTTCTTGGCGACTCGGACAACGAGCGGCCCCCTTCCAAGGGCCCACCCAAGCCTGCTGTGTCCGCTGCAACGACCGACAGCGATCCCTCGTCCAGAGCGCGGACGGGCTTTCTCGACGGCGACACCAAGCCAAACCACTCGCCATCGATGCAAGTAAAGTGCACCCGTCCCTTGCACTGCAACTTCACATGGCTGCCCATAGTCCACCCACACCCCCTGACTCTCATGACGCGCCCGTCAGCCATCTCATGTCATGTCCAACGGGCTGATTTGGCATCGTCGCGACATGGGTTCCATGCATCGCCTTTCCCAATCCAACTCGCCCGCGCTCAAGGGTCCTGCATTCCAGCACCGCTCGCAATCCATCATCACCAGCGGCCACTCTGCCATTCGTCGCGTGGATATATATGCCATAGCGTTCTCGTTGGATTCTCGTCCGCGTTCGCGCACCTCTCTCATTACATCTTTGTCTGTCCGCTGGCCTCATTGCAGAGAAAGCAGCCCGAGGTCAATACCGTGGGCTCGGCTGTCCCCACGTTGTCGACGCAGCCCACTGGCATGCACCCGAAGCCCTTTGATGCCGGAGCAGCACCCAAGCCCAGTGTGTCGATGCCGCCACACGGACCGAGCCCAGGGACTACCGACAACGACTTGGACTCGCTCGACTCGGCGCTCTTTGGCCTCTCGGGCATGAAAAAGTCGCAGTCGAGCGGCATTGGATCGATTCGTATGCCACCCGAATCCAAATCGGGGGTCCAGGCGGTTGGATCGGCTGCCAAGGCCAACATAGAGAGCCGAGGGACGCTCAACTCGACGCTGGGCGAAGGTCTCAAGACGAACGGTAGGGCTTCTGGGGACAACGGATGCTGAACGACCGCCCATCGGCAGCTTCTCGAGCATTCACCAGCCAGCCGAGCTGTACAAACAGCCATGCACTAGCAAGCAATCCACACTGTCGTCTCGGCCACGTCCCTGCTCATTTTCAATCCGTCATATCATTCTTGTGCTGCAGCCCCGTCTCCACTTGCTTACATTCACCTTGTTTTGTCGCGACAATACCACAATCCTCATCTCCGCGATCGAAATGCCATCAATATCCAAATCAGAGCTATCCAGCAGTTTGGTAAGCCGATCGAGTGCCCAGACGGCCAGGCAACCTCATCGACCCGAATGTCACCGCTAAACTGCAATGCACCTTACACGCACCCACAGCTCTCGGTCGGTTCTCAAGAGATATCCATCCCGTCGTTTCTTCTGAGCAATTCAACAGCGGGAAACAGGCGCCCCAGCCGACGAGGGACTGCTGGCAGCCTCGGCGCCGACGAGAGTGGTGCCGCCGGCTTGACCACAGGTGCCGCCGGTAGTGAGAACCATCTTTCCTTTGGCGGGCTCGCCCCCCAACCCGACACCCATGGAGCTTCGCTATTAGCTCAAGGTAGACCACCAACCTTCGACGCTCTTCCGTTGTATTGCCATGGCCACGTCCAACGGAGTGGCTTGGATGGGCTGGTCTTGACTGATTTATCTGAATGTGGTCGCCGGCTCCAATGCAGACAGACCTCGCTCGGCACTGGGCTCATCTACTGCCGATGGAATCTCCCGAAGGGTAAGATGCACTTTTGGAGGCGGGCTGGATACACGCTGTCCCTTGCTCCTTTCTTGCACAAGCGCTTGCGATGATACGTCAGCGGGTAGTAGCCCCTGACGATTTTGCAAAGCTGTCTTGTGCTCGTTGTCTCGACAATCGATGTGCTTGCTGACTTTGTTGATGCAGCCATCGGCGGCCCAGCACAAGGACAGCGACAATGATGATGATCTCTTTGACAGTCTTGGGCTCGGGGAAAGTCGACCTCGGACTGCCCCTGCCCCAGCCCCAGCCCCAGCTTCAAGCACCTCCGGGACGGGACCGGTGTCTATGCCAGGGTATGTGGCAATCTCGAACGAGCTCAATAGTCTGGCTTCGATTCCGCCCGGCCGTTTGTTTTGGATGCAAGAAGATCGACTGTGCACCACATCCATTCAACAGCAACAACAATGGCACCATGATTGCCATCGTTTCGCCATCGACCGTGAGACCCGAGGAAACCATCGGTGTGACCGGCTTTGAGTTAGCACATCTGACGACATATTTCTTGCGGCCGGCAGAGCCTCAAGGTTCGGCGGCTCCAAAGAGCCCAATATTGCCGGGGCTTTGCACACAGGTGTTCCAAGCCTCCGTTTCAACGACGCAGATCCATCCGGACGCACCGCCCAGCCCACCAAGGTTATTTCGGAGCGCAAGGCACCGGATGTAGCACCGAGGGTAGCCCCTGTTTCGAAAAAGTCAGGCGAGGACGACGAGTACATCCCGGCGTTCTTGCTCGAGGCATCTGGGCGACGCCGGTCGAGAGGCGATGCGGCCGGGCGCTCCGGGCTCGGGCTGCCGATGGGTCCTGGTATGTTTCCGTGTGATTTTGGGTCGGAGGAGGAAACAGCTGTGTGGTGCTAGCCGCGTGTTTGAGTTGTTTCTGGAAGACCAAGCTAGTTGCCGGAGACATTGATCAACGGATCTGGCGACACTAGCTGCCGTAGATGACCCCAAGATTGGCCAGGGCCCAATTTCTTTCAAGAACGACATTCCTGAAGGTAGCTAACCTCACCGCTCCAATGCCGCAAGCACTGATCCGATCGTCACCAGAGATACCCCTGCATGGGGTATTCTCGCATGCTGGAGACTGTTTCTAGCAAACCCATGACAGCAACGAGCCTGGCGCACCCAATCGTCTGCAGCGCCTGACACATCAATAACCACGTCGCTCCATTCTTGCTCGTTGATGCCGCTTTGCCGAGACAGCGCCGGTCTCCAAATCCAACATCGATCTGCCGTTTTTGAGTATGAGCTGTCGCGCCGATTGACAAACCAGCTTTGTTTCAACGATCTCTGGCGACTGACGAGATCCTTGCACCGACAACTGCGTTCAGAAAGCGGCCCCGAGGTCAAGAACAGCTCGACGCTTCCATGTAAGAGAAGCGCATTTGGGTCGAGGGCTCCATGTTCGTCATCGTGCGCCTTGTCAATAGCTGCCTTTCCACCAGCAGCAGCCCATGCATGTGATTCACTGTCATTCAATCATTTGCCTCTTTATTTTTCAGCGAGACGCCAAAGTTTTTGCTTGGAAGTCAAAGGATCAAACGGGATGAAGGTGAGTTCAGCGCACCGCCAGGTGTATCCATGTGGCTATCAAAGACACTCGACGCTCTTGCTCAACGATACGTGCATGCTGTTCCATCTCCCAGACGCAAAGCTAGCTCAGGTGAGAGCATGATGCCGGTCGTGCCGGATGCTCGTTGTGTGCTGCCACGGGCCGATGACCAGTCGGCTCTCTCCGGCAGAGCGAGGAGAAAGGGGCCCAAAACGTCCCCCGAAGTACCTCACGCACGAGTCTCAAAGCTCGATCCGAAAAGCAAGCCCATCCTGCCCTCGTCTCCAAGCAGAGCACTTCGCGCCAGGGCAGCAAGCCTGCTGAAGAGGTACGGCGGCCGCATCATCGCCGCAGGCATCGGCGACATCCTTTCGTGTCTCTTCGTCAGGTACCGATCTTACCAACGAATGTCAAGCGGTTAATCTATCGCCTCATTTCAGCCTCACGACTCGGACTCGGGTACGTCGTTGTCGTCGGTGGCTCTAAGCCTCAGCTCGGATGAGGACGAAGTTGAACCTGAAGCCGAACCCAGCGACGCCACAAAGTTACCTAAGCATGGTCCAACCCGGCACAAAGCTACCGAGAAAAGAGCCAAGAAGACCAAGATGCCAGAGAATGGCCGTGCTGCTACCGAAATCGACGGACGGATGATTGCAGGTCTGTCGGGGGTCGTAGCGCCAAAGCGCCAGTTGGCGAGGCAGCTGCTGTGCTTCGGATCGATGTACATCTCTGCTCGATCAACGAATCGACCGTTTATGGCTCTGGGTGCACAATCAGATGTCCTGATGGAGAAAATATCAGGGCCGGAGTCAATGAAACGCTGCTTTGGGTGCGTGGGCTTGACCACCGCCTCCCAAATACAGAGTGATTGCCACTGATCACCAGCTACTCATGCAGATGCCACCAAGCGGACGGAGGAGCTTCATTCAGAGATTCAAAGTCTGTCCCTCACGCTCAAATCGGCGATGGAAGACTTTGAAACGCGCAAGAAGGGCTATGAGGAGCAAATCGACTCTCTACACAAGAGGATCAAGGAGTTGGAGGGTAGTCTCGTCGCCAAGGATAAGCAGGTCTTGTAACGATTCCACCGTGGACAGAGCAGGCAGCAGTAATGGTCTGTCTTGATATTTCGCACCGGGGCTGAAGTGAGTATACGCGCCGCCGTTTCAACTCCCACTATAGTTCACAGAGGAGAAATCGGAGATCAACAAGCTCCATCTCGACGAAATCAACAAAGTGATCGAAAAGTACCAGGGCCTGCTCGATGATTTGCGAGCGTCCCATCTCAAGGATAAGGAGCAGATCACGGCGTACCACCAAGAACACGTAGGCATCCACGCAAAATATCCTGCTGTGCTCTGCCTTGCTGACAGCAAACGTCCATGACACGCCGGTTTGTGTTGCCCAAACAGCTACAGAAGCTTATCCAGATCGAGACGGACAAGCTGAAGGTTGAGCACGAGAAGCAGCTGTCCGAGCTGAAGCACCATCATCTGGAAGAGGTAGATGGCATTTCGATTGGCGACCATCGTTGCACATCTTTTATCAAGCCAAGCCAAGCCAACTAACTCGACTGTTCGTCCTGGCAGCTCAACAAGACCATTTCAAACGCGGAATCGACGCGGCAGATTGCCCTCCTGGCAGAGAGACTCGAGACAAGCTCGCGACTTGTGGATTGCATGCAGCTTAAGCTGGAAAGCGACCATAGCTACAGTATCAAGGTGGGCATGGGCAACGATCCCGAATGTCGATGGGGGCTATTTTGTCTCCATACACCAATGCATCCATGCATCCATGCATCTTTCGATTCCACTGACGCCGTCTCCATGAGCAGGAGCGCGAAGCCGCCTTCCAGATCCGAGAGAAGCAAATTTCGGAGGTGTGCTCCCCAGTGAATACCCTGCTCCGTAGTACCGATTGAGCAATCCGATCCGTTTGTGGCGATTCTTGAGTACTCTCGAGTGCCGGGACTGCGTAAGCCGGAGCTGATCAAATGGGATCGACATCCGTTTTCTTACCGACAGATGCAGCAGGCTCTGAATGCCCAACAGAAGGAAATCGAGGTGGAGAGAGAGAAGGTCTGTATGCTCAGAGTGGCTGTTACAAGCGGGAAGGGAGTATCAATGTTTGGCTGATGTCCGCATAACCGGAAGCCTAGACGTCGATGGTGACATGTGCATACACAGTTACAAGCATGTGGTCGTTGTGCTTGCTGACGCAGCTCTGCTTCATAAATGACACCTCCGATTGATATCCAAAGATACAAGAGCTCGTCAAATCGCTCGATCAGAGTATGATCGAAGCCAAGGAGCAGCATCTGAAAGAAAGACAAAAGATTCTTGATGAGCAGACGAAGCTGGAACAGCAAATGGTACGTACTGTCCATGTTTCTGCGCGGGGAGTGTCTCCATAGTACTCCACTTTGGGCTACTCCTGGGACCTCGTTACTTTCGGGAAGAAATTACAGACCGCACAGACATATACGCAACAAAAATCCTGAAACTAATGCCAATCAATAACCACACAGGACTCAGTTGCCAAGGAAAAGGAGGCATATAAACAAGAGCTCAACTTTGAGCGGCTGGAGTTTGTCAAAGTTCGCGAAGAGTGGACACTAGAGAAGCGACGAGTGCTGAACCAGATGAACGAGGTCTGTCCGCCAATACGGCCGAGAAGAGTGCCCACATATCCGAGATGGCTTGTGGATGTGGATTCTCAGACGCGAGTCGTGACACTCGCAGCGATGATCGACCCTCCACGAATTATAGCGCCAATCGCTAGCGCCCTTGATGCCACCCAGCTAACTCCACACCTGCGACCGCCTTATATAGGAACGCAAGGCGATCGCGCTCGAGAGAGCCGAGCTCGAGGCGCAACGAACCTCGATGGGCAACATCGAGATCGATCTACGACATCTCAAAGAGCGGGAAGAGGCCCAGCTCAAGGCCGGTGTGTATCCGTGCGTCTGGATCCACAGCTCCACCATAATCGACCGATGTTCGCACAGCAGTCGTTGCCCAACTTTACTGACATGACCGTCGCAACCGGGTTAGATCGCATCATCCTCGATCGTGAACTCCGAGCACTTCGGGTGAAACAAGACGAGTATCATCGCGAATCTGCTCTGATCCGTGCGGGACATTCCAGCTTGGACATGCTCAAATCCAGACTGGAGACAGAGCACAATGTCTTTGAGGCACAACGAAAGGAGTTCGAGGCCAAGATCCAGGATGCCATAAAGATGCACGCGGAAGCCAGTTAAGTGGCGCATGTCGGCCCCAAGTTAATGGCGGTGCTATGTACAAGAGCTGACCGGGAATGGATGTCCCATCCTCCGATTGTGCATCGGCTGCTCCTCAGTGAACGCCAAGCAGGCCGCTCAGTCTGTCCTGAGACAGGCACAAATGTCCACCACGGCTCTGGAAGAAGAGCGGAACCGAGTAGGTCCATTCGCCGCCGATGGCCTAACCCAAGCATCTGCGGAATGGAGCAGAGCGAAGAGAGATGGGGAAGATGGCTATCGAACAGCACCCAGGCGAGCGAGGTGTGGAAGTCGCCAAGATGGTGTGCTGTGCCGGGATTTCGATTCCGAGTGCCGACCTCGACACTTCGTCGATTCAGCATGATATCCAACCCCAGGGAACTGACACCGCCCTTGGAATCCATACACTATTAGTTGGCACAACAGAAGCACGATATCGAGGAAGAGAAGAAGAAGCATGTCGAGGACAGACTGGCCCTCGCCAACCAGCGTTGTGTGAGCCTTCGGGAGCAAGGCTCGCTTGAGCCCACAACAGCACGGGTCCGCCTGGGTCCATCGGATGGCCAAGTTGTTCGTATTGCCTCGATGCGATCGGCGACACCCTCTGCCGAAGTGCTGCAAGGAGCATACGTGATGCCAAAGCCATCCAAGGCCCACCTGTACTTTGGCGCCCGACACGTTCCGAATGCCCGCCCAAGGCCCAGCTCAATCTCAGCAAGCACACAGCTCGGCAAAGGTCGGACGAGCTCTCGCACTCTTGCCTGGGCACGTACAGAGCCTCACGCCCGAGATTCATCGCCACCATCCTTACCACTCCCGTGGTCGAGCCGGGTGGCAAGTCGCGGAGTAAATGGAGGGATACTGACGATGCTGCTGGACACGCCTGAGCGAGGACCGGGCTTCGCGGCGAGGTCATCGTCGGGGTGGCACCAAGACTCGATGGAGCTTGAGATCGACTCGTATCTGCAGACGCCGCTGCCCAAGTGTCCTCCCGACGACACTGAGAAGATCGACGGCCAGCCCGGTGCGGCCCAGGATGCAGTGCGGGGCATGAATGCAACTGTGCTTGCCCAGCCGTGAACATGACCGCCTGTTGCGCAGACCGAATACAAGAGCACAGCGCGCCGCTCAGTCGGGGTGGGAGCGCGCTGGTTGGCTGTGGCGGTCGCGCACCCGCCTCCGCCCCCCGCCACAGCCAACCAGCGCAGCCAATCACCGTGCGAGCGCCACACCCACCACCCACGTGGCGCAGTCCCTATTGGCGGGCGCGCCTTTGTTTGTTGACGGACTTGGCGGAGCGCTGCCCACCCATGCCCAAAGTCCCGCTCCATCGCCATATCTTGCCACCCGTCCTTGCGCCAGGTGGCTTCTCTTCGTCGTCCCCCCCCTGCCTGCCTGCATTCCCGGCCGATCCGATCTCCTCTACGTCGCCATGGCTGAAAACCCGATCTATCTGGCTGGATTCATCCTGCTGTCGCTGACCTGTGCGCTGGTGTCGTACTACTACCGAAACGTCAAGACCCCCGAGTCCACCGAGACGCTCGAGCCTCTGACGGCCGCGACAGAAGGCGATGAGGACAGCGATCGTCTCATGAGCACTCTTGCCGATGCTCCGGCGGGCAAGGTCGCCTCGTCCTTCGCCAACACCGCAAACTTTGACTCCTTCAAGAAGAACTATCTGCTCGTCTACTCCCTGGTCATGAGTGCGTGAGCCCATTTTCCACCGTTTTCGTCCTGTCGCAGCCGAAGAGAGGGGCGATGCGGTGCACTGCAGCTGGAGGTGGCGTTCGCATATCTGGTCCTATCCGGCTCACACAAACTCCCCCAGTGTCGGACTGGCTCCAGGGACCCTATATCTACCAGCTCTACCGCGACTACGGCTATGACCTCAACGACATTGCCATCCTGTTCATCACTGGGTTTCTGTCCTCTGCCGTTCTCGGCACCGTCGTCGGATCGATTGCCGACAGAGTGTATGTCTCTGGAGCCTCGCTTCCCCCTTCCCTCCATCCACCAGCCTCTCAAGACGCTGCCCTGTCGAACTGGGTCGCCGAGCTTGCACAGCTCGGTTGCGCTGACCACCTTTATCCTATCCTCTCTTATATCATACCTGCGAACCGATCCGTGGCTGCGTCGCCAGTGGCCGCAAGACAATGTGCCTGGCCTTCTGTGTCGTCTACACCGTCTCCTGCTTGACAAAGCTCTCCCCGGCCTTCTCGGTGCTTTTGCTTGGCCGAGTCACTGGCGGAGTCGCAACGTCGCTCCTGTTTTCTACTTTCGAGGCATGGATGGTCAGCGAGCACTTTTCGAGAGGTCTGCATCATCCCAGAGCCCAATCTGCTGCTGCTGCTTCCATGTCGTCGGTGTCTCCTGCCATGGCTTCCAATGCACATGGATGGCTGACCATGCCGCTCCCCTCAGGCTTCAAGGATTCTCTGCTTTCCGACACCTTCTCGTGGGCAACTTTCTTGAACGGCCTCGTCGCCATCATCTCTGGTAGGCTTTGATTCCGCGTAGCGACGCCGCCTGCTCATGATTCCAGCCCTCTGACGATGTTGCTTCCCAGGCGTCCTGGCCAACTTCCTCGCCAACATCTGGGGACCTGTGTCTCCGTTCATGGCATCAATCGTCTTCCAAGGTGCCGCTGCGGCCGTGATCTCAACGACCTGGTCCGAAAACTACGGCAGCGAGGTAATTGTGCACCCCTTCGGTGGACGAGGAGAATCACGCTGGCGCTTGAGTTGGTTTGGGAGCTAACGTCTGAACACCCCCCCCCACAGAAGCCCAAGGCCAGCTCTTCATCGCTCAAACAGGCCATTTCGGTGATTTTCAATGGTGAGTTCGGCCACAATCTGCAGTCCCAGCAGCCGCCCTGCCGCTCAATCGTATTGGCGACTATGGCCTCGCTCGCACCACTGCTTGGCCAGCTGTCTGCGCTGAGACATGGGCTTGTCGCTAACACATTTGCATCGATACAGACTCGAACATCCGCTCAACCGGACTGATGCAAACCTTCTTTGAAAGCGCCATGTACACGTTTGTGTTCCTCTGGTCGCCAGTCCTTGAGAACATTACCCGTAAGCCATCCCTCGAGCTTCGGCCGATTGGCCTGCCATTTGCATCTGCATCTCTGTGTGTGCATCTGTGTCTGCATCCGATGATCGCAATCGCAATGATCGGCTACAACGGGCAATTTGAAGGTGCACTAAGACTACGTGCCTACACAGCGACGTCGCTCTCACTTCCCTACGGCATCATCTTTGCCGCCTTCATGGTGTCAATCATGATCGGCTCGGTCATCTTCCGTGTGCTCAACGCCGAGCGTATGAGCCACAAGATCATTGCCCGCAATCTCTTCCTGGCGGCTGGAGTCTCGCTCGTCATCCCGGCTCTCTTCATCCAGGTGCGGACGCTCCTCCGTGTCCACAGACTTGCTGTTGCCGACGGCTGTGGGCGGCGCGCGGCATCGGTGTTGATGACGCACTATGCTATGCCATGCCTGACTTGCTGACCAATAACTCCCGACCACACCAGAATGCCACGATTCTGTTTGCCGCCTTCAACCTCTTTGAGCTCTGCTGTGGTATCTACTATCCCACCCTGGGCACGATCCGATCCAAAGTGATTCCCGAAGAGATCCGCGCCACCGTCATGAACATCTTCAGAGTCCCGCTGAACCTGATCGTTGTCGTTACATTGCTGAAGGTCAAGGATATTAGCCAGAGCCTCCTGTTTGTTCTCTGCGCTGCGTCTGTGATTGTGGCGGCATACTATGCCACCATCGTCTCTGTCCAGACCAAGGATGTAGTCAAGATCGTCGACAAGGATACGACTGAGATGTCATCAATTGCCGTTGCCGAAGACGAGTGAGCGATCGCATACCACACGCGAGAGATGCGCGGCCTTTGGAAACATGGCCACTTCCTTTCCCATATTTTTTGAACTATACTCAGATGCCCACTGATACCAGAGTCGCGCAGGACTTTAAGTGAAGGGGAGCAGGGCACCATAACTTCCCGCCAGACCAATGCACATTTGGAAGAGTGTCGCTCGGGGCAAGGCTCGGGAGTATTGGCTCTCTCGATGTGATCCGGAGCGGCCAAGCAGAGGACCACAGTGCGGCTTGATACAGTCGGTCCAGAAAGAAACGGGACAGTTCCTTCCTGGCTTCAGATGTCTGAAACCCGCTGACTGACTGTAGGCCCCAGTGAGCAAGCTGTGAGATTGTTTCCCGTCTTGGTTGGCAATCGAGCGGTTTTGGTTGGATGGGAAGCATGGTCTTGAATACACCCGGTCGATCTCCTGTGGCGATGATCGACTGGCATACCGAGATCATGTTCCTTGAGGCATTGATGTCTCGATCCCACAGCGTATGGCAGCTTGCAGCGGCCGAGGAGGCCAGGCGGGCCCGATGTTGGATCCAAGCCCACGTCCTTGCGGCCCTGGTCTTCTCTGGCCGCTGGACCAATCGCCTTGATCTGCCGCTGAAGCCCCACGACCCGGCTGCCTCGACACCAGCCCGGCCACCATAGCATCCGCTGCTCTCTCTCCGTCACCATCTGTATCTGCCGACGTCGCCAGCGATGAGCCACCAGTCGAGGACTGCCCGAAGCCGTGGCCAAAACCAAGTCCAGAGCCAGAGCCGCAGCCAGAGCCTGAGCCAAGTCGCAGGCCAGTCTTACAGCCAGAGCCAAAGCCAAAGCCAAAGCCAGAACCGCTATGATCTTCTATCGGAAGCCCCGCTCCCCTCGGAGGAGGACACCGATGTCGGCTCGATGGCCTCGAACAAGCTCTCGAGCGTCAGCTCCAGCATGCGCTCCCAGCTGGCCTCCACCACCCAAAGTCCTCCCAACCATGCTCACGGCGGCCCGCGGATAGGCTTTCCGGGAGGCGACCACTTTGCGCATTCCGAGCACCACTCGCACGAGTCGCTGCGATATCATCTCGGCAGCTCTCTGACGGCCCTTGCCGCCAACTCTGAAAAGAACCATGTTGTCGTCGTCGGGAAAAACGGTATGCGGTCGTGAGGTGGTTGCGAGGCGTCTCTGCAATCAACATCCAATATCCCCGGTGCATCCTCTCGTCTCGCTCTGACTCTCTTGTGTCCTTCAACAGTCATCAAGATCCTCGGCGTTGCTGGCTCGTCCATCACGGAATATATGAATCTGCGAGTTGGATTCCAGTCGAGTCAAACCTTCCAATGCAGCGATGTCCAGTGGGGACGAGGAGGTTCGTTGGCTTGAGCAGGGCAACAGCAGCAACAGCAGCAACAGCAGCAGCATTGGGCGTACCCGACAGCCGACCATATCAGCCTCCAACGGCTCAGATGATTGCATCGACTGAGGCCCATGTTTTCAACTGGGTATCGCTCATGCGACTAAGTCCTTACATAACCCTGCCCTCGTGGACACTTCACTCCATCCTCTCGACAACCCTCTGAACGCTCATACGTGCCGACAGAACTGTCCAGCACCATCGTCGCTGCCACAATGAGCAACTCGATTCTCGCCTGGGATATTCAGCGGACAAGCCCGATCAAGTTTGGTACGCTGTCCGTGCGATCCAGTCGCTGAGCAACCATGCCGGTGAATCTGGCTTCAGCAACACTTTGCCATCGAGGACACTCTGATGGCAGCACAGACGCTGATCTCCTCCGCCTTGCCCACCGGTGCTCCAGACAGATCCATCGCCGACTTTGATCAAGTTGTCAACCGCCTCTCGTTTCATCCAACTCAGAATCGCCTCCTCTTGTGCGGGTCGCAAGACGGCATCATTCGGCTCCTCGATCTGCGCGAACGGTCATCCCATGCCACAGCATTTGAGGGACGTGCCGAAGGAGTTCGGGATGTGCAGTTTTCCCCTGTCAACGGCCACGAATTTGCGGCTGCGTTCGAGAGTGGCATAATTCAGGTATGGGCCTTTCAGGACATGCGCCATCTGCTCAAGCTCCTGACGAACATGCCATCGGAGCCTGCCGATTGACGCCATACGACAACAGAGGACATGCATTAGTGCCGAGCCTGGTGGCTGATGCCTGTGGACATGGATTTCGATATCCCCTCCTTGCAGAAATGGGATCTGCGCCATCAATCCGCGTGGGTGAAGAAATGGGCTGCCCACAATGCAGTTACGCTCTCACTCGACTGGCATCATAGCGGCAAGTACCTCGCCAGTGGCGGTCGCGACAAAATCATCAAGGCAAGTACTACGAGTCTGATGGAGTCCTCGGCCGTCCTTGTTGAAGAAGCGCCTGCATCGCCGGCACTGTTGATGCAGTCAGCGGCGAGAGACTGAGATGCGACTTTTCGCTGGCTCTGTTCCCCTGCCACTAGGTCTGGGATGCCACCGGTGACGCTCGCAAGCCCGTTGCCAGTATCCAGGCCACCATGCCTGTATCCCGGGTTCAGTGGCGACCAGGCTACGATTGGCAGCTGGCTTCGTGCTATCTCAACACGGACAACCGCATCAATATCTGGGATCTCGGCCGGCCATTCATCCCGTATTGCAGCATCGAGAAGCCCGACAATACGACAACCGGTATATGCAGCGTCGTTGCATTTGCTTGCAACAGTCATCATCGCAACCGCACTGGCGGTTGGTTCGACGCTCCTGTTTTGGGGGCGAGCGGGAGGGCACACACAATGCCGGGTGCAGAGTCTGCATTAGCAGCAACTAACTGGCCTGTATTCTCGAAACAAACGACCGCAGGGCTCCTGTGGGCGAACGAAGACACAATGTGGACGTGCTCGAAGGAGCAGTACTTTTTCAGATTCAACATTGACAAATGCAGCGCGCGCCCCTTTGACCAGATGAGCCGAGTCGGGATTGCATGGAGCCCTGACAACACCTTGGCGTTCGCAGCCGACCAGCATGAGGCCCATGAGCAGAGTATCGCCTATTACCGGTAGGGCGAGGCTCTCGTCTGCGCATTATTCCTCGCAATGTTGCAACGCAGCACACAACCAAGGCCAATGCCCGCCCTCCCTATCCTGCACGCACCTTTGACACCTGTTTACCACCGTTTCCTCTACCGCCACCATTGCCATCGGAACCAACCTATTCCAAGCCACAAACCGAGTGCGCCGACCATCCAGCCGCAGCGCCCAGGGTCCGATGTCGATCCCCCGCAAATCCAGGTCTACCACCCCCAGCAGCTCTCCGGATACATAGAGCGCTTCGGCTTCGATTTCGGAAACTTTTCTCTCTTTGCGGAAAGCTACAGACTGGACTCGGATCCCGATAAGCTCTACGAAACCTGCGGGCAGAATGCAATGATTTCTGCAAAGGTGGGCCAGCGGACCGCGTGCCAGACCTGGCGAATGCTGCAGCTCCTCATTGCAGACCATGCGGCCGGTGAGGCCTCTCGCTCGAGAGGACGCAACCTCACTGCCCTTCTTGGAGCGGTCCACGATATCGATGAGAGCGACGAGCCCCACAACCCTCTCGGGGACCCGATGCAGCAGGACCCATTCTACACCCACGAGGACTCGAGTGTAGCATGGCTCCCCCTTCCTCAAGACAAATTGTCGCGCCACATCGGCAACACCGATTCGGAGGAGAATAGCGAAGAGGAGCCGTACGAGCCGCGAGAACGCCACGAACACGATCAGGACGACGGTGGCGACGAATACGACGCAGGCCCGTTGCCATCCGACCCCGAGTCCGGCTCGCCGCTCGGCAATGCAGACTATCCTAAAGACGCCTCTAGGCAGAGAAGAAAGGCTGGCAGCCCACGCCACGACGGCAGCAAGCATCGTGTCCATGAGCGCGACAGCGATAATGACGACGACGACGGCGGATATGAAGAAGATCGCGACGAAAGTGACGAAGGCGAAGGGGCTGAAAACGACAGCCTCTACGATGGAAAGCGGATCCCGATACCTCGCTCCGACCTCGCGGCCGGCATTGCTGAGTCTTCGACCCCAAACACCACCCGCCTGGCCTTTGGCGACCACTTCGACGTCGGCACTTTGCCTAGCAGCCTCCGGGCCACGCCGCTGCATTCCCGTCCAACCTCGGCGTCCAAGGCACGGACAAAGCATTCACGGAGCAGGGATCGTCCACGCAGCGCTGGACGGGGGAGGCGAACGCCATCTCCCGTGACCGACGAGCCCCTGCTCCGACGATCTGGGACGGCCAAAAGCAGTTCGAAGCCGGCGATACCCGAGTTTATCATTCCCGAGTGGGACTGGAAGGACTATTTGGAAGGCGTGCTGACGTACTATTCGAATCTGGTAAGGCTCGCGACCTCTGCTCCCTCCCCTGCCTCAAACGTGCAACCGAAGCAGGAGCTGCGTTTCGCTGCTTTGCGCTGCAGCACCATGGCGCCGTGATGCCACAGCTGCACTATATGTGCTGTGCATATTGGGATGGATGATCCTGCGCTGATTCACTCTCACCATGCTACCCTCGACTCCAGGGAAACGTCCAAATGTGTGTCGCACTCTCGTTTGTGATGGAACAAGTTGTCGAAATCGACCAGGAGAGACTCAAGCGATGGGTGTGGGCGTATATCGGTAATGCCAGTGCCCTACCATCGCAACAGTAATATCTGGGCCCTCGACTGCGATAGCCGTACGGGTGGCTTATTTTGACGGTATTTCTTCCAGATTTGCTCTGTCGTTTTAGAATGTGGACACTGGCAACAGAAATCATCAAGCGATGCTCAATTCCGGAAATCCAAGAGAAGAGCCAGGCATGTATCGGTGCTCCGTGCCCTCGGGGCGAATGGGAAAGCCATTTGCGGCGGAGCGGTGTGGTTGTAATGCCAGACACATGGAGACAGGGCGCAATTCAGCGGCGCGGACTCATAGCGCCATCGGGCACATCTATTGTGTAGGAATCGACCGTGATACACCAGTCGTGCCAAGTATGCAAAAGCTCGATCACAAATGCGCCATTTAACAAATGTGCCAAATGCAAGACCAAGTTGCGGTGCTCGCTGTGGTGGGTGTCGAGGCAGCTGTCATTGTCCGGGAGCACTCCTCCCGCTCACGGCACTCGACCAGCGAGATCCTCGTTTTGACATCTATGTCCAACACAGCCACAAGGCAATCGAGGGTCTGTTTGTGTGGTGCCAAGGCTGCTCGCATGGTGGGCATATCGAGTGCCTCAAAGGTAAGCGTTTGCTTGTGACCCTCCGCGAATGTACACAGTCGGCCTGGCGCTCTCCGACGCGGACGATTGCCCTTTGGCTGGCTGTGTGCTCGAATATTCGTGGTGCCTTGCCTGAGTCTGGCGGCGGGATATGGGTGACTGAAGCAGCGATTCCTGTTTCGCTTATGTGATTCGTCAAGACTGGTTCGCCAACAACACCGAATGCTGCACCGGATGTGGCCACCAGTGTCTGCCCGAGACGTTTGTCGAGAAGATTGGAGAATAATGTGCTCGGTCAGCGTTTTGCTTGGCGACCGTAGCCTATCACTGAGGAGCACTGTGAACAGCCACCTCGGCCGCAGTGCTCAGGAGAAGCCAGCCAGATGCGAATGGGATCACCGACTCCTGGTACACGGATGGGTTGCAACCTGCTTTGTAGCCGTGACGCTTTCACCCTCCACAAGCCCAAAGCGGAGAGATGCCCGATAGGGATTGGGAACACACCCAGATGCATGCGCACATGTCCGGATTCGTTTCACTTCATTGTTTGCGATACAGTCTATCAGTCTTGCGTCTCTCGCCTCGAAAACAAACCCGTGCGGAATCATATGATATAGAATTCGGTAAATACAAGCTGGTTCGCTAGGGCGATACAGTCAAAGTGGAGGAGAAATCGAGAGAGGAGTTGCGCTGCTGTCTGAGCTCAGAGAGCCTATGCGCTGTCCGCAACGTTTACAGCGGGCACAGGCTTCTTGAGGAAATCAGTGCATTGCAGAGACCCAGAGCTGCTGCCAGCTACGACCAGTATTTGGTCAGCCACTCCATATAATGCTCAAAGTGGCCCCTCCATGGATCGTTGCGGTATGCCCACAGATCCCGGTATTTCTGGACATTGAGGCGAGAGGGAGAAATCCGGGGCACGGTTAGGTACGGCGAGAAGAGGCCGATTGCGATGGGGTTTCGGAACAAAGCCGCTGGCCCCTTTCACACAAGCCCATACGTATGCCAAGGGCCCTTTCGATCGGCGAGATCAGGCGATGCTACTCTCACAGCCCACCTTCTGCCGCAGGTCACACGTGCACTTGTTCTGGACAATGTATCCCTTGGATGGGATGTCTTGAGGGCAATGCAGACGGTCGCTGTGGCGGTATCCTAGATGAGGTGGGGGGGGGGCCATCAGTGATGGTGGATGGCACAGGACAGGGGGAAGCAAGCAAACACATCCGTAGACAACACCGGCTTCAAGACGTTCGCAGCACACAGACCCGACACAGCACTGACGCCAGCAGATGCAGCGGCGGTGGATCCTCACCAATGTCGTAAAAGTAGTGCATTTGGTTTTCGTTGAGCAGCAGGCCGGCCGCCAAGGTGTGCACGGGAGCATCGCCCCACCGCTCAAAGAAGAACCCGCCCGTTCGATCGAGATAGTCAAAGTAGTCGTTGTACTCTTTGCTGCGGAACCACTTGAGATCGGCAATCTCAAAGTTGGTCCAGAAGTGGATGCCGTTGTAGTCATTCTTCTTTGTGTCGTGGAAGGCCATGAGATGTCGCGGCACAGCCTTGCCTTTCTTGAGCTTGATATAATCCATCGTAGATTTCCACAGGCCGCGGACGGTCTGGAGATATTCGTTGGCGATGATGGTGAAGCCGTAGACCTTGTTGTTCTTCTTCATCAGCAGAAACGGATCAAAGTCGATGTAACAGTAGTAATCTGTGCTTGGCTCGATCTGAAGAAGGGGATTGCAGGGCAAGCACAGCCGCATTAGTCGGCTGACGCTCAGGCGCATTGGCGGCGATTAAGCATGGATAGCGATGGGTACATATGGGTGCAGATGGGTGCAGATGGGTACAAATGGGTGCAAATGGGCCGATCCGAATGCCTCAGCAATCACTGGACGAGCCATTGAGCCATGCAATTGAACCGAGCAACCGAACCAAGCAATTGGACGGAGCGTGGCATTTGCAAAGATCGGAAGCAAAGGATCGTCCGTTCCCCCTCGGCTTTACGCAAGCCGCGCTTACCCGCCAGTAGTACTCATATTTCTCCATCAGTGGGTGCTTGTAGAAGAACCCAGAGTTCCATCGGCACATGTGGTGGTAGCTCTCGAGGCCACCATAGAGATAGCCCTCAAACTCCTGGCGCGCCATCTCGCGATGGGCACGCTTTGGATCGATGAAGGACGGCAGCGACCAGTGCTCCTTTGGGATCAGGGCAAACTCGACGGTCGCCTGGGTTGCATTGCGGACGCGATCGATAAACTCCTGGGTAAAGGGCTGATCGTTAAAGATGGCATAGGGATAGCGGTAACGGGAGTTGAAGGTGCGCTCAAAGGACTCCATCGTCGCGAGGAGATCGTCGAGCTCGCGGTTGCGCACGACAGAGAGGATCACGGCGTTGACCCGCTCTTCGGTCTTGGTCGAAGGACAGTGCTCCATGGCGGTTTTGGCGGCCGCGCCCGAGTCGATGATCTTGTGCTGGTCCAGCAGCTCTTTGAGGTAGCGGTTCTGATTATAGAGCTCGATCGTGAGGTTGAACGAGTCGCGCTGGCTCTGCTCAACGAGATCGGACCGGAGCTGCTCGAGCTCGCTCTGGACCATGAGCCGCGTTCGCTTGAGCTCGTCGGCAACGGCAGGGTCCGACAGGGCCTGGACATGGTTCAAGACGGGCTGCTTGGGCTGGTTTTGCTCGGGCCGCTTGGTGCGGTCTTGGCTGGGCAGCTTCGCGTGGTCTTTGCTCTGTTGCGGGACATGATCATGGCTCGGCTTCTGGCCATTCGCAGAGCCCTGGGCTGTCCAGCCGGCGCGATCAGCCCTCACAGCCTGCGGCGGCCGATCGTTCGCCTTGGAAGTCGCAGCCGGAGGCTGCTTGCGGACATCATTCGTGCGCTTGGGATTCAGGACTACAGGGCCCTGCTGCTCGACGCTCTCGTCCACGGCGCTCATCGCCGCTGGCGAGAATAGCGTGAGCACCGCGATGACAATAACACCCAACAGCAGGACGGTCTGAAGCCGCCGAGATATCAAGCGAGAGAAGGGCAAGGCAGCCCGATATCGGTGGAGAATCATCTTGCAAGCGGCAACCGACCAAGCTGGCTGTCGAATATCTGACTCGAACGCAAGTTAGGATGTAGCCAGAGAGACAGCAGAGCGACGACACAGGCGCTGTGGCCGCGGGAGTTGTCTGAATCGCTGGAGGGAAAGGCAAGAAGGGAGATCGGCCGGATGGGAGGGTGCTTTTCCTTGGCCAGGGAAGATGATGTTGTTGTGGGGGGGGGTCAAGATCACTCTGTTTCTGGCGGCATTCTTGGTTGGCTCGCAGCTGTGAAGGAATGGGGTTCTGGCGGCATCGGGAGCGAGGGGGATGTTTGGCGCGAATGCCAGAAGGCGGCGGCGGACTGCAGCGAGTGCGAGCCCTATTCGCCGAGCCAAGGTGCATCTCCACGACAGCATGAAGTGCGCAGAAGCAAGCGGGGAGGTTGTGGAGATGCCCGGATCGAGCGGATCAGCCCGATCAAGGTCCAGATGGATCGTGTCGACGGCGCTGGTGATCGCAGAGCGAAACGGAGCCATTTGGGTTTTCTGGATGTGAATCCACCCCATCCATCACCAGAGACACCCAAGGCCCAGAGTGCATGGCGGACGACCACGGTTGTGAACTAGAATGTGGGCACCACACCGGCACCCGTGGTACATCCGGACTGTCTTGCGGCATCTGTATTAAGCCATCAGTTTCAACAAGCCCAGCTCGGTCTGAACCTGCGAGCCAGCCTCGGTGGGCGGGTACCGAGCGGCGCGATCGCTGTTCTTGAATTTACCGAGGGGCTCCAGTATCTGATCCGAAGCAATGTGGAAAAACATTGTCGACGAGACTCTCCACAGCGGGCGTCCGAGTGCCTCTTGTGTTTCGATGGCCTGTTCGGAACGGCTGTGAGTCGGCAGCTCGAGAACAGCAGCAAAGGGCAAGAACCGCATGGCAAGAACCGCATGGCAAGAATGGCATGGCAAGACATTGCATGGTGTAGTGGTTGCAGACACGAACCTTGAGCGTTTCAGGCAAGACAGCAACCTCATGGAAGCCTGCTGGGATCTCACCACCGGTCAGCCACTCCATCTGCTTGCCCGCTTGGACCAACAGGCAGCCGTCGGGGATCTGGACCCTGAGCCGCTTGCCCTGCTTGGTCCAGATTCTCAGACCGGGATATCTCGATTTCCCGTGGATGGTCAGGAAGTTGAGATCGGTATGGAAGCCTGCGGAGGAAATGGTCGGGTCAGCAAGAGGGGCTCGATGGGACACAGCTGTCCGATTGATGAGGCTGGCAGAATACCGCCGATGCGCATGCCTCTCGTTCAACCATCGAGCGCAACAGAGCTATAGACGTCCGGTCAAATCGGCAGCACTTACCAGCAAGCACCGTGCCGGGTTTGCTGTAGGTGGCAAGATCGCTGCCGGTCGGGGCAAGCAGATGCGGGCCGAGGTTGGTCATCCTGGCAAAGGTGTCTCTGGGTATATCAAATCCAATGGCCAGCATCTCGGCAAGGGTGTTGATGGCACCGAACAGCTTGGATCCCCAGGCGTTCATCTCCTCCGGCCATTGAGGAAACTCTGCAGCGACATCCAAAAGAGGGCCGATTAGTTCGAGCCCCTGCACAGCGTTGCAGTCTGCTCACATACCCTTTGGGATGACCTGGGGTGCGTTAAGCTCCCTGTACTTGGTGTGCTCGGGACGGTCCCCCATTCTCCAGAAGAAACGCCACTTTGGGTCAGGGCCTGAGAAGTCGATCGGCTTGTCGTTCGGACTCAGCTGTTGAGTACACGCATTAGAACAGCGAGTCAGTCAACCGGTTGGCCAGACCATCCAGTCGACCGGACCGGCACATGCCAGAGAAGAAGGCAATCATGCTCTGGACAAGAGCCCCACAGACAGGCGCCCGGGTCTGTCGATGCTGTCCGGCAGGGACCCGACCCAACCATACCCGGCCAACGACAAGAGCGTGATCAGTCAGGCGGACATTGCAAGCGCGGGCTATTCTTACCGCCTCGACTCGCTTCAGGCACTCAGGATCCCTGCCGCAGACGGGCAGCTCGGTGCGCTCGGGGGTGGCTCCGACTTGGTAGCCGAGCTCCGGTCGGACGTCCAGCATCTTGAGGTCCAGAGGCTGGTCAAAGTAGGCCTCCATGAGATTCAGGAAGCGGTCGTTGTCGGACTCGGAGACGCGTGGGTCTCTGAGGATCAGGATAGAGTATTTGAGCAGCGACTCGGCAGCCGAGCGGCACTCTTGCATGGCCTCGGGCGAGAGATTGGCGGAGGTACAGGACAGGAAGGGTGTCAGGTCGACGGTGGGGAGGGTCAGGGTGGTGTCCTGCATGGCTGGCTGGCTGGGTATGGATACGGATGTGATATGGATGTGATACGGATGTGATACGGATGTGATATGGATGTGATATGGATGTGATATGGATGTGGATGTCGCTGGCTGGGAGAGAGCAGGGCAGAGCACGGTGAGCCGAGCGCATGCGACGGGAGCAGCAGGCCGAGTTGCAGCGGCGATGGACAGACCTCCGAGGCAGATGGTGGACAGACCTGCGGGGCCGATGGCGGAGCCGACAGGGCCGGTTTTGTACCAGGGCGGTGCGCAGTCGCATGTCGCACCAATGCGCTGTCATGTGTCAGCGTGTGTGTGTGGCGCCAGTGCATCGCCACACACATCGCCACGCACCACACGCACTGCCACGCACACACACACACGCCCTCCGAACGCAAATTTTTCTTCCAAGCCGCCGCCGGGACAACCGCTGCCTGCACACCATCTGCCGCCGAGCTGCCGAGCCGAGCTGCTGTCTCGACCACGACCATCAGCGCAGCCGCCAAACTCTCTCGCCGCACTCTTGCCAGCATGAGCTCGGTCTCTATCCGATCGCGGGTTCTCGCCTCCTACAAAGAGCTCCTCAGGGCGCAGCAAGTGACATTCGCGGGCGATCTGCCCCAGCTTCGAGGTGGCCAAATTGCTCCCCCCCCCTTTCAGTGTCCTGTCCACTGTGCAAAACGCATAAGGCAGCGGCCCGAGCACCAGAGAGTTACCGCCATTTGAGCTTGCCGGCACTGCTCCTGCTTGCTGTCCGGTCAGCGTCCAGTCAGCGTCCAGCCCGGGCCCGTTCGGCCGATCATCCGGCATTCCTCCTGATCCCATCTGCCTCCATGTCTGCACTTGGGATTGTTGTCTGACCCATCATCTCGGCCTCTGTTCGCCGCTCATCATGGCTGCTCTGCCTGTCTCTCTCCAGCCTCTCGTGTGCACACCCGAAACGAATACATCAAAAACAAGGATGTCGCCGATGCCGCCCAACTCGAGCAGATGATCAAGGTCGCTCAGCAGGCCGCCACCATCATCCGGAAGAACATTGTCCAGGGTGTCAAGTCCTCGGAAAGCGAAAAGTTCCGTACGTATTCCGTTCACTGCCCACGAACTGGATCTGTGGCCTCCGCTGCCCTGCTGCACCTGTTCCTGACCCTTGGCCGCAACATTGTGTCTGCCCCGACAGAGATCCGCATCCATGAAGACACCGAAATCAACAGCAACGACACCATCTTCAAGCACAAGCGCGAGAAGATGGCCAAAGAGGGAGCTGCTGCCCCTGGATGCTGCGGCAGCCAAGGACAGCCCCCTCAGCGAGCGTAATATCCCTCGGCCTCAAGCTCCTCCGTCTCTCGCTGCATCACACCATTGACCTCCGCCTCCGCCTCCGCTCCCATAATATCGACTCTGTACCATTGGAAACGGGGCACTCGGTCGAGTCCCCGGTCAATCTCTCCTCCCGGGTCCTGAATACACACGTTCATTCATCGCTCATGATGGATATTGCAGCACCACATCGCCGTCAGCAGCGCACGATTCATCGTTCCAACTTTTGGCAGGCTCATGAGCGCCACCAACTCGTCTCTGTGTCTGAGGGACAGTTACAAAGCAATGACAACACAGCAACGGACACAGCAGCCAAGCACCGAGTGCGAGATTGAATCTTCGAGGCCGAGATACAAGAAACGATTGCCGACAAGCGTCGGTGCCGATGACAGCTGCTGCGGCGGTGACTTGTTAGATTTCATAGATGAGCGCCACCGACCGATTGCGAGTCCTTGGCCAGAGCCATTGGGGTGCTGGTTTGATCATCCAAGAGTCCGCATTGGTCGTTGGACGACAGTGTGGCATTTGATGACTGCATATCACTGGACGCTGTGCAGGCATCGGGAGGACGGTGCACCCGGCAGCTCTGCGGTGGTGCCACCAGGTAATCACCATTCCTTTGGCATAACGCTGCTGCCAAGGTCCCAGAGCCGGAACGTTGTTGGCTCGGTCTCGAGACGAGCCCGGGTCAGTGTCTTGAGCAGATTCAGCAGCTGTGCGTCACCGGTGGTAGCGACAGAAGGACTCGGCGATGCATCTGGCTGGCTCGTTTTGATCCTGTCAATGGCGCTTGTCGCAAGCGAGGTCAGTGTTGCCTGATGCCCTGCCGTTTGGAGCCCCATCACCGTATCGAGAGATTCCTGAGCATGAGCCAGGGCGTCGCTGGACATGCCCTCGGCAGCCTCGGCCAGTCCCAGGGCCATCAGCGTTGTCGCAACGTCGACGTGCTTGCGAGTCGGATGGACCTCGACAAGGTAGCTCAGCGCCTCGCGGTAGTGCTTGATGGCATCTCGAGGACGGCCTTGGGCGCTGTCAATGTGGCCGAGGTTGACGAGTGCGACGGCGATCTGCGTTTGGCTCTGGGCATCGCCGAGGTTGCCGAGAACGCCGACAAGCTCCCGGGAGTACTGAAAGGCATCGTCATAATTGTCCGTGACGTGGGCCACGGGCCCGAGTTTGGTCAGCACAGCGGCAACATCGACATGGGCTTGGGTGCCGAGAACTTTGGTGAGAGTGTTGAGCGACTCGTGATAAAGTTCCAGAGCAAGCTTGTAGTCGCCCAGGGCGCGGGCCAGGTCGCCCTGGACACTGAGCAGCTTGGCCACATCGGCGTGCTCACGAGTCTCGTGGACCTGAGCCAGGATATCGATTGCATGCCCCAGATACGCGGAGGCTTGCTCGAGTTGGCTTCGACTTTCGGCGATGGCGCTCATACGGATAAGCACCACAGCAGCGCCGGGGTGCGTTGTGGCGCCGCGGGCTTGAGTAACTAGCTCCAGCGATTCTTGATAGAGCTTCAGAGCCTTGTCGGACCGCCCTTGGCTCTGGGCAAGATCGCCGGTGTTGAGGACGATCGCGGCAACTTTTGGATGCTGCCTGGTGCCAAAGTAAGCGGCATTGATCTCGATGGCTTCCTGGTAAAAGCTGTAGGCTTCGTCGTAGTGCCCGTTTGCAGTCGCAAGGCCGCCGAGATCCGCCAACACAGCTGCGATTTCGAGGCGCATCCTGGTGCCGAAGACTCTTGCCTGGATCTCAAGCCCTTCTTGGTGATATCGAAGGGCATCTTTATACTTGCCCATGTGGGACTGCAGCTTTGCGCGCTCGTGGAGGAATCGCGCGACGTCCAAGTGGTCCCTGGTCCCAAAGACGGCGAGTTGGATGCCCAGCAGGTCTTCGTACAGCGTGTGTGCCTCGTCATGCCGGCCTTGCTCTCGAAGGGCACTCGCGAGACTGCCGAGAATGTCCGCAATCTGGGCGTGGCTTCGGGTGCCGTAAAACGCAATGGCGCCTTCCAGAGTCGACGACAGGATCTCCTCGGCTCTCTGGAATTGGCATTTGGCGCTGGAGGCTTCTCCGAGTATCGTCAGAGCATGGATCTGGTGCTCCTCTGTGAAGACACTTGGGACAGCGTGCTGGATATAGGGGTTCAGGTGACGGGCTGTGTCGAGGATGTACCGGCCAGACTGCTCCTTGGCGTAGGCGACAAGTGCAATCCCCACGCTTGTCTTGATGTCGTCCATCTCTGCTTCGTGATGCGACTGTATATACTCGCGGACTGCGTGCTGAGTCAAGGGGTGCATCCGGCAGCGACCAGCAGCGGCGAGCTGCAACAATCGGCTCGCAGCAAGAACTTGAACCAGGGCGTCGACTGCGGGATATTCAAGGGATGATACATCAGCGATTCGTTCGGTTAGTTGCTACAGGCACAACCAAATGCGGAAGCCCGTGCACACAGTACGAAGTCGACGACAGGCCAATATTTGCGCCAATCTGGGCCAGATCGTTGTGCGTCTCTCAACTAGACGAGATCGTCACCAGTCAGGTATCGATGCTCAGTGCAATAGCTCGTCACTCAGAGCACATCGTCCTTGGCAAGCAGGATCGTTGCCAAAACAAAGCACCAGCAGGCTCCACAAGAGAACGGTCGTTGGCAAGTGCTTCATCATCGCACAGTACCCCCAGCTATCGCACAACCACCAAATCACCGCTCCGCAACAAGCATTGTGCATATCGGTTGCCTAATAACTTACCATCGTCGGAAATCTTCAGCTGAAGCGCGATGAAGCGAATCAACTCGAGCGAAATGCCCTCTGGCGACAGAAGTGCCGCAGAACCAAGCATCCGGATGGCGTTCATTTTATAGGCACTTTCCTTCGACAGCAGATCCATCGATAACTCCACCAACGATTTGAACGTGAGCTTGGACGAAGGTGCCTCGCCAAACTGCTGGCTCAGAGACGCGAGAGAGCGGGCGCCAGCGACAATGCCAATGAACGTTTGGATCGCAAGCGGTGATGGGTCGATTTTGGAGACGATCGTCTGCAGGGTTTCCTTGGCGGTCTGTGAGGAAACATGGCTTGCCATGGCGGGATGGGCAAGGAGATATTGCAGCGCCGTGTCCTCGGTCCACGAGCCGAGGTGGAGCGGTTCCTGTCTGAACTTGAGCATCCTGGTCTTGAGCGCAACCAGAAAGTGGCCGCTGGCAATGGTCTGGAACCGAGTCGCTACGACGACATCGCCGCCGAATCCGGTGGCTCGACAGTATTCAAAGGCAAAGTTGGCGACCTTGGGGTCATCTACGTGGTCGACGATGAGGAGGTAGCCTCGGTTCTGGGCAAAGAACGCGGCGGCATGACGACGGATGACGCTCTGATCAACACCTGGAAAGATCTCGCTCAGATCGTCCAGGACCGAGGCCGTGCTGGAGCAATCGATCCAGTAGATGCGGGCGTATTGCGGGTGACGGCCGATCGTTTCGGTGATCTGGTGGTCGAGCTCGTCGCGATTAAGCGACTGCAGCTGGCCAGACATGTAGAGCATGAACTGGCGGGCCAGGACGGACTTGCCAGAGCCCTCGGGCCCGGAAATGATGGCCCGGCCGTTCATGGTGACCTGGCGGAGGAGGTAGTCGAGATGATCTGGATTGACGCGATGGGTTGGCTCGCAAAAGTGGCGACTGTCCAGCTTGGCTTGCAGCTCTCTCCCGATTCGGTTTGGCAGCAGTGTGCTGAGGATCTGATATATTCTCTTGTGGGCTTGCTTTGGGTAGTAGCTGTAGTGAGGTAGGCGCATCATGCGCTCGATGACCTGCTTGACAGAGTCGAAGACAGGATCGCCTGGAAACAGGGTTGCGTCTGGAACGAAGGGACTGAAGGTGCCCTGACGAGTGAAGGGTCAGACCAAGAGCGAGATGAGACATTAGAGAAGGGATATGTGCCGACCAGAGATGATTTGAGCACGCCGCATGGATTGGGCCTGGGATTCATTCAGGCATCCAAAGATCGGGCAGACAGCGGGGCGATTGACGGGATTTGAACGGGCATTGCAGGGAGCCGCGGGCGACAGAAACAGCTCTGTCGATTGCATTGGCTGCTGACCAGACAAAACTCACTGTGGATTCGTCCTGGGTGGCAACGAGCAGCGGCACGACCTTGAAGGTCTTGCCACTTTCCATCAAGTCCATCGTCGTCTTGATCTCGAGGATGACATTGTCTTCCTGGCCCTTTGCAGCCTTGTCCTTCATCATCTTGGCAGAGCCGAGGCTGACCAGCAGGACGATAACCGAGCTCTTGGGAAGCGCACCCAGGAATCCGTCACGCCAGGCGTTGGCATCGACGAGACAGTCGACATCATGGAAAACAGCGATGCTCTTGCCGTGACGGGGGCCGATCGTGCCGAGGTGCTTCTTCAGATCCGAGACGGTGCCGAACTCGGTGGCGACCCGGTAAGAGAGGAAATAGTCGTGCTTGGGTCCATGCGTCGTGCAGACATAGGTTCTGCCAAGGCCCTCTTCGTCCGGCATGACAGCGCGATGGAGGTGGGCGAGAATGAATCGATGGACTCGGATGCAGGGGTTTTTGGGGGACGGAGGCCAAGGCCAAGATCGAGATGCAGACCGAGGCGACGGACTGACAGGGGCAAGCCACCGCGGGATGCACAGCCCAAGAGCGGGAACTGTGGGGGTCGGGTCCGATCGCTTGCCATGGAGGATGGCCTTGGTGGCAGAAGTTCAGGCTGAAATCGATGTTGGGCTGCTTCTCGATTACGGAAGGCATGTGGGACAAAAACGAGGCCATTGCTCCGCACGAGTCGATATGAAGTCGGATTTGCTGATGCTGTGTTATCGCATGGTTGGTCCAGTGGTAGAATTGCCGCCTGCCACGCGGCAGACCCGGGTTCGATTCCCGGACCATGCACTTTTGCTCTGTTCGTCAGTCGCAGACACGATCGTTGCTTTTGAACTTGAATTGGGTGACCACGGGTGTGTTTTGTGGAGGGAAGCTGGGAAAGGCGCGGCATCTCATCTTGGGCCTGCTTGAAGCTCATATTTACGTATTTGGCAGTGCTACTTCCGTGGCGAGGGATTGCCGGAGGACAGCAGAAGGCGCTCGAGTGGCTCGGCAAGTCGGCCGAGCAAGGCAATCAATACGGGCAAGATTGGCTCGGTGACTGTTACAGAGATGGATATGGAGTCGCTCAGAATATCAACACTGCCGTCCTCTGGTACAGCAAATGGATATATGAGTGAGAGCTGCAACTGGGGCGGATGAGCCAACTTTCTCACTCGCTGCTAGGCACCGCACGGTACTGATCGACGACTGGTTAAAATCAATATCAATATCATAAACAATATCAGCAGTGCCCCGATGTCATGCCGTCACTCGTTTTCTCTCTCAGCACTAAATCTGGAACCATGCTCAGAGTATCGTTAACAGTCTGGTCGAATGGATCAGGACCAGCTGTCGGTATGATGTCGGTGTGGCTTTCTTTAGCTGCACCCCAGACCACGACCTCATCACTGAGTCGCCGACAATCCCCTGAGGCGGGTTGTATGTACTGATGTATTGATGTGCCAGAGCAATCCGATACACCGAGGCATTGTACTAGTCGGTCGTTCTATACTGCCACATAATCGCACCCAAGATTTGCTCCAGGAAAGTAACTCCGGTCACGATGTATCAACAGAGCGCTATCGATGAATCCACTACCACTCAAGCACCACCCAGGTTGTTCTCTTCTTCACCTGACCTTACTTTCGTCACCATCTGAACTGAGGCTGATCGATAAATATGTGATGGCTTTATATTAATACCCTCAGTTGCGGTGAATCAGCCCTCAGTCGGACGAACAATACATTGAATATCGATTGCTGCATGCCACTGCAAATCAATATCCGGAGCAAGGGCATAGGTGGGATTCCTTCGATCGATCGCAAATTGGAGCATGAGTATAGATTCAGTTCCAAGAGCCTCATCAGGGACGCAGGAAACCCCTCCAGCGACGTAAGCGAGGGGCACCAGACAGAGAGGATCTGAAGCGACGGCATACAGCTTGGCAGTCCACGGAGGTTGCAAAATGAACCGTTCAGATACAGAATCTTCAATTTGGGTGTGTATGGAAAGCGATCAAGCGACTCGAGACTTGACGAGTGCGACATATCGAGCACCTCAAGCGAGTCGATGTGATTCAGGGGTATGTCCAAGATCTTCAGTCCTTTGGGGGTAATCAATTTTCTCAAGTTTGGGAGACAAGGAATCCCCTTGAGTGATGCAAGCTCAGAACAGCTTGAGAAACCAATGTGTTGAAGCGAGTAGAGTATCCTGGGCATCCATTGCAGACTCCGTATCGATGGAGGCAGTATCAATGTTGTCAATTTGGGCATCTCAGGCATTCCCTTGAGCGACCTTAGTCGAGCGCAATCACTTATATCCAAATGTACAAGGGACGGAAGTACTGGCGACAGTCCTTGAAGATCCTCAATCTTTGCACTGAGAGTCAGTGTTTCGAGTAAATGCATCTCGGGCATGCCTCTGAGAGACTTGAGAATATGCCAGCTGACATCCAAGTGCTTTAGATAATCGAATCTTGGTGGCATTCCCACAAGACACTCGGCTTTACTGTCCCTCCAGACCATCTTTTCCGCCGTTTGGTCGATGCGCAGTACATAGTTGATATCGCGATGACAACTTTCACGAGATTGAGGGTGAACTGTGATTTTCGTCAAGGGACATTTCCAGTTCACCAGCCCTGTGGGAATATCCAGCACAGACAGCATGGAGTCATATTTCTGAGTGTAGCATCCGATGTATGTTTTGCCTCGATCGATGCCAAGCAACTGAATATTCAATTCTGCTGACATGTCTCTTGCCATGCGAGTGCCACCGATTAGTTCGTTGGAGTTCCCGACTCCTGATGTCCTCAAGAAGCGACTGAGTAGCTCGTTTGGTTCCTCCATGAGTACATTGAGACATTTGCTTGATAGGTTCGACTCCGACAATGCATCGATGACCACCAGGCTCAGCAATATCCAGAATTGATTGAATGCTAGACGGGTAGTGTGCGACCGACGCTTCGCAGAACAACTCCTCCATTGGGGCGATGTTTGAAACCAATGAATGATATCAACAGCATTCTTCAGACAGATCGATTGAGGAAGCCAGATGCTCCTCAATCCCGGCATCGGTGGTAGTCGCTCGAGCGACTCGAGTCGATCGCATGTCCACATGTTCAAGTACGTTAGCGAGTCAAGTTGGCTTGGAAATCTATACAGGCTCTGGATGGATCTTGGAAGTCTGAGCTCATTCAATTTTCGCAACGGAGGAAACCCAACAAGAGATGTGATTCGACTGCAGCGGCTCAGATCCAACACCTTCAACTGGCCAAAGTATTGATAGAGAGGTTCGATGTTCTCGATGAGTGGAGGGAGGCTCACTCTGATAACACTTGGTATCTGGGAGAGTCCGTTGAGGCTCTGGATGTTCGCACACTCGGATAAATCGAGACGAGTCAATTTCGGCAAGGTATTCGACATTCCTTCGAGAGTGACAATGTTGCACCGAATCCTCAGGTAATCGAGTTGCTGCATCTCGGGAAAGCCAGAAAAGTCCGTGACTTCGTTGGTTGAGTTATCAATGATGAGAGTTCTGATGCGGTGAGAGATCTCTGGCCAGTCGGAAAACACAGAGACCCCACAGTCGACCAATCTGATACATGGCGCATGAGATGCATCTTGAAGAAAATACAGTTCGTGTGGGAGGAGCTTGGATATTTGTTCGTCGGTGTGATATGGGTGATGATCGAATCGGACAATGTTCAGAAATAGTGCGTACGGGTTGTGTCCAATATTAATTCTCCTGGAGCGTCTATATGACGGCAGCAACAAAATGGAACTGTCGAGTATTTTGAATTGGTCTTGTGGGCTAAGGGAGCGAAGATCATCGGAAGACTTGAAACGTTCATTTCGGACCACTTTCAGATATTCAACGGAGGTGAATGGATACTGAAGACCTAAACCATACCTCTCGTGGCTGATGATGCACCGAAGCGACCTTGAATTGGCGAAAGCCCACCAGAGAGGCAGTTCCTTCTGATATGCCTCAAAGCTCGCTGGATATCCGTTCCTGCGTGTGAGGAAGAAGAAAACACCCTGGAGGAGGTCCTTGGCATCGATGAATCCTTTGACCTTGTCAAGTACATCGCGGAACTTGGCTCTCTTGGAGTTGGGAATAGATGCCCTGCCATCGATGTGAGATTTAACAGCACGGAGCCTTCCAGCTTCGGAAACGAGCGAGAGGATGTCCTTGTACTGTGGCGCCAGGCGAGGAAGGAGAGCCAGAGTCGCGATGCCGATGGTTGCGACAAAGGCATCGTTGCAGACCAAGATCGTGAGGATGTCGTGGGAGGCGAGTAAGGCACAAACGTGGCTGGGATAGCCGGAATGGGTGTTGCCGGGTGGATCGGTCTCGGCGACAGCATCTGGACTCGTATCGAGGCGGGCGATCTTGGCGGGACTGCTGTCTGTGAGATCACAGCTGGGGGTGCGTTTTTGAGACATGCTGGATTGGCTTGGCTTGGCGGATGGTGTGCGTGGGATGGGAACGAGGACGGCGGTTTTGTGCTTGGTCCGAGATGCTGCTTCGCTCTGGATACCCTGCTTCGCTTGCTGCGCAACAGTTCGGACATTCCGCTCGACAGCTCCGTCGCCATGTTGTCTGGTTGTCATGGTTCCCACGCCGGGGATTGTGTGAGGAGTTTGGCGGCAACATTCTGGACATGTGCGAAAGGCGCTGTGGAAGGTTGGTGAGGCATGGAACGACCGTGGGTGAAACATGGGAGCCGATAGTCCACCTCCCAAGTTGCCATGTCTTACTTCTCTCCTCTATGTACTACTTGGGCGGACCAGGCCTTGATGGCTTTCGATTGAAATACAACAATCCAGTCGAGAGGGACTTGTTTCCCCAGCATTGGTTCTGGTGTGCTACGAGATGCAAGGGAGCATTGCACTGTCCCATCGTGAGGGCCAGGGGGCAAACTGCGGGTGTCAGCAACGCACATCTTGCTGATGGCCAAGGAGGCGGGAGGAACCGTCGGCCATGCGATCAGCCTGAATGCCATTTTCATGCCGGCCGACCGCGAGCGCTCCTCGTTGTCTGTTGCTGCCGTCGAATTCACCCGCCGTCGACGCATCGGCCTCGATCATACCCGCCTCTATCCATTCACACATACACTGATCGATCTATCAATCGACTGATCAAGAACATCTGCCGCCGATTCGCTCTCAGGGACACCTCCACCCACTTTGCCGATGCCAGCGCACTCCCTGGCTCCAAGCCGTTTGCGGCTGCCCGTCATTGTCGCCCCCATGTTTTTGATCTCCAACCCAGCCATGGTTGTGGCAGCTTGTCGGCAAGGCAAGTCGCCGCCCAATGCGACGATCGCCTTTTGCGATGGACATGAGCGCTGACGCCCTGTTCTTTGCCTCGGGATAGGGATGGTGGGCACCTTTCCGGCCCTGAACACCCGCACCGATACTCAGCTCAAGGACTGGATCAAGACGATTCGGCACGAGCTTGGCAGACTCCGGAACAGCCTTCCGGAGCAGCCTGTTGCCCCGTTTGGCGTCAATCTGATCGTCCACAAGACCAACAAGCGGCTGGAACAGAACCTCGAGAGCATCGTGGAGGGACAGGTTCCCCTCGTCATCACGTCGCTGGGGGCTGCACCGGTGAGCATGCCTTGTTGGAATCAGGCCGCTCACTCGGATCGCAGGATATGGACAGCGAATGCAGTGTGAGCACCATCTATCAGTGCATTGGCTTTCCGTCGGAGCCCCTGTGAATGACCGTCGATATGGATGCCCGCCGCGATGCTTCGTATGCAGAATGTCATCAATCACATCCACGCCTATGGCGGGAAGGTCTTCCATGACGTCACCAACCTTCACCATGCCCGCAAAGCCGCCGAGGTATGCATATTATTCGAAACTGGACCGCTTCGCTGCATGGCGCCGGTACTCGGCCAGAGACCAGGGCTGCTGATCGGGCTGTCGGTGGTGATGACTCGTTGGTGAGATCAAATGACATGCCAGGTACCCTGACGATCTTTCTCGAATCTTGCTTGCAGGCTGGTGTCGACGGACTCATCGTTGTTTGTGCCGGGGCGGGTGGGCATGCTGGAGTCGCAAGCCCGTTCGCGCTGATTCCCAAGGCAAGTTCATGTCTGTTGAAGAACACAACTCCCCTCGGCCTGGATGCATCGCATCTGCAGCCGGCCCCAGTGCAGTTTCGGAATAACGCAGTGTTGGCGGTTGTACCTCTGCACCAGATCCGTGCGTTTTTCAAGGGCACTGTTGTCATGGCTGGGGCTATTAGCGACGGCGCCGGCATCCGGGCAGCGCAAGTGCTCGGTGCAGATCTGGCCTACATGGGCACCCGATTCATAGCCACCCAGGAGAGCGGCGCTCCGGCCGAATACAAGAGAATGATCCTCGAAAGCGAGATGGGCTCAGCACCGGACTACCTGCCCGTGGTGTACACTGATCGAATCAGGCAAGTGCAACCACTTCCCGAGGGAATGTGGGCGGCTCTCTGATGCAACGCATCGCCCGCTCAACCGAGGCACCGGGATTCGCAACGGACTGGTGCCGTGGGCTCGATCGTGCTCACTCTCGATTTGTGTCCACAGTGGTATCCACGCCAACTTCTTGAAAAAGAGCATCGAGTCGGCAGGCATCAAGCTGAACGACGCATCAACCCTGAGCCCGATCGAAGATTTTTCAAAGCCCGAGGGTGAGCTGTTTGCAGCCATAGTATGCGAGGTGGTCGTCGACGAGGCCATGCTCCTGACGACCATGTGTTTTGTTTGGACTGCTACAGGCCACAAAGCGTGGAAAGACATTTGGTCCGCCGGACACGGCGTCATTGCGATCAACGATCTGCCGTCGATCGAGGGTCTGGTCGGGCGGCTCGAGAGCGAGTACCGCAACAGCACGATCTGATGTTGCAATCGCCTGTACAGTCGGTCCAGAAAGAAATGGGACAGTCACTTTCTGGCTTCAGCGGCCTGCAGCCTACTGAACTTCCATAGGCCCAGCGGGCAGGCCGTGAGATTGTTTCCCGTCCTGGTTGGCAATCTCTTTGTTTAGGTTGGTTTGGGAAGCACAGTCTTGAATACACCCGGTCGATCTCCTGTGGCGATGATCGACTGGCATACCGAGATCATGTTCCGTGAGGCATTGATGTCTCGATCCCACAGCGTATGGCAGCTTGTACAGCTCCGGACAAAGTGTGGTTTTTCGATATCAAGGTATTCGACCTTCTCGAGTCGCTTGGCTTCCCGACAATGTGAGCATACCTGGGATGTGTTGAACTCGTTCACCGAGCACACATGGATCTTGGGACTTGGTGTGGTGCTCATCCAGCGCATCTTGAGCTGGAAGCGATTCCCACAATGGCGTCCTTGATTCAAATCACAGAATGGTCATGGCCAGCGCGCGATTGTATTGGGTAGCAAAATATTTGATCAATCGTCAAAATCACGGGTGTCCCGTTTTTTATTGGATTGACTGTAATCGCACCGGATGAGCCAGGGCAGTGACAGCCAGCAGCCTACCGATGTCGCCCGGCAGTCACTCCAAGAAGAAACAGTATCCACGTTTGTGCAGAGATGACGGCGTTCGAAACGGGACCTGAATACACACGCCATGGCCAAACAGTATGCCCAAGGAGACCGAGGTCGTGCTCACAAGCAAACGGGATGCTGCCCTGTTCCAAGCGAGCATGTCGTCTATGATTGCATCTGCCCAATACGTCCATGGATTTGCACTCCGGGCGTCTCGGTGCATCCCTGTCCTTGCTCCCCTGGTCCCAGAGCAGCGTGCCTCGGACCTGTGCTTTTCGGCAATCGGCAATCGGCAATCGGCAATCGGCAATCGGCAATCGGCAATCGGCAATCGGCAATCGGCAATCGGCAATCGGCAATCGACATGCGCCAGCGTCCGTGCAATCAATCAACCGGATCTGGCAGCCCCGCCAAGGCCAGGCCGATCGGCATCCCAACCCTTGCTTGCGCCAGAGCGCACGTGAAGAACGCGCCCGCAGCAAGGGGCGATTTCACATGCCTGGGCCCGAGCCCGAGCAGCAGCGACACGTGAAAGACATGTGCGTTCTGCCGCCACACGCACACACGGCACTGTGGCGCAACACGCGCCCCGGGTATGACATTGTGTGACATTGTGTGACAGAGAGTGTGCGCACTGAGAACAACGGCGCCAACGCTGAGCAATTCGGATGCGATTAGGATGCGACTCGGATGAGATTCGGATGCGACTCGGATGCGATTAACATGAGATTCGGATGCAGGCGATGCGGAAAGCGCAAGCGTCTGCGCTGGCCCGATCCGCAGCGCCGCCATCGCTCTCACTGTCGCTGTCGCTTCTGCTGGCCCCCCGCACACTCCCTTGCACCCCCACGCGCTCGCCACCCGCCGCGCGCATCGCACAATCCACACACACACGCTCACCCTGGCCACTTATATAACCCACGCGCCGACCCGTCGTCCTTCGGCGCCATCGCATTCTCCGTTGTCGTTCGTCGTCTTTCGTCGTCTTCCCCGTCGCCCATCCTCGTCTCCATCGCAGCCATGTCTTCCTACACCGATAAGGCCAAGGACGCCGCCAACTACGTCGCCGCCGTCGCCGACCCCTACCTTCCCCAGACCGTCAAGACCGCCGTCTCGACCGTCGTCGACAAGGCCGTCGCTGCCTACCCCCAGGTCCACTCCTACGCCACCGAAAAGTACACCCAGGTCGTCGACTACGGCAAGGTTGCCTACAACGGCGTCACCACCACCATCACCGCCTACACCCCTGGCCCCGTCATGACCATCGTCAACCAGACCCTCGAGTCCACAAAGTCCGTCCGCGAGACCCCCGTCGAGGCCATCAAGCAGTACGTTCCCACCTTTGTCGTCGAGTCGGGCGAGAAGACCTACGAGATCGTCAAGGGCCAGATCCACGCCACCCGCGAAAAGGTCGATGCCACCTCCGGATACATCGTCGAGAAGGTCAACGGCACCGTCTCCCAGCTCGTCCACATCCCCCAGGTCGAATCCATCATCCACCAGCTCCAGACCCTCACCGAGCCTGTCCTGTCCAAGATCGGCGTCCACCTGCCTGAGCTGAGCCACTCGACCGAGGCCGCCACCGACGATGCTGCTCCGGCCGCCACCGAGGCTGTTCCTTCGGCCGAGTCTCAGTAAACGTGCCCGTTGCCTGTTCGCTTGCTTAACCTGCTGTTGGTTTGGTTTGGTTTGGTTTGTCTTTCCATCTCCCATCAGACTCGCTCTTGACGGCTGGCACACACCGCTGACGTGCGGGTGCCGTTACCGACCTTTTCCTCTTCCCCCTCATTTTTGCTCTCTCCATTCCTCTCGCTACTCGGTCTCGTCCCCGGCCCGACAGAACACCTTGTATATTGCTGCAGGCCGGGATTGCTCCTGGCGCCTGAATACACACTCGTCACAGCGACGATCCACAACTGCATCGAGCTCTTCTGCCGCTCTCAGCAATCTGGATCCGATGCAGCCTTCCCATAGCTTCCCGGCAATTCGCGTTCGCCCATTCGGGACTTGATTTTGCCAGTCGGTGCTCAGGCCGCTGATTCGATGATCTCGGCTCCGAACGTGATCTTGGCGACCCCAGCCAGTGTTCCATGCACACCGCAGTACTTTTCTGCCGACAGCTGGATGGCCGATTCGACCTGCGTTCAAGTTCGCGGTGGATGAGAACAGAGTACGCCGTTTGACTGCACTTTGATTGCACTTTGATTGCACTTGGCGATCTGTATGTGCCCTCGTCATTGTGCATTCTTGCAACCCCCCCCCGGCAAATCCCCCAGACCCACCTTGGACTGCTGCAGGGACTTGCCCTCGACAACAAACACCATGTGGATCCGCTCAAACGGCCGGGGGTATTCGGTGCCGCGTTGCCCATCGATGCGGATCTGCCAGGGGTCGGAGAAGCACATGAGTTGACTGTGGTTGGCTTTGCGGGTTATTTCGTCGAGGCTTTCGAGCGTCTCCGAAACACATACTCGGAAGACGATATGGCCATGCCGCTACTCACCCTGATTTGCTCCACAACCTGCTTCTGCTTCTTGAGGATGCTGATGACGTCAATCTGCGCAGGACCGTCCTGGGCTTGAGTATCTTGGGCTGGCATCACAGTACCAACGACAGTAGCAGCGTCAAAGGCCCGTATGAAGCCCGAGAAGCACTCACCGCGGCACACCCTCCAAGGGCCATCAGCAGCATGTTCATAGGGCCAACGCCGGGCATATCAGCCGAGGCCTGTGGGCAAAGGCGGTCAGTCTGGATTGTCTCGGCTTCTCTGCAACCGCTCGCAATTCTGCCGACAGCATGCATCCGAGTTGACTATGGCCACAGAGCTGCTCTGTCGGACTGTCCCGGCTTCGGTTCCGGCTTCAGCTTCGACAACCTGTCTGCTCAGACAAATGCCGTCCATATAGTTCTGCGTCTCAACCACACGTACCGACATCTGGAGCTCGTGGCCCCGCTCGTCCCGTCCGATGAAACCAAGGGTGCCTGGAATCCAGTCCACCTGCGGGATGAGAACGCTGCTGTGAGGACTCGGCATGACGGCTTTTACTGATCTGCTCTCACTCGGGGCACTGATCGCACTCCCAAGGATTGAGTGCTCCTCCGTTCATCGTCATCCCATACGCCGACCAAACTTGGAGGCACCGAACATATCCCATCTCCGACGGATCCCAGCCCCCCACCTGCATCTGCTTGCACAGCAAGCGAGCCAACATCCCACCTCTGTTTTCGATACCGGGCGGCTCGGATCAAACTCGGGCTTGCTTGGGCCTCCGTGCGAACAAATCAATGTCGTAGCAAAGCCCCGGCGAGCGCCCGGACCCGCACATGGCTGGATGGCAGCAGCCGCAAATCTGGCGAAAGAACCGGGCCTGAAACGGGCCGATCCAGTGATGCGCTGGGCGGCTCGGTGGGCAAGCATGGCTGAGAGTCGAAGGGGGTGGAGGAGAGGAAGAAGCGAACGGACGGCGATCGACAGAAATCGGCAAGCAGCGGGGTGAAGTGATGCAGTCGACGTAACCCAAAGAGGACGAGCAATGCTGATTGGGGATGACGAGCCAACCAACCCGGCATCGGAAAGACACTCCCGAGTTGCAACCCCACCCCCGGGTCAGTTCCTGCCAGTGCCAGAGCAGTGCCAACAAACATCCCAAGCAAAAACGAGATACTCGCGCCGACTGTTGTAATTCAATGTATTTGCATTCGGCCATGTTTCGGGAAAGACATTCTAATCAATTCGGGAAAGTACCGCCCTCTCGTATCCCGGAACATACAGCTTTTTGGCGGCCCTTGGCATCGAAGAAGATTCGTGTTGGAAAAAAGTGAAAGCAATATTGCAGCGGAACGGAACGGCCGACTTGGTGGGGGTGCCAAGTAAGCAAGCAAGAAAAGAAGCTCAGGAGGTACCACCTGATGGTAAACTTATCCAAGGAGGTATCGGATTGCTGCGGAGCCACAGCCGTCAAAGCAGCCCAGTTGGTGACATCAGGATGCAAGACCAGTCACACCGCATAGGCGGAGCAGAGCCGCCGGATCCATGATGGCAGCGAGAGCTCTTCTCTTCCGACATGGACGATCGCAGTCGGCTTACTGTTGGAGCCGTGCCCAACACTGCGTCGTCCGAAAGAGAGTGAGTCGGCAGCCGATGTGCAGACTGAGACAGAGTCGCCAGGGTTGCCAGACTAGAACTTGGTCTGCTCCACCTCAGAGATGATTTGTTCGAGTGAATTAGCCGAGCCCTCGCCGTTCTGCAGTGTGTTGGAGGACTTGAGGATCGATGAAATCGAGCCGCCGCCGTCGCCCAGGTTGGTGCTCATGGTACTCTTGTTGAACGACTCGATGTTGGGCTCGCCAGCTTTGGTGCTGTTGCCGGAATCACCGGACTGGAGCTGGAAGACCGAGGGCGACAGCGATGACAGCGTCGAGGTAGACTGTCGCTCGTCCTTGCGGGCGGGTCCCGAGGTAATGTCGTCGCTGGACTGGAAGGGCTTGACCGGGGTGGCCTCGATCACCTTGGAAGCGGCAGGGGGACCGCTGCCGGGTCCCACAGTCCCCCAGAGGCTGATATTGCTTTGGCCGACCGAAGCAGCCCGGACCAGCTCTCCGTCTTCGTCTGGCTTTGGGTCTACAGTCTTGGGGACCGGGGCCTTGGGTGCCCACAGGTTGATGTTGCTCTGGCCAATCGATGGTGATCGGACGAGGTCTTCGTCTTCAAAATGTGCGGCCGGGCCCTTGGCGACCTTGTCGTCCTTACTCGGCACCCGGACCGACGACGACGACGAGGACAGGGACCAGGGCGAGGGCTGCTTACCGGCATTGTCGACCTGGCTCTTGTAAAAGCTGCCCTGGAGCGTTGGCAGAATGTTGTCCTGTCCCAGCGACGGAGCTCGGACCAGCTCCTCTTCGTCGAGCATCTTGGCGACAGCAGGCGGCCTGCCCTTGACGGACTTTCTCAGGTTGCCGGCCGAGCCTGTGACGGTACTCCGGGCCTCGGTCTTGCGGGTGCCTTCGAGCTGCTCGACCGAGTACGACACCTTCGAGGCCTCCGTAGCTGCACCTTTGGATTCGCTCAGCTTGGGAAGGGCAGGCTCAGCGGCAGCCGCTCGACCAGCCGGAGCCTGATCTCGGACCAGGCTCTGCCTCTGGCTCTCATGCGCTTGCGCCTCCCAGATCTGGTCCCCAATGTCGAGGACAGCGTCGAGGTCGCCGCGCTTGAAGCCCGCAACGACCTCACGGTAAAACTTGAGCATAGTCAAGTCCGTGGCCGAGCGCTTGTACAGCTCCTTGCTGGCCGTGGTGAGCATGTGCATCCAGTCCTCGTCCATCATGTAGGATACGGGCTGCGGGTCATGCACATCGGTGCGGAGCTTTTCGAGCCGATGCTCGATCCAGCTCAGGATCTCCTTCGGGGTCCTCCACCACTGCGACAGATCGAATGAGTCAGAGCAGCACACGGTTGAAAACTCGGACGCCGCCGAGGCCTCCAGGAACTTGAGCTCCTCGTCCATCTCGAGGAAGGACAACGGACCAAAGGCGGCGGCCTGGGGCTGCAGCGTCGCGCGCATCTCTTGGACGCAGGACCATAGGCTGTTCTTGAACTCGGCCGTGGGAATCTGCGGCTCCTTGTGCAGGAGCTCGTGCCCAAAGCTAAGGGCGGTCTCCAAGACCAGGAGCACTGGCGGCTTGGACAGCGTCTGGCTGGCTTCCAGCGACAGCCGCGAGGTGGCTTTGCTCTGGATGCGCTTCTGGTGGATCCGGCGGATGACCTTGTTGACGACGGCAAGGATCTGACTAACCTGGATGCTCGAGTCGAGGTTGATCGACTGGTTCAGCGGCCGATCGTAGACCTGAAAGATCGATCGCAAGGTGTCGGAATAGTCGGCAAAATCAAAGCCCAAGAGCTGGCAAAAGCGGTCCAGGCTGAAGGGCATCTTCTTCTGCTTGACGACAAGGTCAAAGCAAGGACTCAGGAACTTTTGGATGTGGTAGGAGATGTACTCGGCGCGCATCACTTGGAACTGTAGCAGCGGGATGCTTGCCGGCCTGTTGTGCACATTCCACAGCTGCAGCGGGGCCGAAGCACCCTCGCTGAGCTTGATGCCGGTGGTGCCACCGGGCGGGAGCCATCCCAGAGCCTCGGCCGTCTGCTCGATCTTGGGCAAGACCTCTGCGATCTTGGCAACCAGGCGCTCAATGTCCGAGAATCCAACGAGCTTTGACGGGATTTTGGAGACTGGCTCGAGGCAGGCCTCGAGGGTCGGGGCGGTCGGCAAGACTGAGCCAATGGCAGCGTTTCCGGTCGCATAGATCTCGAGCATGCGCCCGTGCAGAGCGGTATTCAAAAACTCGAGGGTTACAAAGCCGGCGGCGCCTGTCAGCGGCAGCAAAAAGTCGTGCAGGTAGCTCAGGCTCTTGATGACCATCCAGCTGTCGGTCTTGAAGCTCGACGGGAGATTCTTTGGCAGCGATTCAAGAAAGAAGGGCTTGATATTTGTGTTGACGCCGGCTAGCTGGGTACCGATATGGACCATCCACTTGACCCAGTCCGACAGAGCCGAGTCCTTGAAGCCAAACGATGGCGGACCGACGTCGCCTCTGAAGCGCGACTTTGTCAGAAACGAGAACTGGAGTTCCTTGACATGGATGCGGTACGAGGCGTCAAACAGATCGAGTTTGGACAGCAGGATTGGCGGGTAAAAGTGGGTCTCATCAAAGTGAGCCTCGAAGATGGCACCCTGCGCGGTGTTGATCAGGATGTCATGCAGGATCTTGGCCTCGTTCGCTGCCAGACCAGCACGGCCCTCCATCAGCACCGTTCGGATGGTGGCCGTTTGGTTAGAGTTGATCTCGCAGCCACACAGGCAGCCAGCGGGATGGCCCGACAGATTATCAAACAAGCGCTGGAGCTTTCCGATGGCGAGCGCCAGGTTCTCGTACACTGCTTCCTTGGACTCGGGCAAGGACGAGACGCAAAACACCTTCAGGCGCTCCAGGAACTTTGACTCGTCGCGCTTCATAAACGACGACTCGCTGAAGCCGCATTGGTAGCAGATCGAGCGAAAGGTGGTGTCGGGAATATCGGCCCACTGGATGCGCAGGACAGACTCGTAGTAGCTCGGATCGACGCGCTGGAGCTGATGGAGCAGCAGGAAGACAAGGACAATGGTGGACTCGCTGAGGGTGCTGGGGTCGACTGGGGTGGTGCAGGGATTGGCTGGATGGATCTGAGCTGTGGTCCTCTTTGATTTGCGCTGAAAGAGGCCACCTAGACACTAGCGGGACGGACATGCAAGAACATGTTAGCAATGTGCAATGTGCAATGTGCAATGTGCAGTGTGCAATGTGCAATGTGCAATGTGCAGTATGACAGAGCCTCGGCACCAAGGCCTGTGGACATTTGAGGCCAGAGCCGTATTAACAATGATTTACTCACGCCGGTGCTCTCTGGGCCGCCTCCCTTGGCAGCGCCAGCCTTATCTTTGTTTGGACTTGATACTTTGGACATTCTACCCCGAATGCCACTGTCATATACCCAAGAAGTGGTTGTGAGTGCCAAAATGAGTCTGGAATACAGGGCCAGCACAATGTCGATGCTCCGCTGTCGAGTGCAAGCGGCCTGGGTGCGTCTTGGACTTCAGAGGCACCCGTGGGAATGGTCAAAGCGAATGAACGGGAAGCAATAGCGACAGAGCATGAGGCGATGCAGCGACGGCTCGATGCGAGGGATATGGAAGCTTGCTTCGTACCTGGCAAAGTGGATAGCTGTTCAAAGCAGTAGATGGTCGTGCGTTCGCTGCTGATACCACTACCGATCGATGGCAAGGGTGTGTCCGGAGCCTCGCTCACTCTTGGTCGGGTCTCGTATCTATGAGAATATCGACCAGGGCTTTTCCGCTGGAGGGGCAAAGGGCGAATGCGAAAAGGTGTGCAGATGGAGAGATGAGGAGATGTCGAGAGGCTGAGGAGGGTCGTGGAGGGTCGCTCGGTTCTATTGCGGAGCTGAACGGCACAACAATATCGATCAGGCCCGGTCGACTGGCTGCGGGAGTACAGAGATTGGTGTGCTTTGACTGTTGGGCTGAGAGACGCCTGGTGCTGGCGACCAAGACTCGAGAGCGAGAGGGGCGAGAGCTAGAACAATACCCATTTGCGCAGAGTTGCCGTCGGTGCACCGCCGATCACCGAAGGGACATATTGTGTGCGTCGAATGCATCTGTCGGCATTGTAAAGGACGGGCGATATGCGAGCAGGCCATTGAAGGGAGCGACGTTGCTTCGCCGAATCAGACAATATGTATTCGAGTGAATTGATTGGCCACGGCCATCGATACATTTCGCACAGCGAAAGCTGGCTGCTCCAGGTACAATCTTGAGATTATCATCGTTGCCATACGATGCAGCGACCTGGTGCGCGATGCTACTCCATGAGAGAGCGAGGGACACGCCGTCGTTCGCCCTCGACCTTGGACTGGCATCGCAGATCTGGCCAAGGGCACGTTAATTGTGTAGAGCCTGATCAAGGGGGATCGGCGGATGTCCATATCTTCGTGGGACCGGCACGTTTGGTATGCGCTGTGATGGCTCGAGGGGCGACTTTTTCTTCCAGGGAAGCAGCCGTAATCGTGCCGAGCCAACAAAGGCGGGGCGGTTTTACATTGAACGAGGCTCATAAATTGCTCTCAAGCTCAGCCTTGGACTCATCTTCCACTTCCTCTGCATGGTAAAAGTCGAGCCAGAGTATGTTGGTTCGAGCAAAGACGAAGGGCCGGTGTGCGAACCGGGCGTTAGGGCGGGGACAGAGGACACATCGAGTAGTCCACGAGTACGTACCCTCCACAAACTCCATCGTCGGAACGTCGGAAACAGGTGCTCGCTTTGAGCGCTTGGAGTTGACCTCGGTCATTCGCTGCTCGACAACCTATTGAGCGAGGCCGCAAGATATGTGAAGGGAGATGAGTTGGGTCGTCGGTCTGCAGCGGGGTGGCCTGCGACTCTGTCGCTGGTATCACGCTTACCTTCTTGAATCGAGAAGCAATCGCCGGGAACGCTTTCAGGGACGTCTCCAGGTTGTTCCGAGTCAGCACGAGGCACTGACATGGCTCCAGTGCTCGAATGGAGGCTGTTCGTGGAATGTCAAACAGCACGCCGAGTTCACCTGTTGATATATGACAATGCCGACTCAGCGCAAGCCCCTGTGGCACTCCATCGCTGCCGTGGTCCCATCTCTCAACTGCATGTCGAGTGGCTCACCAAAGAACGAGCCCTGATTAATCTGGCTGTACTGCGTCGTTGCGTCCGTCGACAGAACTTCGACCTTGCCACGCAGCAGAAAGTACATTTCGCGGCCAATTTCCCGCTTCCGGATGATGAACTCGCCCTTGGAAAAGATGGCCATCTTCATCCCCGATTTCAGTTGGCGCTCAAACTCGGGCAGCTCCGTGGCGATGGCGATTTCCTCTGGCGACGTGAGTTCTTGGACCCCTCCGCTGTTGGATTTTGAGCTATCCGGGCTAATCCGAAAGGCATTGGAGCTGGATGATCGGGCGATCATGTCTGGCAATGACGAGGGCTTTGTCCCGTCGGTAGTTATATCATGAAGGCGCCTCGACGGCGTACGCTTCCCCTTGCCTGAGCTCCGGGTTGATGTTCGGGAGACCCCAACGTTCTGCAGCGAGTTCGGAGGCGGTGACTTGTCCTGTGGACTGCTCAAATCGGTCGAGAGAGTGATCTGGATGGTGGGATCCGAGCGCTGGCGCCGAGGATTCGTTATCGTGTGAAAAGCTCGGAGTCTTGGACTGCCTGTGGCATCCTCAACACAGCCAACGGACCACCGCCGGCGTCCTTGCGGAGTAGACTGTTGTGGCTGCACTGCAGGCTGTTGTGGTGTCGGGCTTGGGATGACGACTCCAAAGGCCGAGAAGGTGTTCAGAGGATCGGCCGGGGAGGACTCTGTGGCCGCAAATACGTTCCTGGCTTCCGGCAGCTCGGTCGAGCCACTGCGACACATGCTACTGCTGTCTCTGAGTGACACAGATGTACTTCCAGCCTCCCGGCGACGGCCAGAGGAGTGGCGGCTGACCCCGACTTCGCTGTTGAGCGAGCTTGTTGGCGACGTTCCTCTGATCGAACTTCGAACGGATTGTGCTGGACTGGATACGGATGCTATCGAAGAGCGAGGGCTTCCTCGCACCGCCGGCGATTGAGACGGGAAGTTGGTGTTTGCATGAAACGACGGACGTGCATTGAATCGAGGTGAAGGAATCGGCGATGTTCGGATGATTGACGTGGTCGAGGATTGATGCTCGGAGACCCCGAGGAGACTGCGGATGTGCTGGGGCATATCGTCGACGTTTTTGAAACTACCATCGGTGGACATGATACTGCCGGAGAGCTGTTCTGGATAGTCGTCGGAAAGGTGGCGGCGGGTGATGCTGGAGAACGGACTACTGGAGGAGATGCGGTGTGTGTTTGGACGAGGCATCGATGACGGGTTCGATGGTACGAATGATGCCTGGCTCAGCAAGCTGTTGCCCGAGTCTTTTGCTTTGATATCGCTGCCACTCGAGGCGACACTGTTGTTGGAGATTTTGTAGGTTACTGAGCTGATGTTGATGCTCTGCCGCCTCACACTGCTCCTTACAAGAATCTCTGCCTCGGTGCGGTAGTTCAGGGTGCTTGGCCGCTGGATAGATTTCCCAGAACGGCTGGTTCCAGTAGCCATATAAGAGCGAATTGTAATGGATGTTTCAGGAAGCGACATTCTCCTATTTGAGACGCTGCGCAACTCTGGATTGGCGGGAGGTGTGGTGGCCGCGGTGTGCAGTATGGAAGGCGGGCCGACCTGCGATGCAGGAGGTATGTGGGATGCTTGTGCCATGGTATCTTGTTGGGCCTTGCTTTTGATATCGTGGGACGCTTCACTTTGGGTGTTGGATTCGTCATGCGACTTTCTGCGCGAGTGATGGAAGAGTTTGAGGAAGGCATCGGAGGCCCGTCGCGACTTGCGTCTGGGCGGCTGGTTGAGGAAGCTCCGGGTGCGCTCGCTTATGTCTTCGGGAGCGGATGGGGTTTGGTGGGCGGGATCGGGTGCGGGTGGCTGCTGCTTGAGCCCACCCAAAGCCTCCTCGCCTTGGACTTCGACTCGGGAGGTATTTTGGCCCATGTGTGGGAACAGCGGAGCCAAAGATTTGTGCTGTTTGGATCTGGATGAAAATGCTTCAGTGAGGGAGGGTACGAGGCTCCAGCAAGAGCAGGCCGATATTTTCGCGCAATCGGTAAAGAAGGCAAGCGAAGAAAAGGTGCCGCTGAGCCTCTTCGGAATTACGGCTGGCCCTGGATGTGGCAGAGCGTAGGAAGAGAGAGGATCGGAGATTGATTGGAGACCCACCCGAGGGGGGAATTCCAAGTGGCTCGTACAATCGGCCACTCGAAAGCTGAAAGCGGGGAAAGTCGGGGATTTGATTACAGAAACGGGACACTTTCACACACGGATGACTTGCGTGGGTTGTGTGGGTTGCTTGGTTGTGTGGGCTGTGTGGACGGTGTTGGTTGTGTGAATCGGACGACTTTGATGGCACCCAAAACCCTATATAATCCGCTCGCCGAGGTCCTCTGGCGATTTTGCTCTTTGCCCTGTGTCTCGCTTCCTCACACAGGGACACCCAGCAGCACCATCGACGAGGCTTTGGGGTGTTACGGGCGATCCAATAAAAAACGGGACACCCAGGTTTTGACCATTCATCGAATATTTTGTTACCCAATGTTATCGCGCGCTGGCCATGACCATTCGCCACACATCCGACTTTCGCACCGCCGCATTGCGATGCTACGCCCTCATCCATAGCCTGCGTAAGGTTGCCTCCATATTCAGTGTATCCAAGAGCACCATCCATCGATGGCACCGAGGATGCAAGCTGGATGACCCATCCCGGGTCCCAGCTCGCAGATCCACTTTCTTCGAGCAGGCATGTCCAGTCATTCGCACCCTGATTGAACAGGACCCGTTCCAGACTGGTCCTGTGTTGCGATGCAAGCTCGAGTCCATCCTCCAGAGGAAAGTATCACTCTCACTCTGCCACACTGCCATCCACCGAGCAGGTCTCTCACACAAGAGAGCAACACACCTCAACAAGTCCAAGCGACTGGATGAGCGAGTGGCACAGTTCAGGGACCAGGTCCGCTCCATCGACCCACGACGATTCGTTTTTGTCGACGAGACAGGGATCAGGAAATCCATTTTCCCTCTTTACGGATACTCACCGAAGGGTACTCCGCTTCGCCAGCGCAATCACATGAAACACAAGTCCGTCTCGGCTGCATTTGCCATCAACCACTCTGGTGTGCTGCATCGCATGTACATCCCCACATCATTCAAGACACACTCGATGGTCGAGTTCTTTGAGCGAGCGAGCTTCCCAGACGACTCTGTGATTGTGATGGACAATGTCAGCATGCACAAGACACGGGCTGTCCTGGACTGCATCGAGCACCGAGGATGGTCAGTGATCTTCACCCCACCTGCTTCACCCGACTTCAATCCCATCGAGAACTTCTTTGGGATTGTGAAGCATCAGTACAGGAAGGCAGGAGCGCTGAATGCGTCCGAGGGGTTCAAGATCGGGATGGTCACATTGTTCGAGTCTGCCGTTCGGAGGGTGCTTCCAGATGTCTTCCCACGGCTGATTGAGCGAGCGATGCGCTTCTGGGGTTGAGCTCCCTCCAATCAAGCCGCCATTTTCGCGTTCACATCCCTGGCTTGAACCTCTCGGCGATTTTTGAACAGGGTCGCTTCCCCAACCAGCCCGCAAAGACGGGTTCCTGCTCTCGGGTATAAATGCCACACCTTCGTCCTGCTGCTTTCTTCCCTCATCTCGCCTTGATCTGATCATCGCGCTATTGTACGATAAAAAAAGTCTCTGCTCTGACCAGTACCACTGGCAGGCATCCAGCATCCTCTGCCCCCATGCCTCCGAAGCGCAAGGGTACCGGTGATGGCCAGCCTCGGCCACCCAGGCCCAAGAAAGCCGGGTCACAGTCGGAGCCTGTCTCTGGTTCGTATTCTGATCCCACGCATGCTTGTTCGTCTGTTGCTCCGTCGCTCACCACTGCTTCTGCAGATCCAATGGATGTCGATCCCACCGAGCCTGGTCCATCTACTTCCTCGAGTACCGGCAAGCGATGTCCCAAGTGCGACGGTACCGATCACGAACGTTGCAACACTAGCAAGTGTCCCAAATACCGGCCCCTCAAGAGTTCTGTCGTCCCACTCGTGGATGGAAGGTCATCGGCCCCTCAGTTCAGCTGCTTCAAGCAGACGATGGATGGCTGTTGTCTCAATCCCGCTCTCCGCGACAAGATCCAGGCCACCGTCGAGGCCATGACCCAGATCCAGTTCGAGGCATCCAGGCTGCTCAACCTGCACATCCTCCGGTGCATCGAGCAGGATCTTCCCGTCCCCGTCATCTCCAAGTCCACCCCTGCTTTCATCCGCCAATGCTTCACGATCGTCCAGGCCGATGCCCTCTCGCCGACCGGGGACAATGAGAAATACAACGAGCATCTGGTCGCTTCTTTTCGCGACTACCAGACCACTCGGCACGCAGACCTGCCTCCGGCCCCTCGTCTGCCTGATGGTGCTCACAGTCAGCTTCTCACACTGGCTGTCAATGCCTATGCCACCAACTGCACCACCCACCTCGACCTGGCCTACTGGAGACTCCTTCGTCGCTTCTGCGCTGCCGTCTTCCCAGCCAACAAGCACAAGCACGAAGCCATCGAGGCCTGTCTCGAGCTCTTCGAGAAACCAGGGCAGACTCCACCCAAGGCCGATCTCGAGTTCCTCTATCCAGACTTTGGCCACGTCCTGGACGAGTTTCGGTACAGCAACGACCAGGACCGCTTCCGGGCCCTCCATCGCCTCTCACACCATGTGAGAATCCTCGCCCGAGACAAGATGGTCGACAATGTCCACAAGTGGATCGACTGTGACATGCCCGCCCTCCGAGTCACCGAGCTGCAGCGCCAGACCGAGCTGGACGAGCTCACTGCCAGAGGCATTCCCTCCGACGACAAGAGGTTCACCAACGCCAAGTCTGAGCTCGGCACCACCAAGGCCAAGATCAACAAGCTGGCCGCCAGGATCAAGTGGTGCCTCAAGCAGCTCGCTCTCGACACTCCTCCGGCCGTGTGCACGATAGTTCCTCTGTGCACTGCAAGGGCCAAGTATGTCAAGATTGACACGGTCACTCTCTGGGATCTCCTGGGTCCAAAGAAGCGCCTTGGACTCACCCGGGACAAGCTCAAGGAAGAAGGTGATGACGGTGTCAACAACCAGGATCGTCTCTGGCGCAGTTGCTTCAAGCTGCGTAGTTCCCTCTTCCAAGAGCGGGACGTGAACAAGAAGCTGTTCAACTACGAGATCAGCACCGATGGCATTGGATGCACCATCGGTCTCGTCAAGTTTGTACGTCGAACCGATCGCACCGAGACCTCCGAGCCTCCTCCGACTGCCGAGCAGCGCATCCAGGCCCACATCGGCGACCCAGACCCCGATCGCACCACTTGGATTGGCATCGATCCTGGAGTCGGCTCCATCTTCACGGCGGTCATCCAAGCACCGGGCCACCAAGACGAGGTGGTCTCGTTCTCCAATGCCCACTACCAGCAAATGTGTGGCCATACGTCCAACACCAAGTGGCACAACACCATGAAGTATCGACTCGATATCGAGACCTGGATGTCGACCACTCCCTCGCCCAAGGTGTCGTCCTCGGAGGCTTTCAAGGTCCATCTCACCCATGTCCTGCGACCGGAGCTGCGAGTGCAGCTCGACTTCCACCTTGGCAAGAAGGCCCGTCACCATCGCTTCACGGGCCACAAGAGACGTCAAGTGGCCGTCGACAGGATGTGCAAGGCCGTCCTGAAGCACGCCCCGATACGGACCGATGTGGTGATCGCCTTTGGCAATGCATCATGGCGACAGGGCAAGGGCTATGCATCCAGCCCTCGGAGGCAGCGGTTTGCTCAGTACTTTGAGCAGTTCGAGCACCACCGTCGCCGTCCCAATCACCATCATGGAAGCGTCAAGGTGGCCTCGACGAACGAGTTCAACACCTCGCAAGTGTGCTCCAAGTGCCTGGAGCCAGTTCGGTTGGAAGGACTCGATGCGCCCAGTGTTGCGAATTCCCACTTTGTCAGGAGCTGCAAGAATCCCAGCTGCCGGACAGTGTGGAATCGCGACGTCAATGCGGCGCGCAACATGATCACAGTATGCAGGTCGATTGTGGAGATCGGAGAGCGACCGGCGGTCTTCACTCGGAGGCTGCCAAAGTGATCTGTTTTATTTCTTGTGGCTTTGCTTGACGCAAGCACAGCACATACTACATGTTCATGGAAACGGCTGTGGTGTCCCGTTTTTTTCTGAATAAAGTGTAGAGTTGCAGCGGCCGCATGGGCCAGTGGTGCTGGCGGCGGGTCCATTACAGCGCATCGAATAGGCAATCAGACACCATTTCCCTGGGACAAACCACTCTGCACATGGATCAAATCGCACTCGGCCAACAACGGCCAAGGCCACATCATCTCATAGAGTCAGTCCAAGACTTGCAATACCGCTGCGGTCATGTCGGTCTGGGTGGTTTTCGCCTTTGCTCCGCGCCTCATGGCCCACGCCACCGCGGCTGGTGTCGCACCAGCCCACTCGCGGCTGTTTTGGTCACCTGCCTTTGCGCTCTTGCCATGCCCAAGACCTGCATCCTCCGCCCACACCTCTGCCCTGTTTCGTCGTCCATCCCGCTCTCTCCAGCCCCCATCGGCACCGTCTCATATCCCTCCCCCTCATTTCTCACCATCACACTCCCTCCAGCGATCTGCCATGAAACTGCAGGTGTCTCATCTCTGCCTGGCTCTGGCTAGCCTCGGTAAGACCATCGTTGCCGTCGTTGCCGTCGTTGCCGTCCTCACATTCGAGACTGACTAGAGCTCTGGTTTGAATAGCCGGCTCGGCCCTGGCTGACGCCGGACCGGGACAGACTTGCGGCGGTCTTTTGATGACTCTCTGCAACAGCGACTTGACCTGCATCGTGGACAGCTACATGATCTCCGACAACACCGGCGTCTGTGTGGCCACCTCGAACGTGAGTCGCTCTGCTCGTCCTGTCGGTGCTGCTGCCGCTGATTCACAAGGGCTCCTGAGCACTCGCTGGGATCTGCGGTGGTGCCAGATCACCGAACAGCACCATGAGGAACGTGCAAGATGGAAAAACGGATGGGCCGAACGTGAAGCGTGTCCCTGGAACGTGGTATCCCCGATCGATTGCCTTCTCATCTGGCTGCGTATCTGTCTATTTGGTCGATATCTCGTCTCCGCGCTCTTCGTCACGCCAGGTCGTCGATGCCAACCAAGCCTGCGGCGGGAACTTTGTGTGCAACAATAGTTTGATGTGCGTCGTCGCTGATCCTGCCAACGCGACGGCCACCGTCTGCAAGCCCTATGTAAGATTTGCTATCGCCGATGGTTGGGTGTGTCGGAACCGATGCGGGTGCGATCCGGAGATACACTGACGCGGGCGCGGATTCCTCCCGAGCAGACCGAAATTGCTTTGGATGGAAGCCAGTGCGGACCAACCATCAACAAGTACTGCAACCCGAAGACGGCACAGTGCATTGGCGGAACATGCAAGACAGGGTGCGTCGCGATCGAGCAGCGATGAGCACCGGGGCGACCCGATTGTCGGGAAGAGGGTGATGCAGCACGACACCGAGAATGTTCTTGGAGCAAGCGCCGCCGTGTCGACTAATCCGGATTTGCACCACCGGTTCCTCCAGCAGCAGCAGCAGCAGCAGCAGCAGCAGCAGCACGGCAGCCACCGTGACCACCGGTCCGTCCCAGACGGCCTCGACTTTGGCAACGGCAACACCGGCTGCTGCGTCGCCGACTTCCAAGAGCCCCGCCTTCCGTGTCGTGCCGGCCGCTGTCCAAATGATTGCCCTCGGCGGGATGGCTTGGATGCTCGGCACACTGGTCTGAAACAGCGACTGGATGCTCAGAGATCGTTGCCTGGAGTCGCGGATCGCTGTTGTATGTCTCGTTTCGTGTGAATGTCAATATCTATGGTTTGTAGTTTGCTGTATGAGGTCCTGGTTTCCACCGTGAGTTGCGTCGATGCACGGAGGCGGCGTGTGGGATATCATTGGGGGAGGTCCTGAGGTCTATTGCGATGGCGATGAATGCACCACAAACACAAGACATGAGACATCAGACGCGAAACACCAAACAAGACACCAAACAAGACACCAACCCTGAAACACCAAACAAAACACCAAACGTGAGACACTGGCCTGTCTTCATTGGACGGATTCGCGGACTGTGCATGGCCCGACGCGCGCTGTGCCATACAGCGTCGCGCAACTGTGGGACAAGTGCAAGTGGATTGTCTGTTGGGCAATCCTGTGGTGGAGACATGCACTCTTCGCGGCACTGGCGTCGCTGAACGATATGCGTCATTCGCATCATTGGAAGCGCCATTAGCATCATTGGAAGCGCCATTAGCATCATTGGAAGCGCCATTAGCATCATTGGAAGTGCCATTAGAATTAGCATTAGCATCATTAGCATCAGAATTATCGGCATTAGCATCAGCATCATTGGCAGCATCGTCGACAGCAGTGCTGGCGTCCCCGCGCCTGTCCCGGCCAACAACGAGGAGCACAGTCGCGTCGCCCCCGGTCTCGCTGCCGTCTCGTTGCTGTCTCGCTGTTCTATTTCAGGACCGCCTCGCCTTTGATCCTCCAAATGTCCTCTTTGCTCTCCATCGCCCTGCCCCTGCCTGTGTCGCTTCTTCTGCCCACCCCGGCGACTCGTCGATCCGACGACTGCCTCCATCTGCTCGCCTGGGCCGCATCGCCTCGATCACGCTGCTGCGTCTCTGTCGCCCCAGTCCCGGCCTCCAGGTCAGCTACGCCCACTGCGCTCACCAGCAGCGTCTGCACCGTCTGCGTCAGCCCGTTGTATCCAACTGCATGTCTGCTTGCTTTCTGGCCTGCTTTCTGGCCTGCCTGGTCGGCGGCCTCGTTCTAACGCTTGCTCTCGATTCCGATTTGTTCTTGTTCCTGCTCTTGTCTTTGCTGCGATGCATCGACATCCGTCGGCTGCTGCATCTGGTGCCCATTACGTCTGTCAACCTCATCCTCAACTCCCTCTTTAACCGGTCACCGTCGTCGCCCACATTACGGCACTCTTCTCTCTCTCGACCATCGAACTTTCGCCTCGTCGCTCTCCGACCGGCACTTGCTATCCTTGATACACTCGGGCCTCCGTCTGCTCTCAGCGTACATCGTTCTTCCCATGGATTCCAGCGGCGATCCTTCGGCCGGCACCAACACCACCCTCGTCGTCGTCGTCGTCGTCGCTTCGTTGGTGACACTCTTCTTGAGCTTTGTCGGCTATCGATATGTGCGTGCAAAGTTCATCCCGAGTCCGGCTCGTCGTCCAAGCGATGACGCTCCCGAACGCTCGACCTCTCAGCGCAAACTCGTCAGCGTGCTCTTCCACTCCAGCAACTCTCCCACCGGCAGCACAACCTCGCCCGGCATCACCGCTACCTCGCCCAGCATGCACCCGGTCCTGCCCCAGTCCAGTTCGTCCATGCCTCTTCCTCCCATTCCCGAGTTTCTGGCCCAGCCTTCCTCGGACCAACGCAGCGACCGTAGCGACCGCAGCGACTATGAGACGGACAGCAAACGGTCTCTCGACTATGTTCCAGGCAAAACAAGGGCCCGTGCCCTCTCCCATGTTTCGTCCGTCTCTTCCTTTGGCCACCAGGACTCGGAGAACGGCGTGATATACTATCGTGTGCGGATTGCCCACAATGCGCAGCGGCCCGACGAGCTGACGCTTGTCCCTGGCGAGTCGGTGTCTGTCTGGAAGGTCTTTGAGGATGCCTGGTGCCACGGATACTCGATCGATTCAGAAAAGACCGGGTTCTTCCCGCTCTCGTGCATCCGCAATTCTCCAAAGCTGTACACCCACTCGTCGTCCAAGAGCTCTCGATCGATCGCCGGCAGCCGCGCGCCAACCCACTCTGACGACAGCTTCAAGCCCGACGGCAAGCCTCTGACTCCTCTGGCCTCTTCTCCGCTATCGCAAATAGTGTCCGTCAACAACTCCTTGAACAGAAATCGTCTCTCGAGCTCGAGTGCACTCAGCTTCGAATCCAGCAACGTCGCAACGATGCTCCGACCGCAGAAGCGCGACGCCAGCTTGAGCTATGTGCCTCCAGCTGTGCCTGAGGGCCAACCCTGAGGCCGCAGCAGTGCATCCTCTGCATCATTCATATTCCCTATCCCACCCCTCCACGAATGGCCAGAGCCTGTGGCCAACCGATGCTTGGTCCGTGCGCCCTGCCGTCGGCCGCCCGTCCGCCTGGTCGGGCATAATTTTGCACTCACCCGTCTCTATTACTTTCCTCTGCCTTGTTTGAACCACTCCTTCGTCCCCAACTCTGCTCAACTCGACCCCCGCCGGTCGGCCATGTACCTTACTTGTCACTTTCACTGTCATCATGCTATGAATTTCAACTCGTGCTCCCCTCCTCCCAGCGCTGGCTGCCTGCATGCATGGATCGATGCGGACCCTTCTCCTTTGGTGCAGTGCGCGGCTCTTGCGACAGGATGGGACACCCGGATTCTGTACAGTTGTTCCAGGAAAATACTGGGGCAGTGTCATTTTTTCTCTGGCACCAGAGGCCTGAAGCCTGCTGAACTCCCGTAGACCCCCCCCTCGTAGGCAAGCCGTGCGATTGATTCCGGTCTTCGTTGGCAATGGCTTTGCTTCCGTTGGTTTCGAGAGCACAATCTTGAATACACCCGGTCGATCTCCTGTGGCAATGATCGACGGACACGGTGCCTCGATACGGCAGGTTGGTGGATGCATTCGACTCCTTGGACCTCCCGAGTCACTTGGCCTCCATTATCCTTGGGTGCACTGTTCGGTTATGGTGGATGAGTGGTGCACCCAGGACCCAGAAAGAAACGGCGGCCCTGGCTCGGACAGCGTGTCCCGCTTCGCTTTGGGATCGGCGTAAACTCGGTCGTCACAAACTCGACTGTCATAAGCTCGGTCGTCATGAGCAATGCCGAGCGTGCCGGCTGCATTGTCGCTGTTCTGGGCCATGGTGCGTGCTTTGTGCCGACAGCTGCCGTGCTCCCACCGTCCTGCCGGCACTGTTGGCGATTTGGGCAGCAGCGAGGCAGCAGCGGGCATCCTTGCGCCTGGCAACCACATGTGCGGTGGCGGGGCGATGTTGATCAGCCAGGAGGCGACGGAAGCCCAGATGCGGTTGACATTCGACACAATCCCCTGCTTCATCCAATCAAACTTGCGTAAACAATGATAGAGACCCAACGTCGCCGTGGATCCCATTATTGCTCTGTATGCAGTTGTGCTGCCGCTCGCTACAATGCCATTGAGCGCCGTTCGCTGCTTGCTGTTGGTCCTCACTCGTCCGCCCCTCTGATCTTGCGCTGCTCTGTGATTCGGGGGCCTACGCAAATAAACACAATAGATCACTTCGATCGACCAGCGTGCTGGGTGAATGTGGGCGAGGCTTTCTCTGCTCTGCTTTCCCATCCCCGCTCCGTCGTCGCATCCGGATTTTGCAGCCACAGGCCAGAGTCCATACCAGGACCAGCACTGGCTATCAGTATCGATCCTTGTTTCTCATCAGCCCGCGGCTCCCTCGGCCTGTCCTGTCGCCAATACCGTGAGCGAGTACTTTTCTGGTCACCATCAGGTTTGTGGGTGTCTCTTGCCGACGGAGGGTGGAGGCTGCACCGCCCAGGACGGGCTTGGTGGTGCGGCTGGAGCCTATGTTTACCATAGGCACCGTCGCTGTTGCCGCACCGAGGTTGTTGTTGTCCGTCGACAAACCACTGCGGCTGGGCCGCTGCCTCGCCCAGAGCTCGTTGGCTCAACCGAACGAATGAGTATTCAATGTACCGTCGCCTTACTCAACGGCCTGCCTTGATCTCCACCCTGCCCGGCTCCCTCCCATCCCCCGCCAGCACCCGCACTGGATAGCGAAGCGGTTTTGCCTCCCCCTCCCTGCCTCGCCTGCACTGTCCTCGACCAAGTACTTTGACACCAAGCATCGCTCATCGGGCCTGTCCATATCCAACCTCGGTTCTCCGCGTGTCCGCACAGCAATTCTCGATCTGCGACTGCGATCCAAGTCGGCCCCACATCCTGTCAGCTCAAAGCGATGAGCATCCAAGTGCAAAACTCTGCCAGCCACAGTCCTGTCGGAAAGGCCCAGCCCGTTCCAGACTCCCAGGTTGGGAACTACCGACTCGACAAGACGATCGGCCAGGGAACCTATGGAAAGGTCAAGCTGGGCATCAATGTCTTCACCGACGAGAAGGTTCGTGGGCTTGGTGTCGGCAGTGGCTGGCATTGATCGGAGAGCGGCCCACTTTCTCACGGCAGCCAGTGGCACCTCACATCTGCCTCCTCCTTCGTTGTGTTCCCACATTCCCCATCACCAGCATCATCTCCACCATCCATTTGGCTCGATGCCCGCCTCCTTATTGACTACAAAGACTCGTTGCTTCTGCCGGGAATCTACGCACCGGCTTGGGGGACGCTCTGCCATAGCCCCATGGATGGCGCACTCACATCCTGTCTGACCTTGCCGACACTGCGTGCGCCAGGTTGCCATCAAGATCATCATCAAATCGCAGATCCAATCTCCCAAGCAGATCGCCCGCCTCCAGCGTGAGATTCGGTTCTTGAAGCTGCTGCACCACCCCCACATCGTCAGGGTCTACGAGGTCATCGAGACTGCCGACTTTATCTACATCATTATGGAGCATGCTGCCGGTGGAGAGCTCTTTGACTACATTGTTGCTCACAAGCGGGTCAAGGAGAAGGAGGCTCGGTCGTTCTTCCGCATGGTCCTGTCGGCCGTCGACTACTGCCACAAAGTAAGGGCGCTGGCTCGAGCGAAATGCTCGCCAACGGAATTCCCACCGAGTCCTGTTTCTGCATCGCACACACGCAAGTCGACCTTTTCACTTTCGGGCTCGTGCCCTTGGAAGAAGTGAGGGAGGGGAGATGAGTCCTCAGCACCTCAATAGTAGAGAGTGCTGTTTCGGCCCGCTGACTCTAGCAATCATGCATTTATCCCCTCTTGATCATCGCGGGGCTCCCCTGCGCCGACCAAACGATGCATAGAACGCAGTCATCCACCGAGATCTCAAGCCGGAAAACCTGCTGCTCGATAGCAAAAAGAGCATCAAGATCATCGACTTTGGCTTCGGGAACAACTTTACAGTCGACGGGCTGTTGGACACGTTCTGCGGGTATGGCTGAAGCCCCGCTACCACTTGGAATCACACCCGAATTGCCGACGCCTGCGATCGTTGTTCGAATGCCGCTGCCGATTTTCAACCACAGCTGCTGAGCGGGCTCAGTTCCTGGGCCACCCCTCTTGCCCAACGTCTGTTGATGCCATGGCGACTGAGTCTCACTCTGCGGCGTTTGCTTCTTTGCTGGGTAGCTCTCCGTTCTATGCAGCCCCAGAGATGATCCTGGGCAAGAAATACGAGGGACCCGAAGTCGACATGTGGAGCTTGGGTACGGCGAACACTGCGCTTTGACCGCAGCTTTGGAGTGCAAGCGAATGCGCTTTGAGCCAAAGAGCAGCAAGCATCGTTCGTTTGGATGCCTCTTCAGATATGGCACTGACACTATCGTTTGGGCATCGACTTTCCCGCTCAAAAGGCGTGATTTTGTTTGCGCTACTCTGCGGACACCTGCCCTTTGACGACGACAATATGAAGGAGCTGTACAAGAAGATTGCCAGTGGGTCGTATACCTGCCCGGACTACCTGATGCCACGTATGTGGGGCTTTGGCCAGCGTGTTTGATATCAGTTGATGGCCTGGAGAGTCGCTTGGGTGCTGGTGGTCTGACAAGTGGCTTCGATGCCTGTGCTTTCGGCCATGTTTGCCGTCGCATTTTCCTTGTGGGTCAGCTTTGTCGGCATTGACGCAATCGCATTGAGACCGGGGTCTCGAGTCGCTCGCGATCTGCCGGCTTCGATCGGACTCACATCATTTGTGCAGCAACACATCGTCCGCACTTGCCATCTCGGCCGACGCAGTCATCTAACATCCGCTCGAATGACCTGCTTCCAGATGCACGGCACCTCATCAGCCGACTTATCACCGTCGACCCCAAGAAACGGGCCACGCTGGCCGAGGTGCAGCAGCACGCCTGGGTCAACGAGGGATACGACGGCCCGCCTCCAAACTATCTGCCCGAGCGACCGGTCATCACCGACGTGTCCAAGCTCTCGAAAGAGATTGTCGGGCGCATGCTGGCGTTTGGATACAAAATCGAAGATCTCCAGAGCGCCTTCCGCCCAGACGATGACCAGTCGATCCCAAATCCCGTCCGGGCCACGTACTTTCTCCTCTCGGAGATGCTCCAGCGAGAGGAACTGCGATTGAGAAACGAGAGGAAAAAGGCGCTCCTCGAGAGCGTCAGTGCAAGTCAGTTGAGCTTTGGGGTGTCGAGCGCCGGCCCGTCGACTCGCGGCAACAGTCTCGACACCCTCGAGCACATCGCCAAGCTTCCACCACCACCAGCGCTGCCGTTCAAGATCGAGCACACCCAGTCCTTCTTTGGTCCCAGCGGCAGGGGCCGCAATCCAGCTCCACACCACGATCTTGAGGTGTCGTCACTGGAGCACGAAATGGTGACGCAAATGCAGTTGTCGAGCCAGCAGCGCAAAGACTACATGCCCATCGATGGTCTGGAGGGCTCAAAGTCCTCGATGGGCTCCAAGGGAACCTCCAGCTCCATGGTTGGCTCCACCGTGAACACCTCCAAGCTCGGATACACCAATTTTGTGTCGATGCCCAGCCATCTCAATGCTACCTCGCCGATTGCCGAGATGCCACCCGCTCATGTCCATCAGAGTCTGCATTCATTCCAGCCGCGCCAAGAGCGTGGCCCCTTTGAATACGTCGAAGACTCGCACTGGAGGGCGGACAACTATGAGGAGCAGTATCAGCGGCACCAGCAGTACCAAGCCCAAGCGTTTCAACAGCAACAACAACAGCAGCAGCAGCAACAACAGCAACAGCAACAGCAACAGCAACAACAACAGCAGCAGCAGCACTCGTTTCATCTGCCCCAGTTCCAGCTGCCGTTTTCGATGGCCCCGACACAGCCCTTCGCGGCTCCTGTGCACCTCTCGGACCGGCACTCGCAGTTCTCCAGCAGCGGAACGACAAACTCCCAGCCATCGATTGCTCCAATGTCGATTCCGCAGCCCGAGGCTGCAAAGTCTGTTCTGACCTCGCAGGCAAGGCAGGTCAGCTGGAACCCGTTCGAGTATACGCCGCAAAGCTACGTACCCTCAAGCGACATCAAGTCCAGCTCGCAGCGACGTTCGACCATCCCATCGGTGTTTCCATTCTCGTTCACGTCGCAGCGGGCTTCCGGAAGCGGTGTCAACAGCAGCCATAACAATCTATCGATTCCACAACCGCAGTCTCAGTTGCAAATGCAGCCCCACCCTCAACCTCAGCAAGTCTTTTCGTCTCTTGGAAGCGTGGCGGTGCCGGCCCGGAGAGACAGCGGCAACAAAGGCGGCCGCGAGGAGCTTCGATCGGTTTCTGGCTGGTTCTTGAACGTCTCGACCACATCCTCGAAACACCCGCGCGAAATCATCGAGGAGGTGCTCCGGGTTCTGCACGAGAACCGGGTATACTACCAGTTCGAGAGCACCTACATCCTCAACTGCGAGATGGACGCATCGCCTTTGGTTGCCTCGGACAAACCGAACGAGCAGTCGTTCATCTCGGGCCTTTTCCAGAGCCAGGCAGCCAGCAACAGAACAGCTGCCGTCCCGGGTCCCGAAGGCGGCGATGGCTTTGGCATCCCCATCGACGAAGTTGCCGCGGCTGTGGCAAACAGCGAACAAACCCTGGCCTCGCAGAACGACCTCAGCGCTGCCCCAAGGCCATCCTTCACCGTTCACCGCCCACCAGGCCTCTCTGGCCGCAACTGGGTGGCCTTCCAGATCGAGATCTGCACCGTGCCGAGGATGGCGCTCTATGGCCTCCATTTCAAGCGAATCAGCGGCGGCATTTGGAACTACAAAAAGATCTGCAACAAGCTGCTTTCACAAATGAATCTGTGAATACTCGGTCGCCACCACCACCAGCTATAGAGACGTCTGCGAGCCTGATCTTTTGGCATGCATTGGCCCTTCTCCGCCGCTTGTCCGCTCCTGTGTACTATGAATGCGAATATCTATGCAGCACTTTGCCCACGTTGCATAGGGTGCGAGACGAGCGGCCCAAATTGATGGCTGGAGCAACGGCTCCCGAATGATCGCCTTTCTCAAATCGAAACGGCGCACCATAGACTGCGCGCTGAGTGGGTCGAGTGAATTGTGTGAAGCTCGAAGTGTGAAGTGAATTGTGTGAAGTGTGAAGCTTGAAGTGAATTGTGTGACTTTATTCGTCGCTAGAAGCTCAATGATATCCGCTTGCTGGTACTCCGTCTCGGATCCACAGCGGCAGAGATCTATCGCGGGATGCAACTGTCTGCAGCCGTCTCGACACCACAATCCCCGTGCAGCCCGAGGCAGTCAACTCGGAGCGTGAGAACCGCCAGATCCACACGTGACTTCCACATTTGTCGATATTGATAGTGCAAAGCCGGCTGCTGGACATGGCGATCGGCTTTTGGGAGTCGCCAGGGCCAAACAGGACGGCTCGGTGGAATAGCACGGCCACGCACACAGAGACAGAGTCGTCGATCCCGCTGCGCCGACCGAGTTGCATCTCGGACGACTGGACATTCACCTATTGCGCCTTGACACCCTCAATGATCCAATGCTGTTGAGATCTTCGACCAGGTTGGCCATCGATGGAGCGAACACCGGAGCTATGTCCGTGTTCTCTTCGATTGCAAATCCACTCGAGGTCACCACCATTGCCATTGCTATAGCCAGAGCGACTCGAGCGCTTTGGTGTTGCTGATCCACTCATCAGCAGCCCCTTTGATCTTCCCCAGCCGGACCCGAACCCAGGTGGCCGATGGCTCCGAAGGCAAGAAACCCACAGCCACGGCCGAGGCGATCGACTCGAGGTGAGCCAGCGTCGCATGTGCCGCTCGAGTTGGTGTGTCCGTTGTATCGTATCTGCTGATGCAGCGCTCGACCGCTCAATTCTGCAGTGACAAGACCGACACGACTGCCAAGCGACCGAACCGAGTAAGTTCCCCACTGGTAACGCCGGTCGCATCATCGGATGAAAATCCAGCCTATGGATCGGGGCCGAGGAATGGCCGAAATACTGGTGCCTGGTCCTTTGAACATCCGTGTTGCAAGCAGCTCGGTCCCACTGGCAGCGTAATCCGGCTCAACCAAGTCATTGGGCTAACAGCCATCCTTACGATCGTCATTGCATCTGCAATCCGCTCAGAGCAAAGCCACCTTCCGAGCTGTAGCAAGGTGCGTTGCAGAGACACACGGGTGAACCAACGATCCGATCGTGTCCCGCCGCCGCTGTCGATTTGCTCAATTCGACGGATCAACAAGGCGGTGGTGAATGGCTGTGGTGAATGGCTGTGGTGACGCTCAGCCATCGATCCAGCAGGATCGCAGAGTCTAACGAGATTGTGCTCAACGGGCGAATTGATACGGATATGCAACTGAATCGACGTGCGGATCACTGCCGGATCAACGCCAAATGAATATCAAAACTGTCGTCGCTCCTCATAGCAAAGTGGTGAGTCACACATCCAAGCAGCCAGCGGGGCATGGCGACCGTCCGTGCCGCAGACAGGATGTATATTTCCGGTCACTGATATGGCTGTTTCTTGACACAGGACTCGAATCGCAAAGCTGCATCTGTAGCGCCATCGGCATCTAAAACAGCAACTAAGCCCGCACCAGCAACATCCACCAAGCTACCGTCGAGGCCTCCGCGGCGAGATGAAGCCTCGGCCATCAAGCCGGATCTGAGCGGTGCAAAGGTCGCCAAGCGAACCGGAACCAAATCGTCTCTCTCGACCAGCGACAAACGCAAAGTCATTTCCACTCTACTGCCACCAAAACCACGTCTATCATCGTCACCAGCATCATCTGCAGCGATGCCTTCTACAAGCCCGCCCGCGATCGCTTCGGCATCATCGTCAGCGTCGGCACCGACGACACGAATGCCTTCTGCAGCAGCACGAACAGCACGACCAGTACGAACAGCGCAAATAGCACCAAAGACCCCGGCGGCTGCGTCGAAATCGGCGCTCAAGCCTCCCGCAACGACGATAAAGCCGCCGCTGAAACGCAGTAGCGACACTGTAATGCCGTCGCGACCCGATCTGTCGAGCCGGCCAAAACCGGAGGCGTCCAAGGCCCCGGTGCGGCGAGCGACATTCATGGCGTCAACAACACGCAGTTCCGGATTATCAGCGGCAGGCACACTGTCCTCCAAAAACGAGAACTCGACAGGTTTGCAGCGACTCGGGTCGACGCGCACACCGTCAAGGGCACTCACAGCTCCCCCAGCCAGAGGCAGGCCCAGCACCGCTGCTCAGTTGCCCGTGAGCGGCGCCGGGGCATTCACCAATGAACAATTCAACAACGAGTCGCTCGGTGACATCCTCGACAGCGAGCGGGCTATGGATCTGGACGAGAAGGTGCTGCGACGAGCAAGTGTCTTTGACGTTGGACCAAAACGAACGTCGATCATGCCCGTCAAGAATACCCGCCGAGCGACAGCGCACACGGCTGCTACGGTACTTGCCATTGCACAAGCGCAGATGTCGGTGCGATGTTGTTTGGCGAGCGGCAGCAGATATGATTTGCCACCGCCTTTCGTTTGCCCACTACCAACTGACTAGTTTCTCTGCTCCGACCACCCAAACCAGGAGCCTGCTCGGAGAGTCTCCATCTACAGTGCCCCTGTTCGCTATCTTAGCAAAAAGGTATCCAGCCAGCACCTTCCAGCGCTCCATAGCTGCAAAGTAGCAAATGGCGGTTGTGTCGGGTGGAGCTCGAACGTTTCTGACAATGACACGGCGATTCACATCATGCTCTTGCGTCGCTGCCACAGGATCCCGCTTGCGAGGAGCCCAAGCTGGAGAAGATCATTGCGAGCTATTTCGCCAACCGGGATACCAGTGAGCCCTCTCAGGCAGCATCTGGCCCTGCCAGGCCACAGCGGGGATACGGAGCCAATGCTCCTGCAACGCCCTCGCTCAACAAGATGCCCCTTCGCAAAGCCCCTCCGATAAAGCCAACCGCTGCCGCCCCGCCGTCCTTTGGTCCAGGACAGCGACTGGGTCCCAAAACGCCTTCTCAGCCACTGCGCCGAGCCGACATCGGAGCCCTGAACAACGTGCAACCGAGTGCCCCGCCGGCTGGCATGTTTCGGTCGGATAGCGATCTGACAATGTCCGACAGCCAGCAGCTCGAGAGTGAAATTGAGGCTCTGAACGAGATGGAGCGCATGCTGCTGGAGAGGCTCGGGGCCGAGGAGTTCAAGGCTGGTGGGACATAGCCCCGCCCCATATCGCTCGTTTCTTTGGCAATAGACTCTCGTCCGCTTGAACCCGCACGTCGCTTCAGAGAGGCAGGCAGTGCAACGTGCCCGGCTCGTATGTGCTGCGTCAAGTGCTGCACTCACATCGCCTTCGCACAGTGGCAGCCGAAAATCCGCGGATCATCCCAGCTCTCTGCACACTAAGGAGCCAGCATCGGTGTGCTGCGAGGATGCGGCTTGCACGAGACTATACGACTGTTGATGCATGAGTACTATTGGTGCGTGAGTTCCATGGACACGAGCAAAGGGGCCAGCAGGTTCGGCTCTGGCAGCATTGCAGTCGGCAGGCGTGGCAACAGATTGCCAGGCCCATGGGCGAGGCAGCAGTGCGGAACCAGAGTGTGCTTGGCTCGCGAGGAGACATCCACCCGCGGTTCATGTTGATGGGGGCAGTATTCTGGGTTTCGGGACGTGGGTCGGCGCAGCGAATCGGATCCAGGGTGCGCCTGTGGTGCAACAGCTTTTGGGCATCACGACGAGCTCAACCGCTTGCGGGCATAGTTGGTCTTGCCGGTCTTCTGGGCTGCGTCATCATCTTTGCTCTTTCCGTTAGATTCGTCCGAGTCGTCTGCGAGGATCTGGTTGCAGCGCCGCTGCAGATCGAGGGTCCACCGGGCGTTGCCCATATGGACACTCCAGAACTGGCTTGGGATGCATCCACACACAATCAGCTGCGAGATGCGCAGCGCCAGTGTCTCGATCCGGTCCTCGGTGGTCGGGTCGCCGGCAAGACCGCTGCTGGCAACGAGCAGCTCGTACTTTGGCTTGTCGAGTATGTTGCAGAGAGTGCTCATGAACGACTCGGGCTCGATGGCGTTCTTGAGGAAAAGATCGACGAGCAGATTCGATGTGCGCTATATCGATCATGGAAATGGACGCAGCGATTAGCCCATCAGAGCAAGTGGAGTTGGGCGGCGGAGGTGATGCGCCGGCCACTTACGTCGCTCGTGTTGACAAAGGTGGTGAAGATGGCTTCGAGCACATCGATGGGGCTGGCATTCGATGTCCGCATCACTCGTTGGATGCCCTGGACGAGGCTAGCCGAGTCGACAGCTTCGCTCTGCCGTTTCTGCGACTCAAGGAAGGCAGAGACCGCGCGCGGGGCACCGCCGGGAATCAGCTGAAAGATGACCGAGGCGCCGTCGCCATTGTCGTTAGGGTACAGCTGCTGATGCAGGTTGATGAGCTGACGAAGGAAGCCGTTGTTGGGTCGGGTCTGGTGGTTGCATGGCGATGGGGGGAAAGGGCATGATGGGGGACATGTTTGTTGCTGGGTTAGGATAGCTGGTCGAGGCGACTGGATGTGTTTGTGGTCTGGGCCAACGGTCGGGCGTCGTTCGGTGCGGCAGTGGCAGCGACAGTGACAGAGCAGAGGGACAGAGGGATGGATGAGGGTACCTGTCGCCGTCTGCTCTTCGTGAGCTCATAGGCGGTGTTGAGCGACATGCCCTTGCATTTCATGAGATATCCAATCGTCAAAGAAGTCGAGCGCGAGATACCGGCTGTGGAGGCGAGCAGCAGCAAGAGCACGCAAAACGGGCGACCAAGTCGGTCGGATGAGAAGGCATTGAGAGTTACAACCAGTCGCAGGAGGGCGAGAGAGCGGGGTGCTGCAGCGCCTCACTCCAGACCAATGCTGCGAAACGTACCTTGACAGTGGATCAGCACAATGGCATTTTCGTTGCTCTCGTAGGCCTCAGATACAAACTGGCAGCAAACCTCCCAAGAGGCCTTGAGCGACTGCGTCGGCGTGTCGCTGATCTGCAGCTTCAGATACTTTGGGTTGGGCGGAAGCGAGACGAGGCGAATGCCCTGGGTCGATCTGGGGTTGGCTGCAGCGGGGTTCGGCTGGGAGCCATTGGCATTACCGCTGACGTTGTCGCTACCATTGCCGCTGTCGGTGCCTCTGCTGCCTTCGTTACCGCTTCCATCAGCTGGGGTTTTCTCGTCAGCTTTTGCTTCGCTGGCGGAATCGCCACTGATCAGAATCCCGGCTCTCTCGGCCTCGGCGTCCCAGTCCTGCACATTCTCGAAAAAGTTTCGGCAGAGGCCTGAGGCATTGACGATGTGGGTGATGCCGAGGCGCAGCAGGACATGGATCGATGCCGCATGGTCTGCAGAGCCAACATAGAGCTTTTTTTCCAAGATCTCGGCTGGATCGTCAATGTCGTGGCCTTGCTTTCGGACCGAGTTGATCTTGAAGAGCGAGACAGCATCCGAAATGGAGGAGGTTGCTCCGGTTCGAGTTTGGGTCTGGCAGACACAGACCAAGCCCGACACCAGGCGATTTGGCAGTGCACAGCGGCCACGGCAATATGGGTCAGCTCAGTGGCAGCGGGGGCATCCAGCCGAACGAGGATGTTGGGCTAATGCGATGCGCCAGTGGGATGGGATTCTCGCAGGGGGGTTGCAACAGCACAAACGGAGCTCCGAGCAGTCGAGGACGGCATGGGCCTCGGGACACTGGAGGGCGCCCGCGGGGCAGCAGACATACCGCCATTGCTGCCGGTGTTGGGAGGAGTTACGGCGCTGTTGAAGGAGGAGGGGTCGCTGATGCCTTGGGTGCGGATGGATGATGATGGCAGGGCGAGCACACAGCAATCCTGGCGGCCGCCTCCACCCGAGAGCGCCGCCCGCAGGCCGCCAAGGCTGGCTGGGGCTGCAGCCAGGGCCAGGAGCACCGCCCCAGAAGAGTCACAACCGACGAGGGCCGCTCCCCTGGGTCGATCGGACTGCCGGGCTCGGCTGTGTCCCCGTGAGCCGGACTGACATGGTGCCGTGCTCCAGAAGCGAATCGCACAGCAGACCCACAGTCCCATGGCATACAGGATTGTGCCGGCGCGGACGATGGCCTGAGCAGATTGTATTGTGCAAACCGGACCAGAGAGCACGACTGACAGCACGACCGACAGCACGACCGACAGCACGACCAGAGAGCACGACCGACAGCACTACTGGCTCTGGGACACAAACGCTTTGATCTCTGGTGGAGATTAATAGGATGCATATCATATGAGCTTTGCAAGCCACTGGTCTGTCATGCAAGACCACCCAACTCGCAGCAGATGCACAGAGAAACCACACAGCTCCCTTCTCGCATACGTACTTTCGATGATATCCATATACGACTTGTATGCTGGTGATTCAGGATACTGGTCGAGGAACGACTCGCCAAAGTCGCACGATTTGGCTGTACGGTAGTTTGCGTCGCAGAGACAGCGGGAGATGCACAGCCCATGACCACACAAGTACTGGTTAGTTGGGCGACGACAAGCACAACAGCTGGACGAGCATGGCAAAAGGCGCCGTAGCTTTAAGGCAGCGAGATAGCACGCAACACGAGGCATACCGATTCGCGGATCGATCGGAATCGACCCAAGGAAGTTGATTCCCGTATCGGCAGCCATCTTCCGGGCCCCGCCAGTCGTCGGGGCAAAGATGGGTGTGTCTTTGTGGCATTTGGGGCAGACAAAGCCGCTCATGTTTTCAACCACGCCAATGATGGGAATGCCGACCTTCTTGCAAAAGCTGATCTCCTTGCGCACGTCCTGCAGCGAGACCTCCTGCGGGGTGGTGACGATGACGGCGCCGTCGATGCCGCTTTCTTTCAGATAATTGACGATGGAGAGATGCTCGTCTGAGGTGCCTGGCGGAGTGTCGACAACGAGGTAGTCCAGTGCGCCCCAGTCGACGTCCTTGAGGAACTGCTTGATGAGGCCTATCGAACGACAGTCGCTGTGAGTGCCGGATAGCTCCAACTGAGCGAGCCGTGCCTGCTGCTGCTGCAAAACTCGATGCAACTCAAGCCCAAGACGGGATGCAAACCTACCATTCTTCTTGGGGCCCCTCCAGATGACAGCATCGTCCTGGTTCTGCAGCATGAATCCAATCGACATCACCGCCAGGTTGTCGTTGACATACACAGGCGACCATCCAGAGTTGCTCTGGTGGATCTGCTCGCCCTCCAGACCCGTCATCTTGGGCATCGAAGGCCCGCAGATATCGACGTCCATGGCTCCGACCTGGATATGTTCGTCAAGGGACAGCGCAAAGGCCAAGTTTGTTGTGAAGGTGCTCTTGCCGACGCCTCCCTTTCCGGAGAGCACTAGGATTTTGTGCTTGACGGTCGCCATGCGCTCGTTGATGAGCGGAATCGCTGCAGATTCGATGCAGATTCGATGCCCAGAGGCCCCGATTGGAACAGCGTCAGTGCTGACTGAACGTCTCCATGGCCTCTTCTCCAAAGTGGCAACATCGGCGGGTCCTACCTGGATCTGGGCCCTTTGGTGTTGTTGCGCAGATCTGTTGGTTGGGGCATCCGGCACAGGCATCGGCTGCAGATCACAACGAACCGAGGATGTTAGCCATGGAACGAGTGGACCTTTTCGGCTGGATGCACCATCGGTGGACATACCTTTTCCAGCCTGGTCGCTCTCGGTTCCTTGATGGTCAAGAAGCAGATTAGCAGGCGCACAGGATTCGGTCAGCGTCGATCGATGCTGGGTCCCACCAACCCGAAGCACATGCTTTCGTATGAATCGGACCGGTCTCGGATCTGGACGGCACAAACTGGCCCGCTTGGGCTGCCAGAGGCGATGCGGTGTCTCTCGCTGAGCAGCGCCGTCGGTCTGCGTTGGCACTGTTGCTCACCGGGGCAGTGCTGGGGAGCGTTATCTGGGACGCTGTTCTCTGACGACATGGTGGTGGGGGGAGGGACGGTGCTTGCTGTCGGGTTCGGCTGATGGCGGCACTATTCTTCTAGAAATCGGCAGTCGCCAGATGCGGGCTTTCGGCCAAGACAGAGGCGGATGGGCAGATTGGGTGAGAGGTTTTGGGCCTTCAGGACCAGAAACCATGTCTGATAAAACCGAGGCTGACAAATCGCCCACTTGCAATCTCGATATCTGGCCGCCGTGCTGGATGCCGCAACTCACTGCGCTCGATCCGAGCCGCCGCATTGGTTGCTGCTCATCGCTGACAAGCTTTCTCTCCCGTCCCGCTCGCCCCATCCCCCCCTCCAGCAGATTCCAGGAGATCCCAGCGGTCTCGGTCCCGACCGGCCTCGGAGGTGATTGCTGGGTCGAACAATGAGGGGATGATCACGTGATCCGTCTGGCTCTGGCTCTGTCCAAGCTCCGCCTCAGAATCCTGCTCGCTGACCCGCCAAAGCCGAGATCTCGCCCCGGCCACAGCCGCATTCACCGAGACTTGATCCGACCGACCGAAGCGCAAAATGTCAAAGCAAGGGTGGGTGCTGATGGCTGCAGCCCGGCCAATGCACCGATATCGCAGTCCGTCCGCGAGTGCGAGACAACGGCAGATGCTCACGCTACGGGTCTTTTCTTTTGCAGCTGGGAAGAGTCCGAGTTTCCGATTCTGGTATGAAGCCTGCCCCTCCGGAATATATCCGGGACAGGCCTGCTCATCGCTTTCGCCACAGAGACATAGCTTCAGCTCAAGGACACAGAGCGCTGCAGAGCGACTGTGTGTGTGCATTCTAACCTGCGTGCCTCCCTTCGTCTCTCTGCAGTGCCACACATGTCTTGGCGATAATCCGTACGTTCGAATGTCCAAGCAGCAGCATGGAAAAGAGTGCAAGATCTGCTCCCGGCCTTTCACCGTCTTTCGGTGGTGTCCGGGAGCCGGCATGCGCTACAAGAAGACGGAGATCTGCCAGACATGTGCCAAGATTAAAAACGTATGTCAAACCTGTGTTCTGGACCTCGAGTTTGGTTTGTTGGCCAGTTCCTTTCCTTTATTCTTTGAAATGCAGTCGCAGCACCGTCAGCATCGTGCGTGGTGGAAGGGCAGCGCACCGACGTACCCTCGCAGCAGAGCCGGCTGCAATCACTCGCACTCGCCTTGGCCGAGCCACACCATCGGGGCAGCATCGCTGTGTGCCTGGAGCATCTCAAAAGAGCGGCTCTGCCAAGCGCTTGTCCGCTAACGCCCGCTGCGTCGGGACGGTTTAGGCTTGCCAACGCAGGTTCGAGACTCCATCATGGATGTCGAAGACAATATCCCGCGCTCGGACGTCAACCGCGAGTTTTTCGTCCAGTCTGTGGAGGACAAGGTACGGACTAGACGGGATATTGAAACTTGGAGACTGTCGGCACATGGGCGGTGCTGCAAGGAATGAGTGGCGAGGAGCGTGCGCCGACTCATGACCGAGTGTCGATTCGGACGTGGCCCCGGGCGATGCTCGGCAATTCTCGGCAATTCTCGGCGATGTTGGTCAGAGCAAGCCTTCTCCTTCGAGTATCACGGCATCCTTCGCTGACTGTCCGCGCCTTTCCAGCTCGGCAACAGCTCCCTGGTGGACTATGGCAAGGCCAATTCGGCGGCCAGAGAAACCCTCAAGAAGATGGCCCGGACCGATCCTTACTACAAGCGCAATCGCGCACACATCTGCTCGTTCTTTGTGAAGGGCAAGTGCACAAGAGGCGACGAGTGTCCTTATCGGTGGGTACTGTCGCCACTACCTTTCCTCACGCCCCACTACCCTCTCCCCGAAAGCGCCGGGTGCTTGGCCGTCGCAACATCTGTTCGTACCTGACCATATCGGTGAATTGGGCTCGGTCCACCATCAGCCACGAGATGCCTGTCGAGAATGAGCTCTCCCACCAAAACATCAAGGATCGATACTATGGACAGAATGATCCTGTTGCAAAGAAAATATGTATGTGGCCGCGCAAGTTGATCCGTCAGAGCGCAACATCTGAATGACCGAGTCAGCCGTGCGGGAAACCGAGATACTCGGATGAAGGCGGCATCGTCACTGGCTGCGTGGCCCTCTCCCATCGCTCTCGCGAGTTTTAACGCATTGATTCATTCCCATCGCTCGGCGACCACATGGATATCAACCACCAGTAAATCGCACCGACAAAGGCGCCAAGCTGCGGCCTCCAGAAGATCCCACCATCACCAATCTGTACTTGACAGGGATTACAGAGGACATCACCGACACTGATTTGCGGTAGGTGTTATCACGCGCCTGAGAAACAAAACCATGCTTTTGGAATTGTCGCTCCCATGGCACAAAATATCGCTGACATTGTGCATGCGTGCAGAAACCACTTTTATGCCTTTGGCGAGATCAAGTCGGTCGTCGTGGTCAAGAAATCAAAGTGCGCCTTTGTCAACTACGCTACTCGCGCATCGGCGGAACTGGCCATCGACCGATCCTACAACAATCTCTCGATCAAGGGACACACTATTCGAGTGCAGTGGGGGCGTCCCAAGGCGCATGCGCCCCAGTCAGAGGCTCGGGGTGAGGCAGCGCAGCCCCAAATGACCGTCGATCAGCTCCTGGACATGGGAGGACCGCCCCCGCCTCCTGGCCAGGGATCTGGAAGCTACAAGTACCCATCGGCCGATCCCTCGTTGCTGGGAACGTCGACTCGAACCTTCCGTGCCTGAGAGGAACCCGCATGATCGACGCGGCAGCAGCGACTCTGTCAAAGTGGGGGGAGTGAGAGGTTTTATTGGGGCATTCTGCTTTCGGGTGCTGCATGTCGCTCTTTCTGGATGTGAATACACACTCGTCCATCGCTCATAACGACTAAGCGGCGCATCCAAGGATAAGCACTGTGGTTGACTTTGGGGATATCTCGTGGAAGCAATCGGGGCGATACTTTGGGCAGTTTTACCGACGCCAGGGATTCGCAAGGCGCGAACTACAGCGAGCAGCTATTCAAGACCCACATGGAGGCCGAGCGACTGGGAAATTATGAAACAACCCCGGGACGGACTGCGTGCGCGGTCTACGAATAAACATGTATCTGGGGCTGGCGATGCATGGTGCCCATCAGTCGGGGGCCCTCGGTGTCTCGTTGTCCCTGCTGCCCGGGCCATGCAGTCGCTGCCCATTCCCATGGAAGCGGAGCTGTTCCCCAGCCCACCCCCTGCCCGACGCTGATCCCCTTTTATTGGCCCGCCCAAACCCTGCTGGGCGGGCCATCGCAGCATTTCCGCCAGATCTCGCTGTCTCTGTCCAAGCACTCCAGCAGCGATCCAGTCTCCTTCGCTTCGCCGTGCTCTTGACTGCACCCGATACACCACCATCGATCCTCGGCAGCAGGACCAGCAATGTCGGTTTTCCGCAAATTCCGATCTTTGAAGCGATATGCGCCCTTGGCTGTCCTGGTTGTGCTTGGGCTTCTCCTCTGCTGGCCAACCGAGCCAACCGAGTCGCCCAGCGATATCGTTCTGGTTATCCCGGCCCCAACAGCAAACAACACTCAGTTCACCAACCAGCTCTATGAGCTGATCGACGCCACCCACAACAAAATCAAGACCACCGGCCCGTATCCATACGATATCTATGCCGAGCATGGCCAGATGCCTGAGCGGCCCTGTCTCCGTCCCAATCCGACTCTTCCTCGCGAGGACGAGGACGGAGGACCTCTTGACCAGGACGCAGCCAAGAAGCCCTGCGTGATCGACCGATCCAAGTACCACATCCGAGTCGATGGACCCATCGGCCAGCCCGTGTCCTTTGGCATCGTGGCATCCAACATTGCCATTGAACTGAACCGGCTTGGCTATGTAAGCATGTCGGCGCAGATCCGATATGATCCGATATGATCCGATATGATCCGATATGAGCTGATATGATCTGATATGAGCTGATATGAGTTGATATGAGCTGATATGAGCTGATATGATGCACAAGCTGCCGGTCTTCTTGGGATACGCGGATATACTCTGGTGCTAGTGTTTCTTGTCGTCACTTGGAAGGAGGGCCGGAGCCCAGCAGGTTGTTAGGCACGAAGGAACCCGGACTGACCTTTGTCGATCGCCTCCCCTCACCACTTCTCCAGAAAATGTCCATGAATATTTGGGACTCTGGAAAGGCCATCCTCACCCCCGAGCTGATCCGGGTCAAGAGGAAGCAGGCTTGGCTCTGGCCCCCAACGACAAACGCACTCGACATCCGCATCAGCCACGTCAATAGCTTCCAGGTGCATCCCTCGACGCACTATTTCGGGCTGACGGCCTCCGAGATCCCGATGGGGCCCAACACCAAACTGGGCCCGCATCTGATCAAGTACATCGAGGCAGCGATTCAGGCCAAGGACCGGGTTCAGAAGCTCTTTGTGCCCTCGCATTTCGTCCGGGAACTGATGGCGCCCTCGGTCAACGATGCGCTGCAGTGGGTGAATCTCTTCCCGCACGGCTTCGACGAGCGCGTGTTCACATTTCAACCTCGGCTCGACAGAATCGATTCCAGCAAGTTCCAGTTCGTCTGGGTTTCTGTCTGGGGTGGACGCAAGAACACCCGGACGGCACTCGAGGCTTTTGTTCGAGCGTTTCCGGACGGGCTGGCCACATTGCCGTCTGGCGAGCAGATCCAGGTAGAGCTCAAGCTCGTCTGTGGCAGCCCCGTCACCATCCATCCATGGGAGCGCGAGTACTGGAATAGCAAGCCCGGCATCGTCATTGTCGAGCCGTCTGCGACACGATCGCCTGCCGACATTGCCCACTATTACCATGAGGCCGACTGCTTCGTGTTCCCGACACTTGCAGAGGGGTTCGGCCTGACGGTACTGGAGGCAATGGCGACCGGACTGCCGGTAATTGTGCCGGACTATTCCGGCATCAGGGACTTTTGCGACCGCCAGACGTGCGTCATGATCCCGCCAACCCGGATGATCAACCTGACCCTTGAAAATGACTCAGGTGAGCCCCGTGTCCACGCAACGAACGGTGGCATAGCGAGTGGGCAGGAGGTAGCGTTGAGGCTTGTTGGAGAGAGGGATAGATCCAGCGCTGATGCGGCAAAGCTTGCAGTGCATCTGATTTGACCATGCGGCTGACAAGGAACGTATCTTGCCAGGCTGTGGCGCCGATATCGACCCGCGGGTGCTGGAGCCCGTTCTGCAGATGGTGGTGCTCAATCGCCGAGCATCCGTAGTGATGGGAAGTCTGGCCGCCAACAAAGCACATCGAGACTGGACCTGGAAGAGAGTGGTGGAAGACTTTGACCAACGCCATATCTGTCCCTTATTTGCGGGCACAGCATCCTAGATGCGGCGGAGGGACAGTTGAGGCGCAACCTGACGAAGGGCATCAGTGCCTGTGTTTCTGTTCAAGAACTCGAGCCTCGTCGGGATCGAGAAGACCACAGGCTGTGCTTTCCGCACCATAGCCGATATGCAAGCGCAAGGACACACTTCCGGTGCCTCTGCCTTATCGAACCGCTCGTGGGAATCGGTTTCCAGCGTCGTCCGCTCCCCAGTTTCGTGATAAACATACAAATACACAGCATGCAAACGTGTGCGCTGCCAATGGAGTGCGATACTGCGTGATCGCTGTTTGATGATTAACGCTAGCTGCCCGTCCTCTGGCGAGGGAGCGACTGGTTCGAATAATTGACGAAGCCCTCGACGGGTCATCTCGATCCATATCTCGTAACGTGAGTGCTGGGGTCTTGCCAATGCATGGCTACCGACGCAAACCCTATCCATCGGCTGGCCAGAGATCGGCCACGATTCGGAACTCGCCGTTGGGCAGAACAATGTACTTGGGATGGCTGTGCTTGGAGAAAGTCAAAGAGAGGCTGTGCGACGAGGGAGTCCGCCCCACGGGTTGGATTGCATGGGTGGGCTGGAGGCGTGCGGCGTGTGAATCTCACGGGGCTGGCTCAAGGAGACGAATCCGAGGCAGCATCGGCAGCATCGGCAGCATCGACAGCATCGACATCGACATCGACATCAGGCGCAGCTGCGTGGGCTGGTGCTTGTCGACGTGGCCGAAAGCGAGCCCGCCGGCGAGGCCCGTGGAAGGTTTTGCCCACGGTCGCCCAGGCAGCGAATTCCTTGGCGCTGTCCAAGAATAGGACCGGCGCGACATCCAGCCCAGCCCAGCCCAGCCCGACCGACGAGGACATCAAGGACGGCCACGTAAGCTGCATTTGCATCAGCGAGTGACCGCATCTTGGGCAGGGAGCATCGTGCTCAGAGGCCACCCTCGCAGGCGAAATCCTTGGCACAACGGCCTTGGCCATGGCCCGGAAGACTCGGCTCTCGGTGGGTCCGGCGCGGCGTGATGCGACGCGCTGCGCACTCAGTCCAACGGCTGTGGATGTCACGAGCGCGTCTGCGGCACTGTGGCTGACCGGCCTGCTTGCCTTGTTTCTGGGCGATAAAACGAAGGCCGACCTTGCCCCTTCGTCGCTCGGCCCACCAACCAGTCCATCAACCAGTCCATCAACCGGTCCATCAACCAGTCCACCAACCGGTTCATCATCGACGCAGCCCATCGACGCAGCAGTCGGGCGCTCCACCAACCCAGCACCGATTCAGTTGCATTTGCCCCGCTCGCCATGTCGCAGCCCCAGTCCAAGGGCACCAAGGCCGCCATGGGATACCATCCCACCACCATCGGCACCCGCTCGCCCAACCCTCTCGGCTTCCTGTTCCTGTCGTGGCTGCTGCCGCTGCTGCGGCTCGGAGCCTCGCGCCCGCTCGTCTTCGAGGACCTCTATTCCATGAAGCCCAAGAGCCGGGCCTCGTCGCTGAGCCAAGCCCTCGAGGCCTCTCTGCGGGCTGCCCCTGGTGCCGCGGATGCATCGCAGCCTCCCTCCAAGACGGCCTACTCCCGTGCCTTCATGAAGTCGTTCCTGCCCCGATGGTGAATGCCACTGCCTCGCATGCTCTTGTTCCGGGGGGGATTGCTGAATGCCGGCTGCCACTCACTCATCCACTCGGCCATTCATGCATCCACTTACCCTTGTCTGTTCCCTATCCTTCCCCTCGTTCCGGTTCCGGTCGCTTGACATCCAAGGTTCCTGGGCTTTGCCTTCTCGGCAACCGGCATGCTCGCCACAGTCGCCATCCCGCTCCTCATGCGCCAGATCGTCCTCAATCTCTCGGGACAGCCCACCTTTGTCCAGAACCCGTACGGACTGGCCTTCCTCATGTTCGGATGCACGCTCGCTGCCGCAGTCTGCGCCGCTACCAGCACCCAGATCATGACGGGCATCGCCATCGATGTCCGCACCAGCCTCATTGGCTTGATCTACCAGAAGGCGCTGCGGCTCTCGGTCAAGGCATCCAAGAAGTTTGATGAGGTGCCATACTCGTCGTTCTCTGGTGTTGTGCATCGGATGATTCGGCCTCGCCACATCCAACTACACCGCATGTACCCCCAACGCATCCATCTGCGTCCTGTCAAGGCTGCTGCCCGATCCTGGTCGCCCACATCGACTGGATTTTATCGGCCTGCCTGCACACAGACTCGTCCACACAGACTCGTCCGCGGCAACTGACTCGCTCGCGCTCATCGGTTTCTCCAGGGTGCCCAACTTGTCTTTGTCAATGTCGACAGCCAGGCCGTATATGACACCATCATTTACTTTGACTCGTGCATCAACACTACGGTCCAGGTAGAGTTGCATCTCACCATGGATGAGGTCCACGGCTGGATGAGGTCCACGGCTGGCTCGCTGGCCGTGCAATCGGGAGCGATGACCATCATGATTGACTCGCCGGCTGATGTGGCGCAATCATGCCCTCCCTCTCTCACCCGACGCAGATTGCCCTGGTGATCTACTTCATATACACCCTGATTGGACACTACATCCTGATTTCCGTCTATGTGATGCTCGGCGCCCTAGTCCTGCTTGCGGCTTGCACCGTCTTTCTGACGCAAAGCCAGAAGAAGATGCTCGCCAACAACGACGACCGCCTCAATCTCATCCGCGAGGTGTTCATGAACATCAAGATGATCAAGCTGCGCGGATGGGAGCTCATCTTCGAGTCCAAGATCGACGTTATCCGGTATGCCCCAGCTCTGACCATTCGTTTCTCTCCACCGTGCCCAGATATGCGCATCGCTGATCCACCTGCGCGTGCTCACTCGATTCCCCTCCCATCGATCAGCGAGAAGATGATGCGAGGTGTCGCAGGATACTTGATCAGTATTTTGTTTCTGATCGCTGTTATTATTGTAAGCCAAGGCGTGCTGGGTTGGGTCAAACAAGAGCTTTCGACTGTCTCCGGCTGGCAGTCACAGAGCCATTCACCCCAGATATCGCTGGCTGCGGTGTGGTAATGTCCCAGTCCCATTCAAGGTGCTGCACGTCTCTAACCAGCTCACTCGTTCGCCCTTTACAGTCCGTTCCCCTTTTGCTTCCCACGGTTACTTTCGCCATATATTCGGTGCGTATCATATCTGTGGTATTCAGAGATTCCTAGGTCTGTCTAGCCTGAGCCACTCACAATCACCTGTTTCATTTCAGATGAGTGGCAATCCTATGCGCCCAGAAGTTGTGTTTCCCGCTATGACGTACTTTATAATGCTTATTGAGCCTTTGAATACCCTCCCGTTCAGCTATGGGTATGTCGCTGCAATCGTGCGTCGCAACTCTGTTCTTGCATGATATGTTCTCCGCGTCATCGATGCGGACTTCATTTTGGATTGTGCTGGCCATGCCGACTTGGATCCGCAATCGATCCACCTGCGTCGCTCTGATGCTGCTTCTCCGACGATCAGTAAATTTGCCCAGGGCCTTGTCTCCTGGAATCGACTCGTGGCTTTCTTCAATGCCGAGGAGTCGTCTGGTGACTCGGCTCCGCTGCTGGCTGCCGATGTTTCCACGAACATATCCGCGGCCATCGCACTCAAGGACTGCACCTTCCGTTGGGAGACCAGCGAAGAACCCAGCACGAAGGACGACGCAAAGAAGAGTTTTGGGTTCAAGAAGAGCAAGCGCGACCCCAAAGAAGAGCTTGTGCATGACAGCAGCCTTGATTCTCCGTCGACCCAGGGGGCTGATGATGCACCCGCGACTAAGACTGCGTTCTCGTTCGAGGGCCTTGACGTTGAAATCGCCCGTGGATCTCTGACCGCTATCGTTGGCCGCGTTGGCTCAGGCAAGTCGTCCCTCCTGACGGCTGTCTCTGGACAGATGACCAAGGTCCAGGGCACCGTCCATGTCAACGGCAAGCTCGCCTACTGCAGCCAGCAGCCCTGGATCCAGGCCGCCAGCATCCGCGCCAACATCCAGTTTGTGTCTCCCGAGTACGACGAGAAGCGCATGGCCGAGGTCATCACCGCATGTGGCCTCGAAGCCGACATGGCCCAGCTCGCCGGCGGCATCGACACCCAGATCGGCGAAAAGGGCATCAATCTCTCTGGTGGCCAGAATGCCCGAGTTGCCCTGGCCCGTGCCGTGTACAGCGACGCCGACATCTACCTGCTCGACGATCCCCTCGGTAAGTCGCCACACGATGCCAGTGGATTGGCCAAGCTCATGCTGCTGTCCGTGCTGCTCATGTGGTTGTTCGCATCGCTGCCCATGTGGCTCGATGGCGTCCACCCACTCTTGCATCGACACCATCCTGCGCACTATCGCCATGGTTCCTGCCCACCCCCCACACACGCACTCATCATCACTGTTCATCGACCCGATGTCTCTCTCCGCATCGATACCGATCCGTCCAGCCGCACTCGACTCCCATGTCGGCAAACATGTGTTTGACAAGTGCATCGGCCCCAAGGGCATGCTCTCCAGCAAGACACGAGTGCTCGTCACCCACCAGCTCCACGTTCTGCCCTCGGTCGATCGCATCATCGTCTTTGACAATGGCCGCATCGTCGAGTCTGGAAGCTACTCGGAGCTCCTTGCCAAGCCCGAGGGACACCTCAAAGAGATGGTCCAAGACCACAAGGTGTGCATCTGCATCCGGGCTTTGTGATCTTGCTGTGGGTGATGGCGAGGCAACAGGTCCCGATGATGATGTTTGGCATGTACGACAGACTACCGCCCGTTGCTGACGATTGTCTATGCTGCTTGACGATTGTCTCTGCTGCTCAGTTTGACTCTGACGACGAGCAGGAGCAAGAAGATACCAAGGCCGCTCAGTCAAAGGAGACGAAGGAGAAGACAGAGGCTGGAGAGGCCAAGGATCTGATCGAGGAGGAGGAGATTGAAATTGGCGAAGTTCAAAGAAAGACCTATGTAAGTTGACTGGATCAGCAAATACTTTGAACGCATCGATCTGCTCACAGCCAATGACTCTCTCTGGCACGCCCAGGTGGACTACTTCAAATACTCGGGTGGATACTGGACAATCTCCGCCATGGCGTTTTTCCTGCTCGTGTTCATGGGCTTCAGTGTCGCGTGTCAACTGTTCCTCAAGTAAGGGCATTCGATTTCGTCAGTCGCACCGTAATCAATGCCCTCTGAGTATGCTGACATGTGACTCTGTTCAACAGCTATTGGACGACCGACTCACTGGGCTACTCACAAGACACCTACCGCCTCATGTACATCATTCTCTCGGTTGTGGAAACTGTCGGGCTGAGTAAGCAGTCGTTGTTGCAGCATTGGATTTGGTTTGTTGTTGCGGATGGCTAACAGACGACGTTTTCTCATTCCTCATTCTTCTTGCTCCGAATAGTCATTTACTGCTTTGCTGGTGGCTTCAAGTAGGTTTGGCTTGTACAGGAGATGCTCCGGGGAATGATTCGGCGGCGCCGGCGGCAACGTGACTGACATCTCGCCCACAGCTCCATCGTTGGATCGCGCAAGATCCACAAGCTGGTCATCAAGAAGCTGCTGAACTCTCCGATGCACTTTTTCGAGACCCAGGTGCGTTTGACACTGCCCACTGGATCCCTGTGAGACCTGGCAAGTGCTTTGCGATCCCCGAGCCGACCCATGGTCTCACCCTCCACTTCATCCCATCGCTCAGCCGCTCGGCAGAATCCTCAACAGACTCAGCAAGGACATTGAGATGCTCGATCAATGTATGTGACCCTGGACTTGCACGCTCTGCAACGAATGATTGGATTCGCCAACGATCAGCATCAACGATGAAGTTCTTACACAGCACATATTGCAATCACGCAGATCTCTGGAATATTGTACAGAATGTCTTCCTCGTGGCGGTTCTTGTGTTGAACGACTTCATCATTACCGCCTATGCCACCCCATGGATCATCAGTAAGCATCTCGCGATGTATTGCATCTGTGCTCGAGTGGTCTGCCCATACGCTCTAACTCCGCACTTGTTGATTCCGTGCTCCAGTCGAGCTTGTGATCCTGTCCGTTGCTGTCTACTACATCTTCAAGTTCTACCGGTACGACTCGCGCGTCTCGAATAGCTGTGGCAGAGTGATATCAGTGCGGTGCTAATCCTGGCTTCTCCCCGGCCAACAGTGCATCGGTCCGCCAGCTCAAGCGCCTCGATTCCAACATGGTGAGTGGCACCACATCACCACGCATGTTTGGCGCTGTTCTGTGGTGTCGTTCATAGCCCACTCGACTCGCTGCATTCGTGATTCTGGCTACATACGCTGTGGCAACTCACACACTACTCGCCTATGCCACTCATCTCTCGCCAATACGTCATGCTGTCCGCCAATCCTCCATGTCTCGGCTTGCTTGCAACAGAGGAGCCCGCTCTATGCGTTCATCTCCGAGTCCTTCAGCGGCGTCTCGGTCATCCGTGCCTTCCATGTATGTGTCCATGCCGAAATGCGTCGCCCGCTCTGCCTGTCATGGATCGTGCTTGTCATGGATCGTGTTTGTCATGGATCCTGCTTGGCTTGTATCGCGTCCATCCCAAGACCATGCCAAGCACAGCCCAGTGCTGACTCTCTTTGCCTTTGTCGCAGGCCCAAGAGACCTTCATCGAGCGACAGCACCGCTTGATCGACGACTCGAATGCACCATTCTATCTCAACCAGCTGTGCGCCATCTGGCTCCGTGTGTGGATTGCGGTGAGCATGGTGCACTCTGGGTCGCGTGTGTTTGGCGCAGGTCCATCGATAGATCGATCCATTGTACTCCGGCAACTGACGCCTGTTTCATCCCACGCCAGTCATCCATGTCTTTGATCACGCTCGGTACCATCCTCCTTGCTATCGGAACCAAAGTTCCTCCTTCGACCGTGGCTCTCGCCTTGTCGTGTGCTGTGGATATTCCCAACCAACTTATTGTGAGTATTCGAGTTTGACGATGTCCTGTGCCTGCTACTGAGGCCGCTTCCCACATTGCTGTACTATGCAAGCGTCCCTCCTTTCTCCATACTGCGACGCCGTCCCGCCTCGCGTCGCTGCGCAAATCGCTGCTTGGGTGCGTTTGCGTTTGAAACGAGTTTGACTGGATCCATCTTGGTCGACTTGCCAGAACTTTGGCCAGACTTTCAGTCTGTTTGAACAAGGCATGAACACCATCGAGCGCCTGGTCCACTACATCGAGAACATTGACGGCGAGGCACCAAGAAAGTGTGAGGCCGTCGATCCCCCGTCCGAGTGGCCCAGCAAGGGCGAGATCCAGATCAAGGACCTTGCCGTGGCCTACCCGAGCCATCCCGATCGGCTTGTTCTGAAGAACCTGAGCCTCGAGATCAAGGCAGGCGAGAAGATTGGCGTCGTTGGACGCACCGGCAGTGGCAAGAGCACCCTGCTGACGGTCCTGTTCCGTCTGCTGGATCCCGTCGGCGGCGAGATCACCATCGATGGATTCAGTACGTCCCTGCACCATACCGATATGCAGTTGCGCATCTCCCGCAACTGTCCAGCTCTCGTTGCGCGTTAGAGAGCAATCTGCACACTGCAGATCGCCTCTGGTCATCCTCTGCATATGGAGACTCACCTTGCACTCGAGGCTGTGCTTTGGTGCGCAATCGTCGCTCGCGCCACACCAGCCGATCGGGAATGCAAAATACTCACTGCCATCCTTGCCATCCAGAAACGGGCAACATTGGCCTGCACACGCTCCGCCAGCGCCTCCAGATCATTCCGCAAGAGCCCATCCTGTTCTCGGGCACCATCCGCTCCAACATCGACATCGAGGGCAAGTTTGACGATGCCGAGATCTGGGAGTCGATTGGGGTATGTGACACTTCTGAGCGCGGTGCTGGTGCCGTGCTGCATGGCCATCCTGCAGGACTGATTGTGTCGGAGCAACTCGTACTCACCCAGCGATGCGACCGCCACCGTGGCTGTTGCCTTTAGTTTGTCGGCTTGACCGACTACATCTCCAGTCTGCCCGAGAAGCTCGACTCTGCCGTCACGACGGGTGGCCAGGTGGGTGTGCTTGATGAGCGCTGGGAACGCAACGCTGGTCCGGGAGTCGATAGGATGTGGACTGCACAAAGCGGGCAGGAGAAGCGGCCGCCTCCGCCCGTTGGACCATGAGCAGTTGCCTTCTCACGCTCACCGCATATATGGCTCGTGCTGGGGAAGTATGTCTGCTCTCTGACCAATCATACTGACTGATTCTCACCTCGTCACGACAGAACCTCTCCGTGGGCCAGAGACAGCTGCTCTGTCTGGCCCGTGCCATCATCTGCAAGCCCAAGATCCTGGTCATGGACGAAGCCTCGAGTGCCGTCGACGCCATGGCAGACACCCTGATCCAGAAGGCCATCAAGAGCAACTTTGCCGATTCGACCGTGATCAGCATCGCGCACCGACGTAAGTACAGGCACACTTGCTCATCGAGACAAGGCAGGGTCGCAAGCGACAGGGGCTTGCCGTTGCGACCGAGGGATGGTCGGAATCGATGGACAGCTGCTGACGCCTCGCTGGTTTACTCGCATGCATCCCCGCGGACTCGGAGCAGTGAATACCATCGCCGACTTTGACCGCATCATTGTGCTCGATGCGGGCAACATTGCCGAGATGGGCACGCCGCACGAACTACTCGCCAAGGAAGGCGGTCTGTTTGCCGAGATGGCCAATGCAACGGGTCCGTCGAACGTGCTCAGGCTCCAGGAAGTCGCTGCCCAGCACTCGCACTCGACCCTGAACGAGCTGTGATGGCGGCGCAAATGTCGCTGTCCGGGCGTGCTGGGATAGCTCGGCGACAGAAACCAGTGCTGCATTCTCCGTTCCACATCGCCGTCGCCAGCAGCATCATCCTGTGCATGCTGGTAATATGAAGATCGATTCCACAGCTGCGTCGATCACCTTTGAACAAGGCTACACTCGCTCTGAGTGTGCCGATACTCACAATCAGCCTTTCTTGAGGTCAATATCTGTTGTGTTTTCTCGATTCTAAATACATGACAACATACATCGCCGCACATGAGTGCTGCCGATGTGTGATATAATTCCAATTGCTCGTGTCCCATTGAGCAAGAGACGACATACTCCAGTGTATCGAGTATGTCCGATTACCACCGTCAATGATCGGTCTGTATTGCTTTAGCGAACGTCAGCGCTGCCTGCTGGCCATATCAATGGCGTTATCAATACTGGTTGGTATCCAACGGCTGTGGCTGGTCAAATCACCACCCTCGTGCACGAACACAACACCGTCATCAATGAACAAAATGAGCCGCCGTGGGGCTGACTCTGGTCCAAGCGAAAAGAGAGCCTTGCCGCTTTCGTGCTTGCGGTGGAGGGGCAGGAAAACCAAGTCGTTTTCGGCTGCACGCTTCTCGGCGTACTCTTTGAAGGAGATGTCCGGTGCGCTGCGTTGCCGCCGGGCAGCGGCTGTGTCGACTGGCGGAATAGGCTGGGGCTCTTCGCCGAGGACCCGCTGCAAGTGCGCATCGACCGCCTTCCACGACAGGCTGCCATCGAGTTGGTCACTGATCAGCTCCAGAGCGAGCTTGAATGAATCCTCGATGCCCGAGTGTCGCAGCAGCGTCGACGGGAACGATCCTTTCCAGGCAAAATACCACTGCTGTACTTGCTCGAGATCGCAGGTGCTATGGCCGAGCCAACGATACAGTGCCTCAAGCCATTTGGGAAAGAACTCGGTCTCAAATGCGCGGGCCATCAGAGCATCCGGAATGGTGCCATGCCATGCAACAACCCACGCAAACGGCTCCATGTTCTGGTGCTCAGACGGCGTCACCAACAGCTCGTTGCGGAGTGTGTGAATCAGTTTGGGCAGCACCGCCCGGACCAGCATACTGTCGATCTCGGCATCCGGAAGAACACCCCTCCAGGGCTTGATGTTGGCAATCCCTTGAGGATCGGACGGATGCCAGCCGTTGGAGTTAATTCCAAAGCTCTTTTCCAGTCTCCGGCGAATCGGCGTGAGAAGCGGCTGAAGCTGATCTCCGAGCAGGGGCAGCCACGGATGGATCCACCAATGCATCGATGGTTTCGTGGGGCTCCAGTCATCAATGGCCGACGAGAGCTTGGGCATCAAGAGTTGGTCGACAATGTTGTCCATGAGCCAGCGGGGGATCGTAGTTGCACTCGCACCATTGTCGGACTCGGAGGCCGATTGATCGTAATGCCCAGTGCACCACGCGCTTAGGAGCTGGACCAAAGGCTCGGGCTCGTACACATCCCACGAGTTGCTGTGGGAGAATAGGCATGGAGAAGAACTGGGTTAGCGGCAGGCTTGGTCGACTGCATCATGAACCCGATCCGGGCATTAACCGACAAGCAGCAGGCGGGGCCAAGCTCTGTCATAGCGCACTCATCACAGCACCGATGCCGTCATCGTTCAGGTGAGCTGTTGCCAGTACTGCTTACTTGATTGCCGAGCGGATCTTTGGCAGCCAGATGTGGTAAAGGAGGCTCTCGTATGGCGTCATTTTGGCGTTGCCGCTGTCTGCGCTATCTTGAATGAACCTGGTTGCTGCCCCAAAGTGATCGATCTCATCGGCCTCCAGATGCCTCGACTTTGGTTGTGACTGTGGCGGTGTTGACGACGAAGTCGTGTGGAGCAGTTGCTTCCACTGCTTGAAATGATGTACGAAGGTCGAGGGCGATTCGAGCGGACTCCACATCCTGGTCATGGCTTGTATGATCGGCGAGATCGACGCAACGACCAATTCGTCGAGATTGTAGGCTTTGTACTCCTCGTAGTATTGGCTTGATAATGTCTCGAATATCGGGCTGAAAAGCTTGAGCGGGTCTGCGTCAGAGCCCTCGCGCACGAGGACAAGCGCCTGCCGCGAAAGAGCCTGGCAGTCCTGCGCTAGTTTCGAGACTTCCTCCAGCCTCTTGATCTTGCTGCCTTCGGCAGCAACTACAGATTTGAGCCGGGCTTCCTTGGTTTGCAGCTGATCACGGGCGTCTTTCACAAGCTTCAGTTGCTTGCTGAGCTGCATGAGCTGGTCTTGGGACAGGTCCACTAGTAGCCGCATGTTGTACCGCAGCTCGGGTATCCGCTCGGTGGCCGCAACCGAAGGCACACTCGTCGATTTGATCTGAGATGCGTCCACGATCACACGAGCTTCGGGCCCACGCATATCGATGATCTTGGTAACGGCGGGGGCGGCGGCCGGTCGGCTGGGAGCGTTGTCGCCTGGACTGCCGTCTTGCTCTAGGAGGATCTCGTGGGCGGTTTTGTACTGCGCTTTGGCCCGACGGGAGCCTCGCTTCCACCCATCATGCGACCGCGATACTGCGTCTTTATCGTCTCTTGTGGCTTTGGCTGAGTCGTCGTCCTGGGCCTCGTCCGACTGCTGTTTCGAGCGTTTCTCAGCCTTCATTGTCTCTGTCTGGAAGTCCACTCGGCCCAGACCAGCGCCCTTGGGCAGAACCTTGACGTCGATGGGCTTAGCGATGCCCTCGCTGTTCATGCCCAGTCCCTGGCCGACTTTGTAGCCTTGCTTCGAGAGCAGCTTGAATCCAATGCCGTATGCAGATTCCAGCTTCTTGATGTCTTGGCGCGATGCTTGCGGAGCGGAGCTTGGAGCCGGCTGTTTAGACTGAGTGGGCGCTTTGGGGGGCTTGCGAGTCGATCCGAACTCGATGTTTTGCATGTTGCGCATTGCATCGGACATCGAATCTAGATTGGACGCTGCTGGGGCAGAGGCCGAGCTGCGGCCAAAGCCCAGACCGCTGGAGTGGAACGACATGGATGGTCGGCTCTCCTCCTCCTCCTCGCTCTCCTCGTCCTTGTTCCAGACCATGGGCCGCCGGCGACCGGTATCGCTGTCGCCGTCATCCTCATCATCAGAGTCGCCATGGCCATCGTCATGGCCATCATCGTGCTCGCTGTTGCTGGGGCTGATACTCTCGTTGCCATGCGGCGGTCGACGAGCCCGCCGGCGGATCCGGGAACCTCCAACGTCATTATCCGAGCCGGAATCAGACCCGCTGTCTGTCGACCGAGTGTCGGGCTGATCGAGTTCCATGTCATCTTTGCCACGGCGAGCGTCCGAAGGGGGGGCAGACCGCCCAATGGAGGGACCGGGGGGCTGCGTTGTTGACTTTGAGGCTACAAACTGCACGGGCTCGTTCTTGCGTCCTCTCCGCGGCTTCCAGCTGCGATCTTCGTCGCTTTCATAGCCAAAAACACCGTATATCATTTCATCCTTGGACGCATGACGTCTTGCTCGCGATGCAGGATCTAGAGACAGCGACACAGCAACAAACGGGCCAAGAAATATGTCAGAAGAATCAGCGGAGAGATCGAAATCAGCGTGTCGAGTAGAGCGGACTGCCTGCCTCGGAAAAGCTGCTCCTCATCGATGTGATCTTGATCAAGGCCATCAGCACCGTCGTCGTCAAAGTCTTGCTCCGATGCCGACGAGTCGAACTCGTCGTCTCCAAAGGTCTTTTTTCGCTTGCCCATGATGAGCCGAATGCGGTGCTTGTTCACTGACGGATGTCCTGCTGTTGTGTGCAGCGTTGATCTGCCGGCGCAGGCGATAGAGTGTGCAGATCGATTGCGATGGGCTGGACATGGACGAGGGGTGTGGCTGAGATTTCGGTCATGTGGATGTCACATGCCATGCGCCACAGCCAGTCCAGCACCGACAACCCGAAAGCGGAGTGGCTCATCGCGGCAGAGCTGCACGCTGAAGGGCCTCCAAAACGATCGCGTCCGCAGAGTGTCATCATCTTGCGTGGCACGAACTGACGCCGACGGCACAAGCAACGCGAGAGCGGAGTGTGGCGGGTCGGTTTCAACTGATACTGGTGCCATATGTATTCATGTCAAATAAATGATCGACTGGGGTTCGAGGACAACGAGGTAGGAACGTCAAGTGAACTAATCAGTGGATTCAGGCGGATGCACAAGGACCCATCGACGCACCAGGCCGGCCGCTGCTTGGTGCTTGCAGTGGCTCAATCGCTTCGTGTGATCCGACACGAAGACACGATCTCGGCACTCAGCCCGAGGGTCCGCCCAGCCACGATGGAGCTGGAATTATCATAGACGAGGTAGTAGACACCATATTTGCCCGTGATGGGCACGCTGCCGGAGATGGTCGTGCGCTGTGAATTGGCCTTCATGAATGGCGAGATGATCTCGCGAGCAAATCCTGGAGGGGTGGCCGGCCCAGCTTGTTCTCTGGCGGGGTACTCGACAGAGGGTGGTCCAGCCGAAATGGCTGAGCTCGTGGCCGATCCAGCAGAGATGGCAGAGACGATCGTCTGTTCCTCAAGCGGTCGATTGCTTGTGGGATCGGAGCTTTGCGGATGCCGCAGCTCCGGCTCGAGATCCTCCAGCGAGTGCGTGGCGCTGACAGGCGACGATTCGTGGGAACTGCGCGAGATGGGCCGGGGCGAAGGGTGCCGCGCAGGCGATGTCAAGACTGTCAAGCCCGCAGGATCGCTTGGAGGTGACTGGGCGGTCGTACCATGGCTGGAGCCAGAGCTTGTTGTTGGATGATCCGTCGCACCGACAGCACCGGCAGGGGCAGTTCCAGCGGCGTTGTGGTTGACAACAGCGGCGAGTCGGAGGGCGAGTGATTGCTTGCGAGCTTCCTGTGCCTGCTCGCTGTTTGCGGCGTTCGGAGGAGGTGCCGTCACGGTTGACCTCCGGCTCATCATGGATGTGATGGTTCGTCGCGTGCTCTTCGGGGAAGGTTGTGCAGCAGTGGCAGTGGCAGCAGCGGCGGCGGCGGCGGCAGCAGCAGGGGTGGTGGAAGCAGCGATTGTCGAAGCAGCGGTCGAAGCAACAGCCGAAGCAGCGGTCGAAGCAATAGATGATGTCTCTATCGAGCGGTGGACTGGCTCGGAGCGCTCGGCGTCAACATGGCCGGCAGGCTCGAGTTCAGTGCCGGCGCTGGCACCGGCATCCGATACACCGCCGCGGGACCAGGGCTTGTTGGCAGCGGCGGCAACAACACCGCCAACCATTCCGGCGGCGGCGGCGGCAGCGGCACGGAGCGAGCCCACGCTTGTTTTGTGGGCCACGCCTTTGGACTTGCCACCGCTGTCGGTCTGAGGAATGGCGGCAGACGCTCCCGATGCCGACAGGACCGCTGACAGATCCACGTTTTCAATGGGCAGGCTCTGCTGAGGAATAAAGACGATGCCGAACATGATGTCGTAGCCTCCGGTCGAAAAGTCCCACCGGAGAAGGGTCTGCTGCTCGGTCGTGGTGTCGTGATCGGCACCAAAGGCATCCGACAGGATCGTCTCGGTAGCCATGATCTTCATCTTGAGCTCGAGGTTCTCATCGTAGAGCAGAGGGATGCGACAGACGGACTTTCGGCTTATCAGGTACTCGCTGTAAAGGCTGAAGGAGAACTTGACCTCCGACTTGGGCCGCTTGTAGAGCTTCAGGGGCGAGAGCGAGACGGGGCGAACGATGTACTTGTATCCGAGCGACTTTTGGCCCTTCTTTTGTGCCTGTAAGTTCTCCCAGACAAGATAGAATGTACCCGAGGAAAGCGAACTGATGCAGATGTTACCGCTCGTCGGCCGCGAGTATGCATTCACGGGGCACGCGGGGAGGATGGTGAGGGCCGCTTCCAGGTCATCACCGGCAGCACTTGGGAGGAAGCTCGAGTTCCAAACAGGACGAAGGCTGTCGGGCTCGCCAGCCTCAGCGCTCGGGACAAAGTAGATGCCAAAGGTGATTGGCTGCTCGGTGTCGACCATAAACTGCCAAGCCAATTCAAGCGCCGTGCATTGGTCGTATCGGTTGTGGTCAAAGACGACGGGGATTTTGAAGACCTCCTTGGGCTGAAGCAGCTTCTCGATGGGAGAGTTTCGCTCGTACGAGGTCATTAGAATATCGTCTGTGCTCGATGACGGGCTAAAAATGGCCTCGATGTGGTGCCCATTGCCGTGGGAGTTGTAGCGCGACATGGACCTGTGGTGTAAGGCCACGTCCGGTAACAGCTCGCCGTCGGTCTCATCTTGGGTATCGTCGCAGTCCTGGTATATGGTGCCGACAAGCGGATCGTCATAGTCGTCCGGAGGCTCCTCGTCCACCCTGTCCAAATACGGATCGCTTGAGGCTGAAAAGAACATCTCGTTGCCGTGGTCTTCATTGTGGTCCCCGGCGTCGTCGTCGTGGAGGGCGAGCGGGCTTTCGCGACCATCAATCCCGGGCAGCCGAGGAATGTCCGACGACATGTATCCATCGCTTTCATCCATGCCGCTCTCGGCGCCACTGGCGCGCGAATCGCGCTTGCCGCTGTTGAGCCAGGTGCGACGGGTCTTCAAAATCGTGGTGGCAGTGGCGCTTGCAGCATCGATGAGTGCTTTGATCTTGGTGTCCTTGGCCTTTGCCGATGCGCTCAGGGCAATGCCGTCTGTACTTGCGTCCGTGTCGTGTGTCTCTGGCGCAGCCGCGACCGAGCCGGTGCGAGTCGACGCTGCTGCGTTCGGATCTTTACCGCTCGTGGTGGTGCCGAAGAACTTGCGCCGACGCAGCTCGGTGCCACTGTTGCTGCTGCCGGTGCCCCACACCGCCGAGGCAGCAAAGCTCAGCAGGCTGCTTCCCACGCCCGTCACCAGCGACGAGGTCGACGGCTGGATAGTGCCATCCGGATCGGCATCTCGGCTCTGGCTCTTGACACGGGCTTCGAGCTCCTCGATAAACTTCTTCAGTTTGCGACTTGAGTTGTAGGTAGCCTCGAGGCGATTCAACTCGTTGCTGAACTGGCTGACGACTGTAACTTGGCATACGTTGGGGCCTTGTGGCTCAATGTAGTAGCCATAGATGTGTACATTGTGCAGATTTGAGGGGTCGAAGGACTCGGGTGGCTGCAATGAGCCGGACGGAAGGCTGCCGCTCTCACCCATGGGGACGCTGCTGTTGCCGGGAAGCGATCGGCTTACATCGGGCCCATCCCGAAGACTGCCCAACGACGATGCTCGCAGCGAGGACGATGCAGGAGTGGCCACGGGTATTGGCTGCGACGATGTCAAAGAGACACGGGCATCTTCAAGGGAGGATGTCTGATGCGGCTGGCTGACGGGAAACGCATCTGGCGAGAGGTTGGCATCATGGGACTCGAGGTTGGCCAGGTCGCCTTCGGTCGGTAGGATCGATCGATACACAACCACATAGGAGTCTTGTTCGTGGTTACTGGATGAGGCCGCGTCTGCGGGAGCTGGCTCGTGCGCCATTCCGGGATGGGAGACCGACCCGGCCTTTGAGGAGAGGCGCTGCCGGATCTCCAATGCCACAAAGCCTTTCTTGACCTTGCCGATATTGTAGGTGGTGTAGCGGATGATGTTGATTGGACCTTGGGCAGAGGCAGGAGGATACAAGAGCGAGCGTAAGTATTGATACGGAGAGAGTTACGATCCGAGCCATGGCGGGCAACATTTGCGGCAAATGGGAATGATGGGTCTGCATCCACCGATCTAGACTCACTGATGTGTCGCAGGATCGTTGTTTTATCGTAGCTTTCATCGACGTGGCGCATATGCTCGGGATTGCTCAGTATCTAACAGTCAGCGAGGACGGGCTCAGGGTCAAACAACTTGTCCGGCGGTGACAAAGTGTGGTGGCAAAAGTCCCATAGAATGTGGCGTGCATGCTGGGCCATAATCCGGAAGCAACCAGAGTCGTCTGGGTGGCGAGGACACTTGCAACGAGGACACTTGCAACGAGGACACTTGCGACGAGGACACTTGCGACGGAGATAATTGCGACGAGGATAATCGCAACAGGCAAGACACACGCCGGCCATCGATGGACTCACCGAAAACACACTGGCGGCATCGCACGCAATCCGGAGAAAGACGCGAGTGACCTCGCCGACTTGGCCGTTGACGGCGACACGCTTGCGCTGGATATGAACGCCGCCCCGATTCTTGATGGTCTTCCAAACAATGGGGCCGATGGCGCTGGTCGCGGCAGGGGTGGTTGAGAGATTCGAGGCGTCGACGAAGGCTGCCTTACCATCACCTCGGTCATCCTCGCGGGCGAGCTGGATGAATGGGGGCACAAGCGATTCGTTGTATTCCAACACTTCTTGGGCATCCGCTGGGCTGGGTGAGTCGAGGGCGAAGGCTATGCTGTGCAGGACATCGGGAACAACCCATGGGGTCCACGGCTTGGGATTGCTGCGAAGAAAAGCCGAGCGGTTCTCCCACAGGGTGCCGTTGTTTGGAGTGCGACGGCTGGGGCTGCCCGCACGCTTGAACGAGCGCTCGGACTTGAGCTTGGTCGTCTGGCCTTTTTCTCGAGCAATCTCTTCTTCCAACGAGGGCGCCATCAGCGGCATAAAAAAGATACGCCAAGAGGGAAGCACCCAGAGCTCCAGGAACATCTTGCGGACAATCTTGCCCAGAACCCTGTTGACCATGTCGCGCAGCATCTCGCTCTCGCCAAGGGTGATGGGAGAGTCGACCGTGAAAGCTGCCCCGGGGTCTTCGGCAAAGGTAATGGCGAGCATGTCCGACCATTTTTCCGAAGGACATCGCAGTCGAAGCTTGAGAATGACCAGTCGAACCCGAAGCGATAGAAATGTGGCGTTGGGAAGGATCGAGATGGTGTGCAGTTAGCTCGGAGCTGTCGACACTGTGGATTCCAGCAAGAATGCACGTAGCATTCGCAGCAAGTGCAAAATCGAGCATTGACGAGGAGCAGAGCGGTCCTGGAGCAGCTGAGAAGAATCCCAATCGAATCCGGGCGGATGGGCCGGTGCTCCTTTGATAGCAGCAGCTGGTGTGGTTGTGAGATAGTTACCTTTCCTTCCAAGCTACTGAGTGTAACGCGGACAGGGATAGTGATGCCTCCGACCAGTGTCGCCTGGATGCCAATGGACGCACCGCCAGTGTATTTCATGTCCAGCTCGATGGTCTTTGGACGAAAGTGCGTTGGTTATAGCCCGCATCCATGAACAAATGAGACGAGCATAATTAGCGCGCGAATATAGGCTGCTGGTGAGGAATCAGTACTCCTGCGAGTCAGCTGGCGTCTGGTAGGAGACCCCCACTAAACGGCGATGCCGACATGCCAAAAGATCGCCCAAGACACCACCCGACGACGTCGACTCACAACAGCATGATCTTCGCTGACGCCCTTGATGAGTCGAACTCCAGAGACATCGGGGGCATGGTCTCCGAGAGAAAGCTCACATATGTTGATGTACGACTGAGGAGAGTGGATGCATGGAAGCGGTTGGTGCCGGTGTTGATGACGGATTGATCAATGTTGAGCCGGATACCAGGATATGTCCAGACACAGACGACATAGGTTAGGAATGGGACCATGTCGGCGTCCAAGTACCGGACGAGAATGACACATGGCGGAGGATATAAATGATGCAAAGGTGGAGAAGAGCAGCGTCGATCCATGCAAAATGTACAGAGAGAATGCAACTAATCCGGTCGTGTGATGAATTTGGTGATGGAGGTCGACAGAGCAGACCGACAAGCAGCCATACACATCCGCATGCAGGCAGACGGCGTGGAGTATCGAGTGGCACGAGCAGTCAGCGAGAGCACAACTACGGCTGCTTACGACATAGGTGTTGCCCTTGAGCTTCATGTTCATCTTTTTCATCATTTTTTCCTTCATATTGGTCTTGAAGGCCTCCTCGTTGCGCAGCGCCAGAAAGAAGCGGTGGGCGAGGACATTGGCCCAATGACAGGTCTCTGTTGCAGACGCATACTCGGGCTCGGGAGGCGGCAGATCCTTGGCCGCGGCGGGAGCGGCAGAGGGCCGGGGAGGAATTAAGACATCGTCGTCGGCCGGAGTCAAGGCCTTGGCGAGGAACTCGAGAATGCCGGTCGGATAGTTGTCGGTCGGGATGTCCTTGTGGATTTCGACGCCGCTAATGATGGCGGGAACATACTGGGAGATTCGGGTGCGGGGGTCGAGCAGGAACTTGACGAGCTTGTAGATGATCAGAGCCTCGACCAAGACGACAATGACGATCCCAAAGAAGATGCCACGGGCATAGTAGGAAAGCGCCGTTACGGAATCGAGGGCATATCCGATATCGGCAGAGGACACCATGAGCCTAGAAGACGAGATGGAAGGATATGGGGATATGGGGTTGTATGTGAGGATATGCGGATGTGAGCAGCGCAGACCAGCACAATGAGGCCGGAGACGGAGAGCGATGCAGCGAGAGCGATGCAGCGAGAGCGATGCAGCGAGAGCGATGCAGCGAGAACGATGAGGGCAAAGTCCACAAGCGTCCTCATCTGCATCAAAGACTCGTCGCAGACCAGGGGGCTCTCCGTTTGGCCGAGCGTCCGGGAGACGGTGCTGGGCCGGCGATCATATGACGGCAGACATGGCTGGCCGAGCGACAATACGCAGAAAGACGCACCAAGGGGTTCTGGATGTTGGGCGTCCAGGGGCGGTTGCGACGGGGGCAGAGCGGACTCGGAGACAATCGAGATGGCGGCGGGCTGGGCAAGAGCGCTGGAGGGTGGAGAGAGAGAACGAGGGAGCAGTTCTGGGGAGCCAATCGTGCGACGCCAGCGCCCCAAAAGCCAAAGCCGAACAAGTAACGGCCCTAGCGATGCCTTGGCGATGCTTTGGTGATGCCTTGGCGATGCTTTGGTGATGCCTTGGCGATGCTTTGGCAGCCGGACATGCACATTCCAGCGACCACCCCGCCCCACACACCAGTCCTCGATAGCAACGGCGCCACCATCGCCCACATCGCAGAGTCGCTGATTGCCCCGGATAGGCGCTCCGCAGCGGTACAGCGCGGTGAACAAAAACGGAACGCATCGTCTCATTCGGACAAACACGGCGTAGTCGGATCATATCACACCCGGCCGACAACGGCCAAGTGGGTCAAATCATTTCCCTGTGTGAGAGAGGTGACAGCGCAAAGAGCAATATCGCAGGAGGACCTCGGCGAGGGATATCATGGAGTTCGGGGGCCATCAAAGTCGTCTGATTCACACAACCCACACAACCCACGCAACCCACACAACCCACACAACCCACACAACCCACACAACCCACACAACCCACACAACCCACACAACCCACGCAACCCACACAACCCACGCAAGTCATCCATGTCTGAAAGAATAAGTTCGCTGTCATGTCCAGCGAAGGCGTCGGTCGTGAAGCAGCAACCGCAGAAGCACTGCCCCGCAGCAAGCCAACAGCGACTGTGGCTGCGCCGAGACGCGCGGCGATTGGCTGGCCGCCCCACCCTCGCCACATGACCGACCCAGCCCTTGCCCCAGCCCTTGCCCTCGCTGCAGAATGAATTTCATCAGCGCCTTGCGCAGCCCCTTTTTTTTGCCCCGCTTGCGTTCGTGTGCGGGTCCCGCCATCGCATTCCCGTCAAAGGCCAAAGCGGATCGCCTGCCTTTCGCCAGCGAGTATCAGCTCGATCCCCCCCGAGCAACCGGACCAAGCAACCCATCGTCGAGCGTGCTGAGAACCAGCAGCCTGGAGGTACTCGGATCCTCACCATCACGCCTTCCCCCCGCCGCGCTGCTGTTCCATGGATCCTGCTGCGTTGGCTCGATCTGCCTCCATCATCCGCGCCTGCACATCCCTCCCGTCCTGCACTTGCACTATCGCCAACCGAGCATCGTCTTGGTGTTGATCTGCCTTCGTCCCGTCGTCGCGGCGTCACCGTACTGGATCTCTCTGCTCTATTGCTGATCATCTTCCTCTGATACACACCCGCTTTTACTGGATTCGCTGTTCTGCGACTCAACCCGATCCTGCCAACTCTGCGTCCAACTCGCACATTGTGCTGGCCCGGATCGACATCGGCCTCGATTCGATCTACCGCATCGCGACACGGCTTGCTTTCGGCTACTGATGTGCTTCACGACGTCACCCCGAACGATCACTGGCATGGCAATCCACTCGGTACTCACCACTCTTGGTATCGATGCCGACTTCGCCCACTGTGCCTGTCTCGGCTGGGCCTGTCTCTCGGTGGCGACCTGCTGCAACCGTACGCCCCCCCCGTTGTGGGACTATCTTGCTCTTTACCCAATCCTGGGATCCAGCACCATGTCCACTTTGCACATTCTGTTTGAAACTGCCTCGGGGTATACCCTGTTTGAGCGGCTGGAGGCCGAGGAGATCGGCCAGGAGCTTGAGGAGGTCCAGCAGGCCACCGTCGACTTTGCCAAGTTTGGCAAGATCATCAAGCTCAAGTCCTTTGCGCCCTTCAAGTCGGCTGCCCATGCCCTGGAAAACATGATGGACGTTTCGGAAGGTACACACGACCGATTCTGCTGTTCTTGCTCGATCCACCAAAGCCGGGCCTCGGCTGCCCGTGATGTTTCGCGAGCCGTACTGTTTGCACACCAACGCCTTGTCTCGGTCTGTCTGGCTCGGCTTCCTCATACCTTGGGTACGCCTGAGCGTCTCGCACCTCGGCTGAACTGACGCTGCCGACATTGAACCGATCCTTTGGCAGCCGTTGTCAACCCTCATCTGAAGGCCTTCCTGGAGATGAACCTGCCCAAGGCCGGCAAAAAGGCCAAGGTGCAGCTCGGCGTCTTCGACAAGAGCTTGGCTGGTGCCATCAAGACCGAGCTCGGAGTCGACTGTGTCAGCAACGACGTTGTCCTGGAATTGATCCGTGGCATCCGACTGCACGCTGAAAAGTTCCTCAAGCAACTCAAGGAAGGCGATCTGGGCCGAGCCCAGCTCGGTCTTGGCCATTCGTACTCGCGTGCCAAGGTCAAGTTCAACGTCAACCGTTCCGATAACATGGTTATCCAGGCGATCAGTCTGCTGGACCAGCTTGACAAGGACGTCAACACCTTCTCGATGCGCATCAGGTAAATTTAGTGCTTGACTGCCGCCTGTTGTCTGGGAGCGGGAGCAGCTGGGAAGCTGTCGATGGCAGCCCCCCCCCTCTGTATCATTGAGATTCTCATCGTGGCTGCCATCACAATCATGCAGGGAATGGTATGGATGGCACTTCCCCGAGCTTGTCCGTATCGTCAACGACAACTACATCTACGCCAAGCTGGCCAAGTTTATCCGAAACAAGAGCGACCTCTCCGAGGCTCAGCTGGAGCAGCTCGAGGAAATCTCTGGCGATCCCAGCAAAGCCAAGCAGATTCTGGATGCTGCTCGTGCCTCCATGGGTGAGTTTCGGATTTACCGGGCGTGAACAGCCTCGATTCATTGAAGGCATCGACGACTCTGGATACATGCGTCGTCGTTGCGACCGTCGCCGTGCCACCGTGTCGTCTGCCCAAATGTCGAGCTCCACACCGCCCACACCACGCGTGCTGACACTTCCATCTGATCATCATACTACTACCACCCATCGGCAACTGCGAATGGCTGCGGTCAATAATGTCAATAATGTCAATAATGTCAATCGCGCCGCCATGATGCGATCTTTCCGACGGCGGTGCTCACTTCAACCTGTTCGACGACACGACGATATTTGCTGCCAGGCACGGACATTGCCGAGATCGACATGCTGAACATCGAGAACTTTGCCGACCGAGTCATTGCCCTCACGGACTATCGCAAGCAGCTCCACGGATACCTTGTCAGCAAGATGCATGTGATTGCTCCCAACCTGTCCTCTCTGATCGGAGAAATGGTCGGCGCCCGTCTGATTTCTCACGCCGGCAGCTTGACCAACCTGGCCAAGTACCCTGCGTCGACCGTGCAGATCCTCGGTGCCGAGAAGGCCCTCTTCCGCGCCCTCAAGACCCGTGGCAAGACGCCAAAGTACGGTCTGATCTACCACTCGTCCTTCATTGGCCGCGCCGGCCAGAAGAACAAGGGCCGCATCTCGCGCTTCCTCGCCAACAAGTGCACCATCGCCTCCCGCATCGACTGTTTCCTGGACAAGCAGACCTCCAAGTTCGGTGAGCTGCTGAAGGAGCAGGTCGAGGAGCGACTCAAGTTTTACGAAGAGGGCGTGACTCCCCGAAAGAACGCCGAGGTCATGGCCAAGGCGCTGGCGAACGCCCGGTCCGAGGGTGATATGGATCTCGACGACGACGATGAAGCAGGTTCGTGGTGGGCCATGTGACAATCCTGCTGGTCCCTTCTCCCCTCCCCGCTTGCGTGAACGTACCCCTTGAAGCCTGCGATAGCATCCGATAATAATATTGCGACAACCATTCGTGTTTGGCTGAAACAGAGGAGCCCAAGGCCTCCAAGAAATCTTCCAAGAAGGATGTGGACACTGAAATGGAGGATGCCACTCCCAAGAAAAAGTCCAAGAAGGACAAGAAGAAGGCCGCCGATGAGGACGAGGCCGAGGAGAAGGACAAGAAGAAGAAGAAGAAGAGCAAGGACGCTGCCGAAGAAGACACTGAAGCTGCGGACAAGTCGGAGAAGAAGAAGAAGAAGAAGAAGGATGCTGAGGACGACACCGAGGCGCCGTCAGACAAGAAGGAGAAGAAGAAGAAGAAGAACAAGGAGTAGAGTCATGCCCAGGACTGATGTGCTGTTCTGTTGTATCGACTGTCGCCCTCCTTTCAATGACCTTGGCTCGCCATCTTTCGCATTTTGATATATTGTCCGGTCCGAGAAGCTGCGCGGAGATCGATGAAGAGGAGAGGAAGAGCAGGAGCAAGCCAGGAGATGCCCTCGCAGCAACAATATGTACACGGCGACTTCCCCTTTGTCGCACCATCCGCATCCAAACTCGCACTCTTTCTCGACCCATGCCTCCCCGCCACCGCCTTCTCCATCTTGCATCGTATGTTTCTCAGTTGCAGCCTTCCAAAGAAATATTAAATCCAAAAACAAAATCAAAAGGGAAACTGCGCCATTTCCAACTAGTGGGCGGTCTGCGCCTGTGATTCTGTCTAGCGAACAGAATTCGCAGTATTTCAATGTATTTGCAAAGGCACTGGGAGCGGATGCTCGGATTGCGTCATGGTGGGTGAGAGGAGGGGGTGCGGGGAGAATCGAGCAGCAGAAGGAGCAGAGTCGCTCATTCCTGGACGAAGGCCTGGGCCTCGTCCTTGGAGAGGATCTGGATTTGCGAAACTTTGTTGGTGAACGTCACGCCGTAATACTTGTCTGCGTGGACCAAGAGCTCTGGACGGAAGGTTGTCGTGATGAACTGGGCCTTGCCCGAGAGTTCATGGACCATGTCTGAAACGGCACACCGGGGGCAAGATTCAAAGGACCAGCCAGTCAGTCAGGAGCGCGCCAACAGCCAGGAATGTACCAACAGCATCGGGGAGGGGGATACGTTCCCCCAAGACTGCGATTCATCCCCCGCGACTTACTGGCAACAGCCGTGCGGTATTGCGCATCCAGAGCCGCGTCAATCTCATCAAACAGATAGAAGGGCGCCGGGTCGCACTTCTGGATAGCAAAGATAAGCGCGAGCGCCACCAGCGACTTTTGCCCTCCCGAGAGCTGCGACATTCGGAGGCCCTCGTCCGTTTTCGAGCTGAAGGAGACCTGGATGCCAACACCGACGAATTGGTCGATAGCGCTGGTGCGGGTCTGGGAAGCCCGCTGAGAGAGTCCCTCGGATTCCTCTTCCTCCTCGAGATCCTGGATATCTTCTTCGCTCTGTCGGGTGTGGATTCGCAAAATCAATGGACGGTGCCAACAAGCATAACGGCTCGATGATGCGAGGCGCCGGCCATTTCGAATGCGCACTGCGATGATTCCTGCGGCTGCAGCTAAGCCATATGCACTCAATTGTTTGGCTTACCAGATCCGCTCGTCTGAGCATGATGAGACGGCCACGACCCTGAGGCACGAGCTTCTCCCAAACTTCACCAAAGTACTTGGCCACCTGTTTGAACGTTCTGCTGATGGCTTCGTCCTTTCTCCGGTCGAGGACATCGATCAAATTGTTGATCGACTGCCGTACCGACAAAGAATGGACTGGCGCATTAGTATCGCTGCGACGGTCTCTCGCAGCCGCAGCCGCATCGGTGCAGGCAGCCCGAACGAGCAGTCCAAATGAGCAATATCGCATCGCCAGAGCCACCGAGTTCCATCTGGCACAACTCTTCAACGGGAAGCGCACCTGCGATGACTCATCCAGCTCGTGCTTCCTGTTCTCCAGCACGTCCCGCTGCTTGGTAAAGTTGCTGTACTGCTCAAAAGCCTTCTTGTTGACGTGGCTGTACTTTTTGAGCTCCTCTTTGACTTTGTGCAGGGCCTTGACAAGCTATCGAATCGACACAGGACGCCGTTGGGCAGAGTCTATCAGCCGAGCGACAACTGACTGACGATGCATCCGACAAGCGCAGCGGCAAACACTCTTCATGTTGCGAATCCTTTGACAGTGACCATGCTGTACCTTCTTGGTGTCCATGTCTTCGTACTTTTGTCGACCTTCCGGCAGAACGCCAACCTCACGCAGATTCTTGTCGCACTCATCCTTGCGCTTCATCAGCAGCGCCTTGCGTTGCATATACTTTTCGACGCCGCGATGCTGCTGCTCGATGCCACGATAGTCCTCCATTTGAGAGAGTCTCAGCTTTTCGAGCGCCTGGCTCTCCTCGCGCTGCTTGGACACGATCTGATCAAAGTCCGACTCGACCTCTAATGAATGCAGCGCAAAGAGTCACTGTGAGCGATCGCAGTCTATTCTCACGTCGACACAGCAAATCTGTTTTAGCAACCGAGAGACCTGGTCCGCGCGATCTGACTCACCGTCGCTGCGCTTCTGAATCCTGTTGATTGCCTTGTTGAGAGTCTCGATTTCGGCTGTTCGAACTTGAATCTCGTCTGCACCATCACCAGAGTCGATTGCCTCGAGCTGTGTCTGGATGGCTTCTCTGCGGCGCTTCAGATTCGAATTCAGTGCGATCTCTAACAGGGCCTTGGGTGTCTCGAGCTGCACAAAGCCGAATCGAGTTAGATGCGCATGCAAAATCGGGGTCCTATCCAAACGCCACAGCGTGCTGATGTCAAGCGTTGGCACCTACCTCTGACTTTTGGGCCGAGATGCCGTTGAGCTCAGTACGAGCGTGGTCAAGCTCGATTCCCAGATCGGCCAGCCGGGCCGACTCTGCGTCGGAGAGATTCTGCTGCAGCACTGTCCGAAGCTCGGTTTGATACGCCTCAATTTGCGACTCAAGCGCTCGCATGCCCGAGGCGATACTTTCCTCGGACAGCTCCTGCACAACCATGTGTATGAGTAGTGGATCTGAGTATTGAGCAAAACCGCGCACAAATACAATGATGCAGCGGCTTGAACCATTTGCTTGCGCTTGCTTCGCGCGACACATCAAGCACGCAGAGGTATGCAGTCGACGGCCTACCAGTTCTCGAATGGTTTCCTTTAGAGAAGCCTCATCTCGGATCAGCTTGCTCAGCCTGGCAGTCAAGGGCTCGCGCTTGTCCAATATCTCCTTTCGCTCGGCGTCGCACTGGCCCAACTCGTCACGGATGAGGGTGATCTCTTGATCGACGCGGGCAAGCTCTTGCTTGATAGACTCACTCTTCTTGGCCTCGTCCTCAAGCTCGCGCTTGAGCTGCTTGATGAGCCCGATCGACTCAAGACGAGACTTGCGAACGTCATGATAGCCGCCACGAAGAGCGCCTTTGCGATCGGCTTGGTCGCCATCGAGGGTAACTGCGTTCAGACCATGGCTCTTGGCAAAGCTTGCACCGACTTCGAGGGTCGATGTGATGATGGCCTTTCCAAAGACTTGCAGAAACGCCTTCTCGTAGAGGCGGTCGAATCGCAGCTTGCTGATCATCGGTATGGCGTGGTGAGACACCGGGTACTCGACGGGTTTGGTCTTGAGCCGATTCAGGGGCATGAAGGTGAGGCGACCGACGCGCTCCCTGTTCAGCGCTTCCAGCACGCGGGTCGCGGTCTCGTCCGTGTCGACGACGATATGGAACAGGCTGAGGAGACGAGGCTGTTAGTGCCGGTGCAGATGCACACCCTCCAAGCATGCGCTGCGAGTTCTTCAGAGGCAGACGAATACCTGTTACCAGCAATCACTTCGACGGCTGTGCGGAACTGCTCATCGACATCAAAGAGTTCGTATAGTGGCCCGTAAACACCACTGATCCGGAGCTTGTCGACGACTCGACGAAGGGCCTGAATACCCGCGCTGGTGTTGCGGTCCATCGTTGACATCAACCCCTGCTCGTACTTGGACAGCTCGTCGCGACCGGCTTCGAGCGAGGCACTTGCTAGGTTATCCTTTCGCCACAGTTCCCTGCAAAGCCAAAGATATTCCATCAGATCGCTGCAATTCTCTCAACGCAGCATGCGACGACCTTCCCCCCTCAGTATCAGACGTGACGTGAATGTCGCTTGGGTTTCTGCAAACCCAATCAACTTACTTTCTCGCCTCGTCTTGTTCGCTGCGACGCGAGCGCAGCTTTTGAAATCGCTGCTCGATAACCTCCATCGCTTGCTTGCCGTCGGCCATATCCTTGCGGAGCGATCGAATATCGGCAGAGATTGCTGTGGCTTCGCTCTGCAGCTTGGATCTTTCCTCAGCGGTTCTTGATTTATCTGAGAGCTGGAGGGCTTTTGATTCGTTGAGCGTCTTGAGTTCGGCAGATATCCACCGATCACGCTCAGCCTGTGTTCGGAACTGAGCCTTACGGCCCTGCTTTGCAACGAGGGCACTTCGCTCAAGCTCGAGCCCTTCGAGTCTTATCGAGAAGAGGCGCAAAGTGGACCGGGTTTTCGAAATCACTCAGTGTCATGAGAGGCCAAGACGAGAACAGCACATACACCACAGAGAACCCAAAGGAGCGAGATCATGTATCTACAGCCGACACACACGTACCTTGCTTTGGCATGACGCTCTTCTGCAACGATACTGTCGTATTTGGGGACAATCGCCTCAAGTTCCTGTTCCTTTTCGGCAATTTGTTGCTCAACTTGCTCCAGTTCGTTCAGTAGATGGTGACTTTCGGACTGGTTACTGTTGACAGCATCCTCGAGATCCTTGACGATCAGGTCAACTTGCGCTTTGGCCTTTAGCTGTTCATCCTTTGCTTCCGAAAGCTGCCGCTTCTCCATTGCCAGCAGGTCGATTTGTTGTTGGTAGCCGCGAACGCGTCGTTCGATTTCCTGGACCAGATAGCAATAAACATCAGTCTACATTCAAGGCGTGTGCGGTCGGCAAACCAAACTCAGTCCGGGATACTGCGTATTGGTGTCTCATTTATGCGTGCTTACCGCAATCTCCTTTTCGCGCTCGTTGTATTGGTGCTGACGGCTACTGGCGGACATGGATTCGATAGATCTCGATTTCTCGTTCTGTGGTGCAGAAGCGTCAGACACCTCGCACCTGGATACCCTAAGCAAAGCCACTAGCAGCAAGACCAAGACCCTACCAAAGCAATCTGGTGGTTGATTTCCTCCTGTTCTCGCGAGTAGACGGTATATTCAAGACATCGTCGCTCGCGGTCCAGCTCTTGGTACTGTTTCAATTCCTCGCGTTCCGTTTCGAGCTCAGCCATTCGTGTTTCGATGTCCTGCATGAGGTCATCGATTTTTGCGCGCCGCTGGTCTGTTGGGGATCACAGGGGCAATATATGATGGTCCAAAACACCGGTGAATGTCCCATGGCGTATGTCGAAGAAGATGGAGGTTCAGTGACATGCGCGGCAAGGAAAGTGTCGATGGTATTTGCTGATGGCTCTGCCGCCACCACATCCAAAAAATGGGCTGATACTCGGCGACTGGATGCAACGTACCGGTGTCCTGGATGATTTTCAAGCTTTCTTGTCGCCGCTGCTCATATACTTTGGTTCCAGCTACTTCCTTGAGCAGATTGAGGCGCTCCGAGTCCTTGGCATTGGTAAGGTTTGTAATCTGGACGGGGTCGGGCTATAGGTGTGAGTCGGGTGTCGGATGGATAGAGTCGTGCCGCAGACAGCGGGACGGCCGCCCGGCTCACAGCGCCGACAATAGCATACCCGGCCCTGAGGGACAATGTAGTATGGGTTTGATCGAGAGAATCCGGCACTTTCCAGCAGCTGCATTACATCTTGTTTGCTGTTTGCGCGAGAGAGCATGTCGGGGAGCGAAGAGCGGATGGGGGAGGGTTAGCCGGCGTCCGGTCGTTGGACAGACAGCCAAGATCGAGTCTATGCTCGGAGCTTCCGATGAGTGCGCTCTGGGACTCCTTACGTAACGACTTTTTTGTCGAGATGGTATTCGTCTTTCTTGGCACCGATTGTGCGCCTGAGCACAACGGTGTCTCTTCCCGTCTGGACGAAACCGGTTTGGCAGAGTGAGTCAGCAGCCATCGCGCCGATCCTGCCAAAGCCTAACGTCTGCGCGTGCAAGTGAGAGCGTATTGTCACCCACCGGAAAGCGATTGTCGGCATTGTCAAAGATGATTTCGACGTGGGCGGCCATAACGGCGCTTGTGCCCTCCTGTGGATGTGTCCATAGGGTCATGTCGTTAGACTGATTCGATGCTCGCTCAGCATGACGTCTCGAGTTTGGCCGGGGTCAGCGACAAGCGGGCGATGGGCAGAGCGCATACGTGGAGCAGCGACTGCCGTTCTTCCTTGGTCATGTTGCTGTATGCATCGCTGAGGACAAAGCGGATCGCTAAGGGCGCAACGCAGTAACGTCAGTGGCCGACAATGGTGAAACGAGGATTGGGAGCGGTGGAATCGGGCAGCGTCAACCACTGTCGGGAAAGGATCGAGTCGTGCCAAACAGCACCGCATATGGCATATGGCATATGGCATATGGCGACTTACCCCAGAAGAAATTGCTCTTTCCGGATCCATTGCGCCCGACTGGAGGGAGGTTGGCGAGCCAAAGTCGTTGAGCCAGAAGCCGTCATGAGATGCAAGCGCCAGTTGCTATTTACCAATCGCCCTTCACGAAATCTCCAGCCCGCGGAGCGCCAATAGATGCGATCTGGATCGGTTCGGGACTGCACAACACAACCCCCTCGTCTCACCGATGACGTTGTGGCTGGGAGAAAACTCCTCAATAAGAGTTTGGTCACGGTAGGACTTGAAGCCCTGGATGGCTATCTGCTTGATGTGCATTGAGGACGACGGCTGTCAGCGGCGATCGGACGGACAGAGAGCGATTGCTCCTCGGCGGTGACGGTTTTGGAGGCGCTTGGAATGCGGAGCACGATGGGACTGCACAGTCGACATGCCTTTTATGGTAATATTGCCAAAGACCCGGGAGGGATGCGCTTCCACACGTGATTTGACAGCCGCTGCGCCACTCTCGAGTCCATCGCCGTCCCACCACCCGCCAATCGTCTGGCCGTGTGTCTGGCTGTGCGTCTGGCCATGCGAGTCTCTTTGCCGGGAGAATGTTGCGTAGCTAGCACCATTTCATTTTATTGGGAGCTGTCCAAACACATGAGCCACACCAGGCACTGTGGTCCGAGAGCCCGCGCTGTGTCGGAAGGGATGGGGGTGGCATTAGACCTAAAGCTGATAGCGCGACTGAAGCTTGGAGGCGACAACGGGAGGAATAGACTGAAGGAACTTGGTCCACTGCTCGTCGCCCATGTTGGTCTTGAATTGGTGGAGCAGCTGTGCAGAGAGAGGGGGCCACGAGAGGGGATCGGGTTAGTGATGCAGAGAACAAACAAAAGTCAACCCAAGCCAATCATCCACCACTTTTCCCATCATCCTTCTGCGTATCCACTCTTCGATCGACTCTGTCCATCACCCAGCACATCCAGTCCAAGAAACCCCTCCGGAACGACCAGATGAAATGGCAAAAATGGGGGGGGGGAGGATACACATGCCACACTTACGCGGCCAAAGTAATCGTTCAACTCGGGAGAAACACGCTGCCACAACGAGATGGCCTCGCAAAAGTCGAAGAAGCGCTGCAGAAACAAGGAGGCTGGTCAGTGCGTGCATGATTTGGTCACTCCGTCGTTTGTTCAAAGCACTGGCGCCGAAAAGACACCGCCGATAGCCTGGCATCGTGCACTCTTACTTCGTGGACACCAGCGGGGTTGGTCTCGACCATCTTGCACAGGCCCATGAAGGCGCTCTCCTTCTCGAGGTTGTCTCGGATGTCTTTCAGAGCCTCGCACCTGCGTGGGAACAATGTGTCAGATTCAGGTAGTTGAGAACAGGGATCACAAGATCAACACCATCGAGCAGAGCATTGCGGGACTACGCCCCCTCTCCCCACAACCTCCAGGCTTGCGATGCTTACCATCGGTGGATGAAGACGGCAAGATGAGGTGCAACCATGGCGGGGCAGACCAGGCCGAGTCTGCCAACGGTGATGGCCGCGTTCTCGAGGAGGGTCTTCGGGGTCGTGTGGCCGTTCAAGAGCGGGATAAGACGGCCCAAGAGCTCGTTGACCCAGGGTTGCATTTCAGCCTCTGCGACGCAGATCGGTCAGAGAGATGCAGTCAGATCAAAGCCGCTAAGACGTTGCTGGACTAATGGTTGAGTTCGCCCACGAGCTGGCAGCCCCAACTAGATACTCACGGTACTGCAGGGCAATTTCGCCTGCGGCCCAGGCGGCGTTGTTGCAGACCGACACGCGAGTGGGATCGCTGACAGGATCGATCTGCTGGATCAGCTCGGGCAGGAACTGGTTCAGGTGCGGCTTGATATGGCCAAAGGCCGAAATGGCCAGGTCGCCAAGGAGGGCATAGGCACTCTGGCGCACTTCGGGGACGGGATCCTGGCCGTACGTTAAATGGTGCAGATGTGAGTGGTGACGACGGGTGCTACTGCTCGACGGGGTGCTATTGCTCGACAATGGGCAGCCACGAACTGGACTCGCCGTGATGCAAGCCGACGGGGATACCTTGATGCAGTGCAGGAGAATGGTGATCACGAGCTGGCTGTTCTGCGCAACAAGAGGCTCGACCATGACGTTGAGGCCTTGAGCGACGCCGCTCAGGAGATCGAGCGACACAATGATAAAGTCCTTGTTGACCTCAATCTGCGAGGGGTCGTGAGCAGCCAACTAGAGCGACAACCATGCGTTAGCACATGCACAGGGCAGCCGTCCGGAGGGCACGGCAATCACATACCTGCAAACGGTGCAAGTTGGTGCTGATGATGTTGAGGCATCTCTGCCACACAGGAGGAGAGAACGGCCCAAATGAGCCACCGAGGGCAACGGCGACTGACGAGAGACACTGCAGCGAGCCAAAACAAGGGACGGAGAGTGGTTAGTACTTTGTCACGTTTGCCCGAAGCGAGCGCACGACATCCGGCTGGAGTTGCGACCGTACCTCCAGCAGAGGGAAAATATCCCGATCGTCGTCGTTGATGGTATCCCATTTAGCAATCAGGGGCTGCATAATCACGCCGGCGTAGCGCTCGTTGCTGAGGGCAGCACCGACAGAGTCGGCAAGAGTGCCCACAGCATCGTACAAGATCAAGAGGTTCTTTTTCTGTTTCGACAAACATTCAGAGAGTTAGCATCACGGGACGGAACGAGCCAGTGCTGTTCAAGAGAGCTCGGATGGTGCACCTGGTACAACTGGAAAGCGTGGGTCAGGGTCTGCAGAATGATGTCGAGGTGAGGGATGAGGTAATCGCCGGCTTCCTCCTCAAGAGTGGCAAAGGCACTGTGGGTGGACATTGGTTCGTTAGTTTTGCTTGCTCGGTCGCTCGCTAGGCACAGGCGAGCCAAGCGTCGAATCAGCTGCAGCTCAACACAAACCTGCACCCACTCTCCTGGACACGCTTGTTCTTGTCGAGAACCATGTGGAGAAGCTGCAGAACAGCGAAACGAAGGAGTCAGGACAAGCAAAGGGTCCCCCTCTCGATGCAGGCGAGCCAAGTTTCTTCGCCTGCTACGATTGATGTCATTCGCATCAGCCGTGGTGCTGGTGGCGATCTGAGTCGGACGCAACGTACTCCCTGGAGCATGGGCACGAAATAGGCGGAGTGGTGGGCCTTGGGATCGACGCCTTCGGGAATTTCAACGACCCACTTTGAGTAACGGCCCAGGGTCCAGCATGTAATCGCACGGACAAGAGGCTATCGATCGCAACGAACGGGCAACAGCCAGGCAGTCAGTAAAGCGGCGCCGAAATACGATTTAAAGAAAACTCAGCGCTGGTAGCGTCTGGACAGCGGCAACAAGCCAAGCTTCATTGTTGGAGCAGCGAATGGTTGTGCCGCAACATCAAGATCTGCTTCGCACAACAGCAAGCTCATGCGCATCAGAGTCGCGACATACCTTGGGGTGCAGCAGCTGCTGGAGCAGGAAGGGAATCAACGCAGGGAGGTGGGCAACCATGCCGTCTTGGCAGCCTATTGTGGATGGGAATGCAGCGACGGTCAGTTCACCATCTCGAGGAACTTTATGGTGCAGCGCGAGCCGCTTGGCTCTAATTGGCCGCTGTTCGGGAGTGGTGAAGTATACACGCGGGAAATAGGCGTGCTTCCAGCAGCACTGAGCGCAAGCGCCACGTACCTTCGGCAACAGCACCCAAAGCAAGGATGCCGGACTCGGTGTGGGTCCAGTCTTGGCTGAAGAGCTCGTTTTTCAGATGGGGCAGCAGGTGCTCCAAGAGCGAGTCTTCGAACACGGTAGCAAACACATCGAGGGCGGCGGCGCTGCACTTTCTCAAGTTCCACTCGGCATAGACCTCGTCATCATCGTCGTCATCGTCAAACTCATCATCATCGTCGTCGTCGCCATCATCGTCGTCGCCATCGTTGTCAGCCTTGGACTCGGCCCCAGCGACATGCTCTTGGCGGCGAATATGGGATCGGTAGTTGATGGGCTTGATGTCCTTGTCCTCATCAGCCTTGTCGGCATCGTCTTCGTCCTGGTTCGTCAAGATGATCAGGTCCTCTTCGCTGTAGACCATGCCCTTGAGCAGAACAGGGACGATTCTGGGTCGAAGGCGGTCGAGTGTCAGTGTTTGAGGGGCATCTGAAGAGGCGCCTGAATCACATCCAAGAATAGACAACTGGCATGGGTGTGGCGATAGACCGCAAGACCGTGCCGCTCGATAGCTTACCGAGGGAGGAAAGGACGGAGGTATTCAAGCAGGCTCTCCTGCTCAGCAAAGGCCAGCCAGAACTCGCAGCTCTCGAGGGCAACCTGCTCATCGGCGTCTTGGGTGCAAAAGAGCATAAAGCTGACAATGTTCTCAATCTGGGGAAGGAGAGCAACGGGCTTGACCTCCAAAATCATGACAAAGGCCTGGCAAATGAAGCGGCGGACATCCGGGTCGGTGTCGTTGGCGTGGCGGTAGAGGGCATTGATAAAGTCCTCCAGGACGGCCAGGAAGGGATCGCTGGAGAGCAGGATGAACTGGTTGACGCAGGCAATGGCGTGGCGCCGGACTCGGGCATCGGGGTTATCGATATGCTGGACAAACTTGGGCATCATGACCGAGAGGGCATGGCCCTCGTTGCTGAGAGCGTGGCAAGAGTCCTCGCAGATCTTTTCCAGGCAGCCGAAAGTGCCCTTGAGAGACACAAGGCCATGCAATAATGTAGCGAGAAACACAGCGTTAGCAGCATGTCCTGCAGCCCAGCTTTCCTGCTGAGCCAACCAAGACGGGGTCGTGCAGCATCCCGAGCCAGTCACGAACTTACTTCCACAGTCTTGACGTTTGGGTCGTCCAGGAGACTGAGCAGCTTGGGCAGGAGCTCCGGCCACTTGGTGGGGTCGCGGGTAAACAAGTTCGAGATGATGATGCCGGCAATGTTTCGGATGACACCCTCGCTGTCGGACAAGGCAACCAACGCACAGTTTTTGCAGTAGTCCATGATGGGAGCGGGGACGGTGTCGAAGGACTTCATGAGGGCATTCTTGAGATTGATGCCGGCGCTGAGGCGCGTCGAAGCCTCGGCCTCGGGAACGAATGCAAACAGGTAGGCCAGGTAGTTATTGAAATCCGGAATGGTGTTGTGAAAGTGTGTCAATTGCTACAGGAGGCGGGCGAATGGAGGAACGAGTGGGGGAACGAATGGAGGAACGGTGAGATAAGGGAGCCGTGTCAACCTGGGTTGGCCTGTTCGCGGGGGGGGGGTTCAGGCCCATGCATGATTGGCACCAGGGGTTGTAGAAAGCTGACCCGGAGCCCACGGCGGTGGGATTCGGTGTTGGACCACCCAAGGGGGGTCGGTGGAGCATCGCGGCTGGCATGCGGCGCAGACCCAGGAAGCCAGGAAACAGAGAGCATGTGTGCGAGGCAAGAGGCGGTATGGGTGCTCGATAGCGAACAGGGCAACGAACCTGGTCAATGTGCTTGATAACCTGGGTGCTGGGCGCATTGGCCTTCTTCAGCAACTCGGCCAGCTCATGGAGGCCGGTTTGCTGGGGCTGCCACGACATTGCGAGGGAGGGGGGAGGCGAGGCGAGTCGGATGGGCAAGAGTCGCTTGGATCGATCTGGGACCGGCGCAGGAAGAGACGAACGGTGCTCACGGGAGACGGGCGTCGAGTCAGATGCTGGGAGCACGCAGACGGAAGGGTCCGGTAGTCGAGGGCAACCGAAGCGGGCGCTGACGGGGAGGAAAGATGGCCGGGGCGCCTGCTCAGATCAGCTCGCAGAATGGGTGCGAGTCGGGCTGGTCAAAGGCTCAAAAATTTTCGGCCTGGACGGTGGCTTCTCGCCGGGGCGAGGCGGTCTCGCTGCGTGTGTGTGTGGCGCGGGCACAGCGCTGCGTGCGCACAGTGAGTGCCGGGGTCGTGTGTGTGTGGCGGGCGAGATGCTCTCGCCGCGGCCTCGCTGGGTGGCCTCGCTGGGCGACGCCGCACCACGCCGGTTCGAGCCGGCGGGCAGCAAGACCAAAACAGGCTGGATGAATGGTGTGGCAAATGAGGGCCGTGCTACTGCACAGAACACCCTGTCCCTTGCAGACCTGCATCCACGGGTCATGGAGATGCAATCGCTTGGTGGAGACCTGCAGCCGTTGCTCCAGGCCACCAGGACAAGCAGCCGGAGGCGCCTGGACTGTTCAGAGTGCTTGGCCGGCCGCAGCCTCCAGGGACGGGATGCAGAGTCCCTGTCCAGCACCAGGCGCGCATTCCCATCCAAGAATGCGTTGCAGCAATCCGATGTCTCGTTTCATTTTGTGAACGCTGTGGCTTGACTCAAGCGGCTACTGCACAACCAGCCATGTCGGCCCGAACCCACATTTGCTCGTCCAGCCGCATTGATCCGACCGCATTGATTCGGCCACGCATTGATCCTGCCACGCATTGATCCGCAGATTGCATCTGCTGCAGCCAGGATCCCATCGCCGCTCCCAACACGCGCCAGGTTCAGTGCCGGATTCGTTTTGCCGATTCTGTGGACGCATAAGCATAGCTCTTCTCAGTCAAGACGCAGAGCTGCATAGAGTCCTCACCAGCTCGGGGGAATGCACGGCCGAACCCCATGAATCACGCCGACGCATATTTACCTGCTACTGCTGGGTCTTCGGACTGGAGTTTACGCTTGACATCATCGCTGGCTTGCGTATGTGTATCGACGCCGCGGTCCTCGTCTTCGTGAGGTAAGAGGTACGGATCGTAGCCTTCCTCTCCATGGCCACCTGCTCGTGGAGCAGGGGGAGCGTTTGGGAAGCAATAGGGAAGAATACTCAGAACAGTGTGTCTAGCAGTGCTGGGTCGAGCAATCTCTTGACGCCTTACCATCGCCTGCGGCTTCAAAATATCCCGTGGTATTGTCAGAGATATAGTCGTGCGGTTCGGCTTCTTCATTGTCGTAGAATGATGATTCTGGGTCGTGGGGCTCCAGCGGCTCCGTTGTTTCGAACGCATCCGCCTCGTGGCCGTGCTCGTCCTCGCCGTACTCCTCGACACCATCGCCACCAAGCTCGTCATCGGCTACAGGAAACGGGATGTTTGTTCAGTAATCCCGTCGAGACGTCGATGATTCCTTGCCATCGGTGCCCACCATCAGCGCAATAACCAGGAGTGCGGCGGCAGGAAGGGATCAGAAGCTCACCGTGGACCAAGGACTGGTAGTATTGAAGCTGGGTTTCGAGACAGCCGTCCAGCTATTCCATCGGAGAATCAGTGTATCAGCGAGACGCCTTTCAAGAACGTCGCTATTGCAGTTGGAGCCTGGTTTGGGCTCAGCTCGATAACTTCCGGCAAGGAGCCAGCCCCACTTACTTCGGTCAGCCGCAGGATCAACGGTGCCTCGCTGCCGTCGTGTGTTGCAGTCCGATACGCCCATAGGTAGTCATAGAGCTTGTTCAGACAGAGGCTCTGGCCGTAGGCCGAGCCCTGTGTCCGAATAATGGCCGAGGATGACGGTCAGTAGGCTGCAGCAACCTTGCAGCAACAGAGCAATCGAGGGCCTTTGGCAGCATGGCTCCATCAAACAACGAACTGACCTCTGGGATCGATAACTTGAGCTGGGGCAGATCTGCAACAACGTCCCGAGAGAGCTCAAACTCTTGCTTGAGGTCTGAAATAAAGTTGGTTAGCGGCTTCTCAAAAGCGTCTCCCCACTCCTCTCCTGTGCAATATACGTCCGCCTCGGCGATCGGGCCGCTTTCGGCACCGTCGTCATCGGCAAGGCCGGTGTTGTCGAATAGGCAGTATCGTCGTCCACGAAGCTCCATAATGACAGCCAAATTGGCATATCCGACTTCGTATGGCTCCTCGATGTTCTCGATATCCTCGGCTCCGTCAGCCCTGTGGCTGGCGGCGGCCGTCGCTTCGTCTGCATCGTTCGCATTGTGACTTGCCTCCTCGGCACTGTCGCCCGCGCCATCCCCTGTTCCCACCTGGCTCGCCCCTGCAGCATCGTCGCCCTCTCCACCGATCCTGTGCTCTCTGTCGTGGATTGCCACAGCTTGGTCATCTTCCATATGATCATGGTCTGCATCGTATGTCTCGTAGTCGCCGGATTCCCCAGCAACGGCATGGAGATCGGGTGCCGTGGGCTCGACATGGGACGTGCGATCCCCCGTGAGATACTCGGGTGCATCTTGGACCACATGTTGATGGGCATACGTGGCGGCGTCATCGTTGGGTTCACGCTCGTTGTCGTAGTCTTCGGTTTCGACCAATTCCCCGACCGCGTGGGATTCAAGATAATCTGTATTGTCGCCAGAGGCTTCTTCAGCTTGGGGAGCAGCGAGCTCGGAATATTCTACAGCGACGTCCGCACCGGTTTCTTCCAGGGCCGCTTCTTCATCGGTCTCGTGATGAGGTTTTCTGTCGTCGGGATCGACATCTTCGCTGACATGGACAGCGTCTTCGCCTTCGAGACCATGCCCATGATCGGCGTTCGGATCTGTGTCGTGGTCGTATTGATCTGGCAGATCGGCATATTCGTCGTATCGCTCGTCGGCTTCAAGCCCTTCGGCATCAAAGGCAAGCTCATCTTGGCTGCGCTGGGCAGCCAGGTCCGCTGGTTCAGAGAGGCCTGCGGCATCAACAGGGTCGGCGGCGTCGAGGTTATCAACTTCAGCGTCATCGACGGCATCCCCAAAGGCGTATTCTTGGTCGTCGGTTTCTGGCGGGCTGTGATTTGGGTGCTGAGCATCGAAGGATGCACCGGCTTGTTGGGACATGATGGCCAGCTTGGGGTATCGGTGGCTACCTTTCTCGATAGAGATCCCTCCTGATTAGCAGGTTTTGGACAAGAAATGTAGAATGCAAGGAGGCGCAGGCGTAGAATGATATGGCGTGTGTCTGGCGGATCCGAACGGCGGCGGGCGCAGCCTGAGGATGCAGTCGCTTCGGAGCGTTGGTGTTGGCGATGGGGCTGCGTTGATGCTGGTGATGGGATTGCGTTTTGACGAAGAGGAACCAGGATGCGCCACAGTGTGGCCGGCACCGCGATGGCCAGGCGCAGCGCCATTGCCAGCCACGGGATTGGCTGGAGCCGGATCTGCTTTGCCCATTTGGCCCGATTTGGACATGGGCCGCAGCAACCGACTGACCAGCAACCGGGCCACTGCACCCATTTCTCTCGCGACGACCGCACCAGCCGATCCGTCCATCACCGCACCCGACCAACGGCATCGATATGAGCAAGAAGGCAACAACAATCACCTCTTTCTTCAAGCCAACGCAGCGCAGCGCGCCGGCAGACGAGGCCGTGGAGCCAAAGTCCAAGAAGCAGAAGGTCGGCAGGGAGCCGGAGAACCAGGAGCCGGCTGCCGCTGCCGACGTCTCCGACAGCAAGCTTTCGTCGGTCGTGGCCGGCGATGCCGAGGCCCCGGCTGTCGAACCACAAGACGACAGCAGCAACCCAGCCGCCGGTGAGACCGACGGCGACCCTGCCGCCGTGGTCGACCAGGACGAGGCCCAGGAACTGACCGAAGAGCAGCTCAAGGCCATCGAGAAGAACCGCGCGATCGCGCAGGCCAAGCTGCAGCTGAACGCACTGCTGAAGCTCGAGAAAGCCACGATGGCACCAGACTGGCTGCAGGCGTTCAAGAACGAGATTGAAAAGGACTACTTCCTTGATGTAGGTGCCCGCACACGAGCAGCCAATCTGTTCGTTCGAGCTGGCAGCGGGGCTGAAGTCTGCTCGGCGGCGCATAACATTCGAGTCCAGGGCTGACATGTTTCTGCATCGTCAGATCAAACGTTTCTTGGCCGCCGAGAGCAAGGCCAACAAGACTGTGTTTCCGGTGCCCGAAGAAATCTACAGCTTCACGCACTGTCCCCTGAGCCAGGTCAAGGTCGTCATTATCGGCCAAGGTACGCGGGCGAGGGCTGGTGCCTGGCCGAGTTAGCGCTGGGGGAGGGAGCCCGTTGCCAAGAGGAGCCTTTTCTAGCCAGCGCCGATGTAGCTCATCTTCAAAATCCCCTTGTCAGATCCATACCACGGCCCTGGACAGGCACACGGCTTGTGTTTCTCTGTCAAGCCTGGAGTGAAGCCGCCGCCATCGCTTGTCAACATCTACAAGGAGCTGAACTCGGATCTTGGCCCAGACAACTTCCCCATCCGCAAGAAAATGGGCTATCTGGAAGAGTGGAGCAAGCAAGGTGAGCACGCTCGCACCAAGTCGTTCTCTCCGGGAGGGGGTATATGCGTGCTTTGTTGGGCATCCGCATCGATGGCTTGTCTCTGGACAGGTTCGCAATCGGAGCCCGCTCTGATTCTTCCTCGTGTTGGAACAGGTGTTCTCCTCCTCAATGCATCGCTCACCGTCCGCAGGGGCGAGGCAAACTCGCATGCCAACTGCGGCTGGATGAAGTTTACCGATGCCATCATCGCATACCTCAACACTCGCAAGCGCAACCTCGTCTTCATCCTCTGGGGCGCCTTTGCGCAGAAGAAAGGGTCCTCTATCGATGGCGTAAGCTGGCGAGGGATGGCTGACAGCCATGCGCGGATGCATGGTGGCAGCCGACAGTGTATCCTCCGTAAGCAGCGCCGTGCACTAATGCGGCTTTCCTATGTTTTGTGCGAACGCATCAGAAAAAACACCTGGTTCTCAAGGGCGCCCACCCGTCGCCTCTCTCGGTGACGAAATTCCTTGGCTGCAAGCACTTTTCCAAAACGAACGAGTACCTCCGCAAAAATGACATCACCGAAATCGACTGGAACGCCATTCCCATGGATCCCTGAGTAGAGTGCAAACGGGCAGGATTGTGTGCCAGTGGTGTCCGCCGCCTCTGTAGGCATTCTTATCGATCTGGCACTTGGCAAGACAGATCTCGTAAATACCAACAACACCGTGTTGCAATCGTCTTGACCATTTGTTGGCCACAGTTGCAGATGAACAGCACAGCACAGAGGTTGCCAGGCAGAGTGCACTCTTGGTCGCAAGACGCAAGTCATCACCCTCGGCTCGGACCCTGCTCGTTTGATGGCTGCGGGGCGTCGAGAGCGCGATCCCTGTTCTCTCCCAAAGCCCGAACTCGGAACTCGAGCTCGAGCGTCTGCATCGATCACCATCGTGGGGTTGCGTCCTGCGAGCGGGCGAATACAATCAACCCGAGTCGATCCATAGCAGCAGGCACCGCTGCATCCGTGCAGTCCGCTTGTTCTGCAGCAATCATTCGCTGAGCGACCGAGCGCCATGTCGTCGTCAAACCCGCCAGCTGCCACACAGCCATCGGCCAAGAAGCGAGTCTTCACCAAAGACGGTGGGTATCGTCTCTCCGTTATCCGTCTCGTGCGACTGAGCATCCGGGGTCAGGCCTTGCTGATGAATTTGAATGGCAATGCGTTTGTCCTGGATGTCACATTACGGCGGCCGGTTGGTCGATCTCCGGATGCTTCAAACCCGACACCTTGCGACCGCCGATCTTGCCGCAAATACAGTCAAGCAGATGCTCTATGGCTTTGGAGACGTCATCAACCCCGCACCAGACACCGTTGATCTGATGGACGAAATGCTGCAGGAGTTCATCGTCGATCTGGTGGGTGTCGCTGTCAGAGCAGGCGTTCAGAGGCGGTTGGGCAATGCTCCTGCCGGCAACCAGGCAGCCTAGCGTTCACTCGCACTCCAGCCACTTACCCCAGCGCTGACTGTCGTTGGTCCAGTGCCTCGAGGCCATGAAGTCGTCCAACAACAAGGTCCTTCTGAACGACTTTCTGTTTGCCCTTCGCCACGATCCCAAGAAATATGCCCGTGCCCATGAGCTGCTGGAAATGGCCAAGAAGATTGCGCGAGACAAGCGGATCATGGACATTGAGGATTTGGTGGCAAATGAGAAGGCGCTCGAATAAGTCATCGAAGGAGAAGAAGCAATTCCTCCGCCTTCCCTGGTCCGTCCGGTGGCCCAGACCAGGAATGGGTGGCCGATGGGAGTGCTATTCAAGCAGAGCGTGTGTTGTCATCAGCAGACGTTTTCTTCGTTGACGATGAATGTACCACTGGCATTCGCGGCAATAACATGCATCGATTTATGCGATGGGGGCTTTTCAATCGTAACATTTGCAGCCCTGTCCTGGGCTATGGAGGCCGCAGCCCGTCGGGGAGATGGCCACGGCCCACCGAACATGGACGGCGGAAACTTTCGCTTGCGAGAGCAGGGTCAAAAGCCCGCTCTCCCCCAGGGCCAGCCTCGGACGGTTGCTGCCCGGCGATCATCCGTCTCATCGGTGCCGACTTACTGATGGCGGTCCGGTTCCTCCAGACAGATAACCTTGCCACATGGCATACGGCATTGGACAGCGAAATCAGAGCCGTCCAGGCTGCCTCATCTCGAGCCAAGAAGAGCGGCCCGAGCCTTGATGATCTACATGGCCAAGTGCATGGCAGCCTGGCCAAACGCATCCGCACAGAGCCATCGCCCAGTTTCTCTGTGGACGACCTCGGACTCGTTATGAAATGGAAGCTGTCGGTAGGATTCATTGGCGGCCACCTGAATATGGAAGCCGGCAGGCTGTTGCCTCTGCGGGAATATTGACTCGGCCTGGCGTTGACCCACGCTCTACCTGCTGCATTTCGATCCATCTCCTCCTCACGATATCTGTGGTGTGATGCCTGCTTCGCGATGCAAAGATGGGCAAGTTCCGACCAAGACTCTTCTCTCTGGTGACCTCGAACACTGATCAACTTGTGCAAAAGGCCACCCACGACGGGCTTGCTGCTGTGACTCCGGTCAGCACACTTGACTCGGTGGTCAGGGCAATCCAAGCCCTGTCGGTCCTGAGCGGCGTTGGGGTTGCAACAGCCTCAGGTAACAGCATGCAGCATCACCACTTGCAGCATCACCACTTGCAGCATCACCACTTGCAGCATGAGCGCCCTGCCTCGGCCTCCAGACTCGAGTCCGATGAGTTACCTGGTGATATCCGCACCTCGCTGAGCCTTCGCGTCACTTGTCCTCTGCCAGCGATCCTATCGATCTACGATCCATCGGTTCCATTCATGTCCGACGAAGCTCTCGCCGAAGTTGGACCTGCGGGCAAATTGGCATACACGTTGCCGGCATACAAGCGATTGTACGAGACGCTGAAGAGCAAGGCTGCGGAGCTCAACAAGCTCGAGGGGAAATCCCTGTGGACGCCGGGGGCATGCGAACGAGCCATCCGTTTCGGAACGATTGCGCTTCGGCTTGGGGCTTTGGACAAGGATGCCTTTGAGTCTGCTGCCACAAACGATGTCAAGCCGTCTGAGGACGATCGTGGGAAACCGGAACAGCCAGTCGAAGGCAATGACGCTGCCAAAGCAAGCTCCCGTGGCAAGCGCAAGCGACAGAATGCGGACGATCTGACGGACAATGCATTGCTCCGTCGCTCTGCACGCACAAAGCGAAAGTCGTGAGGATTCCGAGGGCCACCGCATTCTGCTGCCGGGACTTCCAGCATGTGGAAAGTATTCGGCGTGAAAGCAGTCCGCATCCGCGCGGCTGCTTTCGAGAGCTTCAGGGACTCCGGATCGTCCGTGTGGCTGCTGTTGTGCTGCAATGTTCCCAAATAAAATGGGTCGATTTGATTTGCCCACTGCTTCTAGGATTGCGAGTACATTCGCTGGTCCGTTCCATCTCAGCGGCCGAGTATCTGCGTTGTTTGGGGCCATGCCCAACAGCGCCCGCTCTTCTCTCATCGTCGGCGATACTCTGTCGAATGCTCTCGAACCACGGTCGTCTTGAACAGATCGGATGTAAGACCACAACAGTCCCATCATCGGCGGTAGCTTCGAAAATGTTGCAACTGGCCGTCTTGCGGATATATATGTATTCAGGCAGTCCGGCTTCCTCAAATCGAGATGCCCCGCTCGATCGAAGGACGCTGTCGCCGAGTTACTGCAGTCGACCGCTCTCGACTCGGTCCTGGAGCATATCTGCGCCGCCAACAAACTCGATTGCGGCGCCGGGACATCCGAGCCAGACAAATGGCGAGGTAGTATGGTCCTTGGCGCCTGGAAGCTCCTGGTTTGGATGCCAACGATATGAGCCGACAAGGCAGAGACCGAGGCAGTCCAAGTGTTGGCGACGACCCGGATTGCATGCTGTGTTGTGCTGCAAGTTGTGCGGTGCTGCTGCAAGTTGTGTGGTGCTATCGACTCACCTTCTGGAGCCTCAGCTTGCGTTCATCCCATTCTCCAACTGGGACTCCTTTGACGCTGACTTTGTAAAGCTCGGGGTTGCTGAGGGCAAGGCTCTGCGCCATCTTGGCGGCCTTTTGGAAATACCGGCATGTCGAGAAGCCCTCCTGTCATCAGGCAACAGGTCAAAGGTCTGAGGTCGCAGTGCCATTGGCAGACGTGCAAGAAAGCCCGCTCCGCAGGGATCTGCACCACTCACCACATGGATACACCACTTGGCGCTGGAGGTCAGCGGGGGCTTGGGCTCGGGCTTGGGCTCTGCCACAAGAATCACCTGGGATGGCTTTGGGCTGGAGACGGCTGGGGACTGGGAGGGACTTGTGCTATGGGAGAACGACACAGACCAGACCAGCAGAGCGACAATGGCGGCCACCGGCAGCAGCCGAAGGAGACCCGACCGGATCCTGGGCAATCTCCAGAGCATGGCGAAGGGCGCGTGGGTAGATGCAATACGACACGATGCGATGCGATGCGATGCGATGCGATGCGATGCGATGCAATGCGATCCGATGCGATGTTTGGAATGGCACAGCCACAAGCCACGGCGCAAGAGGCAAGGGGAAAGGCGCAAGACGGCAGGCGCAAGGACCGTGTGACACAGGGCCAGAAATTTTTTTGCATTCCACAAGGATCGGACTCATGGACGACAGGAGCGCCAAAGGACAGGCATCACCGCCATCGCCGGCATTTGCCATCGCCATCGTCGCTGCATTTGCCAATACCGTCGGCAGTTGGGTGGGTGAGGGGCCTGCAGCACCAGCGACCGGCCGCACGCAGTACCGCCGTGCTGGGGTGTCTTGGGTGCCAGGCGGCACCGAGCAAGTGGGTCTGTCCACGACGATGACCCAATGCAATCCCGTCGGGCTGCATCGGTGCATCGGCGCATCGGCCACGCATCCGCACCACTGGAGCAACGGGTGCCTTGCGCCCAGAGCATCGAGTCGGTGTCGCCAGCACCACCATCGGCTGCAGCAGTGGTTGCCTCGTCCAGTTCGCTGGGAACGTCGCACACACGGACTGCATTTTTGGGTGGGCCACGGGTCTTGGTCCTCGCTCCCTCTCCCTCACTCACTTTTTTCTCCCCTGCATCGAACCCGCCAACCCCCCAGACCATCCGGCTTGGTCCTGCATCCACACCCGCCTGCTCCCGCTCTGCTCTGAAGTTCGTACCCCGCATATAGAATCCGACGAGGCCCCTTCGTAAAGGTCAGCACCCCTCCGGCGCCCGAGATCCCGGTCGCCTGGCCGACCGGCTGCAGCATTGCCGGTGCAATCACTTCCCGGGCGGCAATCGAGCGCCGAGCCTGTCTATCGGCGTCGGCAACCAAGCATCTGGATTTCCCCGACGGTCCTGAGCCATCGAGCAGCCCATCTCTCAGACCCGACCGCAACTCCCTCCCCCCGATCTGGCGAGATTGGCTTGCGGCAGTGGGGCAGAGCATCGATCCTTTCGCTTCATCGGCCGATTCTCTCGCCGGCCTGCATCTGCACACGTCTCTATCCCACCGAGCCCGCCAGTGCTGTCCTCACTGTCTCGTGTCCGTCTGCGCTGTGCTAATCCCCTGCACCCCTCTTCTCTGCAGCCAGGCTTCCCTACGAGTGATCTCTCCCACCGCTAGCTATTGATTTCGTTTCCGACCATGGAGGATTTGGAAAGAGCCATCCTTGTCGCTTTGGATCCCTTTGCCGACCCAAATGTCAAGCTCCAAGCGAATCAATACTATGCGCAGGTCAAGGCGTCTCCCGATGCCTGCAATCTGGCTCTTGGTCTCTTTATGAAGTCTCCTGCCAGGTAGGCAACCACTCGGCAATTATCGGTTTGCACGTCTGCTTGGATCGGGGCCGGGGGTCGGTTTGTCAGTGCCATTGCCCTGGTACATTAACCGCACTCGGCCCGCTGGAATCGAGTCGCCAATTGCACATGCGGGTACCTGCCTCCCCCGGCTCCGACGTCGTTTACTCGCTGAGCGCTTATTCCTGCTGCCTGCGATACGGGAAAGACTGGACTCTTGCACGCTCGTCGAGCACCGAATGAGACGTTACAGCCGTGATTCGCCGATGCGATCACCCCTCCCCTCTCAATCGATTGATTTTTAACTCTATCGGAAACCCCACACGGCATCCCGCTGCGACGGTGACGCTGGCACCTTCCTTGCTTTCTCTTGCAATGCTCAGTGCCCCAGAGATTCGATTCATGGCATTACAGATGCTGGAAGAGGTGCTGCAGGCTAGCTATGAGGCACTTGAGCCCAACTTTCGGGTGCTGGTGCGCCAGCGCTTGTGGAAGTATCTCTCGGAGGAGATGCCGGAAACCGAAGTGATCTACATCAAGACGAAGCTGGTCGTTGTCCTTGTGATCCTGTTCAAAAACCAGTACTTGCAGGAGTGGCCTACCTTCTTTGACGAGCTGCTGTCTCTGCTGGAAACCACCAAGGGGACGCCAAAGTTCCCAACCATGGTCGACCTCTTTCTCCGGTTCTCGGTCACCATCGATACCGAGGTGGTTTCGCTCCTCATCGTCCGTTCTTCCAAAGAGACGGCACTGAATACGCTCATCAAGGACAAGATGAGAGAGCGGGATGTGGCCCGTCTTGCTGCCGTCTGGTTCGACATCCTCGCCTCGCACCACCAGTCCAATCCCGAGATTGCCTGCGAGGCCCTGCACGTCATCGGCCTCTATGTCTCGTGGATCGACGTCACCATCTTTGTGCATCCAACCTTCATGAACATGCTCTACCAGCTGCTCTCGGTGAACTCTGTGCGGTCCGCTGCTTGCCAGTGCCTCGTCGAGATCGTGGCCAAGGGGATGAAGCCCGCGGACAAGCTGCGGATGATCCATGAGCTGCAGCTGGTCAGCATTCTGGACCGTCTCCAGCTCGACGACGAAGACTTTACCGACCACGTCGCCAAGCTCGTCAACATGATCGGCCTCGAGCTCTGCAAGTGCTGGGAGGAGTTTGACAACTTTTCGGACGCCCAGACCGTCACCTTCACACTGATCCAGCAGCTTTTCCCACACCTGACCCTCTTGCTCTCCAACGAGTACGACGACACGACCTTGATTGTCTTTGACTTCTTGGAGCACTATCTTGCGGTGCTCAAGAGACAGAAAAAGCTCGCAGGCGGCCAGATCTCAGAGCAGCTGCGCGACAATCTTGTTGCACTCCTGCGGGTGCTGGTCATGAAGATGAACTGTGATGAGGACTCCTTCCAGTTTGGCGAAGACGCTGGCGAGAGCGAGGCCCTCTTCCTGGATATGCGCAAAGTACGTGAACGCCGATGTGTGGTTATGTGCTGTGTCGCTGAACGCAATTGTGGGTTTATAGCACGCCCATGAGAGCTGATGTGCTAATGTGCTGATGTGCTGATGTGCTGATGTGCTGATGTGCTGATGTGGTGATGTGGTGATGTGGTGATGTGCTGATGTGCTGATGTGCCGATTACCGTCTCATGGCCTACCTATGCGCACACCAGAGCTTGAAGCAATACGTCGATGCCATTGCCGTGATCGACTACAACTTGTATCTCAACTTCCACGCCACTGAGATCTGCCAGCGGCTCGACGTCATTGCTGCTTCCCCGACCGCACACAGCTGGTCATATCCAGAACTGACTCTGCACTTGCTCTACCTTATTGGTGAGCCGATCAAAGGTGGGTGTGGGCCGGGCATACGAGCACTGTGCATAGCGATGAAGCGACAGGGCTGCACAGTCCACTCAGAGCCCGTGCGGCTGCCCTCACCCCAAATCACTCACTTAGTTTGCTTCTCTTATGAACAGGCCCCTTGCAGTTTGTGACTGTGGCCGAGAACGGCACATCGACGATGACCCTGTTTGGCACGATGCTGGAAAAGATGATTACGAGCAGTAAGTTGCCTGGCCTGTCAACTAGCATATCGCTTGACAAGCTGCTGCGCTTGGGCTTCTGGACTGCTCTCGCGAGATCACCACTGTCGCTTGAGCAGCCAGTTCGTCGCTAAGGATTTGTGCGAGCGTGAAAGTGAGCACCACAGCTACAAGTGTGCCACCTGGATTTCTAGTCGACTGATCCCAGCTTTGGCTTGCAGACATCTCCAGCTACCCTCATGAAAGCGTCGCGCCCATCTTTTTCGAAAATGTAGCAAGATACGCCGGATTCTTTGAATCGTGTCCGCAGTACATTCCCAATGTACTACAGGCGTTTGTTGATGTTAGGTGAGAGCTACAACCACCACTACCAACACTGCGGCGATCGAGAATCCCCCTCCCAATACCTGTTCTGATCTTCACCGTCGGTGATCTTGACATAGGGGACTGCATCACTCGAGCACCTCGGTCCGCTGCCGGGTCAACTACCTGTTCCTGCGGTTTGTCAAAACCATGCGGCTTCGTCTGTTGCCCTACGTCGAGCATGTCATCACCAATGTGCAGGTTTGTTGAACCGACGTGCACTTGCAGACCGATTCGTGTGGCTGCTTGGATTGGAAGAGCAAGCCTCGACCATGCACCAGCTGCATGGCAAACGCTCACCGGGTTGCGCTCGATGTTACAGGATCTTTTGCTCGTCGCTCGTCCTCCTCCTCCCCCAAACGATGCCAACAGCGATGTCTCCAGTATCGCCAGCGAGTTTGACAGCCAGCTCTATCTCTTCGAGGCCATCGGCATGCTGATTTCCCTGGAAGGCATCGTACCAGTCAAACAAGAAGCCATGCTCCAGGTATGCGTCGCTTTCACTCTGCCACATGCAAGCGACACAGTCGCCTACGACTTGGCTGCCCGATCTCACCGCAGTCTCTGTATGGTCGCCTGCTTGTCCTGTCCTAGGCCATCCTTGCTCCCCTTCTGGTCAACATTCAGGATATCATGGAGAAAGAGTCCGAAAAACTTGGCGAAGAAGCTGTCATCTACCACCTCAACCATCTCATAACAGCGATCGGATCTGTTGGAAAGGGTATGGCTCGGATTTCCTTGCGCTCCGCGTCCAAGCCCGCGCGCCAATGACGCTTGCATCGCTGCTCTACCCCAACACACTCAAACGGATTCACTGCTCCCAGGCTTCCCGGACCACGAGCAAGCTGCAAAGAACGCGCCTGTAGCACTCTGGCCGCACGTTTTCCAGCAAGCCATGAATGCAATTCTGGTTGTTCTGACTCAGCTCAACGCCAGCACCGTCATTCGCGAAGCTGTAAGTCGGAGTGGGTGCGCTCGCCATCGTGGCTCATCGGGTGTGCAGCTATGGTGGCGAACAACGGCAAGCTGCCCTGGTTCTATGTTCAGTAATGCCAGCGACAGCAGAGACGCAGATCAATACCAGGCGTATTGATCATCGCCACATCGCATTAACCGTCGCACCTCCGACCTGTTTCAGGCGCGCTTCACCTTCCAGCGTATGGTTGGCTGTATGGGCACCCTCAGCCTGCCCTACACGCACCACCTTCTCAAGGCTGGGCTCTTGGCCGGAGGTGTCGCCCGCGAAGTCATTGACTTCCTGCCCGTCATCAGCTTGATCATGCACAAATTCCAGGTAAGTCGTCAGCATTGCGCTCGTCTATCTTGGCAAGCTATGGCATCAAAGTTGCGTGGGTGATTTGTGGCTCATCAAGTGCTCACTGTGGCCCACTAACTCGTCCGTGACACGACTGGCAGCCCCACGAAATCCTGCAAGATATTCTAGGCCCCTTGATGGAGCGCATATTTTTCTTCTTGAACCAACCTGCCAACGGCACGGATGATCTAGTGATCCTCAACGACATGAGGAAGGCGTATCTCACCTTTATCGGCAATATCTTCAATGAGGATCTGGAGGCTGTGCTGGGTAAGTGAAACGCTGCGGAGTATAGTTTGGCGCAAGCCGCTGTCCTGTCTTGGCCGTCGGTTTGCTAAAAGTACCAACTTTGGAATCGCTCTGCTTGCCTTGTGGCAACTATTCAGTGAGCTCGCCACAGATGCAGCCCATGCTCCAGTCGGTCTTGGCCTATGCCAGCAATCTCTCTGATCCGATCTCGGCAAAGATTGCCCTCTCGGTGCTCTCCAAGACTGTTGTATCGTGGGGCGGCAACCCCAGCGAAGGCGATGACACAAACAGCAGCTCCTCGACTCTCTCAAGCAGCGCCGATGCCCTCGCCGGTCAGGCAAACGGAGCGGCCAGCCCGGCCAACGGCGTTAGCTATGCCCGCACCAAGACTGGAAAGCGCGGCATGGTCGGCCTCAAGATCGAGAAGGCCAAGAGCGGCGACCTGGCTATTGGCGGCGGCGGCAAGGCGCCGATTCCCGGTTACTCCCAGTTTATCTATGCAAGCATTGTGCCCATTCTCTTCCAGCTGCCGGTGAGCCCCGAGTTCAACATGCAGAACGGCGACTTTATCCTGATCTTCACCGAGATTGCCACGCTCCACAAGGTCATTCTCGCAACACTCGGCCTCGAATACGTCGACTACTTGCTCAAGGTGTACTTTGTGGGCATCCAGTGCCCAGACGAGCTGGCGCGCGAGTTCACCATGGCCCTCCAGAAACTCGACATCAAGCAGTTCAAGAAGTATCTGCAGGTAGGACACGCGCTGTTGCATCTGTTGCATCTGTCGACTTGAGTTGCTTTGGATCTAGCTGCATTCTCCCCTTGCAGCGGCATATTTCCGCAGCGGTCCCACATGCATCATCTGCACCTCTGTATCGCAACCTCGGCAGCGATCAAATAGCAAATGCTGAGCACGCTGTTCTGATCCTGTCCATACTTCCAGGATTTTGTTCGACGGGCAAGTGGCCGATAAGCAAGCGACCTTCTTTCGCGGCGTCGCAAGCCTCAACGAATCTCTGGCTTCTCCAAACCACCCTCCCGCGATCACCTTTGCTTTGGCACTTGCTTTTGTTCTCTCATCCCCTCTCGCCTCCTCTTGCCCGCTTCTTGGCTTCGGCCAGCTTCGCCCGTTCCTGTCTAGAACTCTCCTGCTGTCTTGCTTCGACCTTCCGCTACTATATCGTGCCGCACTCCATGCGTCCCCGCTCCTTTCCTTTGGTCCTGGCATCACCCAGCGACGACACATTATTCAAGCCCCTCGACTCGTGAGCGCAACTGCGCTCGCTTCCTCATCCCTTCCCCCTTTGCCTTCTGCCCTCTTGATCCGCTCGCTGCTTGTACCCCTTCCTGACCGCTCTCCTTCATGCCTTTGTTCCGATCGTGACTCTCCCCCATATCTCTGCCCTCCTCCCGGCACCCTTCACCTCCTGCTTCGACAAGGATAATGCCAAACCCCACCGCCTCCTGCAGGCAACCTGGGTTGTTGTTGTGTCAGCGTATTGCGGCTGCTCCCAGCGTCCGACCCTGCCAACAGACCACCATCTCCCTCCCCACACACACACAAGCGTTTGTATTTCGATGATGTATACTTGGCGATGATATATGGCTGTATGGGCCGATGGCTGTGTGAACGTGAAATACAGCCCTTCTTAGGACACACAAGAGAAACGATATCCTCTCTTGCAGTCCTCATCGGATATCTTGACCACACTGCCGGGTCGCTGCTCGCCTGCCTCAACGAATACACAGCTGATTGGGCGGCCAGAGGCAACAATGACCGCTGCTTTGGGTCTCAGCTTCTTTTGTCATTTCGGCATAGCACTTCCAAAGGAAATGGAGGCGGGTGATTCAATCCAGTGATTCGCGACAAGATAATCGCTGCTTGCCGCAAACGCCAAAGCATCTGCAGGCTGCTGAGCAGATTGCCGACGAATACATTGTGTAGAGGAGGGGCAGGGCAACACCACGGGAGCCTTCCTCCTCCAAGACAGCATTTGCGTGGGCCGCTTCAGCCTGGCTTTCTCACCCGGATCTTCATCCGACAAGTAACGCCGAGAGAGTACATCGCTGGGATCGCTCCGATTACCCTGCAGACATTTCGGACTCGTTCGCCCTCGATCCTCCCACACTCTCGCTTCAAGGACCACAACCCACAAGGAGACCGACGGCATATCGTCTCGTCGCTGATTGTCCGAAATGTCTGTCGAGACAAAGTATGAACAGACATCCCTACGGGCGCGGTTGTATTGGCGGGACAACGGACGGCGACGTTCGCACACAGCTATCACACAGAGCGCTCGAGCATTCTGCGACGCCCAGCTCGCGAAAACGGACTACGCTGCTTCTAACATCAGGCCCGTCACTCTTGCCGCTCAGTGTACAGAGCCTATTCACCCCGGATGGCAGCTCCGCGGTGACAAAAAGCAGCACCACGGTCCTGCTACGGGTGCAGCTTCCAGACTCAAGCACCACCGTCATCCAGCTGGACAAGGAGATGACCATGTGGGAGATTGTCAATGTGATATGCGCAAAGAAAGGCCTCGCTCCGTCACGGCACGACATCAAGGTGCTTGTGGAAGGCAAGGAAGAAGCGGCCGATCTGGCTCGGTCGCTCATGTCATATACCAAGCTCGAGAGAATCATCCTCATCTCGACCGACAAGGCAACAGGTAAAAGCAGGCACACTCACCATCGCCATCGCACTCGGCATCGCACTCGGCATCGTACTCGGCATCGTACTCGGCATCGCCATCGGCAATACAGGCGTGTGAGACACTCCTTCCTCTCGTTTGCCTGGCTGGCACACGCAGCACCATCCACGAACGAGTCTCATGGCTTGATGTCCATCTGACGGTTTGTGTTGTCGTCGGCTCTTCTGACCAAATCAGCGGCCAAGGACACTGCCATGAACCGTGCACCAACAAGCTCTGTCAAGTCATCGCACTCTGGTAGCGATGTCCGTGAGAAACTGCTCAAAGAGATCGAGAGTACCCGCGGTAAGCCAAGTGCCTCGTCAGAAGCAGCGCCGGCCCCAGCCCCGGCACCAGCAGCAAATACTCTGCTATCTGTGGGGGTTTCTCACGGATAGCCGCCCAGATTATTGTTGACCCCTCGTGCATTCGCCGACAGCCGAAAAGACTCTCAGCATTCAGACATCCAGCCGTCGTCCATCCATAATGATGGACCGGTCCAAGAATCTGTCGGTTCGCACTGCTCCGTCCGAGTTTCCCAAGACCGTGATCCAGGCGGAAGAGGGACATGCCGGCCCCAAAAAGGGCAAGAGTCTGATGAGTCTCTCCAAGATGCTCTTCAAGCAAAAGTCCGAGATCTCCGAAGTCGGCAGCCTGAACAGCGCCAGCAGCCACGGGAGCCTGAACGAAACCGTGGAATTGAGTCTGCCCGCCTCCGAGTGCGGTAACAGCCGCATCAGTCTGTCCAGCATCGACGAACATGCCGAACACTCTGAGCTCAGTCTTGCCGAATCGTCGGTGCTTTCGTCGGCCAAGACAACAAACTTTCATGTTTTGGACTCCCCAATGAAGAGTCTCCTGGAAGATGGCGATGGTCGCCTGTCCCTCGCCAGCACCCATTTCGAGACTTCGGTAACGCCGGATACGCAGGGCTCGGTTCTGCTGCCGCATTCCGCAAGCAGCTACAGCCAGAACGGGACGGCGTTTGCGTCTGCATTTGCAGCAACATCGTCGGTGTCGTCGTTTTCTGTCGACAAAGACGAGGACAGCGACCACAAGCCCTCGTCTCACGAGTCGCTTGCCAGCCTGCCAGATATGCGGTTCTCCTGCGCCTCGGAAACGGATTTGCACAAGCCCCACAGCCCGTCCAGTTCCGGATTTCCTGCGCTCGATCATAAGGCCATGTAAGTCGGCTGCTCGGAGGGAAGCTGTAAAGATCAGTCAAAGTGGATCTTCGCTTTGGAAACGTGCCGGTGGTGCTCGGGAGTATGGCGACGAGTATTGGCAGATGCACGCTCCTGCTCGAATACTAGCACCCGGATCCCTGCAGACCCGGCCAACTCCTTTCTGAGAGCCCCCTCCCATCACTAACTTGTTCGGCACTGGGCTTGCAGCCGCAAGCGCACGATATCAGCTGGCACCGCGCCCCATGGCGAAGCCAGCCTAAGCATCGGACGAAAGGCGACGACGCCGACGGGATCCAAGCACAGCGTCGATTCTATCTTTGCCAGAGAACTCGAGAATAGCGGATACTTGGACCCCACGCTGCGGCGTGTCACCCTCAAGACCAAAGTCCAGGGCCAGGCCGACGAGGTTGTCGTTAAGATTCCGAGCGAGATCATGGTAGAATCGGCCCTGCAGCATATCTGCCAGAAGCGCGGCATTGATTTCGCCACCCACACCCTCGAAATCCTCCGGGGCGGCAAGCAAGAGTCGTGTGAACTGGACCGGACCCTCCAGTCCTATTTAGACGAGGGCCAGTTCGAGGATGTGGTGCTTGTGCAGAAGCGCAAGGAGTACAGTACAGAAACATACAGCGACAACGGCGTGGATGTGATGATCTGCCAGCGGGTCAACAAGAAGTAAGTGCATTGACGGATCACACCAGCGTGAGGTCCATCGTGGACTTCAATGGGGCTGTCGGGCTCTAGATTGGGACAAACAGGATTATTGTGTGCCCTTTATGATCCTCAAGAATCTCCGGACGATGCCAGCCACGAGCGACTCTAACTGTATATACTGCATATTCGTTGTGTCTTGTGCTTCTAAATAGACTGATTGTTATGGCGGCGACCATGGACATGCTGCTCGACCGCTTGGTGAACGATGAAGAAAGAGGTAAACACAGTCCTCGCCCAGATCAAGCCCGAGGACTTGCATGGGGGAGGCTTTGGGTTTTGTACAGCACTTGGCGCACAAGACAAGTGCTTTGCGAGGGAATTTATTGTGCCAGAGCGTTTTCAAGCAGCATCCAACAAACGGCGGAATAGTCATTCCAACCCGACACAGTTTGCCTGCACGCTGTTGACTCTTTTTTCCCACCCTCAACACCTGCGATGATGCCGGGTGAATATCTTCTCACAGACCAGCAATTCCTGGATACGTTCATGATGACCTATCGCACCTTCATGACACCGACGGAGCTGATGGAGTTTCTTGTCAGCGCCTTCAACATCGAGGCGCCACAGCTGGCCTCCCAGGAGGAAACGGCCCGCTTCGACCAAATGCGCTCCACGATGCAGAAAAAGTACGTGCCTGTCTGAGAGCACTAGGGCGACGGCTGTGAGACATGTCCCAGCCCAGAGACTCTCAGCCTACTCTGAGTGCTCAGATCGATGACTTTGCCACAAATCATCGGTGTCATACGGTCGATGATCCATTAACACCTGTGTCGCTGGATCGGCTCATTGTGGCAAAAAATAGAGTTCTGAACACCGCCACTTTCTGGGTCGAACACCACTGGCACGACTTTGCGCGCAACAGCGACCTGCGAAAGGGTCTGGAAGAGTTCATGCGCCTGGTGGTCATCAACCGCGACAAAGGAGGGACGGATTTCACGATCCAGCTCTCGGACATCAACTATCTGATTGAAACCCAGGTAGGTGCATCACCAAATGCCGATGATGAAACCCGCCCCACGATGCGTCCACCAAGACTGACCAGAACTCGGCCGCTTGGCGCTGGTCGAGGGCCCGTTCAGACCAAGAAGCACGAGGAGATATTCCTGTACTATAAAACGGTCGAGAAGAAGGGCAAGATGATGGAAAGCATGTTCACGGAGCTCACTCCCGAGGAGCTCGGCAAGCAAATGTGCATTCACAACTTCAAACTCTTCAAGAACATCCATCCAATTGAGTTCCTGAGCCAGATATGGAAGAAGCCCGAGGATGAGTCGACGCCGTGCCTCGACTTTTTCGTGTCTCGCTTCGACAAGGAGTCGTATTGGGTTGCCACCGAGATTGTACAGATCAAGGATGCCAAGAAGCGGTCTGCGGTGCTGAAGAACTTTATCATGACGGCCAAGGTGGGATGAGAGGGCTTTGAGGCAGCTATGATGGTTCGGAGCGGTTGATTCCAAAGGATGCATGGTCGACAATTGCGTTCAGTGTTTGACACGGCGCACGATCAACCGATTGGTTGGCAGGCATGCAAAACGTACAATAATTACTTTAGCCTCTTCGCGCTGATCGCGGGTCTGGGGCTGACGCCCGTGACAAGACTGAAGAAGACCTGGGAGGTAAGCGTCTCTCTCACCCGTCAGCACCTGCGAAAGTAGCAGCGACATATACAACGATGTGCGCGATAGGGTTGATCCTGCTGCGAGGACAACTCAAGGACGGTACGGATTTATGCACTCATATCTTGCGACCCGATACCCCAATTTGCACAAGATGCTGCCGGACAAGACCAAGAAGACATATCAGGAGCTTGAGAAGATCAGCGACCCTTCACGGAACATGAAAAACTACCGCGATGCCCTCGCTGCCTCTGCGCCACCGATTGTCCCGTTTCTGCGTGAGTAGTGCAGCGGAGGGGTTGCGGAGATGCTATAATGGCGACCGTGGTGATGGTTGCTTGGTTGCTTGCGATGGTCAAGCATTCGATTGTGCTGCTCCGAGCTCGAATCGACTCTGATGGATAAGTCATTGCTCGTGGTGGGCGTGGCTCGATACTGCCGTTGTGCGCATGCTTTGTACAGAGTGCTAACCGCAGGACTGGTCATCAGCAATTTATCTCAAGGATCTGACCTTCATGAACGACGGCAACCAGTCCAAGGTGCGCGAGATGATCAACTTTGACAAGCTGCGAATGATGGCCAATCGAGTCAAGGACATCTCGGCGCTCGTCGGAATAGAATACAAGGACTTTGTGCCCAATCCGATGATTCAGAACTACCTGGCCAAGCCACCGATCGAAAAGAGTATCACGAAGCTGAAGGAGATGTCGCTTGAGTGGTAAGCGGATGTCGAGGGCCACGTTTGCACTGGCTCGAGCGGAAAGTGTGCGAAGAGCGGTGCAAGTCGGGCTCAAGCAGTCCAGTCCGCGACATGGCGATTGCCAATTGCATGACGAATGCATAAAACGGCGATTGTTCCTGCGACCGCTTGCTGGTGCCGCCCCAGTTGAAAGGGTCGTTGATGGCAGTTAACAGTCCTCTGCGTCTCAATTGATCGCCCCACAGTGAGAAGGCCGCTTGATTTAAAGTGGACAAAGGCACCGACATCGAGAGCGGGTCGACCACGGTGCGGCGATTCCATAGAACCTGTCAGAAAATACAGCCGATCCAATAAAAACGGGACACCCCGGGTTTTGGTCGTTGATGAATGTTATCACTCAACACATCGCGCTGGCCATGACCATTCAGTGATGGAATTCTGGATCTGAATCAAGGACGCTTTCTCGTTCAGATGGCTCCCGCAAGCGAAAGGCCGAGTATCTCGATATCGATACACCATGGAGCTGTCCAGAGAATCGAGTGGATGCACCACACAAAGAGATTGCCAACCAGGATAGAAACAATCGTATGGCTTGCCCACTGGAGCCTACGATCAGCAGACCTGTGTCGCTGATGCCAGAGAAGGACTGTCCCGTTTCTCTCTGGATTGATTCTGCCCCTCGGATTGGACCTGTGGCTGCAGTCGTCGTCAGCACTGCCACAAGCGCATCCGCTCCTCTGGTCAAGTGTCGATAGGCAACTATGATCTTGTGACGAGTGCAATTGGATGTATTGAGCCGAGGAAATGTGCTGCTCGATGATGACGCAGGCGCTGCAGGGCCGGTGTAGTGAGGGTGCTGGAGGGAAGTCAGAGGATACTTGGCCGACTGAAAAGTCGCCGCTCAGGCCTTGCCTTGACTGTGGAGAGCTGTGGCTTGTTGTCGCAGCTCTGGGGCCATGTGCAGGTAGATGCAGATGCAGATAGCCGAAGGCACCGTGGCATGCGCCGATACATGGATGGGCACAACAATCCAGCAGATCGCATGTCCGCAAAGGCAAAGTAATGAACATGATCGTCAGCAGACATCGGATGGACAGGGTGGCTCGCATCCAGCGTCGCTGCAGCGGACCCAGCCCGGTGCTCGATTTGCGACCCGCGGCATCGGCAAATGCTCACCTTCCTGGTCGTCTGGTGATAGCGAGAAAAACTCTTGCTTCTTCTGCTCGAAATACCGTCGGATCTGCGAGGTGGCGGCGATGCCGTCGGTCAGAAAGTACCCATGTCTAGCTTCAGCTGAATCGGGCAAAGCTGTCTTGATGCAGCACCAATATAAGAGGGGCAGTCTTCTCACTCCATCGCTTACCGGACGGAAGCAGTGATCGCCATCTCCCCAGTCCATCCAGAGAACACTGTAGACGCCGAGGACTAGAGACGAGAGAGAAAACAAAGACAGCTGAGCACCGGGCGAGTAGAGAGGCCATTGATACGCAGTAAGGATGGCTGTGATTGGCCAAGTCGACGAAGCAGCACTTCGATGTCGCTCTTTGGACTCTCAGGAGAGATTGATCTGAAAGAGCCCCACAAGTTGCGGTCGATACAAGCCCATGAACCAGAGACGTACCGGCCATGACCGCATAGGAGCCGCGCATGAAGAGCTGAACACCCGGGGTAACGGTGTTCTTTCTGGGGTGCAGCAGCCGCCTGCGGTACTTGAGATACTTTGGGTTCGCCGAGATGGCCTTGGGGACACTGGACTCGTAGTGGGACATGGGATGTGTTCACAGGGCTGTGGGCTGCGGGTGGGTCGCTGTCGATACGATGTATTCACTCGGTCGGCTGGCTGGGTTCTCGAGAGGTGCGAGCGTCGGTGTGGGCACGGGCCAGCAACGACAGATCGACGGAATGAAGGGCAGCGAAGGACAGCGACCGAGAGAAGAAAAAAAATGGAGCGCAGGACAAAAGGGCGCCCCCGAGCCGCCGAACGGGTGCATGGGCACCGACAGCGAACATATCGACCAGGACCAACTGTGGACATCGGCATCGGCATCTGCATGGATATCGGCATCGACATGGGTATCGACATGGATATCGACATGGATATCGACATGGATATCGATATCGCACCCGCAGCGCCGTCGGCCGGCTGGGTCGGCACCGCTTGTCAGCCCGCGCAAACGCGCTGCAGCAAAACTCGGCATTCGCCCGACCCCGACTTGCTGCTGGCTTGCCCTTGATCTTGCCCTCCGCGCACTGCTCTCAAGCGCATCCCGGCCCAGCCATGGTTCATCTGGAACGAGCAACACCGTCGTCTGCATCGTCCCTGAACAGCCACCCCCGCCATCGCTACCCCAACAGCGACTCGGGCTCGGACTCGGACGACTCCTCCACGCGACCGGCCCGACGACGCCTGTCGAACAGCTCCAAGCAGCGATCGGGCCTCAAGGTTAAGCCAACGGCCGTATCGTCTGGCCAATGGACCCCGCTGGTCCCGCAGAGCCAGTTGGGCGATAACTCGGATCTAGCGCTGCTGTCGGTCCTGGATGATGTCGGCTCGCTCTCGAGCGAATCTTCCGATGCCGACGCTGGCCCCTTCTCGACCTCGCAGGAGCTGGGCTCGTCGCAGATGCAGCTGGACGGTTCGCTGTCAGATGGCTCGGAGCCCGGCGGCTCTCCGATGCTGCTCTCCCAGCCGTCGGGCGATCTGGTCGATCTTGAGTCTGAGATCGAACTCCCTATTATCGCTACCGCCGCCGCCGCCACCACCACCACCACTGCCGGTGCCGCTGCTGCTGCTGAAGCCCCCGCTGCGATGCCCAAGCCCAGCCTGTCGAGCCCTGCAAGCCGCATGGACCCGGGCGAGACTGCCGCCAGCCAAACCGAGCCAGAAAGCAGCCTGGCAGGTATGTCCTTTCAGATACCCAAGGTATCGCCCAAGTGGGAATTTGACGGCTTTGAGGGCGGACCGTCGTCCCATCAAATCGTGCTGGACTGGCTCCTGGTCCCGCGCAACTACGAGCGTTGGGCTGGACTAGAGAAGAACGCATCTGTCTCAAAAGTGGCCCTCTGTCGAGAGATCATCCGCCTCCTCAATGACGCCAAGATCTTCACCCGTCGAGAGAGCGATGTCACGAACCGCATCAACGGCTGGCTCAAGTCCTACAAGGAGGCATGTGCATGGCTTGAGACCGAGGGCGCCACCATCCGCACGAGCGGTGTTGACGACCCCGAGTCGGTCATCCGTTTCCATATCCTCACCACGCTCAAGTGCAAGCACTTTTACGAGTTCCATCCGATCTTTGAAGAGGCCAAGAGCCGCTATCGGGCGTCGTTCTCAAAGACCCCGAACGCCCGCACCCCGTCGGCCCCCAAGACCTCCCCGGCCCCTGAGCCCGCCCGTGCCTACTCTGTGCCGGTGACTGCTCATAAACCGGCCGCGAGCATCCAGACATTGCACTCCGACCCTGCGAGCGGCACCGATACCCCCCAAGATCGCACGAATGCCCCCGCCGCGAAATATCGGAGCAGCCGGGAAGCAGCCGAGAAGCCGCAACCGCCACAATTGCCGCCGACCACAAGCGCCTCCGCATCTGCCACAGCGAGCCCATCGCCGTCGATTCTCACAACACCCGTCCGGTCAGTTTCCAAACGACCTGATATTGTGCTGGCTGAATCGAGCCCAGCGGCTGTTCGGTCGGTCACAAAGACTACAAAGGTGGCAAAGACGGCACGGCCAACACCGACCTCGGCGCAGCCGACCCAGATCGAAATCAAGCTCAGCGATGTGCCCGAGCCCATCGTGTCGCCCGTGCTTACTCCAACGGCCCGAGCCATGGATCGCGACTTGCAGAGCCAGGACCTCGCGGCGTCTGCTCTGAGCGGCACCGCCCTGTCCCTTGAGCTTAATGATGCTCCGAGCCCAAGCCAACGGCTGTTGACGACAAGCCTGGGTGTCAATGCCAGTGCCAGTGTCAGAGCCAGTGCCAGTGCCAGTGCTAGTGCTAGTGCCAGTGCCAGTGCCAGTGCCGCAAAGGACACCAGCTCGCTTGTCCGTAAGCGAGTACCGTCGCAAAAGCAACCGCAGTCGCAACCACAGCCCACCGCCGAGCCTCTGTCCCAAGTGTTGCTTGGCGTTGAGCCCAGGGAGCTCGCCCCAGAAGTTGAGGTGGAGATTGTTTACACTGGCCCTCTGAAACGATCAGGTTTGTACAAAGACGAGATCCTGCAGGACGGCTTAGTGTTGGATTGGCTCCGTCTGGGGTCTGTGGCAGCTCCGTGTGGTGGCGGGGCTGTCGAAACATCTGTCGGACCGGCGACGATCAAATGCATGGAGCCCAAGGCAGTCTGTGAGCTGATCCATCTTGGGCCTACCGACTATGATTGCGATCGCTCATATCTACCCTCCTTCCCATCTGCCTTTCGAAATTGCTGCTCTATGCCTGTGGTTGTGGTGACCAGTGTCCGCCTCGCAAACGTCCGCTTCCAGAAAAGCCACCCAGTCCAAGCAGTCGCTGAAAAGCTCAAAGACTCCAACGCGAAAGCCCAAATCACTCTTGGACACGTTCGTTGTTGATCCCACCCAAATCATTCAGTCGACCCAGCCCTGCCCGACGACGCCTCTCCAAAGCCGCGACATGGGGTCTGCTCCTGCTCCGCCGCAATACCAGCCTTCGTCTGAGATACTCGAGATCGGTTCACAGAATCTAAGCAGCGCATCGGCAAAGTCCCGGTCCCGTGAGCAGTCTATCGTGTTGCATGATATCGAAATGAACGAAGATGATGCTGCAATGGCGCCGGCGCCGGCTCGATCTTGGACGCAGTCTCTCACCTCAAAGTCGGAAGCCAAGCCACCGCCGTCCACGATGCCTTTTGGCCCGGGTGTGAGTCCAGTCCAGGCACTGGCCGACGGGCAGACAGATTCCGCCAAGGGCAGCAGCGACAACAGTGCACCTAGTCACTCGACTGAGCCAAGGGATCCCCGCCCCATTCGCTCATACTCCAGGCAACGACAAGAAATCTCCTCGCAGAGCGACCTCTATGCGTCTCAGACGCGGGAGCCCGATTCCCCGCACGAAGCGTCGCAGCCTCCGGGATCCTATCGCACCGAGCCCAAGACCCCAGCCACCACCGCCGTCAAGCGGAAGGAGGAGGCCTCGGCCGAGTCCCACGCAAGCAAGCGGCGCTACATCGATGGAAAGACGCCCGCAGATGCCCCACCAAATTTGCAAGATCGCCATGCCTCAGCGTCTTCCAGAAGCCTCGAGTCACAGGGACTTGCCGGCGCCGTTCGCGAGACAAGTCCAGGGCCTGCAGGTAACTCGACACCACCATCCCGCCGCCTTGGAGAACGAGATAAGGAAGCCACGCGGTATCGTCCGTCATACGAACGTCGACAAGATCCCGAGCACTCGTATCGACCCAACTACTATCGCAACGAGCGACGACGCAGCCCCCCTCGGGATTGGCGACAGGAGCGCGAGGAGCCGCATCGATACGAGAGGCAGGGCGACGCCTACGGCGGCTCTTACGGCGGCTCAGCAAGCCGCAACGACCGTGGCGGCTACGGCCTATCCGAGTATACAAAGCTGCGAGAGAACGGATACCTCAGCGACCCCGAAGCCGCCAGCCGCAGCCACGCGTGGATCGACTCTGGGACTGCCGATCCGGACCGCCCGCGACGCTTGTCCACTTCGACGCCGCCTGACGCTCGATCCAAAAGCAAATACCCAACCGACCCTGCCCTGGTCGACCAGCTCTTCCTCCAGCGCGAGCTCGAGATCCATGAACTGACAATGGCCAGGCTGAAGGCGGACCTGCATGTCTCACAGCTCAAGGTCAAGTACGCACACGAGCTTCTCGACCGCGTGCGAAACGATGCCGAGAACGAGCGGCAGCAGTTGTCCAACAAGAAGCTCAAGATCGAGCTGTTTGTGGCCCGGAAGATGGCCGAGCGGCGTATGCAGGAGCTGGGCATGTCGATCGATGAATTCGAGGCGGCTCTGGTGTCTATGAATTGACTCGAGGACGGAGAAGACGGGAGAAGAGAGGCGCAGGGCGGACACCATGATGCGGCTGCTGTTTCTGCCGACATGAATACATATGTTCCAGTATTATCGAAACCCAAACGCGAACACACTCAAGCTCCACGTCAAAGCGAGCCATCGCCAGCCAGCCTGGGCCGCTGATGGACTGGTCGACGATTCACTCATCAACGACATCCATTCCAGCACGGACACACCTTGATAGGCACATGCATGCCATACTCTCTCCGGTGGCGGAGGCGTCGCCCAATGAGAGGAGCCCTTGGACCGGGTGCGTCGTCTCCCTGCCCTGTCTCCAAGTGATAGATCGTCGCGTTATGGATGGCTGAAGTCCGTGCGTGCGCCGCGAAGGCCGAAGTGCTAAATACAGTCGGCCCAGAAAGAAACGGGACAGTTCCTTCCTGGCATCAGATGTCTGAACCCCGCTGACTGACTGTAGGCCCAGCGGGCAAGCCATGGCATTGCACTCCTGTCTTCGTCGGCAATCTCTTTGTTGGTTTGGGAAGCACAGTCTTGAATACACCCGGTCGATCTCCTGTGGCGATGATCGACTGGCATACCGAGATCATGTTCCTGGCTGCATTGATGTCTCGATCCCACAGCGTATGGCAGCTTGTACAGCTCCGGACAAAGTGTGGTGTATCGATATCAAGATGCTCGACCTTCTCGAGTCGCTTGGCTTCCCGACAATGTGAGCACACCTGGGATGTGTTGAACTCGTTCACCGAGCACACATGAATGAACTGCTCAAAATACCGAGCGAACCTGAGTCTCCTGGGACTGGAAGCATATCCCTTCCCCTGTTTCCAGGATGCATTCCCAAAGGCAATCACCACTTCGGTCTCCTTGGACATACTGAATAGCTATGAATGCGATGAGTGGGTGTGTGTATTCAGGTTCCAGAAATACACACTGTCCTGGCTCAAAACGGGGGTGTCCCATTTCATTTTGGAAACGCTGTAGATGGAATGTGTGTGTATTCGGGGTCCAGAGAAAGAAGGGTAGCTTTTGTTTTGGCTCCAAAAAAGGGATAAATTAAGGGAGGTGCGTGTTCAAGAGGGTGGGATGAGCATAGTAGGTGGGAGGAGAAAGAGGAGAAAGAGGAGTAGCCAGAGGGTCGAGAGTAGACAGTTGCAAACGCCAAGGGAGCCAAAGGCGAGCGTCAGTCAGTGCGCCAGTCAGCGCCAGCAGTTTGCACGCAAGTGAGCCAAAGTTGAACAAGAAGCAAAGAGTATACATGGAAAATCGATCGAGGTGAGTCCCCGAACGAACAGAGTAAGCGGATAGGCGAAACTGACGGTCGCAACGAGACAGGGACGCGAAAGGCAAGGCAAAGTAAGGGAGCAGAGGACAGGGTCCGAGACACCGGTGGTGGCCGCCAGAAAAGCCCGAGGGGCTGCCAATAGGGGATCCTGTAAAGCAGCAGCGCCCTCAGAGAAGCCCTCGGAAAGGGGGCTCTATGACTTGTCTTCGGATGAAGCCAAGGCAGCCGGCGCAGCCGTCATGACCAGCGTCACCGGGGCTTCTGGCGATGTTGACGCTGGTGCTGTTGCCAGCGATTCATTTTCCAACGAGCCTACGGGCAAGGCGATCGACGCAACGGGCTTGCCAGCGACCTTGTACTCGAGACTGTTGGTCCAAAAATGCGAAATGTTGGCTTGCAGGGCCGGCAGCACGCCGTAGAGAACACCGCTGACGGGAAGCGCGATCCAGTCCAGGAGATTGAGGAGGCTGCGAGTCGACACAAACTGGGACCGCTTGCCGAGGTATTGGACGTTGCCGGTGGACTGGGCAGCGTGCTTCCAGCGGCCGATGGCGATCCAGTGGTGGTAGAACTCAAAGACGATGATGGTGAGGACGAAGGGCGCCATAGCAACGTTGCGCATCATCCCGGCAATGTTGACGCAGGTCATGACGTAGCTATCGAGGGTGGGTGGGTTGCTGAGGCGAGAGAAGAAGAGCGAACCGACTGTGCTGTTGGGCAGACTCACGCTTGTGATCAGCATCACCAGCACAATGTGGATCAAGAAGACGTGGAGCTCGAGGATGCGATAGACCATGTCGAGGTAGGTGAGCAGGGGGAAATGCGACGGCGAGACTTGGTTTTCGATGTCGATGGCAATCTGTTTGCCGGTGAGGTAGCGATACATGTGGTTGAAGGTGCGCTCGAGGACATAGCCGGTGTCGAGCGATCCCCAAAGATGGCGACGGCTCTGGCCGTACCGGGCCCAGAGGGTCGAGAACCAGTGTTTGCCTTCGATATTGCACTGCGACGCCGGGGAGTAGACGCCGACAATCTCCAGCGAGCCACCCGTGGCAAAGAAGCACTTTGCGTACATGTGCATGTCCTCGCCGATGGCTTCGGGACCGACGTCCCAGAAGTCGACCGACCGGGCGAGGTTCATCGAGACCGAGTAGGCCGAGGTGGGGATCTTTGTGCTCGAGCCTTGGTACATATTGGAGATGCCGCCGATGGCCCACATGTTGTCGGCGGTTCGGACGATGAAGGGGATGTCCTTGGCGTTTCTGTGTGAGGAACAGGGGAGGCGGCGCGGTGAGTAAGCTGACGGCCACAGTTGCTTGGAAGGAGCATTCTGGGGTGCGGCTCCATCGACGAAGGGGAGGGCTGATGGTTGTGCGGAGGGTTACCTGTCAAAGACAACCGAGGTTGCAAACATCATGCGGTTCCGCTTCTCCTGGGGAGCGATGCCAAAGTGGTAGTTGATAGCCATGAAATAGTCTTGAGTGAAGCAGGTGTCGGCGTCCATGACGGTGTAGACATGGTCGTTGCGGTCTTCGATCTTGATGCTCATCTGGCGGGCGGCCCACGAAACATTGCTCGATTTGCCACGGATTTCGCCGACAAGGCCCGAGGGATGCTGTGTAAAGTCGATAAACAGGAACTTGTTCCTGAAGGCCGCAATCAAATCGTTGGCCTTGAGCTCGCTCCCCGACTCGCTGGCCTCCATGGCGAGGCAGATCTGGAGCAGGCGGACAGGACGAGGGGGGGGGAGGCGGCTTTGTGAGTACGAGAACCAGCAAGCCCAGCAAGCCTGGGCAGATAGCCAATCACATGCACAACAGGTGTGCTATGCGCACGCGATGCGCAGGGCATGTGCAGGGGTGTCCGGACGACTCGGCAGCCCCGAGCAGCGCAGCCAGCCCGTTCGCCAAGAAACGACCCGTGACCTCCACCAGCTCGTGTGCAACAGGAATCTCGGGCAACAGCAGCGGCAGCAGGGCACGGCACGGCATGGGGGGGGAGGACAAATTATAGCAGCAGGTGTACCTTGTACTGAGCCTTAGCGATGGTGTGACTTGCCAAGACGTCGAGGGTCTCGGTCAGAGTACCAATGTCCTCTTTGTAGTTCGGAATAATGATGACATGTCGCACTTGATAGAATCTGGAGTTGCGTTTGGAATCGACCAGAGTCACAGCCGAGCCGTCAGAGCTGGAGGCGTCGGAGTCGAGGTCCTTCTCGGGGAGAGCGGTACAGGGACTCGAGACAGAGGCGCTGGTGTCGACCAAGTCGGTCGAGTCGGGCTTCTGAGCATCGGCCAAGACCAGAAGTGGCGGAGTAGGGCTGGGAGTCGGCGCGGGCTCGGGCGACTGGGGGGCATCGGCCAGATACTTCTGGTACCAGTCGGTCTTGGAGTGCTTGACCGAGGCAAAGTAGATTGCGATCATGGCCCAGGCGGTGCGGAGGCCGTTCAGGACAAAGATGACTTGCAGGAAGAGATAGATTGCAACAAAGAGTTGAGGGGTGAAGTAGGGACCGATCGAGGAGATGAGCAGGGTGCAGATGAGCCAGATGCCCGGCAGCCGCTGGAAGACATGTTTGGAGTATCCGCTGGGATTCATGGTTGACCTTGTGGGTGGGATACTTGATGGACTGCGAGATGGAAAGTGCAAAGACGGGAGCAGGAGAAAAGGGAGAGAGGGGAGAGAGAAAAAAAAATGGAAGCACAAGGACCAAAGGGCCGGGGGATGGAGAGGCAGGTTAGCACGGGACTCGCGACAGCGGACAATCTCGACGGCGGAACGAGGGATGCCGACCAAGCGATGCCAGATATCGACGAACCAATGTCAGTGCGCCGGAACAGGAGGAGCGATGGGCAAAATGGTATGAGGACAGGCAGATGCAAGAGGGATGGGTTTGGATAGACGGGGCCGAGTGAGGCTTGATGCACAGCCCGACAGGCGGGAGTGTAAAAGGGGAGTGGATGGACTTTGAACTAACAAGAGGTTCTGGCAGGGATGAGGTCCAGGGCGCCAGGACAGCGAGAGAGAGCGACTTGCCTAATAACCGAGGGGCCGTTCCGAGGTGTGCGGATTATATATAGCGAGATGCGTTCCAGGAAGCATGCGGGGGGAGCGCGGAGATCGGCAGCGGCAGAGGCGTGCCCACAGGAATATATTGCGGGCTGGGCATGGAGTGAGCATCGCGAAGGACGAGAGACGAGACGGCGGCGAGACGGGGGCGAGAGCGGCGATTGTGCGGTGCTCGGCGAGAGAGACGAGGGCGTGGCAGAGCACTCAGTCCCAGCGAGGCCGAGTGGGAAAACGGGCCATTGGCGGTGGCTGGGACCTTCGGCTTGTTGGGCCTTCGGGCCAGCGAGGTCCTCGGCCCCTGCACGCTTTTTTTCGCTTGCGCTCTGGCGAATGGCGGCCTGCAGCCAGACAAGGACAAGGCTGCGAGCCCCGAGGACCGGTGGTACGCGCTGCCCACATAACAAACCCGTGCGACGCGCAGGATCGCTGGCTGGAACAGCGGCCGGTGCCTGGGGACGACGAGGGCCGGTGGTGTTGGCGCTGATGTTGAATTGGTGTCGGTGCTGATGTTAGATTGGTGTCGGCGTCGGCGCGAATGTTAGATTGGTGCCGTGTTAATGTTAAGTTGGTGCCAGCGCAGTCGACCGTGGATGCACTTGCAATTGATGTCTGAACGTCTGCATTGACCATCCCAAGCACGGATGACGAATCCACTCGGCCAACAAAGCGGCTGCTCGATGATCCCAAACTGCGCCAGCCAGACGACCAACACAAGCGGCTGCGCGCGGCCAGTCCGCCCCGTGGCAGCAGCTGCTGCCACAGTCGCGCCTGCAAAACGGCAAAACAGTGCCCGGCAAAACGGAGGACACGTCGGGGGTCGTCGTTGGCCTGCTGGCGCCCACGTCGACAAATCGATACGCAGTGATATGCAGCAGAGTGCGGCGGTGATATGCAGCAGCAGGCACGAAGCAGCAAGCAGCACGCTTCTCGGCCTCTGCGCGACCTCCTCTAGGCCCACCCGCCATCCCGGCCGTCGAGAGGCCTCCGTGCCGACTCAATCCGAGTCATATCGACGTGGGGTCCACAGCCATGCATCGACAGCGGCACAGACATCGCGGTGACTCTTGGCAGTGGCTCTTGGCATGGACCCGGCAATCGTCCGCGTTCCTCTTGCCCTCGATCAACCAATCCATCAGCCGGCGTGTGCTTCTCAGAACATGGAGCCCGCTGTGGGTGCCACTTCATCCCGCCGGTGTTGATGCCTCGGCGAGGCAAGGTTTCCAATCCGCAGGATATCCGGCGGCCAAAAGCTGACCACGCGCCGACTGCCTCGCGGGACACATGAGCCACCCTGCCCCACCGATATACTCCCGGTGCCCAAGACAGCATCCGGGCCAGCACGGTCGTCCGCAGGCGGCGGTCAGCAGTACTCTCGAGATGCCGAGATGCTGCCCGCCGTCGTGTGACGGCACAGAGTATACCCGAGTCATCCCCGTGCTGAGAAAACAAAGCAACCTGGTCCGCCCGACTCCTTATGCCCGCTGCATGTCCCAGAAATCCGGAGGTTCTGTTCATGATGGCCGCCATGATCTTGGTTGCATCGCACCCAACAGCCATGGCAAAGGTCCCAGACTCAAACTACTGGCAGACGATCGCGTCGCCGCAATAAGTATTCAACAATAGTCATAGACAAGGACCGACATGCATTCATGGTGTCCTATCTCACTTGACCCTGCTCGCCCCTCCCCGTTTACATCGTGGAACGAGCGTTGTAGGGCATGGCATCGGTAAAGGCCTTGAGCTGGGCCGGAGTGATCGAGAGCGGCTGATCCATGACGTTCCATGCAACTCCTTCGGTGCAAGGCGGGGTCGTCAGCGAGCCCGAGTAGGTCCAATAGTGGTCGTACTCGATGCGGTTCTTCATCAAGTCGAGCCGAAGCGAGGGGATGGTGTTGTTGCCGTTCGCCTGCTTGGGGATCTTTACAACGAGTGACATCCCAGCAGTTGTTAGTCTGGTGTTTGCTCTCCCACTCTCCAGCCACAGGTGCTCGGTTGCTTACGTAGCGGACGAGCTGATCCAGGAAGGCGTTGGGCTGGCTGCCGAGCTCAAAGAAGACGCCGACAACAGCAAGCTTAGGAGGGAGGTCCGAAGTGGCATGGACAAAGTGAACCTCGAGCGGGTAGTCTGCACATGGAGATCATGAACAGGGGCTGTTAGCACCGCCAAACTTGCACCGCGTGTTGGGCTGCATGATGTCACCGACAGACGTTGTGCTGTGCCAGATTAAGGCTGCTGAACTCACACTTTTCGTGCTTGTGGTGCTCCGAGGGTGAGTGGAAGTGGAATTGCTTCAGCTGGTAGGTCTGGTTGCTGGCAAGCTTGATGGTCGATCCGGCAGGGATGTTCACCTGGATAGTGTGGCCGTTGTTGACAAAGCTAGCCTTCTGGACCGAGCTGGCCCAACCAAAGGACGGTCGGCTCTGGTCATACAGCTGCTCGTCCTCAAGATTGATGGGCGACTGGTTCTTTCCGGCGCTGCAAGTCGCAAAGGAGGGATCGAGCTCGCCCCAGTGGGCCGAGCCAGTCTTGCCCTCGTAGCTCCAGGTGCCGCTTCGCTTGTGCAAGTACTGGTGGGCGATGACATCCGCCAGGCAGTTGACCGGAGAACGGGCCTGCAGCCCAGACTCCTGAATCGGAGCAGAGCTAGCGAGAGAGGCAGTGGCAGCGAGTCCGACGAGAGTAGTGGCCAGGAACTTCATTGTTGAGGTGGGAAGAGGCACGCGAGAGCAGTCGATGTTGAACAGTTGATGTTGGATGGTCTGGACCGGGATGGGGATCGCCCATTTATGAAGGCCGCGGCTCGCAATGGCCGTGCCATTAAGTTTTTTCTCTGACTCATGAGTTCCAGTGATCGGGGATAGGGAGGAGGCACAGAGTTTGCCTGCTTCAGTAAGCTATGGCAGGCCATGGCAGGCTTCGGCTTCCCAGAGCACATGGGCGATCGAGCCTATGGTTGCACCGCCCCGCCGAGCTTCCTTTTCCTCGACCTACCGAGCTGACTGGCCATCTCTAGCGTCAAAGAATAGAGTTATCGTCATTGGGCACTGAGTGAGATCCGGCAAAACCTTGGGGCGACCGCATCGGGCCCACCGCACTGTAGGATCAGTCTGTGGGCTGATTCACACGGACGAATGAGACTCCTCTCCACTGCCACAGAGTTTTCAGAGTGCGGGCACATGACGCGGCAGGTCCTGTATACATAGCGAGCCCAACCTTGCCCCAGGCTTTCGGAGGCACTTCTCTGTCCTGCAAGGTTGGAACACGGATCGCCAGGCGGCACAGCAACGAAATGACAAACACCTGATGAGTGCCGCTCAAGTGGTTACCGCCCCGAGTGCCCTTGGGGAAGTGCCTTCTTTGCGGGCATCATCAGAGTTTCGGGATGCAGTCTTGCGTTTTCTCACCCCCACCTGGCCAACACATGCTTGTGGAAGAGCAAGGGCGCCTCATTCCATTTCGCAACCATGTATGGCCTGTCCCGCTCCACCAACGCTGCAGCCGCAACCGGGCTGTGTATGTGCAGGGAAATGGTGTATTGGCGGTGCCAAAGGCCACCCCTGCTGACAGGCATGTGGGACCAGCCAGCGACAGCGACGGCAGCACAGAGCCTACTCGTCGACCGTCCACTGGGTCCGCATCTTGACGTTCTTGGGGCCCTTCTTATGGCGCTTGTCGTTCTTGACAGAGTTGCCGATGAGTGCCTCGGCCGTCACGGCCCCACGCGGCGCCCTTCTGCCTTTGCCTTTCAACGGAGCTCGCTTCTCCTCGCCCACATCGTCCACGCGGTTCTGGTGCGGGAACATTTGATTGCGGTTAAAGTTGCCACGCGAGAACTTGCCAACAGTCTTGGCTTGGATGTGCTTGCTGTTGAAGAACTCCGAGTCCATTGTGCGTGAGGGTGCCTGTCCGCCAGGCAGGAGGTGGTGGGAAACAGAGGGCAAAGGGGAGGGGTTGAGCGGTACTGCCTCGCAATAACTCACACTTGAACCGCCTGCCGGCCGAGACCGTCAGCTGCTCATCCAGCTGCTGCCCCGCGCAGTTCGAGAGATCACTTACTTGAGATACAGGCGTGCCGTCGACATAGCCAGGTGTAGCAATGGTCTTGCGCTGGAAGCGCTCTTGCAGGTAGATCTCGGCGTTAAAGTGCTTGGCATCGTTGTTCCCAGGCGGCGGATGGCAGTACAGCAGCTTGCCCTGCATACAGCACCGGGTCAGAGCGATGGTGTGAGTCAGGACACGAGCACCGGGTAGGTCTGACATGGGGTCCGTCTCCAGAATCGGCCACGACGGATCTACCTAAGCGATGCAACATCGCACACGAGAAGTGAGGCAGCTGGCTCGACAGTGGTCCCTAGACTTACGTTGACATAGTCCTTGAAAACATATCGCGACGCTCGGGCTTCATCCGGGTTGCCTTGGTACGACTTTTTGAATCCTCTAGCAACTGTCAGAGGATGCGCGGGTCATGGCCAGTTAATGTACGTGGACAGCATCGATATCAAGATCATCACAAGTGCGAACGATGATCAAGGCCAGCGGCAATCAAACCCCCGGCTTCGCATCTTGTCTTGACAACCGTCTCAGTCGAGTAGCATCGGCGCCGTCTCAATTATACTCACTTGCATAGGCAGAGAGAAGCTCCTCTCCAGTAGGTGCACGGTCAATTTCTAGGCCCTCGGCATCCCGTGTGCGGATGCGCAGACCGTAGATGCCCTCCAGTGCAACTTTGGGGATACGCTGGGTCAGCAAACCAGCCGGCCCAGTGTGCTCGCGGAGTTGGTCGATGGGCAGAACGCCGTTGAGGACCATGTCGGCTTTGGTGGTCGCAAAGGTGGGGAAGACGAGACCAGGGCAGTCGCACAGGATCATAGAGTCGGACAGATGGATGGTCTGATGCATGGACAGTCGATGAGCAAACTAGCTGTGCGATCCAGCAGCTGGCGGTGGCAGCAATGCACCCTGCATAACCACAGTCACAGTTGCAGCCACAGCTACAGACGAGAGGCAGAAGCGTATACTAGATGCGAGCTCCATGTTGGGATGCACTGGGTCTACTCCGGGGCAAGACATCATTGTTACCTGGAAGTGCTTGGTCTTGCCTGGGGTGGCGGCAACGGCGACCTTCTTGGCGCCAACGAGGGCGTTCAGGGTGGAACTTTTACCGACGTTGGGGTAGCCCACGAATCCAATCGTGACCTTGTTTCCGTGCTCTGAGGACGAAGCAGCGAGGTATCCATCAGTGGGCGGTAGTCTTGGTCTGGGCCGGCCTGGCGACCGCTCTCGCCCGGGACACTCATACCCTCGTCTCGTACACGGGCTTTCTAAGCTCACCAGTGTTCAGGGGCTCGGGGCACTCTCGCTCGAGGAGCTCCAGCAGGTCGTCGGCGGAGAGAATGCGGACGCGCTCAGGGAGGCTTTCGTCCCGCTCGGCGTAAATCTCGACGACATCTTCGTCCCGGTCGCCGCCGGGCTCCTCTGGGGATTGGGCAGCCTCCTGATACGGCTCATCGGCTTCTGGGCTGGCATCGCCATCCTCCTGGGCATCTTCCCCACCAGCCTCGTCCTCGGCCTCGTCTTCGGCCTCGACGGCTTCATCATCCTCCTCGTCGTCACTGTCGCCTTCGCCATCGACCATGTCCTCATCCTTGAAATTGCCCATCAACTCAAACAAGTTCTGCTTCCGAGCGGTTTTCAACGTTCGGTCCTGTGTACGCGATTCAGATCGGCGTTGGTGACGGTGCAGTGACATTCAGAAACATCAGTCCATGTTATTCTTGCAGAGGGGCAAGTCAAGGCCGTGTAGCTTATAATCGACAGCGCTGCAAGCAGTATGGCGACCGCTACCTTTTTCATGCGTTTCTCCAGTTCAGCCGCCTTTTGTTCCTCCAGCTCCCTTTCGTGCTGTTGACGAGCCATGGCGGCCGAAAAGAATGTATAGCGGATGCCTTCCTTCTCAAAAAAGTCTGCCCACAGAGTTCTGGCGAAGGGTGGGGGACGAAGGCGCGGATCAGAAGAGTGGCCTCAGCGAGCGCCAGTGCAACAGCCATGTGCGTTTGACACAGCCGCAGCTTCCACAAAAGATGTTCTGGCACACCTCTGGTTGAGAGTCAGCATATCGGCCTTGTTGACAAGCAGCAGGCGCTTCTTTCGGTCATCCACTTCGCCGACGTAGGTCTCCAGGTCCGTAGATCGGAAAAAGAGCGGGTTGCGCGCATCGACGATCTGGACGATCAGGTCCGAGCGCTCAATAACTCGCCAGAGCTGCCGCCACACTTCAAGGTTGCGTTCGTAGGGAGTCAAAATGAGACCCTGCTCTTCTTCGAGCCTGAGCGGAGAATTGGAGCATTTCGATGAGATGTGCCGATAGCCAGAGACGAGGCGACGAGCAAAGAAGATCCGTCTCATCAGCCAGGACCATGGAGTCTGGGAAAAGGACTGTGCCTGCAGCACCAGACCTGACGAGTCCGATGACTCCAAATGCCGTCTACTTACTCAACCAGGCCACGGCGCCATTCGAGGAAAGACTCGCGCTCGGCAAGCTTCAGCTCCTCGCCGGTTGTGGTCGAATCCCACTCGGGTCTGGACGACGAGGGGCAGTCGGTGTCGGTTTGCGGATCAGCAATACACAAATAAATGATCTCAGTTCGAAGTCGAGTACATATGCACAGCCGAGGCAGGTCCAAGATGTTTGAGTGGGTATACATCCAGCAAACTTCTCCAAGCTGCTGCTGCTGTGCCTATGATCGCCAGTCATCACGATTGCATGTGCGCCAGAATGCGTGGGCATGGGCCGCATACCGTCTTGGGATCGTCAGACGCTTCTGGTGCTCCAGATGCCTTCGCAGGGTTTCCTTCTCCTTCTCGGGCGTCAGCAGGAACGGATTCACATAGGGATCGCTCACCACGGTGACATTGAGGCGCTCTGGTTGGTTGTATCGACGAACAGCAGCGGCAAAATAGCGCAACGAGATCAGGACCAGCACATTCGCACGTAATCCGGGGTGCCCAGAGTCTGACCATCGGCCCTCGGCGGGCATCGCGAAGCATCGAGGAGTATCGGCGAGCATTTCAAGTCGGCCAAGCAGCAGCGGCAACGCTACAGCGATATGTACCGGCGGCAAAGTTTGTGCCAGCCAAGGTGGCAGAGTTCAGGAAGGCTTCGAGGTCGTTCTCCTCAGTAATCGACTGCATGTTGGTCAGGTCATCGTCCTCGACCAGGGTTGTGTGCTGGGGAAGGTTGGTGGAAAGCAGGAAGGTGAAGGGTGGATGATGAGCGAAATGAACGAAACAGCACGCCCAAGATTATCCTGGGTGAGCCGGCGGCGAGGCGACACACGAGCATGTTGATTTCCTCTCCCTCCCACCGACTCTGCAGCGTGCGTGAGAGGGTGCGTACCCTCAGCGATCCATCAGGATTGATTTTGGCATTTGGGTTCTTGCTGAACCGGCTCCGAATGAGAGACTTTCCCAGAGAGGTATTTCCTTTCTTGTTGTGGCTCATGGTCGCTACTGTGGCTCCGGTGGACTGGCAGGGTTGGAAGGCGGATGCGGCTGGACTCTGTCTGCACTGTTGCTCGGAGGTGCTTGATGGCAGCGGGAGCCGTTGATCCTGGCCGACAGTGCGATGGAGCCGATGCCAGTCCAGGATGGGACAGCCCAAAAAAAAAGCTGTCGGAGTCGCCGCCGGATCGAGCCAGGGACGCATCACGTGGCTCGCTGGAGGCATTGGCTTGGACTTGGTGGACTTGGTCTGGGTTGCGACAGTGCCGTCGGAGACGAGGGAGGCAAGTGCACAGTGGATATGCTCTCTGCTTTCTGAATGGTCGCTCAAACGCAGATGGACTGCCGCACTCCATGCATCTCCCTGCTCACGCAGGACACCCAGGGAAATGACGACCCACTTGGCCGTTGCTTGCCAGGTGTGTGATATGATCCGACTACGGCGTATCTTTTGTCCGAACGAGACGATGTGTTCGATTGTTTATTCAGCAGCTGCAAACATTCCAGAGGTCTCGATCGGGTGTGTGTGGGCAGCGAGGGGAGGCAAGCGAGTCGACAGCCCGTCGAATCCCCCTGCACCTTCCCACGCGTCAACAAGCGAAATCGGACGGTGTCGGGATGCTGCAGATGGGTTCCAGCGAGAAAATCTGGGATGCAAACAAGGCCCCGCTATGAGATCCCTCAATGGGTACCTATAAAGCAACTTGCACCGACGGTGGTGCTCCGCAGACGGACGGATGCTATCTTGGACCCTCAATTCGCTCCATCACCCTGCAATAGCTAATCGTCAGAATGAAGTGCTTGTCGAACCTACTCCTCATCTACTTTCTGGTCGCAACAGTCCTTGCTCTCCCAGGCCGCCACCAGGTCAGCAGTGCGACTGCGGCTGCAGGAGCTGTTGATACGATTCAGGCGGCAATACCGCATCCGAGGGACGTCTGACCCATACTTACGCTCGGCTCGCATTGCGGCTCAACTGGTCATCAGCGCCGGGACGACAACGGCAATGGAGATGGCGGAGACGATCTCCAGACCAGCGACGACCCTGAAAGTGATTCAAACACTGCCACTACCAGCGTCATCTCACCCACCAGCGCCGTTCTTGCTCCCACCTCGTCGCACGCCGCCCACGCAACAGCGACAAGCATCGGGGGCGGTCAGAAAGTGCCAACATGGAGTGGAAGCTACATGTGCTCCACCTACCAGCTTTGTACCAAGAGCAGCGGAAAGGTGGGTCAAGGCCAACAAGACGGAAGCGGTCATGAATGGCCAGGAGCAGCGCACGGCGTGCTCGATGCAGGTTGTTTGGAACCACTGCCGCTCACGCCGGTCCTTCTGCCTTCTCTTGTCGTCATCGCATGGGCATACGACCATCTTCCACACCACAGTACTGCTGGGACTATGCCCTCTCGCTTGCGGATCGGCCCATTGGTGCCAAGGATCTGTGCGTCGACTGCACCAGGCTCCTCATCAACGACTATAATGCGCTGAGGGCAAACGAGACATCGTTCCCGCACCGGGTCCAGCGCTACATGTATAACCTGGCAAAGTCCACAAAGAGCATCTGCGGCTCGAGCTTTGTGGATGTGGGCCCGATCGTCTCGTCATCGGTTCTGTCCCCGACCGCTTCCGCTGGCGCTGGGACTAACCCAGGCACTGGCAGCAGCGGGGCCCCTGGGGGCTCGACCAACACAAACACCAATGCCACAGCCAAGCAGGGATCAGCGGGGTTTGTCGCCAATGCTCAGTGGCCGCTTGCGGTATTCTGTCTTGCCCTGAGCGTGGCGGCTTTGACGCAGTAATATCATACTCGATTGGCATATACAACCACCCCACGGAGCTCGAGGGGGGGGAACGAACCAAGCGAAATGTGCCGAGCCAGAGCATCGCTGCCACTGCCCACTGGCGCAAAGGCCGGGATAGGCCAGACGTCGTCTCTGGCTGGGAGAGAGTTGCCTCCGTTGCTCTCGCATTCGGCGGTAGGGAGGAGGCACCAAAGAGGGATGGTGTGCATCCTCCACAATTCCGATGCTTGGATGAGTGCAGATCGCAGACGGATCGCGCCGGGCCAAGGTTTTATAGTCAATCCCAGAAAAAAAAAAAAGAGACACCCGTGACCACAACCATTCGCCACACACTCGATTTCCGCATCGCTGCACTGAGAGCCATCGCTTGCATTCAGTGACCAGATGACCCACAAATGGGCCACTTGTGCGATGCGTTTCTGGATCTGAATCGAGGACGCCACTGTGCAGTATTTCTGCCAGCCCAAAAATGCGCTGGATTTGAGGAGATTCTTTCTTCCCCAAAGGCAGAACCAACCATCGTCGCTATTTTCTCGCCAGATGGCTCCCAAGAGAAAGACACCCCCCGACCCCGACCCAGGATCACCCACAAGGCCCTTGGTCTGCAGGAATGGATGAGCACCACACCAAGTCCCAAGATCCCTGGGGTGGCTTCCTTCCTGCGATACATTCACTTTGTTTGATGGAGACATGCTGGACAAACAGCTGTCCTTCAGCCTGACCCGGCGACGGCGATTCAAGCGACTCGATCTCCACAGCAAGCGACAGCGCACTGTCCACGAGATGTGCAAGCAAGTCATCGACCAGGCACCAAAGGAGACCGAAGTGGTGATTGTCTTTGGGAATGCCTCCTGGAAGCAAGGGAAGGGATATGCATCCAGTCCCAGGAGGCTCAGGTTCGCCAAGTACTTTGAGCAATTCATCCACCACCAGAGACGACCACCAGACCGATCCGTCTCCAAGATCCATGTGTGCTCGGTGAACGAGTTCAACACATCCCAGGTGTGCTCACATTGTCGGGAAGCCAAGCGACTTGAGTCACCCGAGTATCTTGATATCGAGAAACCACACTTTGTCCGGAGCTGTGCAAGCTGCCATACGCTGTGGGATCGAGACATCAATGCCTCACGGAACATGATCTCGGTATGCCAGTCGATCATCGCCACAGGAGATCGACCGGGTGTATTCAAGACTGTGCTTCCCAAACCAACCAAAACCACTCGATTGCCGACGAAGACAGGAGTGCAATGCCATGGCTTGCCCGCTGGGCCTACAAGTCAGTCAGCGGGCTTCAGAAGCCAGGAAGGAACTGTCTGATATAATATGACCGACTGCGCCACGCCCTGATCTGCATCCGCCCCGGCTGTGTTAGTGTTGGTGTTTGGTTTTGGTTGCTGGTCAGAGTGGTGGGGTGGGAAACAGTGTATCGTTGGAACGCAGCATCCGCACGATGCACCCATTCGATTTGCGGATGCGGGCAGCAGGTCGCGATGACAATCAGATTTGTATTTCCCTTCTTGGTCCACCGCTGTGTGGATGGCCCAAAAGCCACTAGTGCACACCAACACGCTGATTCTGCTACTGCTTGGCGGCCTTCAGGAACTCAGTGACGCTCTGCGGGTTCTTCTTGCCCTTGGACGCCTCTACGCCGCTGCTGACGTCGACCGCGAACGGCTTGCCGCTCTGGCGGATGGCTTCGAGGACATTCTGAGCAGTCAGGCCGCCAGCAACCCAGATCGGGATGCCAGCGTCGCTGCGGTCGTCTGCGGTGTGCTGGACATGGCTGGCGATCGCCCAGTCAAACGTGAGCCCGCTGCCGCCTTGCTGTTCCAGGCCTTTGACGCCCGTGTCGAGCAGAGCGCCGGCCAGGTACGATGAGCCTTGCTGGATTCGGGCGCGGATGCTCTGCGGCGTGTCGTCCTTCATGACATGGTAGGCTTTGATGACAGGGACCGAGATCAGCCGAGCCAAGCTTGGGTCTTCGTTGCCGTGGAACTGAACCAGATCCAGTCCAACCGCGGCGACAATTTCGTTGATGTAGTTGACGGCGTGGTTCGAGAAGACACCGACAAACAGCGGCCCTCTGCGGTTCGCACGCGACACTCGATCGCGAATTGCACCAGACGTGGCCTGGTACCAGAGCGAGGCACTCAGGCCGGGCAGGGGATATGGCATCTGAATGGCCTCTGTTGGGCCGGTCCCAAACTCGGCACGGACACGGCCGACAATCTCCCGGGCCGTTTCCAGCGTCACTTGGCGTGGGGAGGATGCAAAGATGAGTCCGATGAAGTCGGCGCCTTCCTTGGCGGCCAGCAGAGCATCCTCGACGTTGGTGATACCACAGATCTTGGCCAGAGTGCGAGGAAGCGGCCGGGAGCCATCGCTATCCTTATGGTCGTCGGGGAGTCCGCGCAGCTCGCGGATGAGGGCACCCTTGTCGTTGGCGCGCATCAGGGCCTCGCCCACGAGAACGGCTCGTGCGCCGTCGGCAACGTATTTTCGAACGTCGGCCCGGCCGGTGATGCCACTGAGGGCAATCAGCATTACATCCTTGGGGACCATGCCCGAGAGGCTGCTGGTGCGGTTCATGTCGACGTTGAAGGTGTTGAGATCGCGGTTGTTGACGCCGACGATCTTGGCGCCGACTGCGATGGCTCGCTCCATCTCGCGGACACTGGCAACTTCCACGAGAGGCTCCATGCCGAACACGCGCGAGTACTCGAGCAGATCCTTGAGCTTCTCGTCGTCCAGGATCGCAACGATCAGGAGCAGCGTGTCGGCGCCGTAGGCACGAGCTTCCAGCACCTGGAACCGGTCGACAACAAAGTCCTTGCGGAGAACCGCGGGTCGGTCTTCCACGCCTTCAAGTGCAACTCGGACTGCACGCATGTCCTCGAGATGGCCCTTGAACCATTTGGGCTCGGTCAAGACCGAGATGGCGGCGGCGCCACCGTGAGCGTACTGCAGCGCCTGAGTGGGTGCATGGGCGTTGATGTCGATCGGACCCTTGCTCGGGCTAGCTCGCTTGATCTCGGCAAGGACCGCGACGAGGTTGCCGCCGGTAGCGCGCTCGAGTCGCTCCTTGAAGTCGATCTGGCGGGGGGCAAGGCCGAGAGCGATCGTGCGCTGGAGGTGGTACTCGCTGTTGCCGGGTCGGGCACGAGCCTCCGAGACGTCCAGCAGGCGCTGACGATAGATTGTCTGCAAGATCGAAGGAGCTGCGGCGGCAGACTCTCCGGGACGAGAGGTTGCCTCCTTCGAGCCACTGGCAGCAGCCCCGGTCGAGTTCATCTTGGAAGCCTTGGCCAGATCGATGCCGCCAGAGCCATATGCTCCGCCGCGCTTCCGAGCACCGACGTTGTCGAGCGGCTTGACGGCACCAGGGTTGACCTTCAGCGTGTTCCAGGTGCCGCCTTCCCACTTGAGGAAATTGGCAAACATGGTCTTGCCGGCTTCACTGGCGATACTCTCTGGATGGTACTGGACGCCCTCCATCACGTAGTGGCGATGGCGGACACCCATGACGAGGCCGTTGGCAGTCCAGCTCGTGATCTCGAGCTGGTCCTCAGGCAGGGTCTTGGGATCACCGGCCAGAGAGTGGTACCGGGTCACCTCAATGTTCTGCGGGACGCCCTCGTAAAGGCCCCGCCCGTCGTGGGTGATGGGCGAGGTCTTGCCGTGGACAATCTCGCCGGCATACGTAACTGTGCCGCCGTAGACCTCGTACATGCACTGCTCGCCGAGACAGACACCCAGGATCGGGACCTTGCCAGCAAAGGCTCGGATCACGTCCATGGAGATGCCGGCGTCGACGGGCTTGCCCGGGCCAGGCGAGATGACGACGTTGCGGGGCTTCATGGCAAGGCACTCTTCCACCGTGACTTGGTCGTGGCGGAAGACCCGAACGTCAGCACCGAGCTCCGACAGGAACTGGTAGACGTTCCAGGTGAAGCTATCGTAGTTGTCGATCAGGAGAGTGATTCCGGACGACATTGTGCTGGTTTTGAGTGATGACGGTAGAAAGAGATTGGGTTGTTGTTGTTGTTGTTGTTGTTAGGGTTTCTGGAAAGCTGTGGGATGTTGGGTTGATGATCTGTCGATGTGAATCCAAGGACTGGGAGCTTAGTCAATGTAGATCTGCTGTTCGAGGAGCTGGGCAGTCTTCTTGAGTTGTTGGAGTTCCTGGTAGTGCATCTCGGCACGCTGGAGGGAAAGCACGTTGCTCTTGAGCTTGGTGACGGTTTCTTCGTACTCGCTGGTGGGGACCGAGTCGTAAACAATGCCAGCGCCGGCTTGGAAATGGACCATGCCGTCCTTGAAGAGCTGGGTTCGAATGGCGATACAGGTATCGAGGCCGCCAGAGTAGGCAAACCAGCCGACAGCACCGGCATAGATGCCGCGCTTCTCTTGCTCGAGATCGTAAATCAGCTGCATGGCTCGCACCTTGGGGGCGCCAGAGACGGTTCCGGCGGGAAAGATGGATCGGAATGCATCAAACCGGGTCTTGTCGCTGCGCAGCGTACCCGAGACGTTCGAAACAATGTGCATAACGTGGCTGTAGCGCTCAATATGCATGAGCGAGTCGACCTTGACGCTTCCGGGCTGGCAGACGCGGTTGACGTCGTTTCGACCGAGATCAACCAACATAATGTGCTCGGCACGCTCCTTGAGATCGCCAAGGAGATCGGCTGCAAGGGCGTCGTCTTCTTCGGGAGTGCGGCCGCGACGACGGGTACCGGCGATGGGGTGAGTGTAGACAACATTGTCCTCGACCTTGACGAGCATCTCAGGCGAGGCACCGACCATCTGGAAGTCTTTGACATCGACGTAGAACATGTACGGGGATGGGTTAACGCTGCGCAAGTGACGGTACGCATTGAAGGGATGGATCGCGGTCTTCTTGGAGACGCGGCGCGAGGGCACAGCCTGGATGATGTCGCCTTCGTTGATGTAGTGCTTCAGCGTCCGAACAAAGCCTTCATAGGCCTCCTGGTCGACGTTGGTGGTAGGTTCATTGATGACAATGGGCTCCTGGTGGGGCACGGGAGTGTGGTCGCTCGAGAGCAGCTCGACGATACGGCGGATCTCGGAGGTGGCGCGGTGGTATTCCATCTCGATTTCGTGGTCAAACATCTCGCTGGTGTCGGTCTTGAAGTGGCTGGTGACCTTGACAACGTGGTGCAGGTGGTCGAAAATGACAATAGAGTCGCACATCATCACGACGGCGTCGGGGAGATCAAGGACGTCCTTGAGGGGGCGGTTGGTTCGGGGCTCGAAGAAGCGGACGCAGTCGTATGAGACATAGCCGACGGCTCCACCAGTGAATTCGTGGAAGCCGGGAACGTACACGTATTTGACGTCTTCGAGTTCTTTTTCAATGGTGATCAAAGGATCGCCCTTGTGAGCGTATTTGTCACCAACATGGATGACTTTGTAGGGGTCTGCGGTGCAGTTTGAGGGCGGATCGAGCGTTAGTGGCCCACACTGGGCAGCACGCAGGGGGGACGCCTTTGTATGTGGCTACCGGGCAACTTGCACCAACGAGAGCAATCGAAGCAAAGTCCAACGGACACACCAACATCGCGCTTGCGGCGATGGCCTCAGCGAGATACCCAAGTGGCGAGAGCACGTACCGGCACCGATAAACGAATAGCGGCCAATCTTTTCTCCACCAGCGACGGACTCGAAGAGGAAAGAGTAATCGGACTTTTCAGAGATTTTGAGGTACGCAGAGACAGGGGTCAGCAGATCGGCAGCAATTTCTTGCTGGATCGGGATGACGTTTCCTGCGCCAGAGGCGACGAACTGCTTGATTTCGTCGAGGGAGGGCTTAAAGACGGCCTGGTTGAGATACGGAGAAGCGCAAGCAGTGGTGCGGTTAAGATATGCCCTCCATCGACACGTCGATTAGACCGGGCGAGTCAACAAGAATACGACATTGCCCTCGGCGCGTTGGGCCAGAGCCAATACATACGGGCATTTTGGACAGATTCAACACTGAGAGATCGGTGACAGAGGGTGGGGTGCTTAAAGCAGCAGGGGGTCTGCCGAGGAGGCAAGAGAGGCGACAGAGGGGGAGTCCTACACCAACGCCAATAGCAAAGCAATAGCAAGTTAGCGGCCGTGGTATCATCAAGCACCGTTGCAGACAGACATGCTGCATTGCACATGCGATGGTCAGAGCCATTGGCTTTGCGGCAGGTACCCAGCGGAGCGAGTAGCGGGCCCAGGTGGGGATCAGCTGCACTGTGTGGCGGCTGGGATCGTTGACGAGATAGTCTCTGTTGAGATCGCGCGCAATGTTCTTGCGGGAGTGGGTAGAGTAAGCCATGCTGTAGGGGATATAAATGGCGTCATCGTTAGACAGGACCAAGTAGCGGCGAGGAGACTGGTGTGCGGCGGACTGAGTGCATATTGCCCACAGTCCAAGTCAGCAACGCACCTCTTCTTGATGCTTGAGATGCGTCGGCGGCGGTCGCGACAGAGATCCACCAGGGGACGAGTGAGGGGCATGGACTGAGCCTTGGTCTTGGCACCAGCGGCAACGATGCTACGGGACATACAAGCGGCAACATGTCAGCGGGTCAGCGACCCGATTCGATACGGCTGGAGGCTTTGCACGGTAGTTGTCGATGGGCAACAGTCCATCGTTGCGGCCTAGACCGGCCAAGGGTGATTCAAGGATGCAGCCGAGTTACAGACCTCTTCGAAGCGGCAGTCTTTTGAGCAGCAGCAGCACGGATAAAGCGGCGTCGAGTGGCGTTCAGGATACGGGAATCCTGGGCAGGACGAGCAGGAACAACAATGGGCACAACAGCCACGACAGGCGGAAGGCTGACGAGGGCGTCTCGGTACGAGAAGGTCTGGATGGCGTCGATAGAGGAGCCGACGGGAGTGTTCTGCGGTTGGCAAATCCGGTGATACGAGACGGCGGTGAGATGCGGTGAACAGGTCCAAAATGCCAAGAGAGCGGCCCGCAGTGAAAACGACCAACGGTGACAGGCCGGTCAGGACAAGACAGCGAGACAAACAGCGCATCCCTTACCATGGTCTGAGCAGACAGGAAGGGGAATTCGTCCTTGGCAGAATCGCGAGCAAGGCGAGCAACATAAGTCCGGGATCGCTTGGCAGCGCGATGACGGATCTGTCTCTTACGAGAGTGGCCACCACCATTATGGAGGTCCTCAACGCTCTGGGAGGCGGAAACCGAAACATAGAATCAGATACGATGCTCTCAGCCAGGAGCACGGCTGGGGAGACGGGTTTGCTGAGCCGCTGCTGGGCAGTTGCTGGGCAGTTGCTGGCAGTTGCTGGTCGGTGCTGGTCGGTGCTGGTCGGTGCTGGGGGTTGCTGGGGGTTGCTGGGGTGGCTGAGCAAACACGCGAGAGCGATGATGGATGTTTGCAGATCGCCCACCCAGCATCGGCACCGAGGCAGGAACCAACTCCAGGAGCCAGAGCATCGACAGAGAACATACCGAGGCGGAGGACACTGCAACATTGATGTCGTCTCCGAACACGGTCAGGCTGAAGGACCGTGCAGAAGACGACAAACTGGTGGGGCAACACCAACCGAGGCTAAACGACGAAGCCAGGATTGCGTGCTGGGGAAGGAAAGAGGGAGGGGTATGGGAGACCAAAGACGGGCTTGATGCGTCTCGGCTGGGTAAACAAATAGAAGCGGAGGACAGGGAGCAGCAGTTGGCAGTCGGCGGTCGGCAGGTGGCAGGCAGATGGGACAGGCGTTGCAGAGCGGATGGATGCGATGCGGTGGAGGAGCAAGAAAGAGCAAGAGAAAAAGGCGATCGCTTGATCAGGACGTATCTGAGGACGGCCCTGCGATTGGCCCGGGGACGGCGTGACTGCTGTTGGTCACCGCCAATCAGCGGCGCGCGCAGCACGGGCGGCGCAATCGGGGTGGAGGTGGTGGAGGTGGTGGTGAGAAATGGGCACTTGGGCACATCGCTTGAAGTCGCTGCACATTGCTGCATGTCGCTACACATCGCTGCATGTCGCTGCATGCCGGTGTGATGCACGAATGGATATTGCGACGAACGAATCCTGCGACGAGTGAGCGGATAGACAGGGGAGGTGCAACAGGCCGATCCAGTGGGCATATCCGTTCGGCCCATCCCTGACAGATTCTCAGATCGAGGTCTGGTGCAAGGGCTCATGTGGCTCGGAAATCGAATGCAGCGACCGGAGCCGGGGAATCGAGACAGCCAAGATGGCCAGATGGTGCCAGATCATCCCACGCCGTGCAGCAGTCCCCAGGTGCAGCCGAGATGCACTTGGGCTCGCAGGGCAGGGGTGGTTCGGCGCCGGTGCCCGCCATTCGCGGCGGGTGTCTGAAAAGGCGCCTCTGCCCATCGTCCTCCTCCTTGCCAGATCAGTGTCGATCCCCTCCGTCTGACTGCCCACCATGGAGAAAATGGATATGGTAACGCTTCTACCAGTGTCAGGCCGCATTCCACATCCTCTCGCCCTCCCCCAGGCAAGCCCACCACCGGACTTGTCGTTCGACGAGCCCATGCTCATGTCCTCGTATTCGTGCCCTTCCTTCCGCTGCCTCTGCTGCATCCATCTCCCAGTCGCTGGACGAGATCCGGAAGGTCGACCGCACCAAACCCGTCGCCAAGTCAACTGCTACCAAAGGGAGGAAGACCATCGGCTCCAGGAAATCCAAGACCTTCTGGGAGGTACGATCCCTGGCAGGACGCAGGGTGCCGGCGATCGAAAGCGAAATCCGCAGACTCTCAAAGCGGCCCGCTGTGGCGAACTGCTTAAAACGCCGACAGGCCGCAGGATCTGCTGAGGGTCTTCGGAGCGAGGCCAGATCTCCGGACGATGCCCTGTCTATCGTCGTATCCCTTGCTTCTCCAGTCTGATACACCCGATCACCTTCTTTGGCCGCTGTGATCGATCGTCAATGTCCTGTGCGGCTCTCTTCCATCCGAATCCCCCCTCGGCTGCAACTCCGCTCCCCCAACGACGTATGCTATGGACGATCGCATTCCGAACGAACTCCTCGATCACCGTCCGGGCTCGCATCGACAGAGCGCCAAAGACAGAGACCCGGAAGGCACTTGGAAGCACGATCGATTCCACGAAGCCAACCCCTCCGAAAAGAAGCGGCGGGTCGTCAACCCAGCCTCCAGCCACTTTATCAGCATTCAGCGCATCGTTGCCAACGAGCAGTCTGCAGCCAAAGCGCAAAATGGCTCGGCAGCACCAAAGCTCGAGGATCTGAGGGTATCGCTGACGAGAGGAGGGGCCCGGGAAGTCAATCTCTCGAGCAAGTCTGGCGCTGTCCCAAGAATCACCATCACCCGCAACCTGAGACAGGCCGTGCTGGCCACCCCGGACGACTCGAAGAGCCGATCGAGTAACGCCCGCAACGGCCAATCGGCCAACGGATATGGGATCCTTGTCGCCAATCTGCATCCCGCGGCCACGGCCAGCGATGTCAAGGTACATTCAAGAGCCGGCGTCGCCCGGTCTCATCCAATCCGTTGCATGGGTGCATCCAAAGCACTCGTCGATTCGAATCGAGCAGATCACGCCGATCCATGCAGATCCATGCAGATCCATGCAGATCCATGCAGATCCATGCAGATCCATGCAGATCCATGCAGATCCATGCATTCACAGCTTCTCGTGCTCTACTGACGCTCCTGCCCTCGGCTCCAGACCTGCTTCTCGACCTTTGGCCAGATTCTGCGATGTGCTTTGGTTGAAGACAGCCGCGGCCGATCAACAGGCACGGCTGAGATTGTGTACCAGAGTCAGCAGAGCTGCAAGAAGGCTATCGCCGAGCTCCACGGCCAGCTTGCTGACGGTACGCCATCACAGAGCGGTAGCTCGCTGTCTGGTGATGCTGCATTCTTGAACCTGGCTAACGTTCGACCGGATGGCTTGCCTCTACCCAATGCAGGACAAATCCTCAACATCGAGGAGATCCAGCATCCCAGATCCATCGTTGGCTCGGCGCAGCCCCTTCCCCTCAGCACCATGTCCGTCAACCGCTCTGGGTATGTGCCTGCGATGCTGGACATGCATGTGATTGCAGCGAAAGAGAAGTACTCGCTCTGAGGCCATGGCACTATGTGTGCTATCGCCACTGCAGCAATCATGGAAGCTGACCGCACTGCCGTCTATCTTTGGCTGCATGGGATCAGATCGAACCGCGATTCCGTCCCGAGGCCGGCTGTTGCCGGTCTCTACTCTGACCGGATGTAAATCAAGCAGTTCATTTTGCACTTAATTCCTGCGATACTGGGAGTGGTGAGGAAGGGGTCTCCCGCTGACTTGATGCGCTTATCCGGTAGCAATTCCGATGACTTGGACATGGCGGTCACTGCCATGGCAGTCTCATCCCGCTGCGGTAGAGATTGCGGCTCCATCTGTCGATGTTGCTCTGCTGGTGGCGTGCGCATATACAGTCATTTTCACGATTGCATGGCTAATACATTTTGCGCTCGATGGGCTCCAGCCGAGGGCTCCAGCCGAGAGCTCCAGCCGAGAGCTTCGCCCAGCCCCATGGAGCTGTCGTTGAGTATGCACGGACACGGCGTCGAAGCGGGTTGGAGGAGTCGCGATCGCCCTCTCTCAACGACCGAGGCGGTTCTCGCTCTCGACATTCTTGGTGGTTGATCTCAGACCGACTCCCTGCCCCTCGCTCCAACGCCAGAATGGAGGTCCTCGATCTGCGCTCAACAATGAGTAAGGTCCAGCCTCGATTCCGCACGCCAGTCGATCCTGCCGGGCAAAACTGCACTCGATCGTTGACATGCATTCTCCTGCCATCCCAGTCACCAACGCCGAGGTGATCGCCTTCATCAAGGAAGTGGACCAACAGCGCAAAGAAGATCCCCGGCTCAAATACCAGTCGTCGTCCGAGTTCCAGGATTTGAATACGGTCGAGTTTGAGGTGAGATCCGCAGCAACCAGCAACCAGCAACCAGCAACCAGCAACCAGCAGCCAGCAGCCAGCAGCCAGCAGCCAGCAAATGTCCCAGCTCCCCGAGCGATTGTCGCATTCCTCTGCGAATCTCCTGGGAACAGTCATGCCTTGCCAAGTTGTACTAACGACATCTCGGTGGCAATGCTGCTATGACGGCGGTGGCGGCAACAGGTGCTCAAGTACGCCCAGAAGCATCCGATGTGCGATCCCTCTCAGATTCCTGCATTCGTGGCCGCTCTGGCAGAGAAGAGCTACCAGCTCACCAAGGCCGAGAAGCTGCAGCTGATCAACCAACGGCCAGTCACCCAAGTCCATCTGTACCAGGCAAGTATCGGAGGCAGCGTCTCGTTTGTGCATACTTGGCTCGAGGGATCGGAATCGCTCGCAGCCTCGGCTCATGCTCCAAGCTCCCCGGAATCACAGATCATCGAGGAATGTGAAAAGCGCCTGAGCGATGAGGACCAAGCGAATGTGATGCACCTGGTTCGGTCGATGCTCAAGTAGATGCCCAGGCACATATGCTCGAGTGGAGCCAGCGAGTGTGTCCAATACAGCCTGTTTCTAATGAATCGCTCGCTGCAAGATCTTGCTCGGGCTCTTCAGCGGCTCGCTCCTCCCTCATACGATCGGATCCGCCTGCCTTGCGCTGCTGCTACTATAGGTACTGCTGCTGCGAACCGGTGTCTGCATTTTCGCATGCGGCAAGTACAGCCTGTTGAAGAACAATGGGACACATCGACTCATTCGACAAACACGGCGTAGTCGGATCAAATCACACACCCAGTCAAGTGGATCTAATCATTTCCCTGTGTGTTCCTGGGATGAGGGAGGAAGATGCGGGGCAAAGAGCAAAATCGCCGGAGAACCTCAGCGAGCGGATTATATATCAAAGTCGTCTGATTCACACAACCCACACAGTCCACGCAAGGCATCCGTCTGTGAAGGTGTCCCGTTCGCTATAACGGTGTGCCGGCTGGATGCCCTTGCCCGTTCGATGGGCGAGCAGCCCTCCAATGCCGGCTCGAGGTGTGTTGCGCCCGGGTCATCCGGCCGAATGTGCTGGACCCAGTCGCCGAGCTCGGCGGCCCCATCCGCAACCACCGGGGCAACTCTGCTCGCTCTCAGGCGCTGGCTATTCTCGCTTCCATCCATCCGGGACCAGCCCAGACGGAGCACCATGGATTTGCATGGATTGCTGTGGATCCTCCCGGCCAAAGCCCTCTTCAGGCATCTTTCCTTGCCCTCATACCTTCACCTCACCAGCCTCTCGCGCCGCCTCGCAAGATTCCGCACCCCATACCACTTCCTCATCCTGCTCGAATCGTGCCTGGATGGCGATTCCGTCCTGCAGGTGCTGCAACACTACCTTCGACCCATCCTGCCTTGGCGGAGCAGCGACTCAGGCCGCATAGGCTCGACCGAGTTCATCTCGACCCTGCTCGGCATGGCCATCCGCAAGCTGAACCGGTCGCGAGACAGTCTGGGAGTGCCCATTGTCATCGACGTCAAGTCGGACTGGCTGCTGCTGGTCGTCCAGCACTTCGTTGCCGACTACGAGCAGCCAAGTCCTCTGGGCGAGTTCTATCTGCGGCTCATCGACGCTCTTTTGAGCGACCCGCTACCGGCACACTTTCGAACGCGGACTCTGGAAATGTATTCGTGGACGAAGCATAGCGACGACCTCGACGGCATGCTGGCATCCAAGGTCTCGCAACACAGCGTCTTTGCGGCAGAGGCCAGTGGCCGGGATTATGCCCTGCATCATCTCTTTTTGCTCTTTGGCAACCGTATTTGCAGCGACTATGAACTCGACCGGCAACTGGCACGCCTGCCCGAGCTTCCTGAGCTCGTCCGGCTGCTGGCAATGGGCGCCGATCCCCGGCTCTGCATCGACACCGAATACAACCTCGAGGACGCTGAAATGATTCTCCGCGGATACATCATGATGGGGCCCGAGCGGCTGGACTGTGTGCGGCACCTCCTCGACGTCTTCTGGAACCGGGGGCTCATCAAACCGAGCAGCCTGGGGCCGCCCTACCAAGCGACGAGTTCGCTGGCCGTCGCCTGCCGACGAGGTAAGCAACGGAGCGTGCTGTGGATGGCAGGGTAAGCCTGGGACGGGGGGCATTCTGTCGGCAGCGATGGCGGAGCCAGATTCGCGATAACTGACTGTTCTGAATGGCTTCCTCGATGATTTCATGGTTTCATGGCGGCTCATCGCTCAACAAATGGTGCGCACACTCCAACGGCTTGAACGAATGCTCAACGGTTGGGGGCGTAACGACCCAAACTCTCCGCTGTGGATTTTGTTCTTGGTTGTGCGGGCGCTCTGGACCTTCCATGAACTCGATGCCTTGGGACTCGACGGACCAAATGCCACTCTCAACCCTGTTCGCCATATACGACGAACGCATGGCCCCAGGCTATCTCGATCATGTCAAGCTCATCCTCGCGTACATCGGCAGACTTTATATCCCATCGCATATCCTCATTTCACGGCACGGGCGGTATGCCTTTGACCTCATAGAAAGCACACCGCATCATCGCAGCATCAGCACGCATATCCCCGCCACCGCCATCGGCAAAACCCACACCAGCAACAGCAACGCCGACATCGGCAGCAGCACCAACAAGCAACAGCCTCCCAGCCGAGCACGACGGAAGGGCAAAGAACTCTCTGGGCCGATCATCGACCAGCGGTCGCTCTGGGAAGCCGTCTCGAATGGACACTGGCAGGTTGCGGACGAACTACTCTCATGCCGGTTTCTGGGACACACGCGCTGCTACGACTACCTCGGCACCGCCGTTCGCAACAATGACCCGCAGATGGTCCGGCTCTTACTGGAGAAGGGCGATGACTGGATCCTGAACTGGCAGCTGGAACGGGCTCTCAAGGTCAGCCAGCACAACCGCCAGACCGAGATCGCCCGCATGCTCTGCACCAAGCTGATCATTGTGAACTGCCGCGATTCGTGAGAGGGGCTCGCCAAATATAGAGGGAGCCCTCCTGCTGCTGCTTGTGATCAAATGAACCAACCCTGCCATTGGAGCGGGCGGCCTGGTGAGCGGACAGGGCAAAGGCGAGCAAGGGGGCATCGATGCTGGCAGTGTGCTATGGACAAAAATTGTATCAATAGGCGAGGCTCGCCGCTCGACCAAGATGCCGCTGGCAACCGTCAATGTTACAACGGGCCGGTCGGGCGGGGAAGTCGGTGCACAATCCCAGACCGGCTCTGCCTTTTCCTTCTTGGCAGAGCTACTCTATTCTCGTTGCATTGACGACGGCGTGGTAGTGTAACTCGAGCTGAGCCTTGACGCTGAGGGCATTGGCTCGCAGGGTTGCATAGTCGTCCTCCAGTTGCGTTTCCATTTCCAGAATCTGCGGCAGAGTATGGCTCATGAGCATCACCAGTCGCCTCGAATCTAACATCACCACCACCACCATCACCATCACCATCACCATCACCATCACCATCACCATCACCATCACCATCATCATCACCATCACCATCACCATCACCATCACCATCACCATCACCATCACCATCACCATCACCATCACCATCACCATCACCATCACCATCACCATCACCATCACCATCACCATCACCATCACCATCACCATCACCATCACCTTCTCCTGGATGGCAGCATCGCGTTTGTTATGCTCGTCGATCTTGGCCTGGATTGCTTGGACCTCGCGCTGCGCCTGCGCATAGTCCTCCCGCAGCTTGAGGAGCTTGGACTCAGTCGATTCCTTCTTCATATCCATGTTGCGATGCAGCCGATTCAGCTTCTCGTTGGCATTTCGTAGCGCTCGATCCAGTTGCTTTAGAGGTGCGGGGATGGATATCAAGGTTTCGGGCGAAGCAGGATCGTGACAGATATCCGGATGGGCGAATGGGATGCCAAGAGTGTGAATATATAATCGTTTCGCCCTCGACTTCCAGCACCATACTTGAGCGCCGGAATATGTGCCATTGCACCAAATACCAAATATATAAAATCCATTTCGGCGGGCGGCCGGTGCAAACTCACCTGCTTTTGGATGGACAGCCCCCGCTCGTCGGTCTTGCGCTTCTCGATTTGATTTTGGAGATCGGCAGCCGAGCGACACACCTCCTCGTACTTTTTGCGCTCCGATTCGATCTCGTCCTTGAGCTTGTTGATGTCGGAAATCTCCTGTAGACCGATTTGGTTATGGTCCGTGGCGATGGTCAGACAATTTACGTTCAGTCTGCCCGCAGGATCACCCCCCCCCATCACCCTGGTAGCCCCACTCTCCTTGGTACTCCGTGAGCCGACCCGGCCGACCCACAGCTACTGTAGTCTCGATCACTGCCTGGTTTTGACCTACCGTTTTGTTGGACTTGATGTATTCCATCCGGTACTGATAATCGTTGAAGTGCTTCTCCTGTGCGTCCAGTTTCTGCATGCTGTCCCGGACAGTTTGTTCCATCTCAAGCAGCGACTGCACGAGATCAAGATAAACGTGATGCGCGCATTATTACTAGCCGTAGTTCGCAATGAATCTGGCTACACCTACATACGCGGTATGCCATCATAAGCACGCGGCTTCCGTGGACAGCACTGGTATCGACATATGGGCTCTGCTATGCCGTTTGCCTTGGCTTGGTGGACCCAGGAGCCACTGATGCCACGATGCTCCGCCTTACCCGCTTGAGCTCCTGTGGGTTTGAGATGATGCGGGGTCGTAGCCGCATCGACTCTTGGCGCACGTTATCGACTTTGAACGTCAGGTCGTCCTAGGCGCCATTGTTGGCGGTCGTGGTTTCGCATGCAAGCGTCAGTTGATTGCGGTGTGATTGCGGCGGACAAATCGAGTGGTAGCGACCATGGCCGTGGTGGTGGATGAATCCGAATCAATCGTGAGGACACAGCACAATGAGATGGCTGGATGTTCAACGCATGTGTCCATTCATCCGCTCACTCGTCCACTCTTCCTTCCTCCCTTCCCGCCGAGTGTCTCTGTCCAGCACGATCAGAGTCACGGGCCTTCCGGCGGCCTTACCAGGGCAGCATTGAGCTCGGCTTTCTCGCGCTTGACTTGCTCGTACTCGCCGCTTGCTGCCGACTCGGACTTGACGAGCTCGCGAACCTCGGATTTCAGTTGTGAGATTTCCTGGCGCTTGGCCTGGATGGCCGGCTCAGCGGCTGCCCGTTGGAGACGGATGTTGTTGACCCGCTCGGAGAGCTGAGCTTTCTTCTCGGCCAGGACTCGGCGCTTTTCTTCCAGCGACATCTGGGAGAGAGAACACACGATTGCCGAGCCGCGGGGTTCCATCGAGAAGCATTCAACAAGAAGAGATCCAATTCAAAAGGCCGGTGAGTACCGCAGATATGCGAGACGGTCATCGGCTGGGCTTGACTGCTCTGCCGATCGGTCGGCCAGGTTGTCGCCGGACCGTCCCTCGCATCTATGCCCACCTTCTCTTCCTCGTGCCGATTGAACAGCTCGATCTTTGAGTGCCGGAATCGAGTAAAGTTGATGAGACAGCTGAGCAGGAACACGAATCGCTTGGCCGTGGGACGGACAAAGTCGCTGTAGCTGAAGTCGACGGCACCGATGCTGACCATCAGCTTTTGTCTGCAGAGTCGAAGAGCCAGGAAGGCTGGGTGAGTCGTCTCGCCATGCCGGGCAGTCGAATCAAGCGATGCGGCCACATATTGGCAGAAAAGCTACGCTGTGCCGCCGAGAGGGATCTGCCCCCGCACCGGGCAAGTGCAGCCGCATCATCGGCAGGGACTCACAGGTGCTTGAAGAAGGCGATGGTGGGCAGCGATTCTTGGTGAATATCGGGATAGTCCAGAAACTCCAGGGTCTCGTAGTTGGGCTGTGCGAACGAGTCCCGGTTGAGACCGGTCAGGTAAAAGGAGAAGCTCTCATAGATGGCTTGGGCACGGACGGCGGTGGGCTCGGTCAGGTCCCGTTGCTGGGCCTGGATCTTGAGTTCGCTGAGGCACTCGAGCAGCTCCTCCTGCGGCAGGGTGGGCCAGATAAACTGGTAGTTTGCGGCAGCGAGCATGTTGAGCAAACGACGGTGGTGGAGAGAGGGAAAGGCGAGGCAGCGGAAGTGAGCCCGATGGATATGTGCCGGCGATGGGGTCGATGGAGCTGGTTCGGGCGAGGGAGCGAAAAACGGCCGAACCAGTTCCCAGGCTGGCCACCAATTTGTCCGTATTAGGTCAGGACACACACGTGGGAGATTGTGCCAGGACGGATTTCGATTGTCGACAACGCCAGCCAAGCTGTGGAAGGATCAAGACTGGACCACCACTCGCTGTTGGAACTGCATGCAATCAACATGGGCGGACGACGAGCTAGAGGTACACTCTTTTTATATTTCCATTCAACAGTGAAGTATTAAGGCGAGGGAGTATTCCCAGAGGAGTCTCGAGGCACCCCTTTTGAGACTCGAGGAAGCTATATGGCATAGAATGGAGAGAGAGGTCTACGGCTCTCCACGACCGAGGGCAGAGACAAGCGCATCGCAGAGTATCACGCAGCCAGGCGGATGCGCTCCACAAGACGCCACGGAGGCGCGGTAAGAGTTGTTCCCCGCTGAGACGTTTACTGACAGACGAAAGCGCCAGGCAGGCAGGAAGTGCCGGAGGGGCAGGTGCCAATGGTGATCCAGGTACCGGAGCAGACCAGGACAGTGTTGCCGGTACCGCAGGCGTAGCCGGAGGTGCAAGCTTGGCCGGGGCTGGGGAGCGAGCCGGTGGGAGAGGGCGAAGCCGAGGTGGCCGGTGTGGTTGACTTGGCGGGTGTGGTAGTCGGCTTGGTGGTAGTAGTAGTCGGCTTGGTGGTAGTAGTGGTTGACTTGGCCGGGGTAGTGGTGGTAGTAGTAGTTGTGGTGGTGGTGGTGGTGGTGGTAGTGGTAGTGGACGAGCTGGGGGCAGCGACGGTAGTGGTAGTGGTGGGAACAACCACGGTGGTCGAGCCGGTCTCACCGCCAACGCAGTAGCCAAACGATGCGATCATCTGGTTGGTCAGATCCAGGTTGTTGCACTCGCAGCGGTTGTAGACGCCGAGGGGCTGGGTGGCGTCCGGGTAGCAGGGGTTGAGCTGGATGTTGTAGTACTGGTTGTCCAGACAGTACTGCTGGCAGGTGTGCTTCATGTTCAGACAGAAGGTGGTGGGGTCGGCGACCGGGGTCTGAGGTGTGCAAGCCTCGGCGGTAGCGAGGAGAGCAGCGGCAGAGGCAACGGCAAAGGAGATAAACTTCATGGTGTCGGAGCAGCAGAGATGCAGGTCTGGGGGGTCTGAGACGACGCGGCAGAGAGCGCAGATTGCGATGAGGCAGGCGGACGGCGAGAAAGAGGGGGTGGATCGACAGGCAGCATTTATATCGACGCACGGGCAGCCGGGTGTGGAAAGGACGATGGGAAGCTGATGCGGCGTGATTGCCCCATGGGGACGGCAATGCCCTTGGCGATCACACGGGCAGCGGCTTCCGCTGCTGCCGATTCGATTCTGCCCCATTCCCCTCTCCGCGTCACTTTCTGTCCTTTCTCACGCGAGCAGCGGTTTTCCCGCAGGAGGCTTCTGTGGGGGTCGGTCAGGCGAGGAGCACAAGCGGCCCAACGGGGGAGTGCAGCGACACTGGTGAGCAGACCGGCAGAAGCAGAAAGCGCATGGGCTGCCGAGCGACAGCCGACCGCAAGGACATGGGAAAGGCGAGGCGCAGGACACGCGACCAGAAGGATCCGAGCAAGCACACCCAAGAAGAAAGGTCCAGGTGCCCTGGGCGGCTGAAGGCCAGACACAAGCGGGCTGGCAGCACGGACATGCGACTGTGCCTGGAGCACAATCAGGCGAGGACCGCGACAGCAAGGCGCCAGGATCGCTGGCAGCCAGTCGACCGATGGGCTCATGGGGAAAGGGCGAGGATGACTTTGGGCCGAGAGACAGCGCCGGTGGGGAGCAAACGGGAAAGAGACTGGTCAGGAGGTGCTCACATGCCCCGCGGCGAAGGCAACGGCCATGGTCGTCACAGAGGCCCGAGCCCCGGCTGAGGCGGCGACGGAGGGGGGTGGGTGCTGACCATGTCGGTCGCCAGGAGCGCAAAAGTTGCTCGGATAGGTGCCCCGGCACAGACGACCACGGCGGGCAAATGGGAAAGACGACGGATCGTTCCGACGGGGTCAGATGCGCGGGAGAGAACGGCTGGGACGCAATGCAATGCAATGCAACGCAATGTAATGTAATGCGATGCAATACGAAGCGACATGAGCCAGAGGATGTGAGGGGAGAGCTGGAGCGAGTGCAACCCCGAGAGCACCTTGGGCGAGGACAAAAACGTGACGGAGTGGCCCACCAAGCGGGCAAAGAGCGCACTGGCCACGAGGACGTGCTCACGAGACACGCGGACAAGCCCGTGCAGCCGGCGACACAGGTCTGTCTCGATGGACATACAGACATGTCTCGATGGACATACAGGCCTATGTCTGCCGAAGCATCGGGACATTGAGACTGACGATCCGCTGGCATGCATAGATGGATGCATAGATGGATGCGTTGCTTGGTGCATAGATGGATGCATTGCTTGATGCACTGCTTGATGCACTGCTTGATGCCCATTCACTCGTCCCGCCCCAGTGCCCGTGCTGAGCAGATCTGCTGACAGCCAATTGCCCCCAACTTGCCCGCGATCCGCGCCAGGTTTCGGCGGCGCGCGATTTTTGCGAGCCAATCCCTCGGCGCTTTCATCCGCAACAAGACCCCGTGCCGCGTTCCCGGAGTGGGGACGGCGTGACCGCCGCGGTCACGAGGGCCCGGCCCGCCAGCCAAGGCTACCCACCCGCGTTCCCACGCCGGTCCGCCGGCCCAGCCCATACAGCCGCTGTGCATGTAAATGTATTCGCTGCGTGCAACCAGGTGCTGAGGGCCGCGCTGGCTTTGTCCGGGCTGTGGTCCTGCTGCTTGCCTGGCAAACCTACCGGGAGGCAACGTTGGCTGCTCCATGGCTGCTTTGTTCGCCAGTCGTCGCTCTTTGCGCTTTCTGCAGTGTCCATTCGGACCATCCGTGGCCCCATAAATATCGCCGGTCGCCTCTCCGTCTTTCCCGGTGTGACTCTGGCCCTTTCGTTCTGCAATTCCATCGTCGTTGGCCGGTAGCTGGCTGCTGTCCCTTCCTCCCATCGTCCGAGTTTGCGCCAACCTTCCTTGCTCCTCTCCTCCATAACCGCTTTCGATCCACAAAATGCAAGGCCTCGTTCCTATCGCCGCTCTCTTGGCCGCCGCTGCCTCGGCTGTCCACGGACATATGACCGTCAAGAGCCCACCTCCTCGCCAGCTGCCTCCCGTCTACGGCGGATATGTATGCACCCTGTCGTTGTCGTTGTCGTTGTCGTTGTCGTTGTCGTTGTCGTTGTCGTTGTCGTTGTCGTTGTCGTTGTCGTTGTCGTTGTCGGCGCTTCATTGCGTCTGTTCGGGACCAGCATTTACTGCTCTCAGTCTACCTTGCCTTTGCATATCGCGTCGTGCTTATCCCGCCGTCACCCATTTCGTCCTTACATCCTCAGATTGAGCCCTATGACTACAACATCCTCAATCCCCTTGACTCCGCCAGCGGCCGCACCTTCCCCTGCCAGGGCAAGGCTCCCGGTCCGGTTCTCACCACCCTGAATGCCGGTGGCAACGTCACTGTTACTGTCGGTGGCAACTGGCCCAACCCCGCCTACCACAGCGGCGGCCACGTCCAGATCGCCCTTTCCTACAGCACCTCTCTCAACTACAGTATGTCTCTGCTCGGCGAGCGTGCCAGTTTGATGCCGTTTCGCTCACGCCATCGATGGAAGGTAGCCCCACTCCCCGGCTGATCGCGAGCCCCATCAACTGACCTTGCCTCTCGCGCCTCCAGATCCCTCCGACTGGGTTGCTCTGTTCACCGCCGCGCACGGCACTTGGGATCCCACGCCTGTCCAAGGTATTGCGGCTTTGGCAGCAGAATCCACCCCATCCGCATCTCTCTCTCTCGGTCACCGGTTCTGACGCCTTGGGCTCGTGTTCTGTTTATGATACGCCAGAGGGATATCATTTCAACGTTGCCATTCCCAGCGGCATCCCCAATGCAGCCAATGCGGTGCTTTCCTGGGTCTGGATCAACGCCGTCGGCAACCGCGAGCTATACAGTGAGTATCGAGACAGGTTCCCTTGGGCGACTGCCAGCAAAGCTGCAAGCATAACCGCCGAACCAAGCCCCGCCGTTGCCTCAACCGGAACTGACAATAGACACTCCCCCCCTCCTCATCCACACTTTCTCAGCCTCCTGTGTCGACGTTGCCATCACCGGCGGTAGTGACTCGTCCTCGGCCTCGCTCGTTGGCCCGCAGCTCTTCATTGCCAACTACCCCGGCTACCCAACCATTCCCGAGATGGTCGTTGGCGTTGATGATGGAACTCACTATTTGAACGACCGCCCAACCATCACGGTCCGACCTGGTCCCCAAACCGCCACCACGGGCGCTGCGAGCTCGACCGTCAAGCCAACCACCACCACCACTACTACTACTACTACCACCACTACCACCACTACCACCACTACCACTACCACTACTCCGGTCAAAACTACCACGACCACTACTACTCCCGCCAAAACCACCACCACCACGACCTCGGCCAAAACAACTACTACCACGACCCCGGTCAAAACCACCACCACCACCACCACCCAGAGCCCTGCTCCCACCACGAGCACCTGCACTACTCCGGGCTCGTACTCTTGCAGTGCCGCCGGTACCGCCATCCAGGTTTGCGACTGGAGCGGCAACTGGGTCACCATCGGAACGTGCTCCAGCGGCACCAAGTGCACCTCCAACTACATCTGCGCTTAAGCGCCCGGGTGTGTCAATGGGGAGGAGCGACTGTATCCGCGGCTTATTGCCGTGGGGATGTGTGGATGATATCGCTCTGGGATGCCGCTTCCCCTACCCTTGTGCTGTTCCCTCGTCTGCATTACAAAAAGATTCTTCCCCTGACTGATGGCTGCGACTCTTCCCTCCTTCCTTCCCGTGCCCTGGCTGCTCTGTAATCTTTGTAAATCGGTGTCGAGCGGCGGGTGGGGGCGTTCATTCTTGAGCCAGCCGAGTGCCTCTTTCTCTTTCTTTGCCCATCCGACCTCTGTGTATTCTTGTTTCTATCGCTTTCCAACGCTGCCGAATCTTCTAATATAGCCAAGTATCAAGTGTCTTCTATCCCATCTTTGCCTCGCCACATCGAGTCAGTCCACGGACTCACGAACGTGCAAACAACGTAGCTCAGGTTGTATTTCTCTTTTTACATAGCCATCAGGACAGCAGAGTCAAATGCAGACAGCAAATATCTCAATCTATAGCGCCATGCCCAATGCTGACGAATGTTGACGACGACGCATATCCAGACTTGCCCATGCATCCATCTGGATATGGGACCTTGGTGCTCGCGATGCAGCAAAGATCACACATCGGCAAAGAGGCCGGGTGCTTTTCTTGAAGGTGTAGAAGCAAATCAAAGACGGTGTGTGTATAGGAGGGAGTGAGGGCAGGGGGCAGGCGCTGCTGCTGCTGCTGCTGGGACCTTGGACTCTGGGGCTGGGGCATTGGTTCGGCGCCATGGTTGGCCGAATTTTGCCGAATTTTGCCGAATTTTGCCGACATGATCGGATGAGGGCGAGCTAAGGTAATAAAATGCAGTGGCGGCACCGTGGTGGTTTCTTGTGGAGATAGAGCGAGGAAATCGGAATAAAGTGTGCAGCGGAAGAAATCGATAGAGGGCGAGAGGCTCGGTTCGCCACAGCCCTTGTCTTGGGAGAGAGGGGCAGCAGCCGCTTACAACTTGTCCTCGAGATCGATTTGGTCCAGGGCCTCCTCGATTCGCTTGACGTGCTTGATGACCGAGTGGAAGAACGACACGGTCTCGTTGGCGGTCTCCTTGCGCTGGCGCTGCTGCGAGAGCTTCTGGGTGCGTTCCTCCAGATCCTTGAGGAACTGGTTCTGGAACTGGTACATGGCCAGACGCAGGACCCGTCTAAAGGTTTTGGCGATGCGGGTCTTGTTGGTCTCGGCAAAGCGGGTGCGCTCGAGGTGCTCGACCATCTTGGTGCGGACTTGATTCTGGACGGTCGCCTTGACGTCCGAAAGGCTGTAGGCGATCAAGCCAACGCCTGTGGGTGGTGGCAAAGCAGGTTAGAATCAGCGAGTCGACAGGCTCAATGCAATGCTACCCCCGCGTGTGCCGCCGTCGGAGCCAACACATCCCCCGTAGCCAACATCAACAGTCACGTCATCCGATTGCCAACGTCAGCAGAAACGCCACCACGACCACCGAGCCCACCCGACACCGACCTGCAACGCCAAGACCCGCAAACAGCAGCTTGGCCAGACTCGGGTTGCCCGCCAGCTTGAGGCCAGCCTTGTATCCGATCAGGCCACCGAGGGCCATGCCCACGCCGGGCACGTACGACTGGGCAATGTCCAGCTTGTCGCGCAGATCGAAAAAGTCGTCCAGCTCCAGCGGCAGGGTCTTGATCTTGTCGTCGTTCAGCTCGCCATCAAAGGCACTGGTGACGACGCCAAGATCGATCTTGGGCGGCTGGTCCATGCACTCGGCCGCCAGCTTCTGGATCTCCTGGATGCAGCTGAGGGCGCTCTTGCTGGCAAACTCCTCAGCCTTCTTGATGCGGTGGGTGGCGAGTTTGTAGATCATGTTGCGCAGGTCGCGGGCATACTGCCACATATACACGATGCCGTTCCACTCGAGCTCGTCGGTGTAGGACTCGAGGTCCTCGGCGAGGCCAGAGAGCTGCTTCTCGCAGTAGGCCTCGACCTGGCTGCCGGCGTCCTCGATCACCTTGTCGACGTCGTCAAAGTATTTTTCCTTGATACCCTTCATCATTTCGTACGACGGCAGATTGACGTCCATCTCGTGGGCGAGCGAGTTGAAGGTCTCCTCGGCCTGATCGTTGTTGAAGGCCGAGATCTTGCGGACGTCGGCGAGGAGGTTATGCAGGTAGATCTTGGCCGGTGCCAGTTTGGAGCGCGCACGCTTGTCGAGAATGAAGGATCGGAGGCACTCTTCCAGACGCACAAAGTCGTCCAGGGATGTGTTCTTGTATTTGGCAGGCTCCGCGACGATCGGCTCATGGACCTTGCCCGAGGCAGCGTCCTCGAGCGCCTTCTGCTTCTCGAGATCGTGTTGCAGGGTCTGGCGGGCACTGACAAAGTGCACCAGCGACGAGGCGTCGCTGAAGGTGTTGGGGGAGATTTGGCGGATCTGCTCGAGGATTTCGCTTCGGCAGCGCTCGGCCCGACGGATGGTGTCGAACTTGTTGACGACGATGAAGATGTAGGCCTTTTCCTTGCCGGCGGTCTGCAGGAACTCGCGGCCCTGAGATCCACGATGATACAGCAAAGGCAAGGCGATGCCAGATCATACCCACAGGATGTGGAGAGTCGAGGGGGCCGGGCAATCGCAGACGGTGTCCAGAGCAATTGCAGTGCGATCGAAAGGTTATGGAGAGAAATGGTGCGATTAGTCCCTGAAGCGGCGACTGAAAGGCAGCCCAGCAGCGATCGGTCGTTGCCGAGATGGACTGACTCGGTGTGTCGGAGATGATGCTCATCCTGCAGCAGCCGTGCCAGGCAGCTTCCTCCCCAGGCAGCTGCACTCCTCTACACGTACCGAGAGCGTGAAGTGGTTTTCGGCATTAACGACAAAGACGACAACGTCAATCTCCTCCTGCTGTGCAAACAGCGCCGTGGTCTTGGTGGTGTCGATGTTGAGGCCGGGCGAGTCGATCAGCGAAATGTCGACGATGCCGTTGTGGAGCAGGGTGTGGTCCTTGTGCCGGTTGTCGCGGCAATAGACCTTGAGCAGCTCAAAGTTCTCCTCATTCTCCTCGACAGTGTCGCGCAGATGGCGAATGTCCAGGCGGGTAAAGGTGGTCGAGTCCAGGCGGTTGTAGCCTTCGGGATCGTGGATGCCGTGGACCTCCTCGATGCCGTCGTTCTGCTCTGCATCGACGACCTCGCAAAACAGGGCGGTGCAGGGCTGCTGGTCGTCCGGCACGACCTCGCGGCGCAGAACGGCGTTGACAAAGGTGCTCTTGCCGGCGTTGAGATCGCCGGTGACCAGCACTTTGGAGCGAGTGTCGGTGATACGGTTGTGGAGCTTTTCGAGATGGGCGAGCGACTCCTTGAACTTGACGTCGAGCAGCTGCGAGATGAGGGTGATGTCGGCGGTGCTGAGCGAGTCGGGGTTGTACGAGTAATTCTTGAGGTCGAGCTGCAGCACTCGCAGGGGGTCCTTTGGAACCAGGACTCGCGAGTGGGAGACCGACGCAGACATGGTCGGGGTCGGCGCCCGCTGCGGGGATGTCGACAGCGAAGGCGAGCCGCTGTCCACGATCATGGACGAGCGTCGGCTCGTCTCGGTCCTGGCGGGGAGCGAGGCGGTCGGATACCGGACGACATACGGGCTGGTGCTGGGCCGGACCTCCTCCAGAAGGAGCCTGGTCTCCTGGAGCAGGGACGAGAGCTTGGCCTTCTTCTCGCCGTAGAGCTGGGCCTTGACATGGGCGGCGACGTGATCGGCGTTGGAGGGGGCAGCCATGGAGGCGGTCAGGTCCACCTGGGTGAAGGACGACGACAGGTCCTTGAGGGAGCTCAGGGCCGAGGAGACGTTGGAGGAGATGGAGCTGGCCAGCGATGCAGTGTCGAAGAACTTGGAGTCGGCCTTATCGCCGGCATCAACATGGTGCTTGGCGACGGGAGGCTGGGGCAGTTCCGACTGCTGGTTCATTGCGGCAGGGAGAGGACGGCGGCCTGGCGAGACAGAGACACACGGACAGAGGCAGACAGAGGCAGACGGCAGCAGGCCCGATCGAGGGAGGCCGAGAGCGCAGGCGGGGGAGAGCGACGGGGATGCGGATGGCGAGCGAGCGCAGGAAAAGGCATGCAAGCGCAGGAGATGGCATGCAAAGGCCGGGCTTGCCCGCAGGACAGGAGGATCGGCGACGCCAAAGGGCGGCGGGCGCGGAAGAAAAAAATAGCGTGGCTTGACCTTTGTGTGTGTGTGGTTGCGCCGCTGTCTGTGTGGCCGGCTCAAGCTGGCCGAGACGCCAACACCGCCGTGCGACGCTTGTGTCCGGTTGCACCAATACAGCCAATCAGCGCTCGTGTGTGTGTGTGTCAAGTCCGATTTCGGACAGTCGAGCCGGATCGAGCCGTGTGGTTCTGTCTGCAGCGCCACGCTCCGGCATCGCCACGAGATCGACGAGTGCATTCGAGACCACGCTTCCCAACCAACTAAAACGAAGCAATGATCAACCAGGACTAGAAACAGTCGCGCGACCAGCCACAGGGGCTGCTGGTACCAGAGATGACAGGCACTGTTCCGGGGTTTCTGGATTGACTGTATATTCGCGATCCGCTCCATCCGGTCCGCCCCCATTCGCTATCGCTTTGCAGTGCGTCTGGTCGACTTGATCCATGCTCCGCTCAGATGCGGTCGTGGTGGAAGGAGAGTTTGAGTGTATCCAACTCCTTGAGGTAGCTGTCGGTGCGTCAATGGGTGCAGTCGTCAGAGGTCACATCCACAATCACAGCCTTGGCGCGGCCTCGCCGTTGATATCGGGGCTCGCATGCACTCTCCTTACTCTTCACGATCGCGCTCCAGCAGCTCGCGCAGCTCAGCTCTGCGGAGATCGATCATTTCCTTGTTTGCCAACATGATCTCTTCTCGGGTTCTGTTTCGAGTGAGGACGGAGGTGGGAATGCAGGCCGATGCCGCGTGAGCATTTTCGGCATGGAGCTGCAAAACACGGACGAGGAAAGGAGGACCACTCCGTCGCGGATGCTTGAACGGATTTTCTCGCCCAGCGCCATTTGTGCCGATGTTTCCTAATCCCGCCATCCACGACGACTTACTCTTCTTGCAGCCGGCGGATATCGCTCTTCCAGGATATCATCATGGCGTTGTCTTGCCACTTGGCGACAAAGGCAATCACTCGCTGCCTGCATAGTATTGCAGTGAGCAACAGAGGCAGTGGAAGCAGCTTGTCGCAGACATGGTCGCGTTCGATGCCATCGGCTGCCATCAGGTGTCATTGGCTGCCAGCACGACAGAAACTCGCAGAAGCAATCGTGACGAGCACACCCATCGTCGTCGCTGTGCCTGTCGATGTCTCGTCACAAATAGGTCCAGGTTTTGGACAGACCTGCGGTCAGCTTCTTTCTGATGCGACAAGCGATTTTCTTCCTGGATGGAAATCAGGAGCGGGAAGCAATGTGAGAGAGCAAGAGACTTGTCCGCGTGTTTGGGTCCATTTCTTTGGTGGCATCGCACTCGACAATGTTGCTTGGTTTCTGCTGGTCAGCTCCAGATTGTTACCTTGACGAGCCGCTCAAAAGCCTGCTCGGCTCGCTTGCTTGCGCTGCTCTGTGTGCTTCGGGGCTGGGTAGCTGCACTCATTCTGCAAGTATCAAGGCTTCTTGGCGATTCGGGGGGGTTGTAGGGACGAAGAAGAGGAGGAGTGGGAGTGGGAGGGGGACTGAGGAATTGGATCCTTTGAAGGGTGAGAGGAACAAAGAGAGTGTGTGAGAAAGCGCGAGGGATCCCAGGTTGGCCTCTTGGATCTTCGCCAATCCTGGGATCGCAAGATTTTCAGAGGCAGCGCTGATTGAACCGTTTCTGGAGAGATTTCTCGATATCAGAATCACGACCGAAACAGAATCATGCACATCGCCGCTGGAATCTCCACGCCACTGGGCCCCCTGCGAATGTCAATGCCAGGGCCAATGCAGCTGTATTCGATGGGATGACTGAGAGCAGGGCAGTGGATACAGTAGACAAGTGCATGTGTGTGTGGATGTGGATGTGGATGTGGATGTGGATGTGGATGTGTACAGGCAGAGGTTGGAGATCAAGGGAAGCAGAGACGATCCGATAGAGGATACTCGCTAGACAAACAGACATCGTTACAATATACATAGCGTGGGAGAAGGGCAGGGTGCGCAGGTGTGCGTAATGTGTGTAGGGCGAGAGAGTGGTGAGATTGGACCGTGGAACAGAGGAGTGGGAGACGGTTGAGCGAATGGCGCAGGCACAAAACGCAGTGCGGGAGAATCACGAGTGCTTGGGGGTCGGGCCATTTCTAGAGGCCAGGAAGAGCCGTTAGCCGTTGGCGGCCTGTTCGACGCATGCGACAATCATCGCCAGCCGCTTGAACGGCCGTTGGCAGGTGAGAAGGGTATACTTGATCTGCTGACTGAAGGGCATGATCTGGGTGATCCAAAAGGACAGATCGGCAATCTCGGAAGGGATTGGGCCATACTGACGGTCAAACTGCGCGAGTTGGCTCGGCGGTAGATACTGCCGCAGGTTCTGCACAAACGTGCGGGTCGTTTCGAGATGCAGGCGCACGATCTCGGCATCGTTGACATGTGAAGGCTGCCCGCCGTGCGCGCTCGAGTAGTTGCGCATCACCTGGGTCGTGACTGAGGGCGTGCCTGCCTCGGGCGATTCGCCTGCGATTTCGTCCTCAATGTCCAGGTCATCGAAGCGCTCGATGCGAGCCATGTGGTATCCATCAGGGTGGTTCACGCATTCAAGAATACGAAAGCGGTGGATGCCCGTGACCATGACGACCAGACGGGGCTGCGGTCCTTCTGGGGTTTGCGCCAGGTCAGATCCTTGCACGGGACGACAGTGGAGCACGTCAACCAGGGTGCCGACATACGGCCGTGCCGACGGAGGAATGACGCCGAACTTTTTCGTGGTTTCCATCACGCGCTTGATCATGAGCTGAAGATGGGCGGGAATGGTGAGCGGTTGGGATGAGGAGCACAATACAAATAGCAGGAGTTAGGGCGAGTGCCGGTGCCACCCATTTGGAAATGATTGTGGTGCTGTCCCTGTTCTTGCCATATGCAGGCCGTGCCCCCATCACAAGTGGTGCGCCGATGAGCAAAATGGCATCGTGGTAGACTTGGCACATAGTGGTGGTGACGGTAACATTGTTACCGCCAGTAGTCTCTGCACTCGCCGAGTCCCGGCTGCATCTCCCAGACACTTACCCGGTACTTGGGCTCGTGGATATGCAGGCCCTGCCCCTCGCCGGGACAGAGAACCGTACACACAAAGATCGGGATGACTTCCTGTTCCTTCACGGCCTCGTGCGCCATGCGACGGCTCCGGTACTCTTCTGCGTGGTACCTCTCCAGGATCTGGGTGAGGATGCTGTTGGACGGGCGGCCAGAAAAGTAGCTCCAGCCGGGCAAGTCGGTGCGGCAGAGCGGGCAGCTGAGGCGGTGGTCGACGGTCTGCAGCACGCACGACCGGCACCAGGTGTGGCCACATGGCGTCGTGACGGGCTCGAGCAGAGTGTTCATGCACAGCGAGCACTGCAATTCTGCGAGATCGGGGTCGATCGGCGGCGGCGGCTCCTGACGTGCCGCCAGGGCGGCATGGAGCTGGACTTGGGCTTCTGGGCACATCGGCCATGCCGAGAGATTGAGCTGCTCGAAGGCAGCCGGCAGAGTGACCGCACCCGTACCATCGCCGGATATTGCAGAGCGAGGCATGGTTTCGGTTGGCGGGGCCAGATTCTGGATTTCCGTCTTGGCATATCCAAGCGATGTGGGGTCGAACGACGCTGCTGTGTGCATGGACGAGACCTCGGTCCCGGTGGAGGCCAGTAGAGTGCTCTCCGAGTGTCGGTTGGTGAGATTGGGGGACGGGATAGGATTCTGGGACCGGAACTGCATTTGACTGCCGAGCTCGTTCAGCAGGGCATGGCCCCGGCCGTTAGCTGGGTTGAGGGCGATGGCCACCTGGATGTCGGCGAGGGCCTCCAGCAGTTGGTTGCGCATCATGTATAGCTGCGCCCGTTTCAGGTACAGGACCTGGAGGAACAGGCCCTGGGCAATGCATTCGGTGTAGATTTGCAGGAGCTTGAGAGCGGCTCCGGTGTTGGCCATGTCGGCAGGCAGAAAGGGCGATAGCTTCCACGAGGAGAAGGACAGCGGCAGCTCGGAGGTGTGCTCCGAGCCCGTGGCGGCTTTGTATACGCCGGCTTGTTTTGGATAGAGCTGGTGCAGATACTGATTGACGAGGACATCGGGCTTTTCCCGGCGGTAGCAGTGGCGCCGTCCACATTCGGTGCAGGGGCACTGGTAAAACTGGAAGTTGGAGAGCACTTCTGAAGGGCTGGTTGAGGCGGAGGCTAGTTCCTGGTTGGAGGAAAGCGGTCCCATCCGAGGCGACACCAGGGGTTGGAGTGTCGAGTCCGAGTTTGCCGATGGCAGCCAATGGCAGCCGATGGTAATGGTAGTTCGTTTACATAGGTCCATGATGGTTCACGTTGCCAAGTCGACGGAGAGACGTTCCAGAGGGAGGGAACTGCGGGTTAGCGGGGCTTACTGGACAATGGCGGTGCGAACTGGTGAGCGATTGGTCGCTCGAGATGGGTTGGTGGCCGAATGGCAGTGGATGTTTGTTGGACTACCAACGGGACGAAAAGGAGACATCCCATCCAATGCAACGAGGCCAGTACAACGAGGTCGGTGCAGCGAGGCCGACAGATGGTGCTGATGTCGACCTCGGCCGAGGACGAGGGGCCTGGCTCCGATGCAGTCGGGGGGAGGGTGCTTCGGCTGCTGGACCCGTGCTTGGGCTGTGGCCAGGACATACCTGATCGCGGATTTCTTGGTGTGGTAGGCAGGTCAAGCAAATCGAGCGCCCACACGGCAGGGTCAGCGGGTCGCATAGGAGCTCGTTGCAGGCTGGGCAGGTGAAGAGAGGCTGGACGAACGATGGAGCCGGCGGCGGCAACTCGGGTTGCATTTGGAGAGCGGAAGGCTGGTGCTGGATGGCCTGGGGAAAGGCGAGAGCGACGCAGCGGCCGGGGCTCGGTGGATGGACAGAGCCTGGGGCGTGGATATATGCAGCGGTCAGATTGAGGGTCCGAGAGTGGTTAAGCGGAGAGGGCGGCCGATAGCGGTAGCAGTCGAGGACGATCGACGGCAAGAGACAGCAGAGGACGAGCGACGGCGACAAGAGCAGCGACAGTAACAAAAGCAGAGCGAACAGATGGGCTGGTGGGCAGCGAGGCAGCGAGCGAGCGAGGACGGCAGCGAGAGACACAAGGCGCTCATGACCAGCAGTTTCGCCGAAGGAGACAACGACTGCCGAGCAGGAGCGATCCAGGGCGAGGACGATCCAGAGCGAGGACCTTCCAGAGAGGGCGATCCGGAGAAAGGATTGCCCAAGGCCATTGAGCCGCAATCATAAGCAGCACTAACTCCTGGCGGGTGATGTCGTGGGTGGGTTGTGTCGGGGGTTGTGTCGGGAGTTGTGATTCGCACTCGATCGCCAAAGGCTTTTGCGGGGCTGTCTTTGGGCACTCGATCCGCCGTCGTCGCTCGATGCCGCTGCGATGCCGCTCAGGGCAATGGAAGGCACTGCGTGGGATGCTCGTCCTCTCGCTGGAGACGTACCAGTCCTCTCGCTGGAGACGTACCGGTTTTCTCACTTGGATACTTACTCGTCAATGCCTCGCGGCCGCTGCGATTTCACCGGCAGAGTCGTTGCGCCGCCGAAATCGTCCGGTCGGGGTCGTCGAGTCGAGGAAAGGGGAGGAAATCCGATGGCCAGCAGGGAGAAATCGGTTCGGCGGATGAACCAGCGGATGGTCGTGGGCGGGTGCCCGCAGACTCGGTATGCTCTGCGGCTCTGTCTTGCAGCATCGGGCCACACAGTGCGGATCGCTCGCTGGCTTGGCTTGGCTGGCTGCTGGGATACCCGCGGCAGATTGAGGCAGACCGGGAGGGCGAGGGTGAGGGCGAGAGCAGCAGCAGAGACTGACCGATGAAGGACAAACTTATAAACAAGTCGGCCGAGCAGATACTCAAGCACAGACGGATCAGCGAGCCGGATACGGGTGTTTTGGGCTTGCCTGCCTCGGCCAGCGATGCGCCGCCGGCTCTGCCCTTATCAACTGCTTACCGATGCTTATTCAATTGCCGATACTTATCCCGCTGCTTTTGCCTTCTCAGTTGCTGCAACTTGCCAATGCGGAACGCCTTTGGTTTTGTGGCTCGTTCTGCGGAAGAATCCCCTCGCTCCGGACAAACTCGTCTCGGATGTGTTGCGTTCTGCCGATGGCGGGTCGATGGCGGCGACGTCTTGATGGCGAGAGGACGGAGGGATGTGGCTGCAGAGCATCCGACCCACAACCGTCGCCACCTGCAGCTGTCTGCATGGGCAACAGGCCCTGCAGATGGCCCTGCAGACGGCCCTGAGGTGCTTGGGAGGGGTGTTTTGGTGCATGTCCAGGGCGAAGGAGCGGGCGAGCTTTGGGCCCGCTTCGCGGAGAAACCAGCTGAGCGGAAAAAACGCTATGTGTGTGTGTGCATCCCGTGACCGGGCGAAGGCGCTGACTGCCCGAGCCGCATCCCAGCCAAGAGACACTCTGCATGTGCCGGGGTTGATACGGTTGGTTGGTTGGGCAGGGGTATGGCCTCGCCAGAGACCAGGCGGCCGGGACACCAGAGTCTGGGAGTGTGTGTGAAGGGAAGGGGACTCAACCCGCCGGAACTGAAACGAGACTCTGGATTGAATGGTGCCAGTCGGCCACCTGGATGGGCTGTATCGATCTATCACTCGGATGGGCGGTATCGATCGGCGTTTGCGCTGCAGTGGCGGGGTTTGGCCGATAAGAGAGCTCAAGGAAATGAGTGTATGATGCGGGTCGATACGATACGATACGATCCGGCCGCGGCGTGTTATTGTTCAAGAGACGATGTATTCATCGTTGTTGTTTTCAGCACGCTATATAGTTGTTACAAAACAAAGCCAGACGATACACTGTCGGCTTTCAAAAATCATGCTTCAAGCAAGGTCGGCGGAGGATGACACTGGCAATGAGGATATGGGTCGGCCGCAGCCAGAAATAAAGAGACAGAGAGAGGGGTCGCCGCCTGTGTGAGGCATGTGGTGTCGATACCAGCGACCGAGGCACGGCAGACTCGAAATGCGATCGGGAGGGAATATGGGGAGGGTAGGAGGGACGACCAAGCACGCGCAAGCAGCGTGCCGACCAGGCGGCTCGATCGCCAGGGCCCTGGCTCCTTCATTACGGCCCCGGCAGCTAGTCGTGCGTCGAGTGACGTGAGACGATCGTGGCGGCGCCAAAGTCAGTTGCCATGATGAGGCCATCGTCTCCATTGCTCCTACGCGACTGTGTGGACGACATTGTCGCCGTCAATCATCTCGATGTGCGCCAGGAGGTAGCCGTCCGGATGCATCTTGACGCCCAGGATCTGAAAGTACGACAGTCCTTCGACCATGATGGCATATCGGGGCAGGTTGCCCTTGGGTGTCATCGCCAGCGAGTTGTGGATCGTTCGGCAACGGCTGATGCGGGCGAGCGTTCCCACGGGCATGGGGCCGGACCGCGGATCGCTTGGAATCGTGAACGAGCCAATGACACCAAAGGCCGAGTCGGTCTCTATCAGATGCTTGACCATGGCCTGGATGGATGAGATGAGTGCAGAGTGAGCACTGGAGCATGGAGAGCGCGGCATCTGGGCAGGAACGACTCCGTGGCCCCGCCAACATCACTCTTCTCATCTGCAACACTACCACTCCACGCTGCTCGCCCTCGCAGACACTTGCCTATCGACGGTGCACCCACTTACCCGGTATCTCGGCTCGAAGATGTGGAAGGCGTGTGACTGTCCTTGCGGGATCGAGCAGCACACAAACAACGGAACAATGTTGCCGTGGTGGATCCGGTCTTCGATTTCGCGTCGGCTTGCGGTTGCGCTCTGGAACAGCCCGTTCAGCAGGTATCCCAGGATCTGGTTCGTCGGCTGCTCTCGGAAGAAGGTCGAGTCCGGCAGGCTCCTCCGGCACAGCGGGCATTTGCACGAGTGGAGCAGAGACCGCAGGAAGCAGTTGCGGCAGAGGGTATGGCCGCACGGCGACGTGAGGGGTTCCAGCAGCAAGTTGAGACACAACGGGCACTCGAGATCGTCGGTGGTGAGAGACTCGAGGGCGGGTGGAGGCGACGGCAACGCATGGTCGTGAGAAGAGTCCGGGCACTGACCGACGGCCGGAGAGCGCACAATGTCGCCATCGTCCAGCGAGGTGAGTGTAGGCACAACCGCCGACTCGGACTTTTCCAGCTTCGAGTCCAGCAGTTTCTGGAGCGATGGCAGCTTGATGTTGTTTGGGTTGAGAAGGCCGACTTGCTCGAGGTCACGGTGGGCCTCCTGGAACCGTGCGTATCGGATCATGATCTGAGCACGGCGTAGGTACACCAAGGGGAGTCCGGGGGCAAGGGCAAGAGCCTCCTGGATCTGATCCAGAGCCTTCTCAAGGATGTTCTCTGAGGGCTGGTTCGTCCGCCACAGCTTGAAGCGGGACGAGGGCTGCTCATCGGAAGCCAGCTTGAAGGCGGTATCGGCGAGCTGGTAGGCTCGCATCGAGTCGGGATAGAGTTTGTGCAGCAGCTGGTTGAGGAGAATGTCAAGGGACTCGGAGCGGAAGGTGTGGGTTTCGCAGCAGCCCTGGGCTGGGCAGGCATAGACGGAAGGCGCTGGAATCAACTGGCCGCATTGTGGGAGCTGGATGGCAAGAGCTGTGCGTTAGCGATGCAGGTGTGGGTGTGGGTGTTGGTGTCGGTGTGGATGTGCATGTGGATGTGGATGTGGATGTGGATGTGCATGTGGATGTGGATGTTGGCTGGTTGGCCAAAAGCGCCAACAGGTTGGGCCGGTGGTGTCTTCCCGCAAAACACCACCGACCCAAGCCGACGGGGCTTCAAGCGCAAAACCCAAGCGCAAAGCCCAACCGCAGCCACACCCGCCGCCCCTCGCCAACAGGCCAGGCCACTTTCTCACCTGCGGCACGACAACGTCCATCAAGCAGGGATGGCACACCGAGGCTCCGCACGGGAGCGTTCTCGGCTCAAACAACAGCTCGGAGCAGCGAGCACAATGCAGGAGCGTGGATTCTTGGAGCATTCTCATTGCAGGCGCGAGTCAACGCAGACGGTTCAGAGAGAGGCAGATAGGGCAGGGCAAACGGGGGGGGGCAGGGCTCGCAATTGGTGATCAAAGCACCCGGGAGAGACACGGCAGCAGTGCGTTGGAGGGCCGGGTAGTGCGATTGCTTGTCTTTTGCGGCGGCGGATGAGACGCAGCTCGCAGCTTGATGTGGATTAGCCAGACCAAAAGGGCGATTTCGATCTGAGCCGTCCGAGCCCGGGGTTGCGGGTGGGCCGGTGTTCTTATACCCGCCTCCCCAGTGGATAATACGCTGCTCCGGGTCGGCCATCTCGCCAAAAGCGCTGTCCATAAGCCTTGTATTGCCGCAGCTGTGCCGGCCTTCTTTGCGTGTGGAAAATCTCGGCGAAAAACATCCGTCGAGCCAAGGGCGGGGACCGCCGCCGTTTTTCCTCTCCCACGCCCACACACACACACAGCTGCAGGGCACACACGCACTGCGGAAGAATCTGGCCACAGCCAGGCGAGCAAATGGCAGTGCCCAGCACAGCAGCCCCACAGACACTTTGCAGACGCTTGACAGGCACTCGACAGACCCCATTGGCACCACAGCCATTGTCGGCACCAGTCGGCGCCATCTCGGCGGAAAGCGTGCGGGTCAGGGACATCCGGATTCATTGGCGTGCTGCGGCGGGCACATGGCGAGGGCCGGCCGGAGCGAGAAAGAAGAGGACGGAAGCCCCGAGCAAGCGCCAGCGACCGTGAGAATATCCGCCGTCCGGCCTTGGCGGCTGCTCCCACCTGCGGTCGAGGGTGCTGTCTACGGCCGTCGGTCGCGGCGGATGTGTTGGTTGTACTGCGGGAGAACGAGACGGAGATGGAGTCAGGAAGCGCCGATGTCGCAGACACCATCCGGCAGGGCGAGGTACTTTTTTCCTCGTCCACCACCACTCCCGCACCACCATCGACATTGCCGCTGTTGCCACTTCCACTTCCACTCGCACTTTCACTTCCATGACAACTACTACTCCTCCTGCAACGGCAGCCGTAACTACTCCCTCCATCATCGCGCGATCGACAAGATCCAACACTCTCGTTTCCGCGACTCACATCGAGTTCTCCGAACAGCTTCTTGGTCAGCCCGCCCAACAGGGTCAGTTCGCTGCGGATCGAGGCCAGACAGCTCAGTTAACTTTTTGCCGCAAATCGCAAAGAGGAGGCGAGGGGGGGGGACCAGCTCTCCTCTCACCCCTCTCCACACTCCCGATTCTCCGCCACCCGCCAGACAACTCCCCAAGCCGCAGCAAGCAACTCACCTGATCACGCTTTCCATCTCAATCACATAGGCATAGTAGAAGAAAAATGTCCCGTCCGGCTGCCCCGATGGCGTGACCACAAACGACTTTTTCTTCCGCAATTCCGGGGCTGCCAGCTGTCGCTGCGAGTGGCCGAGGTTGCAGATGAGCCGCTGCCGGCATGCCTCGATGTTCGGCAGGAACGGCGGCAGCGGGGCCTTCAGGATCATCGCCCCAGAGAGCACGTAGAAGGTCAGCAGGATCTCGCCGATCATTGCCACTCGGTGCGCTTCGCCGTCCGTGTCCGCAATGCTTGGTGTTTCCAGGAACTGTTCGTAGCCCATGATCGCCGCTCGGATCGCCACAAATCGGTCCAGTATGCGGTTGCATGCGTCCAGGATCTGGCCATAGACAATCGCCGGAAAGTCGCCCTTGAGTCTCGGTTCGTGGGCCGTTTGCGCCAGCAGTAGTTGCTGCTCCGTGAGCTTGAGCCGGATCGACAGCTCCTGCTCGAGGAATTGGTCGAGGTCTTGCGGGGCCGACCGCGGCTGGCCGGATTCGAAGATCCCGACAAGCTTGGTATACAGAATGGCCATGTCGAAGAGGCTGCCCGAAAGTTCCTTGCGTAGCTCCGTTCGGGCCTTATAGGGCCAGACGTACCACGACACCAGCAGGCCAATGACCACGCCCGCGACGACAGAGACTCCGCGACGGTAGGCGATATCGTAGATCGAATAGTCCTTGCCGGTGATCGGATCCGTGGGCGAGGCGTAGGTGTGCAGCACGATGATCGAGTATGTCATGAGCAGAATCTGCAGCGCCGCAGAGGATCAGGTTCACGGGATGGGCCACCAAATGGTTATTACAGCAATCTGGCATGACGACGCGTGCAGCCATCACCGCTTTGTGCATGTTGGCTTGGCTCAGTCGGGTGCTTGCAACCGTTGCTTCCACCACGGCTGCTGCTGCCGCCGTTCGCACAAAGCCGGTGCCTAGCGCCAATCCGTCCTTACTAGTCTCCCCCCACTCATCAACACCGGCCACCACACTCGTGCTTACCTGGCCAATTCGCGGGTGCGTGCCGTACAAGAACAGGAAAAACGACGGCGTAATCACGATAGCCGTCGCCAAAAAGAGCCCCCAAGGCTCTTTGGGAAACAACACCCAGCTTGTGAGGGCACAGACCGCTCCCACGATCGTGCCAAAGATCATCTGGATGCCCGAGGAGTTGGAGCCACCGACCGAAGGGGTGATGACGACCACGGCCGTAGTCAGGGCCCAGTTGAGGCGATATTCGTAAAAGAGCAGCTGGGTGGCCTCCAGATACGAGGGCAGGGCCATCAGTGCGATCGTCAGGGCCGTCTTGAGGGCAAACTTGGTTTCAAACTCGCGGAGGCTGGTGAAGAACTTCCAGATACTGCCGTAGAAACCCGGAGCAGCGGGGTTCTGGATGCCCATGACGGTGGTCTCGCCGGCTTGCAGGTGACGGCCACCTTTCCACGGGATGGGCGAAATACGTGGGCAGCTGCGGATGAGGAGAGGATGCAAACATGCAGGCGGGAGATGCGATTCAGGTCAGGGCTGGGATGCGGACGAGACTGGCGACGGAGCACAGCGCAAGAGTGACTCTGAGCCTGCATGTCGGCGGACGCAATGGCGGGCTCTGTGACCGGTACAAGCAGCCCGCCTCGCCAAATCCCCCAAACCAGCTTGCTCTCATTGTCAGCAAACTCACCCGTAGCTTTTGTCGCGCACGAGTGTCCAGCTCTGCCAGATCCAACGGATCCGGCCAACTCGTCGGCGCTCATTGATGTTCTGGCAGAGGGTCCATACGCCCTCGCTCAAAAAGACCAGCTCGGTCGAAATCTCGAGCAGCGTAAAGATAAGAAAGTACACAAGAAAAACCTCCTGGTTGTCCTTCTCGTAGAGCTCCATCAGGAGCGTGCGCTGGTCTCTGTCAAAGCCCTCGATGGTAGCACGCAGACTCTGGATCAAGTGGTTGACGCTCGCCAGGTCCGGCGTCTGGATCTCGCTGAAGAGCGGGCGCTGCCCATCATCCAGAACAGACTCGACCGTTGCCAGGGTCTTGCGGCAGATCTCGATGAGCTGGCGTAGAGAGGGCCCCATCTTCTGCTTGAATTCCTCGAGGATTGGATTTTGCTTGCCCGAGCTCTGGCTCTGCGAGAGCTGGGTATCGATTGCGACGACGCTTGACTTGAGAGTACCAAGGTGCTGCCGGGTGTGCAAACGTTCATCAGGGGCCGACGCTCGTATATGCCCGAGTGCACCATGCACTAACGGCGATGATGGTGGTGACGATGCTCTCCGTGCTCGGTGATGTGCTCGGCGATGTGCTCGGCGATGCAGACACTCACCTGGGTTAATCGCTCGATGGTCACAAAAATGTCCTTGTATTCGTGGAAATGGAGAAACATGGTTGAGAACAGCTCGAAGGCAACCTCGAACCGAGCCTTTTCGAGTCGCAGCAGGAGCTTCTGGTGACTCTTGATGAGCTCGTGCAGCTCGTCGTGGTGAAACTCGACCGGCTTGATCTCCAGGGTCACATCGGGTCGGATGAGCTCGCGGCCGGACTGGGACCGGTACAATCGCAGATCGTCAGAAGACACATGCGACGGAAGCGAAAAGATATTGCTGAGGACGCCAAAGAAGGCCTGGAGGTTGGTCAGGGTCGTATGAATGTCGCGGCTGCGGAGAGAGTAGGGCGAGCCACAGTGAGTCACAGCGTGAGTACAGGGCAGGCTGGAGATGCTGGGGACATTCAAGTTCCTCAGTGCTGAGGAACTCTGTTGACAAAGACCCTGTGAGAAAGGCCCTGAGAAAGCCCTGTCGGCAAAGACCCTGGGGAGGGACCCTGGGAGACAATGCCCGCGCGGCGCTTGGCTATCGGGGTCGAGGATGGCCCCAATGATGGCTGCGATCCACCGACCAAGACCGGTAGAGTACCGGCGCTGCAGTCATCCGAGCAGGGATGAATCGGTGCCAGAGCTCCCTCGCGGTCCCGAGCCGGGAATCGCGGTGATCCGTGAAGGCGACTCACCGAATCGAGCTTGCAGCCGTCGTCGGCCAGAACGCACAGCATCCGAACAAGCTGATGAGCGTTCCAAAGAACAGCGAGAGCGCGATGCGGTGGATCTTGTCACCGAGATTGCCCCCGGCCTTTTCGTGGGGCAGCTGGGTGATGGTCAAGAAGGTCAAGAGATGGGCAAAGGTGCAACCTGTGGATGATTGAAGGAAACGCATGGGCAAGGGTGTGTCATGATGAGATCTGGGCAAATACAGCATCAGTTGGCCCACCGACTCGCGGGCGAACACCGAGCGGATCATACTTCATTGAATAGGACCTTATCGGAAGCCTATATCAGATGGACTGCCCATCGCAAGGCCGCAACTCCATCTGCGTCAACTCCACCTGCGTCAACTCGCTCCGGACTGCGATTCTTCCCGCCTTACCCGTCGAGACTGCCGGTCGGTTGATCTTGGCTCGAATAAAGGCCAGCAGGTAGGTCACCAGAAAGAGATTGAGGATGCCGACGACGTTTTGCAGCCACGGGACAGACGGATAGGTCTCTGAGAGCACGGCCGACATCGCCAGCGTGCCGTAGGCGACGCTGTATCCCAGCGTCATGCCCAGGAACGAGCACAGAACAGCCTCGATCATCGAGCCGATGGTGCGGGCTGGATGCAGGAAGACCACGGCGGTGGCCACAAGGTAGGATGCACTTCCCAGGTCCTCGTTGAGGTTGGCAACAAAGGTCGCTAGCGTCGCCAGCATGAAGGTGATGGCACATTTGGCTGCTCCTCGATTGGGCGAGAGCGTGTACGCGAGGGTAGTATAGTCGATCCACCGCACGGGGCGGTGGCCGCTCCCCGGGGCCGGCTGAGGCGATGTCGGTGGGATGGGATCGAGCGAGCCGGAGGCGCTTGATAGGCCCGTGACGGCTCTGTATGGCTCTATCGGCCATGTCCCTGACGAGCCCGAAAGAAGTGGCGTGGATTCGGATGGAGAAATGGCTGTCGAGCCGGAGCCGGAGCCAGAGCTGTGGGCCGCTTGCGGCATGGATCGGTTGTCGGGCTGGAGGGCTTGGGGGCGGGAACAGAGGTATCTTGCCCGAGAGGCGGCGGCAGCAGCAGACGGCTGGGCTGTGGGTGGCCAGTCGGATAGACGATAGAGAGCAGGCAGGCAGGCGAGCAGGCCGCCCGGGTCAAAAGGAGGCCCAAGACAGAAAAGCCAGCTCGACAGGCGGAGAGCAGCACTGCCACCGGGCGTGTCGCACAGACCCTGGGGCGGGTCCGGGGCCCTGAACGCCGGCGCGGCCGCTGTCAGTCGCAGAAGAGTGGAGCGGATGCGCCCACGGCGCTGTTCGCACGGATCAGGATCGGCTCTTGCCGATGCGTGCTGCGTCTGGATGCGGGCACTAAATCTACTGGGTTTACTGAATCCAGTGCATGTATTGTGCAGCAACGTGTGGCATGCAGACAGACAGACAGACAGACAGGCAGGCAGACGGAACAGAGCAGAGCTGCTCGCGACGATCGCAGCCGCTGATATTGGGCTGGCCCGTCCTTCCTTGCGGACGCAACTGGTCCATATTAAAACTTGAAGACATCGGCTTCGGTGTAGCTGGATCCCAGAGATATTGAACGGCACACGCCTGTTAGTCCCGGATGAGGGTGTCCAGTCACAGGTGCGTCTTGTGATCATCCCGGCTGACCCAACCCAAGTCCGACACGAGAGAGAAGTCAGGAGCGAATGAGGTCTGTCCGAAGTAGGGCTTACCCGAGGTCCTTGAGCAGGCCGCTGATCGGGCCCTGGGTGTAGTCGGGAGCTTTGATTCCGGAGACTGTGGGATAGAGTGTCAGCATTGGACGAGGCAGGCGGTACGGATTATGGAGGTGGGGCACTACCGAGCCATGTACACTTACGATGGGCAAGCATAGGGTTAGGACCGCAGATGAAAACCTTGCCAGCGCCAGGGGCGGGCATGTGGGCTTTGATATGGTCAGTGTTGATGTATCCGGAACCGCCATTCCACTTGGCAGGGGGTCTGCAGAAGCAAAGATCACGTCAGTGGCCAGATGTGTACCCCGCCAGACAGAGGCAGCAGCGTGAGGGCAGGCGACTGTTCAGCCTCGTCGAAAGCATGAGGATCGCGTAATTCGAGCGGGGGGGACCGATCGTAGCCGCAGCCCCATTCCAGAACCGCCGCCATGCACGCTTTGGACATGGTGCGGCACAAGGGACATTACCGGTCAAGGACGTAGTAGACAGAGAGCTTCTCGGGGTAGGCAGCGGCAAGCGAGTCGAGATAGGAGCGGAAAATGATCTTGGCGTTGGGGCAAAAGAGCCTGTGTGAGCGGACGGGCTATGGCGTGGACGCTCTGACTGCGAACTGCTGCAGCATAGCATGGTCACCGCCTCGAGCGGGATAACGCTCATCAGGCAGCCCGACGTGGCTTACATCGGTTTCGGAAACGTTGGCAAAGACCAGGCTGAGTTTGGTTTTGTCCTCTGGGTTGTTGATCACTTTTTGGATGAGCTGGATCATAGGAGTCAAGCCCGTGCCACCGGCAATGAGGCCGATCTTCTCGAACTACAAGGGTGCGCGCAAGCGGCAGGTTAGCATTCCTGAAGGATGGGCAGTGCCGACTACCGAGTCAGGCGCAGGCCGGCGCACCTGGTTGGCCTTGTACTCAAACTTCTTGATGGGGCCTTTGAGATCGAGCGAGTCTCCGGGCTTCAAATTGAAGATGTGGGTGCTCATGGGTCCGTCTGCGTCGTCGTCAAGGGATGGAAGCGATGGCCGCTGTTAGAGTAGTGGGCGTAGGATACACGAGTCGAGAGCACAGGCCGCGATGAAAGCAGGGCCGAGACCCCGGTGCGAGTACTGACTGGTGTATTTCTTGACGACCAGATCAAAGGTCTCGGCGCCGGGGGTTTCGATCGGGGTGTAGAGGCGGATCACAGTGTCGGGCTTGCCGTCCGGCTTGGTGCCGCGGACAAATTTGGTGACGACGGCGGAGGCAACAGGAAGACCGAGCTCGGTGGTGCCTTCAGGGAGCTCGAATCTGGAGAGCACAAAGATGCCGAAGCGGCCACGGTCAGCACCCGTGCTGAACGAGATGCACCCATATAATCGCCACATCCGCAGACGAGCGGCTTCAGTCGAGACACAAGTTGCTACCTGAAGGTGCTCGTGTTATAGTTGATGGGAATCACCTGGGAGCATCAGAAAAATGGAGGGTTGGCATCGCTGACTATAGCCTGCCCGATTGACAGCCTCAGAGCGGCACGCCCGATGCTCTGCGGCTCCAAAGCGCCAAAGTCATGGATACCTCCTTCAGCTTGAAGGGAGTGAACGCATCCGCGTTCAGGGCCGGGACGGGCTCGGCGAGCAGGCGCTGCTTGCGCTTCTCCTCCTGCTGCTTCTTGGCATCCCTCTGAGAGAAGTAGTTGGCGTAGAACACTGGTAGCGACGCGGAGAATGGGCGGTTCAGATCGCCATCGGTCAGCAAAACTGGCTTGATTCGATCGCGTCCAAGGGCAGAGCAGCAGCTTCCACACGACATGCATCGGCTCGACGCATGGATCCATCTGGCCCGGATCACGATTGGATCCATGCAGAAGACGACTCACATCCGCCGGTTGTCAGGGCGGCCGCGCCGAGGGCCAGCGCCAGGATGCGGTTGTTGCGCTTGAGGGCAGCGGCCTTGACGGCATCGTCTTCGATCTGGGTGGCAAAGAAGCGCCTGGGCAGGGCCGATGCGACGCCGGACGAGCAGCGGGAGGCGAGAGTGCGGAAGAGCATGGCGTGGATGGGGATCGGCGGCGGCTGCAGATGGACGGATGCTTGCAGGATGCTTGCAGGATGCTTGCGGGATGCTTGCGGGATGCTTGCGGGATGCTTGCACCCAGAGCGATGTGTGCTGGATGCAGCCAGAGAGCGACCGCGCCGACCCACTGGCTAAATACCGCGGCGTCACGTGGACGCGAGCGCAGCACGTCGCTGGTGATTCGAGCGCGGTTCCGGTCCGGAGAAACACCTCTCAATCGTGGCTGCACCTGGGCGATTGCGGGCTGGCGGGCGAGTCGACATGCAGCTCGCAGCGGGTCGCCAAGGGGGCACCCTGGATGGCCTGCGCTGCGGCAGCCACTGCCGGTCTGTCTGTCTGTCTTGGCATGGGACTGTTGGGCGCGGGTGGGGCTGGCCAGGCGACATCATTGCTTGGTGGTGATGCGATCCCAGGATTGGCGTCGGCACTTGCGTTGACTGATTCGGCGGCCATGGACTGCGTCGCCGCCTCCGCCGTCGTCGTCGTTGCAGGCACCGAGAGCGCTAGGCTGCAGTCGGCCTCCGTCGCATCGGTCGGCGTCAGGCATGGTGCTCTCTGGACCCGGCCGCCGCGTTGGTGACGTCGCCAGCACCAGCCGGGCTCGTCTTGGCTGGGTCCGACTTGGGCGCTGTCGGCTTGCTGGTGGCCCTTGCTTCTCCATCTTGTCTCTGCCGTCTGCCTCTGCCAACTTGCAATCCAGTTCCACTCGCGTCCCAGACTCGTCGCCGCCATGTCGTCCGCTGCCGATGCCGCCGTCAAGATCGTCGTTCATCCAGTCAAGGGTCGCTGCTACTATGCGACCCGGCCGATTCGGATCAGCGAGACGGTCCTCCAAACCCGTCCTTTCATCGGCGTGCCGGCTTACAACGGCATCATGAAGGAACACTGCGAACGGGTGTGCATGGGATGCCTCAGGTGGCTGGACCATCCAGTCGGCGAGCCCATTCGCTCGGCGCTTGGCTCGCCGTTCCATGTCTATTGCAGCCGCGAGTGCGAGGCTCGCGACTGGGAATGCTACCACCGCTTCGAATATCCCTTCTTCAAAGACCTGTTCCAGCCCCCGGCCTCGCTCGCCAGCGCCTACCACGTCGACTACATCCGCCTCCTGAGCCGTGCGATGCTGCGCCGGCTCTGGGAGCTCGTCGACAGTCAAGCAGGCACCAGCGCCCCGCGCCGACATGGCCCACACGAAGACCCGCACACCAGCTTTGCCTCGCTTGAGAATCTCTGCAGCAACGAGAGCTCGACCGAGCCCGAGGCCCTCGCTGCCTTCAAGAAATCCGCCGCCATCCTCGAGGCCTTCCTGACCAAGGTTGTCCACCCCGAGCTCGAGTCCCGCGGCATCCCGTTCTCCGAGTTTTGGACGACGCCCGTGAACGGAACCCTCTACGACAAGGCCCTTGAGCTCATCTGCAAGGAAGAGGTCAACGTCTTTGGGCTCTACAACTTCAAGATAGGCGGCATTCACAGCGAGCGCCAGTGCTATGCCTCGGCCGTCTACACCACCGCCGTGTTCTTCAACCACTCCTGTGCCCCGAACGTCGGTCATCACTACATCGAAACTGCCGAGGGCGGCGGCCTGATGACGTTCTTTGCCCTTCGCGACATCCAGGAAGGCGAAGAGCTGCTGATTTCGTATGTCCCGCTGAGCACCAGCAGCGGCACCAACCCCAGGGCCAACCGCAGGGCCTTTCTCAAGCACTACTTTCAGTTCGACTGCGATTGCGCCCGCTGTGAAAGCGAAGACGACTCCGCTGTCAACTCAAACCAAGCTGCCGCGCAGGAGTGGAGACGCATTTGCGAGGCGTACATCTGCGGCATCGACTCTTGCCGCGGATGGCGTGCTCCCAGGACTCCTGGTTCGCTGGAATGGGTCTGCGTTGCCTGTGGAGGAGTGGTCAGCGTCGGCCAAAGTCCTGCTGGACACTAGCCCAAGCGACCGGACCCGACCCGAGATCACGATCGAGATGGAACCAAAATAGAGCCTCGGCATCCAACAATTGGATACTGTCGCCGAGCCCAATGCTGGTCACTGCATGCCAAGAAAGCCGATGCGACGTCCAGTAGATACCGTCTGCACAAAACGAAACGGGAGACCCTGTGTTGAGTCAGGGCTGTTGCTCGGTCCGAATATGAATACAGGCCCGTCACCATAACCCAACTGTGTGTCCAAGGAGACTGTGACGGTGGCTGTCTTTGGGAGTGAATCGTTGAAGGGAGAGGAGGATGTCCATCGAGCGCATGTCCACTCTCTCTCAAGACTACTCCAACACCAGGCTGCGGCCGGCGTGCGAACAAACCCAGCTGGGCACTGTCCCGCTTTGTTCAAGCTGTATATTTCCGATGGCATACCGCCGAACAGAGACTTGTCCTCTTGGCTATGATGCGGGTCTAGCTTCGCTTGGTGCTCTTTGACGATTCCGCAGCACAAACTGCTCGGTCGAAAGCGTCGATTCCGGGCTAAGGAGAAATTCGGGGACATACATACAATCGAGAAACTGTGCTTTGTGGGGCCGGCAGAGCTTTGCGAGCTTTTGGGCGGTGCTGAATCGCGAGACATCCGACAGGATGTGTGTGGGCTCCTGCAGAACAAGTAAGAGAGGCCGGCTAAGTGCGAGCTTCTGTGATCTTTCCTCCGAGGTACGCGAAGCCCAGACTGCATTTGGCCGAACTGGGACATCATGGATGGTGCATATCGGCGACAATAATGCCTGCGAGATACATCAGGGCGTCTATACCCCCATGAGCGCTGTGGCAGAACCGTGGATACAAGTACCGGCCCCGCTACTCACCGTTTGCGCGAGCCTGGTTTCGTTGCAATCATCCGCCTCCCACGATATCACTTCAGCCCCGCCCGCTCGGAGGACCCGGTAGAAGCCATCTCGCTTCTTGGAATCGATAACGAGGAGCACCCTCCAGCTGTCGAAGGCGCCTGCGTCGCATTCAGCAACTTTGATCAGCCATATAGCGAGAATCACAGCATAATACGCTGCAACACGAGTCTGCAGAGAGGCACGATGGCTCAAGCAAGCGTCGGCGTACCTTTGCGAGGCCGGTCTGGGTGCTGGAAGTTTTGCAGCTTTTTTCTCCAATAGTGCCCAGCTCCATAGAGCATCAGTTCATCTAGTGAAACATTCCGCAACCCAAGAGCTGATAGTTAGCGCTTCAGCCGGGTGGCATGCCCGTGTTGATTGCACTTGCCTGCATTTGCCACGAAACAACAGGCCAACCACACGGCTTTTGGGAGACTGCGTACCCATGGGCGTTGCGGCCGTGGGCTTCCACTCATATTGCTCTTCATCGATAAACTCTCCGGCACTAGCACACGCATCCACATATTTCGGCTGGAGCATCCTGTCGGGATAAAAGACTGTCAGCGACATGATGGAAAATAAAGTTGACAGCAGGTTCCTCGAGCCTTGGATGACCGGGAGGGCCGCAGTCCGTGCTTTGAAGCGCACCCGGCGGTCTCGTCGACGTGTACTCACCAAACACCCGAGGCACAGGCAGCTAAGCACTTTTCTGTTCGTGCCATATGCGACAGGATCAGGTGCGTGCAGTCGGGATGCCAGTTCTCCGAGCCCATGACTGTGCCGCCGAGATCACGCAAAATCTTTCCCAGCCGGAGCCGCTCGTCCTGCGAGATGCCTGTCATGAGAAAGCGCGGGACGCCCGTGCCGCTGCTGCTGACGTTGTGTCGCCGGGTCATCCGCCGGGTTGTCGGGGTGCTGCTCCTTTGTGTGCTGCTAGAGGACTTTGAGGGTGTCTTTGGGGCGTCGCTCTCCTCGTGTTGGGTCGGATTCAACCCTCGCTTGATCATCGGATCGATTTGCATGCGTGCATCGGGCGAAGTCATCGCTCGGGCCCGCTTGCCGTGAGATAGCTCGTCTATCAGCTTCCTCTTGACCTTGCGCGATTCTGGATCGTCATAGACGATTGAGTCGCCCTCGTGAGGAGCACTTGATCCAGTGATCGATCCCTGACCCGTGCTCTTGTCTTCTTTTGTTGTGCTGTCATCGTTCTCGTCCAGCACGGGGCATTTTGATGCAGCACTCAGCAGACTTGGAACAGAGCGTTGGATTTTGGGTCGTCGCGACTGAGCAGTGGCATGTCGAGCGGTCAGTGCTGCACAGATCAACAGCCACCGCCATGCTACGGCGGGATCGGAACAGCTTGAGCTGAAGCGAGACCACCGCAAGGCGACGTTGGGTTCGAGCCGGTCTCACCTTTTCGTTGCTTGTTTTGGAGTGCAGCATCTCCAGCACTTGGTTCATGCCCTCGTCCATCTTGATCTCGTCCGGCATCTGGCGGGACTCTGACGACTTTCCGATCAAGTAGTCCGGTGCGCCGAGAAGGGATGTCTCGCTCTCACTGGTTCCTTCCGGCTGCAAGACCGGCTGTGGATTCGACTTTCGTGTGCGGCTTGGGGCTGCTGCTGTTGGTGAAGGCTTCTTGACACTCTGGGACAGGGTCATCGGCAGCACCTTGTTCGCATTCATCACATAGGGAAAGTCGTCCTCGTTGAGACGGGTTCCTGTAGCAGCGCACTGAGAAGCGACCACGGATGGACTCGTGAACAAGCGCGCTTCGCCAGGAGCGTCAGAGTTACGCCTCTTTGGTGACCTAGCAACATCATACCTTCTCAAGCCACAGCGGCGACACAATGAACTTGTTTGCCTGGCGAGCGTACTTGTATTCCACGGTTTGATCGCTGATTCTGGTTGCGTGATAGAGAAGGTGCGTGCACGACTGGCTATATTTGGGCAGCACGCTCGCCCCCATCATCTTGGCCATCCGCGATAACTCGTGGTATTGTTTCTAAATGCAACGGTGAATTGGGTGAGAAGCGCAAAGCCAGCCGCTGTCGCGCGTCAATTTTAGTACCCACCATCACGCGATCGCTGAAGCTGATGACAACGTCCTTGAGTACGTGCTGCAAGTCGCGCTGCGTGAAGATAGCGATCACAAAACGACCATTAGCATGTTAGCGCGGTACAGATCAACGTGGCTGGTGTCATCGCAGGACGCATGCAATACGAACGGTTGGGATATCCGATTCGGAGCCGCGGCTTGATTCAGCTCGCAGAAGGGACGGCTTGGCACCTGCAACACAGCATCCGCCCAGCGGAGATGGCCGAGATAGCCGAGAGTGTCAATCAACCGATGCGTGGCAAGGTCGGGAAGACCTGCGCGACACCCAAGAAGCGGACAAGCCAAAGCAACACACGATGAGATGCCGCTCGTACCACTTGAAATGTCCATGGATGACTGCGGACCCTCGGCCTCGAATGATTTGGTGTTCCCTGTGGCAAACGGATGCCGCGATTGGATCATGAGTAAAAGATACGCGGACCAGGGCAAGAGAGCGGCAGCACATCCGAGCAGAGCACCACTCCCCGCTGAGTGTGCTGGCGGGAAAGGTAAAACATTGACGAATACGAAAGACATGCTGATCGAGCACTATACCAGGACTGCTTGTGGGTGCAGTGTCCGACCCAGTCGTGAGCGAGAGCGTAAAAGGCCGAGGGTCGACCATTCGTCCCTGTGCCACAGTGCCCAAGGTCGATATGTTAGTGCCTGTAACTGTCTATCAGAATCTCGCAGTGAACCTGGCGAGCCCATCGAAAGATCGGAGCAGGGGCACTTTGACCGCACCTGCCTAACACACTCCAGCAGCCATTCGTATTTGACAACCGGGATCCCTAGCGTCGCAGAGCGCTCGAGCTTCTTGGAGACCGTTGTGGTGCTTGTGCCGCAGATCAAATGCGTGTCGTGGTTGGTGAAGTATTCTTCGCACTGTGCGCCGAGTTGCCGTGCGAGACGGACAGCGTGCAGCCGGTCGGCCATTTCCATGCATGTAATACTGAAGCGCAAAGTGGTGAACTCTAAGGGGCCGGAGAAGTGCAGAGCATTGGTAACGCATCGTGGGGACAAGGCACAACCAGCAACACCCGCCAAAGTGATTTGGCCGGCTGGGTGGGCGTGCGACGCCTGGCGAAGCAGAAGACGTACCGCCAATCGGCAGCGCGAACTTGCAGGGGCTGAATAGGATGTTTCCAGTGATCGGAAAACACTTGTTGTTCTAATCGAGAGTTGCGAGCAGTGGCCAAGAGAGGCAAACGCATGAGATGCGTTGCAAATCAGACGCAGAAGAGCGCTTGTACCGCTGTCACTGTTTCCGACTCGGCCGGAGACTCAGGACCTACCACCATGCAGTACTCGACCCAGTACTCGGTAACCACGCAGCAGTTTGGCAGTGGCTTAAAGTCCGTGGATCTAAGGTGGAAGGGAATATCAGCTAAAGTCCAGGCGGGGTCCCAGACAAGCGGCCAGCCAGCAGGATAGCTACCCCGAAAACGGCACGATCATGTAGACGACGCTCTGTGAATCGGGAACGACATCGTGAAACTGCCCGCCAGAGAGAATAATCTCGCTTCTGATCGTGCGTTTCTGGGTTGAACGGGAGTGTCGTGAAGTTGGAGCAGCATACAGCAGTGTCAATACGGCAGTCTCGATGATTCTAGCCCCGGGCAAAGTCTCATGCTGTCTGTCGGGCGCTCACCTCGTCAGGAGACCAGTTCTGAGTGGCGAAATGCATGCCCTTGAAGATCTGCGGCGGATCTGCTGCAAACAATGTAAGTGCAAGACAGCAGCGGGATAATCGCCTATTTACAAAGGCGTTGCTGTGCGATTCACGGGGCGGAGGTACATACCAGTATTTCTGGCGATGGAAGAAGGAGAGGTCGATGCGTTAGTCGCGGTCGATGTCCAGGCGGAAGTGGTCCAAAGCTAGCATTGACACAACGTCGCAAACAGCCCCACCTAAGCGCCATCATATTCCAGACACAACTCACCCGTTTTCTTGAACTTGGCTGTCAGTCGACTCGAGTTGAATCGAGTACTGGTGCGAAAGAGATGACTTGTTCGGCACCGCATTGGCAACGCCGAACACGGTTGCGTCGTCGTCGAGCTCCATCAGGTTCCCATACATGGACATGCTTGTATCCCTCCGCTTGCTCACTTTCACAGTGAGACCGGTGCTACTCGGATTGGACAGCGTCGATGAGCGCCGCAAGGCCGGCTGGGGTTCCCGTGGAGCGTTGGCGTTGCTGGCGATCGTATGAGAGGCGCCGGGTTGTAGCGCAAGGCGGAACGAGTCCGGCGCGACAATAGTCTTTGCGGCGTAGCATGCTTCCAGCCACTGCAGCTCCACGATCTCGATGTCTCGTCCGCTCTTGCTGATATTTTGAAGCAGCTGGCGCTCACTGACAGCACAATAACAGCGGGTCAGCTCCAGTGTACATACGGTGGAAGGCCATCAAGGCGATTTGTCGATGGCAGGAGCGCGTTCGAGAAGGTTTCTTACTCAGGGGTGACCCGTTCCGCTGACATGAAAACGCAGTGGGTGACAAAGCCGTCGAGCACTTGGGCCAGCACACCGCAGCCATCGTGCACCATCGCACGAATGCGCTGCATCTCGCTTGCTGAGAACTCGGATCCGGCGTAGATACTGAGCTCGAGATATGGGCTATGTGCAGGGGCGTCGAGATTGATGACCTTGAGAGACTCGGCTTTGAGGAGCCCATGTTCGGGCAGCAGGACTTCAACGCTCGTTTTATCGGAGTCTGAGCGTGCGAGCCGCGGAGCGAGGGAAAAGGGTTCGGTGTTGATAACCTCTGTTGCAGCCCAAGGAAATTGAACAGAAGCTCTCGGTGAGTCACTCAATAACAGGCACACCCGCGGCGGTGATGCTATGGCTACCAGTTACAGATCTGCAGCGGGACGGTCCGGAACGATCAGCCACCTGCACGATTGATGCACTCGTGGAACCAGCCCTGGGTGACAATTGGGATATTGTTTCGAACTGCGAACTCGTATTTCTTCCCAGAGGCACTCTCGGCAATCAGATGAGTGCATTCTCGGCTGAGATCGCCGCTGAACCGTCCACCGTACTTTTCTACGTTCATTTCGATGGTTTCGCGATCGTCTGGGGGAACACAGAGGCCAAATGAGGATGAGCAACAAGCCGTGCTGGGCGACAGAAGGCAAACGCAGCAACACGAAGCAGAAAAGACACGGAGAGATCCTGTTCGAGCCCCGACGACGACGAGAGCGACCTGGCTCCGTTCATGAACATGGCACAGACCCATGTGCTCTGTCGTCCCATATTGAATCCGCCGTGTCGGGAAGGGGGGATGATCATCATGCACAGGCATCGCATATGGGTCGCTTCGTATTCGGCTTTTGGCTCGAAGTATACCTGCGGTCAAGCCAGTTGTGCAAATGACGGTGTCGCTGAGGAAAGGGATGCGATGGCTCTCAATGAGCTGGAGGAGAGCGGCCGAGTTAGTGGGACACTGGCATTGACGGTATCGGCCGCCTTTGGGAAACATGCAACAACAACGACAGCATTGTCGACCCACTTCTTCGAGCGATATGCTTGATGCTGTCTTCATGGAGTGGACCCGCATGCAATCGTCGATCCAGTCAACTGTGACGATGGGCACTCCCATCTTGACTGCAACCTGCGCAAGAATTGGAGCATCGATCAGCGACGGTCGGGAAGCCGGGCGAGCCTCAACGAATCGCCAGGACAATTCAGCCACTACCATACCCTGTATTTCTGCGATCCGATATCGTTGGCGACGAGGATGGTGATATGCTCTGTGAAGTTGGGGCTGAAGATTGCTCCGAGGGCGATGGATTTGGCTCGGAGATCGGTCTGGACCAAGGAGAGCGCGGTATTCAGAAGATGTTGTGTTCAAGTAGCGATCGGCGGTCGCGCTGCTACCGACACCGAGGAAGGAGACATGCTTGAGCCAGAATGCATCCTACCCGCTCCTCGTCCGAGAGACCGGTTGAGCAGATGGTTTGCCCGTCCAGAACCAATCGCTTCCTGGGCTTTGATGAAGGTAGCATCGAGAAGGTTCAACAGAGGATATGCGGCAGTGCCTGCGGGGACAAGCGGTGTGTTCCTGCGCAAGCGTCGGAGCCAAGGATCTCCGGCACAGCGATCGCTGTTTGGACAGACGACACCAGCAGCAGCAGAAGCAGCAGCAGCAGCAGCAGCACCAACAAGCGGCCACGGATGCTGCGGGACAGAGACGGCGATCGGCCCACGAACAAGACCGCGGCCATGACGGCACGCAGCCACACACTGGCCAGCCAGGCGACTTCGCAAAGTACTGCCGGGCGGGATCGACACGTGCACGCGCAGTCCTGGCGGCTCGAGCCGCCATCGAGCCGCCATCGAGCCAGCGGCGACACGTGGCCCCGCGTGTCCGCGATAACGGGTGGCGCCGCGTGCCACCCAGACGCGCCAGATACCCAGTCACATGTTGGTGGCGCAGCCGGACATGCCAATGTGGGCAAACACGCGACTTTTGCGTGACCGTCGCGTCATCGCCACCGGCAATGGGCCGCAAGATAAATCCGCCCTCTCCTCGCTCTGCCCCCGTCCGACCCGCCCTTCTGCCCGCGCGTTGGCTTGCTTGCCGACCTTCCCCCTTGCCGCTTCTGTTCTTTCTCTGGATTCTGCCCCTGCCGCTTCCTCTGGATCCTGCTTGTTTCTGCTTCTTCCTCTGGATTCAGCCTGTCTCTGCATCTCCAGCTGCCTCTGGCTTCACTCAAGACTCCCTCAGGCTCCTCACCCACCTCATCCATCCGGTCGATTCTCTTCGCACCAGTGCCCCTTGGCGAGTCTGATTCTCCCTGTCGCCTTCTCTCCCGCCTTCAGCCACCGGCACCGCTGCCAAGACCCTCCTTTGTCTTCGGGTCCCGTTTCTCGCCGCCATGGTCCTGTCGATTTCAATCGTCAACGCCAGTCTGGCGTCCCTGATCCGTGAGAGCCCTCCCGGCCCGGTCAGCGACATCCTCCAGACGGCGCTGGGACTCTCCTCCGTTCTCAGGAACGTTGACGAGAACAAGCACACCTGGTCCCTTTTGGCCAACATGTCCTACGGCATCCTCACCGCCCTGGTCCAGTCCGGGCCCAACAACCCTGCCCTCATCGAGAGCTTGGCCCGCCTCCAGGCCATCCACCGACAGGCTCTGGGTTATGCGAACAAACTCCAGACCGACCCCAAGATCGAAAAGGTCCTCGAGGGCGCTGGCATCCGCCAGACCATCCAGCGGTTTAGCAAGGACCTCGACGTCGTGTGGATCGCTATTACCCAGGCTCTGCGCCTCCAGACCACACATGGGCCCAACGACCAAGAGTTCAATGTGGCTCGCGACCAGGACGTGGCCGAGGAGAATGCCCTCATCGCCTACGTCTCCCAGCTCCTCCAGCAGAGCGACGTTGCCGCCTTGAGGGAGCTGGATATCCGTCTGGATATGCCCGAGTGGCAGATTCGTCAGGTGACCGACTCGCTCCTCAACCGGACCGACAACGAGGACGTTCCCAAACAGCTCCTCGACAATCTCATCGCGCCCCTTCTCCAGCTGCTCCAGAGCCAGTCCACCGTCGCTCGGTCGATGAAGAAGGAAATCTGGCGAATCCCTCCCAGCGCCATCACCGGTCGCTCCCCCCAGCCCATTGCTCGCGGCGGCTTCGGCGAGGTGTACACGGCCTCGTACTATGGCTCGGACGTCGCCATCAAGCAGCTCTTTGCCACCTACAGCGAGAAGGAGATTGTCGAGTTCCGCCGCGAAATCAGCATCTGGCACCGACTGAACCACTCCAACATCCTGCCCCTCCGCGGCGCCTGCGACACCACCGACCGGCCCTTTATGATATCGCCGTTCATGCCCAACGGCACGCTCCACGCCTACATCTCGGACCCCGACAACGTCCGCCCTGTTGGAGAGCGACTCAAGCTGATGTACCAGGTGGCCTCGGGCATGGCCTATCTCCATGCCAACGGCATCATCCACGGAGATCTCAAGACCCTCAACGTTCTTCTTGACGAGGCCTTCCGCGCCGTCATATCCGATTTTGGCATGTCTCGGACCAAGCACACGTCGTCCACGGCTCGCCGTGCTCCCGTCACCCAGACCCCCGGCGGCACTGTCGAGTACATGGCCCCCGAGATGCTTGACGACGAGGATCCCTCGGGCACCACCAGAAAGACAGATGTGTACGCCTTTGGCATCATGCTCTACCAGGTCATGAAGAACGGCAGGACCATCTGGGAAACCAAGGATGGCCAGCCCATGAACCAGACCGCCATCGGTGTCCATGTGTGCATGGGCCGCCGCCCGAAACCGGTCGACGGTATCCCAGAGGAGATCTGGACGCTCATACAGCAGTGTTGGCACAACGACCCTGCTCAGCGCCCCAGATTCACCGACATCCTTTCCTCTCTGCAGCAGTATCGAGACTTCGCCGGACAGCACCGCCCGACTGTGCATCGTCCACCGTCTATCAACCCGATTCCTCCTCCGATGGACCGCCAGAATCTTTCGCTTGCGGCTTCGATTGTGCCCTCCCATAACGGCTCGCAGACCGTCCTGAAGCACGAGCCAAGCACCCAAGGAATCCGCTCTATATATGGGGCAGCCACAATCACTCCCGAGTTGGCTTGGGGTGAGCCTTCGGTCTCCAGACGATCCTTTGGGACCGCAAGCTCCTATTCGGACGAGCAAAACTATCGCCCAGGGGCTGCAGGCGCACCCAGCGTCGTTGGGTCCTCTCTGAACTCGAGTTTCCAAGAGGATCACAAGCTTGCATTTTATTTGAACACGAAGCCTGGCGGAGTATCGCACGACCTCTACCAGCGATTGTTCACGAGGATCTTCAGCAACAGCCACCATCCCGACGAGCTCTGCATCGTTATCTCGGCGATCGCCACCGCAAAGTGGGCCATCACGCCCCGAGTCATCTCCGAGATCTTTGCTATCCCCCCAGTCACTGTCCTAAAATGCGTCGACGAGCTCAAGAACCTGCTTGATCCCGGGCGAAATGACCCCAAGGCCTCGGCTGATGGATTTTCGCAGATCCACTGGACGATTGTGGAGTATCTCACCTCCAATGACTCTCTCGAGGAGCCCTTCCATGTCTCGGACACGTTCCACATGGACTTTGCCAAGGGCTGTCTCAATCGAATCCTTGCGTTCGAGCCCGTGGCCAACATCTGCGGCATCTACGACTTCCACGAGAAGATACGGGATCTCGGAGACAGGGCCCGTGAGAAAATCACAGAGTCGCTCCGATATAGCGTGGCCAACTGGATTCCCCACTTTGCGTGGGCCCTTGATCCCAAGCGTATCAGCGCTCAGACCTGGCCCCGGTACCAGCAGCTGGGTCTCGCCAACGAGTACACGGGCGAGGTCCTGCACCAAGTCGGTGCCGAGGACTCGCTCCTTTCGCGCCTGCTCCTGACCCACGTTTTCTTCTGGCTCGAGTGTGCGTCGCTCACGGGTGTATTCAAGTCGGTTGTCGCCCAGGTCTCTCTCCTGCGCGGCATCATCACCCGTGCACCCACCACTGTCGTCGATGACATCACCCGAACCCTGGTTTCAGACACCTACCGATTTGTGCGCGAGTTTGCCGATGCCATCATCAAGAGTGCACCTCAGGTCTACAACTCGGGCTTTGCGTTCACGCCGAAGGAGTCGCTGCTCTACAAGACGTACGCCCCTCGCCTCGAAGACAAGATTCCCTTCCTGGTCGCCTCCGGCACAGCCCTCAATTGGAATCCTTGCCTCCTGACGACTTCCATTCTGAACAATGACGGCGTTCAGGCGGTTGCCCTCTCGCCCGACGAAAAGTGGATAGCGTATGCGTCTCGCGACGATGTCTACATTCGCGAAATCGACACCGGAAAGGTCAAGAAGCTTCCCCAGAGCCACACACACTATGTCCGTGCGGTCGCGATCTCGCCTGACGGGAACAGTATTGTGTCTGGCTCGGTCGACAACCTAGTCAAAGTTTGGGACGCAGCCGCAGGGAAGCTGAGACTAACCCTCAAGGGCCACTCGGACACGGTTCACTCCGTCGCCGTATCGGTGGACGGAAGGCTGATTGTCAGTGGATCCGATGACAAGACTGCCAAGATCTGGGACATCAGCACCGGCCAGCTCAGATTCACCCTCCATGGATACAAAAACTACGTCAATGCCATCGCCATCTCGCCCAGCAGCAAGTGGGTTGTCACTGGGTCTGGCCGAGACCCCGAGGCCATCAAGAAACTGTTTGTCAAGCACGAGGCCTTCCCTGTCAAGATCTGGAACGCAGAGAACGGCCAGCAAGTCGTGGCTCTGGAGAAGCACAACGGCACCGTTACTGCTGTTGCCTTCTCGCCCGACGAGACACTTGTGGCCTCTGGATCCAAGGACAAGACCGTTCGAGTCTGGAATGCCGCCACCGGAGAGGAGATGCTGGTTCTTGAGGGCCACACAGGAGCCGTCCTGTCGGTCGGCTTTTCTCCCTGCAACAGCTGGATCATCTCCGGCTCAAGCGACTCGACTATCAAGATCTGGAACGCCGCCACGGGCCAGCTCAGACAGACACTCGTGGGCCACAAGGACGAAATCATCTCCCTGGCCATCTCCAGCGAGGGTAACCTTGTTGTGTCCGCATCCAAGGACAAGGACATCAAGTTCTGGGACATTTCGGCGTATATGCTCGGTGGGTTTGCTGAAGTCAAGCCCTCCATCTTGACGGCAGTGTCGCTTGCACCCAACGGCATCACTGCCGCCACCGGCTCGTACGATGGCTCTGTCCTGGTCTGGGAGTCGCGCACACTCGAGCGCAGACAGATTCTCAGGGGCCACACCGACTGGGTGCGCTCGATCTCCATTTCCAACGACGGCAAGACCATCACGTCCACCGATAGCCGCGATCGAACCATCATCTGGGTCTACGTCGATGGAAGGTTCGTCCGGTCCGATCGCCAAGCCTACAGCGCGCCTTCCATCGTGAGTCCCCAGGATGAGCTTGCCTGGACGGAGCTGTCGCCCGGATCAGAGTGGATCAAGCACGGCAAGCATCTGATCAAGATCCCCAAGGAGCTCTTTGATCCGATTCGCCGAAACCTCAGCAAGCTGGTTGCGATGAACGCCGTCGAGTCCAACCTGCACGATGCCCGCGGCGCCTATCGCACGACGATCATTTATGTAAGTACTGTGTTGGCGAGCACCCTGCGCAAGTGCGGCATCGCTGTCGACTCACGGGACTGACCCACAACTGTTCCACAGCCGATCTATCTGAACAACATCCAGATTCACCTCGCGCTGAAGGCCTACCGCGACAGCTTCCCAGGGCGATTTGCCCGAGGCCCTGGGCAGTGAGACACGGATTTTCATCTGCGCACAAGCATTCAAGTGATATTGGCGGCATCGTCGCTCCAAGCGACCCCCCAATTCTTGTACCATCACGCACCATTGCTTTCCGTTGCACAAGTTACTTGCCTATCGAACACCGTTCTCCCTTGTTTTCTGCCACATTGGCTTGCTGATCGACAACCTGTCCCGATCTTTCCCACCACCCCGAACTGAGCGTTGTAGCACCAAAAATCATGTTCTCCACACATAAACGGCCTCTAACGAGCCCAGGGCAAGGGTGGGTGAGAGCAGGTGCCTGTTGTGGTGCGTTGCTGTGATGCACTTCTGGACGCACTGCTGTGATGCATCCGGATTTGGCTCACCACACCGCATTCTGTGTCGGCGCAGACACAGACGCGTCGCTTCATTTGACCATCTTCAGCGTGTCCCAGGCGCCCTTGCCCCGGCCCCGATCCAGCACCCGCGCTCGCCTGGCCAGCCGCCGCTGCTTTTTTCGTCCAAGCGCAACCCGCTCTGGTCGCCATCGAGGCTCTTTCTCGTCGCATCAGCACGCCCAAACCAACGATCGCTGCACTGCATCCCTGGCCATGAACTCGGCTCTGTCGGTCGAGGATGTGGTCGCGGCCCTTGCCGCTCCAGAGAACTTCGTTCCATATCTCCCAGCGCTGCTTGTGCTCCAGCTAGCCCTGTTTGCCATCGCTGAGCTCGTCATTTTCTTGCCGACCGCTGTGGTAAGCATTCCGCCATGCGACCGACCTGCACTCGCCCGTGGCACGGCGACATCTAGTCCTATCCGCCAGATCCAGTCGTCCGAGCAGCTCCGCTCCCGAGCCTCGCGCCTCGCCCGGGAGTCCAGTGCGCATCCACGAGACCAGAGATGGGTCCTGGACTTTTCTTCCACGGCCCTGCGTTTGCTTATACCCGTTCAATCTCATCTTCTCCGCGAAATAGCAAGCCTTGCTCAGTCGCTCCAAGAGCACCGACACTAGCGACCCAACGAACCCTGTATCGCAGCACAGAAACCTCTCCGCCGAACTCGACCACCTTTCCGAGGTCGTCGCCCAGCTCAAGTCCGCCACCACCGTCCAATTTCGACAGGCGGCAGACAGCCAATATGCAACCGAGCAGGAACTTCGAGCTGCTATTGACGCGCTCAGAGAGAAGCTCGACAGCCGAGTCGAATACGACCACAAGCAGGCGCATCAGCAACACTCCGGGATCGACAGGTCGGTCGGCGAGTTGCCTGCATTGGCAGTTCTGCCTTCTGGTCTCGAAGCCAACGCAGATGAACACGCAAAGCACGCTCTAGACCATCTTGATGCAGGCCGTCGAGCCTCGATGTATCCGTTTGACCAGCTCGACGGTGCGTCTGTGAGCGTATCTGTGCTCAGCCCAAGCGATTCTCAGGCCACCCTGGCTTTGCCGGACCCAAAGGCAGAGCTCTACGAAATAGCTCAGAAGCTCGAGGAGCGCCTCCTCAGCAAACTTGCCCAGGATCTCAAACTATCCGCGAAGGCCGATGCAGAGTCGCAAGAATGGCATTTGATCAAGCAACACCTGGACGCCCTCGCTAAGAAGGTTACGCACTCCATCGGCGACCACGATAAGACCCTCGCTGGTCTCACCGGTGGACTCTCGTCTCTTCAGGGGCAGCTTGCCGAGTTGGTCTCCAGAGTCGATAGTCTCCAGGCCGCTTCCGTAGAGCTTGTGCAGGACGAAGCCGAACCCGAGCCGACCTCCTCCACGGCCCAAGAGACAGCCATCGCGATAACAACCATGGAAGCTCGAGTCCAGACAGCCGAAGAAATAGTCGATGGCCTTTCTCAGCGCATGGTGGCCCTCGAACAGCTCCAGCAAAGGTCTCAGGGCCCTTCGGACGAGGTATCCACGCTACACGACAGCATTCAGTCGATCACACAGCAGTTCCATCGATTTGAGACGCTCTTGGAGGACAACTCCATGACGAAAGGTGAGCCACCACTGTTGCGGCGTACATGCGCGATATCTACCCGATTCCACCTACGCATTTGTATCCCGGAACTCGTCCGAATATGCCGCTCGCAGAGCATTCTGGTTTGGACAGAGCCTTGACGCCGGCTCGCCATTTCTCTTTCTCCGTCGTGAATACTCTTTGCAGACAGCATTGTCCAAAAGCTGGTCGAGTTGAGCCAACGCGTCGATGAATGCGCCGAACGGATCGACGATGCTCAGGGAAGCGTTACGCAGCTGTCTGAAATTGTCGGCATCGTAGACTCAGTATCTAGCCCCGCAACACCAACGCCCCCAGAGAGCACGCTCTCTCGATCGCCGTCTCCATCGTCGTCGCCGTCCTCGGATGCCAAGAGCGATGGCGATGATGGATTGGTTGACGTTGCTTCCAAGAATCTCCTTGAGCGCACTGCCGTCATCGAAGACCTGGTGTCGGTCCTCTTCAAGGATATTGCGATGGTGGAGGACCAAGCCACGGGTCGCCTCGATGGCATCCATCAGCGTCTCGAGGACACAGGCAAGGCTATCGGACAGATCGTCGAGACTCGAGAGCAGCAGTCGCTGCTTGCCGAGCGGATCGCTGAAATCGAAGCCACGCATCGGAGCCTCCAGGACAACCAACTGAGGCAAAAGTCCCAGCCGGTCCCTCCGCCGCAGCCTTCGCCTCAAGTCCTCCAGGTGATCAGAGAGGTCAAAGACGAGGTCGCTGTCTTGCGCGAGCGGATCGACCAGCTCAACCAGTCTGACGCCTCTGAAGATATCGAGTCACCGTCTCCTCCCGAAGACGGCTCGGCAGCAGTATCAGCCATCTCGCCTCGGCTCCAAGAACTGCACTCGCAGGTCAAGGCTCTGGCTCGAAAACTGGGGCTTGTCTCTAGACTCTGCTCGAGCAACTATCACACAACCGAGCCAGTCGCACAAGGAACCGATATCGTCAAGCATCTGCACTCCCGTCTCATCGAGCTGATCAAGCAGCTGGCGGGCTCGATTGACGGCCTCAACAGTGCCTTCCCTGGACAGGTCCGTCTCGATAAGGAGGTGCTCCTCCAGATCCTAACACAGGGCCAAGAATGGACTCTTGCGATTGACGTGACCTCCAACTCTACAGACATCTCGGCCATGGATGCCCAGGCCCACGAGGGCTATGTCGCTTTCCTGTGCAGAATCGAGACGCACATCCTCGAGATCGACATTGGCCAGCATACTGTCCTCGATGCCGTGCAAGGATCTGTTAGCTCCTCAGAGGACTCGAACGAAGGAGCCCTTGCCCGCTTCGACGAGGTCCAGACCGAGATCGCCTCGGCTTGTGCAGCTCTTGGGAGACTCACCACGGTCCAGCGAATCGGTGCGCTCGAAGCGATCCAGGCGCAGCTGGAGCTGGATCTACAGAGCCTCCGCACCTCTGTTCGAGACGCAGCGACTTTGGCTGAGGAGCATATCCAGACCCAGACGAATGCTGGCACACACGGCTTGGAGAGCGCAGCGCAGCAAATGCATGCGAGTCTGGTCCAGATCGAAGAGCGCGTTGGCCGACTTGAGGCCGGCGTTCGCAGCCCAAGCTCGTCTCCGATCCGCCAACGAAGCTTCACCCGCGAACTGGTCGAGCAGCTGAACCGATTTGACGGCGGCTCCGTCGACGGCCCAGCCAGTGCCTCTGCGGACTCGTTCCGCTGGCCATCGTCACTGTCGCCTTCAGAAAAGGACGATCGTGCCTCGGTGCCTTCCCCTTCTATTCACAACCTTGTCTTTGACGGGTCTGCTGACGACCCCCGAGCTGCTCTTGGCGAGCCACCCAGCAGCCACCCTCGAGAATCCATTGAACTACCGCCTGCACCAGAGGAGCGAGCCAGTCCCAGCTCGAGCCCGCTCAAGAAGACCAAGTCCCAAGATATGGGTGGGAAAAACTGGGTAAGTACCGATCCTAATCGCGCACCAACTACGGTCCTCACATCATCGCACCGGTTATAATCACACTCTCGCTGTGCGCTCGGACCCGTTCGGGGCGATGCTAACATGCCCGCACGACTGTGACCGCTTCCTCCAGCTTGGTAGGCTTCCGCTTTCAGCCACGCTTCGGGTAAGTTTGCATCCGACTTGAGCAAGCCGGCATTGTGTTCCTATCCAGCATGGGGACTTTGCTCAGTCAATGCACCTCGATAGTGCCGCTACTGATCCGGAGCTCCGTCTCTATCTTCCCACCCCAACAGAGTCGAACAAAGAAGTCGGCGTCCGGGTCATCGACGTAGGTCGCGGTGCAGAGCCGTCATGAAAAGCGCGCGGGATGGGCCCATCGATGACAGTGGCCAGCACTCGCAAATGAAATGGGATGTACCCGGTTTGCGCTCGATTGTTGCTGTTGTGTGAGAATATACACATCCGGTGTCCACAATGGCTGTCTACTCCGCCAAGGAGGAGCAATGATGGTCCTCATGTAAACTGATCGAGTGTATCCGAGAGCCTGTTTCCCAAACCGCCACAACACCAATCGATGGCCAACCAAGACAGATCACCATCCGCACGACCGACATGGAGCCGAAGGATCCTCGGGCTTCAGGCCCGTGAGTCCTGTAGCGGCAGCCGGCACTGTCCCAAATATCACTGCATATGTCGCTATCATTGTGGACACATGTATATGGGTGACCGGTGGCCCCGCGTCCGCACAAATGCATAATATGATGATATCAAACGAAAGCCGCACGGCTACAGAGAGAAAATACAGAGCTGGGAACGATTCATAAGACGAAGAGAAGAGAAGAGCGAGCGAGGAGTGCGTGAATGGGATTGGACGAGCGATGGGTTGGCGTCAGGGGGCGGCGGCGTCGATTACATGAAGCTGTAGAACATGTCGTTCGTGTAGCCGAGGGTGGGTAGAGTCTTTTTGATGGCCTGGCACATATTCCATGGGCCGCAGATGATGATCTTGATGTCGTCAGAGGGAGCGAACATGCCCTGCTGAATCAGGGCGGCATCCACAAAGCCGACCCGTCCCGACCACTTTGCGTCGGGGTCCGAGTCGACCGTGTACGATATTTTGAAGTTGGGGTGCTTCTTAGCGGCAGCATCGAGACGCTCACGGAAGACAAGCTCCTCGGGGGTGGCAGCACCATAGATCAGATTGATCTCGATGTCGTCGCGCTGATGATGGAAGATGGAGCGGATAATCTGCAGCATCGGGGCGATGCCTGTTCCGCCAGCGATCAGTCTAGAAGGGGTGCCATCATCGAAGGAGGGTGTTAGCGGGAAGTCACAAGCAAATCGTGGTCCGAGAGCGAGCCACACGCCCAGCGGAGCAGGGCGATCGGGATACACGAGAACAAAAGTCCGGCCACGTACCCAATCTTCTTGATGGGCGAGCTGCGGTTCTCAATGTCGAGGCCCTTGATGCCTCCGTGCGGGCCCTGGAACTCCATCTCAAGGCTTCCGGGCCGGAGCGAGTTCATGAAGGTGGACATCACGCCGCCCTTCGGGTCGACCTTGATGAGCAAATCCAAGGCGCCGCGCTCATCGGGCCGGTTGCACGGAGAGTACATTCGGATGACGGGCTGGTCGTTGATGTGGGCGCGAACAGAGACGTACTGTCCAACATCCATGCCCGATGTCGCATTGTACGAGGGCAGATCGAAGCGGAACAGACGAATGTGACCGCCGAGCTGCTGCGAGCTGCGGAGGCGGAGCGGGATGTATGTGTTTGGATTCAAGCCTGCATAGAAAGAGCCAAGGGGTGATGCGAGCCAATGAGTTTGGGGACCGTGGAAGGGAAGGCCGCTGCTCTCCGTGTCATATACCCTTTACGACCGCTGCTTCCGAAAGGACCACAACCGATGACCCACCTCGAACATCGCGGTCTTTGATCGAAGCGGCGCGCTGGCCAGCGATTCGGCCAAACACAACGCATTCAAGAAGAGAGTTGCCGGCAAGACGGTTTCCTCCATGAACGCCTGGTGGGTGAAAGGCACCGGTGTGAGTAGACGATACGATGCAGTGCGATGTGATGCGATGTGACGCGATGCGATGCGATACGAGGCGATACAATGTGATACGATGCGGGCCCGCTGGTGGAGTTGCACTGTTATCAGCGAGAAGCCTTACCTCCAGTCACTTCGCCGGCACCAAACAGCCCGTAAATCGGGCGTGGCTGCTGCGGATGGTAGACGCTGGGGCTGTATGGTGTCGCATCCAGAATCTCGGCCGCACCATTGATCTTCAGTCCGCCCATGGTGTAGTGGATGGACGGAGTAACCGTGCAGACATCTATCGGTGAAGCAAATAGCGGTATTCCCGGAGTGATGGCAGCGGTGTGAGAATGCGCGAGCGGACAGCGGGTATTCAAAAGTGGATACCCCCCAAGTGCTCTTGACCCACCCATCGACAGCGACTTACACAAGGTGTCGTCGACAGAGAACTTGACGGGAAAGACATGCTTGCCGAATGCGTCGCGGCCGGCCGTCAAGGCGGCCTCATACGAAGCAAGGGTGTTTTCAAACTCTCGGACATCGAATCCCTTGCTGGTTGCGAGAGCCTCGGCACCTTGGTACTTTTGGAAGAAGCCGCGTGCTGTGTAAAAGCCGATGGTTGCAGGATCAAACCTGTCGACGGCCTCTTGGTTCAGCACCAGCAGCGAGTGGTTCTTTGCCTCTGCACAGTTGCTGAAGATGGCAGCGGTGACCACCGCACGGGTCGAGAGCTCGTCGACAAAGCGCTTGCCGGTCAAAGGGTGGATAAGAATGCCACCATGGCCTCTGAGGGCTTCGGGGGCTGTTGGGGACGAGACATGTCAGTCCGGGCACCCTCGAATACGATACCGACTCGTCACAGCCAGCACAATGCATCATTTGCCTTGGCTAGCTTCGCTGGCTGTGCTGTGCAAGGCGTGGGTGTATCATCCGCACATACCAAGGAACTTGACAGCGCTCTCGGGGTCCTTGGGATCCACAAAGCCCGTCGGATGGATCTGGACCTGGTCGAGACCCACAAGCTCAGCGCCCAGGCGTCGGGCGATCTTGACGCCGTCGCCGGTGGCCCAGGGACCGTTGGTGGTGGGGAGGTGGGCGAGATGGCCGGCGAACTCGCGCAGGAGCGAGTCTTCGTTCTTGGCGTCCGCGGAGAAGCTGGGAGGATCAAAGAGGGCGGGCAACAGTCCGCGAGGCTGTCAGTTGTGGGCGATGAGTGCCAAATGGCCCGGACATTTGCTCGCAGCCGTGAATTCGTGTCCTGCAGCCCCCACGACGACCACGACATACATACCCTCCAGTGGCGAGAACAACAGCATCCGATCGTATTTCGAGAATCTGGATGGTGGCGACGACAGGGCTTTCGAGTGAGCGACGTCGTAAGACAGATACTCGAGTGTGCCAGATGGCATGAAGCCTCCTCACCTCTTCGGCTCCTTCGGGAGTCTTTTGGCTGTATTTGACGCCCTGGACCTCTTTCGAGTCGGTGTCGCTGGTGACGATGAGATCCAGCATCTTTGCATTCGTGACGATTGTGATCGAGGGCTTGTCGGCACCGGCAGCACTGGCACTGGGGACGCTGTTGGCGATGTAGTCCTTGAGAGCTTTGATGATATCCCATCCGACTGGAGCAGGCTTGCCGTCGGGGCGAGGTCCTTCGCGATGCGTGCGCGGGAACTGGGGTGCAGAGTATGAAGCCATGCCATGGGCGGCGATCGATGAGAAACATCCCAACAGCTTGCAAAAACAGACGAAGAACACAATCGATGCTCTCAAAGTATGCCTACCGAGTGGCCGCCGCACTGGGAGATCGAGTCGAGCTTCAGACCGAAAGACTCGATGAACTTGAGAGCATCGGGGGCGTCGGACGTGAGGATCTTGACGAGCAGAGGGTCCGAGAGGCCCTTGCCGGAGCTGCGACGCACAGGGCGAGCGTATCAGTGGCAGCATGGCAAAACGACAGTACGTCAGGTCATCCGATCCAGTTGTGCGCATGCCGGCCGGAGTGCAACGGGATATGCTTACCGAACAGTGTCGTGCTCGAAAGCATCATACGAGTCCAGGATGCCACGGGCAGCTTGGGCCTCGCTGTGGACCGAGTTCATGCCGCTGGTGGCCTTGGCGCTGTTGCCTCCGACATTCCGCTCCTTCTCCAGCAGCGTGACGATTGCGCCGGCTCGGTAGGCTTCAATGGAGGCGACGAGGCCGGCCAGACCGGCGCCGACAACGACGACCGTGGCGGGCGTCAGCGGCCCATCGGTTGGATGGTGAGACTCGGCGTTGTAGTGGTGCGGTTGGGTGGTTATTGGGGTCATGCTGTCGGTGCGAATGCTATGGTTAGTCTGAACGAGCCAGTAGACGAGCACCGCCAGGCCAACGACCGTCGTTGCCACAAAATAGGTATGGACGGGTCTCATCCTATGCGAGGCCAAGCGGCACGCAACGCCGGTGGATCAAGAAAGCAAGACGGGTGTGTCAAGGGCGTGCGAAATCGCATGAACAAAACCGAGATGGCATAGGCGAGGCAACACATGAACGGCATGGTATGGATGGGGCATGAGCACGGGGCATGGGATGCAATACATGAGCGAGACCGCACATGGGCGATCAAGCACGAACAAGAGCCTGACGGCAATAGGATGCGACGGGACCTGGATGCTTCAGCCCTGGTGCAGCCCAGGAAAGGGCGACAAAAGCCGCAGCGCAAGACTGGCGTTGGACAACGGTCCTGCCTGGGTGCATGGCCAAACAGACCGACCGGGAAAGCTTACCCTTGACGGATGCGCTGGACAGAATCGAAGCAGTCACACACAAGACAGACGGGTCTGGCGGTGGGAAAGGGACTGTGGCGAGGATATAGGCAGGTGTGGAAGTAGTTGGCGATGTTGCCTGGGGGCTGCGCTGGCCGGAGCGGGAAGCGGCGTTATATGGAAGTCGGCCGGGGAAAGAGTTGGGTGGGTTGCGTGCGCGTCAAGATGACATCGATGGGCATGCACCCGGGTCGGCACAGCAGGACCAGAGGAGACCAAAGCCGAAGGGAAAGAACGGCGACGATGCGCACAAAATCCACCTCAAGCCGGGACACGTCAGGATGACGGCTTTCTGACTCACGGCCTCCCAGTGTCGGACTCCCCGCCGCCATCCGCCCCAACTCCTGCGCGCCGATCCAGCTCCCAATCGATCGATCGGCCGGCCGTCGATCGATGTGCACGGCATCAGACGATCGTCACCGGGTCACAACCGAGTCCCGGATGGCTGCGTCTGTCCATCCAAGGGCCAGGCATGCTTCTCTTGGACTGTATTTGAACCAGCAGGAGCCAGCCAGCATCAGGGACAGCCGCCACCCAGCGCATCGTTGCTCAGACGCACTCAGCGGCTGCCTTGCGGACCCAGCACCCGCTTCCGCCACCATCAAAAGGCACCAAAGTTCTTCAGCTGGATCTTGGGTGCCGCAGCTCGCTGCGACAAACCGCCAGAGCTTTGCGCTTGTCGTCCGCCATAAGCCGACTCCTGGTCCCGCGCCTGGATGGCACTGACAAGCGCCTTCTCCAGGCTGCCGCGGTCGTCTGGAGGCAGAGCACCAATGATGGGCTTAAAGTGGGCAGGGCTCTTGGTCGCCAGCTCGAGCAGGCTGGTCGAGGCAACCCGGTGCAGTGCCGTTGGCTCGGGCGTCTCCTCCAAAAGCCCGATGAGGATGGGCACGATCATGGCAAGGGTCGACAGCTCTGCGGGTGAAAGCGACAGCAGAACGTTGAGGAATCCCGTACATCGCCTGCCTGCTCCCATCGGCTACTCTGTCAAAGCAATTAATGACATGCCCAGCTGTCGCCGCCCTTCTGCACCCGTTGCGGCCCGACCCAGGACTTACTCTTCGTGTCGGTATTGGCCACATCGTAGATCCAAACCAGCACCTTGACCATCTCATGGACCACGGTCTGGCTTTGCTCGCTGGCATCATTGGTGCTTTGATGCTGCTGCTGCTGCTGGATCTCATAGAGCTTGTTGACGAGCCGAGGAACTAGCAACCGAGTGTAGGCTGCCCCAACAGCGGAGGCCATGGGGTCGGCTTTGTTGACGAGCAGAATCAGGGACTTGGTGCATTGGAGACCGGTCAGGGCCACCTACGGACATGTGGCAGTTGCAGCATGTGAGAATCCGAGCTTTGGGCCCCACTGGCCCGACAGCCCGTCCATATGACCCGCCGCCCCAGCGCCGACCGCTCTCGCTTTGCTGCGCTTCCTACCGATGCATCCGAGCTGTCGAGCAGATCCATGATACGGGCTACAATGTCCGGCTGCAGAGTTGGGTTGTACGAGAGGACCGGACATCCAGTGATGAGCACGATTGCTGCCAAGACCAAGGTCTTTGCTTCTGATGCTGATTCGGATTTATCGTCGCTGTTGGGGAGCGCGGGCGGGCGGCATGAACGAATGAGTTCAAGCCATGGGAGCACACCCAGCATCTCGTAGGATGTGCCAGGCGGCAGCCGGAACGGAAGATGTGCAGTGCAGCGGACTCACCTCTTTGCTGACACCATATCGAGAATGTTGCGGATCGACGACTGCACCACGGATGCCACAATCGGCTTGGAGGCTTCGGGGAGATGCGTCTCCAGACCCTCCGTGCACACCTTCATGGCCACAAGGGTTTTGGGGTGAATGTCCTTGGAGAACTTTTCGACAGTCAGGATGCCTGGTGGGTGGTTCACAGTTCATCAGCGGCAGTGCTCACACAGCTCCGTAAACTCAACGAGTGCGAGTGGTGGCCCGTTCACCCATCGCCTGCGGTAGCAGTGACAGCGGCTCACCAAGGGCAACTGTCATAAATGTCGGGAACAGCTGGTGGCCGTATCCCTCGATGATGTGCGGAGATAGGAGGCGGGCGAGGGTATCGAGCGCCAAGCACACAAGCTGGATCGTGACCGGGCTCAGCGGTCGATTGGATGTCACTGGGTCAACACAGCAGCGAGTTAGTCGCAATCGATTCGTGCGAGCTGGTTGGCTGCATAGCTGCATGGCCAGGCGGCTGGCTTGGCGCAGCAAGTATGGCGATAAGGGGGCAGAATGCGGCTCATGCCTGTCATACCTTCGGCCGTTGGGTTGTTAGAGAGCGTCGGGACGTGGTATGCAAGTGCGCTCACAAGCAGCTTCCACAGGTGGTACACCTTCGACACAGGCACGGGTGGGAGCGGCGCGGAGATCTTGATCTCTGCCGATGTCGATCTACATGGCGCCAGTGTGAGCAGTCCATGAATATTGTCAGTCGTCAGTCATCGAGGGCCGCTCATTTCAAGTCATCGATGGTCGCTCATTTCAAGCCAACACGCGGCACGGCCCACCAGCACCAGTTTTGTCGCTGTTGGGTGCATCGTTCACAGATCATACGCACATGTCGCGAGCGGCGCGAGAGGCTTCGCCAGAGAGATAAGTCTCATCAAAATCGGCAGCGATCTGGGCGATGATTTGGGCGACGATCAGCTGCATAGGGGCATCTTCGCTTTGGAGAACTCGGTCCAGGACATTGACAAGGTCGGTGAAGATTCCCTGCAGCACGACCAAACTGTCAGTCAGGGCTGCCTTCCGCCACACAAGCGCTTCGCACTCAAGCTGCTCGATTGCTCTACCTTGTCAAAGATGTGAACTCCAAAGATCTTGGGCCGCGCCAGCTTGTGGATGGACGACAGGCAAATCTCTAGAGCAAGCGCAATGCTCCTCTGCTTCTCCTCGAGTGCGTTGGCGTTGCCGCCACTCTGGGTGCCTGGGATGCCACTCAGTCCAAGGCCCACCGTGCCGCTGTTCGAGATACTCTCGATGCAGAGCCCAAAGAGAATCGAGAACGTGTCCTTGAGCACGGTTTCGGGGCTGGTCTCCTGTTGCTCAGTCGATGGTGTTGCGGCATCGGCGTTGTCGCTGACGGACTTGATGAACACCTCCACCTCGTCATGGGCCAAGTTAGAGAGTGCCTGGAGAACAAGGACCCACGAGCCGCTGTAGAACTGCACACACGGGGAAGTTTGCATATGAGTCAGAGGCTGCATGTACATCGCTTCCAGGCCAAGTGTGGCTACGTACCGGGAGGATGACTTCCCGCCGAGCCGCCATGTAGATGTCAATGGAGCTGTCGCCGGGTTGTCCTGGATACGAGACAGTCTCGCGCTCAATCTTGAACTGGGCATAGTCCTTGAGGATGGACACCCACAGCTGGCCAAGTCGAGGAAGATTTCTGTTCCCGCCAGGCGCAGGGAGAGAAGGTAGGAGGCAATATTGGTCAGCGGACAGCGTTGTCTCACTATCGCTGCAAGAGAGCGAATGCGGCCGCCAACGATCGACTGGGCGCAATTCAAAGACGACACTGCGAGGAGGAGGAGGAGGAGGAGGGCTCAGAGGCGACAGATTTGTGATATGGGGTGAGAGTGCCGAGGGGCAAACTCTGCATGGTGCAACTTACGGCTTGACCACAGACTGCAGATACGATTTTTCCAGGCTGGCATTGTACAGCTTGGCCCAGGCGACGAGAATAGACAGCTTCAGCATGGTGAACGCATGGGGGAAGTTCTCGTATTCCGGAGGCGGGGTGGCTGTGTGCGATTAACGAGCTTGTGAGACACCGACTACAGCCCAATGCAGCACCCACGAGCATCCTCACATTCCAGTGTCGTCGCATCCCTATATCCCTGCATTCCCTGAACGAATTGCATCTTGCTCGACTGCAGATCCACACGCTCATCCTGGCGCTGAAGCCGCTCCAGCTTCATACCAGTGCATTTGTCCAGCGATGTTGCCAGCAGCTTCAGGATGCGTGAAAGAGTCGAGAGGTCCTGGTTGATGCCGCTGCCGACGTATGCAGCGCTCACTCGGCAGGCAATGCTCAGGACCTCGGGCGAGCTCTCGGCGGCAAACGCCGGGGTGAGCGAGGAGCTGATTTGCGCCTGGTACTGCTCCAAGAGAGCGTGTCCCTCATAGTCTGGATCCATGGCGGTTTGGAACTTTTCCAGGATGTCGTCTAGGAGCCGGAGACCTTCAATTCGCAGCTCGTCCACAACTGCAGTTGCGGCCGTGAAGGCCATCCGGATGAGCTCCTGAAGCTTGAAGACCACGTAGTCCGTCGAGTCGCTGATATTACCGGACGATCCAGCAAGCTGCTCGCGCTTCCGGCGGGCTGTCGCCAGATCAACGTGCTCCACCATTTGCGTCGAGACCACGACGGAGAGCGTGAGGCGCAGGCAGGAGAAGGCAAATGTCTGGGTTCTCCAGCGCGGGAGAAGGACCACGACGATGGCAGCGATCGCCGGGCCTGCGCGGACGGCCGCAGACTTGGCGGTACTGCCTGTGGCGGGGCCGACACCGTCCTGGTCACCTTCGAGCCGGTCGTCGTCGTCGTCGTCGCGCCGCTCCATGCTATTCTTTGGAGTGGCGTCGTTGGCAGCAGTGCTACCGGAGGTGCCCGTCTTGGACAAGATATTCTTGCAGATCTCGAGCCAGCGGCTGGGGTGGTTGGGGGCAACGTGTCGCAGCAGATGTTTCAGGATATCTTTGACTTCCTCCTGCGTCATCACATCGGTTTCGGTGTCCAGAAGCCCGAATAGCTGCTCCTCAAGCTGGTTGTTGATAGCTGCCTCAAGAACAGCGCCGGGGTCGCGTTGCGTCAACTGGTACAGACATGTAATCGAGGCATGTCGGATCAAGAAGGCTTGACTCTCCAGACTGCCCGAGAGCTGTAGCTGGAGGAAGGGCACCAACTGCTGGATGTTGACGTGTGTTGGCGCAAAAAGGATAAAGTTCTGGATGCATCGGATCGCCTGGACGACGACGAATGGATCGGACTCGTTCTTGAGCTCTTCGTAAAGGGCAAAGCAGAGCTCTCGCACCTTGGGAGAGCACTGGAACTCTGGGCCGAGGACTCCGACCAGCGCGTGGAGCAGACGACCAAAGCCTGGGTATACGTCGCAGTTGCTGTCCCCGCCAGCGCCATTGGCTTGCACTGCCGAGGGTTCGTGGGTCTCGGACATGTACAACTTGGCGATGAGCGACAGCGTTGGATTGACGTAGTTGGCAAACATAAGCCCGGCACTCTCGATGGTGAGCCACAGGGCGTGCAATGCCCATGTGTGGACGAGCGGGTGCGGGTCGCTCGCAAGGGAGTGCAGAATGCCCACAATATTCTTGAGATGAGACGAGCCCGTCATTCCGCCAACATAGCTGTGGATGGAGCCCAAAGCCAGCGCGGCGCCACAGCGCGAGTCTGGTTCACGGACGTTGACGACCCGGTCGATGAGGCTCTGCATCAGCGGGTTGATGAACGAAGGCGTGCCGACCGCACGAGCCAGACGACCGAGCACCTCGCTGGCTGCAAAGCGCAGGACCGGATCGGGCGACACGAGCATGTCCTATGGGTGGGGCCAGGATAGCAATGCGGGCATTGTGTCAGCACATGACGCTCCACCAGACATATGGTCCGCGAATCGGCTTTGCTTTGACGGGGATGACAGCACGGTCACATCAATCGACGCTCGAGGTCGCTGAATCGGTACACATCGCGATTCGAGGTGAAGCTAGCCCGATCGTTGCTCATCGCAATTTAGAGTTACATCGGGCACAATCGATTGCGAAGCAGCGACCATGACCCGACCGGACAAGACACTCACATCAACAAGCTCGACTACGAGCGACTGGGCTCGGGGGCTCGGCGCCGATGTCTTCCTTGCAGAGAGGTACCTCAGGAAGCCGATGATAGCGGTGGAGATGTTGATCTGCAGCGATACTTTACGTGCCATCGAGACCTTGCCGACGGGCAGCTTGCAGATCTTGAGCAGACTCTCGAGTGAGGCATCCTGGGTTTGCGGGCTTTGATGCGGGAAGATGCTGGCAAACAGCTCGATGGCAGCGTCCACGACAGCAATATTGGCCGGCATCGGACGGGGCTGCTCGGACCACAGACGCATCAGGCCAGGATCCTGGCGCCCGACGGCGGGATGCTCAAAGTCAACGAGCCCATGATGCAAATACAGCGTATGGGGGTCGTAGGCGAGCGTCCCAAGCAGTCGACCGTCCAGCTGGAGAGACGAGCAATGAGATGAGATGAGATGGGATTCAAATAGCCCGTGCTGCCAATGTGAAAAGCACCAGATGTGTTTGTGTGTGCATACCTGGTCTTCCACTTTTTTGACATCGGTTTCCACCAGAAGCGCCTTGGCGATGCCGCGATCTTCAGCGGCCGCTGCAGAAGCCACACAGTTGGAGTATCCACGTGCAAGGGATGTGACGATCTGGAGGTCGTCGCTCATTTGAGTCGATCCCGAATGCGCATTTGACCCTGTGCCAACGACACCGGTGAACGAGACAAGGCTGTGGGTTTGGCCCTGGCTGGGCGTCGTTGGTGGCTGCTTCTCGACCTCGGGCGCAAACGTGTCCATGACGACACGGACCAAGATACCGTAGTTGTTTTCGTAGAGGGCCGGGCTGCCCAGGGCCAGGTAGCATTGGAAAATGCGCTTCCGTACCAGCTGCTCCTTTTCGACAATCTTGTGGGAGATTTGCGGGGCAGCCCCGGGCAGGGTCGGCCCAGTAGGAGTGACGTGGCTGACATTGGCAGGTAGACTGGTGACAAAGACGAGGGCATTGCTCAGGCACACGATGACCCGCTTGGCAACGTCGGCCGAGGCCAAAGATCCATTGTAGAGGATGAACGAGTGCAGAGCAGCCAGGGCCGAGTCCTTGACAGTCAGATGGAACTCCCATTCGACGTCGGTTTTGCCGGAGGAGTTGATCTTGGGAAAGACGTTCTTCCAGATCAAGAGCAGCTGCGAGAGATGCGCACCGACAAATTGCGGACCAAGACACATGAGCGATCCAATCAAAGTCCAGGCAACCTTGACGTGTACTGTCGCCAGTTTAGGGTCTTTGATCGAGGCACTCGTCTTGAGCAGCTGCGTGCTGAAGCCAAAGACAAGAAAGGCGGACTCGAAGGAAACGTAGAGCGTCCGTGCCGGGATGACAGAAATGACGGCAGCGAGAATGTTTGCGTATCCGACATACTTGTCGAGCAGATCGGCGCGGTCGCTGGTGAGTGTGGGCGCATGCTTTTGCAGCAAGCCAACTAGCCTCTGAATCAGCTTGGGGAGCTGCTGCGGGAGGGCATCGCAAACACTGCGCAGACACCATGCCAGGGCGAGGTTGACCCCAGGAGTCGGATGCGGCAAGAGCTCGACCAGGCACTCCATGACGACATCCTGCGTGACCGACGACGCCGAGCCGAGCTCGAGATGGAGGGCACTCAGCTCGTTGAGCACACAGATTGTTGTGTGGTCGTTGGGAGCTTCGGTCAGGGTGGCGGCGCCGGGTTTGATACCCGACGAAGGCTGTGCGGAGACGGTTCTCTTGAGAATCGAGACAATCTCACGCACGGCCACCACCTCTCCGCTTTCGCTGAGCATCTTGCCCAAGACATCTCGAAAGATGTAGTCGCAGAACTCGCGCGCAACAAGACTCTCGTTCCGGGCAGAGGTGGCTCGCGGGTTCCAGATCATCTCGGGAACGGAGCTGAGGATGAGCGAGTAGTTGGTCTCGACAAACTTGACGCCGAGCTGGATGAAAGTCGATGCCAGCGACTCGACGATGGCGATGCGGATCTCACGCGAGGCGTGCGCTGGCTTCTGGAACTGCATCGAGAAGAGCTGGAAGAGCTGATCGACACGAAGAATCTTGTCCAGAATAACGGGCTCGGTGACTCCTTTCTTTTTGATGGCGGGCGGAGGGCTCTGCGAGCGCACAAAGATCGAGGCTATGAACGAGGCTATTGCGCGACGAACGGTGTAAGACGACTGTTCGGCTGCCTTGAGAACGAAGGAAAGCAAGGCGTCGTATTCTTCGATCTTGAGACAGGGGAGCTGGCTGGTGTGCTGGTACAAGGCTTGCAGCAGCTGTTCAAAGATACATGGGACACACCACCGGGTTAAGCGAGGCGATGAGACCCGACAGCGGTGCCGAGACAAATGCCAGCGACGCAGTGCGACAGATGTCGATTCGGACAGCACCAGTGCACCACATCGAGGCTAATTGGTAGAGTCCGGCTATTGTCGAGGCTCATTACCTCAATCGACGACGATCTGATGATGCTGGCCTTGTCGCCGATGCCGAGACGAGCCAAGCGGACGAGATCCTTGACGGTGGCTTCGTTTGCACCACGTCCAGCGCAGGTCAAGGCTCTCTTGAGGGCGATGGTGATCTCTGCCTTCATCGGGATCTGTGAATAGGGCAGGGGCCAGGATCAGCATTTCGCAGCGCCATGGCATCGGATACGGACCGGATACGATGCATCTCCTGCCACCTACATCGCTGTCTTTGCAGGACTTGAGTATCTTGATGAACGAGGCTGTCATCTCAGGATAGAGCGAGAGAATCTGGGTGGCAACATGGCATTAGTTCCTGAGGCTCGCCAAAAGGCGCCTGCGGCAAGTCATGTTTAAAGGCAGTAAGAATGAGCCTCAGACCTTGTCGCCAAAGGCTTCCGAAAGGCTTCCGATGCAATATATGGCCGACCTGCCAGCAACGGAGAGCGAGTGTCGAAATGCGTCAATGGGGCGGATCTGGCTGGCTGGAGGGCATGAGCCGCTCGACGTGGAGGAATCGAGCCTGGATGGGATGCCGAAGCCGCAAGGAGTGCGTGGCTCGCACTCACAGCTTGGACGTAAGCTCCTCGGTCTTGCGATTGACGATGGCCAAAGCCGTAACCATGGTGTCGAAGAGGGTGCGGGTGTCGCCATAGGTATATAAAGCGACGAAGCATCTTGCGACAGCCCTCCGGATGGGCCGAGAGGGTTTGGGATTCGCAGAGGTTATGTATTTGAGCAGAAGCTTCTCGATATTGTTTTGGTGCGGCTTGATGGACTCCTGCAGAGCCACAGCAAGAGGCAAGAGGAAGATGTGCAAGTCAGGACGAGCACCGACAGACTCGGGCAACACGTATCGAGTCGATCTGCCGGCCGCTGCAGCGGCAAAGGGGAGCAGGATAACAGAGTGCTGGGGCGAACGAAAGCCTGCCTTTTTGCATCCCTTGAGCTCCCTCTCGAGGGTGATGAGCCACTGGAACAGAATCAGCTCCTTTTTATCGGTCGAGTCGGCGGCGACGATGCGCTGGTCGTCGAAGGTGAACGACGCCGGGACGGGCTCGGGTGCGGTTGGCCCGATCGAGAAATCGGCCTGGAAGGTCGACATGGCTGTGGGGGCTCAGTCCAGCAACGAAAGCCAGCACGAGAGAGGGGGGCAGCGAGGATAGAGGGTGCAGACAGACGGAGGCCAAGAGACGGAGATGGAGGCAGAGAGACGCAGACAAATGCGGATGGATGGGGTGCATCGCGTGTGTAATCCAGGGCCAGGGTGATTGCCGGGGACAATGGACCGCCCAAACCGCCAGACGAGCGAGCACACAAGCAGGTCGGATCTGGGCTTTGGCGAGCGATGGTGCTGCTCCAAAGTCTTAATCTTGGGGCGATGATATTCCAGATGACGCCTCGATGAGCGGGAACGCAGGGTCGCTGAGACAAGAGCGAGAACAACCCTCTGGCGGTTTCCGGGATGTGCCTCGTCGCCGGTGCGGCCTCGGGACGGCATCTCGTGGTTCGAGATTTCTGTCCGTCTGATCTGCAGCGATGGTGCCCCCGGAGTGTTCTCGGGCTTTGGCTGCGAACGGCATGCCAGTGTAAAAAGCAATGTGTCGATGCTTCTTTCCCAGAACCCGCGCTGCTGGTGCATTGCTGGTGCACTGCTGGCTCGCTGGAATCGCCGGTCGGCCATTGCAGATCCTTGGCAACGACACCAAGGACACCAAGGCCGTCTTGGCATCGGCTGAAACAAGAGCCTGGAGGCCACAGCCCGGCCAAGAACGGCCGTGAACTGCGGGGACAACTGCAAGGATAACTGGGCATGGCCACAAGGCCATGCCACGAGTAATTCGCCATTGTCGAGACAACATGCGCTTCGGCCCAGCACCCACCAGTGCCAACCAGTTCAACACTTCAACACTCAACCAGTTCAACACTCCATCGATCCAACGCTCCGTCGATCCAACACTTGGCCGCAACAACAAACCCGCAAGCCGTCCCCGCCCCAGCCGCAGCACATGCTCCGTGCCAAGGCCATGCCGCGCGCGATCCGCGAACAGAGTTGCGCCGGCCTTGTGCCCGCCGCGCTCACAGCCACACGCCCGACCCGTCTCACGTTTCGCCCGAGGGATCAGCCGTTGCCTCTCTATATGAGGGCCCTGCTCCTCCAGAGCCCGTCCGCCGAGTCCATCCTCCTCTCGGCCAAGCACTCCGGCCCGGTCTGAGCCCGTCCTCTCTCTGTTCCTCCTGCTTGGCCGCCCGAGCATCCATCTCAGCGACACATCTCCCCCCACCCATCCAGCGAAACAGCTCCCGGCGTCTGGATCTCCCCTTTTCCTTGGCTCACTCGCTCAGTAGCTCACTTGCTTGCTCCAGCCATGCTCTCCAACTCGACAGCCCTTGCGGCCAACTCAACGGCCGTCATTGACGACTGCATATCGGCCATCCCGCCGACATTCGACAGCGGCTCCAAGGACTTTATCATCCTGGTGGTCATGTTCCTCTGCTCGGTCATCTTTGGCATCGTTGCATCGAGCCTGACGGCTTACTTGACGGTAAGCTTGTCTTGTCTTGCTGCCCCGAGGCTGGGAAAGGGAGCCTCGGTCTTTGAAGACAGCCCAGCCGCGCTGCTAGCCCGGTTGCTGATCCAGACTTTGGCCTGCAGGTCCGGCATCTCCAAAACTTCAGCCAGCCGTACTATCAGCGGTGGATCGTCCGGATTTTCTTCATGGTTCCGATCTATGCCCTCTGCTCGACGCTGTCGCTGCGGTTCTATTGGTTCTCGATCTACTTTGACATTATCCGGGACTGCTACGAGGCTTTTGTGATTTACAGGTGCGTTGCTTATCCGGAGTGCCGCAAGTGCAGCACCACTGGTACTGGTGGATCTTGAGCTGCATGCATCGACCCTCGGCTCTTTGGCTCGTTGGCTGCAGCCGCCTTCTTGGCCGCCAGTGTGCATCCAGCGACGCTTCGCTGTGGTGCCACCAGTATAGTATCCACCCGCAAAGGCTGCAGAGTGGCTTCATGCTGCTGTCTCCTCGTGCTGATTCATGACCGTCCCCTGCCAGCTTCTTCATGCTCCTGCTGCAGTACCTGGGCCCCACCCACGAGGCCAGACGACAGGTCTTGTCGTCCAAAGACCGTGTCCGCTATCCCTTCCCTCTCAACTGCTTCACTTTCAGCCCAAGGGGCAATGCCTTCCTGCTCAACACCAAAATCGCATGTCTGCAATATGTCGTTATTCGGTAAGCGCTGCAAGTCGTTGGAGCCCTGGAGCCCTGGAGCCCTGGAGCCCTGGAGCCCTGGAGCCCTGGAGCCCTGGAGCCCTGGAGCCCTGGACTGCATCCACTCCGCCCGACGCCCCTGCTCCGCCACTCATCCGCAGCCCTCTCTTTCTCGCCGTGCTCGTCCCAAGACCGACCATGACCATCTTGGCCTATGCCATGCAAATGGCCGGCGTGCTGTGCTCGCAGTCAATGTCCCCGACTCACGGAGAGTTTTGGGTGACCTCCATCAACCTTACCTCTGTCTGTGTTGCCATGGTACGCTATCCCATGCCCGTTGATGGGTGGTCCATCAGGCACCTTGGGGGCTATTCTTTGGATGCGGCTGGGTGCTGGCCTTCATGGCATGCCCAAGGCGACGGGTGCAGCACAAGCCATCCCCTCGCTGTACTGGATCAGCTGGGCGCCAAGCCCTGGATGGTCTGCCAACACCCGCCCCCACCCTTATACTTGCAGAGTACCCCTTGAGCACGGTCTTGGCGGGGTCGTCTGCAGCGCCGCTTACCAGATCGCATTTGCCTCCACAGTATGCCCTGATTTTGTTCTACATCGTTATCCACCACGACATTGCCGAGCACAAGCCATTCTACAAGGTCAGTGTGGAGAGGACATCACTGGCTGTGCTTGGTCGTCCGGCATTGCTCATGCGCTGTTACTCGAGCCACACGCTTTGCCAGGTGTCGTTGTGCTCCATGCGCTTCTTGCGGCTCCTCGCTGACATTCCGTTGCCTGGCTGCTGCAGTTTGTGGCCGTCAAGTTTGTGGTCTTCTTCAGTTTCTGGCAGTCGATCCTGCTTTCGTTCCTGGTGCAGATCAACGTCCTTCCTAGCACCCAGTACTGGGCTCCCGAAACGCTCTCGATTGTGATTCAGAGCTTCCTGATTGCCTTTGAGATGGTGATTGCCTCGCTGCTACACATGTACTGCTTCACCTGGCGCGAGTACGAAATCCACGAGTACTCGGCAAAGACATCCATCTTGAAGTCGTTCCTGCAGTCGGTCTCGTTCATGGACTATGTCGAGGACATCCGCCACGCCCCCATGGAGCTCCAGGAGCAACACCGTCGCCGCAAAGAGAAGCGATCCAAGAGCCGGACCCCTCAGCAGCACACCGAGCCCGACAACTGGGACGTTTCTGGCGTGAAGGGCCTCACTCCCCGACTGCCACCGCACGAGCCGTCGCACCAACCGTCTGCGGCCAATCCACGCTTCCAGACCGAGGACCTTTCGGACTCTGAGAGCATCCCCGATCATAACAGCGAGGAGCTGTTTATCCCTGAACGATCTGAACGCGGCCGCCAGTAACAAGCCCCCCCTGCCTTGCTCCGAGAGCTGTCGGACTGCTCCCTCGCCATCGACCAGCATGGTCTTCATCCCAACAACCTTAGACCTGGACTCTGGGTCTGGAGAACCCACCACACGAGTCCCAAGAACCCGCCACCCTGAAAATGGTCGCTCACAGCCGCGCTCCAGCCCCAGCTCTGCAGTGTAGCATCAGTCCCCTCCTCCGACACCACGCTTCAGTATCTTCTTTCCACCTCGACCCATTTTGAACATATTCACGCTTAGTTCGGCCGTAGCAGCCATATACGCATTGTTCTGGATGCTGCCCATACATGCACTCAATACCACAGTCATTTCAATATGTATTCCAACGTGCTCGTTTGCTTGTTTCCCCTTTCAAAAATGGGCTTGCTGTATTCAGAACCCAGAGATCGGTCACCCCGGAATCGAGGTGCCGGTGCGCATCCGCCAGTCGCTCGCACATTACTGCCAATCCTTTAAAAACGGGACACCTTGGTTGGTCGTTGGTCAAATAGTTTGTTGCCCAATACCATCGCGCGCTGGTCATGACCATTCTGTGATGTGGTGATCCGCCCTCATTCATAGCCTTAGAAGATATGCCTCCATATTCAGCGTGTCCAAGAGCACCATTCACCGCTGGCACTCCGAGACCAGTGTGCATGTCGATTGCGAAGATGGAGAGTGACCCAATGTCTTCACTCGGAGGCTGCCAAAGCGATCTGCTCTATGTCTTATGGCTCGGCTTGACGCAAGCCATCACATACAACGCTGACATGGGATCGCGAGGGTGTTCTGAATAAAATGCACGCACGTGACCCCGCTTTCGCTGTTCAGCAAGCGCCAGACGCCGGCTGCGGGCTTGCCCACATCAACGTTCGCCAGAACACATCCGCCGACATGTCTGACACAGAGGAACAGACCACATGGCCCCCGACTCGGGTGATCGAGAATATCGTCTACTGCCAAGGTGCCGTCGGAGCACGCCGTCGAGCATGTCCACTGCCTTCACCAGCTAACCTGCAGCATCTTGTTCTCCTCCCGCCCCAACACCATGGCCAGTGTGCTCGCTCCCTCCAGAGGTAATGCCGATCCAAAGGCGAGCCAGCCGTCAGTCATTCCGGCCATCAATTCTATCAACCATGCACCTCTCTGCAGTTCGAGTCTGCAGCAGTGCTCCCATATGCCAGCGCTGACCAACTCCCCTTGCCACGGACAGTATTGCGAGTTCAGCGGAAGCATCGATAAATGCAAGGCATGGCTGCAGAGCAACCATCCGGATCTGTACGATAAGATCTGGGCCGAAAGCGGTCAGTTGCGTTCCTTGGGAAACGTCACAGGAGAGGAGATGCACTCTCTTCGTCTCGTACGAGCCGGTGATCGTCGGCCACTTTACCTGCCGTGACGATCCCGATCGCCAGATCCACCAGCTCACTGCCCACTGCTGTATGCTCCATAGTCGCCACGGTGGACGACCCGGATGCTGCCAAGAAGCAGAAAAAAGGTAACCGCACGATGAGCCAGAGCGACTGCGTGATATGCCAAGCAAAGCGTCGACCGCGCTTGCTCCAGCGACCCAGATACTCACCAAACCCGAACCCTATGGTGCTGCAGAGGAGGCCAAGGCTGAAAGGGCCGAGAAATTAAAGCAGGTGGGTGAGCCGCGGATGTCCCTTGGCGCAGACGAGTCAACACATCTTCACGATCGTCTCCCTCGGAAGCCATCGGGCCCGAGCGATTGAGTGAGTCGAGGGCAAGCGACGGTGCGCTCCGCCGACTCACGAAGGCGATGGCTGGCTCGTCCTGCGATCCTCCTCAGAGCGCCAAGGTCACTATCAAGCGAGTGGAGCGCACCAAGCGCAAGTGCGTGATTGTTGTCACCGGCCTGGAGAGCTTCAGTAAGTGCGATCGACTCTGCACAGATCGGGAGGCCCTATCCCCTGGCTGCTTTGATCCAAAACGATTGCCATGATCACGGCGAACCGCAAACCGTTGTCGCCCGGCCGTATGCCGCAAAAGCGCCTTGCAACAGACCTGGACCCGGATTCGGGCTCGATCAGGACGAAAGCGACCATCTCGGCCTGACCCACATTATCCGGAGGGAGCCCGATCTGATAGCCACCGCCCTGACGCATCTGGCCTGCAGACATCGATCTCAAAAAGGCTGCCAAGATCTTTGCCAGCAAGTTTGCGTGTGGATCGTCCGTCACAAAGAACGCTGCCGGCCAAGACGAGATTGTGGTTCAGGGCGACGTCCAAGACGATCTGTTTGAACTCCTCCTCGAGAAGTACCCTGAGGTGAGGCTCGCCTCTCATGAGGACAGCATGCCTTTGCTTTGCTGCTGGTCTCGGCTGCACATTATGCCATGCGCGACTGTTGCTGCAGCCACGGACGGATGGGTCGCTACTTGGGGATCGGTGACTGAGTGCCGTCGCTCCCGATTCCTCGCTCTCCGATGCTGATTCAATTCGATGACTCTGATGCCAAACAGATCACCGAGGATCAAGTCGAGCTGACCGAAGACCAGAAGAAGAAGAAGTAGGAGGGGCTCGCGCTGTTCCAGGGCCTGCAATGTTCCGGGGCCCACGATACAGCTCGTCCGGCACACGCTGGTTCTGACGATCTTTGGTCGATCAAGCCCGCCTGGGAGCTGTGGCTCGGGCTCATGGCAATATACTTTACTCGGTCAAGAAACGAACCAGCCCTGTCCGCAATTGAATGCCTCGAATGTGCAAGTCAGCGCCCAACATGACATGGAGAAGGAGCGGGCACTGGCGAGGCCGTTCGGCGGGGACCTGGGTGGCTTGGTGAAGACCACTGGTCGCTGACTGAGGCCACCAAGACCAAGCAGATGAGGCGCTTGAGCTGCTCAGAGTGCCTGGCAGACCGCAGCTCCCTGGGATCTCCATTCGGCAGACCGCCTTGCATTGAGCACGCCGGGGTCTGTGGGCGATCACTGGCAGATTGGACCAGCCCGTTCGCGCCATGGCCAAAAGCCCTGGATTCGCTCGCTTCCGGTTTGCCCTTGATCACACCACCACCCGCATCCGAGCACCATGGCCGCCATGGTGGTCCCTCGACCCTACCAGATAGCCCTCTACATGGAGGCCCGGGCCAGGAACGTCATTGCCTATCTCGACACGGGCAGCGGCAAGACCCTGGTATCGGTGCTTCTGATCCAGGAACTGGTCTCGCCCCTGGTCCCGCTCTCGAACGACGCTATTCTGTCTGCCCTCCGCAGCGTCTCAAGCACCGATGTTGATGCGACCTGGCCCCTGTCGGAAGGATCCTTGGATGGGCTCTCCGCTGGGTCTGCCGGCCTTTCCTCCTTTGCGTCGTTTCTCCAGATTCGACAAATCCTGCCGCCGCAACCGCGGAAGGTCGTCTTCCTGGCACCCACCGTTGCCCTGGTCGCCCAGCAGGCCCAGCAGATCACCCGCTCGACCGATCTCAAAGTCGGCGAATACGCCGGTCGGGATCGCTCGTCGCTGCTCTACTGGGATGCCATCGGCTGGTATCAGGAGATGTCGACCAAGCAGGTTCTTGTGCTCACCCCACAGTTTTTTCTCAATCTGCTGCAGCATGGTTTTGTGGGTCTGCAGGACGTCAGCCTGCTCATCTTTGACGAGTGCCACCACGGCGTCCGCAACCACGCCTACAACATCCTCATGAAGGAGTTTTACTTTTCTCTCCCGGCCGAGAAGCGGCCCCGGGTCTTTGGGATGACGGCTTCGCCCATCTGCCAAAAGACCACCACCCGCGACGACTCGATGGACAAGCTGATCGAGCTCCAGCAGAATCTGGACTCGGTCGTCGTCACCATCGAAGACAGACAGATCCTGCAGGGCCACATACCCAGGGCCGTCGAGTTTCTGGTCGAGTTCGACAGCGATCCTGGCCCGAGCGACCGGAACGAAAGCCCCTGGGGCCGCTACTGCAGCCGGTTGTCCGAAAGCCTCCAGCGCATCACCGTCGCTTCCAAGGACCGAGGGGACTCCAAGGCCGCATCGCTGGAGGCTCACTGCGTCCTGCTGCGACACACCAACAGCACCCTGGGGGTCTGGTGCGCTGCCAAGCTCGCCGAGATCCACGTCCTGTCCGAGCGAAAGCAGCAGGCTCGTCTGAATCTCTCCGAACTCGCCGGCAGCCGGGCCGAGTCATCAGCCAGCGCATCACCACGCAAGAGAGCGCTTTCGCTCGATGCCCCGGCCGATGGAATGTCCGCTGGAATACCGGCAAGAAGCCCCGGAGCGACTCCCGACCCGTCCTGGATCAATGAGCCGCCGCCGACGAACAGCGACATCCAGGAAAGCGACCTCTCGCCCAAGATTCACACGCTGCTCCGAGTTCTGAAAGAGCGCCTCACCAAGACAGACCGGGCACAGTTTCGGGCCATGGTCTTTGTCGAGCGCCGATCGATTGCCTCGATCGTGTGCCAGCTCCTGAATGCGCTCTCGTCCAGGGTTTTCGGAGACATGCTCAAGGCCGACTTTATCACTGGCCAGAACCGGCAAAAGGCCAAGCTCAAGACCGCAGAGCCGTCCAATGCATCGTCGAAGCACCACCGACGGATCCTGGAGAATTTCAAATCCGGCAAAATCAACACCCTGGTCGTTACGCAAGTCGCCGAAGAAGGCGTGGACATGTAAGTCAAGAGGAAGGGAAAGAGGGCAAGGTGGCATGGCTGATGGCCATAGAGGCGAAGGTTCATGGTGGCTGCGTGGTGGAAGGGCAGCCTCTGGATCGACGACTACCGATGCCCATGGATGCCGCCCGAGATGATGCATGGGACCTGTGATCCGCTGAGCAACAGTGCCGCACACCACAAGCCCCAGGCGGTAGCAAACTCTTTGCCTATTTCAGACCGCTGGCCTCGAGGCATGTTCCGCTGACTCGGTGATTTGGGTCTGTATCCAGTCCCGCCTGCCGCCTCGTTATCATGTTTGACCGCTCCCGCAGCCACACCGGTTACGTGCAGTCTCGCGGCCGGGCTCGCGATACCACCGGCTCTGAGTATGTTGTGCTTGTTCAGCGCGACGACCTCTCGACGATGGAGTTTGTGGCCAAGGCCAAGGTGATCGAGATGATGACTCGCAGCGTGGCGCTCGAGGCCTCCAAGGACGAGAATTCGCTCAAGGTGCTCCGAGGACAGACCGACAACGATGTCGTCGACAGCATGGTCTTTGGCGCCGAGGCCGGTCGAGATGTTGTCACGCAGGGAGGTGCCAAAGCCACCCTGCTTAGCGCCTCGACTTGCTTACAGCGACTCCTGGTCTCGATTGGCGCCTCGCCGCAGACGTGCTTCTTGCTCGTTAGCGATCCTACAAAGAACCAAGAGGCAACGCAGCCATCTTCTCAGTCGTCACGCGCCCCTGCGGAATCAAGCCCGGGGTCGCTCGGCTTCGCCTTCAAGGTTGTGTTTCCGCGTGGGTCTGCCCCTTCGCGGGCCGTCGGAGATGTTCTCGGCCCAGTCATGTTCACAAAAAAGCTTGCATTCCAGGCTGTTTCGTTGGAGGCTGTACGACGTCTCTATGCTGCGGGGCTCCTGAACGAGCATTTGCTGCCTCCCGTGAGCAACCTCCTCGCATCCAAAAAGGGCCACAGAGGCATCTCCTTCAGCTTGACGAACATCCTTCTCCTGAAGCTGCCAAAGACACCCGTCCACCGCGCTATCGCAGCAGCGGTCGAGAGCGAATACCTGGTCACTGACCGATACAAGCAGCGAGTGCCGGTCGTATTTCAGACCGACACCTGGATCCAGACCTCGGGACTGGCCTCGGTGCAGCCAAACGTCATTCCCTCGGACGACATTGCCTTGTTCGTGACCCTGATCTCGAGCGGGCCGCAGATGGAGGTCTACACTCGCGGCGACCCACCGATATGCCCCTTCCGAGATGTACTCTTTCCCCCGCTCTTCCCAAAGTCGCACTCCAAGTACAGCAACCACTACTACTACTTTCCGAACCACAACTACTTTGCACTCTCGCCACTCGAGCCGCGGCGCACGTTTGCGATACTGACGCCGACACGGATTCCCGTCGAGCGCATCCCCGACATTGAGCTTTTCTTGGACAGCGATCGCCGCTGCAACGTCGAGCTGCTTTCGTGGAATCCCAGCACCGACTCTGGCTGCATGGGCATCAAGGCCGTCGATGGCGCTTCGGAAACCTGCCGCGACAACAAGCCCATGCAGCCTGGGCAAGCGCCCGTTGTTTTCCGCCCCGAGGAGCTGCAGCGCATCAAGGACTTCCAGAAGGCATTTTGGGACACCGTCCTGAAGAAGCCGGATGTCGTAGTTGATAACGTTGACAAGATTGGGCCGGCGATGTACCTGGTGATTCCAATGCTGGGCCAGCCGTGCGCCCCCGATCCCTCGACTGCCTTCCAAGTAAGCTACGCCGACGTGATTCCACATTTACCGGTCGAGTCCGTCGACAGCAATGACGCTGCACCTGTTGCCCCAGCTTCATCACCAAAGTGTCGATGGCGGATCGACTGGCAGATGATCAACACCGTCAGTGCGGCGCCACAGCTCTCCTTGTCAACATGGATATCGGCGCTTGCCTCGGTCCTGGACGACATGGCCGGCACAGAAGACGCCAAGGCCCCAAGCGGCCAACAGCACAATACATCCGCCTTGGATCCTGGGCAAGGCGATGGACACGAGGGGCTCTCGGATCATGCAGAAGCGGATGAGTTTGAATGGCTGCCCCGCAGCGGCTCGCCTGCCGACTCGGACAGCTCCTCTGTGATATCCGATGTGCCTCCGCCAGCATTCCTCAGTACTAGTCCGGAAGTGCCATTGGGAGGTAAGTGGATATGCTGACCGCTAAGGCCCGGCGCATTCAGCGACACCGTATCATCTTGAATCCAGTGAATCTCAGCGCCTGCTGATAGAGCGCTTCTTGGGTGCGTGCTGTGGGCTATGCAGACACAGAACACGACGAATACGTGCAGCAGCATCGCCATGAGGAGGCCCTGCAAACTCCGTCCAAGGACCCGTCGAGTGGCCGCGCCCTGCCGCAGATCCTTGGGCTGCACGAGCCTTTGCGAGAGGTTTCATCGTTCGGCTCCCTCTTCGACCTGTTGATAAACTTTGATGTCGAGACCTTGGGAGTCCGCGGCGAAAACGCGCTCGTACCCGAGTTCTACCGAGGCCGGCGCTTGATTCTTTCCAAGCTCAACAAGATGCTGTCGCAGGTCCTGGTGCTTACGCCGCACAACAATGCCATGTATGCCCTGCACAGAATCGCTCTCGGCCATCGTACCTCCTCGCCGGAGGAACTCACGCCCGAGTCGACCTTTATCCGCGAGGCTGCCGACGGCACAACCGAGCAAGTCTCGTTCATGGACCACTTTACCGCTCTTGGATACACAATTCGGCATCCAAAGTCCGTGATGATCGAGGCGCAGAGCAATCCGTTCCGACCGCAGCGCACTCTGACTCAGCAAGGCGCTGTCAAGGACGCCAAAATCCTCAAGCATCAAACGGCCGGGCCCCGGTTGAGGCGATGCGTCTATCTGCCGCCAGATGCATGCTCGGTTCTGCCTTTCCCCTCCGAAATGGCCCAGCTGGCGATGACGCTGCCATCGATCCTTCACCGGGTCGAGACCATGTGTCTGATAGAAGAGTTTCGGGTGTCCAATGCACTGTGGGACCTGACCAGCACAACGCTGTTCTCTGTATTCAACGCTCCGTCCGCCCGCGCTGGGGTCGATTATGAGCGGCTCGAAATCCTTGGCGACTCGTTCTTGAAGCTCGCCTCCAGCATTGACCTCTATCGCTGCATGCCAAGCGAGGACGAAGGTGTGCTTTCACGACATCGCGCGGCCTGCGTGAGCAACATGCGGCTCTTTGAAATAGCCCTCTCGCAGGGATACGCCGAGTTGATGCTAGTGGCCCCGTTCAATCCACGGCGCTGGCGGCCGCCAAATCTGCAAATATCGCGGGTGAGAGCCGCAACCCAAAACCAGACCCCAGTCAACGCCGTTCAAGAGCCCGACGCAGAGTCAACGACACCAAGCGCGGCGCTGACCAAGACCATCAGTCGCAAGATGCTTGCCGACTTTGTCGAGGCCCTCGTCGGGGGCTGCTACGTCGATGGTGGACACGAGGCCGGCTGGAAAATGCTTGAACATCTCGGGCTTGTGGGGCTGGACCGCGATGCAGAGGCGCGACTTGGCCAACTGCACCAGCGCCGTGCTCTCCACCTGCCGTTCCTTCACGGCTATCTCAGAGATTGTGGCAGGACCGACTTCCCATACGACTCGGTCGAGGCCCTCCTTGGATACAAGTTTCGATATCGATTCCTTCTGCTTGAAGCGTTCACGCATCGAACCAGCGCCGATGCGGTGCTGCCGTCCTGCGAACGACTCGAGTTCCTCGGTGACGCCGTGCTGGACTGGATGCTGCTGCGATTCTTCTTTACGTGCTATCCGCATCTGGATCCCGGCAGGCTCTCGGAGCTCAAACAGGCGGCTGTCAACAACGAAGCCTTTTCGCGGCTGTGTATTGCCCACGGACTGGACAAATACCTCATTCACCGCGATCCAGCTCTCAGCAACAGCATCGAAGCCTACAAGAGCCATTTGACAGGGCTGATGCGGCGGACGGAGGAGCACGGCCTGCACGCTGCCGCGGGCGATACGCTTTCAGGCACTGCCCCCGCCGACGATGTGGTCAACGTCGAGGGACCCAAAGATCTCGGCGACCTCTTTGAGGCCGTTGCCGGGGCAGTGCTTGTGGACTCGGACTGGGATATAGAAGTGGTGTGGGGTGTGTTCGAGCCTCTGCTGGCGAGCTTCTTGGAGCAGCACGTCAATCCCGACACCGTCCGCAAGAGTCCAATCCGGATGGTCTACGAGTGGTTCCAAAGCCGCGGGGTGCACTCGACCAACGTGAGCTTTAGGTAAGCGCGGTGTGGGATCAGATATGAACGACCCGGTGCTATCGATTGCTACAATTCGAATGGATGCGAGGAAGCGCGCTAAGGTCGATAACAGATCAATGGCACCCTCTTGGCGGAGGCAAGTGGCCGTAATGTCTCTTGAGCTAACTCAACCTCATCGATAGGTTCGTCGAGGACGAAGAAGCTGGGCTGATAACCGGCCAAATACTACTGATGAACGAACTCCTGGTTCAAAAGCGGGGGAACTCAGTCCCGGCAGCCAAACGTGCCGTGGCGACCGAGTTTGTATCGTGGATCGAAGCGAATACGGGCGTCGTTTCAGCAATCCTTGAGCGCAGCGGGACCAGTCTTCTGGGTGCCAAGCAATAACACTAGGTACACTACCTCGCCACGAAATGCTGGAGGGCCATTGTTCGCGGTTCCCAGTCCAAACAGAGCTGAGCAACTTGGTTGTCCGTGCTTCGCAATCCCGATCGGGTGCACTTGGTGAAGTGTTGGATATGGTATGCGGCAGACTCCTGTCTCATCGAGCTCGAACAGTATTCTTGTCTTGTGTTCGGGAGACGGATGGCCATGTCGAGCAATGGATATGTATATTCATGGGTATGTATATTCATGGTTCAGAGGCGGGGAATGGCATGGATTTGGTATCTCGAGTGTCCCGTTTCGATTGTGAGCGTCCTCGGCGACTGCTTGCGCGGCTGTCATTCAAAACGAATATGTGCGATTGGGTCGCTGGGCATCCCATTGGCTGTATCGCTCTCTACTTTGGCGTCCGACATATCCACTTTCAAGAGGGGCGGGTCGGCTAGCCCCGGCATCTGGCCGGTCGTATCCACTGCGATAAGCCGTGTTTGTGTTGTCGGGTCGACCAAATTCAGTTTCCCGGGGTCGACCATGCGAGGAGACGTACGGGCGCTGGAAGTCTTGGGCACGAGTTGCCCCCCAGCGATCCGGTGGGCTGCTGGGAGGTAGTGGATCGCGCGGTAGTCTCGGAACGTTGGCGATAGACCCACCTTCGCGAATGGGGTATTGTCCGGAGCTTCTGGCCTGCCAAATATATACCGATGAGCGGATTATTCACTCCCATCTTGGCTTGCCGTTGCTCGGGATGACTTTGCGAGACCACAAAATCGAGCGACCGTCAACTGCGAAGAATGGTCCTATTTACGACATAGTGCGGAGATGCTGGAGGAATACGGTGCCATCGCAGCAATGTGCTGATCGGGTCGAGTCGAGATCACCTCCATCGCCGTCACTATGGATTGTCGCTTGCCCTACCTCGCAAACTTTGAGCTTGTGGCCGCGCCATTCTTGGCCGTCGAACATGGCTAAGTCGGCGTAAATCAAACATGGGAGTCATGCGGATCCGATCAGCTCGGATAGCATCAGGGTATGCGCAGCGCTGGGAGAAGCAACGCCCGCCCTCACGAGGCGATTTGATTACTCCAATATGCAAATGGACAAAATGCACAGCGGAGTTGAAGTTGAACCCACCAATAGCCTTTTTTGCATCCTCTGGACAGCCAAAGAGTACCGTTCCAGTCCCGATAGGGCGGTGGTCGATCGTTTCCTGGACTTTGGCGCGAACTACGGCGCCTGTTGATAGGGCATGACCACAACCTTGAGTAAACTGCGTCTTTGAAGTGGGCGAGAGGTCCCAAGGACACACGAACTACGTACCCGCTTTCAAGCACAGGTTTTTGAGATCTTGCCAGACGATATCGAGCGGTAACTACAGCGAAAGCAAGGGTCGTTGTAGATGATGCAGCGCCACGCCCGAAAGGATTCCAACTATCAGCCGCAGCAGCTTGAGGACTCACGTTTTTGATGCATATTCGTGCGTTTTGATGGTAATACGGCTGATTGGGTGCACCAGGAGAGCGTATGCCAGCATTGTAGCTGACATGATCGCGGTAGCGAGGACTGACTTCAAAGCGAGTGTCACGGCTGTGCACCCCGCGACACTTGGGCATATCGGGGCCTCTGTAAACGTCTCTGCCGCTCCAGTCAGAGATGCTCCTGCAGTAGCCGCTGTCGGAGCCACTATTGCTCAACCTGTGGAGGTGCGCACTACTGTCATAGCCTTGCCGAAAGTCACGCCCGCGATGGCGGGTGGGGCTCGCGCTGCGCGAGCGACTTCTGGAGCTGGGGAGATCACGGTGGTTGTATCCATTGCGACTATATCCACTGTGATGGCCATATGCGGAGGTGTGGCAAGCTCTGCTTTCGCCGCCGTGGTTGTGGCCTTCAAATCGGGTGGGATCTCGGATATTGGGCTGACCGGATCGATTGCAACTGGTCGTTTTGGGGCGCTCTGTCACTTGAGAAGCGATGCCGGAGGGCTTGGTCGGCTCGCTGACATACTGAGGTGTCTGTTTGGAGGAGGCGCTCTTAGCAGGAGCTGGCACCGACTTATGGTGATGGAGACATTGGATATTACCTCATGAAGAAAGGCTGGGCGACCCATCAGCGGCAATTTGTCGAGCATCTTGATGGCTCTCTGGCACTCCTCGACTGTGGCAAAGGCGGCAGTTCCAAAGCCCTGTATCAGTCAGGTGCAATGAAGCATTAGCTTCGATATCGTGACTGCAAGCGCAGACGCTGCGACTATCATCCGTCTGACTCGAGCGATAGGTTTGTTCTCGACACATCTATGCAAACACACAATACAATGACAAGAGCAATCCACCCACCCTTCCGCGGCCTGACGGCTCCGTCATGACATTGGCGTAGAGGACGTTTCCGGCTGGAGGCGCGAGGGCCCGCCGGTAAGAGTTAGCATCTGGGCTATCGCAGTCAGTATCATCGCAGACAGCGCCATTGCAGAGCACGTCAAAGCCATGAACCCACCCTTGCGCATGAAGTCCTTCAGCTCGCGCCATGAGACTTCGGGGAGAAGGTTGCTCACAAAGATGCGATATTCCTTTTTTGGAAGTTCGCGGTGGCTGAAGGCCGAAGATGGAGCATTGGGCTTGAGGGGGTCAGCGCCCGTTCCTCGCAAGGGCGAATCCAGCTGGCTCTTGGGGTTTTGGTCAGCCGAGTCTGCCGGGAGAGGCCGGGCGTCGCTGCTGGATCTCTTGGATGCCGCTGGAGTGTGGTGGTCGGGGCAGCCCCCGGAGCTGTAGAGGCGCTGAGGGGAGCGGGACCGGCCCCTTGTGGAGACCGCAGGAACGAGGCAGCCAGGGGCGTCGTCGGTCGTGGCAAGAGATGGGCTCGAATCATGGGCATCATGGCCGCCTTGGGGGTGAAAGTCGACTTCCATGGAGTTGGGAGAGATTGGACACCTGTCCGAGACACTGCTAGCCCGACTTGAGCGGCTGATGCTGCGATATCGCTGGCGGCGACTGGTTGTGCGGCTGGCAAACCGCTTGTCTTGGTCGGAGGTTGCAGAGTGCACAACACCGTCGCTCCCACTATCGTTGCAGTCGAGAATATCCTCATGGATGTTCTGATGGAGCGACGGTGGGCTCAGAGAACCGGCTGCGTCGGCCTCAAAGCCACCCAAGTGAGTGCTGGAAAAGCTCAGCTCTGGCTCGGGCGGGTCCACAAGCGGGTCGTCGGGCAGGTCCAGAAGAAATTCGGCGAGGTCTCTGTCGGTCATAGGAGCTTTGGCGATGGCGGGTGAAGCAGCAGGAAGCAGCGCCGTGCCCGGCGCTATGAAGGTATCTGGGAGGCGAAGGGTGTTCTCGGCCGCGGCCTCGCGAGGCCGGCAATCGGTGGCGGCTCTCCAGGGGTGGCAGCACACACATCACCCTCGAGCACGGGGCTGTTTGGTACATCCGGCGACATGGATGCGGCGCGCAGGTCCATGGAGATTGGCAGGACGCATCCGCCAGAGGCCGCCCGGGACGCTGTGTCGACCCTGGCCGTCGGCATCGACTGGCAGGTGCCCGTGAATGCGAGCCGACGGTGCCGAGCGGTGTTGCTGCCGGGAGCGGTGCATGAATCCAGGACCCGAACTTGAGTTTCATGCCGGCGGGCTGGCTCGGCTCGGCGCAGATGAAATTCATTCGGCGAGAATGAACCACGTGCATGTCACGCCGCGGTTCTGTGTCCGTGGTGCCACCGAGCGGCTTTCCACGTCAACGGCGTGTCTGGGCGCAGCTCGCCGCGGCGAGAAGCACGCCCGGCGGCCTCGGTGCGTTCTCGCCCGCCGCGCGGCTCCTCGCAGACGCTCTCGCTGTGTCCGGGGCTCTCGCCAGCGAGCCGAAGAAAAGAGAAGGCCTGGACGGAAGGGCGCATTTGCGGGCGCACCAGAGCAGCACCGGCAAAAGAGCAAAAACCTCCCCCCCCCCAAACCGATCAATAAAAGTGCAAACCAGCAACACACACACCCGCAGCCGGCCCTCGCTCCCCCATCCCAGTAGTAAGTAGACGGCATCCTGCGCCCCGCTCGCAGGCCCGTTGGCCACCGCCCGTCGCCCTCGGCATTCGGCCGAGCGTCTGCGCTTTCTGGACAGCCGTCCTGTGTGTGGGTCAGCCGGGTTGGCTTTTTTTTTTTCTTTTTGTGTGGTGCGAAGGGAGGCCCGATTGACGTGTTTTTCGCCGGCGGCCCCGTCCAGCCCGACTCACGGCTCGCTCACGACTCGCCAGGAACGGCCGCTCTCGCCCTCAGCGATCTGCCGCCATGGTCCACCCCGTCCCGCTAATGAACTCAAAGTCCATGAGGAGCCGCAAGGTCGACCCCAAGAAGCCCCTGCCCGTCTTCCGGGCCTCGGAGCTCCAGGACCTGGACGTCGCCTCGCTCGCTGCCGCCAACGTCGCTGCGGTGGCGACGGGTGTCGAGAAGGAGGAGGAAGAGGTGGGTCACGGGGACAAACAGACGGCGGCGACTGCCGGATATGGGCATGGCGCGGGCGCGTGTGTGCGGGCGGTGGGGGCGGGCGCCTTGTCCTGCAGCGCGGTGGGCTGTGTTGTGTTGTGTTGTGTTGTGTTGTGTTGTGTTGTGTTGTGTTGCTTTGTGGCCACCAAACAGTGCCGTTGTTTGTGTGCTCTCCTTCTAGTGCAGCCACCCCGGTTTACCGTCTTCTTGGTCGTCATTCCTCCCGGCACTGGTGTGAATCCAATCGTCTTCTGGTACTCATCATGTGTCCACGCTTCTGCAATAACAACAGGAACATCACCTGCAAGCCGCCCTGAGTGCTCACTCGAGCTCCTCTGGTGTTGCTGCTCCTGTGGTTATCCCAACCCCAGATGCTTCCAAGCTCGCGCCCGACTTTGAAAGATACTATTCACGCGACTACAAGCAGCCGCCAACGCTCATACGCTATTCGGCGCTGACAGAGGAATCCGCAGAATGCCCATACAACATCGACGAAGCCGATTTCGAGTGGCTGACACGACACAACGAGTCCCTGGCTGCATCGGACCCCAAATCGCATCGAGTCACCGAGGACGAGTTTGAACACATTGTCTGGACGCTGGAAAAAACAGCCTCAGAGAAGGTGAGCGGCAGAGCGACGGGTTCACTTCGCTCAACGAGCCCCATTTGGCCATGGCGCTCTGTCGTGGCGTCGCTGTCACCACCAGCCCTCGCATTGTCTGCTACAGATGCAGTGTCGTGCAGGATTCCAGGAAAACTAAGCGTGCACATCTCTTCACAGCTCATGATTGTCGCGCCCTCTCTTTCCGAGGCCGAGTCTGCGCTATCATCCAGCATTCCCGCCTTGCACAGCCTTTGCCGCTCGAGCATCCCGTCTATATTCGAGCACTGGAGCCAACGGAGGTTTATTGATCGCCATGGCAAGCCCATCCAGCCGCAGCTACGGGTGAGTGTCCGCTCAATCGGTTCCTTCCCAAAGCACCGATGCCTTGAACTTCCCCTGCACTGGCCGCGTGCGGTGCTTAAGACCTTGGTTTAACACTTCTGCGCTTTCTATCTAGCTCGAAGAGATCGGACTCACCGTCGACATGGACCCGTATGTCTGCTTTCGGAGACGCGAGATCAAGCCGATGCGCAAGACACGCGCTGGAGACACAAAGTCGCTTGAAAAGCTCAAGAAACTGCGCGATGAAATGCAGCGGTCCCGCGAGATCCTGGAGCTCGTGGCCAAGCGCGAGCGCATGAGGAAGGAGAGTCTTGTGCTGGAGCACTTGATCTTCCAGCAACGCGTCCTCGTCCGTACGCTCCGGAAAAAGCTTGGCGTTGGTCTGGAGGAGCGCGCTGAAGTGGCATCGACCCCCGAGCAGATCCACCGACTCAAGAAGATGCGCAAACTCGAGGGGCTCGAGGACACTCGGTATGTAGCGAACTCGGCTGGGCTCGCCAAAGTCGCTGCGCATCTTGCCCGCTGACGCTCTTGTCATGTATATGGTGCTCATCTTCCGCTTCCCCTCGTCCAGGACCCCAACGAAAATCAAAATACCGTTTCCCAAGCTCAAAGACCTCACCTCTCTGGCAGATGCACCGGAACGAGCCGCGGAGATCGCACACCGATCACCGACATCCGTCTCGGCGCACACGGTATTTGTCAAGCAAAAGAAGGCAATGGAAGAAAAGGCTGGCTGGGTCGATCTCACAGAGCAATATCATGTAAGAACGTCGTTAATGCTGTCTGTGCTACAATGTCCACAGCTCAGCGGTAATTGCTACCAATCTGGATCTGGCCTTCCGCTCATCGCGTCCCTCCTGCTGCTTTTGTAACCCACTCTAGCCACCGGCGCATCCGCTATTGTCCGACGGATATCGATTTCTGGATGAGAATGACGAGCCGAACAAGCACCGGACACACCGGACCCAGGAGCGGCTTATGGGGCGGCGGCGCATCGGACGAGGCGGCCGTGTACACTTTGATCGCGTGCGCTGCCGACCCTACGAGCGCAAGCAGTGGGACCTGGACGAGAACCAGCCTGTTCCGGACATTGAGAACAATCTTGATGAGGGCGACAAGTCCAGCGATCCCGATGCCGACCTTGAAGCATCGGCCAAAGTCCGCTACCCTGCCCTCGGGACGTACAATCGCTTCCGCTTCGACTCGGACGAAGGGTCGGCTGACGAGGACATGGACCTTCTTGAGGACTCAAGGTAGCTTTCGCCCCCACCGTCGCGCAGCCGCTCCATTCATCAGACGCTCTGTCATCCTTGCTGTGCTCACCTGCTAGACTGTGGCGTCGAGTATCCCGCAAGTCTTGTAGCTGCATACTCGGGACGCACTCTGATCCGTGCTCATGCTCTGCAACTTTGACCAAACAATCGCTCGCTCTGCGTCTGACTCCTCCCTCCGTTTGCGTTTCATGTAGAATTCTGGCCTATCGCGCGACGATGCTGTCCGAAAGCGACTATCGGTTACTGCAATGCAAGCCAACGTTCCCGGAGCAGATCAATCCGCAACCCGCCCTCGGACCTCGATCCCAGCTTGGTCACCATGCTCCAGCGAGTCTTGCACCAGCAAACTCTCCAAACACATCGACTGCTCAAATCGCCAGTGAAGGCGACAAACCTGGAACAGCGGCCGGGGCGCCTGTCTCTACCTCTGCAGGAGCAGCAGGCGCGGGCAGCGAATCTGGAACAGCGCTGGCGCCAGGCCAGGCGGCTGCTTCAAAGGACCCTGCAACAGCGAGCGCGACAGCAGCGACAGTCTCTCCCTCTGCTACTCCCAAAGCCTCACGGCCCCCAAAGAGCGCCGGTACGGCGCCGGGCGACGCACCCCCAGCCAAAACTGCGTCTGTTCGGAAACCTAAAAGCACCGAGACCACATCGGCCCAAAATGCAATGCTGAAGGCCATGATCAACCAGGCCAAGCTCAGCGCTCAGAAGAATGCGTCCTCTGCGGCATCTGTCGCAGCCTCAACTCCCGACGCAGAGCCCAACTTGGGCACTGCCGTTAGCACCAGCGCCTCCGAGTCATCCCCAGGTCGTCCCAAGACACTCCTGGGCCCCACCAATGTTGCCAGCGTGATCAAGGCCCGCGCGTCGAAAGCAAGCGTTTCTTCGGCTGTTGCTGCTGCCGCTGCTGCTGCCGCGGCATCAACTCCCCCCGTGCGCATGTCCGCGGTCAAGCAGGAGGCGATCGGCGATGCCATGCCGTCCAACACCGCCGCCTCGGTTTCAGCGGCTAGCGCTACATCAACACAAGCGAATGGAACATCAACTGCAACCAATATGGGCACACCGAACGGCACCCCCAGTCATCCAGCAAGCGGAGGCGCTCCGGGGACGAGTGGCGCCCAGACTTCGGTCTCTAGTTTGGCCCATGGCATCGCTGCGTTTGCCTCCAGTGTCCCAGCCAAGGCTCAAATGTCGTCTCCTAAACCGTCACCCACCCCGTCAATGCGCGCACCCATGGCCACGGCAGCGCATTCGATCACTTCATCTGGCCAGGAAGCAGGGCCCATAGCGTTTGCCTTGCAAGCGCTCTCCAACTCGGCGCACACATCCAATTTCAGCGGATCGACCCTGGGCAACGGCCAATATGCAACCCAGACATCAAGTTTACCAACGGCGCAGGCACAGGCACTGCAGCTCCAATTGAAACAGCTTCAGCTCCAGTTCCAGCTCCAAAACCAGCTCCAGGCGAACGGATCGGCACTCAACCCCTCGATACTTCAGCTGCAGTCCTCGGTAGCACCGCAGGCTCACCCAAGCTTGCAAAACACCACCTCCAGTCTCTTTGCCCAATTCAAAACCCAGGCGCAAGCGCATGCACATGCTCAAGCCCAAGTCCATGGGCAAACGCAAGCCCAGGTCCAAGCACAGGCCTTGCAGTTGGTCGGAGAAGAGGCAGCCGTCGGGACCCCATCCCCGGCGGTTGTTCAGGCTACACAGGTATGAATCGTGTGGCGGCTCGGAGCTGTAGACTGCTGAGTGGACCGAGGGACCATGGTGCTCACACTGCCGCTTTTTTTCGTTCACTGCCACTCAGCTCTAGATTGTCTCTCTGACAACCGCTTCTGCTACTGCTGCCTCGCCAAACCGTCTTGATGCTGGAGCCTTGTTGATCAAGCCATCGTCGGGCCAATCTTGCCACATGTGCACATCCCCGCTATGTCCGCTGTGTCCGCTGAACTCAACTGACAGCAGTTACATTCGACCGTCAACTTTGAAGGCCTCAGCTGCAACGATACTTGGACAACGACGACGACGACGACGGCGGCGGCCACTATCCTGCCGGGCGATCCTGGGGCCGATGACTTGCTGCAGATGCCGACGGGAATTGGCGCTGACCGAGCCATTGTTTTGTATGTACTCAAGGGACCCTCTGCTGGCCCTGCTTTTTGACAACCCATTCTAATTTGTATTTTGTAGTGTTTCTTTGCGGTGGCGAATGATGCTGCATGCTCGATACGCCTGCTTGTAAATATACGGTTTACGCTTCATTCAGCAAAACATCCGTGAGGCTTTGATATCGCGATGCGGGGCACGGGGCAACGCAATCGATCATCTGGACAGCTCCATGCAAAGTGTATATTCAGAAGCGGCATTTGCCAAACACGACATGCCTTTTATCGCTTCCCAGGCGCCAGTGAAACTATTGATCCATCCACACGACGTCAGCCTGCAGTTTGTTTAGTCCTTCCTTCGAACTGCTCGAGGCGGCGACTGAAGAATAAAGGACGAGGGATCGCTGTTCCTCCTTTCTCTCCTTGCTGGGTGTGTACAAGCGGCCGCGCAGGGCCAACGGCATGGACGGAGAGGCACAAGTCCCGGATGCCGTCGGTGCTTATCGAGGCTGAACTGCTTCTCGTCGGGTGGCGTCCTGCAAAAGCGCGGTATCGACTGAGGGAGAAGGAAGCTGCACGTATCGCACGACCGATCCGCGGATGAAGCAGTTTCGGACGGAGGCCTGATGTCGCCAGATCAGGATCATCGGTGGAATGAGGTGACCATGGTCGGCCAGAACAAAGCGATACGGCGGCAAACAGGAGAGAATGCCACAGTGGATGCATGGAGATCGAGGCACAGGTTCGGCAGCAGTCACGAGCATCGTGGTTGGATGTTGGTGGAAAGCCGCAGCATTGGACGTTGTTGCGAGCCGAAGATTGCGGAGCAGGCGATGGCCATAAATATCGCATGATCCAGATGTGATTCCGTGTTCGTATTCGATCGTGGTCCGGTTTGGTTCATTGGGGCAGATCGTGAAGACAGGTGGTTGGGTTATCAAGCCATCAAACTCGCATGAGCAGGGAGGTCCCTCCGGCTCGGGGCGGCCCTGGCATCACAGCTCCAAGGGCACTATGGACCAACACTGGCGATCGGTTCGTTGCCTCGAATCTCGTACCATGTGCGGGAACTTTTGCTCGTCAATGACCTTGATGTCGTCGAGCTTGATGTTGAGGAACTGGTCGACGGAGACCAAAACGCCTCGGATCTGCAGGTCGTTCTTGAGCTCGATCGTCACGGGCTGACCAACCAGGGTCTTGAAGAACGAGTAGAAGAGCTGTCTCGCGGAGGGCCGCAGGAATAGAGCGCTGGGAGTCAGAATGTGCGCTGGTGCCCAGAGCAGCCAGTGACGACAGCCGTCTGATCGGGATGCAAAGCCAGCGCTGCAGACCACACCGCCTGCTGAGAGCCATCAGAACAGCAGCGACGAGTACGATGGCGCATCCGACGCTCCACCCCACCCCACCCCACCCCCAGCGATCCGCGGGCCTGCGAGCTCGCTCATCTCCTCACCATGGCGGCGACGTGTGCTTGAACGATCCGATCGATGGTGCTGGCTGGGCTGCTGGCGATGCTGGCCACGAAAAGGCAAGCCAGGCCCTGGTCATGTGCGCAGATCGAGGGCGGGTCGAGGGCGGATCCAGCCAGCGGGCCATTTTGCTGGAAATGGGAATGCCCATGAAATCGCACCGCCGATGCCAGAACACCGCACCGCACCAGCGCATCTGGCAGAGGCCGCTGGCACCGAGGTGAGTTGACAACCGACGTGGGGCAGACAGACGCAGCTGGCTGCACCTGGAGGGAATCTGACTCTCCGGGACACCGCCTTGATCTGTCTGCGCCCCTTGCAGGTTTTGGGATCGCGTCTGTCTGAATCTAGACTCCAGAAGCATCGCAACCAAACGAGCAGTACCAAAGCCGCAATCTGCCGCATGAGCTCCGAGCATGTGGTCCTGCTGGACGGCAGCAGCGACAGCGAAGGCGACGACATTCCCAGCAATGCTCTAAACGATACCCGGAGTGCCATCCAGCCAGCGCGCGCTCTCCAGAATCCGGAGGCGATCGAGGAACCCAGCAAAGACAACCGACCCCAATCTCATCCGCACTTTGCGCAGCTGGAGATTCTCAAGTCTGTTCTCGTCGGTGCATCCGACGATAAGCTGCTGCATTACCTGGCTGCAGCAAACGGCGATGTCTCCCAGGCAGCCAACTTTTATCTGACGGACGATGCAAGGGCGGCCACAGCGGCAGCAACATCCCATCCGATCCTGCTGCAGCATGCCCAGACACCGATGCTGCACGCCAGCCCGCCACAGTCCCCGCCAAGCACTTTGCAGTCGCAGAGGAAGCTGACTCAAGCCAAGGTCAACGCTCGAACAAAGCCGTCCAAGGTCCCAGTCGAAGCCGAAACCGAAGCCGAAGCCGAACCACACACACTCATCCAGTTCCCAGCCCAGATCGGCGAGGTCATTGCGATTGCCCTGTCGACAACTCGGGGCCGTGGACTCTTGCTCGACGGTGACCTGCTGACGGTCGAGAGACCCAAAATGACAGGACCCGTCGCAAAGAAGCGCAAGACAGGCGGGTTCAACCTCTCTGGCAGCTCTTCATTCTCCCTTGGTTCCAAGGGAAACACGATCGTGCGCCTGATCCATGCTTCCAGCGGAAGAGAGATCGCCAAGCTTCATTCCGACTACGGCTACTTTGTGAGCCGACTGATCGATTTGGATGTGGTAATGTCCCTGGTTCGAAGATGAAGCAAGCCGGCAAAGAGTCAGGCGTGCGCACTCTGACGCTCACAGGCTTCCCTCCTGTTCCAGTGTCACTTTACAGCAACTGCCGTCGCTCCACCGATGGACTTGAACGTCACAGACGAAATCATCGTGAGCATGAAGGTCCGCCAGTTCATCCAGCATTGGTTCCATACGCTGCTCGGAGTCTCTCACATGCACCTTGGGATAGCCGAGCCTCCCACTTACTTGTTGATTCATTCACTCATCCAGGTTTACTTCAAAGACAGGGCATTTTCGGCCGTCCCACCGTCGGTGTACGCAAAAATGAGTACCGAGGAAGTCGAAAAGCAGGCAGAAGAGCGGAGGGACTGTCTCAGGGTGCTCTTGGAAAGACTCGGCCATCTTGGCACCGCGTCATCAAGCGGCTCGGCGACAACGGGGTCACACCCTGGGCCAGACGCAGTCATGAGCGACACTGAGCTGCGCCAGATATACGAGAAAGCAGAGCGATTCGAAGCCCTTCTCGACGAAACCGAACCTGCCAAAGGCATGACTGTCACGCTCAGGTCCTATCAAAAGCAGGTTAGCACTATCGACTCCTTTCGGAGACACGTTGCTATAGACCACCCGCTCCCTGCCCCACATCGAGGTGGTACTCACCACGAACACCGTACAAACACACAGGCGTTGTCGTTCCTTTTGAAAAAAGAGCAACATGGAGCCGAGATTGATCAGCCTGACGACGGGCACGAGTCCCGCTCGGCACAGAGCTTATCACCACTTTGGAAGGAGGTAAATGGTATCAGCAGGGTTTCAGCGCGCATATGGTATCATGTCTAAACGGTGCACCCGATTCACCAACCGCTTCATCGCGGAGATTGCTCCACCCACGACGCATCGACATCTTCTAATTCTGCACTCGGTTTCAGCTTGCTTTCTTCGACTGCGACAACAAGTTCTACTTTGCGCCCCATTCAGGTATGTCTTGGTCCTGAGCACCGCACGTAGATCACTGCTGCGTTGCTCACTCAGCATTCCTTATCCAGGCGAGCTTTCGCTGACACGGCCCGTAGAGAAGCCCTGCCATGGCGGCATCCTGGCTGGTGAGAGCGACGCGGACTGCCACGCACTGCACTCCTCCGGGGCTCAAACGCTGTCGTCAAAGGTTGACTGTGCCTCGGAGATGCGGTCGATTTTACTTTGGTCAAGATACATGATCTGAAACTGGCCTGTTGGCTCATGGCAACCTCGCTTGTATCCCCCTGAAAGATGAAATGGGACTCGGGAAAACGATCGAGGTAAGGAATATTGACATCGGCCTCGAGACTGGATTGGAGCACCTTTCTCATCCTTGCATTACCCTGCAGATCATATCCCTCATTCACTCCAACCGCGCAGGGAAGCAACGCTCGGAATCCAGCCACTCGCCTGCCACGCTGGTTGTCTGTCCTTTGAACGTCCTTGCTCAATGGCGCGACGAGATTGAGCGTTGCCTTGGCTCAGCTGGCGATGTGATGGTATATTATGGCAATGAGCGGAAACTCGGTACACACTCATGGCCACTGGTGGTGTAAGTTGATGATGCAGCACAGAGACTGACCGAATGGAACAGTCGAGAGGAGATGGAGATGGAGATGGGGTAGAAGTGCGTGCTGAAACACATTGCATGTAGCCAAGGGTCTCGTGTCGCGAATCCCAGGAGTGACTCGACCAGACCAATCCCACACATGCTGGCTGATCGAAACGAAGGAAGCTCGCTCTTGCACTGCTCACCCTCTTGTCTGCGACAGTCTAACGACATATGGAACGCTATCGAGCGAAATCGACCGAGGTACCTCACCTCTGTACTCTACTGTCTGGTTCCGAATCGTCCTGGGTATGTTGCTGGCCATTTTCTTGCAAAAGCACAGGCGGATGGACTCAATTCAGTCGACCAGGGCTGGCAGACTAAAAGCGAGATCATCACGGTCCCCAACGGCCGCGCAGACGAGGCACATTATATCCGGGAGCGATCGACCAAAATGGCAAAAGCGTGCCACATGCTCTCAGGCATCAATCGGTGGGCAATCACGGGAACACCGATCGTCAATAAGTTGGAGTAAGTCTGCGCCGCATCGTGGTGTTCGTCGGCCGCACACTCTATCGACACTGTCCATCCAAAGCGCGTCGCAGTAACCATGCTGGATATGTATTTGGCACAGAGACTTGTTTTCGCTCGTGCACTTTCTGCGACTCGAGCCTTGGTGTCAGTGGTCGTTTTGGAGAACACACATCTCCGCTCCATTTGCTCTGAAGCAGTCCAAGGCTCTGGAGACTATCCAGACAATCCTCGAGCCAATTCTCTTGCGGCGCACCAAGAACATGGAGATCAACGGCAAAGCAATCGTATCGATGCCGCCCAAGACATGCCACATCAAGCGCCTTGCCTTTTCGGACGACGAGAGACGGATATATGATGATCTCCACATGGTACATCTACCAAAGCCTGGCTTTTGCCGCTAATACGCCTCCCAGCAATGGGGCCGAGTTCTCACGCTCCATCGCACCACAGGCATTCAAGCATCGGCTGTGCTCACTAAGAATATCGGGCCGGCTGAACTATCACTTTGTCTTCCAGCTACTGCTGAGGTGGGTGCCGACACTACACAGTGGGTGCGACGCCGTTTCGCCACTGGCTGGCTTGGTTTCTCTTCGGCATTGACGCCGCAGCATCTCTCATCTAGGCTTCGTCAAATGTGCGATCATCCGCTGCTGCTGCGAAACTTTTTGCGGAATCTTGGCGAAGCTGATGGACAAGGCGGTGTCGGGAGCGATGTCGAGCCGATGCAGCTGAATACCGAATCGCTGCAGCAGCTTCTCTCGAACTACTACCGAGACGGCGGCGGTGGCGGCGAGACCTTTGGCGAAGAAGTGACCAAGGCACTCGAGCGCCAAGAGGAGCAAGAATGTCCGGTATGTGCCGAGATGGAAGCGGTCGGTCGTTGATATGGCAACTCAGTTTGCTTTGGTGACGCTGGGCACCCCGTGGCTCGACTTTTGCTTGATCTGACTCGATATCCTCGGCGTCGTTCCTTTGGGCTGCTGGGATGAAAACTCTGCGTGCCTCGGTGTTGGTCCGGCCAGATTTGCCTGGACACCATAGCGGTGGCAACTATCCTTCCTTGCCTCCACATTGTGTGCCGCACATGCATCGAAGACTATATCCAGGCCAAGCAAGCCCACGGAGAGGAGGTGGACTGGTCTGTAGATTTCCGATTTGATGATCTGCCGACGCATTGGCGTGGGCATCTGTTGATCGTAGTCCGAGCTGCATTGTTGAGCCACTTGAACTGTGCCGCCATCCTCGTACCCATGCCAACATCTTTGATGACACCCAACCACATTATCGATCTCTGTGGCACACTACCACACTGCTGCCATGTACCGGCTGTCTGGCGTCCGTGTCCGTGTCCGCCGCAAACAGCCCTGTATGCCGTCGAGTATACAGCGGAGACCAGATCTCGCAGCTTGTGCAGGCCACCCTGAGTCTCGATGCATCGGAAACCAAAGAAAGCACCGACGAGCGTCTTGACAATCCGGTCGAGACCACTCCGAGCAACGGCCTCAAAACCTCTGCCAAGTTGATTGCGCTCCTTGAGGATCTCCAGCGGATCCGCGACGACGGCTGCGAAAAGACGATTGTGTTTTCCCAGTTTACAAGCATGCTCGATCTGATCCAGACATCGCTTGTGGAACATGGATATTCCGTCGTCAGACTCGACGGCTCTCTGTCGCAGAAGCAGAGGTGGGCGAAGGATCTTGGTTGGCCAAGGACTTGCGATTGCATTTTGCCGACGAAGCGCGGACATGGCGATGCTGATCTTGGTTGTTCTCAACAAGGGAGTCGGTGCTGAAGGAATTCAAGACCAACGACAGCGTCACTGTCCTGCTTGCCAGTCTGCGATCCTCGGGTGTTGGACTCAACCTGACGGTGGCTTCGCGAGTGTTCCTAGTCGATCCGTGGTGGAACGAAAGCGTCGAGAACCAGTAAGCATCGCGGCAATGCAGCGTGGGAGCATCCATGCCGTGCAAACACTTCCACCATCGACAAGCACACCACCCGAACTGACCTGAACCCGCCTCTGTTGCCGCAGAGCCATCGACCGCTGCCACAGACTCGGACAGACCCGGCCTGTCGTCGTTGTCCGATACATTGTCGAGAGCACCGTGGAAGAAAAGATCTTGGCCATCCAGAAGCGCAAGAGCGAACTTGCGGGCGCGGTGACCAACGCGGGCGACTCCAAGATGAACGTCGATGATCTCATGGCGATGTTTGACTGAGCTCGACGGGGCCGTGTGCTCGGCGCGCCAGCCGGACGGATGTCTGAATATACACCGTGCCTGTGCCCGAGAGAAGTGGTGTGCCCCCATCGTCTCTCCGATGCGCTGTCCATCGTTTCTCACAGGCCACCGCCAGCACGGCCGGTCCAGATCCCGGTGGAGGTGCCTTTGTTGGGCGTCTGCTCGCGTGCTGTCGCGCCGGTGGTTGCACGCCGCGCCGGATTTCCTTTTCCGGGGCGGCGGTGTTGCGCCAGCCCGCTGCGCACACAGATCACTGCGCGCAGCAGCACGTCCGCGGGCGGCGCAACAAATACGGGCTCGCGGACGACGTCCAGGATTCAACGCAAGGATTCAACGCAAGGATTGAACGCAAGGATTCCACCCAGGATTCTGCTCTCGACACCGCCGGCCTGCGATCCGAGCCTGCAAACAAACAAGCCGCTGCCACCGACATCCACTCTGCGCTTGCGCATCGATCCGCTCGACTTGCTCGACTTGCTCGCACTTGGACATCGACCTGCTCGCACTTGGACATCAACTTGCCGCAATCCAAGCCCCGTCGCTGTCGCATCCGCTCGCAGTCTCAGGTCCTTTCACGCTTCGCTCGCCTCGGCCATCCTCCTCCAAGCTGCTCCCGCCACGTCGTCTGCGGCGATTCGTCTTTCATCTGCCAAGGCACTCTCCCCACCCAACGATCCGCCCTCTGTCCTGATTCCTGCCGCATGTCGCTCCGGTCAACGTCTCCAATTCTACCCACTGCCGTCTCGCCCCAATGGAGAAGCGCCCCGAGCTTTCCGCGATCGCATCGCAGACGAGTCTCGGCGTCGCCAGGCCACCACTCGCGCCGTCCCGGCAGCATTGGCCATCGGCTCTGGCTTCTGGTTGTGTCGCTGTTCGAGAGCGCTGACGATCTGCGCCGCAAGCCCTCGTCGCCGCTGATGCGCCTGTGGATTCTCCTCCGGAGGCCTCTCGGGCTCGCTTCGTTCTTGGCGCTGCTTTTTATGCTCTGGTCGCTATGGAATGCCGACGTCTACCGGTTCACGGAGCACCATCTGCGGCCCAAGTCGCTCCTCCTGGATCCCGTGTGTCTCGGGTACCAGTCCGCAATGACGTTCTCGACCTTTGTCCAGGGAGGCGTCTCGGACGTCGAGCCCTGCTCCAAGCTCGTTGAGGAAGCCCGCGTCGATCTCACGACCTGGCCGGTCTCCTACAGCGATCCCACCCGCCACAATCTGTCGTCGCTGATCTCGTGCCAGGATGTCGAAGACTGTGGTGTCGAGTGGATTGTGCAGGCCTCGCGCTGCCATCCGTCCCTCAATCGGCTCGCCCAGACGGCCCGCAATCTGGGCGTGACCTTTACTGTCCTGGGGTATGGGCAGCGATACCGAGGCGACGGCCACAACTTCCGGCAGCTCCACGACTACCTGCTCAACCTGCCCAACAACCGTCTCGTCATCTGGACGCATGCCGAAGATATCCTCCTCGTGCCCGGCTGCACCCTCCAGGATATTGTAGATGTCTACCGCCGGTTCGACCACCCCATCGTCATCGGGACCGAGGAGCATTGCTGGCCCGACGGCCAACTCTGGAACAAATACCCGCCCATCAAGCCCGAGATCACTCGGAAGCGGGGAGACACGCCCTACAAGTACGTCAAGTCTGGCGCCTTGATGGGCCCGGCCGGCCTCGTCCGAGGCATGATCAAGACCCTCTACAACAGCGAGTGCGCCATGGAGCAGCGTCTTCTGACCAGCGCTGTCGTCAAGAAATCTGTGTTCTGGCACGGCCGCCCAGACGGCCTCCCTCGGGTGCTCAACACGGAGCGCGGCGAACGGCCCCAGCACGGCGAGGATCCTCGTCCCCTGGTTTCCCTGGATGTCTATCAGGACCTGTTCACTCGGCTCCGAAACATGCATCCCTGGGACTTTGTCGTCGACACCAAGACCAAGCGTGTGCGCACCTGGCTGCGGGACAAGCACATTCCCAACTCGTGCATTCTGCACGAAGTGGGCGGAAACCGCAAGCCAGAGGGTATGCTTATCGGTATTTTGGCCGACCAGCTCGACTCTGCCAAATAATCAGCCAGTGCCTTGGCGTTGGCTGGCGTTGGCCTGATTTGGCTGGCTTTGGCTGGCTTTGGCTGGCTATGGCGAGACTGGCCTGTCCTTCTCTCCGCATCCAACCGCGGCTGCTGCTGCCATGCACAACGCTGGGCTGGCTCAGCCATCGCTGCGTATTCTCTGCTTCCATGCACTTTGCTTCGACCTGCATCAATACACACACACATCCATCAATCTGCGAATGTGCGATCTTTGGAGGTGTAGATGCGATGGCGGCCACCAGAAGTGCAGATCCGTGATATGCAGTATGGTGGCCAGTGCACGACCAGAGAAATCCAGTGGATGGCAGACGATCATGAATCGAAATGCATCTGGCCCAGCGCCGAGGTCCGATGGCCGCAGGGCACCGGGTCGGGGGGGGGGCACTCGGACGCTGTATCAGACGCTGTATCAGACGCTGTATCGGACGCTATATCGGAACTGCGCTGCCCGCTGCGAGGTCCACGGGCTGCACAGTCCTGGCGGCTGTCTCCCATTCCTCTCTGGCGCTGACTTTGAGCCGTTCGGCGCTGTTCTCAAGATCTCTCTCCGGTGCCCACTGCCTACTAGATCTGCAACAAGTTCCCCCATGCGATCTGTCGTGCCCTCTGCCAAAGCCGCGCGAGCTCCCAAGCGAGCATCGCCTGTTCGATCCTCCAGCAGCCAGCGCCGCCCCACTTCGAGTACAGTCATCCGTACAAAAGACCATGGGCATTCGCTCGCTGCTGACACTCAAGCAAACGACCTTGCCAAGCTTGGCGGACTTGACAGCCCCGACAAGCCTGCTGCAAGCCCCCTCAAACCAGCAGCCGACCAACCCGACAGCGAGCCTTGCAGCGAAGACGAAGAAAACATCCCCCTTGCCAACCGCAAGCGATCCGCTCGCCGCTCTCCGCTCTCGAAAGTCGGGTCGCGCAACCGAACCGAAGGCGCCCGCAGAACGGTCAAGCGCCAGCCCGATCGTATTCCCAGGAAACAGTAGTCGGCACACCGGTGTCGATCTCCCCTCTGTACCAATAAACATTCAAGTGGATCTGCATTCCCATGCTCATTTGAATGGCTCGGGTATGGGTCCGGCTTTCCACTTGTCCGCTTGCTCTGGGTGATATCTTCTCATAATACAATCACATCGAGCTCTGTTCGCATGTGCATATGGCAGTTGGAGGGGGGGGGCGCTACTCGTCGTCTGGATTGGATGCCAAATGCTGCTCGATTTCAGACACCTCGCCCTCCATGAGCTTGACTCTGTTGAGGGCCACGCGAGCCAGATCAAGCTTTTGGGCTTTCTTGAACTTGAGGGCGTTGGATTTCTCCCTTGGTATGGCGGCCTTGAGTTTGTCCACATAGCCTGGGGGGTGGGGGCGTAATGGTATCAGTCCCAAATGAATCGGCAGTCCTTCGTACCGGCATTCTTGACAAGAATATCCACCATCATAACAACAGCGACAGCCACGTACCCTGCATCGTCAGCGACCCACAGCTGACGAGTGTGACAATCATATCCATGCGCATCTCAAAAGATTGCAGTCGGAAGGTCAGGTCCTCTGGCACAGACTTGCGCTGTGACTTGATCTTCAAGATCTCCTCCTTCATCTTTCCAATCTCTGTCTCGAGAACCTGGTTCGACTCAATGTTCTCGGCGCTATCGCAATACAGGCAAGGTGGGTCAAGGGGACGGAGAGAATCACCAGAATTACCGAGTCAGCGATTCAGCCAAATGAGCCAGGCGATGGTATGGGCTCCTATGTGCGTGCGGCTGTGTGAGGAGCCAGAACAGCAGTCATGTGCTCACATGAAGAATTGCATCTCGAGCTCTTCGATATCTTCTTCCGCCGGCGGCTTGGGGCCGGTGGCTTCGGTCGGCAAGCTGGGCTTCTCTGCAGGGAGGGGAGCAGCGGCTATGCGAGGAGAAGCTGCAGGGGTCTGTCCAGACGGCTTGCTGGCAACCTGCGGAGTCTGAAGCGTAGGCGACGGGACAGGCGGCCTGGCTTCGATCGGGCTGACCGAGCGAGGAGGAGCTATAGCCACAGCCACAGCCACAGCCACAGCCGCAGTCGCAACCGAAGCCGGTGCGAGGGGGACCGCTGCCGGCACTGCCGTTGTTGCGGTAGGAGTGAGGTCCAAGCTGACCCAGCGCTCGGTTTTCTTGAGGATGTCAGGCTTAAGCAGCGGTGCTCGAAGGCGAATGCGGATTTCGAGACGCCCGCCGACTTCCTTGCGCGGATTGTCCGGATCGGTGAGCTGCAGGGCAGGAGAATCGAATCAGGCTTGCTTTTGAGGAAGCAGATCCGAGGCCACCACCATGGAAGTAACAGCGACGATGGCAATGGCAACATCGTGGTTCTGCCCACGCCCACGCTCCCGCTTCAAGTGTCGCATGACGTCAACCCGAGCCCGCCAAAGCCGTACCTGCAGAACCTCGTGGATCTCTGACTTGCCCGTGAGAGCTTTGTACTCAACCGAGGCTCGACCCAGGGCAACTTTGTTTGAGGAGAACAGCGTAAATCCCTTGTGGTGGAAGACCGTGAAGCTGGCTTTCTTGCGCTCGACAAAACGCATAAAGTTGCGATTCTTGCGATCGATTTTGATACGCTTCACAAAGTTGTAGGTGGGACTGGGGTTTTTCTTGATGGGCTGGCCGGTCTCGCCCTTGGCCTCGGGGGTCGGATTGCCGCCGTTGTCGAGGGGCCAGCCCAGGTCGTAGGCCACAAAGCTGTCAATGTCGGCGCTGGCAACGTCCTTGCTCCCGAGGTCAAATGCCCGCACGATCGAGACCTCCATCTCGTCGAGAGGGATCTCTGCAAACTCTTGACGAATCTCGTAGCTGACGGTTGAGTATACGAACCGCGGGAGCTGAATCGAGGCGCCTGATGATGTGGCCTTGAGCACACGCAGGGTTTCGAGGTCTCGCACAGACTCCTTCTTTCGCTTGTGGAATTCCAGCGCCCCAGTCTTGTCGCCCGTGCGATAGTACGAGCCAGACACCTTGGTGCAAAGCTCGATCTGGGCGGCAAGCTGGGTCTCGAGATGCTCAATGACATTCGCGGTGTCGGACAGGGCTGCCACCGGAGACGATTCCATGAGCTCCTCATACGTGATGGTTTCGTGCGAGACACTTGCGGCAGGCCTAGGCTTCCTGGCTGCGGGGGTGGCTATCGCCGGCGTCGCGGCAGACTCGCTGGGAAGGAGCGACCGAGAGGGACTTGGAGCCTCGCGAACGGAATTGGCAGCACTCGATCCAGAAGTAGCGGCGACAGTGGGCTTGGGCAGCGTGCTGGGATGCGGCGGCATCTCAAAATTCGGAGGCAGGTCGCCGCCGAGTCGCAGCGAGGCCAGCACTCTCTCGAGATTGACTGAGACGGCGACCAGCTCGCGAGCACGGGCCATCTCGCCGCCCTTCTTGGCTACCAGCGCATGCTGCTTGTATTCGAGCTGGCGCTGCTCGAGAACCTGGATGGATGTGTTGGTGGCTGTTGGCTGCACCGATGCCGTTGATGCTGGGCCGACCGACTTGCGCACCGTTGCGGCAGGAGTAGCGGACACTGACAGGGCATCGATCTCGGCAGCTTCATGGGCATGGGCATGGGCATGGGCATCGAGCAAGCCATCGTCGCCGTTGCCAGACTGCGGGTGGCCGGAGATTGTGTGGCCGAGGTCGGAGCCGCCGAGACGGGCGAGTTGGGCCTGGAGGTTCATGCATGGTCGCCCTGATTGTTATTGCGATGCCGATATGGACAGAAAAGCGGGAACGCACGCACCAGACCACGGCTGCGTCACTCACGAGAAGCTCTGGATCGTTCAGGTCGTCTTCCGTCACTTCGACATCGACGTCGTCGTCCGTGGCAAAGGCAGCGGCGCCCGTTTCCATGGCGCGGCGGATGAGATCATCGGGGTCGTCATGAACCGAGGATGCCGGAGGCTTGTTGGCTGCGGGTTGCGGGGCCGGACGAGGTTTGGTCGGTGGTTTCGGGTGGATTTCGGCCGAGAGAAGCTCCAGCTCTCTCTTGAGCGGGATAGCACGGATTCACGGGGGGGGGGTTAGCAGTGCTGGTATTGGTGGTGGGAAGGGGGAGAAAGTTGACAAGAGAATCGCCCTGACATAACGGACGGGACAGCGAGCGGACGGTGCTAGGTACCAGCAGTTCAGGGTCATTGAGCTCGGCGTCGCTGAACTCGTGGACATCGAGATCGATCTCGGGAGTGTTGATGTCCATTGGAGGAGGAAGCAGCACGATGAGATATGCGATGTGATGCGATGCGACGAGATGCGATGCGACGAGATGCGATGCGATGCGACGAGATGAGCGCCAAGGGACGCCGCGGACGCTTGCTCGGACAGGCCACGGGACGATCGATGCTGCAGCCGCCCAGATGGACGAATGCGGGACACGAATTCTCAACGACAACTGCAGTCAGTCTCTGGAAACACTGGTTGCCATGACAGGCGGTGGACGGGGGAATAACGACGGATTTAACGACGCTCAGGCCAGGGTGTACATTTCGACTCTGATACGCGATCGAATGGTACATCCAACACCTTTGGTGATATATACATCACATTCCGTGGTACATCCTTTCCATTCAACATCACATCGCATTCCGTGGTATATCCTTTCCATTCAACATCACGACATCACATTCAACATCACATCGCATTCAATCGACACGACATCCCACGCACCCCCAAAGCACCGTCGCTCGCCCCAAACACATTCCGCAGCCCGAACACAATCACGAACGCAACCACGGCATGATGTCCCACGAGACCTGCTTTGGCATGCAAAGCCGCCGCCCCATCCACCCATGTGGGCCGTCGTTGATCCGCCCGTAAGACTGCGCTGCTGTCCTTGCTCGCCGTCAATTCTTCTTGCTTGCGCCAGCCGTATTCCTTCTGGCTTCGTCGCGCTCGTCTCGCCCATCGCCCCGCATCCATCCACCTCCCGTCCGGCGAACACCCCCACAGAACCTCATCAATTCATCGTCGCCGCTGGCTCTCCACACGACCTCTTGTTGCAAAACTCCCCAAACCATATCCCTCATCTGCCCCCAGCCCAAGCATCCCGACTCTCAGTCTTGCCAGACATGAGCCCCCAAGAGCCCTCCCCTCTGGAGCTGCCTTCGCTGGACCTTTTCGGCCAGGACATGCCCATCCTCGGCCCCACGACATCCGTCGTGCACGAGTCGCTCTGGGCACTCCCGGATGTTGTGCTCTTGCGCATCCTCATGTTCTTGGAGATGCCGTCCAACTTCACGGCCTCCTGTCGACGCATCCGCTACTTGTCCAGGTACACCGCCGGTCTCAGCGCTGTCCCGGGCCCGCCTGCCCACCTGCCCGCCTCCCAACCAACCCTCCACAAGCAGCCCTGCATCCTTCGCTCAGCGCCCTGTCAATCCATCTTTCCCACTCCCCGATGCCTATGACGCCTCTGATCCTCCCGACGCACTTGGTGTGCATCAACCACGTCCAACCTACTCTTCGTCGGCCATCGCCCTCCCACATCCCGCTGCCCTTCCGCCACCGCCGCTTTCAACCGTTTTCCCCCAGCCAGCACCGAATCTTTGTTCGCCTGTCTCGATCCTGCCATCGCCGAGCATTCGGACCTTGATTGCCTGCTCGCGTCTCTCGTGCTGACTCTGCTGGCTCTGTCCGCTTCCATAGATCCGCATCCGTCAAGGGCCGATGGCTGCTCCTTCATCCCAGGCAAATGGCCGAATGGATAGGGGCCACATGCTCCCCCAAAGCCGCCGGCTTCTTCAACGCCAAGATCCTCATGTTTCTGTTTCGGTATTCGCAGCGGTTCATGCCCTCATACCAGAGCACGTCTTTCCTCAAGCCGATCGATGTCTCTGGCGCATACCCGTCCATCACGCCGATATCCATCGTCAACTGCATCTGGAAAACCGCCGTCTTCAAAAAGTACCTCCACGTCATCAAGGCCATCGTCGAGTCGTCGTATTTGCAGATCATCACCTTCGAGACCCTCAACCAGACCTTTACCGACGCCATCCGAGCCGACAACAGCACGATCCTGACTTTCCTTCTCTCAAAGCCGACCGTCTTTGCAGCCTTCACGAACGACAACTGGCGAGCACATCTCCTCTGCGCCATCGAGCACAACAAACCTCGCATGTTCCAGATCCTCCGCGACCACGGCCTTCCCCTCGGCGCCGGGTGGACCGGCAGCGCTCGCCAGGCGATCGTCTCCCAGAGCTGGGGCATCGTCAAGCTCCTCGCCCCGTCGCTCCCGGACTTTGAGACCGTCGAGCAGTGGTCCTCTGGCGCTTCGTCGGCTGCCACGGCGGGTCGCCGGGATGTCGTCGAGCTGCTCTTCCGCCACATCAACCCCGCATGGCCCCGAGAGACGATCGAGGCCACCTGGAGCACTTGCGTCGACAACGCCGTGCAAATGTCGCAGATTGGCGTTCTCACGTTTTTGGTCGAGCATTCGCTCGGGGCACTCAACCGCTATCGGATCCAGCCCTCGTCGCTCTCTCAGGCGATGGAGCACCACAACATCAAGGCCATGGAGAGGCTGCTCCTGAATCGCGAGCTGCACTCGGAGCAACTCCAGACCTTTATCCACTCCGAGTCCCTCCTCCGGCTCTGCAAAGAATTTTCCCTTGGCCGTGCAAAGATCCCGCAGCAGCTCCGCCTCGAGATGGCCCGGATCCTGATCCAGGTCGGCGGCGTTGACCTCGGCACCGCGACCGGCGGCATGGCCGTCCTCGAAGCCATGGCCGTCGCCGACATCGAAATGGCCGACTTTTTGATGCAGCGGGGCGCCTCTGTTCACGTCCTTTCGGCCCTGCAGGTCCACACGACCTTTGTCCGAATCATGCATGAGCCAGACCTCTCAATCGAGCGCCTGGCGACTTGCATGTCCCGGATCCTCGAGATATGTCCTCAGTTCAGCGAGGCGCTCGGGCTGCACGACAACGAGATCCTCGAGAAGGCCGTCGCCGACGGACACATGGCTGTGGTCAAGGTGTGCGTTCGGCACGGCTGTGACGTCGCTGCTCTGAAGCCATCAACGCTCACGCAAGCCATCGAAAGCTGGAACCACACTCTTGCCGAGTATCTGATTGAATGCGGCGCCACGATGACCTGGAAGGACTGTATCCAGCTTGAAACAATCTGCCGACGCCTGGGCACACTTGAACCGGCCAATCCTACACCTTTCAACAAGACCGATGTCTCGAGCTCTGGCGCAAATCCCACTCCCGATCAAGGCGCATCCCTGGACTCCGGCGCCGACGCGACATCGGCTTCTGGCCCGTCTCTGGCGGACTCTGCAGTGTCCATGAGCCGCGAAAACAGCCTCGACCGTCTGGCGTCGCCTGCCGAACGCAGCTGCAAGAGAGTCGAGTTCCTGAAAGAACGGCTCCGTGCAATGACCGGGTTGGAGCTGGTGGAGGCCGTCACGACTTGTGCCGAGAGCGGCTTTGTCGAGATACTCGAGGTCCTCCTGGCCGAGGGCGATGTGGAGTCTGCACTTGTCAGTCCCGACGTGAAGCAAGCGCTTGCCGCTCTAGTGGTTTCGCTGTGCCAGTTTTCCGTCTACCGGGTCTCGGAACGACACGGCAAGTTCTCGTCCTCAAGGAGCATGCAGAACCACATGGACATTATCCACAGCCTTTTGCAGCACAGTGCAGGGCTCTCTGACGATCAGACCATGTCCGCTGTCCTCGGGGCCCTCGATCTTGGCTTTGCCATCAATCTGTTCGAGTGGCTGATCCAAACTCGTTCCAAAGCGACTGCATCCACTGGTGATCGTGCCGGCGACGATATGAACCGGCTCATTTGCCAGTTTTTGATCAGCCAGATCAAGGAGAGTGTCTGCCAGCATGCCGTGACCGAGCTCGCACCCACCCTGGAGACTCGGACTCCCGGCGACGCCGCCAAGACCTCCGATTCAGAAGTCAAGCCCGTCATTGTCGTGCGGGTGAGCACGCACCGGCCGCACATCGAGCAGCTCAAGGCGATTGCCAACCGGTTCCCTGAAGCGCTGTTTTGGAACAAGTACGAGCTCCTCCTGAATGCCGTCAAAGCCTCGGACGAAGAGATCGTCGACTGCATCTGCAAGCACCCCAACTTTGACGTCAACCACCCAGCGGTTGCCGAAGCTCTGGTCTTGGCCCGCGACCACAACAAGTTTGATACCTTTTTCCAGCTCTCCAACGCTGGCTGCAAGCCCCCGAGCTGGTCCGACACAGCCAAGATGAACGAGCTTCGGATTGCACGCGAGCGCTCCTTCGAATCCCTCGGCAGCAACAACAACAACATCGGCTTGTCGCCTGGATCTCGCTCCTCCCGCAACCTGCGCCACGCTCTCGGCCGCAATCTATCCCCGAGTGGATCGCGATCCTCCAGTCCCGGAGGCATCCCCATGTCTCGGCGGCGATACGGCGGCAGCGCCAGCAGCCATGGTTCCTCGCGCAACCTCTCCAGGAGCTCGTCTCATTCGTCGCTGAATAAGGACGAAGCGGAGCGAATCCCGTCTATCGCCGGAGCTGGCAGTGAGGACCTCTGTCAGCCAAACGCATCGGAGGCACCGAGTCTGGATCCAACTTTTGTCGCCAGCACCTTCTCTGGCTTTACATTCCGGGCCGAGCAGGTGACGCTCTAGATACACGGGTAGGAATCGGTACCTGCGGTCGAGCAACCCAGTTGCGACTCGGCAAGGATGACCTGCGATCATCAAATACCTCGTATCTGACGGCGCTCGCACGTCCGAGTTTGGTACCAGTTTTTCCACACACAAGAGTGGCTCACTGTATATTTATATCCCCATTGCGGCGCCATGTTTCGCACTTATTTTGGCCTTCCCCCTTTCTTCCAGGCTGTCTTTCCTCCCCTCTCCCCTCCTCCACTCCCACCAGTTGTTTTTTGGTACCGCATGCAGTGCCCCCCCCCTTTTTTTTTGTGTCCAGCCTCACTCCCTCCCCAGCACCACATTTTTGATTCGCACATGCTCGTTTCCTCGCTCTCACTCCCACCCCTCCCCCTATTTACAGAAAGTTGCTGGTTAGAGGACCTCTCGCTCAGCTTGCATATCTATGCAACCTCTTGCAATACACGTCTCCTGTATACAGCGCTCTCAGGGGAACGGCGAGAGGTGGCCCGGTCGAGCCGGTCGAGCCGGTTGAGCCGGTTGGTTGGCCGAGGTGTCGCTGCTGTCCGGAATCCTGGGCGAACCGAGCAACCAGTAGTCACTTCATGCATGTCATCCATGGCCGGCGGTCATGAGATGGCCGCCAGAGCGACCGGCCGTTGGAACAGGGCGGGTGTCCCCGGCACGGCACATCGATTTGATTTGCGCCCCATCGCCCGACATGAATCGGTGCAGCGGCAGGCACGGCGACCTTCATCGATAGCATCATGTCCGTCGGGCGAGCCAATCCCCAAAGAAGCCGCCTGCAGCTGTCAGATGACCCTCGCCTTCGTGTTTCTGATCCCTGGCGCTTTTCTTGCTTCCCATCGCACACTGCTGCCATCGTTCCATCGCAGTCTCGCTCTCTCTCTCCCTCACCTCCAGCCGCTTGCAGACATATTCTGGCCTCTTGCTGCAGCCGCATCAGATCGTATTCGTTCTGGGATTATGGAAGACCAGGACGAGCCCGTGGTGGAGGTATGTTTGGGGTGGGTGGGTGGATAATGGTCGAACCAGTCCAGCCAGCAACAGCCTCTCCCTCACGGCTGGGCTGGCCTGGCTGGATGGATGGTTAGATGGATGAGCGGGCGCCTGTCGATGGATTCCCAACCACATCAGCCCTTCCAGCACCGTTTGCAGCTTCTAAGCACATATGCCGTCCTATGCCGTTGCGGACACAGTCGACTCTCCATACTCAGCGGCCGACGGTTGCTGCCGATGACCTCCGGGTCGTCGCAGTCCTCATCAAAAACCCGCACATGTTCACCCGGTCCGAGCACGACAAGTGGTTTCTACGGCGCCTGCTCCGTCCCCTCTCTCTGGCCGAATTCAAGGTATGTCTGCGGCAATGTCCCATCCCCAAGGCTCTGAGCGGGAGGCCGAGCGGCCCAAGAGAGTCGAAGCCCACCGGCCTAGTTGTGCTCGCGGTCGCCTCGTCGTGTGGCTCGATATCTGGGCGAGCCATCGACGGCCTTTGGCAGAGATGGCAGGTGCATAGCGCCGAAGAATTTGGAGAGGATTGTGTATTTGTCGATGCATTGTGTTCCTCCCGTCCCTCCCGTCCCTCACTCGCAACCATCGGGTGCTCCGGGTGCTCATTTTTCGCAACCGCTGTGGTGTCCCTCGATCGTCCAGGGTGAAGACATGACACTGCTCGACGGCTCTCTCAACGACCACTTTTTCGAGTGGTGCAATCCGTTTGTCTCGAATGCGGTCCGAGAGACGACCAAGCGGCTCGTCGACCGTCCGTCGAGATACAACCTCGGGACTGGATCGGTGGGGCCCACGAAGCTCTACCGCCTGACGCCGCACACCCGCATCTACACGTTCGCAAAGAAGTATCGCATGGTCTTTGTCGTCGACGTTAGTCCGTCCATGGCTGTGGTGGATATCGTTGGCAAAGCCAACGTGCTGATGGCGGCGGCCTATGAGACGTGAGTTTCTGGCCACTCAGCCATCCGTCCTGCTCCATTCACGCTCTCCAGTGCCCATTGCATTTACGCATGCATCGGCCAATGTGTCCTCGGTTATTGTATTTACGATTTATTGTATTTACGGCTTGCTATTCCTTCGGCCTGTGTGGCGCCCCCTGGGATCTCATGCGATGGATCTTCAACCGCGCCCGGATAGCCTCTGCAAATGCCTCGACGGAGTCACTCGGGACTTTCACATCGACAGCCAGTTTGGCGGATCAAAAGTGGTGGTAAGGGTAAAGCTGTCTTCGGGGCAATGGCGATACATGATTTGTTCTGGAGTGGGATTTGCACAGTGTACATAGCGGTGCCCCGGTGCATGGGGCTATCCAGCCCCGCGACATCCGAATGAAGATGCGAGCCGCAGACAACTTTGTCCTCGCTTCTCCCCAAACTCACAAGCGCTCTGCCCCCGCTCAGATCTCCCCGGATATTTATATCACTGTCACTGCAGACTATGGCATTCTAAACCTGCCGCCATCAAAGTACCCTCGCCTGTCGACCTTCAATGCCACTTTCCCATTCCGTGTTCTTCTGCAAGATGTCAAGATCACTCGCGACAACTTCACGTCGATCTGCAAGCAGCTGCATGACGCCATTGATGCCTTCGAGTGCGAGTTTGTTTCAATCCGTCGCGAAGATCAGAAAGCCGCGAAGCTGCCACAGACACAAAGTCAGAAAAAGGACTCCGAGCCCGCATATCCGCCTCCCACTGCTTCAGAATCCCGAGGCAGTGCCGGCGTGAGCGAGTCGAATCCACGCTCAAAGGACTCAAAGGACTCAAAGCCCAAAGCGAAGCCCAAGCGCAACGAGGGCCAGTTCTTTCGCATCCTCGAGCACAGCCTCTTTGCCCTTGGACTGCTCCCAGAAGACTGTATGCCGGCCATCGTGGTGATCACCGACGGCGTGCTTGCGACCTCGGGCTTTGGCGACCCAAGCAACATGAGAATATGCCGCCAGGTCGTTCGCCAGAACGTTGCGTTCACCATCATCCAGGTGGGCTCTCCCGAAGGGTTTACCCCCAGCGTCAACTTTGGCCATGTCCCCGACAACGAGTTCCTCCGGTTTCTGGCCTCGGCTACCTCCGGGCGCCTGCTCTACGGAGAGGACTGCCAGTACATGAACGAGAAGTGCGGCGAAGCTCCACCAAACTTTTACCATTTCCAGTTGCTGATGCGAGAGATGTTCCTCCCCAAGATCAGCGTTGGTGCACACCGAAACGTGTACGGCGGCTTGAACGACCGCTCCATCGATGTTCCCAGGAGCATCGTCTTCCTCAGCGAAGATCAAGTCGAGCCCTTTACCCCAGCCAACCAAATCTTCCCGTGGCTATCGTCGAGCCAGGCCCCGCCCTCAGCCCAAGCCATGTGGACCCACGCCAAGTGGGGCGTGCAGTGCACGCTTGACCGCCTCATCACCGTGCGCCTGCTTGAGGGCTTTGTCATCAAGGGCATGCGCATCACCGACCGAGTCATGAAGCCCCGCAAGGTTGAAATCACACTCTTTTTGCCGTGGCTGCCCGGCATCACCATTCTGTACACCATCAAAACCCAGTGGATCGATACCAGCAAGCACATTCTCTTTGGCACGTCCGGCCCCAAGCCGCACGACATTGAGCTGCGCTTCATCACCAACCACGAGTTTTTCAAGACCTGGATGTCGATTCAGAGCGTCGATGAGTCGCGAATCAAAGCCCACGAGCGGGTACAGCACGATAGAGCAAAGAGCCTGGCGGCATATGCCAAGCAAATGTCAAAGATGGACGAAATGATGCAAGTCGTCACGTCTTTCAACGCAAACTCGGCCCTCAATTCCCTCAACCGCGCCGAGCGTTACATATACGACATGTCCTCTGGCTCCAGCCCCAGCCGCGTGGTCGGACAGCAGTACAACGTGCTTCAGCCGAACGACGCTGTAGACAACACCGTGACGTTCTGGCGGTATCTGACCACCGTCATTTCACGGCGCTCGTCGTCGTTCGAGGAATGGGAGTGCAGCGTCATTCTCCTGTCGAGTCAGCCGTACTCACCTTTGGGCTCTGCCGGAGACCCAGCTCGCACTCTCGCCTTGCGGCGCGCCATTGCCTTGGACACGCTCAACACATTTGTGTCAAGGGGCTGGGGCTCGTTTGGCCTCGATCGCTCGGTGCACATCCGACTCATCCATGCGGACGACGAGAATCGTGACGGGCGACAATCCTCAAGCGCGACCGGATTCTGTCTGCTACAGCTCGGAAGCACGACCGAATGCACGTACTCGATCCGTCTTTCGTTCTACAGCGTCGAGCCGCGAACCTGCCGACGCCTGGTCAGCGATATGATGAAGGCGCTCTGGGAAGCCTCGGGTGGCCAAGGCACAAACGTCTTCCCGCTCGTGCCCTGCCACCGACCGCTGCGCCAGATGATTATCCGATATCGCCCAGATCCTCCTCCGGAGAGTGCCGACGCTCATCCGAAAGCAAGTCAACACACGCATCCTCCGAGCAGCAGCGACGTGCCCACTGCCTCTGGGGGAAACCCCGGCGGTCTGTCCCTGACATCCAAATCCTTCTTGAGCGGGTACTTGCGCCACCAGCGCTGGACTTGGTACGGCGATGCATCCCACGCACAGACTGGTGCGTCCAAGTCCCATTCGACCTTGGATGTGATCTACCAGATCCTGTACGCTCAGCGTGTGTCGGAGGGATTTGCCCCAGTCCATGAGGCCCCGAGCACTGTGACATTCTACAAAGAACACCAAGTGAGCGCAGAGATCAAGTGCAAGGAAAAGCAGCATTCCGAAAAGTCCGCGCACTCGCAGCACTCGCAGCACTCAAGCAAGAGCCGAAACCCGCATCCCTTGGAACAGCTCGAGAACTGCGCGCGCCAAAAGATGTGCGCAGTGCAATATGTGATTGCCAAGGACTATGCCCAAGGCAGACTCCTGGCGGAGGCTTGGGTCGAGCCCGTGAACCAGATAAAGCACACCCTCGCCACTAACTCGGACGGTGAAATCAAAGTCCGGTTCGAATTTATTGAAGTCAGCCAGCAGATCATCGATTACCTCACCAAGGTCGACTGCAAGCTCGTCAGCCAAGTCAACACCTTCAACCAGCTCGTGCGCGTTGCCAAGGAAAAATCATCGAGAGTTGAACACGAAGGCAGGCGGCGAAGTGTCGAGGGCGACCACGCAGCCAACGCAACATCGGACCATGCCCTATCGACGCTGCTCTATTCGTCCGCGATCGAGACCCGCGCATTCAAAGTGCCCGTCCTGGTGACCGATGAAGTGACCGTGGTTGATTCCGTTGGTGCCTCTCAAAACAGCATCAATTCGAGTGAATTCAAGAGCTCCCACGTCTGGACGGATAGGCGATACGGAACAACGGACATCCGAATCCAGCACTCGCCTCCCCGGGCCAGGTCGACAACAGACTTGGCTAGCTCGGGCGCGGATCGACCCGGCAGCTCGGACTACTCTCGGTCCAGCTACCGCTCAGATCCTTTCATCCAACAGTCCTCCAAGGAAATATCGAACGATATGCTGCACAGATATTTCACTGAAGCCCTATCCTCAATAGCCGATACAGAGATTCATATTTCCGACCAGGGCATGGTGTTGCCGAAAAAGGGTGCGCTCTCGGACCCAAACGAGCATGACTTCCAAAACTATATACGCAACTTCATCCACAAGAATATGAACAGTCCGAACGCTTTCCTGGTGCGGCCGCTGAAACAGTGTCGAGTCTTTATCAAGAGCTCGTCCGCCAATGCCCTCCAGGTCATCATCGTGCCATTGTACCACACTCTGCCGACCAGCGGGCCCATTGGTCTCGACAAAGCCAAATCCGGGTATGGAATGAAAAAGTCCTCCAGCAGCGACAACATCTCGCAGACGGCGCCATCGCCCACAAACCCGGTGTCTCGTGAGAATAACGACATCGAGTACTTTACCGTAACGATGGCAGAGTGCGTGCGGCCGAGCGCCGTCACGGAGGGACCGGCGCTGTTGTGGCGATCGACGTTCCAGTCCCTCTCGCTTGAGCCTCCTCTGTCCAAGGCGGATCGATCCCAGGTGCACTTGTCTAAGGCTACTCAGTCCGATGTGGACCTGTACTCGCTCCGCGTCCGGGGGGCCGAGCGCTTCTCAAATCCCGATATCTATAACGAAGAGCTCGCAGGTCTGCTGATTGTCGATGGCGCTCCCAAATCGGTCATGTCAAAATCCTCCAGCTCCACCCAGCATGGACAAGGCAGCAGTCACAGCCGCCAGATCCGAGGCGGGACATCAGATCATATCATCAACAATACCGCCTTCACCAACCGCCTGAATAGCTGCTTCCTGACGTCTTTCTGCAAAGTTGTCTATGCCAACCTCCTCCAAGGATATGGAATCCAGAGCTCGGACTGGCGAAAAGTGCTTACGCCGCTCTCCGAGGTTTGGACCGACATTGACATAACGGACTATCTGCACGTACGCACGTCCAAGCTTGTCCCAGCAAACAGGTATGATGCCGTGCTATGTTGCGCTGTGCGGTGCAGTACGGTGTAGTGTGGTGCTGCATCGATGTGTCAGCGGTGCTTTGTCCTCGACCCCATTGCGGGATCGCAGCATTCGGTGGATATGACAGCGGACTGCCAAAGCTACATCGGCTGCTGACGACTGCCTGCCGATGCTTTCCTGATGGACAGAGAGGCAAACGAGTTGATTGAAGAAATCATCAATGCCACAATCCTGCCGTACTTCAAGCACGTAGGCTCGCAAGTCAAGGATACGGACATTTACTACTACAGGCCCTCGGCAAATCAAGGCCGGCATCGTACCGCCACGCCGACAGACCACCACCACTCCGGTCGGCCTGGCTATATACGCATGCCGTCCCAAGGCACCCCCATGCCGAACAGCCCTGCAGCCGGGATCGGCCCGGGCCGAGTAGACCCGTCCGAGCACATTTTTGAGGTAGCAAAGACCCCTCTCTTCCTGGCGGTGTCGCGCTCGACGGCCCGCGGCACGACTCGCATCCCGACCCGCGACAACAGCTCGCCGAGCGAGATGAGCTCTCCAATGATACAGATGGATCGCTCGCGAACAACATCGGGCGACTCTTACGCTAGCACAACAGCGTCCCCCAAGCCCAAGCTCGTGGAGGCCTCCCGGACGTGCCTTCGACTCAACTGTCTGGGGCTCACGGCCGAATCCATTGGGGAAGACTATGCACAGACAGCCCGATACTGGTCAGAGTACGTATCGAGATCGATAGCCGGGGGCGGATTGGCTGCCAAGCATTGCTATCGCCAGTCGACGCTACGGCGGCGGTTTGGCTTTTGCGACTGACTCTGCTGTATCGTAGCTCCCACATCACGTTCGAGCAGCGATGCTCCGAGTCACTCTTGGTGTCTGAGGAACAAAAATCAGGAATCGCAAGCATGATCAGCCGAATCAAGAACCATCTCGAAGAGGAAACGCTGAACTGCCTGCTATCCGTGGAACCCATCGAGCAGCACCACATGGCGACCGTCGAGCACCTCCTGCAGCGGCGCCAGCGCGATGAGCACATGGCAAATGACCCTGCCTCGCACGACTACCTGGTGACGTTCCCGCTTTCCTTTGTCCGGATCAAAGGCGAGAGCGCTCTGATCGACAAATCAGACAGCCCAGACCGGTCCTCCAAGGGTATCTCGGAGCTTTTCCTGGAGGAGTTTGTCAAGATCCCGCTCCCCAACTACATTATCGTACCATACAAGGAAAGGGAGCGCGACACGGAAAAGTTCTTTATCCTTCCCAGCCAGCCCTCGGAGAATGTTGGTCTCGGCATCAGTCTCGGCGATGACTCTGCGCCCTTGATCGAAAGCAGAAGCCGCCAGTATTGGCTGATGACATGGCTCCGGGGCAACGATCTCGTCATCCAGTTCTTCTCCAAGACTGTATCTGCCCTCGAGCGCGAGCCGTCGATTGAGCTCGTGAAGGATGCCGCGCTGCAGAGCTGTGAGCGAGCCAACCGTCTTATGTTGCTGCACAAGCTGGATAAGTCTCGCTACGCCATGTAAGTTTGGAAGGCTTGCTGCGGACGCACAGAATGAGTCGGGGAGTGCATATCGCCGGGTCGAAGTGCATGTTCTCTTTCGATTCCATGTGCGCATTTGCGATAGCGCAGACGAGACCCCGGGTCGTATCGGGCCCAGCTCGCGACGCAATGTTGGTTCGGCATTGACTTTCCGACTGCCCGGCGACGTCGGACTATTTCCGGCACTGATGTGCATTTCCGGTTTGCTTTGCATTTTTCTCAATGGGTGCAACGTGATCAGCGATGCGCTGATTGTCCCAAACAGCATCAATGCCGACGATGATTCAGAAGACGACCAGTGGGAGCTTGAGGGCGAGCCTGCTGAGCCCGGGCGATATTCCTGCGACAAAGTCTGGAGCTCGTCGTTCAGCCTCCATCCCCGTGTGTCTCCTGTCAAGGCGCTCGCATATCTGTCTCGTGCTCTCCTCGGCATGGCCATCTCGAACCGCAAAAATATGTTTGTCTACCAGGCCAACAACTCGTACTACTACATTTACATCAGGCAGGACGACAATGGGCCGGCCAGTACCCCCATCCTGATGGCCGAGGCATCGCCCAAGCCCATCCCCATCCAAGACGCCGGCTATCGAAGCCGAACCACCAGCACCGTGAACCTCGATTTGGTGCGCCGTCCATCTGTCCAGGGCAAGAACCAGGCGGCGCACAGTATCACGATCGAGATGTACGGCGTCGATGAGCTCCCGGCCGAAGTCATCAGCTCGCTGACGGAGATGGTGACGGGAAGACTCTACCAAGCCATCCAGACAAACCTTGCCCCCGTCTTGACCCGCAACTCAACCGCCAAGCTTGCCCTGAGCGACATGGAGTTCCTGATGCCGATCGCCAGCGGCCCGGCCAAGAGACAGATCTTCACCATCCCACAGAGTGTGAAGAATCCTTATCTGTACTTGCTCTATCTGCGACAGAACCTCCGCAAGCTCTTCCGCAACCTTCAGTCCGGCGAGCTGAACGACTATCTGGAGCACTATTACAAGCAAAGCCACCACAAGCTCAGCCAGAACGAGTCGCCATCGTCAGAGTACCATACGAGATTCGATGAGATCAATTACAGCGACCTGGCATTTGCCTACACACCGGCAGACGAGTCTCATATCACCGCGTTTGAGAAAGAAGTTGGCACCGGCATTGCCGTCATTACGCTGGCACTGATAAATCCCGAGGGAGAGATTGTCAAGCGCATCGCTGTTGACCCAAGCTACAGCAATATCGGCTTCTCTGGGGCACTCATCTACCTGTCGACCTTTACGACCCATGTTGCGGACACCTGGAGCGGGTATTGTATCCTCACTGAGATCTGGACCCACGGCAGCATTCAAACCGAGCCACTGTTCAACAAGCTCGCATCGGGCTTCCAGAACACACTGCTGGACTACTTCACCGAAGTTGCTGTCGTCAAGCTCTCCAACAGCATCCAAAGCCGACCCGGCCGCCAGCCTGTGGACCTTGATGATGACGAGGCCTCTCCCGACGAGAGCTTCAGTCAGTGCAACTTTGGCGAGGTCTACGAGCAGGTCTGCGGAAGCCTGAGTCGGTCGTCGCACTCTGGCAATCCATCGGTGCAGGAGCTCATCTATCCACTGAGGCTCAACTCGCATATGCTGGAGCAGTTCGTGACCGAAATCAACGAAGTGCTCAGCAGCCCAGACATCCAAACCGCACCGGTGGTGATCTCGCGGTTGGCACCGGGTTACGGTGAGCGTGAGGCCAGCACCCGGCGCTCGCCCACATATACGCTTTACAGCTCCAACCGGATGCACGACTACCTCTCCCGGAGCCCTGGCAACAGCCTGAACCCATCCGACCCGACCTATATCTTGGTGGCCGGCCTTTCGCCGCTGACGACCTTGTGCAGCGGCAGGCCCGTCCAACAACAACAGCTGCAGCAGTCTGCGACCGATCGTCGCAATTCGTTTGCATCCGAGTCCTCGCACACGGGCACATACCGAAAAGGACTGGATAGCATTGCCACGGATGCGGCGAGCATCAAAATCGGGGCACGAGGCAGCGTCTATCTCCCTCTCAAGGTCGAACACGAGCATGCCCTCTATCCGGCACTACCACCCGGCTCCGACGACAATGAGCCGTACGCTCGCAGCTTCTTCTTCATCCTGACGGTAACGCATTCCAGTTTGACGCTCTTTACCTACAACTGGGATAGCTCCGGGTACGAGATTCTCTCTCGGAAGATCCTGCGGCTCCTGAACTGGTGCAACATCCGTATCCAGTACCTTGACAAGATACGCTCGAATCTGGCGATGCGACCGATGAACACGCAGCTGGGCTCGTGGCGCTCGCCATCCCCCGTGTGTGGCTCCTATGGCGGCGAGCACTCTCTCTTCCCGGAGCGACACAATCTGCACCACGACCGCACACACGAAGTCGGCTCCGAATCAGAGGACATGTACCACTCACGCACCGACTCCAGCTTCCTCCAGAAACGAGGTGCCGACTTTTTATACGAGTTTGTACAGCAGCTGCGCGCACGCGAAGCATCAACCCCAATCAGCACCGGAGCACCAAAGGACAGACTCAAATGGACGCTGGCGGCCGGGGGGACAAGCTTTTCGGAGGGATGCTCGCTGGTGGACCGCCATGGCGGGGGTTCGCCGCTGTCCCCAGCTGATTTTGCGTCAACGATCCGATCGATTCGGCTGCTGCATTACTCGACCTATCCCTTGCTCTTTACAGACGGGAGTGTATCGGCAAAACCGAATGGCAGCCAGTTCCACATCAACATCAACGAAGCTGTTGTGATCAACAACCAGTCGGCTGCCCAATGGTGCAAAACCATCACGGAAAACATGGTGAAGCAGTACGCACAGTATCTGAGCACCCTCGGGCTTGAGCTCCTGGCATTCGACAGTCCATCGAACGGAGCGGGGAGCGAAAGCAACCCGATTTGCATCTTTTCCAGCAAGATCCGCACGGTTTCACCAGTTGTGTACATGCATCGGATGACAGCGGGGGGCAGCATAGTGGCACAAATCAGCGCCTTTGGAAACCACTTTTCCGTCACACTCTATACAATGGAGCTGCCTCAATCCAGATCCGATGGTACCGACACCAAGGTCCCTCCCAACGCTCACGAGATCCATGCAGAAGTTAAGCGGGCATTCCAGATCGAGTGCATCAAGTTGAAGGATCAGCTCCACGTCAACTCATGTAAGTATCGATGTTGGTTGATTTCCACGGCTGGCGTGCCTGTGTTGCGAGCCGATCGTGCTGGCACGAGGACTCGGCCGTGATGCGCGAGCAGAGTCTCCGTTACTGCAGGCCATATGACCCTCGCCACTTGACTCACCGACGGGCTGTCGCCAGTCTCGTACGACTTTCATCTCCGCGCCGTCGCCGAGAGCATGGTTCAATCGTCGACAGCGTCCATTCCCATCGATCCTGTGTCGGTCATCAAGGCCTTTTCCATCTTCAATCCCAAGCGCGCACGATACGCCCGCTCGCGGCTGATCCATGGCAGCGTTCCAACCTTGGGGATGAATACGTCCATCATTCACTACATCCTGAAGAACCCCGAGCTCTACGATTTCCAGTCGGTCTGGTTCGGCAGCCATGCTGTCGCATGTTTCACAACATCGCCCAGCCCCGGCTTCGAGGATGCCTCTGCCGCATCTGGTGCTGACCGCCACCAGTATATGATTGTGATCTATCAGGATCTCGATGACCAAGAAGAAGCTGCCCAGCAGTTGGCGCAAATGCCGAAGCCTACCATCAGCAGTAGTACGCCCCGACTGCCTTGGTCTCACGAGTCTGCTCCCGAAACGCCGCTTCCATACTACCTCCTGATCCTGAGCGACGAGATTGCCCCAATGGCTGAGCAGGACCCTCACTTTGGACAGAGTCCGTCAAACGAGCGATACGAGTATCTTGCGAGTGGATACTACATCAACGATGTGCTCAAGCAGGCCGAGCAAAAGATCAAAAATCTGATCGAGCAGGTGGGTAGCAGGATCGTGTTGGGTTGAGGGTGCGCCACGGCAGGGCACGGCTGGGCTCAGAGCCAAGGAGCCAAGGAGCCAAGGAGCCAAGGAACCAAGGAACAATGCTCGGGACGATGCGCCGCACCACATTCCCCTGCATCGCTGAGATTGTATGCAACTTGGTGCCCTGGTTCGCCGGCACGCCCGATGTGTCATTCCTCGGATACGACGTTTGTTGACTGACTCTGAACATGATACAGGCTCTGGCTTTCTATGGCCGTGATAGCTTATGGAAGCAGCTCCAAACCACAGAGGATCTTCACGGATCGGCCCGGGACCGTCAGTCGATGCATGAAGACGGCAACAACAGCGGCGAAGCGCTGGCGGACTGGCTCAGCGTCCTTTTGGAGAAGATCGAGCCCAATTCGCGCAGCTTCACCTCGATCGATCCCGGCCTCGCACAGTTGTTCAACGACCGGACGATCCACTGGGGCGCCGCTCTGGACTACCTCTACGAATCGTTCAAGCCCCACGCCCGGATTTTCTCGAGCCACGACGAGCCCCGACGCAAGCACCTGATTCTCTTCAACCGTAGCAACCCCGACTACCTAATCCATTTGATTTCGTGGTCGACTCCATCCGAGACTCGGCCGTCCGTCGTGCGAGGGCCTGGACAGCCATTGACACCGGAATGGCAGCACGCCTCGGTTCTGAGCCTGGCCTCCACAACCTCGAACGTCTCTGCGCTTTCGACGAATATCCGCGCTGTCAACCATATGGAGGCCTATACGGTCAGCCGCGAGGGCGTCGTCGACGATGTCGAGTACGAGCACATTGATATTGTCGTGAATGCCATTCTCGTGTGGCTTTTGAACCAGTAGTGGATGGCAGTCCAACGATATGGCGCTTGTCGGATTTGCCCTTCCCTGCCCTTTGTAAGTCCCACTGCGAGGACGCATTCCCTAAAATACACACTCTACAAGGGGGTCTTTGAACTCCCGGAGCATTCAACTTCCGTCGTCGTCTGACCGCGTGGGAACTGATGAAGGCGAGTTCGTATTCTCGTATCGGCGAGCGAGTCGCGATCGTAAGCGGGCTGCGGTGCTGCCCAGTGACCATACCCAATCCATCGGAGCGGGCAGACGGCAAGAACACCAGGGGCAGAACAGCACGAGCACCAGGGGACAGCCGGCTGGAGCTGCTTGCGTGCCATGCCAGAGCACCAGATCGTCGGCTGGGACGCGGTGGCGTCATGTGTGTGTCACGTGGTGCCGTTTCGCCCTGTGCAAATATGAGCCTTCGGCAGGCGGCACAGCATTTCCTCTCCCTTTCCCAACCGCCACAGTCGAGACACCTCCGTTTATCTTGACTATAATATCACAATGGTAATTACTACACCTGCCGACTGCCGCGGGATGGGAGTTGTCCTTGAGATGGATGGATGGATGGATGGATGGATGGATGGATGGATAGATGAACGGATGGACGGATGGATGGATCACCATCGGATACGGAACTCCAACATGGACAACAGACGCCGGACTCGAAATCGTGGATACCAAGGATCGAGGGACAGCAACATCGACCCGGTGCGAACGAACAGCCGCCCGCCAACAACCGACCGCTGAACCCGCAGTGAAGCCATGCGGGCATCCCAGCGCTGCCGTCTTCGTCGTGGTCGACACATTTGCGGCCGCTCCACATACGCCGCCAGCCCATCTGTTGTCAAGTCGGCGACCGAATCCGAGCCGCACGGTCTCGTCGCTCTTTCAGATTTTGCCACCGTCGCAGATACACCAGCGCTCTGTTGTTCTCCGCAACTGCTCTGCGATGCCGATTATGCAGCACCCAAACAGTGGCAGCCTGGTTGGGCGATCGATCAAGCGGATTGGGATGTGATATCGACGCAGCAACAGGATCGTTGTCCCTGGAATCAGGATTCCGGACCCGGGAATGCAGTGTACTCGGCGACGACGGTGTCAGCGGCCGCATATCCTGCGGGCTGGAGCTGTGACTGCGATAAGACTCGAACGGTCCCTGGCTCCAGATATTCCCAGCAAGCAACACACTCACGGCTCGCTCTCTCCGCCTCCGACGTATACAGGGTCGCGTTCGCACCAAGACCGTTAAGAAGGCCTCTCGTGTCGTCATCGAGAAGTACTACCCCAGACTCACGCTTGACTTCCAGACCAACAAGCGTATCTGCGGTGAGGTCGCCATCATCGCCTCCAAGCGTCTCCGCAACAAGATTGCTGGATTCACCACCCACTTGATGAAGCGCATCCAGCGCGGCCCTGTCCGTGGTATCTCCTTCAAGCTCCAGGAGGAGGAGCGTGAGCGCAAGGACAACTATGTCCCCGAAGTCTCGGCCCTCGCTGTCGACACCGTCGAGATCGACCAGGACACCAACGTACGTGTCGACTCCGTCGTGCTGGACCGTGGGCTGTGTCTCTGGTGCTGCGGCTGTTGCGCTGCAGGCCGCACCGACCACATCTCTTATCAGCTGGCGCTGTTAGATGAGGCTTTTGCAGCGCATGAATACCGTCGTGTGGATGTTGCTAATCGCCTCTGCTGTGTGCGTCTGACATTTCCAGGCTCTGCTCAAGTCCCTGAACTTCGATGGTATCGCCGGCATCTCTGTCGTTGACCCCGCCACCGTTGCTTCCAACGATCGCCGCGTTGTTGGTGCCAACTTCCGTGCCCGCCGAAACTAAGCGTGTGTAGACTACCGTTCGTTTTGGGACATTCCATAGTCACAAATAAAACAGATTCCTTAAAATCTGCGATAGATGTGCCTCGATATGGGCCGCAGTCCTCAAAAGTCGATGCACAATGCAAGATCGCTCTGACGGATCGTCCACAACCGATTGAGACTCGGTCGGCGGTGAGGGGGGCGGGTGGTGGTTGACCTGGCCCAGAGCCCCGATGTTGCCCCGTCGCTCTCCTCCGATCGCGCGAGTGCATCGTGCCGACTGGCTAACTCAGTGAAGTATTCTGGTGACTACGGGCGCCACCATCTGTATGTCTGCACACCCCTTGCTGGAGCCGGCTCAATTGCGACGACTCTCGTGCTTGTAATAGTGCGGTCTGTGGGGCAGACGAGTTGGTCAAAAGCTGGGTCAGCACTCTGCCCCCAATCCCACAACCCGTGCGGCCAAGAAAGGTGCATATGCCTCGATTGTGCTTACGCCAGCTCAACCAGCCACTCGGGCTCGACGACAGTAATATCCCGCATGAAAACCTTGGTAGTTTCGACAACTAAAAAGGGCCAAGGGCATCGGTGGATGAGCATGGATGGATAACAAGCCATACGCTATTTGCAGTCTCGCCAGTCCAATCGGATCGGCCGCAGTGTGGATCGCCCGAATCATGCATACCTTCGTGGAAAATGATCCAAGGAGGCGATCGCTGGAAGAGAACAGAGTTTGGATGGATGTGCAGAGTCTGCCGAGATATTCCAGTGACATGGGGTGGGGTCAGAGCTTGCGCCGGTTGGGCACCCTCTTCCACTGATCGGTCAGATGGATGCAGACTGGCAACCAGGCGACAATATCGAGCTTTCCCCAGCGAGGGCTGGCCTCGCTCCGGTCTGTATCAACCCTCATGCAGCACAGCCTGGCCTCCAGTCCGCAATATCGCCTTCACCACGTACCACGTTGTCTCGAACAGTCTTGTAGGTGCCGTCGATTTGCAGCCGGGCAGCTTGAGCAAAGTAGCCCGACACCAGACATTTGCGGACTTGACATGAAGCCGAGCCATCGTCGTCGCCATCCATATCGTCGTCGTCATCGCCGTCACTGTTATCGCGATTGTGACTCCGAAGAGCGCTTTGGATGGGAATGCCAAATCGGCTGGCGTACTTGGAAAGCTGATTGCGAATCGACACTGCTCGCTGGAGCGACTTGTGGTTGAGGAAATGTTGGTAGCACCATTTGGCACTCCGGTTGGAGCGGATAAAGGCGTTGTAAACTGGCCATGGATGCAATTGATGCATATTGATGGTGTCAGCACCTTGGGCGATCCAGCGGAGATGAAACAATCGTATCGAACGGACTGAATCGCTGCAGTCTTGCAAGGAGCAAATGTCTCACCATTCAGATATGTCAAGTGGTCGCCCTCTTCGACTGCAAACTTGCGCCTCTCCTCCTCTGCCTCTCTTCGCTGGCCTGACGGCACAACAAACACATTCTGCATTCGCGGAATGTATCGATCAGAGTCGGTGGCATCACATGCAATGGTCACAGTGAAAGTCTCGAGACAGATGTGAGCCACGACTGGCTCTGTCTTACGTCTTACCTGGACGGACAGCATTGCGGCGATCGTGAGAATCTCTGCACCGCACTTGAATCGGTGAGAGTTGAGAATCTGCGTAGCCAAAGTGGTGCCTGCGTCAGCGGATATGTCGCGACAATCTAATCCGTTTGGCACATGCTGCCTTCTATTGATTCGGGTTTGGTGAGCAGACCCGCCACAGGTACCGTGCTCGCGAGGAACGGATCGAGCGGAAACTCGGCCAGGCTGGTTCCGAATGGAATTGTGAGTCGCCCATAGTCATCCAGAGCCTTGAGGGAGTATAGCAACTACAAAAATGGATGTGCTTTCACGTCAGTTTGCTCTGATACCGTTCGGCGGGGCGACAGACGCCAAGAGCTTACCTCTAGACTCCGTATCATCATTTCCGCGGGCGGTGCTGACAAAAAGTCAAAGCGCAGGACATTTTCGATGCCAAGAGCCTTGAGCTGTAGCACTACGGTCATCAAGTTGCTCCTGTGCAAAGGGGCCAGTCCCGTCCAGACATCCAGACACCCAGACACCCAGACACCCAGACATCAATATGGATATACGATACCTATGTCCGGTTCGTGATCCAGCGGACACGCTACGATTTCCATGTCACGCCATTCGCCGACCGTCAGCTGCCAGCCAAGATGCTCTTACCTCTGGATCTCGGGTGTGTTGTTTGCCGAGAGTTTTGAGAATCCCTCCTCGGTATAGATCCGGAATGCCTTCCCGGGCCGGGTTCGCCCTGATCGTCCCGCGCGCTGCCGCGCAGAGGCTTGAGATATTGGCGCTGACACACAAGCTCTCCATGCCGGTGCTGGGGTTGTACGATCGTAGCTGTGGAAGCAGATGGATGGTGCATAAGCTCGCACTGTCGCCACCAAGGGTAAACGACGTCATCGCCGCCTAGTACTGTGCCTCGCGCTGCCAGGTTCGATTTGATTCGCTTCCGGACCCATAGCTCTACCTTGACAAAGCCCGCATCAACGACATAGACTATTCCGTCGATGGTGACAGAAGCCTCGGCAACATTTGTTGAGAAGATGACCTTTCTCGTGGACTTGGGTGCAGGCTCAAACACCCGTTTCTGTTCCTCGTACGGTAGTGATCCGTGAAGCGGAAGCATCTCGATCGTGTTTCTCATCCGGGGGTAACTGATTGCATTGGGCAGATAGACGATGGAGAATCGATGGTGGCGGGTCTGAGATGAGCAAGATGTCACGCAATTTGATCCATCGCGACGGGTCCGAATGTCGTTCACTAACATCAGCACGAAAGTCTCACTTCCGTTGCATCGACAACTCACTGCTCAAGCTCCTCATGCATGAGGGCAATGGCCCTCTCGATCTCATCCTTGCCGGAAAGAAAGACCAACACATCGCCCGGATCCTCCTGTGTCATTCAAGTTCGCAGCCGCGGATATTAGTGGACAGCAGGTCATCGTGTACCGCATGCAAGTTGTACCTCTCGCAAGTGGTGGCCATCGACTTTCTCGACAGCCAATTCGGCCCACAGCCACGACGCAATCAGCAAACATCATTGTACATACCTTCTGATGGATCTTCATCACAGTGTGGACACTTTCGAGAATGTAGTCCGAAGTTGCTTCAGCTAGATACAGCACATCGACTGCCGTGATGCCATTGTCAGCAGTGAAATGTATGCAACTTTGCGCCAGTGACCATGGGGCCATATTTCTGGGTTGTGCTACCAACGAGCGCCAGACCGATCGATCGCACTGGCTGGAAAGCTGACCCTACCAGGATACATTCGACCTTCCAGCGATGTAATGGCAACGTTTTCTTGGCTCGGCTGTCCCGTCGAGTTGGTATTGTAAAACTCATAGAATGCTTTGGCATCGATGGTAGCAGAGGAAATGATGATTCGCAGCTCCGGCCGCTTCTTCAGAATCCTATGACAAGCAGATTTGGATGATTAGCTACAATTGTGATAGACGAACGTGCCGCTGTGATTGAGTTCGCAGTGGCATATTCCAGCACAAATCGTTGCGGAGACTGGCTGCCTTTGGCGTGTCATCCGGCGCTTTATCCGCCACCGCAAATATGACGTTGCTGCCGACAGGTTGCCACGACTCTATCATTTTTGACTCTTTGTCGCCGTTGTTTCGGATCAGGCTTACTTTTTCAAAACCCCGATGATGATGTCTGTGTACAAGCTGCGTTCGTGAGCCTCATCAACCATGATGACGCTGTAGCGGCTCAGAAGAGGGTCCACCAGGGTCTCTCTGAAGAGCATGCCGTCGGTCAAGTACTTGATCCGGGTGATCTTTGGATCGCTGCAATCATCGAACCGGACGGTATAGCCGACTTCCCGACCCAGGGTGCATCCAACCTCGTCGGCAACTCGCGCAGCGACTGAAGTGGCCGCGATTCGGCGCGGCTAAGTTGTTGCAACAAATTCGGTGGCAGCAGCAAATGATGATGATGTCGATGATGTCGATGACGTCGATGATATCGATGATGTCGATGATGTCGATGCACATGAGTCAGCACTGTCGACATCCCAACCACTTGACATTTCTGGCCGATCTGGGGCATCAGTACGGGACAATGTCCAAGACCATGGGCTCACCTGGCAGCATGCAACCGTTCGCCCACCGGCCGACCATCCCGCCTCGTGCAAATACTGTGGGAGCTCTGTGGACAAATTCAATCGATGGTGTAAGCTGTGATGGCGGTTTCATATCAAACTGCCAAACCCAAGGTCGCAGTTGGGGGGAGGATGGTCCCTGACGAGCCTGGTCAAGTTTTGGCATCCTGTCATTCGATGGAATGAGGCACCGAGAGATATTCGATACCGACGAGTTGTCTTGCCCGATCCGGTCCTGCCAACGACGATGGTCACTTGGTGCGTTTCGATCAGATACAGAAGCTCTCGGCCTGTGTCGAAAGAGTCGTTCATGAGCACAGCGAGCCTTGTCCGGATCCACATCTACACCCATCCATATGGTATCCATATGGTAATGCAAAAGGCCGAGAGTGGCATCATGCAGAGTTGGGTGTCATACGATGTTTGGCGATGGGCAGCTGCTGTCGCTGTTCGTAGAGCGAGGTGTTGGATTCGCGGCCAAGCACCAGCAGCGTTCCCTCATCGGCGGATTCCCTCTCGACGGCCCGATCGATGCTGCTGCCTGGGGCGATGGTATCTGGCTAGAAGGGTCGATTCACATGCATGTGAGCATGGGCATGGGATCAAGCAATCGCTATCGATATTGTCGCTTGCTATCATTCATGTCGGCCCGATCGCCCCCTCCACCGCAAACGACATTGACGGACGGGTCTGCCCAACCAACACCACACCGATCCGGGCGAATCCTCTTGTCGACAGGACCGATGACTCGCAGTGGAAGCCATACTTTCCAGAATGCCATGTCTGCTTTTGGATGGCTTTTGTTGTCTCCGATCGAGTCCAATGGGTGGAATCTCGGCGTTGGCACAGCGGCGATCGCAGATCAAGCAGGCTGGTCGGGGATGATCGAGGCGGGTGGCTCAAAACCGACGCACGATGAACCAGCGTGCCCGGCCTGGAACTACCATCCCACCGACATACCCCCCGGGATCTCGGTCCTCGGATCGCATCATCAAACAGCATACAGCTATGCCAGCAAAGCCTGGTATAGCTGTCGGCCACTGGCCCCATCAGGTCGAGCAGGAACCATGTTTAAAATGGCGGACACAACCCGGGTTTGCTGTGATCCCGTATGGCTGCGAGAGCTCTAGCCAGCCGATCTGGGACTACTCTGCTTTGCCACCTCGGAACCATCCTCACATGGAAAGAAAGCCAAAATGGAAAGATTGAACAGAGAGACCAATGGATGCATGATTGCGTCGCCCAGAGCTTGCGAAACTCGGGCCATGGTACGGTTCCGAGGCTCGCTCAAAACTGGCTGAATCCCTCGTCTCTGCGGGCGGTCTTGCGGTAGTCGGCCTCGGAGAAACCGTCAATGCGCTTGAGAACAAAGGCAATGCAGCCCATGAAGGCCTTCATGAGGAAGTAGAGCAAAGCCGAGACTCCGCCAACCTCGCCGAGCCAGTTGTTCTGCGATGGAAAGCATGGAAGGAAGTAGACTCGATAGTGAGAGGCAGACTCCAGATGTATGATGTCGCCATCGACACAACTACCACTGGCACGGTGAGTCCCATTTCGATCTCCAGCGAGCCCGCTTGTTGAAGTGGTCGCTGCTTGCATCAGCGAATGTGGGGGCAGAGCTCAGCCGATGTGCAGGCAACTGTACCATGTCGAGAACCAAAAAGTCCTTCTCGTAAGTCACTTCCAGGACAGGGTACTTGACAACAATGCTCACGGTTTGGCCGGCAGAGCTGTTTGACGGCAGGCTGTTGTTGAGTCGAACCGACGAGGCTTTGATCTCGTAATCGACCTCAACGTTGCCTCCGAGGTCGATCATATAAACCTTTCTGTGAATCCAGGCACATTTAGGGGTGAGGCATCACTATCCAACTACTCGGGTGAGAGCCAACGAGCCAACGAGCCAACGAGCCGTCCATTTGGATGTGATATGTTGGATTACATATGCGAGAGGGAGGGGTAGTCGCACATTCATGCTTTGGGCTCCTGCCCTTCGCTTCGACTGGCCTGCACGGTCCACAGACGCAGCCCATACCTTGCAATCACCTCAGTGACCATGTTGGCCGAGGCCATAAAGACATTTTCATAGTCCAAGTTCGGCGTGGCTTGCTGGCTGGCATTCTGCGGATTGGCCACCACTTGGACGCCGCCAGGGCTCGATGGAGAGGTGCTGCTGACCGCCAGCGAGATCTGGAGCGAGTCTATGTTGGTGGCCGCGATCTCGACTCGGCCGGGGAGCTCGTTGAAGACCCAGCAGTTGAGGGACATGCCATAGACGACATACTGTCGCTGGACGATGCCAATGGGGTCGCACGGGATCGAGGATGCCAGGGTAGTGTGGGCACAGGCTGGAGAAGTAAGGGTCGTGAGCATGTCCAGCGGACACACGACCATGGCTGGAAACTCATATGAGGCGCTAGGGACCTTGTTGGGGAAGAGATTGTTGAGAACGTCGAAGGGCAGGACGTTGGGCGCTGTGACGGAGCGGTAAGTAGCCGGCAGCTGAAACGGGGGCAGATTCAGGACAGAGATAGTCGATGGATCAGTCGATTAGAGGCATAACAGCAGGAAAAACGGGACGTGGGAAGCCGACGAAATGTCGCCTTGGATGGACTGCTCGGTCGATCGGGGCAGCAGCGATCGAGCCAAAGCAACAAACCCACCTGCGTAGCAACATAGTGGCCTCGAAAGCCCGCATAGAAAACCATAACGAGAATGAAGAGCGAGGCTATGGCAGCCTGCACTCGTGTGTAGATGAGCTGTCCTCGGTCATTCAGGACCCTGGCTGGAATACCGGTACAGAGCAGCAAAAGTAGTTGGAGCCATCAGCGACCATCTGCGATATCACACACGGGCCACTTGCGCTGTACTCTACCCATGGTGAAGATGCTAGTGGGGTGAAGATGCAGAGGGCTGTTCGAGCATGGGGGCAAAGGGCAATGCGGCGGCGCTCAAGAGATTTATCGGGCTGGAGTGCTTCGGCATATGTCAGTGGAAACGTCACCTTGCAACTCGGCCCCACACCCAATCACCAGGTCTGCACCATGTTCAGAAGAAAGCGAGACGGCGCAGTCTGTAACATCTTGCGCTGGCCGTTAATATTAACAAATATCATCGCCAGTCTCCTAGTGGAAGCTCTGGGTCGTCCTCGGCCTCCACAGCCGACTTGTTTGTTCAGGGCCCACAGAAAAGTGACGACCCTGGCTCAGGACAGGGTGCGTTCTGGGTCTTGCCCGCTCCAAAGCCTCCATCTGGCCCTCCTCTCGGCTTCCCGTCCCGCCTCACCCCTTTGCTTCCTCGGTTGCGCTCGTCTTCTCATCATCGTTGCAGCCCGCAGCTACGAACATCCCCACGCATCCATGGCCGATCCAATGTCCTCCACTGCGCGGGACTCTGGGAGCGAGTTCGAGTCCGATCTTGAATCGGATCTCCCGTCCTCTTCCCACTTCCGCACCACAGCCGGAAGTTTTGTCAAAAACTCGAGCGATATCGACTACAGCAGCGAGGAAGACGACGAAGATGAGATCGATATCGACGACGACGATGATGACGACGATGACGACGATGATGATGACGATGACGATGACGATGACGACGCAAAGCTTATTCACAAGATGACTGCCAAGGAGCAGCTCAAGCGCAAGAGCCGCATCGAAAACAGCGAAAGCGACTCTGAGAGTAGCGCCGACACCGCCCAGCAGCCCCCCAAGCGGCTCTTGACCAAATATGCCGGCAAATTGGTCCGTGGATCCACATCCACATTTGCAAAATCGAGGCTGTCGCGCTCCACAACAATCGAAGACGAGGAGGAAGACGTCGATATCGATGGCGATGGCGATCAGGCGAGCGGAGCAGCTCGCCAGAGCTTGGGCAGCGCACAGAAAGGAGCCGGCCTCAACAGCGACAGCGACTCCTCCAGCGACGAGGACTTTGGGCCCACGGATCTCCAGAGCAGCTCCTCCGAAGGCGGGTCGATGAACGAGGATGTGGACGAGGACGAGGAGGATGACGAAGAATCAATCTTTGATCGACTTGACCGCAAGATCTATAGGGACACCGCCTCGAAGAAGCACAGCCGGCTTGAAGCCGTCGCTGGGTCCCTGGCGGCGCCCCATGGCTCATCCAAAGACGTCTCGGTCGAGGACGAAACCTCGGAGATCAACATCACCGACGACGACGACATTGACATTGACGACGACGAAAACGACGATATCGACGAAGACGATGGCAACATCAATGTTGACGACGATGACGACGACGATGACGACGACGATGACGACGACGATGACGACGACGATGACGACGAGACCCTGCTGCCAAAGACTGTCTCACCAGCCAAGGGCCTGATTTCACCAAGATCGACTCAGCCAAGTTCGTCGACGCAAGCTAGGACTGGCCCAGATGACGATGATGTCGATATCGAGTATGAGAACGACGAAAACTCGAGCGACATCCTGATCGACGAGGAAGAGGAGGATGATCAGCTCGATAACGATGAAATCGACGATGCTCTGGACGAGGATGAGGATGCGCCGATCGAAGACTTTGACGACATTGAGGCCGAGGAGGGCACCACGACAAAATCAGGAAGCGCTGCTGTCCATGGCTCGTCGGAGAAGCACCGCACGCCCACGCCCAAATCGGAATCCAAGACAAAAGGTTCGTTGGACACACTGACTTTGATCGCAAAAGCCACCAGAGTTGCATTATCGGAGTCCGCATGATCAATCGAGCCTGAAACCACGGCACACCGACACCGTTGGCTCTGACGCACGACGCCGTATATGATCTGCTGTTTCTTTGTCGGATTTCCAGGCGGCAAAAATGATGCAGAAAGCGATGGGCTCTCCAGCGACAGGTACGTTTGCTCCAGTGACGATAACGACGGCGCTCGCCATGGCAGCCCCGAGCTGATGGAGAGTACACATGGTTTCAAGCAGCCATACGGTACCTCGGATGCTCATCTCTGCTACCGATCCAGCGACAGTGCCATACTGAGCAACATGAAGAGCTCTGGCAGAATGACGGCGCGCCAGCGATCCATGGTCGGCGACGGAACAAATGAGTATGGTAAGCGATGGCTAAGCCAGGAAAGATGCATGAACAATCGATATCTGGGAGCATGGCCGCGCCTCGGGATCTAATAGTTGCCACAATCTCTCCTACAGCGGCACTGTCACCCAAGGGTAAGGTGCTGACCGAAACCGAGATGCTGAAAAAGTCCGAGATGGCAGAGAAACGGCGGGCCATGAATGCCAAGCGGGCCGAGCAGGACAAGGAGGCCACCATCAACCGCATCTTGAACAAGCTCAACAGCCGGAGAGGCGAACGAACCCAGGCAAGCTACTGCACGGTGCTCAGAGCATACTTCCTGAATGATGAGCATCCGAGGCAGAGAGGCACCCGACTGAGACACTGACCCTGCCTGAACTTCTTGACAGGAATCCAGGGGCGATCTCCAAGACACCGACGGTGCCGTGCTGCCACCCGTGCGGTATATTCAGCGAACCACCACCAGCACACTCTCCTTTCTGGACGCAAGCGATGCGCCGGTGTCGGCGATCAGTCCAAAGTAAGTGGCCCATCTCTGAGGCACCGGGAGAGTAACGCCGCCATTCACAGACACGCTCTGTACCATTGTCTGAACTGTCTGGCTGTTGTCATTTGTCCAGATACCCCGCTCCTATCAAGTGCACCGTTCCGGGCTGCGAGCTCCCGAAACAGTACCGCGAGTCCAAAAGCGGTCTGCCTGTTTGCACCAAGCTTGAGCATTACAAGCTGGTGCGGGCGCAACATAGCGCCGCTTGAGCTACATATTCTATTGCAGTCGCCGACAACGATATACATACAGTCTTACTCGATCCAGGGCCACTACAATGTCCTCGCTTGCATCTTTTCATCGGCGCGGCCGCCCGACGTCCGTTCATATCCTCTCCAGTGACTGAGGCTTCCAGACAGGGTACATCACCTTCCACTTCATCCTGACTATTTTTTTGGCTCCGGTCACCCGCACGCACTCGGAGTTGATAACGTCCTGCATCGTCAGCGGAATCATATGGCGTTGCGGAGTATGAATCTCCGGCTGGGCCTCGGGGAGGACAGTCGTGGGTGCTACTGGATGCGGCTTTGATGGTTCTCCGGCCTGTGTCGGTGGCTCTTGTGTTTCTGGTAATGACGCTGATGACATAGTTGCTTGTTGGAGAGGCGATGGTGCTGCTCTTGTCGAGTCTTCGTCTGATGGTAGCTCCGCCGAAGGAGGCAGGATCGCCAAGTCGACAAACTGCAGCGAGCCACGGTCCGGAGACATAGACGGATCACGCAGCGGACTGTCTCCAAACGATAGCGACTTCTCGAATGAGACCGAAGCCGCAGTACTCCTGGCCGAGCTCGAGGCTTCTCTGTTGGTATTGACACTGCTACTACTAGCGTGATCCTGAGTGCTCTTGGCGCTGGCGGAGCGACTCTCGGGCGTCGCAAAACTCTCGGACCTTGTCCACGACGATGGCTGTGATTCATCTGTCGTGGCTTTGTCATTGCCCTCATCACTATCGGCCTCTTCCTCCAGCAGCGAGTTTAGCTTAGCCTCCACGGCCGAGCCGATGGGCGGTATCTTCTTGTTGTATCCTAGAAACAGAGTTCCGTCCGATTTCATCAGGCTCGGTCGCCGACTGGCGTTGACTATGGCCTTGGTGAGCTCGTCGATCGGGTCGTCCGTACGGATGGGAATCTTGGCCTGCTCCTCGTCAAACTCAGACTTTGGAATGATCGACACGGCCACCTGCTTTGGAACCTCAAACTGGCTGGGTCCTGTACGAAAGTCCTCCAATACCAGACATTCGACCAGAGAGTTGTCCTTCTCGGCGACAACGCTTGGACTGCTGATGTGCATCATCCGGAGCAGACGCTGGGCATTCACTTTGTTCCGGAGGCTGCTTTCGACCATTCTGTCAAACGTGTGATATCTCCGATCCAGTTTTTGCTGAGGCGAAAGGATCGATAGTGGGGTAGTGGGCGTTTATGTGTGTTGCAAATGGATTCAATTCTCAGTGTAAGTCATTCTGCTCGGTATCACTCATTGTCGCTCGACTGTCAGTGGCGGCGGCTTGATGCTCTCTCTTGGGTCACCGTTTGCATACCTGATTGCTGTCTTCTTCATCTGGCTCCCTCCAGTGCTGCCGCGCTTCCTCGGAGAGTCCAATATGCACACCAAGCGAGCTCAATGCCGGCATCGATGGCCCACTCGTCGAAGCCTGCATACGACGCAGACGTGTAAGCCGTGGCAATCCTGTTTCGTGAGACAGTCTCACACATGCAGCAGACATGGTTTACCCTAGATGAGGACCGCACAGCGCCATACTGTGAAAACGATTTCCGACTTGCACGGCTGATCCGGACGCTCTTTCGTTGCTCCAATGCCTCGGCCGTCGTGCCTTCAGCAATCGGCACATGGTCGGCGTTGATCGGCCAGTCGATTCCAGAGTCGAAATACTCGCACTGATCTTGATTGAGGCCGTATGCCTGACTGTTGAAGGGCGACCATGTCTCTGTCTCGGCAGCAGCGTCGTCGGCAGAGATGCGCAGAGAGTGGTGTTTCTTCATCGCAACGTGATACCAATGCGACCTCCACATCTGAGAGAGGGCTTTGTCTGTTGTTGGAAATATTGGTGGACGCTTGCGACTTTCCTGTTTGTCGGTTGAGGCGACTCGTTGCGTCAGTGAAATCGTCGTGGGATGAGCCAGCCCTCTCGATTATCGGGGGTGCAACCACAAGAGTGAGTAGAGTCCGACTGCCGCTTGGGTTGGCTCTGAGCCTTAGTTGCTCACTTGCCTGGCTGAGTATGGCCTGCTGGCGTGCCTGCTCTGCCTGTGTTTCCTGCAGCTGCCGATGATGCTCTTGCGACAGCTGAAGCCGACGTCTTGATTTTTCAGCCTTCTCCATCACAGACGCACGCCACTCTTCGCGATACTGAGTGCGCTTCTGCTCCAGCAGTATGTTGATGGCATCTGCTCTCTGTTTGGCCATGCAGCCGGACATGGCCAATATCCAATCCATTTAATCCAACCATTAGAGCTGCCTAGTTTGCCTTGCACTTCATCTGAAATCTTGGATGCTCATGAGCGGGTAACTTACTCGCTCGGCCACGGATGGATCCAGGACAGCGGAAGCCCTCGATGCAGCCGATGCGGCCGCCTCGCTATTTCGAGCTCTTGCTGCTCGTGCGCTGAGAGTTGTGACATTACAAACGAAGCAGCCGGGAATCGCGATGAGCTGTCGCCGGTGGACAACTCTGCAGACAGTGGGCTATGGCAAACACGAACGCTGCTTTGTGATAATGAATCATCGCGGCGCGAGCAGCATCGCAGACTCACCGAGACCGACGCTTGCTCGAGTTGGACTCGCGCATCATTCCGATAGTCGATGATGATCCGGCGTCCGGCGCCATCTGGTGCAGCATGGCGGTCAGTATGTGCAGTATACATTTAGAACATCGTTCGCTTGAGTAGGGGTACTGCAGACTCCCACCCATTCGCCGCATTCGCCTCACATTTGCCACACAAGCGACCGTATCTGACCTTTTCGCCTAAACTCCGAGTATCTGGCAGCTCCGATATTCTTCTCGTAGGCTTCTTTTTTCGAGCGACACGCACAGGCGGTGGTGTGATGGAGGCAAGCAGTGCCGTACCGGGCGCTAGCGACGTGGCGAGATTATATGCCTCCAACTCGAGCTGAGCGACATACTCGGCCACGAGATCCGCTTCGGTCGGGGCACGAGAGAGTGGGTTGTCTTCGCCGCCATCGTCGGCCTTTTCTGTGCGGCCGGTGCTGTTCCGCTGCGACGGGGTCGAGCCTTTGGCTGTCAGGAGTATGCTTCGTGGAGAGGCCGGTGTGTTTCTGGCAGAGGAGAGTGAACTCTTGATAGAGTCGAGTCCACCCCTGAACCCGGCGGTCGGCACTCTGCTCGAGGTCTGGGACTGCGGCGCCATCCGGCCGTTTTCGAGTTGGCTGAGACTCAATGCGGATTCGGCAGGCGGGTCGGAAAAGGCTGGGTGATTGCTGGAGGAGTCGGAAGGGGGAGTGAAGGAAGGTCTCGCCAATGAGTCCGGAGTAGAATCGATGCTCTGGGTAACTGGTGGATCCGTGAACGTATCGAGGGACACCTCGGGTATTGGGTCCAGATGGGCTGATGCAGCCGGTGTGCTGAGCCGGGAGATTGCCAAGTGAGAGAGCTCGGACCGGCGCAAGGATAGATCGATGTGCTTGCGGGTCGGTGCGGCCCTGTTTGCAGTCCGACTTGATTGAAATGTAGGCATCGGTGCCAATCGTTCTCTGGTGCTTCTGCGTGGCTTTCTGGATGCCAAGCGCCGGATGTCTCGCTGCCGGGCGGGAGGCTGGTGAGCATCGAGGGCTTCTGGGGCTGGCTCGAGGAGGAGGCCCTGTTTCGATTCCAGGGAACCTCGCATAGCACTGCTACCCTCTATCGCTGTTGATCAATCGACAGATTCAACAACAATAGACCACACCGACAATGGAGAGCGGGCCAACGGGATCTTGCGTCTGCACGGCAATGCGCTAGGTTACTAGCGACCCGGCCAATGCTGTTGTGCAGATAGACCAAGCTGCCCTTCGGAAGAATCTCTTGGTATTGTCATGATCATGGATATTCTGTCATCCTGCACAAGCCATCCGACCCAGTCGGTTGAAGCTGGATGCTCTCTGATCGCTCCTCGGCAGACCCAGTTGCCCGCCTCTCAAGCCGGGCTGGCCAATCACTCCTTGGGGTCGGCCCGTCCAGAAAGCATAGGGCTCTGAACCGACACTCCTGCAGCCGGCCATCGCTCCTCTTGCTCATACCACCTCGCCACACCGGATCCGCACTCGAAGCATCCAACCCCGTCTCCATGGTGATCCCGTCTCACGTTTCGGCCTCCAAGGCGGTCGAGGCTTCGTGGGAAAGCTCGCTTTCGGTGCGAGCAGCCCAGGGACCACCAGTCCGCTCGTGGCTCGACAAAGACATGCGTGAGGTGGTGATCAGGCTGCTGGCCAACGACTTTCTCAACGTCTCGGACCTGTCGCTCGACACGCGGGCCTACCTCGTCGAAACCGCCCTCCCGGCGCTGATTCTGGCTCTGGAGAAGCTGCTCAGGGAAGCCGAGAAACGGAACGCGTTCTCGACCTTTCCCATGCCCGCAACCGGAGGAGAAGACCACAGCCTGGTACAGCCCGACCGGCCAAATGAACTCCCATTCAGCCCTCTGAACTGGCTCGGTAAGTCGTTGCTGATGCCATCGCGCCTCCCCGATCGCAGCCGATAGCGAGCCGCGAATCTGCACCGGCGACTCTGACCCCGCGACGCCTGCTCCTTCACGACAGCCCAGTACCTCTACCGCAACAATCCCAGATATGCCAACTTTACCGACACCACGGGCTCGCCGTACCTCCAGGCCATGCACACCGTCAACATCCAGCTCAAGGCTCGTCTCTTTGAGCTGGAGACCAACAATCGAGCCCGCAAGCGGGCTGAGGAGCTCGCCCGCATTCGCGAGGAGGCTCGGCGCCAGGCGCTCAGAACAGCGCAAATGGAAGAGCGGCGCCGGATGTTCATTGAGCTCCTCGAGAACACGTTCAGGTCCTGGACAGCCAAGTTGTGGAGGGTCTCGCCGGGATTCTTGTTCCATGAGGAACTGGTGAGGCTTCGGGAAGGGCGGTCGTGGCCACCGACAACATTGGCGATCGATGGCGCACCTTCCACGACGGCAAGCTGGGATGCTGTAGCTGGGCATGCCTGTCGTGAGTCGCCTTCGATAGCTAGTCAGCCTGTTGTATCGTTTGGGCCTGGTTGTAACAAGCGCCCGTGAGAAAACTGCTGACACGCGCGACGGGATCCTTCGTCCTCACCCAGATGGAAGCATACAAGGTGGCGCTATTGATGGAGGATATCCAGCTGAATCCCGAGATGCTTGACAAAGTCATGCTCTTGATCCAAAGCTTGCTCGAGGGTGCGGCAAAGTCATCCAATCCCTTTGACCAGGAGCCGCCGGCGACGAGCGAGGGCGAGAGTGCACCCTCGACGCAGAGCCGTCGCACATCGAACGCACTGGGCCCGCTCGACGCTCCGTCAAGCATCGTCGTTTTTGATCGCTGGGACATTTCCAACTACGTTGACGTGTCGCTCAAGCTCATGAAAGACTGGAGCGTCGACGAGCTCTCTGTTTTCCTCAGATCGCTGGTTGGATACATCGACCAACAGGGCGAGGCACTCAAGTCCGCATTCGAGCAGACCTTCTTCATGCCTGAGTTCCCGGACCTGGATCTGTCGGCGCCGGTGGATCAGTGGAAGTCCCGATTCCTGGGCTTGGTTGAGTCCATCAATCTGACCGGACCCGATGCGGCCGAGATCAAGGAGATCCTCGCCATGTTCTGCGAAGATGACCTTGGGCTCGCCCAAAACATCCTGGAGCTTGAGGCAGAGTACCGCAGCTTCCTCAAGCGACTGACAGGCAATTTTGGCATCAAGGTCTTCCGGAGCCTTATGCAGCAGCTCCACAGGGCCTTCAACAAACTCAAGATCACTTACGAGGCAAACAAGGCCCAGATGGTTGTCCGTGTGTCGCTGACGGAAGCCCGCAAGATGGCCCTGGGCGACATCTACACCATTCTTCAGGAGCTTTCCCCCGACACGCCGACCGGTCAAAGCGGCGTTGCCATTCAGTTCAACATTATCGTTGGCCGGGTGATCGAATCGGGGTGCCGACCCGATATCATGAAGGCCCTGCAGGACATTCGGCTCCCCAGCGACAAGCCCATCCTGCGCGACGACTTTATCAGCCACTACCACAATGCGTGCAGTCTGCTGAAAGAGGACGCCTATGACGAAGCGCTGCAGCGTCTAGCCGAGGAGACCCAAATCGAGTTTGAGAACTTCCAGGCAAAGCAAGCGGCCGACCAGGCACAAGTGCAGCAGAGTTCGTCCATACAAACACGATTGCTGGATCGCGCGGCCCTCGAGCAAAAGGCCCTCGAGCGCATCCGCGATGCGGCCAAGCGATGGGATCTGACCGTTGCTGCAGTCTGCGACATTGCCATCGAGTCCATGACAAATTGCTTTGACAAGCTGCACGAAAACCACGACATACAGATGAGGGTATCGCTGATGGAGACAGGAATGACCAGGGCCCCGGACGACGAAGACGCCCCGATCACGCCTGGCATGGAGGCAGAGTACTTGCGATATATTTCGTGCTCTCCAGCCGTCCGCGATGCCGTTCTGGGCTTGCAAGTGCACTCTGAGAGCGCCATAGAGTACGACATCATTAGGGACAAGCGGTCCATCACCATGGAGGATATTCGGCAACACGCAAGCTTTGCAACGGTCGAGGGCATTCCGACGCTTATGAGCATGGTCGGACGATTTCTCGGTGCACCCATCTTTTCGGACGATGCCAGGGCCGTGGGAGTGCTTGACATTACCATGACTTGCCAAAACAGCGACACGCCAGCCGAGATCTTTGATGATCTGGATCTGCGCTTTGTGGAGGTATGCAAGCGTGTAGCAATGCAGTCGCTGAGATGGCCATCGCGAGATGATGTCTGAGGCGTTTTGTTGGAAGAGAGAGAGAGAGAGGACGGTGGTATACCCCATATTCACCGAAAGTAGAGATATAATGGGGATGCCGGAGTTGCTGGTGGTCCTGCTTCTGTACTGACTGAAGCACTGGATGGGCAGACTGCTATCAGCGAGCTTTCCAAGGTCCTCTACAGCATCGACATATTCCAAAAGTCCCTTATCTTGGCCAGATCGACGGCCAACTGGATCGCGGAGCAGGGCGAGGGCGAAGTAGAGATCGACATCTATATTCCTCCACCCATGGCTCACAAGGGAGCATCAGGCGAAGGGCAGATCCTGCTCAAGATCGAAGAGAACCCTGATGGGGTGGAGTTGACGAGCGCAATGATGGCATCGCCGTTTATGCGGCCCAATACCTTTGTCGTCCACCCGGTCGTGCCCGGTGCAGAAACGTAAGAATGCGAGTGAGCGTGCGCAAGGGCTTGTGTTGATTCTCTGTCGGGCCTCGAGTGTTGAGTTGGCTGTTAGTCAGGCGGCTGTATGTCTGAGATCCCGACGCTCCTCGTACTCTTGCATGTTCGTCGGGTCGGCATCCACGCACGCTGATATACAACTCTCGGGCTCGAATATGTATCTCTACAGCGTCCGTCTGTTCAAGGCGCAGGAGACCCTCAAGGTCATTGATGAAGAGGATCCGGAGAGCCATTTGGTTCACACTACCATCCCCGTCATTGACGAGCATGGGCAATGCGCAGCCGTGATCGACTGTCGTCCAACGGGCAAGCCCAAGACCGGTGAGATCAAGAAGCTGCAGGAGGGCGACCTCGAGGACATCAAACGAGCGGTGCGCATCCTCACGAATGCCATCGACTATGTCCACAAGGACCACTTTGCCAAACGCGACGACGCATCTCGCCTCGGTAAGTGCTGTGGGGGCGAGACTGGGGGTCCGTGAAGCGTATGGATAAGTATTGTGGGATCCCTTGGGAGTGGGCCGATGAATGACCGACTTGCTGATTTGAAAATGTCTTCCACCGTCCCACCCTCCCCGTATCTGCTTTCCGTGTAGATGCCGAGAATATCGACGACGAAGCTCGAAGAGACATTCTGTTCTCCAAGATGATGCTTCTGAGCGCGCGTGAGTCACTCGCCAACCTCGACTCACAGGCTATTTCGGAGCTGCGAAGCTACAAGAAGCCTCCAGCAACCGTTCTCAAGATCATTCAGGCTGTGCTTTACATTTTTGGGAAACATCCCAAGGACGGTAGGCTGCTCGCGTCCCGACAACTGGATCGACTCTGATGCGAGATGGATTACATAGTGTGCGGTGTCGTTGACGGCGAAAGGAACTGGTGCAGTCGTGGAGGCCTGTAAGTCTTGGATCTAATCCTGACGATTGATCGTGGCGTCTACTTCATCGAATACCCAGTCAAAACCTGGCCGAACGCTGTCAAGGTACGAATGCCATGGAGTTGTCGTGCCGCCGCTGCTGTTGCTCGAGGATGGAGTCTGATCGATGGATGATTCTGTCGCTGCAACTGCCGCTTGCTTCTGTGGAATGTGGTCTCGTATCGACAACTCCTCGGCTCACACCACTCTGTTTTGGCCCGTGCTTTAGTTTGTCAACATGGATCTGCTCAAGCAAATGGTTCTGTACGATCCAACGGCAGTCCAGAAGAAGATCCGGTTCAAGCGCGTCAAAAAGGTCCTCAAGAGTGAGTGCTATCCGAACTCTTGTTATCACGTTTACTGAAGGGAGGGATGGCTGTATCGCCAGTGGTATGCGCTGACAGCCCCTTTGACTCTGTTTCGCACCTCGCTTTCCATTACCGTACATCTTGCAAACGCACTCAATGCTAATGGGTTCATGGCGTCCATGATTGAATGGCAGCCATTCCGCACGGCGACGTGAAGGCTCGCGGATCCAAGCCCGCCCAACACATGTTCGACTGGCTGGTGGTTTCGCTGACGCTGCGCCAGAAGGCCCTGGATGCCCGCAAGCGCCGTGCCGACCTGTTTGCAAAGCAAAAGGCCGCTGCCGAGGCCGAAGGCGAGGAGGACGAAGACGAGACCCTGATTGTGGACGACTCGCGCCCTGGCACGGCCGAAGGCGGGGCTGGGGCTGGACAGGACGACGATATCGTCCTTGAGGACGACTCGGTTGTGGCGACTGTGAAGCTCGGCGATCAGGAATGAAGCCGGGGACACGATCTGGTCAGGGTGGCTCAGCTGTCCGAGAATCTGGCAGGAATGGAATGGAATGGATAGCCGCGTGAATACAGCGAGCGACTAATTGAATCGTGGACGTACTGCGTCGCCTTTTGTTCTTGGGAGGGGTCGGTGCCGTGCACTGTGGCTGGGTGAGGCGCATCACGCATTTGAGGTCAAAGACGGGAAATCGCTGCACGAAAGTCGGGTCATATACGCCCATAATACATGTATTGGATACAATCACTTGGATGCTATCGAGCGTCTGTCCGAGGGTTGGAGCAGCAGAGCTGCTGGAGCGAGTGTTTCGCCGGCTGCTCCAACAACGGTCATCGCCAGGACGAGTGTGGTACATGCTCGACGGAAGAAAAGATCATCCCGAGGTTCCCACGTTATTGGATGAAGTTCAGGATCTTGGATCTGGGAGTCAATTGGAAAGCCGTCAGTTTCGCAGCAACAGCAACCCTGGGAACGCGAGTGCGACTCATGTTTGGGTGCCTACCGGTACTCGTCAATGTTCTCGAATGTGAGAATGGCGAGCTCGCGCTTGTGCAGGGGCTTCTTTGTGATCGGGCAGATGTTGCGCGCAGTCTCGGACATCAAACACCGCAGCCATGTATCGTATCTGCACATTCGCAAGATGCACATGTCAACAAAAAGTGCATTGCATCCGCGTGCCCTCGTAGCATGTCGTGGTGTTCTCTCGTAGCATGTCGTGGTGTTCCCTCGTAGCATGTAGTGGTGTGCCCTACCTCCCACAACACAACTCTCAAGGAGTGTTTCGAGGTGGGAGGTGGGAGGTGGGAGGGGGAGGCGGGACGGACGCACTTACCCCATGACATGGCCGTATGGCGAGATCGCCGGCCGCACAACTTCGTCCAAAGTAATGGGATCGATGAATCCCGGAAGCGGGTTCTCGAAGCGGCTCTCGTATGCCCCAGCCCCAGATCCCTCAAGGCCGTCGTCAAAGCCTGCCTCGAAATCAGAGTCGTTGGTGGTGGACTGGTGATCCAACACAAACTCGCCATCGCTGTCGTCATCATCATCGTAATCATCGCCACCGTTGTTGTCATCGTCGTCATCGTTGACGCCGTTGTCATTGCCGCCAACAAATTCATCGTCGCTATCGCCGAGATCGTCGCTCCGGCCACGCCCCTTTCGCCGGGCTCGTTTGGCCCTGGGACGCTTCGTCTTTGGTCCCTTGGCTCGGCTGGCAACGGCTGGCAGCCAGTCCTCGGATTCCGAATCGCTGGGTGCGGCCTTGCGCTTTGCACTCTTTGTGCTCTGGACTGAGCTCGCAGACGACTTTGGCGAGGCGGATGTGGTATCAAGCGGGGCTGTCGTATCCGCCGGCCCCTTGCCCTTGCCCTTGCCCTTGACCAGTCTTCGGGCGTCGCCGGCCGAGGATGGCGCAGACGACGGGGGTATATCTGGTACGGCTGTTTGGGCAGAGTTGCTGAGGGTTGGGTCTTTTGCTTTCCTTTTCCTGGGCTCTTTCCGCGGCTCCAGTGCGATCGACGACGAAGGCAGCGATGGCGATCCAGCCGCAGTATCTGGAGGCATGGATGAGTCGTCTGCAACCCCGACCTCAGTGGACTTGCCCTTTCTGGAGGATTTCTTTGCAGGGTCTGTCGTCTCGGTCCGTCGCTTGGACCTTTTGGCATCTTTGTGAGAGCCATGGGACTGCGCCTCGGCGGCAAGCGGCAGGGCGATGGCGGCAGTATCAACCGCAGCAACAGCGGACGACGATGATGCTACCGACGCGCAGTTGGACGACATGGCCGAGAACGTCGAGGTCGCTGGCGAAGGCGGGCCGACAGAGGGCTCGATGGAGGCTGAGCGCTGGCGGTTTCCGGCCGTGCCGTGCTTGGTGTGTGTCCGGATGACGCCCTCCTTGCCCTCTTTCTTGCCAAAGAGATACCGCAGATCGCCATTGTCGTCGACAAAGTAGTTGTCGTCAACGATCTCGCCCGTCTTGATGAGGTGGCGATAGTAGTTGGCGCACTGGCGGAGGGGTACACCAGAGGCCGGTCGCGGACGTGTGTGAATGAATACGTTTGATGAGCGTACGATGGTTGGCCGGGAGGGATCGAAGCTGGCCACACAAACGCTCTGTTGACAGGGCCATGATGCTCTTCCAGAGGGTCTCTTACCTGATAGCCGACACGCCCGGGAATGGCCATCGAAAAGATTCCCCACTGCCCGTCGGCGCCCATCTCGCCAAGCCGCCGCATGAAGAGCTCCCGTTCCTCCTGTGAGCACAGACCATGGCACCGCGAGTGTCAGTCGGACCGCTGCTGCAATGCCTCGCGGGACGAGGAGGGGTCGCTCGTGGACGAAACTGGCTCGTGGACGAAACTGGCTCGTGGACGAAACTGGCTCGCGATATACTGACCGTCTCCCATACTCCGTTGTTTTGCTTTTCTCCGGGTGCATTGAACCGATAGTAGTACGAGTTGGGCTTGATCTTGATCATCTTGTATGCACGGATGCGGGCATCGCTCCAACCCTCGTAGACAACCTTGGGATCGACTCCGCTCTCGAGCTGGGCTATGGCTTCATCGAGGCACACCTTGGACAGCTTGATGCGGCCCCTGTGTCCCGGAAGCAGAATGTTACTGCTTATGAACGGCGTCGTCCAGATCTCAGCATCCATGGTCGGCCAAATCAGATCAGGTCAGGCTGCTTCGAGCCAGGTCATGCCAGACCCAAGCAGCCCGTTCGCTATGCACGCATGAACAACCGCCTGCCGTGGGCTGGTGTGGGAGGCCAGAGCCAGACTTGAAGCCGATAGCATCGCTGTGGACGGAGAAGCCGCGGACGCACAGCAATCCACAACAATCGACGACAATCCACAACAGTCCACGACAATCGGCGACAATCGACGACCCACTTTATCACATCTGGGGCTGGTGTGGGTCTGACTCTCTTCTTTTCTGTTTCTCGGTCCCCTCCTGATTCTTCGTTGAAATCGGGCAGGTCCTGAGCTCGTGCTGACGTATATGTGCAGGTGACGATGGGATGTGAGAAAGCACATGGTTGGACGAATGGACGGCTGCTCGTGGTAGCAGCTACAGAGGGCTTCGCTTGACCAGGGGCAGGGGCGGGTCATACCTGCGGTTTCGACGGCAGGGCCATAGGAGAGTGCAATCTTCTTGCGGATCCGAGTGAGCGTATCCGGGGCCGTCAGATTGAGCATCATTGTTTCCTGGGTGGGCGGTGAAACGGCAGATGCCTCAGCACGCATTGCTTGTTTCAAACCGGCTCCGGTAAAGGTGGAGTCCATCACAGGCACGGCGATGCCCACCTCATCGCCCTCGGCCTCGTCGTTGGCCGTCCGGATCTCCTCCTCGGTCATATAAAAGTAGAGCTGGCGAACGCGATGGCATGTTCGAACCCATTCGCGCTTCTCGTATTCATGGAACTGAACGAAGCGGCGGAATGTCAGAAAGATCGGAAGGTGCCCGGGGTCAGAGAAGCCATAGCAGTCCAAGCAAAGTATTTGGCGATGGATCCCTGCGTCAGACTGGGGAGCTTGCGCTGAAGGATGCTTGGGCTACCTGACGTTGCTGGAGTTCGACTCGCTTCTTGATGATGTCCTTCTCGCTCTCTGTGATCTCTGTTTCCAGAATGCGACGCCGGGAGCTGATGAGGCCGTCGCCATCGGTAACCAGCGATGGATCGATGGACAGAAACCCGACTTACCCCCGTCAAAGACTCGATCCTTGCGAACCTTTGCGAGCTGGTCGCTGAAGCGGCCGACAGGGGTTAGCACAACTGAATAGGATGCGATTCGGTGAGGAGACAACGGGCCCGGCTGATTTGGGTGGAAACAGACCTCTCGCAGCGAATGGCTTGGATGGTGTCTCGGAATCGCTGCTGCTCGTCCGCTTGCTCCTGCTCTAGACGAGCGATCCGATGAATCCGTTCAGCCCGCAGGGCATCCTGAGATCGGGAGTCGAGGTGTATATGGTATGAGCTGCCAAGGACCGAGTCTCAGACCCACAACAGGAGCGGCCTGCGAGCGACTGTGGCTGGACCGGACTGGAGACGAGCAATACCCGGATGGTGAATGTCGGGGGACTGGGGCAGATATTGGGATGGACGATGGGCCGAGGGGCGATGCCTATGACGGACACAGGTCGATGGACGATATAGTGTAGGAGGCACGGGTGTGAGTTGAGCAGTAGCAGAGGCAAGGAGTGAGAAGCGGCAACACTGGTTTGCAGCAGAACGGTCGCTGCGAGGGCTGACTCGGTGCATCCTCGATCACCGGCAGCGGTCGAGGACAGCTCCAATGAGAGAGGGATGGGGTATGGAATGCTCACTCTCGCCATCGTCAAAGAATCTGTGGAGCGGCTTGGACGAGCTGCCGGCCGTCATGGGTGGACGTCTTTTGCTCTATGCTCGCTTGGATGGAGGCCTGAGTCTGTGCAGAGACGAGACGGGGGCCACGACCTGTGGGGCGTTTGTGAATGTCATGAACGAGACTACCAAATTTGGGACAAATTGCATGCGTCCATGAACCAGGGCCAGGACCAGGACCAGGGCCAGGCCAGGACCAGGACCAGGACCAGGACCACGAATAAGGCCGGGCCAGACGATCGACGATGTCGCCTTGCGAAGCGATGCAGCCCACTTGCTCTCTGTCCTGGGCACTGGGCAGGAAGGACACCCTCGCCTGCAAAGGATGCGCTGGGCCCATCCGCGCACGAGCAAGTCAGCCGCGCTGGCCCAATATCGCTCGTGCAAACGAGAATCGGCCCGCCATCTGCGCTGACGAAGCCCGAACCAGAAAGACCACAATGAGCACCGACAGCGTTTTTTGGCCGGGGGTCATGACGCCATCGAGCCCGGCGGGGTCGTTCGTGGAAAGGCGAGAAAGCGTTTTTGCTGGCTGGTGCGGAGACAGATTATGTGGGGCGGGGACGTTTCCCCATGCGACCGGAGGGGGAATGCATGACCGACGGCGACATTGGACGAGAGACCCGCGCTGCCGAGAGCCCACGACGAAACAGGCTGATTTGAAGCCATGCCAAGACAGGGAGGGGGGGGTGACGAATGGGACAGCAACTGGGCCTCTGGCTGGCTCTGGATGGGTGTGGGAATGGGAATCGGATGAAGATGGGAATGGATGGGAATGGATGGGAATGGATGGGAATGGATGGGAATGGGAATGGGAGTGCGTCAACTCGTGGATTGCTTTCGAGAGACGACCCGGAGGGCTGTTCGATCCGACGCCCTGCCCAATCCCCGTCCCCGAATTCACTGCTCTTTGACGAGCTGCATCGCGCTCGCGGTAACGACAGCACAGGGCGGACCCAGAATTTGCCGGAGTGGCCGCTACCAGGACGCGCGGCCCGATTCAGCCCCTCGGGCTTGGCGCGTGGCATACCTCCGCACGCCACCGGGCTCGCAGTTCCGCCTAAATTCTGATCCCCCACACTGCCCGCCCGGTTTACCCGGCACGCCTGTGCGCGGCGGCGGAGCACAGGGTGCGTGGCCGGGCCCTTGTCGGGTACAGCCCCAGGACAGCGGCGGCGGCGAATCCAGCGCAGTCATTTCCATTTACCCGGCGGGAGGTGGCGCCTGCGCGGAGGGGGACAAGGCCCGTTGTTCAGGCAGAAGGGCGTCGCCGCCCGGACCGCGCGATGGCAGCCAGTGGTTTCGCGGCTGTTTTGGGGTGCTTCGCGGATGGTTCCTGGCGGCGATGGTGGGACAGATCCGTCACGATGATTCAGCGCTGCGCCGAGGGCAAGCGCTTGCTCTGACGCAGAAGCGAGCGATGCATTCGAGCAGGGCGGGGGGAAGTGCACGTTCTGCTGGTGCTGATGTTACTGATGTTGCTGATGTTGCTGGCGCTTGGGAGGAACCGGCCTGCGATTGCATCTGGTCCTTGCCGCGAGAGCCTCTGGGGCTGCTGCCGTGGCCTGGCAGGTTCAGGGACGTCGCCGGATGCAACTCGGGCGGGTGCGGTGGTGGGTCTGCGAGGAAAGCACGCAGAACGTCAGGCGGGCTGCCAGCCGGTCTGTGAGTGTGCCCGGCTGTGATGGATCTGCTGCTGGTGGTGCGTGGTGGGTCTGTTTGGGCGGACGGCTGTGGGTGAGTGTGGGGACGGGTTGCGCAAGATGCCCATGGGCCGGGGGACAGCAGGCAAAGGGATCGGCAACACGAGCGTCCTTGGTGCTGACGAGCCCTTGGCCAATGCCGCGTCTGCCGTGGGAGGTTACTTGGGTGCTGGTGTCGACACTGATGCTGATGCTGATACTGGTGTTGATGCTGATGTCGATATCGATACTGGTGCTGATACTGGTGTTGATGCCGGGCAGGTATCCGATCCCCGCACCGGCAGCCGCAGCAGGCAAGTGGCCTGGGACGCACACAGGGAGACAGAACTGCACCGACAAGGGCGAGCTTGCGCCGTACTTGGCGTGGGTGTGTGTCCTTCACATGCGCCGGCTGGTCGGTCCCATGGACATCAAGGCCGGCGGTGAGTTCTCGAGGCCAGCCTGCGGGTGAGCACTGTCGTCGCATGAGGGCGATGAAGTGACTGGCGTTGGCTCTGTCGATGATCCAGCGAATGGCTTCGCCGTCAATGCGGTGTGTGATATCGCCCTCGATACGGTGTGTGATATCGCCCCGATCGAGTGAATCGCCATTGCGCCCACGGCCAGGACAGACTCATCGTCGTGTATCTTCTTTGCCGGGCTGTCTGGTCTGGTGCGTGGTGCGTGCAGGCCGGAGGGTGGGGCACCTTCAGGTGTTTTGGGCTGGAGGGCAACATGGCAGATGACGCCGTCGGTCGCCAACATGGCTCCCCGCCCGGCCCCTTCCCACGGCAAACTCTGTCGACACCAAGCACCGATCCACCCACCACCACCACCACCACCACCACCACTACCACTCCATCCATCTGTCCGCTCGCCAAGGTCGATGCCAGCGGCAAGCCGGCCGCCGTCCCATCAGCAGAATCTCCGGCGGCATCAGCATCAGCATCAACCGTCCCATCTGCGATCCGTGGTCCATCTGCGAGCGAGCCCATTTGCGACCGCGTGGCCCCATTCGGTGAGAGCGATCGTGGGAGGGGCACATGCCTTGCCCTCGAGGGTAGAATCGAGCGAGGCCAGGATGGGCCCGGGGAAACTGCAGCCGCAGAGCGCAGGGCGGGGGGCAAAGGGCGGATGTTCTTGCGCTGCCTGTCTCGGACGCGATTTGGTCCTTGCCCCATTCGCCTCGTCAATAGTAGTCCAAGTAACATCTCGAGTAGCATTAGCAACGCTGCAAGCGGCATTGCCAATATCGGCAACACATCGCCATTGCCATCATCAACAGAATCAGCAATGCACACAACCATGGCCACAGCCCCCATCATCATCAGTATCATCAGTATCATCAGTATCATCAGTATCATCATCATCATCATCATCATCAGTATCATCAGTATCATCAGTATCATCATCATCATCAGTATCATCAGTATCGCCCGCCTGTTGTACCGGATCCAGCACGGCCCCAGCTGCCCACGCCTGCCAGCAAGGCCCTCCCAACAAGAGCCCCCCCGCTCGGGTGCAAATTTGCCGGACAGCCAGCAGACAAACTCAATCCGCAAGCGCGCGCGGCGATTGGCCGAAACCGCATCCGTGCCCAGGGCTGATTTTCCAGCAACATGTCGTGGCGGCCGTGGAGAGCCCTTTCGGCCGCGGGGGCGTCTTGTTCGTCCCGGTGCTTGTGTCGGCCGCCCCTTCAAGGCTTCTTGGCCGTTGCTCGATTCTGCCTGTTTATCCCCGGGGGATCCTCTTATAACCGTCGGTGTCGACCCATCCCAGCGCCCTCGGTTTCTCGATTTCTCGGGTTCCTGGCTTTCCTATCCGACGCTGCAGACCCATCTTCAATCCCCCATCAGCTTCTGGCATTGCCCCGCGATTGACTACCCCGACTGACTGCCTCGGGACGAACTGCTTTGCCACTGCTTCGTGATTGATTACTTTTGCATACGGTTCCCTGTCCCGGACACTGCCATCGGTTCCCTCGGCTCTCCACCAACTGCTTCCCACCCGCCACACCCTCGCGGCACTCTCCCACAACCTGACCCCAGCTCGTGGCCCCCCCTCTCCCGCCTGTTCTGTCTTGTCCAGAGCAAATCCGTCCTTTTCACTCACTCCCCGTCTAGACTCAAGTAGTTTGGGCACGCCGGTCTTTCCGTTCTTGTGAATCGCCTTTTCCTCCTGGCATACCACCGCTCGCATTCCATCGGCACTGGGTCCATCCCACATCCTGTTCAATACTTGGCCCCAAGCCAAAGATTGCCATTCCCCGCTGCACACGCATACCCACATTCCCCTCCCTCATTCTCACCAACCAACATGGAGACCCTCCCAACCGCCGCCCATAAAGACGGCGCAATCGCATACAAGGAAATCTCGAAACGGGGCCATCCCATCAACCTCAAAGTCGGCCAGAAGGATCGCTTCCTCTCCAAGCGCACCGGCGAAACTTTCTCGAGCTATCTTGAGCAGCTCTTGACCTTTCTCTTCAACCTCCAGTCACACCACCGCGGGTATCGTTTTACCAAGAATGCCCTGCTCACCGTGCGCTCACGCTTCACCCAAGAGTCTCTCGAGCGCAAAAAGATCTGGCGGCTATGGCTCAAGCCTGCTGCCCTCGCCAAGCTCATCATTCTCATCAACATCTGCTCGCCCAACCTGAGCATCGGCGGTCCCCTCCGCCCCACCTACAACGAGTTTGTCGAGATGCTCCTCGATCTCGACGAGATGGGCCTCGAGGCCGCCGAGCGCACCAGCTTTATCGAACAGGGCGACCTGGCCAACGACTCGCATTTCATGCAGGTACGCCACCCCGCCTCCCATTCTGCCGACCGTGCGGCTCGATAGATTCCCCGCTGGCCGACCCATGGCGTTCCCGGTGTGCCTTCTCCTTCTCGATCGCCCTGCTCTGATGTGATCCATGCATCTTGGTCCCCGATTCCACTGCTGCTCGTTCGTTCAGCACGTCCAGATCCCCCTCCTTCTTCTGCGGCTTCCCCCCCTGTCGCCGTGGGATGGCTTGACTCTCCCCCTCGCTGCCCCCTGTGCGGTGCGCGCTTGCTGCCGTCGTGGGCGTTGTGTTCGCACCCATTAATCACCTCGCGCCGTTCCTTTTTGCCACACTCGCCGCCGTCGGCTGTCGCCCGTGGACTGTGGCCGTGGACTGTCGCCGTGGGCTCTGGTGCTGCTGTTCTCGCTCGCCAGGACGCCCACAGGATCGAGTCGCCCGAAGCCGAAGACTCGAGCTCGGCCGACGAATCCAGCAGCAGCAGCAAGCAGCCCTGCTACCGCCGCATCTCGGTGCACTCGCTCCTCATCGACTCGACCGAGACCAGCCCGGCAACATCCCCAAAGGCTTCGAGCGTCTTTCTGCACGACAACACCCTCTCCGAGGAGGCCGCGTCCTCGGCCATCCGGCTGTTTTTCGAGGTGCGTGTACAGATCCGCCTCATTGAGCGCCTGGGTCAGGGTGGCGAATCACGAGGGAGGGACGGACGGAGGCGGGATTCAGCCACCGCTGGACAGTAATCGCTGGACAGCACTCTGGACAGCACTCTGGACAGCACTCTGGACAGCACTCTGGACAGCCGGGATGCCACACCTGCCTGTGGCCCCCATATGACCGTCGCGTGCAGGTCGCCTATAAGACCGATCCGGCTGTCGGCTGTCCCCAGGCGGCACGGCGGTCCGGGCTCCCCGCCTGCCACGGCATCAGCGACACATGGCTCCCGGCGACCCGCATGGACAGGCGTCCTCGTGGGTGGCTCCTCCCAGAGCTTTGATCTCTGGGCCATGGGCTTCTGTGGCTTGTTGCGCTTGTGCCCGAACCTGTTTGTCCTGACAAACGCTCTTCTCGCTATCGTCCTTGCGCACGTCCCCCATGCCGTCTTCCAGAAGTACTCCGAAACCAACCTGCCATGCGGTCTGGTGAACCGCAGCACGGTGACCCGCCACTGGCGACAAACGCCGCTGCATCTGCGGTGCATCATCCTTGCCCTCGGACTGGCCGAGTTTGTCGATCGAAGCGAGCACCACAACGTCATTCAGTATTACATCCGGGCTCGCGAGCTGGTCCTCGAGACCTTTGACCAACCCACCATCGAGACCGTCCAGACCCTGGTCCTGCTCGGATGCTTTTCGAATCGTAAGTCCTTGTGCCAGATGTCCTTGTGCCAGATATCCTGTGCCGAGTCCTCTGACTCGGATCTGTCGCTTACCCTTTCGCTGTCCTTCGTTGCGTACTTGCCGCTGCATCGCGTGCATCTCATTCTGCCGCGGATATCCAGACATGGGTCATGGTGAGTTCTATGTCTTGGTATTCCAGGATACAATCTGCGTGTTGCCAGCAAGTCGTCCGTCGCCTGCATCCACACAAGCTCTAACCTTTCCAACTCTCCCACACCTTGGTTCCGTCGTTCTGCAGTCAGCGTTGCCAGCCGGTTCTTCTTGACATGCCTCCGTGTTGCCGAGCTGCTGGGCCTCGACCAGCTCGCAGAGTGTGTCGTGCCCTATGACCACCCTCACTGGATCGCCGAAGAAACCAAGCGGAGGGCGTGGTTCAACTGCGTGTACTTTGCGCTGTCCAATGGCATCCCCATCACCCTTGGCGACCACATTACCCTGGATCTTATTCCTCCCAGACTGTTCCCCTGCGCCGAGTATCTGTGGCAAGGCAGCCGGCACGGCAGCCACGGCCCTTCGTCTGAGAAAAGCCCCATCTCGCCGACTGAGCTCCTGCAGGACGCCCTCTTCTTCATCAAGATCGGCCAGGAAAGTGGCCCATACGGCTGCCTTTATCAGTCGGGTCTGCACCCCGATACCGAGTCGGTGTCGTCCAACTCATCGCCGGCCTCTTCGCCAACGGCCTGCTCCCTGCGCTTCCATCCCGCCAGCAGCCACCACCAGGCTGTCCTTGATCAATACAAGCGGTGGAAGGCCGAGAAGATCGTCGCCCTGCGACGGTGGTGGGATGCCTGTCCCGACTGGAAGAAGCACAATGCGCCTGCGTCCATCCGCCCGATGCTCTCGCCAAAGGCCGAGATTGACATCTTGACGGTGAACATCATGCTCGAGTCGACCATGTCGGCTATCCACTTTACCGACATGATGGAAGGTGAGTCAGCCAAGTCTACCCGGCCTTGCTATGACTTCTCCGTCCTGTGGTTTTGAATCCATCTGTACAATCGAGTCCCCTCCCTTCCGTATGCATGGTCGGCCGCTGATCGACAGTCCTATGCCGTTTGTTTTCAGAAATCTGGCGAGACGCCCCCGGCGAATCGATGCAGGTCTGCTGGAAGTCGATCCAGACGGTCTACCACCTAATGATGCGCATCAAGGAAATCGACCCGAGCTTCTCGAGCTGGAACAAGGCGCTGCTGAACCCGTTCCTGTTCGGATCCTTCTTCACCATGCTCGCCGTCCTGCGGGCCAACCCGAGCCTGATCACGGCCGAAGTCCTGTACCTCTATGACGTCTTGCCCAAGAGCTCGCCCATTTGGGGAGACCACCCCGATCTACCTGCTGCCGCCACCACCGACTTGGTGTCGAGCCTCCACACCCAGTTTAGCGATATCATCTACAACCGGCTGACTCGACTCACACCCGACATGGACCCAGACCTCGTCAACGAACTGACGCATCGGTACCGATCGCAGATGGGGGCCCTTGCTAGCCTGGCCCTTGGTCCTTGGGTTCCGCGAGAGTGGCTATGAACCACGAACGGTGGGAGCAGGATGTGTACCGAAGCAATGCACATCCAGGCAATGTCGTCAAGTCTGCGAGTCTCCTGAATGTGGATTCGAGGCTTGCCCTTCTGTCATGACACGATCCGATTCGACATGACTCGATATCTCGATTGTCGTATTCTCCGCTTTTATTTTGTTTCTTTGCTTTTACATTCCTTCCTAGCTTCTCTCCATGTTGCAGTCCCATTCTCCCATCCCCCCTCTCTCCTTTTTTTTTTCATTTTTGCTGGCGTTTGATTTTCTGTTAATCTTCCTTAGAGCAATTCGCTGTCATCTTGTAATATCATTGCTGCTTGTGTATACTGTCGCTGGCTGCAGTTCATACAATTTAGAAACGGGAGCCGCCCGGCATGGTCCTACATCACCACGTTGCTCCGATTCCAAGCGGTGAATGGCTGTCGAGAGCGAACGGCCAATTTACTGTATTGAAAAACCAAAACAGGGTGGCTCCTTTTTGTTTGGCGAGTGCGTTTGCAACGAATAAAATGAAAGGATGCCTGTTCTTCCCCCCCTGCCCACGACAATATCAACGATCACCATCTCTCCATCTCTCCATCTCTCCATCTCTCCATCTCTCCATCTCTCCATCTCTCCATCTCTCCATCTCTCCATCTCTCTCTCCATCTCTCCGAGACAAGTCGACTTCTGTTTCGGTTTGCAGACCCCTCTTGATCTGTCCCAGCAGCTTTCTCCATCAATCGTGTCGAACATGGCACTCCTTCCCGTGACTAGAAGATGCTCGAGGGATGCTGCTGGTGGGTTGGATGTGCATTGCGAGCGCGGCCGTGCTTCTTTCGGTTAATGTCCGAAGAGGCCAATCCGGCGGCCTCGCCGTTTGTCGGGCGCGAGTACGATGCCGCCGTGTCGAACGGGCTATCGGTCGAATACATGGCATCGCTCTGGCGAGAGCGCGGGGTCAGAGACCGGCCACTGGCGACCAGACTCAGCCCGCCGTCATCGTTGAAGATGCTGTTTGAGGCGGGTTGATCAAAATGGCGGCGGCTGCCGCGTGGGACGAACGCACTGGGCTCGGAGATCGAGGGCGGACGCTGGTTGAAGATATCCGTGGGCCGATAGTGCTGCTGCTGGAAGCGCTGGGCTGGGGTGCCGCTGCCGCCGGATGCCATGACGAGGCCGCCCTCGACCCTTGGCCCTTCGGCCAGGCCGAAATCGGCGCCAGCACCAGAGCGGGAGCCAGCGGACTCGAACGAATCGCTCTCGCGGGCACCATGCAACAGAACGTCGTCTCGACAGCCTGGATTCGGCTCGCTGTATCCTCCCAGCTCATGAGCCGGCTCGGCGCCGCGCACACCATGCGTCCATGGTCCGCCTTCCTGTGCAATCATGGCTGCGGGTTGATCGGCCATGGGAGACGATGGGTTTCGCCCAATGTGCTCCCGGGCATCCATTTCGTCGAGCTGATGGGCATCGTCGCCGAGAACGTTGGAGAAGGAGCCAGTCCTGGATACGGCATCATGCAGCGCGCCGGAGCCTGATCCTACCGGTGCAGCCTTTCGTCTGTGGGCTGAGGAAGGCGACGGGACATAGAGGCTCTCTGCAACGAAAGCAGCGTCGTTTAGCGTTATGCGGCTGATCGCGAGTCGTGTGAACGGAGCTGACCAGGCAAAGCAGCGCACTGGAGCCAGCTCCATTCCGACCAGCACATTGTGCGGTGAAAGACAGCAGGGCGGATAGGGACAGGCATACCGTCCGAGGCAGAGAGCGACGGGACCATTCTGCCGCCGCGTCGCTGTGGGGCTGAGGGCTTTGTCTGCTCCTCCGAGCTGGACCAAAAGATGTCTGAAGCCATGTAGTTCCTGCGCGAGGGATGCATGGCAGGCTGGGCGCTGTCGCCCAGGAAGATCGTGGAAGAGTTTCTGTTCTTGCGTGTCGGAAGGACGCTGGGGCCCGCACCGGAGCCATCGGCGCCAGGAACGGGATTCTGGTGGAAGATATCCGACGGAGGCTGGGAGCGGATTCTCGCCGGGGAGCTGTAGAGCGAGCTGTTGCTGGACAAGGAGCCTGTGGATGCCATCTTCGAAGTCATCGAGGCGTACGTGGAGCCCGTCCGGTCGTTGTAGTTGCCAAAGACGATCTGGGATCTACCGCCGGGTGGATGACGGTCGTCGCCAGAGCCAGGCTCCTTGAGGGTATGGGCACGGGAGGATGCAAACAAGGAGGAATATGAGTATGGGAGGATACTGGCAAGATACGAGCATGGAGGAGCATCAACACACAGGCGGCCTTCCGCACTGGTTGATCCAGACGCGCCACAACGAGATGTTATCTGCCGTGGAGAGACGAGCAGCGATCACGGCCAAGACAGAACGCGACGACGAGTGAGATGTTACGGCGAGTCGCAGAAACGACCAGATACGACCGGAAACACTACCATGCCATATCGAATATCGCTGTCGGCCCTCAGCATTGGAACAGCGCGGGAATGCAAGCCGGGGGGAGGGGAGAGTTGCCGGTTGGAGGTGTGGGAAGCACGAACGAACGTCTGATGCGACGCGAACGAGCAGATGAGACGCGAGAAAAGGGAGCCTTCAGAAGGCAGAGACAGGACAAGGACCGCTCCTGGTCATCAGAGCCCGCTGCTGGCCCGGAGTGGTCGATGCAGTGATTGCGCCAACGTGGGAGTGATTGTGCGAGTGAGCGAACGAGTGAGCAAGTGAGCAAGTGAGTGAACAGGCGAGTGCGGGAGCAAGCGATGCGCACCCTCAAACCGCACTCGATCCGGCCATCCCCTGGATCCAGCCAGTTCCGACCGGGCATGGAATGCTCTCCCGGCTGAGTTTGCGCCTCTCGCGGCCGTTTTTTCGCGTGCGGATTCTGGCCGGCGTATTTGAGGCCCCCCCCCCAGTCTCCTGCTCCTTCGCTGCCATCGCTCTCGCCCTTTTCTCGTCGCCAAGGCCGCTGAATACGCAGTCTCCGTCCAAGACCCCTCCAGCCTCGACCACATCGCTCTCCGCCAGTCATGTTCGCTCTTCGATCGCTGCGCTCGCTCGCCCGCACTGCCAAGGCTCCCATCGTGGCTCCTCACCGGCGGTTCCTGTCCACCTACGACTCATACAACACGGCTGTCGCTGGTCTGTCTCCTGAGCTCGCCGAGGCAAGTACATGCACGGATATGGATGCATCCTGTCTCTGGGCGCATGTGTGCTGCGTCGCAGCACTGAGAGCGGCCCCCTGGGTGGTGTTCAGTCAGGCGATCATGCTAATCGCATTACCCCCAACTGCCTTTTACCCCACTACCCCACACCTTCCGATCTGGCTACTATTTTCTTGTTTCAAAATCCAATCCGCTTCGCATCCCACCATGCCGCCGTGTAACTTGAATCTCACCTGAATGCTGCTCCGGACTCGCCAGCTCCGCGAGGTCGTCCATGACTTTGCCCAGAAGGAGCTCGCTCCCCGTGCCGAGCAGATCGACAAGCAGAACGCCTTCCCAATGGTAAGTCCCCCCCCCCAGCCAACGTTATTAACCATTTCTATGCGATTGGGATGTGCCGGACTCGATCGCCGCCCAAACCACGGTGCCTAGTCCATGGTCCTCCGCAACCAGCGTCACGGACACACAAGCATTGCCATGCTCACCAGACAAATCTGCTCCAAATGCTCACAGGACATGTGGAAGAAGCTGGGCGAGATGGGATTCCTCGGCATCACTGCTCCCGAGGAATACGGTGGCCAGGACATGGGTTACTTTGCCCACACCCTTGTGATGGAGGAGCTCAGCCGGGCCTCCGGCTCGGTTGCTCTGAGCTATGGCGCCCACTCCAACCTGTGTGTCAACCAGATCGTGCGCAACGCCAACGAGGCTCAGAAGAAAAAGTACCTCCCCAAGGTGAGCAGCGATATTTAGCAAACTCGTGGGAAACCGCTCCTGCATCCACCACTCGGGCAGGGTGTACGTAGCAGCATTTCGAGCGACACTGACGATTCCCTGTGTAATGCCCATGCAGCTGATCAGTGGCGACTATGTTGGTGCCCTGGCCATGAGCGAGCCCGGATCCGGCTCGGACGTCGTGTCCATGCAGCTCCGTGCCGAGAAGAAGGGTAGGTGTGCTCGCTATCCACAGACGACGCAATCCAGCCCGGCGCCAGCCAAGTTCTGTGCTAACAGTGGCACGCCCTCATCCCGACAGGTGATAAATACATCCTCAACGGCAACAAGACCTGGATTACCAACGGGTGAGTATCCAGCCGCTGCCTTGATGATTTGCGCCATCTGGCTGGACCCGGCGATAACTCACCGTTTCTCACCCACATTTGCATCTCCGTTGGCTGCAGCCCCGACGCCGATGTCCTCGTTGTGTACGCCAAGACTGACATCAATGCCGGTCCTAAGGGCATCACTGCTTTCCTCATCGAGAAGGTACTGTCGCAAGCGTTTGGACTTGCATGTCCGGCTGCCCTGCCCCAGAACGATTCGATTCACGACACCGACAGCTTGGTTCTAATATCTGATCACGCCTCCGCCACAGGGCTTCCCCGGCTTCTCGACCTCGCCCAAGTTCGACAAGTTGGGCATGCGCGGCTCCAACACCTGTGAGCTGATCTTTGAAGACTGCGAAGTCCCCGTCGAGAACGTGCTCGGATCCGTCGGCCGCGGTGTCTACGTGCTGATGAGTGGACTGGATCTCGAGCGCCTGGTTCTGTCTGGAGGTCCTCTTGGGTAGGTCGACAGTAGCAGCCACACGGCCATGGCGTACACCGTTCTGACTCTTGTTGTCTTCTCGCCGCAGACTGATGCAGGCTGCTCTGGACATCACTCTGCCATACGTCCACATGAGGAAGCAGTTTGGCACCCGCATTGGCGAGTTCCAGGTGAGTTGCAGCGTGCAAATGTACTGCAGGCGCCTTTGCGCGATTGGCTGGAGTGCCGATTGCGTCGTGGATCACTGAACACTCTTCATCATGTCCCGTCGACTCGCAGCTGGTCCAGGGCAAGCTCGCGGACATGTATACCAAGCTGAGCAGCAGCCGCGCCTACGTCTATGCCGTTGCTCGCGCCTGTGATGCCGGAGACATCAGCAACAAGGTATGCACCAGTCCATGCCCGTGCCCGGAGAGATGGTGCATCCGAGAAGCCATGCTGGCCTGCTGGAACGATGTTGTCGCTGATATGCTTGCTTGACTCGCCGCAGGACTGCGCCGGCGCCATCCTCTACACTGCCGAGCGTGCCACCGAGGTTGCTCTGGATGCGATTCAGTGCCTCGGTAAGTGCACCGGACGATCTCGATGCTGATGTGCTGCTTCGTTCTGGTCATGTTTGATGACGAACAACACCACTCGGTCGTCTCACTCGCTTCTGTCATCTTCCTGTCCTTGTGTAGGCGGAAACGGATACATCAACGATTGTGAGTATACGCCTTCGCAGATCGCTCTTGGACACGGAGCACCTCCTGTCCGACGAGTGGTTAGACTCACGACAAACGCATCCTCACATTCGCTTCATCCCCATAGATCCTACCGGTCGCCTCCTCCGCGATGCCAAGCTCTACGAAATCGGCGCTGGAACGAGCGAGATCCGACGAATGCTCATTGGTAAGGAGATCGTGAGGGGCATGGGATCGGGGAGACCGAGACAAGCGCTGCAAAAGCAATGCGCCGAGTACGAATGCTGATCGAATGCTTGACAACCCGCTCATCCAGGCCGCGAGTTCAACAAGGTGTTCCCCAAGGATGCCTAAATCCTCACTAGATCAAGCATTTGCAGCCCATTGTATATTTTGACACCCCACCTCCCTCCTACTACACCACCACCGGGGCTTGGCCGGACGGCTTTTGCCGACCAACTCGGTTTGAAATACAGCAGGGTCGTTGATCATGCAGTCTTCTGCTCACAGCCAGGACGTCTGAGTGGGAACGAGCATTCCCGACATTGTGGATGGGTGCAGGTTCGCCGTGTTGAGATGAGACGGATCGATATCCGCTGACCCAACGAGACCATGTGGATGTTGGGGAGGGGGCCGATGCCGCCGAAAGGAATTGGGCGCTTGGGCCGGCTGTCGGTCGTGGTATACAGAATCAAAACGAAGCAGGACAGCCGGTTTCTCCTGGAGCCTGGCCTTGAGCATATCCATCATCCTCAAGGGCCCTCCGCCCCTTTCAAATTCTGTATCGCTGGATTTCGAGGACATGTGATTGCAGCTGGAGGTCAGCTGGAGAAGGGACGAGAGTCTACTCATCCCTGGTGCAGGCGTTGATCAGGTTGCGATATTCGCTCTGGAGGGTCTGGAGGGCGTCCGAGCTTGCACCAACCCGGGAGGCAAGTTCGGCCAGCCTCCGATGAGACGACAGAAAGTCGGACGCTGCTCGAGACGGCGACGGGAACAGAGAGAGTCGAATCAGAGGCGAGAGACCGGTTGGCTGGGTGCGGTGCGAATCATCATCTCCAGCGATCGAGCCGAGGGATCGGCAAGAAACGAACCGATTGACGGCAGCAGCGACGGGGTGTTGGCCGGGGCGCTTGCTGGACCGGTTGCTTTGGAAATGTCCTCGAGGACGCTGGCGACGGAGAGCGCGGGACGATCCATGGGCGACTGGGGACGAGATGGAGGACGAGTCGATGGGCGGACGTGATCGTCGGGATGGGGAGAGTTGAGCCGAACGAGTCGAGCCAATGGGACGGGATGGGTTTGGCGAATTTGATCGACGAGATGGAGGGCAAAGACGCATGGCAAACGGCGGTGATTTCGCGGATCGCTGTCTTGGCGCTTGGCGCTGTCTTGGCGCTTGGCACTGGCCTTGGCAGCATCGCCCCTGCCTTGGCAGTTTGCCCCCGCCTTGGCGAGAGAGCCCGTCTCGCTCCTTCGATACCTTTGCTTTTATAGTCTAGATGTTGCCCTTTTCTTGTTTATCCCCTTGAAAACAGCACCCATCCTCGATACCGGTCCTTCTCCGCCGGGCGTGCCTTCCTAACAGCCTCTCGGTCGCCAAGCCAACCGGCCTTTGGCATCATCAAGCCAACCGACGGTTCGTATCATCAAGCCGTCCAAGCCCTCGTCGGACCATCGCCGACCATCGCCCACACCGCCCACACCGCCCAACCGAAAACTTCCCAATCTCCCTCACGTTCGGCCGTGTCCGTTTATCGCCATGGCCGTTTCTCTCTCGCTTCTGCGCAATCCGGCTCCGTTCCTCAGACACAACATCGGCCCGATCCTGTCGGTGCTGGCGGTGATGATCTTTGTGGCTGTCGAGATTGTGGTTGCATACAACTCCAACTTTGCCTTGCCGGCCCCGCTCGATGCCTCTGTCCCCAACTCGACCTTCAGCGAAGCCCGTGCCCGGGTCCTCCTCCAGAACCTCACCGTCGACATTGGCATCCACAACGCCGGCGGCCCCAAGCACTACCTCGCCCGCGAGCTTCTCAACAGCAGCCTACTCGCCATCCTGAACCAACCGACGGTCCCCGGCGTCCGTGTGGAGATCTCGCAGCTCGGAGACAACTCCACCCTGGGAAACTACAGCTATCTGTATCCGAACTTCACGACGACCCCGCCCGAGAACATATACATCCGTCTGTCCGATGCATCCTCGCCCGTGACCCAAAACAAGTCGACACTGCTCCTTTCGGCCCACTACGACTCGGTGCCGACCGGTCCTGGTGCCACGGACGACGGTGTTGGCACCGTCGCCTTGGTCGAGACGGTTCGCAACCTCCTCTCGAAACAGCGCCTCGATCTTGCAAAGTGGAATGTCCTGGTCATTCTCTTTGATCAGGAAGAGATTGGTCTGATCGGCAGCGCCTGGTTCATGCACCACCCTTCGCCGTGGCAACTGGACACCAAGCTCACCAACGTCATTCTCAACATCGAGGGCTCGGGCAGCGCCGGCAAGTTCACCCTGGTGCGGGGCAGTAGTCAATGGGCCGTCAATTTGTTTGCCCAGTCGGCACCTCGGCCCTATGGTCTTTCGGTCGTGCAGTTCATCTACAACCACGTCTTTCTCGGCGGCAGCACCGACCTGGACTCGATCCTTCGCTCGTCGCCGATCCATGCAGTCGAGCTTATCGCGGTCCACAACCGCTTCCGCTACCACACCATCGACGATTCGTATGCAAATGTGCAGCAGGGCTCTATCCAGCACCTCGGCGAGAACATTGCCGCCTTCACAGACAAGGTCCTGAGCACCGACCCAGCCTCGTACCCGCCAATGCTGCCCATCATCAGCTTGGAAGGCGTTCCTCGCTCGATTCCCACCGAGCTCTACTACTACACATCGTTCTTTGACAGCATCCTGGTGACTCAGTCCCGACTGGGCCAGATTCTCATCACGACGGCCTCTATTGCCGTCGTCGTGCCGCTGCTCGGAGCCTTCGGAAGTATCTTCAAGGCCCGCATGTGCATCGGCGCTCGGTCAGTCGGTCGGGTGGCTCTGGACGCTCTCATCAACGCTGGTCTGCTCCTGGCCAAGGCTCTGGGATCTATTGTGCTCACCAGCGTTGTCTCGCTGTCGATCGTGCTGCATTCCAAGAACTGGACCGCACCGCCAGAGAACGCTTTCCGACTCCTCTTCTTTGAGCTTTCGGTCGCGGTCGCCTGGTTCGCCATCGATTTGGCCATCGCCCTTCTATCACGCCAGCCGGACCAACACTGCCGAACAAACCGCCACCGCCGAGCAGCGAAAGAGCGCTCGCCACGACCTTTTCGTGTCGTTGCCTAAGAAGTCTCTGGTGGAGGCGGTCTCGTCGATAGAGGACTCGGAGCCGAACGGCCCGGTTGTCCATCCGACTGCCCCTCGGTTCGCATACGGATACGCCAACTTTGTCGAGGTTGCTGGCCTGGCGCTCTTCAACATGCTCTTGGGCATTGCCATGACGGTTGTGTTGCCGGACCTCTTCCTGATCCCTACCATCAACGTCGTCGTTGCCGCTATCGTTGTGCTCGTCGACTTTGCCTATCTGACTATGGCAGACAAGATGGCCGGATCGTCGGGAGCCAACTCCGTCGACACGACGGGCACCGAGTCGAGCGAATCTGGCCGCGCCCTGATCTCCAGCCGCCCCGATAAGGACCGGCTCTCGCTGGTCTATTTCGCCCTGCGCCAAATGCTGATTCTGTCACCGCTGCTTGCGGCCCTGCAGACGTCGGTAATGGTTTCGACGGCGCTGCCATACTACCTCAATGCCATGGACATTCCGTGGGCCTCGGGCATCCTCGTGGGGCTCTTCAACGCCATGTTTGTGATGCCCAACTTTGACCCGCTCGTGCAGTCGCTCAAGACACACCAGGGACTGGGCATGGTCCCCGTCTTGGCTGTGTATGTGTGTGTTGCTGTGACGACGATCGCACTGGCATATTCTAGCAGCACCTGAACACGCCTGAGGCTCTGGAGATCACTGGTGTGTGCATGAACATGAACGTCGAGTGCACAATGGGAATGGAATCGTCTGCGGAGACCGTCAAGCAGAGAGCCAAGCCAGGACCGAAGGTGCTTGTCAAAGGGAAAACATCGGCTGGATCTGGCGAGGGGGGGAAGGGAAGGGATGGCAGCGGCAAGGGGGTGCTGAGTGAATTGCGACTGAGCCTGTGCAATCCACGGAGGGAGCAGCCCGTGCCCCGAGGCATGTCAGCACAGCAGCGAGCAGCGTGGACCATCCAGCGCATGAGCAACCTTCTGGCGGATGAGCAGCGGCATGGCGCATGAGAAACGGCATGGCGCATGGCGCAACCTTAAAGGATGGGTATGCGGGTGGCGCCAGCGGTGGGTTAGACTTGGTTGTATCCTGGTCAAGCCCACCACCATCCGGCGTGCAATCCTTCCTCCTCTCAGTCCAGTCCAGTCCAGCCCAGCCCGGGCGGATACTCCTGATCCTTTGGGATACCTTGCGATCGAGCGAGATGGGGCGAGATACCTCGGACCCGGGCGATACCATCGGGGTCAAAGGAACGTTGACTCAAAAAACGTCGGTCGGATACACCGGACCCTTGCGCGGTATCAACAGCCGACCTTCCGATCCGAGCAAGGTCACTGCCAGGCCTGCATTGGAGGCAGTGATGCAACCCAATATGCGCTTCCATCACACAGAGGATCGGGCCGTGTCTGCGAGATTTTGCGCGCCAGCCAAGCACCATTGGTCCCCTCGGGCTGCTGTGGTACACCCAGAGTACCTTGCTGGAGGAGGAGGAGGAGCGAGCACACTGGCCGGGGCCGCGGATCGTCCGTGTTGCTCCCCACCCAAAAGTTCCACGGAGCCACCGCAGCGACACAGAGCATGGGTGGGTGGTGGGACCATGCCCGATGTCGCCCAATGTCGGTCCAGTGGCGATCCAATGTCGATTCAATATCGGTCCAATGTCGATTCAATGTCGGTCCAATGTCGACACAGCCGACCTCCGCGCCAACCAACTTGAACTTGCGGCATCGTCCATTCGCTCTGATTCCGTGGCACCAGTTTTCGTGCGCGTTGCCTTATTTGGGTGTCTGGGCAATGAAAGAAATTCGCTCTGCGTGGGAAGTTCTCCATGACGGCGGCTGCCACCGGGTAACAAGGACCAGAGGCCAGCGCGGTCATCAGCTGGGGCAGACTGAGAGTACGGACTGGCAGTCTCGCCACCGAGAGCAGCCGATATGAAAGTCATTCACAACGGGGCAGGCAGAGAGTGCGACAGACCAGCTGCACAGGCTACTTGACATCACGGTGTCAGCAGAATCCCGGACGCTGCAAGGCAGGGAGTTGAAGGATGACCAGTGCTTGAGTCGAAAGAGCTCTTGAGCAGAGAGGGCTCTTGAACAGCAAGAGCGCTTGAAGCGTCACGGTTGACTGTACAGCTTTGGCGGGCGATCGCAGTGGGCTCTGTGCAAAACCCAATGAATGGACCGTGTGGAAACAGAGTGGATATTCGTGAAGGAATGAGCGTCGGCCGCCAGCAAGGCCGTTCTCGACTCGACTCGGCAACGCACACTTTGCTGTGGCGCGCGGCACGCCATCTCGGATTCTTGTGCCTGACCCCCTTGCGCCGCTGCAATCCTTGCTGTGGGACTGTGTCGGTGCGCCCGTCCCTGGCCGAGCAAGAGCAAGCGAGTGGGCAGACTCTGTGAGCGCACAAGATGCGACTCTGCTTGGGTTACATCGACGCCACGTCTTTGCTGCAGCCCATTTCCTGCAAGGAGCGGCTGCCCAGGGCGTCGATTGGCCGCCGCGGATAATTGGTCGGCGGCTGAAGCGCAAACAATACCAGGAGCAGGACATGTGGGCTGCGTCCTCCCCCACTGGCGATCGTCGGGCTTGTTCACTCGGGCATGCGCGCCGAGCGAGCGCGGCCTGGACGAAGGAAAAAAAATGTAAAGACGAGGCGGTGGGCGACCAAGGGACACTCCGAGCCGAGCGCGGCTGTATCTTGTCGGCGGCCTTGCTGCTGTCCTTGTTGCGGCTCAACGCCTTGCTGGGGCTGCAACAAGCAATCCACCAAGTATCCACGGCTTGACACAGCTTGACACGGCTCAACATAGCTTGACACGGCTCAACACAGCGCCGGGCGAGTGCCGTTGTTCTCTCGCACGAACAAGCCCCCCAGCCAGAAACAAGCGCTGGCTGGGCAAGCCGAGCCCGGGGGAAAGCGGACAGGTACTCGTCGTGCACCGCAAATCGAAAGATGTGGCCGTGGGAGGGGGCATAAATCGGCTGCGACGGCGCGTGGGCGCTCTGCACTCCCCAGACCGGACCAGACCGGACCATCTCGCCCGACAGCTGCCATTCTTTCCTCCAGCAAACCCTCCGGTAATCCCCTTTGATAATCCCCTTTGATAATCCCCTCCAATAGCCCATAATGCCCCCGACGGTCAGCAGCTTGGACGAGTTCATCGCCACGGCTTCTCAGGCCTGGAATCCAGACGAGCAGATGCGCAAACACACCCTCCCCACAGGCGAGTCCGTCCACTGCGCCCTCTGGAAAGGCCAGTTCTACATCACCGGCACCGATATCGTGCGGGTCGTCAAGGCCCGCTTCTACGAGGCCGGTATCCCCATCCCCTTTCTGCGCAAGTTCGAAGAGGGTATCTTCTCGGATCTGCGCAACCTCAAGCCCGGCGTCGATGCCGTCCTCGAGCTGCCGCGGTCCGAATTCCTCGATTTCCTGTTCGCCAACGGCTGCATCCGCACCCAGAAGAAGCAAAAGGTCTTCCTTTGGTCCTCGGTGCGGCACAACATGCTCTTCCAGGTATGAACAGGGCTCCAGGCTGCCGCGGTGCTGCTGTGGGAATCACTGGCTCGCTCGCTCGCTCGGCTATGCAGTGCACCGCGCAGATCGGGTATGTCGCTGTCAAATGCCTCGGTCGCTCACCAGTTGCGGGTCGGTCCATCCCCATCTCCCGTACTGCTGCCATAGGACGCCATTAAGCGAGAGAAAGACAGAGCCCCAGCGCAGCCAGCAATGGCCCCGGCCGCCCCGCAAGGCTTCAGTCCCCCAGCCGGGCATCCACTCCAGAAGACCGTCGCTGCCCAGTACCCTCCCAGTCCCGTCGTCTCGCCGCTCCTCAGGTCCTCGCCGCTCGTCAACAGACATTCCCAGAGCCCGAAAGGATTCTCAAGCAAGCCCCACCACTTTGCTCCCTATCCGCACTATTCCCCCGGCCCTGAGCAGCATCACGTCCAACCCACCACGACCTTTTCTTACAACACCTGCCATGCTCCTGCTGCTGCTCTTGCCGCATCCGTCCCTCTTGTCCCCCAATCGCTGGTTGCCAGCCCCATGCTCTCGATCCCCGGCCCACCCCCTCACCATACCTATCCCGTCTACCCTGCCTATCCTGGGTCGTATCTCGAACACCATGAGGTCCACCCGGGCATCGCCGTCGTCCCCGTCTATCCCGCCGCGCACACATTCGTCGATACCACATACCCCCTCTCCGCACCGGTCTTGCCCCGTCATCCTGTCGTGATGGCACCCAACATCCAATTCCATATCGAGTCTTTCCCCAAAGCCACAAAGTCCTCCCAGCAGCACATCGCCATGACTGCCCCGCTTGCCCATGGGGTCTTTGCCGCCGCCCCGAATGAGCCATCAGCGTGTCCGCTGGCATTGGCCCACGAGCCGTCCCTCGAGTCGTCGCTCGAGTCGTCGCTCGATCAACTGTCCCAGTCATCAACTTCGACCTGCATGGACCCGCACGAGATGCCTTCCCCCATGACGGACTACTTTTCGTATCCCGATTCGGCGTGCTAAAAGACATGTCTCTGTCCAAGTGGTCTGCTCTCTGACTATGTCTCTCACCACGACCGCTGGCTGGTAGGCCCGGAGCCACAGCGAGCAGCAGCCTCACTCCTCTGTCCTCCTTTCTCTATCTCTCTATTTCTCTCTCTCTCTCTCTATCTTTCTATCTCTCTATCTATCTCTCTGTATTCGACGCCTCAACCCCACATTCCGCCTGCGCTGTCCTTGTATGGTCTTGAATTTGGCATGGTCCATATGGACATATCTGTTCGTTGCCCATTCAACGTAATCAAGCTGTTGCCCCCCCCCACCACCATACTACGTACTCCCCTCCGATGCTTTGTAGTTGTCCGGTTTGCATAGATATACATCATCCCGAAGAAAACATTGGTGCCTCTCTCCCTGGTGTTCATCGGTGAGGCAACGCCCACTCTCGACTGCCGCCGTTGCTGTCTTCAGTCGTTTGCGGCGAGTGTCGCTTTGGAAGTGTCGTCGTGGATACTCGGCCTTGATCTCTGTTGAGACGGTTGCCTTGCCCACTCTGGCCATATTCGTGGCGCCGACCTGCAGGCAAAAATGAAGCAGCCACAGAGATCCGCCTTGCCCTCGGACCACGTTTCAGCTGTTGATTCGACTCGAAGGGCTCGGTCGTCTTGCGCCAGCGATTGCGTCGACAGCTCTGCACTGAGCCGCGACGATGCGTTGATCCATTGGGATCGTTGCGTCGTCATCGTAGCGCTGTGTCGCTCCGCTTGGCCTGAGCATATCCCACTTGGTCTGAGCAAATCCCACTTGGCTTGAGCATATCCCACTTGGCTTGAGCAAATGCAGCTCGGCAGCCCGCTCTCCCTCCTTTCGCCCAAAACAAACCCAAAATTCTCCTACCGACCCACTAGCCGATACATACGCATTACACACCTCCAGTCGTTGTTTGACTTTTCTCAGCTCGATGGGCGGATCCAGAAAGATACTTTCATTCCGGTCTGCGGGCCAGAGATCGCGGGACGTCCGCTGGGCCCAATCTGGTACGTTGTTTTGCTTCTGCTCGAGGGGCGATGGCTCCCCATGCCGCTGCTTGAGCAAAGCCGTTCCCACGCCCGCAAGACCCCGTTGCTCTTGACTTCCGGTACTTGACTTTCGACACTTGACCATTCTTCTGTGCTTCTCACGTCCTTCATCATATCGATGCTCAAGCCCAGCGCAAGTCGGCGGATCTCGAAAGCGGCAGTGAGGACGACTCAGAGCCAGCGCCTGCGGATCGGCTTGCCTTCCAGTTCAAAGACACTCCTGAGGGAAACAGCAGCCTGCCCACTGCCGTCGCAGCTCCTTCCACTGCTCCTGCTGGTGCAGTTGTTCCCGCCTTTGCCTTCTCGTTCGGTAACACTCCGGCGAAACCCTTGCCGTTTGCCTCGGCTCCGGGACCGCCCAGTGGCCTCGCTGGTCCTGCCTCGACAGGACCTGCACTCTTTGGAGGCTTTGCCTTCCCCTCCTCAGCAAGTGGTGACCAATGCCGCAATCCGGGTCAAAACAGAGCGACCGGTCTGAATGCCGATACCTCCAAGGAGCACCGTGAGTGTCACTTTCGTGACAAGTGCGACCGTGCTGATCGCATTCCGACCAGCGACAGGGCTCAACCCAACGTCGCCCCGAATGATGACGATGGCGAGGATGATGTTGACGACGATGGTGGTCAATCAACCGTGGCCAGCCAGTCTAGCGATGAGCAAGAAGAGTCTGGCAGCGAGCAAAGTGACTCGGGTGGAGAGAACGACACCAATACTGATGACGGCAGCGACGACATCGAGTCCGACAAAGAGCAGTCCAGCGACGAGCCCGAGTTCCGATTCGAGAAGCGGGCCAGCCAGAATAGCCGTGACGGCAAGGCATCAATCGAGGCCCTCGCCGATCCAGTGGCCAGTCCCGAGAAGGCACCGAGCACACCTGTTGCCGCCACTGTTGCTCCCGCAAGTGGTCTGTTTGAGATGTTGACCAGCGACGAGGACGGCGAGCTCGATTCGGACTGCTCCGACGCCTCATCCAACCTCGATCCTGTCGATCCCACCATTGATACCGGTGTCACCGCCAGCGATACCGAGGGCTCGGTCGAGCTCAACGAAGAGGAACTACAGGCAGTTGTTCAGACTGTGAATGAGAAGCTCGGAGGGATGCGGCATCCCTGCGAGGATCAAGGCTCTCGCCACTTTGAAGGCATCAAGACCAACAGAACCACCAAGGCCAGCGAAAACATCAAGACCGTCGATGCTGATCCCGAGGGACCTGCAGGCGTCCCAGGAGATGCCAGTGTTCGACTCATACCTGGCCGCACCGAGCTCGGCGACGACGAAGCTGACGAGGTCTTTTACGATGCCCTCGACCACGATCATACCTGGTACCCGGATCCGATCTGTCGCAGTGGCAAACCGTCGCAGTTGCTCTCGTCTTGCGGCTATGCGACTACTCGCGACTGGATGAAGCACCCCGAGGACGCCGTGACCGCAAGCGACCTGTTCACATCCTTCTGCATCAACAAGTACAGCGGCTCTGCCGTGGTCGATCGCATCGCCAGCCACAAAAAGCATCCTGGTCCTGTCGATAGCTCACTCTCGGCAGCAGCAGCCCCTGGTCAAAGTCCGTCGCGAGAGGCCCACGATCCAGCCCCGGGCACAGCCCACAGGGACTCAGTGGCCTGTCGAGCCCATAGCAGCCAGCTCCAGCGCCAGGCCTCCGAACTCAAATTCCTCCGGGATCGGCTCGAGCGCCGTATTGGCCCGGAGCGTCTCGAGCTCTTGATGAGCGTGCAGCAGTTTGGCGTCTCTGTGCTTGAGGCTGTGAACGATCTTCGCGATAGCCATCGCCAGGGTGCCGCCGAGGAAGTTGGCAAGAGCTGGGCAGAGGGCCAGTCCATGCGAACCGACAACTCGCCGCTGTCCTCTGGCCACGATTCCAAGATCGACATCACGCCCAGTGACAGCAAGACGGACGTCCTCGACCGAGGGCCATCGCAGACACAGCTACAACTGCAACGTCAGCAACGCCCAGTCCAGCAGCAAGAGGAGCAATACCGCCGAGCAGCTCGAGGTCAGCAATCCACTAGTCCACAGAAAGACACCGCTATCGAGGCTGTAGTTACATCACGAACATCTGCCCATGAGCCACGCACGTCAGCTCTCGCCTCTGTCGAAGCATCCGCCCAGGAGCAGTCATATCCCGCCGCATTCAATGCCAAACATAGCCAGAGGCTGGCAGATGACGAAGGTGTCCGCTACGAGCTCGAGCTCCTCGAGGCAATGGTACAGCATACTCAGCTGAGATTGATGGAGGAGCAAGAGCGACACTTGCGGAAAGATGCCGAGATCCGAGATTTGGCCACATCTTTGCGTGAGCATCAGGCCACAGCTGCCGAGCAGAAAGCCAAGGTCCACAAGCTGACTGCCGAGAGACAGCGGCTCGCAACCGTGGTGCGTGAGAGTCAGGGAGCCTTTGCTGCCCTCAAAGCTGAGCACGAAGATGCACGAGCAGCATACGAAGCAAAGATTGCTGACCAGCAGAACAATCTTCAAGCGGTACTGGACGCACACAGGGCTGAGATTCAGATAGCCGTGCGTCAGTCTGCAGAGCTCAAGGAGAAACTCAAAGAGGCCCAGACAGTCAGCGAAGCCCTGTCCAAGCATGCGGAAGCGCAGACCAAGGTCCATGGCGCCGAGTTGGCGGCCTTGAAGGCTGCTATCGCACAACACCAAATCACAGTGAAGGAGAAGATCGCCGAGGCAGAGGTGGCCAAGAAAGAAGTCGAGCTGGCCAAGAAGAAGGCCAGTCAAGTCGAAGCCACGGCCCAGGCTCGTATCCAGCATCTCGAAGGGCAGCTCAAGTTGCAGCACACCGAGCAAGCAGAAGCACAAAAGAAGCATGCAGTTGCCGTGAGACAGCTCGAGGCTCGCATCGGGCAATTGAACGGCGACCGGACGGCCTGGGAAACAGAGCGCACAGAGATGTGTGCCCAGCTGCTGTCCATCGGAATCGAACTACAGGGGCATTTGCACCAGCTGGACGCCAGCAGCGACGAGATCCGAGCAGCGGCCCTGGATCTCGAGGCCGCCGGCAAGCAGCTTCAATCACAGTTGAAAGACAAGGACGAGGAGCTTCAGAAGGTCTTCAAGGAGCTCTTTGATGTTGGCATTTGGCTGCATCACACCATCGCCGACCAGGAAGCCCGTCAGAGCGCGGCCCTGGGCTCCATCAGGGAAGAGAACGAAAAGTCTTGGAAGATCCTGCAGCACCTCTACCAGTCTGCGCTGATCCGGTGCCACCATCTCGAAGCACAGCTGCGGGATATGCAGGGACCAGCCCAACCCGGATGGCAGAGCTTGGTGCGAGATCAACTGCACAAGGAGCCCGAGGACGCAAGTCCATCTTTGTCAATCAACTCCAGTACCAGCACCAGCTCAGGCCCTTCCAGCGGCTCTCGCTCCGGTGGCGAGACCGAGATTTGGAGGAGAATGAGAACCTCCCCCCTGCGCCGGTCAAGCATGTACGAGACCCGCGCTAGTGACCCAAATGCCCCGTCCGAGTCTCAGCAATCCATCATCCATCGACTCGCTGGAGAGCTGGTGGAGTACAAGCGCAAACTCAAGCTCGCAAACGCCCTGGAGGAGCAGCGAAAGCGGGAATACGAGGAGGCCTTGCGTGAGAAGAGCCTGCAGCTCGAGCGCAATTCGCAGGTGGCTGGTCTGGTTGCCGGCGCCGTTATCAACGAGGTCTTTAAAATATCTAATGGAGGCTGAGCACGGCGTATTATTCGTATCTTTACTTCACGTTTGAAATGATGCATGTTTATGCCACGGCGCTGTCGGCGTCCTGGGGATAGTATCATGTTTGAAAAGCAAGATTGGGCAAAGCAAGATTGGGCAGAGCAAGATTGGGCAGAGCAAGATCGGACAGAGCAAGATCGGTCAGAGCAATACGAACCCACTTTGTTTTGATTCCGGGATGTTGTTCTCGATCCTGAATACATGCTATCCATCGCCCGTCATGACCAAAACAGCGTGTCCGAGGAGTCTGGAGGCCATCGCACCCACCAGGCAGGACCAACGTTCGATCATGGAACCATAACAGCTGGACACGTCCACCTCGCCCTCGCGGACCCTTGTCTGTCCTTGGATTCCATCTGAACCCATCCGATGGCACAGTTCCATCTGGCCGAGTCGTCTCTCAAGGGCAATGGATGCCAACAAGACCATGACAAGGCTCTCGAACTGTCATGCTCTTGTGGATCGCGGAATCCCTCAAGCTCCTGTAGGGCTCGGTCGCTGGTACGAGAATGGCGAAGGAATCGACCGAGACTGGCTCTGCAAGCATTTCCAAAGCATATACCTCATCGAAGGATTTGGGACGGCTGTAGATCAAGCGCGGGCCTCAAGTTTCCTCCGGCAGCTGGCTCATGATGGCCACAGCGACAGCCGGCTCTGGTTGGGATGGTGCCACCGCTATCACTGGGGAGTGGTGACAGCCTGGCTGCACGCAAGCCGATGCTTCAGCAAGTCCGCCAACCAAGACTACCCGTACGGGCAGTTTATGGTGGGCTACAGCTACTTCAACCAAATAGGAGTCCCGAGGGACTACACCCGGGCAATCGAGTGGTACCGCAAATCCGCTGACCAGAATCTCGAGTGGTCCATCGAAGGCCTCAAGGAGCTTGGCCAGTGGCACTGAGATCCCTCCAGGTGTCGAAGCCAGTCGATGATGGGTGAATGTGTGTGTATTTGCGGAAATAACCAGTCATCGACTTTAAAGCGGAGGTGGACCGTTCATGTGCGCCGTTAGGGATACGGAGGAAGGAATACCAACAAAGGGAGAGAGAAAAAAGGAGACTTGAGTCAACACAGATAGACAAGCAGACATACTCAAAATTGCTTTCACAGTGGTTCATCACGAGCACTGGCGGCGCATGATCAACGAGAGCCGCAAGGAGATCAGTAAATATGCGTGTGGGATGGGGTTTCTGGAGGGAGGTGTGGGGGTGAGGTGTTAGGGAGAGAGTCTAGCATATGGATTAACAAAAAGAGGCCAGCGGCGCGAGACCATTGGAGATTGGCAGTTGCCGGAGATGGATGATAAATAGCGGAGAAGGATGTTTCTCATTGGAGTGCGAGGGATGGGCTGTTGTTCGTGCAGATAGGCGTGGCGAATCTAGAGCGCCAGTGGGTTCGGAAGCCTGGGATCACTTGACGTGTGTGGCCGACTCCAAGGAAGTGCGTCGATCGCCAACCTGGCTGATGGCCAGTTCAGGCGAGGAGAGCCGCGATTTGTCCTGAGAGCAGCACGACAGGACCTCGTGGCCCAGGTCCGACTCGTCGGGGGCATGACCAGCGTCCACGCTGCAGGTCTCCGCATCGAGATGATACCTCTGCTGCTCCTTGAGGACCTCGGAGCTGAAGAAAGGGTGGGAGAGGATCTCCTCGATCGTGCTGCGCTGCTCGGGGTCCAGCACCAAGATCTTCTTGATCATGTCGACAAACTCGAGAAACTCTTGACGAGACTCCTCGGGGCGGGATCGAGTCTTCTTTGACGGGTGGTGGCCCGTGTGCGTCGGGGCAGCTTCCATCACAATGTCCAGGAGCGTCGAAGAATCGTCGGGTGTGTCGCGGCTGGATTCGTCGGGAAAGTCTTTGAGGCGGAAATCACCTGTGGCTTCGTCTTGCTCGAAGATGGATAGGACACGCATGTTTGCGTTCTGGGGAATATCCTGGATTTGGTTGAGGAGGTTGGTGGGCACACAGGACAGGATCTGGCAGATTTTGAGCATCTGGTCGGACTCGTTGTCGCCGGCAAAGAGCGGGTTGCCGGTCAGCAGCTCGACCAGGATGCATGCGAACGACCACAGGTCGATGGATGTTGTTGGCGGATGGCCGATGAGGATCTCGGGCGATCGGTAGTATCGCGACTGGAGATAGGTTGGAACCTGCGTGTGAGGGACTCAGCTTTAGTAATCGGAGCCATGGGCAGAGGGTATTGGCGAGACGAGTATGCAGGCTCCAGGTCCTACCTCCTGACGCTCAAAGCATGAGCTGCCAAAGTCGATGACCTTGACCCGGATTTTTTGTGCCGAAACATCAGACTCGCACGACTGCAGCAAGATGTTCTCGGGTTTGAGATCGCAGTGGACAATGCCAACGGACTTGAGCAGAACCAGGGCAGAAAGGATCTGGTAGCCGACGGCCCGCACCGTTGACAGCGGCAGACCTTTGAAGTTTCGTCCCATGATGACCTCGTACAAGGTCTTGGACAAGAGCTCGTAAACGATGCAGAGATGGCCCTTGTAGATGAAGTAGTTCTTCATGCGCACTGGATGACACCACGGGAGACAGGGCGTGAGACGAAGAGATGCAAAATTTCGATCCAGAGCGACCACGGCAACGGCAGCAGCAGCGACGGTAGTGGTGACAGCAGCACCAGTCGTGGTGACAGCAGCACCAGTCGTGATGGAAGCAGCTCCTGGCTGACCAACTTACCGATGTTGTAGTCTCGGTCGCCCTGCACGGCGTTCAGATACGACAGGATGCCGACTTCGATGACGCCCTGATCAAAGTATACCTCTTCGTTCTTGATGATCTTGACGGCAACGTGCTCGCCGGAACTGGTTTGCTCGTCGACAGCCTCCATGACATCGCCAAAGGAGCCCGAGCCGATCTTCTGGACGACTCGATAGCGGCCGGCAAGGAGCTCGTCGGGTTGCTGGATGTCTTCAGCATTCATCGAGGGCGCGGGCCACTTGGAACGAAGAGAGATCTCAAGCTGTTCGAACGAGAGCTCCTGAAGACGAGAGAGGTCGGATGAGATACGGGTTAAAAGGATGCAAATATGAGGAAATGCGAGCGTATGAGGAGAGGTGAGCGCCGGAACCAAGGGAGAGAAGGGACCAGCCAAGACCTCTGCCCGCACGAACGGTCGAGGGAAGAAGAGCAAGAAGATATGGAGCCCCCCCCCCAGAGCACCCAGACGGGTTCATGGCCGCGCGGGCTTCTGCCGGCACGCTGGAAAGATGTGGTTCTGAGCGGCGGCAAAGTGTACAGGCGGCGTCAGGGCCGTCCGAAACACCGACACGGCTTTGTGCTGGGGGCTCAGCCCAACGCAACGGGGAGAGTTGCGATGGGGGGCATCTCGTAGCCGGCAAGAGCGGCAGCCACAGTGCCCAAGGGGATCGTGCTGCCGAAGCGCCGACCATGGAGTTCAGCAACAGCATGGAACTCGCTGTGGGCCTCGATGATGGTCTCTGCACATCGACAGCCGGTGTCTGGGCCGCTGGACTATGGTCTCTCGTCCGCACGACCAGCTGCGGCGACGAAAGAGGGCAGTTGTGGTGGAGGAATGGAATCCAGGGGATGAACAGATGGTGGGGAGGAAACTGACGGCGAGCCGGGATGTGATGGGAATGGGTGGGGAACGGAGGAAACGGCCGATAGCAGGTGGGGGTAGAATCAATACTAACAGCGAGGCCCGCGGGTCCGATCGAGCACGAGCCCGTCGTCTCCACAGCGGGGCAGGAGTCCTGAGATGTCGACGACAGCGACGAGTCTAGCGAGTCCAGCGAGGCCGACGACGATAGCGCCGGGCCGCGGTAGTCAGTTCTTTGGGAGTACGACATGATGGCGAACGATCCTGTTGGCTTGTGGCGGCGATGGAATATGGAAGAAGGTGTGCAGTGATGCGGGGCGATGGGAGGAAGAAGAATGCAATGGGCTGCTGCTGCTGCTGGTGCAGTTGCTGATGATGTTGCTGACGATGTTGCTGATGATGTTGCTGTTGTTGTCGGTGTTGCTCAAGGGCTCAATGATCCGATGGTGGAAGCGAACAAGATGAGGGAAATAGACAGGCTGGGAGCGAGCGGGGCGGTCCAATGGACATCAATCTGGCGGCGCGAGCCGAGGCGGCCTGACCCGAGCAGTTATGGCGAGCGCTGTGTTTGGACCCGTGATGCAGAAGCCGTCGATGCAGCGAGCAGCAGCGGACAGCAAGAAAGAGAATGGAGGTTCTCGAAACGGAGGCAATGTGGGAGATTGGCGGAGGATTGAGGCAGCGGATAGGCGATGGACAGACAGCACGAGCAAACAAGTAAGTCGATGGGAAGCGAGGCAAGTTTAAAGGAAACGAGGCAAGTTTTAAAGGAAACGAGGCAGGTTTAAAGGAAACGATGGAAAAGCAGAGCGGTGCGATCGGCGGAGACCAAAGACCGTCACGGCGCGAAAGTTCGGAACACGGCGGAGGCGATTGCGCGACTGCACTGTCGCAGTGGCATTGTGCTGCGCCGTGTCTGCGTGTCTGCGTGCGTGTCCGTGCGCGTGTCTGCACTTTCAGGCTGTCCTTGTCCATTCTCGCCGCTGTACAGTTGGATCGGCGCCCGCAGTCGCCCGGCGCCACTGAATATGCAACCAATGCGCGCCCGTGTCGCCACGGACCCCTTGCTGCACCCACTGCTGCGCACGCTGCCGGAACAGCCCCCGGAACAGCCCTCCGGCAGCCGCCTGTGTGTGTGTGGCGCGTCCCGTCCCGCCACATTCGATCCGCTGCATCGCCACATATCGCGCCAATCCGCCGGTCACATGCACGCTCTCGATTCATGTCCGGTTGATGCTCCGCTGATGCTCCGTTGATGCTCCGTTGATGTCCAGTTGACATTCAATTGATGTCCAGTTGATATTCAATTCGTGTCCCGTTTGCACAATTGATCGATGTACAGCCAAGCCTCGTCCTCGGCCCGTGCCCCGATAGCGGCTCCGTGCTGTCTTGCCTCCTTCCATGGGAATCCAAACAGCCCGTCCCAATCCGTTGGCCGCTCTCTCAAACAGTTTGTTCCTCGTCCCCCCACCACCACCATCCGCCGTCGCCCCTTTTCCCTGCCCTGACTCGGCTGTCCTCCTTCGATCCCGTCCGCATCCATCCGATCCATGATGGTCTTCTCTGTTCGTCTGTTCTGCTCGCTTGTGTGGCTGTCCTGCCTCTGCATCTACGGCGCTGCTGTTGTCTCCCCGGCGTCGTCGGGATTCGTCGCTTCTCGTGATGCCTTCCGGGTCGGCCCGCTTCCGTATGCCTCTGGCGAATCACCCATCGAAGGCTCCTTCGCAGGCCACATCCCCATCCGGTATGCTCGCATGTCCGTCGCTGCGATGGCAGGAAATGCCCAAACGCCCAGGCTTCCAACCCGCCGTTGCCTGCCGCCACTCGGCTATGCTCACCCACTCGCCATTCCACCTCGTCCAGCGAATGGAATGACGACCAGGGCCGCAACGGCTCCGCCCAGATGTTCTTCTGGTACTTCCCGGCCCAAGCGCCTCTGGTCTCGAATCCGCCCCTGGTCCTGTGGCTCCAAGGTGGCCCTGGCTCGTCCTCCATGATCGGTCTGTTCCATGAAAACGGCCCTCTGTTCATCGACAATGGCGAGCTCCGGCGCAACCCGTTCTCCTGGAACCAGCGACACTCGATGCTCTTCATCGACAACCCCGTCGGCACCGGATACAGTTTTGTCCACCCCCGCGATGACTCCAAGGTCCCTGTGATCTCGGCCGAGCAGCTTGCCTGGGACATTCTGCTCTCTGATCAGAGCAGCCAGGGCCATACCATCACCGCAGGTCGCCAGCCACCCGCCTACCAGCACGGATACACTCAGAACCAAGAGGCCATTTCCGCCGACCTTATCACCTGTCTGCTGGCGCTCTACTCCCATTTCCCCGAGCTCCGGGCCGCCCCGCTTTATCTGACGGGCGAGTCTTACGCCGGCAAGGTCATCCCTGCGCTTGGCATGGCCATCCACCACCACAACCATGCCGCAGCCCTTGCGCCCGAGCTGAGCATTCCTCTCGCCGGTGTTGCCATCGGAAACGGCCTTACCGACCCCGCCACCCAGATTCTGGCCTATGCACCTCAGAGCCTGGCCCTGGGCCTGGTCTCCCGATCGCAAGCAAAGGACATTCACGACATTGCCCGGCTGTGTGTTGCGCACATCCACCGCGGCGAGTTCACAGCCGCTACCCTGGTCCGCAACCACCTGTTCGAATACCTCAACAACCACACCGGCCGCGTCAACTGGTATGACGTCCGCAAAGGCGGCATCCAGAACAACTGGAGCGATCTCGATGTCCTGCTCAACCAAGACTCGGTCCGCAAGAGTCTCAACACCCTTGCGTCCGCCAGCGGCGGCGTCTTCGACAAGGACCCGGCCGTCTACAATCATCTCGTCGCAGACATTTCCAGATCCGAGGCCAAGAGAGTCGAGGGCCTCCTGCAGCTCGGCTACAAGGTTCTGCTGTTCCACGGCCAGTTTGACCTGCGCGACGGCGTCATGGGCCAGACCGAGTGGATCGACGGCCTCGACTGGCATGGCCGCGACGAGTACGGCAAGGCCGAGAGAACCATTATGCACCTCGCCGGTGAGCTGGCGGGCTATGCCACCCGAGCCGCCAATCTGTGGAGAGTGGAAGTGCTGCAGGCAGGACACTTGGCTCCAATGGATCAAGGCAAGCGCCTCAAGGAGCTTATTGAGCTCTGGGTCGATGGCGAGCTCTGAATGGGGAGGGAGCCCATCCTGCTGAAGTGAATGATCGTGTTGGCGAGTTGGCGAGTTGGAAGTGTGATCATGTTGCATGGAGGAGCGATTCCATCCGAGTGTCTGAAAAAACATCGATCCATATCATCCAATCGTCGAGCCCATGGGCAGAGAGCATGCGCAGAGCCACTGGGACCTTGGGAGTGCCCGATCCCGTCAGTCATCCAACCCGTCCGGCAAACGAACCCGCCTCGATATCTCCCGGATCTCAGATATGAATTGGTCCGAGAGCTTGTCCTCCGTATCGTGGCCCGACACGATGAGCAGCAAGTCTTCGATCACAGCGTGGTTTCCAAGCACTGCATTTGAGGAGAGCACTCACTCTGTCAGCCGCTTTCTCCACCAAGGCGTGGCCGTCATTGCACCGATAACTCCCCGGATCCCAGGCTTTGGGCGGCGGGTTACATCACTTACGTTCGGTGTGGCTGCTGCAGTTGGGCCCGCCTCTGAAGCTGGTCACGCCGGTGTCGGTCCGGTCGAGGTGTTCTCGAGTAACGATCTTGGCACCGAACGGGTTGTAGCGTCGCCGCCGCCATCCCTCGGCACACATGTAGCCCAGGGAGATCAGCGGCACGGTCGAGTCGCTAACAGAACCGCATATGCAACAGCAAGTCGAGTTGCGAAGGGGGGGGGCAAACAGGGTCAACAACACGCTGCCGATTACCTCACCACCAGCCATCGACGCAAATCGAGTCTTCTGGAGGGTCCTAGCGGTCCCTATTCCATCACTCCCTCGCTCGAGTACGTACCCGTCGCTCAGCTGGACACCATTCTCGACCGAGCGCTCCTTGCTGTTGATCGTGACATCAATCGAATGTGCCCAGTCGCAGTCGACCGAGTACTCGGATCGGCACTTTGCAAGGGTCTCTGGATCCATGACATCCGCAAGCTTCTCGCGCTTGTAAAAGTACTTTCGCTCCGAGGCCAGTCCAACGCCATACATGCAGTAGAGCTTGAAGTTGTCGCCGAGGTTGGGCAGGGGAGTGAGCAAGGGGTTGGTCCAGAAGGATGGGTCGTCGTGAGCAGCAAGCAGATCCTCCCTCGAGGATGCCACGCGGCTCAAGTTGTTGTAAGTCTTGAACCAGCGATCGGTAATGGCATCGGCAGCCAGGCTGACGACGAGATCGATGGCTTCGGTAATGGTCTGGTTGGATATGTTCTGTGGGCTTGTATAGTCGACCATAGTCGAGAACGAGTTGGTTGGGATGCCGTTGCTGCTCGTGGGGCCTGACAACGGTTCAGAAGCTGGCACGGGGCTGCTCTGGGGCTCGTCCGGTGCCGGCTCGCCAGAATGGCCCCAGATGATCTCGCCGCCTTTGGGCAGCATCGACGGGAGACCCGTCCAGGTGCGGAAGAGGGCAGCCCGGTCCCGTTTCGAAAATAGCCGCTCGGCGATGGATGCACCGACAAAGTTCAGCTGGACAGTGTCGCGCATCTCGCCCGAGATCAGCGACGAAACGGCCTTGGGGACGCCGAGCATGGGGCCGGCAAGGTTGACCCAGGAGTGAATGTTGTCCTGGAGCCAGGTATCGCCGCCGTTCCCGCCGGCCGGACTCTGTACCCAGTGCAGAAAGTAAAAGAGCACCAGCGAGCCCATCGAGTGCGAGACCACGACGGCCTTTTCGCCGTGCGGATTGGTCTTGACAAGGAGCTCGATCGACGACTTGAGATACGTGAAGTAGTGGTCCCGCTTCTCCAGATCTGCGAATCCCAGGCGCCAGTCGTAGGATGCCAAGATCACTGCGAGACAGAGCAGCAGTCAGACTCAAGCTTTGCTTTGGCAAATGCACACACCGACAAAGCAGCTGTGCGCCCAGGTGGAGGTTACTGACTCTGATTATTGTCGTAGCCGAGTGCTGCCAAGTTGGCAATGATTCGAGCAAAGACCCAGTAGCTGGTCGCCGGTGAATGGAGAGTGAGTGGCAGGCCGAGCCGAGCGATAGTCTAACGTTGCAGTGAAGCACTCTCATGCGCACACCAAGGCCCGGAGGATCCGCCCACCATCACGACATAGAACTGAACCAACACTATCGATTGAGCATCGCAGCTTTGGAGCCACGTGTCTCCACACAGCGACACACTTTTGCTGCACTGCTCCTTACCCTGGGAACAAGTAGTCTGCTGCATCCAGGCCCTGAGCAGCCCGCAGTCGGAACCCAGGCGGATCCATGCCCGTCTTCTCGTCGAGCTTCATATGGCTTATCCAGCAATCTTTGTCGAGCAGCAGGGCCTGAAATTGATTCATGGTGCCCCAGAGACGCTTGCGAAAGTATTTCTGGCCACAGGGTATCTCCCTGTTATGACTGCCGTTGCTATTGCCGTTGCCGTTGCCGTTGCTGTTATTGTGGTGCTGGTGGTGGTGGCCAGCGTCCGCTTGGTCGTAGGATGCGGGCGGAGGGTTCCAAGCCTCAAGTCCAGTCGAGACGATCCCAGGAACGAGGACCACCGGATGCTGCAGCAGAGAGCGGCAAGTAAGATCTCGGCATTACCCCACACAACGAGCCGGAGTCAAGCGGGGGTGGGGGCGGATCCACAGAGCGATTAGCACCGAGCGGAAATGGGAGCAGCGTACAGGTGGTAAGAGGTGAAATCGCTGAGGCAAGCACTTGCCTTGGCATGCAGGCCCTGGTCAGCGAGTTTCAGGCCGGGCATGAACTCTTCGTTTTCGGGAACCACGGACGAGAACAGCGAAAAGCTGACGATGGCCTCGGTGAGGTTGCCCAGGACCTCGGCTGGGTTCATGCGGGCGGACGAGTTGACCAGGAGGTTGGAGATGTCGACATCGCCCAGGATGGTCAGGAGGTAGTCCCCGAGGCCGGTGGTGTTCTGGGCCCGCTCGGGCAGCGCGAACTCGATCGGGGTGTATCGAACCCCAAGGAAGGTGGTCAGAGCGAGGCCAAAGAAAATGCCGACGACAAAGAAAAGCCGCCGCTGGGTCGGATATGCAAGATTTGTCTCGGAAGCCTCGGCGTGGCTGCGGCTGCCGCCGATGCCAAGCAGCCGGCGATGCAGGCTATGCGTGCGGGTCGGTGACGTGCGGGTCGGTGACGTGCGGGTCGGTGACGAGCGGGCAAAGGCCGAGAAGACCGAGACATATCTTCGACGCACCGGCGACCGGTACCGCGGGGCGGCCCTCGAGGTGGAGCTAAGGTCATCCGAGTTGCCGTCTGTATGGGCGACAGACGACTCAGAGGAGCCCTGGGCCGAGGTGTGGATGGGCTGGGCCGGATGTGCTGGTTGATCTGGGTCGCTGTCACAGGAACCCCGGCGCTTCCGCAGCCGCGACGAGCCGGTGTCCATCGATGCGGTTCTGTTGGGAATAGATACCCTGGGCGTCCTGGATGGCGGGGCGCTGTGGCCTGCAGACGTACTTGATATCGATAGGACGGCCCCGAGGGTGCGCCGGTGCTCTGGAGGAGTCTCGGGGCGATAGCGCAATCGAGGAAGCCTTCCACGCACCGTCGACACGAACATCGACGCAAGAGAATCGGAGAACTGATCGCAGCCAAACCCCGCATGCGCAGCCACAGCCACAGCCACATTTGGCCCGCCCCTTGACAGCATATCAGCAGCTTTCGCCTGATCTCGTTTTTCGGGAATCTCGAGAGAGCCAGAAGCGGACAGTAAAGCACACACCTTCCAACGACCCCCCTCCCCGCTAGAAGGGACTGGTCATAGACCAACTGTCCCCTCAACCCGACGGAGCCATGCCAGCTGTAGATCCACCAGTGGCATCCTCCTCCAGGAACGACGCACCGCCCACGGAACGTCCAACCACCCTCCCCAAAGGCCTCAAGGGTCTGAAGCTAGAACCACTCCAGGAAGCGCATGCCTTGAGCGAGGCCTCGAGCAAACAGGAACCAGAGCCGTCCTCATCGATCGCCTCAGGCAGTGGTGGCAACACATCCAGGCTGGTCAAGACCCCACGTCTGACGCAGACGGCTCGGACGAGGAGGCCGAGGACCCAAGATCTCCCACCCCAACCCCCAACAGACCCAGAGGTGAGGAGCAGCCCCCTCACCTCCCTCTCCAAGGCCCCAGCGAAGAAACGACCACCGAGCAAGCAGCTGGACTGGGTCTCCACAGCCTCCCTCCTGCGCAGGACACCCAAGACGCAGAAGCACCCGCAGCGACCAGCGGCAACCCAGGCCGCCAAGCAAGAACGGCCCGGGCTTCCGGCAAGAGGGGAAAAGCCTCAACCCATCCCTCCTTTGAAGACCGATGGAGAACCGCAGGCGACGACCTTCAGAAGCGTAAACAGGCCGCCCAGTATGTTCAGACCAAGGACGTCACCCCGGCCATCTGAAAGGCTGTCTTTGAAACCTGCCAGAAGACGGTATCCTGCCCCAAATGCAAGACCCCGCCCAAGGAAGAGTGGGAGCTGGATTGCCAAGGCTTCCACTTCGTATGCACACAGCCGCATTGCGGCGAAGCAATAGCAGCTATGAGCTTCTGGGCCAAAATGACCAGAAACGAAAAGTCGGCAGAAGACTTCGTGAAGGCCCACACCGCCAAGGAGCGACGAGATTTTGCACGAGCGGCTGGGCTGATCAACCCAGTACAGGCCAAACCCACCGAGGAACAGAAGCAGCCCACCCAGGAGATAGAATCCGCCGCCAAACCGCAGGAACAGCCCCAGCAACAGCCCAACGCACCGTCGGAACGAACGGCTGTCGGCAAGACACCCACCCTGCCCGAGGAGAGCCCCCTCTCCCTCAGACAGATCCTCGGCCAGCTGAACGTCCTCCGCGAGAAGGTCATCGACCTCATCACGGACGACAAAGCGAGGGAGGGTATGAATGAGAAGGCGACCTCGGTCCTCAACCTCGTCGCCCGAGAGACGAAGAGCCTCACCGACGGAGTCAAAACCCTGATGGCTCGCGAGAGGACCGAAAAGGCGGCAGCCTCCAGCAACAAAGTAACCCCAGCCCAGACAGCCAGAGGTGCATCAGAGGGCAAGATGTCCTACGCAATGGCCGCACGGAGCCAGAAACAGGCCCAGAAAGAGACCCAGAAGGAAGCCAGAGCGAAGAGCGCCTTCATCGATCGCCAACCTGAGCAAGAACAACCCAGACTGTGGCTTGCCTCGATCGCGGCCAAGCCGGACCCCAAGAAGATCAAGATGGTGAGCGGCCTGGTCGAGCGAAGACCTCACCAACCCCCACCTCAAGAAGAAGCTGACAAACGCCAAGTTTGTGTACTTCAAGGGAATCGAGCCCAACTCCCTGACAACCATACGCAAGGCACTCAGGAAAGGCGGCATCGACGATCGCAAAATGGCCGATATTCACTTCGGCGAAAACCGCATCATGGAGATCCTTCTCTGGGACAAGAAGGACGAGGCGGAGATCGCCAAGAAGATGGCTGGACGTCCGCTCAAGTGCGTCCAGCTTCACCAGTACGAGCCGGCACAGCCTGGCCCCAGCAGGAAGACCGCGGAGGAGAAGAAGGCCCACCTCCAAAGATTCCTCAAGCGATCGGCTATCCAAGCGGCACGAGCCAGAGACTCGGCGGCCGCCCGAATGGTCCAGATGAGGGTACCGAGGGTACACCGGCTGGAGTTCGACAGGCTCGTTGGAGAAGTCCTCAGGGGAAAGCCGATCTCCTGGGAACTGGTTAACGTTGAACCCCAGGAGCCCCAACCCACACCCCCCATCCAGGAACAGCCCATTGACCTGGATGCTGCAGTGGAGCGAGCACCGGGGGCCAGCCGTCAGGCAAACCCCAGTGAACTGGAGAAGTTTGTGCCGGACTCCTAACCAAACCATGAAGGAGTGGCAGGGGACCCCGTCCTCAGAGGAGCCATCGTCGGTTCCCAATGAATGGTTCCGACGCAGCAGAAGGAGTGAGCGAACTGGCCACGCTCACAGTAGCATCCTTCAACATCGATGGCCTAATCAAGAAACAGTACCTCATCGAAGAAGCCATGCAAGACCTAAGCATCGACTTCATCGCTATCCAGGAAACCAAGCTGCAACCTGTCAGCCAAAACCCACTGGAGCGAATCACATGCCACGAGTCGAGACGAACCGACCGACACGGAGGCGGCATCGCACTCGTGTTCAACAGTGCAACGATCGACGAGGATCACCTCAACGCTGTCGAGACGGATGAAAACGGGCTCTACACCTGGACGAGGTACAAGGCGAATGTCTACATTGGTAACTTCTACATACCGCATTCTGCAATGGTTCAGGAGTTCACCACCGCAGTAAAGTCAATCGAGAGATACGCACGGAAGCCACATGCCCAAGTCATCGTGATGGGAGACTTCAACCTTGCCATCAGCGTGGTGACCGGCAACCACCGCACCGACCCAGGAAAGGAAGATGCGCTCCTGAGGACGCTCGAGCAAGCCAACATGCGGATAGTTCCACCGGTCGAAGCCCCCTTCCACACCAGGATCCGCGGAGGACACAAGTCGCTCATTGACTATATCTTCACGTCGAGAGCACAGGCCAACAACAACCCGGCGCTCTATGTGGATAAATACGGTGTGTACGAGGGATCGGACCACAGAATTATCTGGACGACCCTACCCCTCCAAGGCGGCGCCTACCCCAAAGAAGCCGCACCCCAGTGGAGACTGAGGAAGCTCGAAGACCCAGCGACCAGGGCTGAATACCAAGCGGCTTTCGACCAGGCCCGACACCCCACAACACAAGAGATTGGGGCAGCCCTGGCGCCGATCTTGGTTGGCTCGCAAGTCCCAATCAGCGAGACAGAGGCCCAAGAGGCAATCGACAAAGCCTGGGGCATATTTACCTCGACGATATACACCATCGCCGACACCGTCATCGGCAGATCGGCCCCAAAGAGGATCTGGAAGTCGCCCACACTCATCAAGAGCCTGAACGCACTCGACAAGAGACGCCGGTGGTTATGCAGACGACTGAAACGCCGATGGCTCACGGAGCTGGAGGAACACACCACCAGAATCGAACTGCACGAGGTCCGAAGAGAGATCCGCCAGAAGACCCGCAGCTGCAAACGCGAAAGCTGGAGCCTGTTCATGAAGGAGATCAATCACATGAACAGTTCGGAGATGTCAAAGGCCATCAGTGCCCGACAGACCCGGCAGGAGAGGCGAGGCGCCCACAAGTTCGACAACTCCGACGAGGCCCTCGAGCAGCTGGTAACTCACTTTGGCAAGGTGTCGGCAGCCACGAACGACACCGACGAGGAATACGACCGCACCTCGGCGCCAGCACCCCAAAGCCAAGTACGGAGACACTTGCCGGACATCAGTTACTTTGCCGCCATCAACACCAAGACCATCAAGGACGCCATCAAAGCAGCCCCGCGACGGAAGGCATCGGGTTCCGATAGGATCAAGAGCGAGTTGCTTCACCCAGTAGCGACGGTAGTCGCGGAGTGGCTCTGCGACATCAGCCGAGCCGCAATCAAGGCCTCGATCATCCCCACCGAATGGAGCACCGTCCTGATCCACCCGGTATACAAGAACAAGGGATCACAGCTAGACCCAGCGATGTACCGGCCGATAGGCCTCACGCAGGTGTGCCGCAAAATCCTCGAGCGGGCACTGTTACCATACCTGACGGACGCCTTCAGACCGATGGGTATTGCACAAGGCGGTTTCCGATCCAAGCGCGGAACCCTGGACCAGATCTATGCACTGGACTGCCTGATCAAGGACCGCAAAGTGGCCGGAGAAGAATACGCCCTCGTCTTCCTGGACATCAAGGCTGCCTACGACAGTGTATGGCGAGAGAAGATGTGGGCCAAGATCGAGGGACGCATGGAAGCCACAAACCTGATTGAGTTCCTGAAGGTCATGTTTGACCGGGTGCACATTCAAGTGGCCAGCAAAGGCCGCCGCTCCAACCCCGTGTGGCTGCAGAAGGGGCTGATCCAAGGATCGGTCCTGAGCCCTCTGCTCCTCAGCGCCTTCATTGACGACCTCCCGAAACTCCTGAGGAGGGAGGGAGGAACGACCCTGACGACCACCCGCGGCATCAACATCCAGATCAACTCGCTGTGGTTTGCCGACGACGGCGCACTGATCTGCAGACCCGGACAAGCACAGAGACTGCTCGACATCTGCGAGCAGCACAGTATTGACAACAGATACAAGTTCTCGCCGCCCAAATGCGAAGTGATCTTCTCCGAGGGCAATCCTGAACGAGCAACCGGCCTCCGACTCTATGGCCAGCCATTGCCCATGGCAAAGGAGTTCAAGTACCTCGGAGCCACCTTCGACGTCAACGGCCTCCAGATGGACCGACAGATCCAGAGGATGACGGCGACGGCCCAAGTAGTGGCCCAACGGATCGCAAAGCAAGGATACACCCTCGGCAACATGACCGCCAGATCGCTGGTGCGGGTCTACAAGACCTTTGTCCGACCGACGATGGAGTATGCCCTGTCCCTCGATCGGCTCGAAGCCAAACAAGCCAAGACGCTCAACCGAACCCAGATGCACTGCCTCACGGCGCTGTTCAAAGTGGTCCGAAACACATCGTGGGGAGCCATGCACATCAACTGCGGGCTCATATCAATGTCGGGCCGCCTCAAACAGCTGGCGATCCAATACCGGGCTGTCTGGGAGGACCGGAAAGACCAAGACGACAAGATGGTCTCGCTGGTGCTCCGATTCACCCGCGCGGACCCAGAACGCAAGTCCATATTCCTGGGAGCAACCATCTACGAGGACGACTACTGGAAGCGCCTCGAACAAGTCAAGACCCGGCGTCCCCTGGGAACAATGGGGTGGCTCTTTGCAGAAGGAACGGTTCAAGAACCCGGCCCAGCTCTGAAAATGGTGATGCACCTCGAAGACGCCCGCAGTTTCGACCGGAAGAAGGAGCTGACGGCGGCCTGCTCGCCTCTGACGACCATGTCGGGCCTGTGGGCTGCCAAGAAATCCAAAATGGACCGATGGCTGCACTGCATCGCGGCCCGATGGAGACTCGGAAGCTTCCCTGGCCATCCGAAAGGCGGGAGGAGGCACTGCAAGCAGTGCACGACAGACCCAAATGACCCGGTGATCCTCGACAGAACACATGCTCAGGAATGTGCGGACCCAAACGGGAGCCTCCACGAGGTGGTCCAAGAATACAAAGCCCGACACCCAGAGTGGGAGGAACCGACCCACGACAGCGTGGGGCCGATAGACAAGATCCTCGACCTCCTCAGCCATGTTGGATACGACAGAAGTGAGAGGATGGCGCGCTTCGTGAGAATTGACCCAGAGGTAGAAGCCCTGTGGGGTACGATCTCACAAATCTTCGTGAAGCTGACAAAAGACCTGGCTGGGTGGGCAGCACCTATCCATAGAAGATAGCCCAGGGGAGGAGGCGTATAGCCACCTTCCAGAACGACACTTTGCCGAGTATCAGTGATGCTGAGGGCAGGCACACAAATAAAAGTGCGCTATTGAAACAAAAAAAAAAAAATTTGGCCCGCCCTTGCTTCTCCTCCCCGCTCAATCGAGAGGCATTCGTTCCCACGCAAGCGATGACGGCGGCATGCGTGCTGTATTTCGGAGAGGCAGAGGCAGCAGTGCGGAATCAACAGCGACACACAGAGGGCAAGCAAGGCAGATGGACAGAGTCAAGGGCAGGTGCGAGCTCGAAGGAGCAGAAAACAAAGCGCCGCAGACACACCCGACCGAGCCAGAAGGTCGGGGTTCAAGAGAGGGAAAGTTCCGGACGCCGGCGTCAGCATCAATAGGGTGGAGAGGGAGCAGACAAGTGAACGATGTGGCTAAAGCCAAGAGCAGAGCAGAGCAGCTTGAAAGGACCAAGTCGGATCGGGTCGAGACGGGATTGTTGGGTCGAGATCGGGTCGCCGGGTCGATATGCCAGGACGACCCTGGTCCTGGGGGCACGCTACTTGGGAGTCTGTCTGGCCGAGCTTTGATGCCGCATGGGCGATGCTAGCGCGAGTAGGGATGGTATCCTCGCGGTCGAGAGTCGGGCCCTTGTCGCTGATCATCCATCCGGCGGCGACCAGCACGATCGGGGCCGCCTCCGGGCATGGCTCCAGACACAGCTCCAATGGCAGCATAGCCGTATGGCGCCGTGCCAGCAGCCACAGGAGAAACGATGGCGCTGCTGCCGAACGACATGCGGCCATATCCGTAGGCAGCCGCACCCGAATCAACGGCAGCGCCATAGGCGGCATATCCGGCGTAGGCTTCTGCCACGCTCCCGCTGCCGGCTTGGTACATGTCGCGGCCGCCGTAGCCGTAGCCTGAGCCGCCGTAGAAAGCAGCCGCAGCATCCATGCTGCCCTGGCGCCAGTAAGGGCTGCTCATGCCAGCAGCCGGTGCGGCAGAGTAGTCGTTGGCGTAGTTGACTGCGTATCCGTTCGCCATCGACTGGTTCCCGCCATAGCTGCCGCGATAGCCTGGTCCGCCATAGCCGCCGTAGCCACCGCCGTAACCCCGAGAGGAGCGACCAGAGAAGCGATCGGGGCCGCCGCGAGAATGCATGCCACCGCTGCTGCTGCCACTGCTCGTGTTGCCGCGGTTTCCCTTTGGCGTGGCTCGTCGGACTTCGATCTGGGTAATGGAGAGGAGCGGACAGGACACTGAGATGATAGCGCTGCAGCGACTGATCGATGCGGAATTGCAGGTCACGGCCAAGCTAAGGTCCTATTCTCATGCTGTGAGAGGGACAGGCGCTGTGGAAGGAATGCCCGTGGGTACCCATCCGGCACTGTGGACGAGCTTAGCAACACAGCGATGCGGCTCATTCCATTTCATACACTCTCTCTTGGGGCAGGAGTTCCGCGCTGTACGTACCATCCTATCTTGAAGCTTCATGTCCTTTTCTTGGAGACACTTCTCGGTGCTGGCCGCGTCTTCGAAAGTGACGAAGCCAAACCCACGCGATCGCTGGGTTTCGCGATCGCACATGATCATGGCCTCAGTGACGGGCCCGAACTGCTCGAAAAAGTGGCGGAATTCTTCCTGGCTGGTTTCGATAGACACGCCACCGACAAAGAGCTTGTTGGTCGGAGGATTGTGTGCTGACGAACCGCCTGAGCCCGAGCCTGAGCCGGGGCCAGGGCCAGGGCCAGAGCTACCTCTGTCGTCGGAACGGGGGACAGCACGCTTTGGATCGATCTATGGGAATCGCAGGCAAGCAGAGGCAAGCAGAGGCGAAGCCCCAAGTCAATTACAGGACGAGTACAAGAGTAGCTCACTTGATCGTTCGGTTGTATGCGGCGACTCATCACTACTCCGAATCACAGTTTGCCCATGCATCGGTCCAGCCGAGCTCGACAGTACGTTTGTGTGGAGCTCATCGTCTCCCCCCCCCGCCCAACAACCATCAGAAATAACAGGCCCCATGACTGCTGACTCCGGGTGGATCTTACCCGCTTTCCGTCGAGATGGTGGGTGGTGTTCAGTACCCTATCGACGACACCCGAGTCCTTGAAGGTCAGAAATGCAAATCCTCTGGAGGTGCCGGTGTGTGGGTCCTTCATGACAGCGCAGTCGTCGACCTCGCCAAACGCCTCAAAGTAGCTTCTCAGGGCCGCTGCACGTTGAAAATCGGCAGCAGTCAGGGTGAGAGCAGAGAGAAAGTCAGAGGGAACAAACGAGAGTGTCAGTCATCTGTCCAAGCTCGGATCAAGCCGACCAGCCAGCCAGCCACAGGGCGACCATGAGCCCCAACTCGGGAGATCGCATTTGATCGAGAACGAGGAGACGCAGCGGGCTGAGAGGGCCGAAAGTGACCGAGATGGTGTGTCGAGACTGATATCGCACGGGGAAGGCAGTTGGTGGGAAGGTGCGTCGAGATGAGTGTGGGCCAAGGCGAACAGCAGCAGATACACCGCCGCGGCAATCCCGCCACCGAAGGATGGACGCATCGTGAATGGACCCGAACCCGGGGATTCAGCCGCCATGAGATAGAGATGGAGGAGGCAGACCGTCAGTTCAAAGTGTCACTCCGCATCATCGACACAGCCAGGAGCGGCGCGAGCGGCTCAACAAGCGCTCATGGAAAGGGCTATTACAGGATGGAGGCTATCGTCGCATGTGCTGCTGCTGGTGTGGCGATGGCGGCTGTGTTGGTGGTTGTTTGTGATTTGTCTGCCTGCACTTCGGGGGTCGATCCTGATGAGATTGCTACGGGCTACCGGATCTACGCTATCGAGTCATGGATTGAAGCGTGAATATGGTTCAGAACGACAGCACCGAGAGTAAGGAGGAAGGAAAAAGAAAAAAGAAAGAGCACGATTTTATTAAGCCATTGCCGATGCGAAGAAGAGGCGCAGGAAGCAAGTGCGATGGTGGTGGCCGAGACAGCCGGACAAGAGCAGAGCACAGAGGGCAATGTGAAAGGACCTACAACTTATCTGGGCTCTACAATTCAGAACTATGGCTCCCCTAACGACTCGAGGGCTGGTTCTAACGTTGGCGGGGCTATCTGATGATGGGATCCTGGAGATCCCACTGCCTCGGATGGTGTCGGCGCAATCTGACACTGGGGCCGACTCTGGGATGGGGAAAGCGTCCTCCTTTGGCTCTGCGGCTCACAGCGCCGTGCGTCTCTCGTTTCGACTCGAGAACTGAAGAGGCTATTGTGGGGAGGGGAGAGGGGGGAGGGGGATGCGGATGCGAGGGGAGAGGCCTCATGTCTGTCCTGTCGCCAGCGGACCAGAAACTGGCTGCAAGCATGGGAAAAGGCATGCGGACGAGAGGTTCCAAGCAGCCAGGTGTTATCGGGGTTGCGGCATGAGTGCAAGCGGCAGTTAATTACCATCCGAGGTCTCCCAGTTGAGGCCGCCGACAAAGATTTTGCTGTTGGATCGCAGAGACAGGGCAAACGGTGTCGGATGGTCAGGCCATTAGGCACGCAAGAGCAGAGCCAGACAATCACGAACCAGCATTGAAAGCGCGAGATGCAGCGGCGGCGGCTTCCAGAGGCATGCCCCGAATCGGCCACAGAGCGCATGCCCTTCCACATGCAGAGCTGCATGGCGGAGGAGCACACAGAAGGCCGGCTCTGGCCATCGGAAGGTCGGCGTGGCGACAACCAGAGGCGGAGCGGACATGAAACAGGCCGAGCAAACAGGAGCCCGACAGAGCGGATATCTCACCCCGAAATATGCGTGGTTGGATCAAAGATGGACGGGGTCGTGGGCGAGTACGGAGCCTGGGCCGCCTCGGCGACCGAAGGCGACGTGGGCAACGGCGATGGCGATGCGGCATTGGCAGCCTTTGAGCGATAGAAGCCTGCGTCGTGATCCTCTTGGGGAAAGACGTAACCGGACGTGGCCATGGCAACGAGACGAAGGAGCCAAGAAGCAAGAGGGGGTGGGTGCGGAGAGCAACAGGAGCGACGGCAGGAAGAGACGGCCGGCAAGGGAAGCAGTTGCCCGCAACGACGGTTGATCGGAGCTATGGAGGAGGCACCAAGGTCGCAGGAAGCGGTGGAGGGGGCGGCAGACAGGACAGGAGGCGAGGGCGGGCGAGAGCGGGCGAGGACTTGCCTCGGCCCAGGCTGCCTTGGCGGCTGCGTTCGAAACGGCATCGGATGTGCATTCCGAAACGGTTCAGCAGCGGACAGGGCACCGGCCTCGGAGCGGCATCCGATACGACAGTCGATACGGGATTCGATACGACATCCGATACGGGATTCGATATACCTTGCGATATTGGCCGGGCTTCCCCGAGTTGCGCCAGAGATCCCACGAGCCCCAGCAATCGCTTTGAGATCGCATCGCCCCTCGACACCGTCCTGCCCTTGACTCCGTCTCGACCAAGGCAGCATGAGCACCACGCCGTCCCAGACCCACCCGGCCACATCGCCGATGACCGTATGCATTATTTCTGCCGCATCGCTACACAGCCGAATGGACTCGTCCGTGGATAGCCGTGTTTGACCCCGACATGCAATCTTATGCCGCTTGCCCTCTTTGCTCTCTGTCGTCGTCTGGGGAATGCTGCAAACATCGGGCTGGCTCTGCAGTCCCGACATGACGAAGCAAAGAAAGCCCTTGCAAGTGCAGCCGTAGAGGCATCGTCCGCCATGGCCAACTGTGTGAAGAGCGACTTTGCGTGTAAGAACAGCCTCGCAATGCCGATCGCTTGGGATATGGACAGCCCTTGGATGCACCATCGATTGGCCATTATCGTCTCCGAGCAGCCGCTGCCTCTGGTAACCATGATGCGACTTTTGGCTGGCCGTCCAGTGGCTGCAGGAGAGTTTCAGCAGCTGGAAACGATGAATCTTGCAATCCGAGAACGCTATTCGCAAATGTCGGAAGAATCGCACAACTTGATTCAGTCGATGGCTCAGCTGCAGGACGAATGTGGGTACACCGAGGATGGTCCGGGCACGAGGAGTCTTTGACCGAGTGGCCCGCTGCTGCTTGCATCGTTGCATGTCCTATTCCTGCCTGCATCATCGCATGTCCTGCGCCCTTCGAACTGGCGGCATCGTCATCGCTGACTCGGCTCTGCTGGGCAATAGACGGGCTGATCGAGCCGTACATCCACCAGATCTTTGAGGTGGAGCGGCAGATCACAGTCATCGAATCGGTGGCACTGGAACTTGACGATTACACCAAGCGGCTAGGTACGACGATGTTGCTGCAGTGATGTTGCTGTGATGTTGCTGTGATGTTGCTGTGGTGTTGCTGTGATGTTGCTGTGATGATGTTGCTGTGGTGTTGCTGTGGTGTTGCTGTGGTGTTGCTGTGCTGGACTAACACCGGGCCGGATTGCTGCATCAGAGGAATCGCTGAAGCGACGAGGAGCACTGTAATGCCGACTTGCGGACCATAGTGATCCTGGAATCGCAGCCGGATCTCTCGACGGACCATGTACTCGAATGTGATCGAGCCGCCAGTCCGCAACTAGTACAATGCAATTCTTTGAACGATGCTGCCGTGAGATTCATGAGCAGCACTGAGTCGCAGATGTGCTGATGGAACCGCCCGTGCGTCTCTGCTCGTCCCAGGCGATGGAAGGCTGGCATGCCGCAATGGGGAAAACACCGGCCGAACCTCTCGCCGCCAACCAGCCAGCTTTCAGGGGTCTGGCAGGATTGACCTGTATCCCGCCGCAGGTGGCACTTCAACTGCCACGAGAGGGCCACGGATGCACGCATGCACTTCCGTCTGCTCCGGCAAGCAGCCATGCGTGCAGGTCTCCAGCGGCAACGGCCGAGGACACACGGCCCTGGCAAAGGGGACAGCCCGCTCCCACGATGGAGGTTCATGACGAGACGCTGCACGTTGGAAGGGCGTGTCGCCAGGATAACGGCGACACCTATGCGAACGTTTCCGAGAACGGACAGGATGCCGCGGCGGGCCGACGCACGCAGAGCAAGAGGGAGGCAGAATGCGACGGCGGGGACCAGAAGCGCTGGAGCAAGGCCGGGGGGGCTCCAAAGTGGATTCCTCGCCTACAGCGGCGACGAGGACGTCTGTGCTGGGCTGCACAGCAGATGGACAGCCTCGACATTACCGAGCAGGCTGGTGCTGGCACCGCCAACCGAGTCGTTTGCTTGCCGGGTGAGGGTTTCCCCCATCACCAAATGGGTCTCGCCTGTGTCCGATCCGACCTGCCAAACGTGTGCTTCGTCCAGGGCCGCCCTGGCGGAAGCGCGGTGGTGGCGCGTGCGCAGGGGCGTGGGTGCGTGCGCGCCGCTGCACCAGGGAGGGCGAGGGGGCGTGCGACATGGCGGACATGCCTGGCCAATCGCGGCGACGGCATGAACCGAAATGGCAGTGACGGCGATGGCAACAGGTGTGTTGGCGAGATGGTCATTGCGACGACCACGGCGCTGACGATGGAGTTGAGCCGACGGCAGTTGAGATGGTGCCGACTCGCTGAGCAGAGTGGATTCGGCAGGACACGGATGGATGTGGAGATGTGGAGATGTGGAGATGTGGAGATGTGGAGATATGGAGATGGAGATATGGATGGGGATTGCCCCGCATCAAACACCAAACCCCAAAATCAAACATTAAACATTAAACATTAAACATTAAACTTCCACCACCTCCATCCCAACATCAAACATCCACCGCCGCCAACACCAACGCCAACACCAACGCCCAATCCACCAACGCCCAGCACACCGCCTGCCCCGCCACGCTGGAGGGCCGTCCCTTGCTCATGCTCTTGCGCACATGGGCCCTGTCTGCCACCAGCCCAAACACCCCCCCCCGTATTTGCTCCCTTCTCTCCAAACGCACACTTACTTCGAACACGGGCTCGTTCGCTCGTTCGTCCGTCCGTACACCTGCGGATGCGTTTGTTCACCCGCACACCCTTGCGATGCGTTTGTTCGCTCGCTTGCCCACACGCACACACACATGGTGACCCGCCACGCCAACCAGCGGGCCAACCCATCGACAAATGCCAGCACATTACGGTTTCCACGCGCTTGTTCTTTCGCAGGCGGAGGGTGCGGATTAACACTGCCGAGGGCACGGAGCATGCTGGTCGTCATTGCCCCCCCCCCACATCGGCGCTGCTCCTCTCCAGCCATAAATACCTCGCTCGTCGCCAGGGCTATTCGTCGTCGTCCATCGCACTCTGCCCATCGCCCTCATTTTTCTTCTCAGCTGCGTTTCGTTCCCTTCCGTTTCGTTTCGTTCCCTTCCGTTCTGTTGTTCGCTCTCACTCTCCAACCTGCATCTCACTCAGCACCGATCCCCACTCCCGCCTGCCCTTCCCGCATCACGCCAACACCAACGCCCACAACCTCGTTGATCTCGCTCCAGCCTCCATCTCTCCAAGCATCCCCCCCCACAACCCTTACTTCACACACAAAAAACAGTAATAATATGGAATCGCCTCTTACTGCGCCCTGTGTGCCGATCATGCACCCAACGGCCGCCAATCGGCAACACCCGCCTCGTCACTCGCGCAGACCCGAGCCAAAAAAGCTGGCCATGTTCATCAACTACTTGATCCACGTCATCCTTCGGCGCCTGCCCAGCAACATCAAGTCGATGCAAACTCTCTACGAGAGCAAGAGCTTTGAGCAATCCTCCGAGCTCATCTACCTGGTGCTGCAGGCGACCCAGAGCTTCATCCCGCTCTCGGTCGTCATCGTCGCGCTGATTTTTATTCGGGACATTGGCGTCTCCTCGCACCAGCTCTCGGGTGGCTCCGAGCCCCACCTGTTCCTGGTCTCGCTTATGGTCGCCCACAAGTTCATGGACGACCACACCGTCGTCCCGGTGACGTGGTCTCGCCTCTCGGGCCTGCCGCAGAAGCAGATCAACAAGCTCGAGCAGCAGTTCTGCATGGCCATGGACTACAACTTCAAGGTCGAGCCCGAGGTCTTCCGGCAATGGGCAGCCTACTTTCAAGGCCATTCAGCTTACTGGTCCTGAACGGGCTCGCCTTGCGCTTTGAATATCCCCCCGGATATCCCATGCATGGCCCCATGCATGCCCATCCCCGTCCCACTCCCACTCCCACTCCGCCGGGCTCTTGCCCTTCGCAGGTCTGCGTCCGGTTCATGCATCCATCCCACCACCCGTAATTATCGCACTCCTTTGCTTCCTTTTCTCTCTTTGCTTCTTGCACCTCCCGTTTGATTTTTCCAGCATTTTGATTTCATCGCACATGCATGTTTTTGGCACTCTTTCTCTCCGCAATCCAACCCCCCCATCCTCCTCTTCCTCCTCCTTCGCCATTCCCTCTTATCGCATCGCGCTGCACGCCCCGAGCTGCTTTGCCAAAGCAGTCAACTTTTGGCAGCGGCGTGAGGCCACCCAAGCGGGAGCCTCTGGCTAGGTCCCGCTTGGGGTGGGCCTATCGCTTCCTGCATCTTTGACCTCCTCAAACTCCAAGGGGCACTGGTGGCTCTACTTTGCTGAGGGGAACAGCTGTTATGTTTGAACTGACTAGCGGCCAGCTCCTCGAAAGCAACTCCTTTCTCTCTCCCCTTCTCAGAATAACCTATACCCACCTCTCTCTCTCTCCATTCACATCCATCGATACACTTGGCACTGCGTTTTTTCCTCCTTCCTTCTTTCCTTCCTTCCCTCGTTCTCTGCATTGTACATACTAGTTTCCCCTCTCGCATCCTGGAAGGATAGCTCTCCCTGACACTTCCTGTGTTCGCCTCTCCTGCCGCCAACCAAGGCGGCCCCAGGTACGAGCGGGTGAACCGAGGGAAGGGTCAACGGAGAAGCCATCAAGACAGTAATAATAAACAGCTCATTCAGAAAAAGCAACAGTGGCCATTCACGCATTGTGTTTGAGCGGACCGATGGGCGACCTGGTGGTGTGGTTGTGACCGACAGAACCCGCCCAGTCCCACCAACATATGACCGAGAGTAGTTGGCTCTGTGGGTTCACACACGAACGATCAGCAATACCACGCATGCTCCACGCTGGCTGACTACCATCGTCGTCGATCTCGTCGTCGGTATCGTCATCCCCCTGTTCCTTCTGCCTCGTCCGGTTTCTGCCGCTGACGCTGGCGCCCCGTTGCATGAGCTGCATCCAAACAACCAGCGCACACGGACGGCTGCTCCCGAGCGCACGAACATGCTCAAAACCGCACGCGCGGTTCCTTGATCTATGTTCCCATGGCGGACCAGCCCCTCCTCTCTTCCTTCTGCCAGCGGGCGGGACGGCGCCGCTGTCCATCGTCCTTGGGCTCCTCTCACCCGGCCGCTGTCAAGATCGATAAGCCGACGAGGAGATAGCGGGGGGTGTTCCGGTCACTGCGGCGGCCATGTGTTGTGTGGTGTCTGGTGCTCGGTGTCTGGTGTCTGGTGTTTGGTCCTGGAAGGAAGCAAGGGGAGGTGACAGCCGTCCGCCATGTCTTTGCCCTGTCGCTCTCACCCTCGATTGTGCTGTTGGTGGTTGACGCTATCTTGTGCGCACGCACTCTCTCGATCACTCCCAGCTCTCACCGATCTAGTCCATCCGTCAGCATTGGTTTTGCGTGCGTTTTGCTGGTGGTGACCGAGTCCGAGTCCGAGGGGGGGAGGCAGATCGAAAGGGCAGACGACTGGGCATTGGTCTCTGTATTTTCAGATCTCACTCCTCGTCAAAGTCCCAAATCCGGGTCCGAGTCCAAGTCCGAGCCCGGGAGGAGGTTTACATATTGGATCGGGACCGGGGATCTGGTGCGCATGGCGACAGTCCTTTCCGCCACCCAACCTCTGATCACCCCCTCCATCACCACCAACGTCACTCTGTCTCCCCAAAGTCTTGCCGTTGGGTCATGCGTTTGGGTGCGATCGACAGCCACGGGCAGATGCGAGTTCCCTGATCGCGAACAACTGATGGCATGCTTTGATCCAAGATCGACGAATGCATGCAGTTGGATGAGTCTGATGACTCGTTGTGGGAGGTCGGGAGGTCGGGAGGGGTCCTGGCTCCATCAAGGCACCCGCCAAAGAGGAAGAGAGTGGTCCTCGGGGTCATGTGTGCAGAGGATAGCGGACTGAGGCAGACCGGGGTGAGCTGTGCATGTGCCCTGGGCCCATGAAGGGCGACTGATGCGGCGGTACTCGTCACCAGACCAACGGACTGCTGCTTGGTGCGTTGCTGCTGGGGGGGGGCGAGCGGCGACGGGGCCTCTCCCCACTCCAAGGCCAATTTGAAATCGATGCGATGCGATGCGATGCGATGCGATGCGATGGAGAATGAGCGCAGGCGAGATCCGGCCAGCATCGCGACAGGCATCATGAACTCATAACCGTGGTGCCACCAAGCAGTTCCAGCGACAGACGGATGATCAGGACCATGGCGTTTGGCCGAACCGCCCTCCTGCAAGTCTGCCCCAGCCCTCTCCCTGAAATAGCCAGCGATTTGAGCACAGTACGGTGGATGATCAAATATTGATTATTTCTCTCTGCTATTTTGGAGTTTTCCGGTTTGTTTTTCGGCTTTAAGGGATAGGGAGGGGGATACGGGTCGGTAGGAGTGGGTTAGGTGGATTTGGCTTAACTAGGGTCGGATAAGTCATTACATGGAGAAGCGAGGCGGAAACAAAAGATACGCTAAAGGGGTGCACCGCACCAAACAAACACAACACAGAAACATAGAGGAAGAACACTCGGAACTAGATATTTTTCTTTTGGTCTCGTAGGAGAAAGTGAAAGGTGAGAAAGAGGAGCAAAGGCAAGGCAAGGCAAGGCAAGGCAAGGCAAGGCAGGGCAGGGCAGGGCCTGGCAGGGGAGAGAGGAGAGGAGGAACTTGCAAGTGGAGCTGTATCCCGAGAGAGGGACGAAGCAGGGGGGTATGCGGATCAGGCCGGATCCAGGGTCCAACGAGTAAACTGCCGAGAAACCAGAGTCGAAATACCGAGACCGCAATCGCGGATACGAAAGGTTCGACAACGACGGTGGTGGCGGTAGTGGTGATGACAACGATGGAGCTGGAAATGACGATGGCGACGACGATGGAGCGCCAGTGACCGATCGATGGAAGCAAGCCACTCCTCCCTAGAGAGTCGCCCTGGGGAAGGAGGAGGAGGAAGAGCCATCGCCGGGCATTACAGCCAGTACGCCGCGTGGGCATCAAAGTAGTCCTGCCACCGACCAAAGACCTCGGGCTCGACCGTGAAGTTGTAGTTCATGGCCTGGCAAAACTGGCGCTCCAGGAGACTGATCTGGCCCTGGGGCAGACCCGAGATGCGCGACCAGGTCGTCGACACAACCGCATAGTCGTCCGAGAACTTGTGGGCGACCATGAGCGACACCAGGAACAGGTGGGGCTCGGAGCCCGCCGAGATCTTGAAGGGCGAGACAGAGAGATCGCTGATGAAGATGAGCGACAGGATGATGACCGAGAGCGGGATAAAGTTCTGGGTGGAGCGCAGCACCGAGTGGATCAGCTCGGAGGACTGCTGGAAGCCCTTGTTGTGGTAGAGGGCCGGTGTCGACTTGACATTGTCGGGCAGGCGCTGGAGAATGGCATGGATCAAGTAGTTGACAAATTTGGACAGGCGCTCGGTGCGTGGCAGGGCCTGGGGGCTGGAATACGGAAAGCACTCGTCCTCTTCGGCGGCCGGAGTCAACATTGGTTTGATGGGGGCTGGGCTGGGCTGGGCTGGGCTGGGCTGGGCTGGGCTGGAATGCGAGAAAGCAAGGATGGGATGCTTGGGGCAAGGAAGCAGTGCGATGGCGAAGGATGTGTTGTGCTGGGCGAGGAAGGAACGTGCTTTGGCAAGAGGCAAGTGGCGAGCGGCGACGGAAACAAAAGTAACGACTGAGGCAAGAGTAACTGCTGAGGCGGTGGACAGGCAACGGAGACCACCGGAGGGCGAGAGAGGGAGCGATGGCTTGAGGCGCAATGGTCAAAGACAGAACGGTCTTGGGCTGCTGTGGTGAATCGATGGAACGACGTCTTCCTCCAAAGAACGAGCGTGGGGTGTCTTTGTGGGAATCCGGGTGCAGGAAGGAGAGGGACGATGGAGAGGAACGGGAGCCTCGAGGATAGAGCAGAGCAGAGCAGAGCAGCGGCAAGACGATGAGATCCAAACACAACCGAGGGAGCCGAGAGGGCACAGCGGATCCGTGCACAATTATAGGCCCAGCAGCCACAGGACCAGAGCACGATGGAGGAGGGGGGCCTGGGAGACCAACGGCGACCACGGGGCTGGGGGATGAAGGGGCGGCCAAGGGCGGCCAAGGGCTGGACGGGACTGATTGGTGCGGCGACATGGGCGAGGGGCAAACGTCGAGAGCGCCAACCGCGAGCCGGGAGTGTGGGAGTTGCTCGGATCGAACAAGAGAGGCACCTGGTGGGCCGGACAAGGCGTGCGAGCAAGACGAGCGAGACGAGCGAGACGAAAGGGAAGCGCCGGAAGGGCTTTGCTGCTGTCGAATTGCGGCTGTAGACTTACTTGCTGCTGTCGACCTGTTGCGACGGCAGAGCACTTCCTTGCGAATGGCGGGCCAGGCGGCGGTCACGCCGGCAACAGCAAAGACGGATCGACCTTGGCTGGGGCCGCCCCCGTTATGCGCATCTCCTCCACCACCACCACTGCCGCTGCCGCCCCAGCGCGCCGAGCAGCGGCCCAGCATGGTGTGAACACAGATGTGATACGGCTGGACGAGACGAGAGTGCCGTGGGGATGGGAGTGTCGCCGGATGCAGCTGCGAGCGAGATGTCGCAGCGAGCCGGGATATCGCGAGCAGCGGGTACATTTGCCAGCGCAAACATGGTCCCCAGCGACGGGTCTCCCTTTCCCGCCTTCGTCTTGCCCATGTGGTCCGCGAACGAAAGCAAGCGAAAGCAAGCAGAGGGAAGTGATAGCAAGCGGACGCCAGAGCAGAGCGAGAGGGGCAGTGGCCCGTCGATTCCCACGCCCGCAGCCCTGTCCAGACCCAGCTGCGAGCGCACGCGCAGATGTATCCCCACGGCCACAAGGGGCCTCAAGGGGTGACGGTGCGCTGTGCCTCGGCACAAGGAGCGCGTGCATTCCTGGAACCGCGTCGGGGTCGGCTCGTGCGTTCGGCCGCGCCAGCACGGGGTGCGAGAGTTTGGGGCGAGGGGAGGCATGCTGCGGTGGTTGAAGTCGGGTCGTCAGCAGCACGGTGCTGATAGCGCAACCGGACTGATGCGGATTGTTAACGACGGTGTCGTCTTTCGCGACGGGCCCGAGCAGCACTATCGAGCCATGTCTTGGCCAGAGAGCATTCATGGTCGTGCTCCAGATCGCACTCTGTGCCAGCGGACAGCGACGTGCTGCCCCCCGCGGCACTCTTTGCACGTTCCTGCTCGTCCCGACTGAGCGACGAAGACGACTGGTCACTGCATTCCGCCGCTCGAGACCAGCGGGCCCATCTTGTCCTCCTGGCCGACCGCCGATGATCCCGAGTCCGCAGGCCCGGTGTGCGATTCAAGCATCGATCGGGTCTCCCGGCTTGACGACCGCCTTTGGAGCATCATGACCATCAACGCCCGCACCAGTCCGCGAGCGGCCCGGTTGTCCTGCCTCCCGGATGCCCGGCGCTCTCCAACCGCATGCTGCCCAGCAGGCTCGCCCAAAACAGCATGTCTGCCCGTGGTTGCCATATGGACTGCTCTGGCTGCGAGCTGCTGGCCGACAAGCAGCACGATGGCCGCCGCTGTCTCTTGCGTGGCTCCGATACAAATATGCACCACCACCACCCCATCAGCAGCAACATCAACAGCAGCAACATCACAAACATCACAAACATCACAAACATCACAAATATCACAAACATCACAAACATCACAAACATCACAAACATCACAAACATCACAGACCATCCAGCCGGCTCCAGTGCCGCGCACTCGATCCGGCTCGATGCATCGCCACCAGGTACACGTGATTCCTGTGGCTTGTGCCGATAACATCTGTGTCACCGCCGCGCTATCAGTCATCGCAGCCGCCCACGTGCCAGCACATCCACCACCTCGGTGGCATCCTCCGGCTTTCCCATCCGCATCTTGACCATCTCGATCGCCCTTCTGTCCGCCACCAGCCCCCACCATCGCCGCGAGGATCAATGATCCGCATCGACGACCCGGCCAACACCATGAACTTTTTCGACACCCCGATCTCGCTGTCCAAGCTCCGGGACGAGCTTGTTCGCATGGAGGACACCATCATCTTTGGTATGCTGCGCTGTGTCATCTGGGCGACGCCATTATTATCGCTGTTGGCACACCAGTGACAGGCTCGGCTGGGCTCGGCTGGGCTCGGCTGGGCTCGGCTGGGCTCGGCTCAGCTGCGTGCTTGCCGATCGCATGTTCCGCTGGTGGCCGCCTCTCTGTGCCAACCAGTGCCGTCTCTGCCTTGGCGCCGCTGACGCTGCCCTGCCCTCCTTCATGCCCATCGCCCAGCCCTCGTCGAGCGCTCGCTCTTTTCCCAGAACACAATCATCTACAAGCACAAGGGCTTCGAGTTCTCCGACTACGACGGTTCCTTCCTCGAGTACTTTCTCCACGAGACCGAGTGTGTCCATGGTGAGGATGCATGTCCCAGCTGCAATTCAGCAGTATCGTCCATCACCTCGGGGTCTCTCCCCGGCTTCGTCTTGCCTTGGCTACCTCTTGCCCACACAGACTCATCTGCCCTCCTCCTCCGTCCCCCATATGCCCTCGCCTCCTGCCAGCCAAGGTCCGTCGCTACACCTCCCCAGACGAATACCCCTTCACGGCCAACCTTCCCGAGCCGATACTGCCCCCGCTGGCCTTCCCAAAGCTCCTGATCCCCAACGACATCAACGTCAACCAGCAACTCGTCGAGCTCTACACCTCCAAGATCGTGCCCCTCATCTGTGTCGACGGCGACGACGGCAACTATGGCTCGTCCGCCACCAAGGACGTCGAGGCCCTGCAGATCCTGTCCCGCCGCATCCACATGGGCAAGTACGTGGCCGAGGCAAAGTTCAACGACCCGGCCCAGCATGACCAGTACGTGGCGCTGATCAAGGCCCAGGACCGTGACGGGCTCATGGCGCTGCTGACCAACGCCGCTGTCGAGGAGCGGCTCCTGCGCCGTGTCGAGAAGAAGGCCATGATCTACGGCCAAGAGATCGACGACAGCGACAAGCCCTCGACGGGCCATCTGCGTCTGCCCCTGAAGCTCGTCAGCGATCTCTACGAGGAACACATCATCCCGCTCACCAAGCAGGTCGAGGTGGACTACCTGCTCCAGCGGCTGAACTACCCCGACTTTACTCCCGAAGTTCCTTACACCCACTGAGGGTCGCGCTTCTCTCTCCATCAACCCGGACAGACTCAGTTGTTGAGTTGAGGAGGGATGACGGTGATGTTGATAAGGACAGCAGCACGACTACCTCTCGAATCTCGATCCCGTCCGCCTCGGCCGTCATCCAGTGCGCCGTGGCAAGTTGTCGGATGGAGGCACTATCTAGTCGCTGTCCACCTCCCTCCTCCCCACGCTGACTCCCCTTCCCGCACCTTGATTTGGCCCACTCACTCCTCGCATCTGGAACTGTGACTTGCACCGACTGGCGGGCTATGTTTTGTGTTTTCTATGACTACCATCTATCCCGACTACCGGTGTGCTCGATGGGCGGCCCCATGATGTCCCACTGCGCTTCAAGCGATGAATAGAGCGGTCGTTTGTATTCTTCGCCCGTGCCCTCTCAATCTCTTGACCATCTTGGGATTGACAAAGGGTGGTTTTGCACGAGTCTACGTGCAGCTCTGTTGATCCAGTCTCGTTCACAAAACTAGAGCACGGCCTGGCCCAGCAAGACGGCCTTGGCCTTCTTGATTCGCTTTTTGATCGTCTCGCGCTCCTCAGGCTGGATGACGCTGACATGCTCGAGCTTCTGGGAAGACATATGCTGCGACAGGAAGAACGCCAGTCCTTCGCGCAGGGCCTCGTAGTTGGGCTGGGCAATCTTCGAAAGCAGCGCCTGCAGAGGTGCATCGGGATCGGCAGAGGACCGACCCGATGCTGACTTGCTCGTGAGCGAGCCCAACAGTGCCGCAAAGAAGAGTTGGTCGAACAAGACCTGCAGCTTGTTGAGCGATGTGAAGCTTTGGGTCTGAGAGGGAAGCAAGGGCAGGAAGATGGACCCAAAGAGCCAATGTCAGCGCCAGTCTCGATCTGCCGAGTGTTGCCGATAGGCCACCGTCGACACTGCTGAGACACTAGCATTCCGCTGGTCGATCGTGGCATCAAAGTCGAGGTCCAAGGATGGATGTACCAACCATACCAAACACACTCTCGCCATCGCACTTACCCGGAGGACCGCCAATGTGAGTGCATCGACAGAGACCAGATAGGCCAGCAGCTTGGCGAGGTGGCTGATTCGCCGGACGCCGCCCTCAAAGTCCCCGCTTTCCATCTCCTTGAAGAGATCCCAGAAGACAAACTGGAACGTGATCTTGAACCCGTGGTTGGACTCGCACAGAGTCTTGCCGATCAGCCCGTAGTATGGGTTGTAGATCTTGCCGACGGCACAGCAGTGGACGAGCACCCGCACGATCTCGCGCTCTTGCTTGTCCCGGAGTCCGAGCCGCATCAGCTTCTCGTAGGCGTCGACGCAGTCTTCGCTGCTCATGAGCACCACAAAGATGCTCCGCCGAACGTCCGTGTTCATCTTGTGAGCGCGCGCGAGCTTGAGCAGGTCCGTTGTCGCCTGGGTGCTGGCTTCCTGGACGGCCATGATCTTGTCCGAGTCGTGTCCTGTCCAGGCTGATCCGACGAGCCACCACTTTCCCTTGGTGTCGATTTGGTGGATGTCGTCCAGGGTAACTCGCAGACCCTCGTGTCCGCTCACTGAGCCGAGACCATTATGCCGATGCATCATTTGACCGGAGCAGAGTTGCGGAAGAGAGGATGAGTCGACCGTTGTCGCCGTCTCGCTGGCGATCGCTGCTGCATCGCTCAACAGCCATCGTTCATTGCCATACACAACTCCGTCCCGTCCTCCGACACCGGTGGCAGTGCATCTCACCCGCTCGCTTCTTGATGATGTTGGCGACAAACTTCTTGAGCTTGTCATGCTGCTGCGAAGTGTCGTTGCCGACTTGCTTGTGCTTGCGCTTGTTATTCTTCAAGTCCGTCAGGGTCTCCATCATGAACTTGTAGCGGGTACTACCAACGCAAGTTGCACGTCAGCGTCAAAGCCGAAGGGGGGGGGCGCAGACCCATCAAGAATGCGAGGCGATGCAACATCCACAAGCAGAGGCGTATCTGTGCGTAATGTGGATACAGATGCCCCGTGGGCTGGCCATTCCGCGCCGACGCAGACAAGCCGATGCTCTTCCATAGCGATCCGAGATGCCGCAACGGATCTCGGACCTGCCGACACCGTCTCGGCTTTCTCCGGCTTACTTTGTTGCAATCGACTTTTTGGCGGATTCGTCCTGGACCATCACAACGATATCCTTGAGGGCCGTGGCATCGTCCGCGCGCAACTGATGGCCCGAGACTATGTGCAGTCGCATCCAAGCGCCACAGGAAACAGACCATATTCGTGCGTGAGTATCTGCGGCCGGACAAGGCGTCTGGCATCATGCAAGGCAGATTTGCTGCGACAGCTCGGAAGAGGATAGGGCCGGTGACAGCTCGGCAGCGCCGCTTCTGCATACTCACTCCTCAGCAGCTTCAACAAGATCTCCACATCCAGCTCCGTCAGGCTCTTGATCGACATGCGGATGATGTCGTACACCAAGACACACGAAACCACCTGGAAATTGTACAGGTGGCCCAGCAGCGTCGTCAAATTGGAGCATTGCTTGTTCTGCAGCTCGGCGCTGTCGGGGTCGCTCGCGAAACTGGAGCAGTACTCGGCGTGCCCCTTTTCGTATCGTTCGATCATGGTCTGGATGAAGAAGGCGCCAACGTCGGTGCCCATGACGTTGTAGAGACACGCCAGCAGCGCCGCATAGGTGAGCACGAACGAGTCGAGCAAGTTGGCGTGATTGCCGATGTAGTTCAGCACCAGCTCGGTGACAATCTCAGTGACATCTGCGCAGAACGGACGGATGGTGGAGGAGCATGGCCGTTGTTAGACTGCGATGGCGGTAGTCTCACCAACCCGACCCCAGCAGACGACTCATCGAGAGGTTCCAGGGTGGGTGCGTCGTTTGTCACAGCGAAAGGTTCCGCTTCTCACCATGTCGACGGTTGGTGCTATATACGGCTTCGATCTCAAAAAAGATGCTTTCGAGGTTGGCATCGCTGAGCCTGTGCATCCCGATGGCCCCGTGAACCACGTTAGAAGGAGGAGGCGTGCCGGCCCACGGCGACTCGACCCGCCAAGCGGATGACAAGCAGATGCATGATATTCACAGCGCGGAAGTGTCAGGGCTGTGTGCGTGCGGGGAGGACGTACTTGTTCAGATGGCCCTGCAGCTGCCTCTTGAGTCTCATGTACTGCTCGTCCTTGGTGCTGGCGGCTGCTCGGAGATGTGGCGGGACATACTTGGACACAACCAGAGGAGCTGCATCACCAGATGTCCTTGTGCTCGGCGAATCAGAGGACTTTGAGTCTTTGACGGAGGAGTTGCTTCTTTTGGAAACCCGATCGTGGGTATCATCGCTGCCGTCACTTTCGTCGTCGTCCTCATCGATATCGATATCGTCATTGTCCACATCCTCGTCGTCATCACCCTCGTCATCATCTTCACCCTCGTCATCATCTTCACCCTCGTCCTCATCGCCATATCCACCAAAGCCATCTTGGTCATCATCGTCATCCCCATCCAAATCGCTGTTCTGATCCAGACGATCAAGCCCGATGATATCATCAAAGGCATCCATTTCAGCATCAATGTCGTAGTCGTCTTCATCATCTTCGCCCTCGTCCTCATCTTCATCTTCATCATGTTCACCAACAGCCGTTTCCCCGGCTTCGCGAGGGTCCTGGTCGTCGCTCTCGTCGTCTTCAAACCCGTAAAGATTCTGCTTCCGTTTCTTCGTGACTGTCTTTGTACCCTGGCCCTCCGTTTCGTCGTCATCGACATTCTGCTCGTCATCACCAGCAGCATCGCTGTCGTCATCCTTGGACTTGTTCTTGACCCAGCGCTCCTCAAAGCCCTCCATGAATTCTGTGTGAAGGATGTCCGAGCATTCGGTTCAGTCCCGAGCCTCTCCGTCCATCGTTTAACACGCTCTACAGAGTCCACCGCTTGCCAACCGAGATCCATTCGCAGTCGCTCACCTCCTAGGCCATCCTCTCCAAAGGCCTTCGGGATCTTCTTGCCCCGCTTGATGCCCAACAACCTCGCATAGCGTGCAATGTCGCGGTCGTCCTCATCAAAGCTGCTTGGGATCGGAGCGCCGTCGTCGATGAGCCGGTCCTGTTTCAGGAGTTTGTATAGCTGTGGGTTCTTGGCCGCCAGTTTCTCCATCTGCCGCTTCTCGAGCGCCTTCTTCTCGGAGGCAGTCAGTTTGGCAGGCTTCTCGACAACAGAATCGGCACCGGCGGATGTGTGGCGGTCCTTCTTGGAGCTGTCGCTGAGCTTTTGTCGCTTGGCTGAAGGACCCGATGTCTCGGCAGTTTGCTTGGAGGATTTCTTGGTCGTCTGGTTTTTAGGTGTCTGGAGAGCACGGATCGAGCCGCGGCGATCATCAGACATCGATGATCAGACGCCGTTGTCGCAGCATCGCTCTCGCAGCATCGAGGCGAGACCGGTTCCGACAGCATCGCTTCATCCATCTATGTCTCAGCACCGGTTAGCCACTGATCTGGCTGGGGCTCCTGTTCTCTCCGCGACCCACCCATTCAAATCATGCCCTTCCGCCCGTGCCTCCAGTCTCCCAACATACGTCATCATCGCTGTCAGCGCCGTCAGACTTTTTCCTCGAAAAGTGCTCAAACTTGTGCTGCTTCTTCTCGAGCCGCTTCTGCTTGCGCAGGTCCTTGCGCTTCAGCGATTTTTTGTTATACCGAAAGTTGAATCGGGCATCCAGATCGTCTGCTTGGCCGAGGTGCGACGCGGAGGGTCAGTGTCAGTCGGGCCAAAGCAAAAGTGAGGGCATCTGCTTGCTCGAAGCCGTCCTTTGCAGCGTCCGATGCTCTGCCCATCGCCGTGGTTATGTGCATGGCAGAGGCTACAAACGCACCTCCTTCGGCCGCCTTGGATCCCTGCGATCCAAGCGTCTCGAGCAGCGCCGATGGCAGCTTGGTTGTGTCGTTTGGCTTTCGGCCTCCCTGTTTCCGGCCGTGATGGCCTCCGCGATATCCGCCTCTCATTGTGTCTGGGTGGTGTGGCGGTTGCTGCCGTTGTTTGATGTTGGCCTTGAGCGGTTGATGGCCTTGGGCGGTTGATGGCCTTGGGTGGTCGATGACCTTGGTGGATGATGACCCTGGGTGCTGTAGGGATTTCAGTCAATGCAGATCAATGCAGATCAATGCAGATCAATGCAGGTCAATGCAGATCGGGCAGAAACAAAAATTCAGCACTTCATATGCCCGCATCAGGAAGCCGCAGTCGTCCCGGCTTGTCGGCCGTTCCCACACTCGTCCTGCACCACCACCGCATTCAGCCGAGACAGTAGTCCCTTTGATTGCAAATGACCTCCAGAGCCAGAAGTTTCGCCCGCGCTCTTGCTCTGATCGGCAGTTCTTGCCAATAGGGCGGGCCTCCCGTGACCCCCCGACAAACAAATTGAATCCTGGAAGCTCTGTGTTTCGACCTGGAACTCCCCAGGGAGGCTCGCTGCGCTCTGTTGCATCAACCTTAACGCTTTCGCTGCAGGGCTTCAAAAAGAAGCGCGGCTCAAAGGGCAGTCCTTGAAACGGGGAGTCTTGCATCTGCATCTGGCTTTCTGTCACTCGATTATCAAAGCCGCTGCTCTTCTGCGAACACACCCACCCGCTCTCGAATTGAGTCCCAGGTATGTTCTTCCTTGTGTGGAGATTCGCGGACGACGGGCTCGGCTCAGCAGGCCTCAAGACAGCAGAATCGCCGTGGCGGCAGCACTGCTGATTATAGAAAATAAGAAAAACACCAGTCTGGGCGTTGCTTCAGCTGTCGAGCAGGACTATCTCGGGGCGATTTCGTGATGGGGCCATCGTCGCTCCCACGCGTATACTCGCTTCCACGCTTGCTTCTACGCACCGCATCCGCTGGGCGGCTTCCGGTCGCTTTCGATTCCTTTGGGCATAGTCCAGCTCTGCCTACGAAGCGATAGGTTTGCATTCTCATCAAAGCGCATTCCCTCACTCACCGCGCATCCTCCAGAGTGGAGCTGTAGCCGCCAAGCACCAGCCATCGCCCGCAAGCACCGCCCGCAACCAACCATCGCAGCCGCCGCCTCGGGCCTCAACGAACATGTCAGCCAAAGATCAAGTCAACAAGGAGGAAGTCCTGGCGAAATTCAAGTCCGAGCTCCAGGCCGACGGGCTCTACAAGCCCGACGCGCATGACGACGCCCTGCTCTACCGCTTTCTGCGCGCACGCAAGTATGACATCCCAAAGTCCAAGCTCATGTTCTCCACCTGCGAAAAGTGGCGGGAAGAGTTCCACGTCAGCGACGTCGTTGCCACATTCACCTATCCCGAAGGCCCTGAGGTGCGCAAATACTACCCGAGGTTCTACCACAAGACCGACAAGGTCGGCCGGCCAGTGTACTTTGAGCAGATGGGCTTTATCGACATGAAGAAGCTCTTTGAGATCACAACGCCAGAGAGGATGATCAAGGTCTATGTGCGCGAGTATGAAAAGTTCCTCAACTACCGACTGGCGGCATGCTCGGCCAAGAAAGGCGTCAAGCTGGAGCAGAGCTGCACGATCCTGGATCTGAAAGGCGTGCCTCTCACGCAGTTTGGCGCGGTCAAGAAGCTCGTCAGCCAGGTGTCAGAGATTGCCCAGAACTACTATCCCGAGACCCTTGGCAAGATGTTCATCATCAATGCCCCGACCCTGTTTACGACGGTGTGGGCGGTGGTCAAGCTGATGCTCGACGAGAACACGGTCAACAAGATCTCGATCCTCGGATCCTCGTATCAGAAGCAGCTGCTGGAGTGCATCGACGCCGACTGTCTACCTGCCTCGTACGGCGGCACCTGCCGATGCCCAAACGGCTGCGAGACCGGCGACGTTGGCCCATGGAACGACGGCTCCGTGCCCGGGTTCCCCAAGCCCGAGTTTGAAGATTATACCCTCCGCGACATGGCCAGCCGAGACACCCAGGCGTCATCCTGAGGCGCCTGCGATCTGCAGTCTGCAGTCTGCGCTCTGCACTGTGCTCCCCCCTGATTCCCCGAATGCTTCTGCCCGTTTGCTGCAACCGTTTGGAGGAGAGGCCAAAGCCACCGCCATGCCAATAGCCACTGCCACGCCAAAATACATGGCCGTCCTATTTCTGCGGCCAGAATCGAAGGAGGGGTGGGTGAGATGCGCCGCGAGGCGTCCAGCAGAGGTTTGGAGTCGTGCGGCGGACTGCTATCGGCTCCATGAGGGATGATCGGAGGCTGTTTGTTGGGATCCAAGCCCCAGACAGCAAGTCGTTGTTCGCACAAATCCGTCCGGCTCCGCGGATCATCGACCTGTGAATCGTTGGCCCGTCGTCCGGCAAGAGCCGCATGCTGTCCGCGACCTTGGGTCCGGCAGGGGACAGCGACGGCCGAGCTGCGATGAGCCGAGAGCTGCGATGAGCCGCTGTCTGTACCAGGGTCTTGTCCTTCTGCCGCCCAAACCCTCCTCGTTGGTGTTCGTGCAACTTTCGTCTTGGCTTGTTGGCCGCCGAGCCTCTCGGCGCAGCGCCATTTTTGGCTCCTCGCTGGCTCCTCGCTGGCCCTCGCTGTCCCTCGCTGGCCCTCGCTGGCCCTCGCTGGCCCTCGCTGGCCCTCGCCGACGCTTTTCTTCACCAGCCCAGCCAAGTCTTTAGAGCGTCTTGGCCTGCACCTCCTCCTCCGTCCCCATCGCATCCAGGACGCCCCAGCGCCGTTGGTGCTCCTTCGACCCGGGCCTCCTACCGCGAGCCCTCCACCCGTCCTTCCCTCGAGTCTCATCATGAGAGCGCTGTCCGTCTTCTATCTGCTCCTGGCCCTGCTGGGCTCAGTCGTCAGCCAATCATCTGACATTCTGGGTGGGTGTCAATCCCTGGCTGGCTGTTCAGCAGCATGCCCAACGGCCAGCTCATCAGCCTTGGATTTGGTCTGTTGTTGGTGCTTCTACTCACTGTCTTGGCCTCTCCAGGCAACTGCTGCTACTTTGCCCCCACCAGCGTCATCAGCCCAAGCGAATACTGGTTCAACTTCACGGCCGTCGATCTGGTCGCCCCTGTCGGCTCGCTCACGATCGTTACGCTGCCTGCTGGGTGGACGCTGTCGCCCAATCTCGATGGAACCGCCCTCTGTACCTCTCTCCAAGTCGGTACTGTCAACTGCACCACCAACCGCGTTGCCGCCCTGCGTTTGACTGCTCCGGCCGCCTCCGTCGGTCCTCCCCAAGGAAGCAACGTTGTGCTGATGGTCGGCACCGACCAATGTATTCTGACCGACAAATGCGGCTCCTCCGTCGTCACTGCCCCGCCCAGCGCCAGCAGCGGTCTTATCAACATGGGTTCGTATCAGCGTCCCGGTCTCTGATTCGCTGTGTCGACCACCGCTCAAATTGCAGAGCCGGCTGCCAGCTTCGTCCAGTGATTGTATCCCGCTGTACCTCCTTCTCCCGGCCTCCCTTGACCAGCCACCCTTATACAGCCATATGGCTCTGTGATTGTGTCCGTCCTCCCTGTCTCTCCCTTGCCGTCAGGATCATTCCCCATGCTTGTGGTCGATTCTCGGTGTCCTCTTGGCTCTCTGCCGAGCATTCTCGTTGCCCATCGCCCAACCCATCGGCGTTGTACTCATCTCCGGTCCCTTGTGTCTACAGGTCCCTTGGGTCAGCAGCCTCTGTGGCTCTTCATCGTTGTCGTCGTCGGTTGCTCTCTCTTTGTGATCGGTGTCGGCTACGTCCTGTACCGGCGATACTATGTCCCGCGCGCTGACCGTGATGATCCAGAGCTCAAGCGTCCGATCGAATATTCGGCCGGGTCGATGCTCGCTCAGTCGGCTGCAGCCAACCCAGCTCCGACGCAGCATCGAGACGTTCCCAGGATCTCCACCAAGGTCCACAACGGCCACGGCCACCTTTCCCCGTCTTCGTCTCGCGCTGGGTTTGACAGCGCCCAGGGCCACGGCTATCCGTCCTCCGATCCCTCCTATGTTGCCTCGGCAGAGTCCATCGCACGAAGTCCTGCATCCCGCCGCGAAGGCACGCCTCGCACCGCCACATACAAAGGCGAGTCTCTCCCACGCAAGTCCATCGGCAGCAGCACCGACCCTCGTCTGTACTCATCGCGATCCAGAGGCCAACTGGTTTCGCCCCGGGTCGATAGTGAAGATGAAGACGACGAAACGGCCATGGCTCAGCGCCTGGCTACCATCTCGCGACCATCCAAGTCTGGCGACAGTGGCATGGCCCTCGGCAGCGGTCTGGGCGACCAGTTTGTGCCTGTGCATTCGATCGTCCGGATAGAAGAAGACGAGCCCCTTGCAAATACCCTCCGTCGACACGGCAACAAGACCCCGACTCCGCTTGTTTCGTTCCCAACAGCGGCCCACACTGCTGCCGAGTCTGATCAGGTCAGTCCCCGGCCTCATGTTTCTTCACCCCCTCCCAGCGGCCCGCTCCTCAGCTTCCGCGAAGAGGCCGAGCCGTCCAGCCAGTCCCGGCGGAATTCGCTCCCGCGACCGGCTCGACACGGCCACACAAAATCTACCGACCGCCTTGTTGAGCAGGCCGCCCCACTCGTCAGCTTCAACGATGAACGCCCTTCCACCGCGGCCTCGTTGGATCGGCGCAAGCAAGCTAAATACGACACCGGATCGATGGAGCGCAAGAAGACCAACAAAGCCGACAGCACGTCGCTGGAGCGCCGAAAAAGCCCCCGGACCGACAGCACGACGCTTGAGCGCCGGCACCAGCACGAGCTATTGCCTCCAAGCGACTCGCTGTCTCCTCGATCCCCGGATCGCGGACAAAAGTCGCTGGACCGCTCGTCCCGCAGCAAGCGTGCAACCGAACCAGCCGACGACGATATTCCCTTGGCCAGCGTTGCCCTTCGAGCTCTGCAGAAGCAGCTACAGTCGCAGCAGCCCGAAGACAGTTCGCGATCCCGGTCGTGAGGCCGACTCTGATCCGGCGAGCCGTTGGCTGTCCACACCGACAGCTACGCCAGCTCGGGCTTGGCCAAAGCGCCGACTGCGAACAAGGATTCCTGATGGCATACGACCATGACCCCCTTCTGATAGCACAGGCTCATTGATGCGGTGTTTCTTTGGATTCCGGTCTCGCTAATGCACTTGATGCGTGTGATGCGTGTGATGCGTGCGATGCGTGCGATGCGTGTGATGCGTGCAACCCTATCTATGCCACGGAGTCCATCTGTGACTCTATCAGGGCGACACTGCCTCCTTTCCCTTCGCGTAGATGTGCTGCTCTACCGCAGTCAATAGATTTTGTCGACTGGCTCAAATGCGATGGCTGCCACTTGTCGAGCCAGTTCCGTGGCTGCAGGAGGGGTTCGCCAATGGTCCAGGGTGCCCTGTCGTTTGGATGCGCGCTGCTCGTTGAGCACGGCTGTCGTATCCGGACTCGTTTCTGCTTGGGATCTATCGAGGCCCAGCCCAGATCCAGGTTTACATCATTGGCTTGGCTGCTCAGTTGGTTGTTTGCACAAATCTTGGTGTCGCCGATTCTCACGGGTTCTCCGCCATCAGCCGCACTCAACAGCCGCACTCAACAGCCGCACTCAACAGCCGCACTCAACAGCCGCACTCAACAGCCGCACTCAACAGCGATGCGCTGGCTTGACAAGCTTGCATGACATCACCGAATGGACATACGGACGACTTCATATGGCTGGAGGCGACTGTGATTGGATAGTCCCGGTGTCTGTCGGGCTGCATTGTTGCTGGGAACATATGTATCTCCGGACACGATCGACGCACTCGCCTCGCCTTTATAGCTCGCCCCGTCCTCTGACCGTTTCGGCGCTCATCGTCCTTCGTTGGCTGCTCGCCTCAGTGCTCATCCAGCTCAGCTTTCGATATCAGCACGATATTAGCTCGACATCAGTCGTTTCTCAGCCTCCTCAAAGCCATCCATATCTTGGACAAGCTGCGCTGCTTGAAGAGCCCTTCAATGCCGTCCATACTGCTGCTCCTCGCTCTGGGCCTGCTGGCGCTGGCCCGGCAGTGTGTTGGGCAGTTCAACCAGGTTGCATTCAATCAACTGCTAGGCAGCGCCTGCCAAAGCTGCACGACCGGCCCATGCAATCCGCCCGACTGCGACTGGCTCCCAAACTACATGGGCTTTCCATATTCGCCCACAAAGATGGCTGCGAATGTGTCGCATGTCATCCGGATCGGCCTCTTGATGCCATACTCGCTCTACTACGACACTACACTGATGGCCACCAACTATCCATATTGGGACACAACCCAGTCGGAGGCCTTGGCCGAGTAAGTCGTGGCAACTGAGCCGGGTCCTTGCCGTCCTCATCTTGCGCGACACTAAACGCAGCGATCATGTTCGGTGCTTGTAGCTACGCCGTCGCAAATGCCGCTGCAGCATACGTCAACCAAAAGTAAGCCCCATTCGATGCGTGAGGTGTTGCAGAACAGCCCGGATAGCGGCCCAGCGATGATGGATGTGGTCGCCCCTGATGCGAAGCCGCGACTCTGGATTTTCGCCTCCCGTAATGTACCGGCTGTTTCTGACTTGACTGATCCAACACCCCACAGCGACTCTGTGCTGCCGGGCATCGTCAGTATCGCTCCTCTCTACCCTTGCACGCTACAGCATTGCATGCACGCAATCTGCAGGACCTGTTCGCCGAATCGCTGAGTCATGAGTTGGCTCTGATGCAGTTGCTATCGCCATATTCCGTCGTCTCGCAGGCGAGGGGTGCTCTGGATCGTTGATTGGGAATCGAGCCCATCTGGGATACTAACATTTGCGTCCTCACTCTTGCTCATCAGCTGATCGAACCATCTGTCATTGATGTTTATGGACCACCCAACAATATCATCGGCACAGCGGTAAGCAGGAGACACATCACCGGCTTGTATACATGGATATGCGTTACCACACCAGAGTACATGCTGGCAGCCCTCGGCTCATGTTTTGGCTTTGGGTTTCCAGGCCAAGGCCACAATCAATTCGATCATGACAGACCCAACCTTTGGCGGATACCACGCCTTGATCGGTACGAGCACATCCCATTATCAGCAGTATTCCGTTATGAATTAATGTCTGGTAGCGACGGGATGGACTGCAGTTGCCAGCTTGGCGGTGTGTGGCCGCATGTCAGCGCACCAGCACACTGATTCTTTGGCTTAAATGCGTAGGCGACACATTCTATGCCGCTGACTCTGCCATGGAGGCAGTGTTTGCTTCGTCCTATGCGATTCCTGTAAGCTCAGTTGCTCGATGGAGAGGATGGACCGACAGCAGCGGCCTTGCGGTTCCATCGACTGACCATTCCACTCTTCATAAATGTGTAGTACTGTTCGCATGCCTATATTGGCGCGATGGTATGTGATGGATACGTAACTCGTATTCGACAGTTGGAAGCAGCCCGGATATCGTATCTGCTCTATCTCGTCAGGTAATCGTGGCGCTCCGGATGATTCGCTATGCTAACAGATCGGCCGACATCCATACCAGACTCCTGCAATGAAGGCGGACAGAATGACGTTCTTCCGAACAGTCGTAGATCCTGGCACTTCCTTCTCCAGTGAGCACCGCGGCTTGCATGAAATACGTTTGTTCCTCAGCGCAACCGGCGAATCCCCGTGAGGCATGGATCGTAACCATACTTGCTTCACTCCAGGTATCGCGGATTACATCTATCAGATGGGTTGGTCAAAGATCGGCATATTTTCATCGGTATTGTCTCGCAGTCACATCCTGCTTTGGGTCAGGCTGGTTCGTCGTGTTCTGAGCTGGGCATGCATCTGACGGCTCGTTGTCGCTTCAAACTTCTCCAGCAAAGTGTTGAAGGCGACACAGGCAGTCAGGACGGGTTTGTCGCCCGCGCCGAACGGCTCAATATCTCGATCCTGCAGTGGTCCGCATTCAGCAACCCCCATCCCAGCCAGTGGACCAATACATCGAGCCCTCCCCTTGGCGATTGGGACCTCCCAATATCCAATATGAAGCAATCCAAGGCCCGAATCCTAGTAGCGTTTGGAAACTCTGTCGAGCTCTCTGTGCTGTGGATCAAGGTAGGTCTGCTGATGTGCTTCCTTGGTGGATGTGAGCTTGCACGAAATCATCCCGTTTGGCGATGTAGAATAGCTGTGGATATAGAGGCAAGCGATATTGGTGGCTCTTTGGGCGGAGAGCGCGAATACCTGTGCTTATTATCTGTTGTTTATTGATGTCCTGAACCCCAACAGGCCATGTAAGTGACCGGCCGGAGGTCAACACACAGACACCGAAGGAACAGCATGCCGCGCGGGGTCACTAGTATGGCGATGCTAACGCAATGCTGTCACATGGGTGGACACCCACAGGCAACAAGGCTTGACTGGCTCTGCTTACGTCTGGATTGTTTCAAACCGAGTTGGCAGCTACTCTGAGATGAACATCTTCAATCAGACGTACAAGCTTGGCTCCAACGTTACTTTCAGCCCCGCCAACCTTGATCCGTAAGCTCGCTGTCTGGAGTGTGCACACGGGCCTGGTTCTTGAGATTTGAACATCTTATGGGCACCCCATTTGAGTCTGGTGGCTTGTGTACTAATCGGCACCGTTTACTCACCGAAACAACCAAGGTTCCTTTCTCTGTAAGTGGTCCAAATCCACCCGCCACGCGCAAGTGCGGAGATGCTTCTAGTCCCGCTGCTCACGTCTTGTTGGTTTGACAGATCGACGCCAATAACCGATACAAGCGCGCGAGACAATCTGTGGCTCAAGTGGGCTCTTGCGACCAACTGGTTCTCCACATTCGCATACCGCGATTCTAGTCCGTGAGTGTCAGCTGGGCTTATTGCCGACCAGTTGGAGCATTTTCAGATGGTGCAGCAAGCACCAGTTCCTGACATTGTCGTCTCTCCAGGCCTTTGTTTGACTGCATCAAGTCTATCGCCCTTGGATTCAACAGGGTAAGTATCCTCCGTCGTTGCGGCGATTGTTCTCGGGCCATGACCACGCTCGTCCCCAAACCAATGCTCTCATGTAACCGTGCCGCGAACACACATCGCTATACAGCTCCTCTATGACCCCGCCTATCAGCAATACAACATCACGCTGAGCGATATCATCAACAGACGAATCGATCGCCGTCTGCTTTCACCGTCTCTTTTCTCGATCGGAGTTCCTGGTGCTCGTCCTGGCACCTTAACCTATGACAGTATGTATGGAATTGCCATATCCGATTCGTCTGTTTGCTGCCTTTGCTTGAACACTTGCCAGGCGAGAGTGTGCATTCTGACAAGTCGTGTGGTGTGCATTGTTTGGCATGCGCTGAAAGGTTCTATCATACATACTCACATTCTCCGCTGCCGCAATAGGTCTGGGAAATCCGATGATGAGGTATGCCTCACGCATATCGTTGCTTACTTTTAGTCTATATTATTTGGCCAGGATCAGCCAGACTCATACTGCTTTGTTTCATGTCCAACGCAGCATGTACTACGTCAAGATCGACGTGAGTGTTTATGCTATCGTATCAGACTGTCATCTGTAGATGCGCAGCTGGTCTGAGTTTGGTTGAAGGCCATTTATCTCATCGAGCGATTCACCTAATCGATTTCCATCCTCTATTTCAGAACTCCGATCGCACTTGCGGTGTCATGAACACGCAAGTGAGCGTGTGCATGCCATTTAATATCACGGCCGTCGCCACTGTGTTCACCAACACCTCAATCAGCCCGCAAATCAACATTACCACCTACAAGCAAACGGTTCAAAACAGCACCCGCACCTGTAAGCAATGGCGAATTGCGTGGAGGGCAACGCTACGAGCCCGACATCGGCTCGGGGTTGTATCAAGACTGGCTAACGATTGTTCGATTGATATACAGTGAATCTGGTGACCGACTACCCGCTCAGCGTGGCTCTCAATGGCACCTGGGACCAGACGAAGAGCGTCTCGACTGCAGCCATCGTGTTGATGTGCATATCGGGCGCCTTGCTGATCAAAGTCATTATCTGGCAAAAACATCAAATCATCACCAGCATAGGGCGCAGTTATTCCATGATGAGTAAGCGCTACGACCGCAACAGCATTTCGCGAGCATATGCTAAAGGGATCTATCTGAACACCGAGCTCGCTCGTTTGGTATTGACTGATACGTGCTTGACGGTTGGCTGTAGTGCTACTTGGCTGCATCCTTGGGTGCGGATGCACATTTGTGTTTGGTGGCATTCCCACAACATCGCTGTGCATCGCGCGGATCTACCTTCCTTCGATTGCGATTGGATTTATCGCGAGGTTTGTGCATACACTCCATTGAAGATCTCTTGAATATGAGCACTCGGGAACGATTGGATACCTGGATGTGGAAACGATCGGTTCAGTGAGAGCAACAAGTGTCTGTCGGTGCATCGTTGGACAGAACTGGGAGGATCGGCCGATGGATCGATGCGTTTCTCTGCGACCTCATTGACTAATGCATTACTTGAATATCCTCTAGCCTCACCTTGTCAAGGTTGCATCGTAAGTGATGTGCACACGCTCTTTCGCTGGCGATTTTCATCGCCTGTCCCGCTGTACTTGGCAGTCGGGTGGCTGATTCGTCGATATGGTATCTGTCGCACGTGTAGAGGTTTTCATGACGCAAAATGCGCCACGAGCTGGCAAGATCACAATGGTCTTCCGGGACCATCTCAAGTACATTGTTCCCGCCTTGGTGGTTGAGCTGGTATGTATGGACAATGTTGCTCGTGAATACACTCGAGGTTATGGCGAGCAAGGTTGTGTGGACCCGAGGGTCAATACGAACAGCTAATCATGCGTCTATGGTCCTGACCACTCAGATTATCTGCACGGCCTTCGTGGTCGACAGAAAGCCTGGGCCCTACAACCACGCGATCGATGACTATACCCACTACGTTATCTGTGCCTCCAGCAATCCCTCGACCGACAACTCATATTACGGAATCCTGGTTGCATACAATATCTTCCTCGAGCTCCTGGCCATCGGGTTCGCTCTACGTACGAAGCAATCCAAGAGGTAAGCCGTCTGTGGAGTGGAGAAACCTTTCCGAGCAACGCTACTTTCCGCCGTTTCTCTGAAACAAACATTAAAAGCAATACTCTGTTGATCATCATACAGCCTGGGGTACATGTGGCTGAAAGTATCCACTTTGTAAGTTTATGCAATCTGGGTTCTCAGCGGCGAGACAAACCTGTCGCAGCATTTCGGCGCTGAGAGATCGAAACATCCTGAGAATCATCTGGCTGGGCAACGCAGGGCGAGAGGAAATGACGACGAGGCACCTGTACTTGAGCCATCGCTGAGCGCGACCGACTGTGCCGCAGGGTGATGGAGTTTATTGACCGTATTTTGAAGCCTAACTCCGCCATTCTTTATCCACAGCAACAACTTGATTATCACGATTGTATTCCTTGGACTCATAACTGCTCCATCCATGTTCCAGCTGCAATATGCGCTGCGATCATCAGGAATACTGGTTCTCAGTGCTACGGCGCTCTTGCCCCTCGTTCCGATCATCATGGGCTTCTTGAGGTTCACGATCTACAAACGTGAAGTCTCGGAGTCGCAGAAGCACCTCAGCCTCGCCTATACCTCGACTGTTCAGACTGGTATATCGGCCTTATCGTCCCCCAAGGCAAACGAAAACACCATGGCGCTCAAAGTCTTGCTTGGTGTCGAAGTCTGGCGCTGCGTGCCCTCTCTCGATAATGTCGAGTGGATGAACGTTGGAGACTTTGCTGTATGGATGAGCACCGGGCAGTTTGTACTTGTCTCTGAACAGGTGAGCTTTTGGTTGCGTTGAAGAGAGCTGGAGCAGAGACAGCGCTACACCAAGAAGAGATTTCACGGTTTGCTTTGAAAGTATATGATGAACTCACGTCGATTTCCTCCGCCATAGTCTCGTCATCTGGAAGAGCCCATCATCCTCCATAACAAGAACATCGTGATCGAGTTTGATGAGGCATCGGGCATCCACAAGTTCTACATCGTGCGAGTGCTTGCGGCGGAGGCGAGCTACTGCCTCAAGATGGAGAATACCGATGCCGTGGCATCGCTCTATGATTTTTGTGCCAGCCTTGGACCGACCGTCGAGGTCAAGGGCAACCCTCTTGGAGAGAACTGAAGACATGTCCTTGAGCGTTCAGACAGGGAGTCCTTCGGATTTGGGCACCGTAACCATTATGACTCGATGATCGCGGTTGCATCGGAACAATGGCCTTTCTTTGCATTGGTATATTGCTCTTCCACCTCAATACAAAACAGCGATGCATACAATCTTCCGTATATGTCCGGAATGAGTAATATGTACGGTATTTGTCAATTGGTTTTCACGGAACGTTTACAGCGGCGGCATTCGTCCAGGGTGAATCGGTTTTGTGGAGCCGCTGTTCGAATGCATCTGCTCGATAGCTATGGGTAGGGGCCATTTGCAAACAACATCATGTCTCTGGCACTGATAAGGCGCCGGTGAGCACTATGAAATCAAGTACACGCATCCCAGGGTAGCGAAGCTGGCAGCGGATACATATTGAGCGACAACTGGCAATGCACGCTTGGAATACAGAAATTGGAGCCAATGTCCATCGCAGCAGCGGATGTCGCTTCATTTTGCACCTGCTGCAGGCTGAGGAGCCCAGTGGTCCCGTTTGCCAACGGCATTGTCTCTCGGCAATCGCTCAGGTGATTGGGTCGGTGGCAGGGCTGCTTCGGTATCAGGCTTGAATGGAGCGACAGACAACGACCAGCGCATATCCGCATACTTCAGCGTGCATCTGTGCTTCGGTCCTTTGCGTTTTCATCGTCTCGAGCGAGCTTTTAAAGGCACCCGAGTCATGCGTATCCTCGATTTCAAGCTGGCTGGAACAGCTCTAGCTGTCTGCGGCCTACTCTTCCTGGATCAAACTTTGGCCGATTCGCCTTGCTACACCCCTGCCTCTTGCGACTGGAGGTTTACCAACTCAACAGCATACTCCCTGTCAAAGCAAAGCGAAAGCAGTCCCGTCATTCGGATCGGCGTGTTCGTCCCGTACTCGGCCAGTCTACCAAACGTATCAGCCGGAGACCCAGACTCAGGGCGATACTGGTGGAATGCAGGTGAAGGGTACATATAGACCTCGTTTGTGCCAGGAGCTGTCGCGCGGCCCATCTATCCAGTACCTCAACGTAATTGTCGATTCTGACGAGCAACTGCTTGGCTTTGTCGGCTCATCAGATACTATTCGGCTCTTGTCGCGGCCGATTCGATCAACAAGAAGTAGGTCGGCGTGCCTGCGGGTTTTGAGGAGATCTGTCTGTAACCTCCATGATATTGTTCGAGCGCAGTTTCGATATATGAATATGAGCAAATCCTAACAGAAAGTCGCGATTGATGTCTGCAGTGACTCGATCCTTCCTGGAGTGGTAATAGACCGTGTCCAAACGGCAGCAACTTAGTCGGACAGCATGCACCCGCCGCAAAGTCTATGCTGACTCAGGAGCCTCGGTCTGTTCCTGCAGAGGCTGGAGACGGTCATCATCGACGACTATGTCAATGTCTATAACGGAGACTCTATGATTGCCCAATCGGTTTGTTGTCTTTGGTTCATGGCCGTCCCGTGCACGAGCAATAACTTGGGTCTGATACTGCGCTTATCTGGTGGCTCAAGGCACTCAGTATCATCGGCGCCGTGGAAATGGATCCCTCGATCTCAGGCTACCACGGATTTGTTGGTTCGTACATGCTCGGAGACCAGCAGAGACATTTCAGCGATACTGACCGCTTCGAACATCGTCCAGGCGATAGCTTCTACCCTCCAGGAGTCGAACTGCAGTCGTTAGTGGCATCGACATACTCGATACCTGTAGGTTGTTCAAACAGTCTCTTCTCGTCGAGGCCATAGTCTGTGGAGGGGCTTCGAGAACCATAACATGGGATTGGGATTAGTGGCACCCATCGGATCGTTGATGCGTCCAGAATTTGCTTCAGTACTGCTCATATTCGTACCAAGATGAGCTGGTAAGCTGTCCTTGGTCCTTGGAATGCCACATGGGCACAGCACTCGCAGACTAGCAGCACTCGCGGACTAGCAGCACTCGCGGACTAGCAGCTTTCGCGGACGAGCGGCACTGAATACCATAACTTCCGGTCGTGCTGCAGTCAGAGAAAAAAAAGAACCTGAGAAAGACATTCTTTCGAACAGTCGCAGACAAGATTTCTGCCGGAGCAGGTAGGTTCCGCATTCGCACAGGAACTGAGCGGACAGGAGAAGGCAAATGGCCAAACATCCCAATGAACTCCGTAGCTCACACCGTGCATCATCAACGCCCACTAGCAATTGTGGACTTTGTGCAAGATATAGGATGGACAAAGATTGCGGTTTTGGTGACGGTATGGCATTCCCCCTCGGCGAATGCAGCATGGCGCTCGAAGGCGCGGTGATTGCGAAGGCGATCTAATATCGCCGATGCCTTCTCAGCAAAACTCAGCAAAGGGCTCAGCCCGGGGTATACTCTCGGGGCTTATCGAGCGGGCCTCGAGTCGAGCCCTCACTATCCTTCAGATATCATCATTCGGAAGCGGAGACACGCAGTCGTGGCAGATGCGAAGCGGGCCGCCGACTGGGGACTGGGATAAGCCGTTGATGGAGATTGCGAGCTCCAATGCCAGGATCATTGTCGTGCTTGGAGATAGCATCGAAACTTCGGTGCTCTGGATGAAGGTAACGTTGCAACGCAGCCACGGCGAGGCCATATTGCGACTGTTATTTCAACAGATCAAGCCTCGCTCGATGTTGCATCTGGATCCGCTGTTGATGTCCAGCTTCTTCGTGCCCTTGCGACTTCAAGGAGATTGATTGCTGAATTCCCACTCGTTTCTTCCTCGGCTGTATTTGATTCTCTGTCTAGGCAATGCAAGTATTACATCCCAATCTCCAGGGCCCTGCATATACAGCTTCCGTTCGACTCACCTCCCTCCTTGACCACTTTGATAGACGCTTTGGCCTGACGGGTCCGCGATACGTCTGGATCACGACTAGCCGCCCGGGAACTGTGGCTGAGCTGGAAACCCTAAAGCAGCAATATGCACTCAATATCACCACGGCCTTGGGTATCCAGAACGTCGATAGGTCAATATTTGTTGTGTTGTGGCATTCCAAAATGAATCTTTGATTCTCACCCGGTGCGGACACTCGCTTGCTACCCAGACTGAGACTGACGCTGCATCACTTTGAATGGCACCAAATTGCCCTGATATAGCTTTTACCAAGTGTAAGTGTTGCTCTTTCATAAAATCGACGCTCAACATCAACAAAGGATATTGAGCTTGCAAGCCCGCTGGTTGAGTGAAAACGAGTGCTATTCGTGCTAATCGTGCTAGTCGTGCTAATCGTGCTAATCGATGTAATCGACAGAATGGGTCCGAAGTCTGTCTTTCCCGCTCTGGAAAACTTCAACTTTCTCAACCAGAGCTACTACTATGCTCCTGTCACGGAAGGCAGTTCCGCACCGTATGAGTGAATGAGCATTGCTGCCATCGTCGCATCCGTACCCCCTGCTGTACACTGTGTTGAGTACTTTGGCATGTCAGATCGAGCGCATATTCACGCGCACTGAGCGTAATGGTGTTTGACTGGCCCTAGATACATATACGACTGTGTTCGAGCAATTGCGCTCGGCTACCACAAGGTTGTACTCGACGGCATAAGTGCACACAACTAAACCACACTGAAAACTGACTCTATGGCTCCACAATCGCCGCCAGCTCCTCTATAACGATACATATCAAAACCTGGACGTCGACATCGGCAGCGTAATGAACAGGGCGATCGATCAAAATGTGCTGAGCCCGCAGCTGTTTTCGGCAAATCAGCCCGGCGCAACTCCTGGCAACACGAATTTCGATGGTAAAGCACTCCGCACATTCCGAGGAACCGGTTACAAACGAATTCATTGACCAACCTTCGCACTATCGACACACCAGATCTCGGAAACGCCGTCGAAGGGTACTGTTCCTTGCATTGATATAGCTTGTGCAACGGATAATGCGGGGCTTCATCGGGGATGGAACTTACCATTCCGCCTACTTGATTACGTCTTTGATGCGTAGCACCCTGTATTTTGTCAAATTGGTAAGCCGGTTACCGGAGCATGGCTTTTTGAAGCACTCACAAGTCCATTCCGCTCAAATACTCACCCGTGATGTATGGAATCCGAACTTTGTAGGACTCGACACGAAGCTGCGGAATATTTGGCGGAGACTGCCGAAGCCTCGACATTGCTTCTGTCGTCAGCTTCTTTCAGGATCCAGCGGTAGTGCGGCGGGTTGTGATGACTCAGCCACCAACTTTTCCAAACCGTGACTACAATGGGCATCCCATCGACATGGTCACAACGGCAAGAAACTGTGAGTACAAGCCTGTGCTCGCCAGTGCCGATCTACTTCATGAAATGGGGCCGATCGGCGATATATTACCAACATAGATATTATATCAGCGAGCCAAACAAGAACCATTCATTCTCAGGGCAGAGGTGTCATAACGGAAAGCAACCGACTGCAGTAGCATTGATCATCCTGATTTCATGGGCCGCTTCATCCGTGACCTAGACACCATACCGATCGACTACCCTTTGGCTGTGGCCATCAACACAACATGGGATACCAAGGGCTGGTCGCGAAGTCTGGCCTCCGTCATCATTGCTATCAATATCGCCATGCTCCTCCGGGTGTGGATTCGATCGAAAAGCCCGCTGATATCAAGCATCGGGCCAGCCTATTGCACGTTGTGTGAGTGTGCTGACTCCGTCTCATCAACTATGGCGGCACTGCCGGACTCCGACTGACATTATTCATGAATCGCCTTGCGCCTCAGTACTCTTGTCCTCGTGCCTGGTGTTGTCCAGCATCTTCCTCTATCAAGTCGTGCCTTCCGATGTGAATTGTCTCATCCGGCGGATTCTTCCGAATGTTTCATATGGGCTCTACTCGAGGTTTGTGCGGGCTGGCCCGCGGCCCCGACGCAACAGACATTCGTCCATTCACGATAACGACCGATGTCCACCGATGCCAACTAACGACCCATTGATTGTGCCATACTACAGCGCCATACTCGTGCGATTTCATTGTAAGTCGATCGAACTCAGCTGTGTGCACGACGCTGGTACCAGTTCGGAACATGCCAACCATTGAGCGATGCATCACACAGCTCAGAGCGCTGTTGAGATGTACTGAGTGCCGATCGCCACATCCGCCGCCGCAATCTTCACACTAGATCTGGCAAGGACTGATCGCTATGAGCATAGCCGAAAGCATCGTATCCAATTCACATTCTGTTTCCTCAGATCTCTACACCACACAGGCCGCCAAGCGCGCTGGAATCGCACCCGTGAATCCATATCGATATATGATCGTGGCGTTTGTTGTGACCCTTGTTGAAGCGGTATGGTTTAAATGAAACGAGTGGCTGCACAAGGCTTGTGACTCGCCGAGCGAGATGAGGCCAATGCCAACGTTCATGGCATATGCTGTAGATGTCATTCGCTCATCAGCATCTGGAGGCTGATGCGGAGAATCGCTGCTTTGGAGCATCTCTTATGAGAAGCCACTTCGGCACCATCACCCTGTCCCCAAAATTTCGATGCCGTAGCTCACAACCAAATGACTCCTCTGCTTAGGTGATGCTTATCATAACTGCAAGCCTGATACCAACGAAGCCCGATGCTGCAGACAACCCGGTGGCACTGACGTTCCTAGTCTCGTGCGCGTCAAACGACTTTCAGTTCACAAACACATACTTTGTTGTTGTGGCACCCTTCAACGCTCTGATTACTGCCGTGCCCTTCTTCCTCGTCGTCACTTCCCCATATGCCAGCCATTGCGCGTAAGTTATATACTGAGGACCATTGTGCTCTGAAGTACTAAGCTACCACTCAACAAAGCCATATCCAACCGGAATCGGTTGACCAACGCAGTCGCTCTATCTTTCCCGACGTGGCATGTTCTTGTCTGCACCTGGCTTGAAACACCGTGCGGTGTTTGAACGCTACCAATATGAACCGAATGGGAGTAGCAAGGACTTCAAGTGGCTCAAGATCTCGGTGATGTAAGCATCAGGCTTCAAGTTTGGGTAGTGTCGTTGGACTAATTGCACAATTGCATGGAACATTGTTGATCTTTGTGCGCTCATTGTCACGCATGTCTCTCCAAACATTCAAATCAACAGTCACAACATCGTGCTTGTCGCTGTCTTCATCGTGCTGACAACACAAGTACAACATATCGAGGCCCAGTTCGCGGTCCAGATCAGCGGATATCTGCTCGTGGCTGTTGCCGTTGCTTATGTCCCGCTGATGCCGCTGGTGCTCGAGATGTTTCGGCGGACATCTCAATCGGCAGGTGTGGGTCCCGCAGGCCAGCCGTCGCAGACGGTCGAGTTACCGCGCCCAAGCAACCTACAGATCAATGGTGTCAGTCTACCAGAATACCGCAAGTTCACGATATTCAGAGACGTCGAAGTATGGCGATGTGTCCGGCTGACCTACTTGGACCACTCGGAGTGGACGAAAGCACGCCGATTCACTGTGTGGATCTGCAAAGAACCATCGTCCTTTTTGCTGACGCCAGAGTCGTCGATTGCTGACGAGGGCGAACAGGCACGTTCAAGTGGCATCGCGCATCACACTGGCAGCATAAAATTGCAAAGTGCCGCCACTACGCGGATGTAGCGATGCCTGTCCCGTATTATTGCGCAAACGCTGACACAGGACACACTACCGTAGGTGGACCTGCCTCAAGGGCATCCCTCTGAGAGCCCTACACATGATCCTTCGGGGATGCAGGAGTCAATATTTATCGATCTCGAAAGCAGCTACATCGAATTCGACGAGGCGCTGGGAGTCCACCGGTTTTTCTTGATCCGGGTCATATCCAGAGAATCGCACTACTGCTTCAAAATGGAGAGTGAGGCCGGGGTCCGGTCGCTCATGAGGCACTGTGAAAAGCTACCAAACGTTTCGATTGCCACCAACCCGCTTGCGCCTTGTTTCTGGAAATCGATAGGCATCTGAAGGCTCGACATTGATGTGCTGCTCAAACTGCAAGTGCCAAAACCTCTGATAGAAGAGCAGCCGACGAAATTGACCTCTTTGACACCACTGTGCAATGCACCGAGGACACTTGCAAGTAGCGTGCCTCGGATCCAGGATCTTGCACAGCCATTGGTTCAGTATCGCAGCTGTATCAAACAGCAGGGATGGGGTGTATTGGGCTCATAAATGACCAACAGCAGCCACACTCAGCAAGCATATGACAGACTCATAGACAGTTTGCGTGTCGCAGATGTGTCCAAAGGAGGCTAGGTTGTATCCTCCAGAGATGATGTGTCGATATTGATCGTCAACGACTTGAGCGGGCTTGGATTTGGAAGACTTTGTGGATGTTGCGGCGATGAAAAGGCAGATATCGGATTGTTTGCCTGTTGGAGATTGCCGTGAGACAGTGCGAGTGGTATGTCGGATCGTGAGGGCGCGAGGCTTGATGGAAGGCTTTGAATGTGTGGACTGGAGGCATTGGCGGTGATAGGGGTCGGCGGTGCAACAAGCGACGGCGATGGGAGCACAATGACGGAGCTGGCTGCAAGCGGTGGCTGAGTCGGGATGAGAGAGATGGCTGTGGCTGGAGTGGCGGTAGCTGCGGGCTGGATCGAGGATGGGGCTAGGACTGGCGCCGGAGCCGGAGTAGGTGCCGGGCTGGGACACGGAGCGAAATTCGACGTTGGGACTGGAACCCTTGAGGCCATCGATAGGGCAACAGTAACAGAACCGTTGCCTGAAAATGGATCGGTGGCATTGCGGGAAAGATTCAAGTTCGTTACTGGTGTGGTGGGCGGGGCTGCCAGTGCCGGCGTGGCGGTGGCGCTCTGGTTCTTGTTCAATTCCTCCTTGACCTTTTGCCACCGCAGCTTGTTCGCTTGCAAGCCTGAATAACCAATCGACGTTGAGCACAAAGCGACTGTGGTGTTAGGGTGCGGAGGCGGCCAGGAGATGGACAGGTGTATTATGCGATCTTACCCTCGGTGACGACAGGAATAGGGGTATATGCATTGAAGACCTCGAATAGCGGTATCTACACAATCAAGATCGGTCAGGGATCAACAGTGAGTGCTTCGAGGCCAATATCAAGATCTAAACCGGTCTGCGATGCTGAGTTCTCCGGTGCTATGCTGTTCCGCATTCGAGATCAGCAACGGCTCATCCGACACTTACACAAATGAAATCGATAAATCCAAGCTGCGACCCCGGCACAAAGATCTGCAAATAAACACCGGTAGGGCGATACGGTCAATACTTTCAGTCGCTTTCATACTCGGCATGTCGATAAATGGATATACCCACATTCTCGCGATCATAATAGGGGGAGATTGGAAGACCGTTGAGCAGCTCATTGTCACCTGGATCAAGAGTACATGAATGTGTGAATCGGCGGGTTAAAATGATGATTTATATGCAAGTGAACTTCCTCAGCGGTATCGAACAGCGCCCGGGAAACACGTCGCGGACGTCGCAGTCCAACGGCGCCGCTAAGACCAAACAGCGATATCGAAGTAGACGGTGTACATCTCCGCACCTTGACGGAAGAATTCTGTGAGAATCCGCTTGGTCCAGTGCTCGTATATACTCCATTTTTTGGTTGGATTGGATACATCTACGGAGAGTAAAGAGCGATTTGGAGAGATAGACGCGAATCGCGGCAAGAACAGGCACGGTGAGTTTGATATAGTAGAGTGTCACTCTGAGGGAGTACAACCAGGAAGGTCCAGCGAGAATTAGGACTATCAATGCTCAAACCCGGGACAGTGACGTAACTCCCATTACCTCCGCATTTGATGCACATCTTGAACAAAAGCAGACGGTCTTCATCGCTCGTGTTGGGATCAAATGTACCAGTCACGATCACCTTGTTTGTGTTGGATTATGCGTGGTGCTCAGGTTCAATAACACAGCAAGCACGGATGGAATACATGCTTGCAATCTTGTGAGCCGGGCATGCTGATGCATATGATGCCGTAATGTGCCACTTACCTTATTCTTGAACATACTCATAACCGAAAAGTGGTGGTGTTGAAGATCTGTTGCCAATACAAGATCAATGACGATCTGGCGGAGTTCTGTATAGTCGTCCTTTGGTAGGTGGCTGATGAAGTTGCATTCCGGCTGCAGAAGCACATCGAAGCCGGCTGCAGCGTGATGGTTCTCAAGCACAGAGCGGTCATTGTAGAGGATGGCTTTTGAGTTGGCTGTGGCGATCAGGTAGTTGTTGTTCAATCCAGGCTGCGAGGCACGGAGGCATACCAGCAAGATATAGAGAAAAGGTCACGAATGAGCGATCGAAGCAAGCATCCATCAAAGGAGACATGAATCGGCAAGACCACATCATCTCAATACGAGCTCAGATCGGCACACAGCCGGCGGCGAAAGCGCGATCACCAGTACATGGCAAACAGTGAAGCCGATGCCACTCGTCGATCGAAGCACTTGGACTTACATGACTGAATAGCAGAACAGAACGGAACAGAACGGAGTGGAGCGGAACAGAAAGGGACAAGCAGTTGAGAGACATGCCACCCGATCTTGGAGTCAGTACAGCAACAATGCCCAAGCAGCGCTCATTCAAGGACGGTGGCGCCACTCGACTTTGCTCTATCGACACACTTCGGGTGGTGCTACTGCAATGTCACATACTCGAAATCGTGAATGATCGCAGCCACGTAGAGTGCCATGAGTTCCAAGCTGGTTGGCTCGAACTTGTCGGCGCACTGCGTCAGCAGCCAGTTGGCTCCGTGCAAGACATCGGTGGCATGTGTCGAGTTGTGGTATGGGACATCGGCATGGTAGCCCTGCTCTATGCGGGACAAAAAGTTGATCAAACGGTCGTTGGGCAAATGGAACTCGCGAATAAGCTCGGATTTGGTGAAGAGGTAGTGGCCGAGAGCAAACAGAGGCCTTCCCGTGGCATCCTGAAAATCAAAGACCTCCCAGTTCCAGATGTCGATCTGTTCCAGGAGCGAGATTGCCAGGAGCTGGTCTTGGAGGTTGGCAAGTGTGCCAGTGGACTGGAGATGGCCCGAGGAGCTGTTCGGATTCAAGCCCTCGCCAAGAGTCTGCTGCTGCGGCGGCGGCTGCTGCTGGGGTACTATGGTGACTGGTGGATTGACGAGCATGTCGTTGCTGCTCTGTGTGTTTGCGATCGAGACGCGACGGATCGAGACTCCGGGTGTGCTCAGCTCGTTCATGCTTCCGGTGGTGGTGCCCGTCATGGAAGTGAGCTTGAGAATGCCGCTGTGACTCTTTGTGAATTCTTTGCGCCCAGGAGTGTCTGGGGGTGCGATGCCCATGCGCGCACTCGCGCTGATAGGAGAGCTCGGTATGACTCCCTCAAGGTCCTTGCTTGACTCTCTCTGAACAGTCATATGTGACACCGATAGCATCGGCAGACGGCCCGAATTGTGTTGCACGACAGACCCTTGTGAGGCCTGAATAGCGCCCCGCGAGAGCGTGACGGCGATCGACTGGGCGGCCCCGGCGTACACGTCGCCTTCGAAAGTGATGCTCTTCTTACGGTCTCGGCCCGGCCCGGATATAGACAGCCGCTGGATATCACCGCTGCCGCCCAGCGGCAGTCGAGAGGTAGCGGGCATAGACTTGCGCCGCTGAAAGCCACCGGTTGTCGTTTTCTGTCGGAGCAGATTGCTGACAAGCCACGCCTGCATGAGTCGAGTGAACAAAATAGCGTCAGGGATGAGTCCTGCGACGAGAGTTGGGTTGGGGTTGTGGAACGAAAAGCAAAGTGACAGCAGGTAGGTGCCCGTGGCGCGATGATCTCAAACCGAGTCGGTAGACTACCGCACCTCTTGTTCCTGATCGACGTTCACTTGACCAACGGCCATCTGTTTCTCGAGATCGGGAGTCATAAGATCGCTGGTATTGAGTAGGACAAGAACCTGCGTTAGGATGCCGACGTGGTCGCGATTCAGAGTCGGATCGGTCATGATGTTCTTGACAAGGGCGATGGACTTGTCGAGGGGCGAGTTGAAGTCGGCCACCTGCTTGTCGAAGGTGTTGTGCAGGTTGTGGAGCTGGTTGATGAGCTTGGCGGTTGCCTTGCGGTAGTTTTTGGACTTGAGAAAGGTGGCTCGCATCATGCGCTCCTGATCGTACGTGCTCAGTAGAGCCACGACAATGACGGACACCAGGCCGATGGACGACATGGAGACGTCGTTGATGGCGACCGAGTCCGGAAGGGAAAGAACGACCTCGACCACGAACACCACGAGAAGGAGGGGCAGCGCCGGAGCCAGATAGACGAAGCGCACGCGGAGAAAGACGGAGGCGACAAAGAGAGCGTACATGTAGTTCATGATGGGCTTGAAGGCGGTGGCGCTCGGCTCAATCAAGTAGTGGTGCAGCGTGGTGGACAGAAACACAAAGACGAGCATGGAGAAGAAGCCTGTGAAGTGGATCCACTGAACGATGTGTGCGTCGTCGATGTTGCTCACAAAGTAGTACGAAACAAAGACAAGCACGACGAGCGGGAGGATGTTGGTGAGGAGCGAGAGCGTGATGCCGTCCACGAAGCTGTAGAAGCCGCAGAGCCGCCCGACCGACGGACAGATGTCGCAGCGGTATCCGAGAGGGCACTGTGGATTGGGATCGATGGTGACCCGAAGGCTGTACATGGCCTCGAACTCTTGGCTGTCCCACGGATACTTGATCATCTCGTAGATGGAGAGTAAGAAGCCGAGACAGAAGAGCATCACGACGCCTTTGCGCCACGAGTTGATATAGTTGCGCACAAAATGCGAGTGATACTGATGCTCCAGCTTGTAGTCGAGAAACGAGAGCGTCCAGGGATTGAGCAGGTCGTCGATGGAATGCTCTTGGGCGTCGTAGTTCCCGGGCTGGACCATCATCACACCGCCGCCACTGCCCCCGACGACGCCTGAGGCTCCCGAATAGGCCGATGTTTTGGACTCTGCCCGCTTGCGAGCAGCAACGAGGCCCGGCCCGGCGGAAAAGATGCTGGCCTTGGACGGATAAACGTCTGGGACGCGTGAATTGCGCCGCGACTGCATCCATTGCGAAGTGACCTGCCAGATGGAGCCGCTGCGATTGAGGCTCATCGAGCTGGCCTGTGAGGAAGTGCGGAGATGGAAGGGGGTTTCACTCGTGGCGGACTGGACAACTTGCGGTGACATGGGGCCTTTGAGGTTCTGGTACGAGGCATGCTGTGGGCCCCGGTCTCCCTGGGCGTTCACCTCGTCTTCCTCGGGAAAGTCTGTGAGGTTGCCACCAAAGGAGGAGCCGCGACTGTGGTGGATGGAAGACCCAACGGTGATCTGGCGACGCACGGATTTGGTATGCACGGGGCCGATAGGGCCGATTTGCAGGTTATTGAAGGAGCCGGCGCGGTTCGTGTTGATGCGTCTGGTTGCGCCTCCGAGATGCGAGTTGATCGAGTCGGTGCTGGGGTTGTTCAGGGGAACGACGTGGTTCTCGGATACGCGCTCATCAGTGTCCATTGCTCCGAGATGGTCTTGTGGCGAGTCCAACCAGGCCACAATCCGCGTTCAAATGGCAGTGGTTCGGGACTTGGGAGTCAGTTGTTGGTGAAGGCAAGCGTGCGGTGGCTGGCCGGTGCGGCTTACGGCGTGGATGGTGACGCTGAGGAAAGATAACCGGGAGGATGCGGAGAAAAGAGAGGGTAGCTGATGGAGAGCGCACCTGGTATCCCGTATCGGGCCATCCAGAAGTCGCCAGCCCAATGGGCCAGGGCGTGGACGGCTGGCCGGTGACGACACCGCGAGGACAGGGGTGATTGAGCGAGGAGGGGCGCGCCAGGGGTGCGCGGGTGCGCGCCTGTGGGCGTGGGTGCGCATCCTCACGTGGTCGGTGCTTGTGTGCGCCTGTGGACACCACGTGATGCCGATTAGATTGGCCAGATCGTATCGGTCCTGGCCTGTGTTCGTCTGTCGGCAACACCCCATCTGCAGCACCCCATCTGCAGCACCCCATCTGCAGCACCTCATCTGCAGCACCTCATCTGCAGCACCTCATCTGCAGCACCATGTCGGCAGGACTTGCTGGGTCGTATCCACCCACAGCCCGGTTATCTGGCTCTGGTGGCCCTGCCTCCCGACGATTCCCGAAGGCACCCACGCGATTTCGAATTCTGGCCGGACGCCCGCCCCGCAATTGGCTGCCCGTCCCGGCCAATCCGCGCTGCCGGCGCACGCGGTTGGCTGGCCGTCCCGAGCCAAGGGTGCGCAGCAGCAGCCGCGCGCAGCACTGGCCTCAAAAAAAAGCCGCAGCCAATCGCAGGCCGCCGGGGCGGGGCGCCGCCGCAACCCCAATCTCCCGGCCCTGCGATTTGCCGGCCGTCCCTTGGCCAGCGTGCCAGGCAACCCGCCGGTGCCCGATATAACCTGCGGGGGCAGCTGTCGGGTCGTCGTCCAGAGTGCATCTTGCTGCGAATTCCTGCTGTAAGATCAAAGCAAGCCGACAATCGACCCACCGCCAGGCTGTCCACCTCGATAGTCCATCACATCAACCGCCTCCCGCCCCCGATGCATTCCCTGCAGTCCGTTGCTCTTCGCCGGCTCTTCCACAACCATTCGATTCGGTCGGCTGCCTCCGTTGTCTCGACGATCCACTCCATTTCACCATCCTTCCCAACGCACCAGTCCCATCATTCGTCGCACCATGTCAACGTCACCTGCCCAAAAGCCATCCAGTCTGTCCTGCCGCTCTTTATCCCGCCGTCACCAGCGATTGTGACGCCGCAGCAGCAGCCCAAGCCTGCCTGCCAAGACGAGATCCTCAGCAAAACGTTCTATCGGCGAGATCTGCCCAAGGTACAGCAGCCTTCCGTCTTGTCGCCTGTGTGCTTGTGTGCTTGTGAGGAGCCGATGCTGTTGGTCTGGATATTCCGGCGGCCTCATTGTCGTCTGGGGCACCCACCATGGAAAGCCGAAAACGTCCAGAGCGCCTGTGCCCCCAATCTAAAACCTCCCCGTGTCTATCCACAGTGCTTGACCGAGTTCACCTCGACGGAGGGTCGGCGGCTCTTCAAGGAGAGTCTGGCAGCTGGACACGCCGAGATCTACTTCTCGCTATCGGGCAACTTCACCCACCAGTCCGAGCCGGCATTCTGCGGACTGGGCTCGCTGGTAGGTCCCATCCTCGTTTGGCTCGCGTCCGCTTTTTCTTCGTCTTCCTGTCGATCGGGATGTGCGCCCCCCCGGAACGGGAGGCTGTTTCCTCCCGCGTCATCTCACGTCATCCCGCATCACCGGCAATCTGCTCTCGAGACTCACCCTATGGCTTCGTGCTTCGACAACAGGCCATGGTTCTCAACGCCCTAGCCGTCGATCCGAGGAAGCGGTGGAAGGGCGTGTGGCGCTGGTATGCCGACGACATGCTCGAGGGCTCTTCCAACCTCGAGACCATCCGCGAAAAGGGCATGACCTTTGATGAGTTTGCCTGCCTGGCCGAGTGCAACGGCCTCAAGGTCGAGGCCAAGCGTTTCGACCGGATCACCAAGGCTGAGTTTCTGGACGACCTGAAGCTGTCCACCTCCAGCACGGATGTGCACATGGTTCTGTCGTTCTCGCGAAAGACGCTCTCTCAGACCGGCGATGGCCACTTCAGCCCCATCGGTGCCTATCACCCCGAGAAGAACATGGTCTTGGTCCTTGACGTTGCTCGGTTCAAGTATCCGAGCTACTTTGCCAGCGTTGGTGAGTTGTCGCCGTTACCGCCCACCGGCGTCAAGCGCCACGAGCCATCAGTTCTCTGCTACGAACGCCAGTCCTGTGCCTCGACACTGACTCGCGCACTCTGTCCTCTCCAGACCAACTCTATGAGGCCATGCGAGCCGTCGACAAAGAAACCCGCCTCCCAAGAGGCTACTTCATGCTGCGAAGAGGTTAATATGCGCTTCCAAACGCCCCATGCCTCAGCTGTGATGCCTGTCGCCCCACTCCCCTCCTTCCCTTCCTTTGTCCGCATCTTCATGAACCCCGTCGTTTGCTGCTGCTCGAAGGTTAGTTGTCCCCACTTTCACGACCGTCGTGACTATTGATCCGACCAAAGTCACTCAACCTTGTCCACTGTCTATCCTGCCACCAATCCCCCTCCTCGCACGGTACCATCCGATGCATACCACATCTCTTTCACACGACCCCTCTCATCGCCCTATCGCCATATCATTCCCCACATGCTTCGCTTTGTCACTGAATCCCCCCCCCTCCGTTCATCAGGAGAACGCAACTCGATCGGTCTGTGCACCATCCCGACGTCACAGAACCCAGACTGGTCCGCCATCGATGGATTCTTTTTCGACCAACTTCCTCAGTATTTCGGAACGTGGAGCCGCCGCCTGAACGTCGACGAGGCCCGAGACAGGCTGCCCGACGCTATCGACACCATCCTGCACGGCATTCCGGACCAGAAGCTCTTGGTGACTCTCCGGGGTGCCGGCATCGACCTTGTTGGATCACCCAAGGACAGTGGCTCCCATCCATCCTCAAGCCCGTCGGCGACCGAGCTGGCCGAGGAGTATTCCAAGGACATCCGGCTGCTCAACCAGCAGACCCAAGCCAATCCGCTGTTCCGATATGTCTGCGAGGCCGTCCGCGCCTGCGCTGACCTGCGCGAGCGATTCCGCCTATCACCTCGGCACCCCGAGCAGCTGGACGAGCAAAAGCTGGTCATGGCCACGATCTTCCTGCTGTCGATCCCAGATCAGGTGTTTATGACACTGCCGGCGGCCGTGCACCAGTTGGTCGCGCAGGCGCGGGATCGGTCGGCAATGGGCTCGCTGCTCAAGGACGAAGTCGCCCAGATTGCGCAGATGCTCGAGTCGCTCCTGCGGGCTCAGCACTGCAAGTGTGGCAAGCTCAAGAGCAGCTGTCGGACCAAGTGAAAGCGCCATCCATCGTCCTGGATCACACGATCCCATGTTCGCCGCCCCCCTTCCCGCGGATCTCCCTCCCCACCATTCATTGATGCAAAGTTCATCACCACCATCGGAATCGACGCCTAGAACCTGCCGCAGTATTACCCACTCAGCCCATTGATTGATTCCATTCATCCAATTGATTCCATTCAGCTCGCCAGCTCATTCGAGTCATCGGTCATCTCGTCATTCGGCGACCCCACCTCATCGCACTTGTATATATATATATAACGCTCGTAAAGCAAAGTCATACCGCCGCCTCTCCCATCTTTCGAGGTCGATGGCCGTCGTTTCTCTCTCTTTCTTGTTTTTGGTTGGATCCTGAATACACATGCACAGATGCCCATTCATCGCTCGGACATTCTTGGATATACATCTCCACATCGACGATGATGCGGGGCGGCGCTCTCTGCAAACAGAGCCGCCGCTTACCAAGGACGGAGAACTTGTCGGGGGGGGGGTCGTCGCATATCAGTTTTAATATACACCAAGCACTAGTGACGATGGCGACGATGTTGGGTCAAGCTGGGGTTGTCAAAATAGATACTATGTATATTCTACGAACAGAGATGTGCAAAAGCAAAAGCAAAAGTAAAAGCAAAGGAACCAAAAGAGCAGAGGAGTACCACAGAAATGGAGGGAAAGGAAGTGCTGTATTGCCAGAAGAGTTGTGAATTGGTGCGAGAGTGTCGGTGACAAGCTGGTTACGAACGACTCAACAGTGGCTATCGCGACAGACATAACCAGAAGCACGAACGAATACATAAATAGATGGATGGAATGATATACGGTGACCAACGATACAGCACTTACCACATGGGAATCAAAAGAGCAAAATCAAAGGGCAATAGAGAGCAAACGAATGAACGGTGGAAAAAACATGACAAATGACAAGAGCAAGATGAAATGAAGGGAACTGAAACTAAACGACAACCAAACTAACATTGGAAGTGGGACGTGTGGACGGTATAAGAAGCGGAGGGCAATCCAAAAGCGAGCCGCCAGCAGTTCATAATGTGTGGAGGAGGACGCCAGGTCATCACTGAGACATTGTCGATGTCACTTGGAAGGTAGGAGAAGAGCGATACTGCTCGAGGGATGACGGGGGATTCCACGAGGACGAGTAGCGTTCGCGCTGCTGGTGGCCGTGCTCGCGGGAGTGGTAGTGGCGGTGGTGAGTGTAGCCGTGGCCATCGTAGGTGTGCTCGGAGTAGCCTTCGCTGCCATAGGACGGCGGCGAGACCAGCGACGAGACGTCCATTCTCTTGGCTTGGCTGTTCTCACGAACGGTCTCCTCGCGATCCGAGTAGTAGGAGGGCTGGGTGATGTAGCTTTGGTCACGGCCGTGCTGCTCGTTGTGCCCGGGGTGGCCCTGGCGGCTGTACCCGTGGTGATGTTGGTCTTGGGGAGAGATATCGTGAACGGACCGGTAGTAGTGGTCTGCCCGAGATGGCCGCTGGGCAGAGTATAACTCATAGTGGTAATCCTGGTCCGGCCGAGCGGTGCGATAGTGGGGTGAGTTGGAAATGGAGGGGTAGCGACCAGCATGGGACAAAGAGTCGTCGCCACGGAGAGTGGGAGATGGAAGCTCGTACTCGGCCCTGGTCGGCGGAAGCTCTCGGCGAGAAGACTCGGGAGCATAGCGCCAGGAATCGCGCATCGGGCGGTGCTCTCTTGGCGAGAGCTGGGCATCATCCAGGGAGCGGATGCCGGCGTAGGAGGTGTCCTGCAGCCGGCTGTCGTAGGGATGGCTGCGTCGATAAGGTCGCTCGCTGGCGGACGGAGGCAGTCTTGGCTCGTGCTGGGAAGCCGAGTAGGCTCGGCTCGAAATCGAGTCGGCGGCGTCCATGGGGGGGCTTGGGAGCAAAGGCGAAGCCGAGAATCGCGAGCTTGGGTAGCCATGTCGGTACCCAGGACTTGACGGGCTCGTCGACGGTGGCAGGGTCGAAACCTGCTGCGAGAGCCGCTCGTGGGGAGTTGATTTAGGGTCCCGCTGGGGGTGGGGTGTCTGGGACGTGGGAGACGGATGAACAGAGTCGTAGAGGGCGGGCGGTGATCGAGACTCCCGGGAGTACGAAGGCTCCATGTCGGATTTTGACACTGGAGAGTCGCCCGACAGAACCTGCTGCTGGTACAGGCTGCGGTGGAGGGTCTGGAAGTGGCGGTTGCGGTCGTTGCGACGGGCAAAGCTGGCATGGCAGCCAGGGGCTTGGCACTGGAAGGGCTTGACATCTGGAAGCGAGAGATAGCGGAGAGTGAGTGACACGCCGGAGCGGCCCAGCCAGAAGAAGGAGGGAAGCGTGGGTGACGGACGCATCGGACACATGGAGCAGTGCAAGCATCCGAGCGCATGAGGGGAGCGGAGGAAGGCGGTCGGCCGGCGCGACGGCAACGTACTCAGATGGGTTGCGTTTTGGTGACCTTCGAGGTTGACCATTCGCGAGAAGGTGCGGTCACACCCAGGAACTGTGCACTTGAACCGCTTCTGGAAACGGTTGTTGCCGATCGGGACAACGATGACGATGGCCTTGCCGTTCTTTTTGGTTGTGGCAGACTTGAGTTGCTGGGGCGACGATGCTTCGGCTTGGGCGCCGGCAGCGTCCAGGGCGCTCTGGTTGTCGATGTTTTCTTGGGCGTCGGTACCGTCCTGGAAAGCAAGTGAGACAGACGAGAGCTCACCCTGGAGAGCAATGGTGGGCGACGTCGAGGACGAGACCGGACATGAGGGCGACAAGTCGGATAGATCTTCGATGCCGTCGATGGATGGATCCGAGTCTACACAGGACGGGCTCTGGAGAGGTGATCGGCAGGAAGATGGGCGGCGGGAATGGAAGCGAGGACGCGGGCTGGCGGGGGCGTCCGTGTTGATAATCGATGACAGCATATGAGCGGGATGCTGGGAGATGGTGTTGTTGGCTGAAGGGTCGACGGGCGAGCGAGACCAGCGAGCTCGAGACGAAGGCGACCGTGGAGATTGGGAGGACAGATCTGCGAGCAACGTGGGCAAACGAGAGGCAAAGCATTTGAAATTGTGAGCACTCGCGAACAAGCAAGCCAGAGAGGCGGACAGCAGAAATTGCGAGACGCAGCCGATGCTGCCAAGAGCAGGCGCAGCCAATGCCAAAGCACTGGCTTCTGGCTGGGCGCATCGCGATGTAACAATGACGAATGACCAAAGTGCGATCGGGGGGGGGTGAGTGGTTGAATTGAGAAGTGGTTGTGTTGCGATGGTGTTGCGGTGGTGGAGGACCAAGGAGATCGTGAAGGGGCAGCAAAGGGTGCGATTGGGCAATGCGGCGATGTGGTGATGCACGAGGGGGGGAGAGGTGCCGTGAGGATTTGCGGCGGTGCAGCAAACGGAGGCGAATGCAAAACGAGCGAGAGGGGGCTAAGCAACGGCGCGGGAATGTACAATGCGAGTGGATGGCAAGTCAGGCAAGTCGACCAGCTCGATCGAACAGGGGTGAATGCATCGACGCAGGGACATTGCCGCAGAGCGATGCCGGGTAGAACTTTGACAGAAGGTGATAATCAGGAAGCGGCGCGTAGAACGAATGGCTTTGGGATGTGGACAGGTCGAAACAAAAGTGCACATGGCAAGACACATGGAGAGTGCAAAGTGACATATGGAGTGCTGGCGAGTGTATATCAAGCGCCAAGGTGTGTATATCGAGGGCGGAGTGTGGCTCGAAGTTGCAAAAGTATATAGACCGCCTGCTGTCGACTCAAGTACATAGGGTATCCATCGGCCGGGGGGCAGAGGGTATCATCGACTGGTTGCAGAGGGTATCTGCCCGATGGGCGCCTTACCTTCGCGACGGGCACGATCACAGTCGACACGCAGCGAGGACGATGCGGATCGGAGCCGGGCGGCATAGACAGACATGTTGTGAGCTGGGGCGAGATGGACAGGCAGGAGCGATGTGGACAATCCAGACGATGGGAAGGTGAGTCGTTGGACAGGACCGTCGGCAAGCGAATGCCGATCCCGTATTTAAACCAGCGGAGGCGACGCCCAGCGAGCCAAGAGCGCATCCAGAATGCCAGCGAGGATGGACAAGCCAGACATGGCCAACAAGGCCCCCCCCCAAACAACGACAAAGCTGTTGGACCGAGGGGTTGTTGGCCATGAGCCGGCCCGTCGCTGCACCGGCGCTCAGGCCCGCGCCAGGCAGGCTTGTTGCCCCCTGCACAAGGAACTTGGATACCCTCCTGCGCTGGCCAATTGTATCCCTGTGCGAGGCGAGAGGAATCGCCGCGAGCCGAGGCAAAACAAACACCGGGCTGGCACCGCCGCCGCCGCTGCTGTCTGTTGACCATGTTGCTGGGCGAGGCCACGGAGAGAAGCGGGCGAGCGAGAGGCCTCGCCCGACGGCGCGGCAGACCACCACCGACACAGCCAACGCAGACGGGCGTATTGCTACCCCAGTGGATGGATTGACAACTGGGGGCTGATGGAGGCGGGGCGGCGAGCAGCCGTGCTGGCACAAGCCCGTTGGCCGAGCCAGCCCTGGAAGAATGGCTGCTCTGGGGACGCCCGGTTGACCTGGGAAGAATAGTCACTCCGAAAAAAAAATATGGTGGGAAGAACGGGTTTCGGGATAGCCGATGCCTCTGGCAAAATAACAACTCTCCCGGGAGGATATTCCCGCCGTGGTTATCCAGACATGGCGATAAGACCACCACCATCCAGTCGATGCCACGACGCAAGTGTGTCTGCAGACTCGGAGGATCGGGAGCCGAGAGCAGAGCTGGTGTCGTGGCAATCGCAATCCCAGGATGCGGCTGCTGCCGCTGCCGTCGCCATCGTTGTTGCATCGGTTGCTGGCATCATTATCGGGCTTGTCGCTGCTGCTGCTGCCGCCGCTGCTGCTGATGCTGATGCTGCTTCTGGGTACTACCACGACTGGCCTTGCTGCTCGCTCCGCGCCATCGCTCCTCGTGCTCGCTTCCCCCAGGCTTTGCTCCATGTCGCATCGAGCAGGACTGGGAACCGCGCTAGCCACCAGCGTCTTGTTAGCAGAGGAGCAAATCTCTTTCGTTCGCGGCCGGCGGCCACAGGTAAGATCAGCAGCACAGCGCAGCACCCCCCCCCCGCAACAAAGTAAGGCGTTGGCGCGATGTAAGCGACGGCTTCTTGCCGAGAGAAGCGACAGCGCTCGGCACCCTGTGCTCCTGGCCGGCGTGTGCATTCGATGGCTGTGCAGCGATAGAACGACGGTGTGCCGACGGCGAGACCAGCGACCGGCTCAAGACGAGGACATCTGCGGCCTTCTGCTTGGCCTCCTCGGCCACCGTGTTTGCGTGCTTGCCGCTCCAGTCTTCGCCGACTTCCCCGCCAGTGCCTTCGCTCTGGCTGTGGCCGTTTCCACCTCTCCTCGGCGCTGTGCCTCCTCCGGGCTGGTTTGCTGGCACAGCAAACCATAACGCCCTCAGTCGCAGCTGTCGCTTAAAGCCAGGCTACAGGTTGTCCTTTGAGCTGTGTGCCGATCAACAAGCTGCCATGCGCGTGGTACGGAAACCCAAGTCCAACGTCCCACCGCCAGCCAGTGTCCCACAGACGCACTCGGTGTCGGCTCCATGGGCAAAAGCACAAGGCCGAGGGGTGACCGCCACCCGTCAGCCTCCGGCTTTGATCGCCACCATGGAGTGATGCTGCCCATACGCCGTGTGACGGGCGGTGGGCCATGGGGTTACACGCCGCGCCTGTGGCTCCCACCAGCCCAGAGTGGCCTTGGCTGATCCCCCTTGTCTGGCGGTCTGGTGTGATCCCCCCACCAGCAACCAGCTCCTCCTGACTTTGGTCCTCGCGCCGGCTCAGCACTGTCCCTTGCTTCGGCCTTGTTGGAGATACTGAGTTGGTCAGAGCCAGCCAACGGACCTGGCAGAGTCGACACACGTTCCGTCCCTGTTCCTATAAGCCGCCAGCGGACCATCCCACACGCATCCCCGCCTCCCCAACCCAGTGCAGCGCGTTCGTTCGGCGCACATCCAGCCGGCGCCTCGTCCATGTCTACGATGCATCGTAACAAGCCGCAGGCACATTCACCATGCGCCCCCCCCTCCGATCACCGTTGCGTATTCAGTCATCGGCGCTTGCATCGTCAGCAGCACGCCGCTCCAGCAGGACACCCATCGGCACGATACCCGCAGCCACGCTTCCTTGGCGGCGCGAGTGAGGCTGGGCGGATCGAGCACCTTTGTTTGCCGCGGCCGCCATCGGGAAGAAGGGGGACTCACAGTAGGCTCCCCACTTTGCCCCGCTGCTCTGCCGATGCCGTACCATGCCGAAAAATGTAAATAACGATCGGGCTCGCGAAACTCTACGGCGGTGTGTCCAAGACAGGAGCAGCGCCATGATCGCCAACCAATGGCAGAGCCATGCACGCGAGGCGCCCTTGCATTGGCCGCTCCTTGTTCTCGTCCACCGACGCACAAGACCAGAGCACATTTCTCCAGCCACGAAGCCGCTCGACCGGATGTGCGCCGTCAGCGCCAACTCACCCGTTCTTCCACTCTCCCCGTTCGCAGAGCCGGCGCAACCGCAACCGCAATCGCTCGCTTACGTGCTTGCGTGTTTGCGGTGTGCACCCGTCATGCGGGAAAGCCGCCCATCGTGCGGGGAAAGGTTTGTGCCGATGTATGTGCTTATCATGTGATGATTCGGGTTAACGACTGTACGAACATGTCATGCGGGTGTATGGTGCTGGCATCCGCCGCGTTTCTCGCCCCGTCCCACTTGGCTCCCTCTCCCCCGGTCTCTGCAACGCTTGGCATTTCTTGGTCGAGGAGGCATTTTGCCAAGATGCAAATTTTGGATTGCGCCCGCCCAAAGGAGGCTGATGCGACGGCTGGGGACAGGACCCAGGGGGGGCTTTTTTTGGATACCCACCACGACCACTCGCTTGTGACTGACTGGGGGGGGGCAATAAGGTCTTGCTTCGTCCGTGCGAGTTGCCAGACCACCACCCGATTTTGTTGGACCTCGACCCCGTGCCACAGCCGTGCCACAGCCATGCCCCCGCATATCAGTACAGCCGAGCCGCCAATATCTTCCCTGCCGGAAAAATCAGCAGCAGCGATGGCGGTCGATGCACCCGCACCGTCGTGGCTGCAAGGTACGACCACACCGAGTCAGCATCAAAGAACTCGGGTCTATCGCGTTGGTTGCCACGGTCCCCGTTCACCACAGCCCTCCAGGGGGGGAGGCGAGAGACATGCTGCTGAGCGTGCCCGTACAGCGACCACCCTCCTCCAGAGGGCTTGCATATCCCATCGTCATCGCCGCGCACATCTCGCACCTTGCAATATGTAAAAGACCCGGTCTGGACTGCCACCGGGGGCTATGCACACGCGCGCATGGCGGCTCACTGGATCGGCCCTCGACCTCCATCCCCATCACTCGACCCCCATCCCCATCACTCGACCCCCATCCCCATCACTCGACCCCCCGTTACTCGACCTTGTCACCCTCACCCAGCCCAACCTTGCCCTCGGCCGCTGAACACCACAGAGCTGGGCTGGCCCAGATGTACAACGACGGCGCTGCCTCAGAGAAGCACAGCCGACCATGACATTGATCAATTGATTCATCATGTTTTGTAGAGTCGGGGACCCAGAATAGAGAGGGCTGGTTGTGGAGAGCAACGATCGCATAGGAGACACAACACCCGGACACAGAGGGAGATAGTAGATGACGAGATCTAAACAGACGAGGTCTATACAGAAGGAGCGGAAAACGAGACCCAGGGAAGGATACTGCCGTGCGAGCGCCATTCGGATCAAAGATCGAAGGACATCGGGCCCCGCATCTCCTCCACTCCTCGCCGTGCCAAGTCGAATAGGCTACACTCAGAAGAACTTTCTCATCAGCATCACAGCCAAGACGAGCGTGTACGGCAGGAGCGATGCCGAAGGAGCGCCCGTTGCGCCGTTGGTCTTGCCGGTGGTCGAGGGAGCGCGACTCTTGGTAGTCGTTGGCTTGACCGAGGGCGACGGGGCCAGAACAGCCGAAACAGGGGTCTGGGTGATAGTTGCGGTAACGACGGCATCCGCCGGGCAGGTGGCGGTCGGGTTGCGCGCAAAGGCGGCCTGCTGCTGCTTCTGGTAGATCTTGAACGAGTTGATGGACCAGTAGCCCTCGGTAAGTCCCTCCGGGTGGGCAGCCATGTACGCATTGCAGGTGGCCGGGCTGGTCCAAAGACCAGAGCACTGTGGATCGGTCGATCCGCCGACCCAGGTTCCGCACACGTTGATGTTCAGGATCAGGTTGAGGCCCTGGAACCAGTCGGGCGAGCAGCAGTCAAAGGGGAAGTTGATATAAGGCATCCCCCACGACGACGGATCGGGGTTGCCGTTGGCGACGTCGCTGGGGATCTGAGCGCGCGGCCAGTAGTAATAGTTCATGTAGTTCGATGTCATTTCCATGGCATAGACACCGCCGCCCTGCTGGTTGAAGGCATCGCCGGCCGAGCCCACAGGAAGGTCGTCGTAGTTGCATCCGCTGGCGGCCGAGCGGTCGTTGACGTTGACGCCGCAGCTCATCTGGGTGATGTTGAGCTTGGATTGGGCGGCGGGGGATGCGTAGCAGTGACCGTTGTTGTAGAACCCGATGCCGTTGGAGGTACGCATGTTGATGGCCTCGAAGATGTCGACCTCGGCGGCGCTGGGGTCGGTTGGGCCGGTGGTCTTTTTGAACCACAGGGCAGGCCAGATGCCGCAGCTGGCAGTGACGGTGATGGGGGTAGCGATGGAGCGTGGTAATCATGTCGATGGCGATCGTGGCGATCATGGCGGCGATGGCAATGGCAATGGCAATGGACAGGACGAGAAAAGCAAGAGAAGAGCAAGGAGTCAGTCCACGTGTCCGCACCAGCGACGCAATGGCGCGCCCGTGTCACCCAATGTCGCACACGTCAGTCAGTGTCTCGGTCAGCAGCAACCAACCCGGTAACAAACGCAGCAAATCTCAAGCGAGGGCTCGAGATGGCAGCTGCCTGCACCCAGCTGCCTGCACCCAGCAGCGGCCGCCCAGACTCTGAAGCAAGAGCCAAGTCCGAGCCGGCGATCAGGACTGGCACCACCCAGAGCGGAGGGGAGGGGGTGGGATGGCTCGTCCGTCGGGCGGCGATTCAGGAGGCACTCGGAATTGTCCTTCTCCTTCAGCTCCGCGGCATTCAAAAGCAGTTCAAGTGACCCAACGACAAAGGGAACTTGGCGCAATCGATCGGCACCAGAAGTAATTCCACCTCCCCTCGACCCCGAGCAAAGGAAAAGGACTGCGAAACCGTGTCGGAAATGACATACCCGATGGGAGCGTGGGCAATGTCAAAGATATAGAGGCCAAAGGTCAGCGTGGCGGCCGATTGGATGCGAACGGTCGGACGGCCCAGGGAGCTGGCATTGACGATCGTGGTCGAGTCGACCCGGATGACGGTTGGTCCGTCGGGCCCGGTGGTGATCAGCCCAAGAGCTTCGGCATTGGCTCGGCTCTGGTAGGCGGCAAAGTCCGACGTCTGGGAAATAGACTTGCGTTCATAGAAATTGAAGCGATCAAAGAAGCCGGAGCCAGCGGGGTAGGTGTCGACGAGAGAGTAGGACATGGTGTGGATGCCGGGGGTGTGTGGCTACTGCAGATATGAAGGGGGGAAAGATGGGGCCTTGCACAAAGATGGTGTTCAACAGCGAGAACGCTGGTGCAATCAACCCAGGTATTGAGTTTGTAGTAACTAAAGGAGGAGGGGAATCTGTTTTGGAAGCCGAGGCGCTTGCACTGAAAGAATGCAAAGAGACCGAGTGAGCAATCACAAGCAATCACAAGCAATCACAAGCAAGCACTAAAACCAAATGGATCCGGAAGGGTGGAGGGGCAGAGGCCAGACGCCGAGTCGGCTGCTCGAAGCCAGCTGCCTCCCTCGACCAAGAGCAGCGATGCTGGATCCAATCCGGCATAGGCACGCAAACGAGCCCCGAGCAGAAACAGCAGCAGCGTGATGCATACCACAGATCGGTCTTTGCTTGTCCAGAGACACCAGGCAGATGGATGGAGCCGGCAAGTGCGATTTGGGCAGAAGAAGGGCGGGAGGATCTTATGAAGCCAGGTGTTGACGGAGGCAAAGCGGTTCCTCTCTGACCACAGCGAGAGCACGCACTGCCCATCAATGGGAAAGTTTGAGTTGCAGGGAGGCGGGGATGCCAAGCGGCGTCTGTGTTGTCGGGGTGGCTGGGGGCCAGATGCCACACAACAGACACACTGACACACTTTGGCCGATGTATTTGCTGACGCAGCCCTGGCCAAACAAGACAAACAAGGACGCAGCGCAAGAGGGCGATTTTCCCACACTCATCTGCTTTCGGCTGCTGAGCGCTGTGTGCCGAAAACACCAGCGCAGAGACCCGTGAGCCCGCACTGCACAGCCCGCCTTGACTTGGCGAAAGCGCGTCGCCCCTTGTTTGTGGGTGTGGCAGGGCCAATTGCACCGCCGCGGGGCTGTTTGCCGGCTTGTGAGCGCAACCGCGCGGCCCACACAAGCAAGCCCGCGTCCAAGCCCAGGGCATCACCAGGGTGCTTTTGAGGGGGGGGGTGGTCGCCCTTGCATACAGGGGATTGTGTGCCCGCCACCTTTCGCCTGTGCCCCTGGATGCACTGCCCCCTTGGTCTACACATTCGAGGCGGGCATCGCTCATGGAAACATGTTGTTCTTTCCAATATCCCATGGCTTATGTCCCATTACAGACTCGTAGGCTTGACCAGAGGAAGCTGGGCGGCCGTCTTTGCTTCCACCCAGCGCCCCTCGCGCAAGAGCTCGACGATCTGGAGCGCTGTGTTGTTGTCCGGGGTACCGACGCGCCAGTTGGGCGATTGATGCTGCTTGAGCCAGTTGAAATCCTCGACCTCGGAGAAATGGTTGCCCAAGGCCGAGAGTCCGCTTGTCTGGTTGGTGTGTGGGGCCATCGAGGCCATCGAGGCTGTTAGCTGAAGTGGACTGGGCGACCACCACGAGTGCACGTACTGAACTGGCTCACCAGTTCTTGCAATCCGGCAACCCGATGCATCGTAAGGCCCAGTCGGACATCGACAACTGCGCCGACGCCATCGCGGCACCAGACATCGAATCCCCTAGCCTTCACAAGCAACCGCCGGCTCTTATCGAAACACAAGTCCAGAACTCTACCTCCAGCCGCCCCAGCGATCCTGTAAACACGGGGTAGTCGTTGAACTCCAGTCCGTCGCAGTCTTCAATAATGGGCTTGCTTCCGACATACAGGTGGATCCGAGTGTTGTGGGACTGATGCATGCGATACTGAGGACAAGTGCAATTTGGACGAGTGAGTCGACGGAAGTGGCACAACTTAGCGAGAGCACTGCACCCGTCCATGCGATTCGAAAAAACGGACTATAGCAAAGTCCAACCTTGCCCGCGGCGGACCACGACACATACCTGTCTGCATGCCAGAATCAAGACGCAGTCGATGCACGAGTCCAGCAGGATCGATCCAGACACCGGGCTGACCAGGACGACGCACCTCGTGAGGTCGCGGATGTGAACCGCTCCGACGGACATTTGCCAGTCGGCCAGGTTCACGACGCAGTCGGCAAGCGATATCAAGTAGACATCCCGAACGGCGCCAGCCTCGCTAGCATCCGATGGCGGCGACGCAATGTACTGGCCTTGCAGGCCGTAGAACGACACGGCATTGGGCGGGACCACAGGCGGACCCGCCTTGGCTGTCAAGAGTGAGGACCATTCCCGTTCAAGTGGAAAGGAGCCGGGCGAAGGAAAAAGGAATCAAAACCACGGCCCTCGGGGAAGCTCACGCATGCAAGGTCCGATTTGGCCAGACTTGTCTGCACTCCTGGTGAGGGGATGTAGGGAATGAGTCCCGACCCATGCAATCAGCGAAACTGGCCCTCACCTGGTCCGGCAGCTGCGTCAGTGGAAGTGGTGCTTGCCTCGGGCCGGGCGGCTGTCTTGGAGGAAGCAGTCCGCGCTGCATTCCGGCCCTTGAACGAAAATTTGGCTCGCGGCGCCAGAGCATCTCGCTTCTCTTTCAGCTGGGCCGATAGATCCTTCAGTTGCTGCAGCAGCGAGGCATTGGGTCGTATTAATCGTGATGAACTAGGCGAGCCAACCGACAGCATCGGCCTCGTTTCAGGCGATGACTCTGCGGGCGAACAGATCCCGCATGCACGCGAGACCAACCTGGCTGTACTGGCGCTGGTCATAGAGCGGCAAGAAGATGGCGGCACTCGTGGTGGTCTTGTCGAGCTCGGCAACGCTGCGAATGAGATCATTGACGAGGGCAAGGCCTTCTGCCTGGGGGAGCGAGTCGATCCTGGCAAACTCATCGAGGACATCTGCGGCGGGGCCAGAGGACGCATCAATGGTGTGCCCTGGACCTTGAATTGGACACGCATGCATAATCGCCAAGCTCACATACCCTGGGTTTTCTCCTTGAAGGACACGAAAAAGGCAGCTGTGGCCTCCTTGGCGCTGACGGTCGATTCTGCTGTCGTTGCCATCTTGAGCAAGATCTGGGTGGCGAGTATGAGGAACCGAGACGAAGCGGCAGAGCTGTCGTGAGCAAGTGACCAAAGGAAGCTGCAGCACGATGCAAGGCTCGCCATCAAGCCCGGCACAAAACACTACCTGGTGCGATGCGGAGAGGTGCCTGCAGGATCGTCTGCGTGTTGATATATGAATGCCTGCGATGGCCAGGGCCGAAGGGCATCCGCACAGCAAGGCCAAATCGGGCTTCATTTCGGCCCTGGACGGTGCCGCAGTGCTGTCCCACTTGGCGGCCCATGATCGATCGCCGCAAACGCAACCTCCATCACCCAAGGCAGGACTCAAGCAATGCGCATGGGCACACCTCTCTGCACAGCCTTATCCAGGTCCGGCCGGAGCGCCGCCGCGGGGCTCGCCTGCAGGGCCGGGTTGCTCTCGACGATGCCATGCGCCTCAATGCTGGTCCCAAGCCGAGCAGCGACGTAAGCGGGGCGATCGCAGCGAATCGGGCTGATGGGATCGAGGCCCGTGCTGCAAAGGGAGATCATCGAAGCACTCAGGCGCACTGGCTTGTCGGCCAGCAACATCACCGAAACCAGTGCCGCCATGGATGATCACGGCCTGCATCTCAATAACATGGCGTGTCGGGGGGATGGTCTTCAGGACGAAGCAGTGGCTCCGGCGCCAGATCAGCGATCCCTTCGTTCGACAGGCCGTCATCGACAACTACCGATCGCGGGCGGCATTCAAGCTGGACTATCTGGCAGCCAAGCATCGGCTGTTCAGAGAGGGCATGGTTGTCCTTGGTATGTCCCGCTAATGCCGGCAGCTCGGCGCAGGACAAGAGCAGCCGATCTCTATGTGTTCGCCTGGTGATCGAGGCGGATGCTGGCCACGAGAACACCGCTGGACCAACTCTCGGGCGGTCACGATGAATTAACTGACGGCTTGTTGAATGCAGATCTTGGGGCATGTCCTGGCGGATGGAGCCAGGTTGCAGCACGATGCGTCGCTGCTTCAGAAGGTGCGTTCGAGTGACTGCGAGCGGCGACGAATGTTTGGCGCCGCAAAATGGAACTGCGATGGTGGAGAACAGCAGCATGTCCTCGGTGTCGTTGAAGGGTCGATCGCGAAATGGATCTTGTGGCAGCAACTTGGATGGATCGTCTGCGATACAAACGAGCGATCAGCCAACTCGGCGATCCAGCGGACTGATGACTCTATCCGCCTCCTCCCCCAACGCAGGCGAGGGAATAGTTGTGTCGGTGGACTTGCAGCCGATCGACCCGATACCCGGCGTCCATTTCATTCAGGCCGATGTGATGAGCTCCGAGACGCTCGATGCAATCGAAATTATGATCGCCAACACCCTGCGCAACCGCCAGGCCGAGGTCTCTGGCAGGGGCTCGATGCACCGGATCAGCGACATCCAGGCAATGAAGGCCCAGATCGGTTCCCCAGCGAAATCGGCCCGGGTCGTCGATGTCGTCCTGAGCGACATGGCCCCGGCGTTCTCGGGCAACCGCACCGTCGATGTTACCCGGACGACGGTACGACAATGTAGCCCGACTGACTTGGGCCGTATGGACAGCTGTTATGGGCTGAAGTACATCCTCTGGGCTGCGAAGACCGCTCTGACCAATCCTGCTGCTTCCATCGCTCGGGCCTGCAACAGGAGCTGTGCGAGATGGCCCTGACGGTGGCGAACCGCCTGCTGAAGAAAAAGGGATCGCTCGTGTGCAAGTTCCTCCAGGGCGAGTCCTTCAACGGTGAGGATAGCGATATTGTCGTCGTTGCCATTGACACCATCGTGAATGCCATTTTGCACATCCTGCATCGACATGTACTGAATCGGGCCTACGTTCCTCAGAACTTCGGGCACTCCTGGAGGCCCACTTCGAAACAGTTATGCACGTCAAGCCGCCTGCCAGCCGCAAGGAGTCGACAGAGATGTTTTTGGTGTGTCTCAAGTTCAAGGGCCCAACCGCCGCTGGGCACATCGAAGCAACCGAAAAGTAGCACTCGATGGGCTCGACAAATCAGCCAGGCCAGCATAAAGCAAAATATATCGCAGATCCTCGGTCCGCTCTCGTACCACTGCTGCTCTCGCATGTGATATGGGTCCCTTTTCATCCGCCCGTCGCAAAGTTGGGCCCGCAAAGAGAATTCCGAGGCCCAGCGGGGGCCAAGGAGACATGAAAAGAGAACGAAAGCAATGGGGGGGGCGGAAACTGAGCTGTGTCTGGTTGCGTCGGCCTGGAGCCCTCATTGAATTGTGAGGGAACAGTTCTTTAAGCAAACCACTGTTCGTCTTTCGTGCGCTGGTGCTTGGCACCCTGGCAAAACCAAGCAATGTGGTCTTTGCGGGACCAACTGCCGGCTCTGTGGCTGCAGGATTTGGCTTTTGATCGCTGGCCAAAGAGCAGATCGCGCAGGGCACCGAATAAATAGCCCGTGCTGTGATCGCGCGCTGTGGCTTGGCCGGAATGAATTCATTTGCGCCACGTGATGCAGCGAGAGCGATCCCCTTCTCGCCGAGAAACCCAGCGAGGAACGAGCCACACCAGATTCCATGCTGCAGATGGTTCCCAGCCGCACCCGGCGGCAGCCTCGCCATCTAGCAGTTGTCGCCCTGTCGTGCCATCGCAGTTGACTGGGATTCGCTCTTGCTCCGCGCTTCTGGCCCTATGCTCCAGGCAACGTCTGCGACGAGTCGTATGCAGATCGAGGATCTGATTGCTGTGAGTCTGCTTGGTTCCCACGCGCCCGAAACAGTTCCAAACAAGCTGTCTGATGGCCGATACCGCGGGGCCGCACCTGCCAGCACGTTGCCAGGACGGGTGCACCAACTCCAGTCTCACGCATATGTCAACTCTGCAGGTGGCCGAGCAAGATCTCGCCGCAGCGCGTTTCGATGACGCTGAGAGGTGTGGGAAACCGAGTCACCAATGCGCTTCGTCTGGCACTGCGAAGATGGGGCTCGACGCCTCGACGAGAATCCGCCATTCCTCTGCAGCATACCACACTGACGTGCTGTCGACCCCTTGATTTGAAACAGTGCCATCTACTCGGCCCAGCGCCTCGCTACCTCGGGTGGCGAGTTTGGTCATTTGGCAAGGTACGTCCCATCGGATTCAGTTCCAAGCGCGTCCTTGCGATACGGCTGCCCGTGATCCTTCCTTGCACTCTGACTGTCCCGTTCTGATCAAACTATCGCCTCTGCTCTGGCGAATGCTTCGGCAGGCTCTATGTACTTCAAGGGTTCTGTATGTCCAAGGTCGTTCCGGGTGCCTGTGTCCATGATGGCCACGAGCCACCACAGCTCCTGGAGACCTTGGTTCCAAGAAAGCACACGATGAATGGCATCATATACGTCATGAAAGCCTTCGATGTCGCCACTAGAAATAGCTGTCCAGACGAAGTTTACAATGTTGCGGTTGCTTTCATGCAAATTTCTCAAATCTCTGCCCATCGCCCCAGCTTTCACCGCGGCGATTCATTGTTTATTGGTCCTCTGAGCGTCCTGGTCGATGCTCTGGAAGCTTCAAACGACCCAGACTGTGAATGGCGCGTATATCTACGATATATGCTTGTGCGGCTTCTTTTGCATTTTGGCACCCACAAACCTCAACCTGCCCCTGGCGTCCATGCACTCCTCAAGAAGGATGTCACCGAGAAGATGCTTGCGGACGCCGCTGCCGAAGCCGAGCGCCAGTGCGAGAAGCTGATGGCGCTGATTCTCAAATGTGATCTTCCTCAGCCAAGCTTGGTGACAACGGTCGTTCGACTCTACGTCGACATATTTGCGAACAAGCCCAAGCTCTCTTCAAGCATCGACACCTGGAAAGCCAAATCGTGGACTCTGTATATCATGGCGTCCATCGAAATGCTGAGACGCGAAGTCTCTCAGAGCAATCCACGAACAGCCGCCAAAGTCGAGGAGCTCGCCAAAGCCGTCCAAGCGCTGTCCGCCAGCAACTCGGCCAAGACCACCACCTTTGGTATCTCGCTCAACCAGGTCAAGATAGAGACCGCCCAGCTGGCCGTTGATTGCAAAATGTCCGCCATTGCACACCAGCTCCTCGGCGCAACTTCCCAGTCGCTCTGCACCCCGACCGAGGCAGTGCTTCAAAAGTTCATTCACATCCAGCTTAAATACCGGACTCAAAACAGCGCCTTGACACTTGACGAGCGCCTGGAACTTATGCGCGAGACCAAGAGTGTGTTGGAGAGTGCGCTGCAGCAGCGACAGGATCCAAGACTGGTCTGCGACATTGTCGTTATGGGCTGGAACCTGGCTATCCCAATCTTCAAGACGGAGCACAGGAAAATGCTCACGGACTACATGCTCGCTCTGCGCCAGGGCCTGGCTCTTTCACCCAACATACTCCCCGTCCTGGCCGGCCAAATCGAGTACGAGCTTTCCAAGGTACAGTCATTGATGGCAGAGGACATTGCTGTGTATCTTGACATATCATTGTGGTTCGCGCTGACTGTTGTTTCATGACATGCACCCCCTCGCGTCGGTGTTTTGTTCAACAGAACTATCAGGATCAGGGGCTAGCTATCCTAGCGCTCAAGCACAACTCCGAGTGCTCCAGACTCATGCCGCCGGGAAGGTGCTCTCATTTTGTAAAGAGACAGCACAACCAGCTTCTCGGCTCGAAAGTAGTCGAGGCAAAGGATGAAGTTGCAATCGGTACCGTGTGCGATGTTATTGCCACCTTGATGAGCCAGATGACTGGATGTGCTGCATGAATGATATCCTGCTAGGTAGAGCTTCGATCGATCGGTACCTGGATTCCATCGTGCTTATCAGTATGCTCCGATTCACAGCCGCGGCATACTCGCTCTATAGCCAGGCGATTGCTGAGCCGGACGTGCAGCTGTTTGCTCGGCTATTAGAAAAGTCGATCAGTGCATTGGACACGGTCAGTATGGTGGCCTGTTTGGCGATAAGCATAGATTCTGGGGATGCCGGAATGATTTATGGCTGACAAGCAACTTGCGTCCAGAACTTTGATCCACTAGGATACCGCCACGTCGATTCCGGTTTCTCGTTTGGTACCCAGATTGCCCTCCAGCTAAGCATTCCGCTGGAGTCCGCCATATATGTGTTTGATGATCTTATGCAGCTCGCCCGAACAAGGCTCGAGAGCGTCGGATTCAACCGAGATCTGGAAGGCGTCCACGAGCTCTCTCTGATCACGATCTACATTGCTTCTCGGACTCTGGAGATGATCCAGCAATACCAGTCGAGCCCCGAGCCGGACTCGAGCTGCATGAACTTTATTTTGGCCGATAGCCATCTGACCCAGGGGATCTGCCTTTGGAACATCTCGGAGATTCTCGAGCAGCTTCCAGTTGCCGACCGCGAGACGCAGGAAGCCTTGTCCAAGCGGCTGATGGTGCCATTTGTGGAAGTGCAGCAACTCGGAGCTGTAACCGGATGCGCCGAGCTCGTTTACAATGCCGCTGTGGCCCTGTGGAACTGCATTGTCCGATCTGAGATCCCACGCGAAGTCCTATCGCCGCCGTGCTGGACCGACAAGCTACGAGCCGTGCTCGAGGCTATGCAAAAGCAGAGTCTGGACGACAAGGACGTGTACGCCTGTCTCGCATCACTGCTGTGCCGGAATATGCTGGACATCCACGAACAGGCAGTTGCGATGGCGGCCGCAGCCGCGGAGCAATCCGCTGCTGCCGAGCCCGCCTCGGCAAAGGGCACCAAAGGAGCCAATGCACGACCAGCCAAATCGCCCGCCTCGGGCAAAGACGCTGGGGCATCAAGCGGATCAGGAACTTCGAATGCAGCGGCGGGGCTGGGGGCTGCGGGTCTCAAGCTTCTCGAGGATATATGCAAGAAGGGTCTTGATTGCCGACAATGCCCGCCGTTGGAAAAATCAATCTTGGCCGAGGTGCTTGGCGGACTGCAGGTTTCGAAAGGCGGCGCCCCAGTGTTTGACGGCGATGTCTCCGTCAAGATAATCATTCTGCAATCCGAACCAACAAAGAAAATCCCCAGAGAAACCATCGACGCCTGCTATCTCGCGCTGAGCGAGCGTGCACGCTCGGCATCGGTCCAAGTAGATGCGTTCCTGATGCTCGATTTGTGGCAAAGGCTCGCGATCCTGGCCCTGCAAAACAAATATCTAGATATCGCCGTGCGATCGACCGAGTACATGCTGCAGTATTTGCGAGGCAAGTTGCTGCACCAGTGGCAGTTTGTGGGCGAGATCCTGCACGGCTACTCTATGCTGCAGATGCTGCAATTGGAAGAGCACGGATACCCCATCGACGAGATTTTCTTGAAGGGATCCAAGAGCCTGCTCAATGCGATTGCCTTGACCAAGATCACAAAGCGCAGCGCCGATGCCACTCTCGCTCTTCAATATCTCTGGAGCTTGGCGCAGCCCTTTGTTGGGAGAAACTCGCGAAAAGTCCTCAACCAGACTCTGATGTACTATCTCAAGCTGTTCCCCAAACTGGACTGGGTCGTTGAGAAGCACAGCTCCATTCACTCGAGCGGTGGCAGCATCCTGAAAAAGGTGTCGCCAATCCTGATTGGTCGCGAAGCCGAAGTAGCATCGTATCATCTCCTGATGCTCGCTCTCGAGGCGTGCCATGATTACGGCGATCCCCAGGCTGGGCTGAGGGCAGCTGATTATGCACTCAAGCTGTACTCAGACTCATGCGTACTGCCGCAGCCCAGCGTCAGCTTGATGATATGCAAACTCGTGCTCTTGCAGAGGAAGGGCAAGCCGATCAGCATGGGACTGACTCGCGAGCTCGATCCATACCGACAGACAGTTATCTGGCGCTCGCTGATGACCCAGCTTGGTACCACCGAGCTGCAGCGACAGGTTTACCAGGGATTGGTTGGGCTTGGCGAGGTTCTCCATCCACACCGTCTCTGGGAGATTCGATACGGATTCAAGAAATGGAAGGAGCTTCACCGGCAACTCAGCGAAGATTTTGATCGCGTCCTCTTTGAGCTCAGACAGCACCATCGACACTACTTTCCATCAGGTCCAGCTGTAGATCTCAGAATGCCGGGAACGTTTACTGAATCCTCGGAGATGCGCATGTACCTTCACGCTTTGCTTATGGATGTGCGAGAGTATGGCGACAGTGTGGGCCTTGGAAAATCCAGGGACGAGCTCAAGGAAACCCTTGCGGTGTACAAAAAGAAGGTTACCCATCTGATGATCTTCCTGATCAGCTCTGCCACGGACAAGCACAAGGACATCCACAAGTTGGAGAATGAGCACTACACCGCCTTCGAATGGCCCCTGGGCGTGAAGCCGTGGCTGAAGAATGCTGTACAAAGTGTCGAGAGCCAGTATGATCTGAAGGGGACATTCGAAGCCCTGGTGCCCCAGCTCATCTGTCTCTCCAACACCATGATGGACATGCGTGCCTACAAAGACGCCTTCCCACTCAGTCTCTTTGCTGAGCTGTGCATCACAGCCTTTGATCAAGGTGTTTTCAATCGCATCGCCCTCTGGACGCTCCTGCTCGACCGAAGTTATGCACTGACGCAGATGGGTCTCTTGACCGAGGCCACCCAACTGCTGTTGACGGCGACTACAATCTACGAGCTCAGCTTGAAAACACTCACGACGCTGTCGGCCTCCATCTTCAACCACCTGCAGTCACAGGCCCTCAACCTGACGCTGGCCAACGTTCTGGTCGACAACGGGTTTCTGGTGATCTACATCAGCAAGTTGCTCATGAAGATGGAGATGACAGTGATACTTCGGCGCTGGGTGGCGCAGCTGGTTCTCGATGGCGTCCTTCGAAGCTATCCGAACGCCAACTACCCAGAATCCGATGCCCTAGACAACTGTTTCTATGCACCTTTGGTCTTGGTTTGGTTTGATTTCTTCCGATCAAGAACCTTTGCCACAGGATACGACAATCTCTTGCTGGACATGCTCCGAGCGACAATCAACAGCGTGATTGTGGATTCAGATCTGCAGGACCTGTGTGATTTGCTTGGAAAGCTCACCAAGGCACAGGAAGCGACACAGTATTCACAGCAAAGCTCGATCTATGCTCCAAACAGCGCCTGTGAGCCCAACCCTGATTCTGCTGCGATCCCTGGCCGCAGAGGGGAGAAATCATACTTGTATCTGATTCGCAAGCTTCATCTGGCCGACGTACTGCTCTGCCTGAAGCTCAAGATCATCCAGCTCAGGTGCCAGCAAGATATCAGATACATCGACACGGACGTGTTCCGGTGTGCTCACGACGATGCGGTGCTCACCTTCCAGGAGATTATCAGCATGACGCGGCAGGTTCTCGATCTCCCGGCACTGATGGCCCAGTACACCTCTTTTTCGATCGAGACAATAGCAATGCTGAATCTGTCGCTTGACTCGGATACACAGCGCAAACTCATCATCGACACGATCTTCATGAACGAGGGTCTTCTCCAGGAGTGCAAGGTGTTTATCGAGAGCGACAGGGCTGCACATGACCCGGAGGTGTATGCCGAATATGTTGGCTTTGTCCTGAGCCAGTGCTGGTTGTATGTTGCCGTCCTCAACGCCATACCTCCGCCAAGCGATAAACCCATCACCGTGGACGAACCCGAGCGGATAATCGAGCGCTACGACTCAATTCTGAACAACACGCCAACAGTTTATGTCACATGGATGACCCTGCTCTCCAAGATTCCCAGTCTGATCGAAGAGTGGCTCCGTCCGCTTCTGGAGAAGGGCGGACATCATCTACCCCCAGAGCATCTATCCACCGTGCACTACCTCATCGCTCGGGCCATAGCCGTCCAAATCGATGCTGAACACGAGACACAGACGGAGGTATCTGAAGAGCCTCAGCCTGCATGGGATTGGTCCAAGCTCCACGAGCACCTTTCACATGCCATCAACCACTATAGTCATCCAAAGAATCGCTTGGAGATCCTGATTCAGGGAATCGAAATGATCTTGACATTCAACAAGCGCAAAGAGGTTGTTTCGGACAGTCAGTTGTTCTGGTGGGTATGCTGTCCGATTGCCCAGATATCGGGCGCATTGCTTGGTCACTGTCATCGAGCAGGCACAGACTAATGGTGCCGCGTTCATCGACAGCCTCATCGCTTTGCTTCAGGCAGCGCAAACCTTTTCCGCCTATGGCGATATAATCATCTCCACAAACCTCAAAAACGATATCACGCAGCTGGACATATCGCGCGGTAGGCGTGCGGCTGGGCCAGAGCAGCTCGATCTCGCATCCGCTGGAGCGTATGGCTGACAAGACAAACAGGCGCTGACTCGATCGTCGGGACGATGCCAGACAAGGACTCACCGCAGGTTGAGAACGCAATGGACATGTGGAAGTTTCCCTCACTTGGACGCATCAGTGAGATTACCCGCAGGGCAGCAAAGGTAAGCGAGCTTGCCGGCACGGTGGGCGGTCAAACACGCAGCATCTGTGACCGAACGGGAAGTACTTCCCACGGTACAATGTTGACGATGCTCGAAAGCATCGACTGTCGGAATGGGCCCACCAACTCAAACACCACTATTCTCGTGACAGAGATACAGCATTCTGGTGATGCAAACATCTCATGACCGCAAGAGAATATACGGGGCGCTGTGCACCCCAAAGGCCGATCCTGGCGGCAAGATGAAGAAAGAAAAGGACGCATCCGAAAGCTTCGAGGGAACATACACACTCAAAACGGTCGAGATAGAGCCCACCGAGCTCGGGTTCGAAGCCGATCTTCAAGAAGCCGTACACAAACTCCTGAGGCTGATATTTCCTGGTTGGTGAATGCTGTGCCGACGCACTGGTTTGCAGCAACCGCCACACTTGGCATGTGTACCGCGAGTTGCCATCAAAGTGGGATCAATAGGCCTGATTCCTTGTGTGCATGGATCTCGATCTGGTAGAGCCAGCCGCGCCCCCGGCAGAAGGACAGGAGCGGGCAAAATCTCCAAGAGCCAAATCTGCGGCAAAGGATAAGAAGCAGGCGGCGCAGGAGCCCCAGGAGAGCGAGAAGCCGCAGATTTTACTCTGCGCCGACCAAGATGTGTTCCGCATGCCCGTGGAGCACCACATAGCGAGAGTTGTATCCTGCCTGTCGGTGACGCGGGACTTTGGTTAGTTAGCCATCCGAGCCACGAACGCGGCCTCATCCTCGTGTCCGACCAGGGCAGCGGCAGGTCACTCCAGAAGATTAACATGTGTGTTTGGCGACTTGCAGCCTTATCCATTCACGGTGATCGCAGTGATCATCGGGCCGAGCAACTTCAGCAACAGACCCTTGATACTGAAGCCGGAAAAAAGGCGGGCAAGGAAAAGGTCCAAGAGGAGCAAGATTTCCAGCCGATCGAACACCGCTCGCTGAGCTGTAAGCATGGTTTTGGAGGGGGTCTTTGCTTGGAGCTCGCTGACAGCTCCCTCGACTCACGACCATTCTTCCTTATCCTACTCGCGGTGCCGATCGCGGTACTTGTAGGCTTGACGTGCAGCGGCAAGCTCAAGTTCCCGCTGGATAACGAAATCAACAAGATCCTCAAGAGTGGAAACCTGATGATGGACAATCTGCGAATCGGGGCTAGTGCTTTCATGCATATTACCGAAACGGCTCCGGCGCTGCTGGTTGCTGGCGGACGGCCATATCTATCGACAATGCTGACGCCAACGTTCCAAGACACAAGAATGACCAGTGAGTATCCTGGATGATTGACAGGAGTGAGTCGGCCACGCCTTGCTGATTCAGGCAAACCATCGACCGGAAAATAGAGCCCAGAGCGGCGAACCTTGGTGGATTGCGCTGGCGTCCGAAGTTTACTGATTCCCACTCCAATACGACCACCTGCATGCTGCGCCACAGAGCTGCACGCTCTCCTCATGTTCGTGACGAACGAGGAGTGCGGCCTCGAGCCTGACCAGATGGACCCGTGGCCACTGTTTAAGCAGCGGACTAACCGGGACCTCAAGAACATGTCGCTGCGGCTCTCACTGCTGGGCATGAGGTCGGTGTGTGCCCACGTCGGTCCTCCGCTCGCGGACGAGACGGTGCAAGCCATCCTGGCCAAAATATGCGACCACCCGCAAGGCCAGACCCTGCCGGAGATGCTGCACCAGCTCAACGAAAAGCTGCGGACCAATGTGGACCCGGACTCACTCGACGGACTCGCGCCCCGGACGCTGATCTTTTACGGGCTGCCGATTGCCTTTGAGCTGGCATGATTTGGCTGGGGATGCGGAGAGTGGAGCCCGGTGCTGCTTGCGCAAGGGCCGAACGAGCCCCGATAGGCCCAGGTTTAGCGAATGGAGTGAACTGCGTGCACCGCGCCCTGGAATAAAGATCTGGGACAGGAACATGAATGTGCGATCATGGGATGAGACGCAGTCACGGGACGAGGCGTGCTGGCACTCGAACCAAGCGCACACAAACACAGCCGCGACGCGTCCACACACGGCAGCGCGTCTGGAACGCGACACGCGCCGAGAATAGCGCGACGCAACGCGCGTCTGTGCACGCGCCGGGCCAGCCAATCGGCGCCCGCGGCGGCGCTGCGGCTCCTGGCTCGGCCGCCTCAAATCCCCCTCGATCCGGCTGCTGTCCTGTCGGGCATCATCGACACCTTCGACACCATCGACACCTTGGACACCACCCACTCCACCTCCTGCTTCTCGCATCGACCATGGCCGACGACGCTATCCCCCTCTATGGCCTCGACAAGGAGCTGGCCGCCAAGGCTGCTGCCAAGGTTGGTCGTGCACGCTGATGTAGTCGTCGGTGGAGTTGCTTCAGCCGATTGCAGGCGCGATCATGTTTCGGCCATGAAGCGTCCCTCGCTTTTGCTAACCCCGTGGCTTTGATTTCGCTGTCGCCACCGCCGGCCTATGCGTCCATATAACCTTTGTCTGCATCCAGTACGACCCCCAGCGCGAAATCGATGGTAGGTGCCTCCCCGCGTCGACTTTGGCCATGACTCGGGCTTCCTGCCTTTGCGCCATGTCCATGTCCATTTTTGCTTCATGAGGGTCTCTGCGGATCAGCTACGGACAACCCCCTCCGCTCACTCCGAGTGCTGTCTTTGCTAGAACGGCGTGGCTGCATTGCTTGGTTCATCATGTTCACTCGGCTCATCATGTTCACTCGGCTTGCCCACTCCTTGAATCAATAGCCAGGTACTTCATCGAAACCGTCACGAACGAAACATTTCCCTCGAATGACTTCCAGGAGTCGCTCAAGGACGGCGTTCTCCTCTGCAAGGTCATGAACGCTCTTCAGCCTGACGAGAAGCCCATCAAGATCTCGCCGTCCAAGATGCCGTTCAAGCAGATGGAGAACATCAGCAGCTTTTTGGATCGGATGGCTGCCTATGGCGTGCCGGCTCACGACCGATTCCTCACCGTCGACCTCTTTGAAGGCAAGAACATCAACCAGGCAAGTATCCTGCAAACGAGCGTGCACTTTGGCAGCGCCCTGCCCGAAAGGGCGGTGGCAATGGCGCTGTGGGCGGCCGAGTCTTCCGATCCCGACCCCCCCCCCGCCTCCACACCGGCTCCCCTTGCCCCACCGAGTCGAGCCAAGTCCTTTCCCATTTTCCCATTTTCCCACTCGCACTCATTCCCTGTTTTGCATGTCCGAACCGGGCGCAACAGGTCATCGACTCCATCTTTGCGCTCTCTCGCACGGCCAACCGAAACGGCGCCAACGCCCCCTTGCTTGGACCCAAGCTCGCCACCAAGGCCACCCGAACCTTCTCCGAGGATCAGCTTTTGGCCTCTAAGGCTGCGGTGCCCAAGCTGCAGGCGTTCAACTCTGGTGCCACCCAGAAGGGCATCTCCTTTGGGTCCGTACGCCAGGTCTACAACCCCAGCATCGGCACCGGCGACACCTCTGTCACCACAAAGTTCCTGAGCTCCAAGGCCAAGGCCGAGGGCGGCCCCCTGGGCTCCTTTGGTGGCCGACGTGAGATCGGCGGCATCTATCTGGACGGCCCCGTGGACCAGGAAGGAAATGTGGCTGCCGAGGCCGCCGAGTCGGTCGACGTGGTCATCTCCAAGGTGGAGGCTTTGGAAGTGTCGCCGGACGACATCCTGGATTCATATGTCGATGACGAGGAGGAGGAAGTCGTCGTCATTGACGAGTGAGCGCGCACATTCAAGAGCCAGGCTCTGCTGTCGCCTATCTGCTCCGGCCTGCCACCGCCCCCATCGCCATTTTTCGCTACCGTCAAAATCGAGTCCTTGCTGTGTCAACACAGCCCGCCGGAAGCCTCCGACTAATGGGTGCATGCCACCGTTGGATCATTCTCCCACCCCCAACCCGCTCCATCTTCTATTGTAGTCTGTGCAGAATGGGCCGTGACGTCCAGTTGCAGCAGCCACTATCTGATTAGTGAACAAATAAATTCATCTATCGTAATGAGATGACTATCAAACGAGACGTTCATTGAACGCCCCTATGCACACTGCGACTCGGCGTTAAGAATCAACGGTCACTGAGCTTCATTATATTCCACCCTCTTCCTCCACCAGTGCCCTCGCTCGAATATATCAACGACATGAGTCCGACTGGCCGAATCGGAGTCACACCAGCCCATCGCCAGGCCATGGCCGGCGAAGTGGGCCGAGCCACGCAGTTTTCAAAGCCTTGGACTGCGCTAATGTAGTGCGATTTGGCCCCACAAGACTAAAAGGAGATGCTCTTCCCGTTCACGGTCGCGGATCAATCAACTCATCAACCACAGCTATCGATCCGGATTGGTAAATTGGCGTTAGAGCTTTGTCGGCCAAAGCAAGTCAATGACACTGTCGCAGACATGATACGACGGACAGGCCATGTGCCTCAAAAGCGGCTCGCCACTCACATCAAGGTGTTGTATGACTGGAGTCTGTTGTTGTAGTCAACTCGAGTTGTCATGCCATCGCAATTAAAGTCTGAGTTCTTGAACCAAAGCACATCTGTACCACGGAATGCGTTAGTGGTCACTGATGATGGTCGAGATAAGGTCTCCGCTTCTCCACTTCGTAGACCAACACGGCCCGGCAATGGCCCTGGATAGCATCATAGCTTACTCCCGCTGTAGTCTATTCCGGTGCACTTGGAGCCCTAAAACACAAAATATCACAGTCAGGACGATAATGATCTTGTCTGAAGCTTATGCAAAGCTCCGGGCCCTCCTTTTCTCGCTATGGCGAGTCTCTCAGTGGACTGGTGCATACAAAGCAGGATAAGCAACTGCCTCTAGCGAGACCCACCGGCTTGTTGTCACGGACAAAGGTCATGACGACAGGAATGGCGCTTGGGATGCCGTAACTCACTTCGACCGGGCGCATCAGGTATGCAAACGGAGGGAGCATGCATGAATCACAGCTGCAAGTCCATCGGGGCCAAGTGCTGGTTAGAGAGCGAGCCGAACATGCGGTGCCCACGCATCTCTCTGAGTTTCGGCGGGACAGTAGTATATTCAGAGTGATTGCGATTTGTTTCAACGAGGTACTCACCTGGAAGGGTACGAGTTGAAAGCGAGGCGTTTGTTGTAGTCGACACGAGGGTTCATGCCATCGCAATCAAAGTCAGTATTCTTGAAATAGAGAGTATCTGGAGCCACAGCGAATTCAAAAAAAACATGGCGAAATTCGAATCAGCGGTGCGGACATCTACCGCATTCAGGAGTCTCATATCCGAGTCACGAGCGACGAAAGAATCACTGTCGGATTGATGGAACTTACTGCCGCCATAGTCGATTCCAGTGCATTCCGAGTTCTGTGGAAGCGCGAGAATGAATAGCGCAGAGGCATCAGTCAAAGTGGAGCGGACCTGCAAGCAATAAGACAGTCCACATTCGCCCCCTGAGGCAGAAAACGACCCACTTGCAATTCACGGTAAGAGGAGACGCGAGCAAAACACAGCAGCAAGAGAACATATTTACAGGCCGGATGTCCTTGATGGAGCTCATGACAGGAGTGATGGCGCTTGGAATTCCGTAGCTGACTTCGACAGGGCGAGTGAGGAAGGAGTATGGAGGAAGATTGCACGATTTGGATATGTTGCAGCTAGCGGTGGAGGCGATGTGCAGGGGCCACGAGCCCGAAAGGTAGCAGAGTCAGTCTCGCAGGCGACCACATGGCGGCAATTCCATCTGTCATTAGCGTTGATGCACTCGATACAGGGCACAATGAGCTTGCGATGCTGTTCCTGCGCGCTGGCCAGATCAAAGGGCGACATCATGCATCAAGCTTACGTGGCAGGCAAGATACCAGAACCCAGCCTCATGTTGTAGTTGACGCTCGTCTTTGAGCCATCGCAGGAAAAGTCAATGTTGTAGAACCACAGCGTCTCTGTTGGGCAATCGAGAAGGTCGCTGTCAGTGCGAACGCATCTTGAGGCAAGGGTGAGGGATAGGAGCAAAAATATCGACTGGACCATCATAAAAGCCGAGCACTCACGTCCGCCATAGTCGATGCCCGTACAGCGAGATCCCTGGACCGAGCAAAGCAAACCATAGTGGCATATCGTGTCAGCGAACCATCGGCCACCCCCCGGCCTCACCGATGCCGATGCATATTCACCAGCATCGCGGGCTGTTCGAGCAAATACAATCAAGCAGCCAATGCCTCGCACCTGTCTGTTGTCCATGACGAAGGTTGCGACCGAAGGAGTACTTCCACCGAAGATGACTTCGACCGGCTGTCCAGTACCCGTTACCAAGAATGGCGGGAGGGAGCAGACTTGACCGCACCTAGAGTTATTGTATTGTCCAGGGTGGGTGGTTAGGTTCCGGAGTCAGTCACAGGTGCTTTGAGAAACAGGAAGCGCTATCGCAATCGAGCCCTCTCGATGGCCAATAGAGCTATGAGGGTGTCGCTGAGACAGGATCGGTTTGAGATGGACTCACGTGGCAGGATATTGATCCCCAGTTCCCTGACGCAGGTTGTAGTCGACCCTAGTCTTGGAGCCATCGCAGCCAAAGTCGATGTTGTAGAACCACAGTGCGACTGTTGAAGTGGAAGAGGGGTAATCAAAAAGAGCGTCCTCCTCTCCCAGAACCCTCATCGCCGACGGCGCACCCGATGGCGTCGGTGGAGGAAGCCTTGGATGCACGATTCACGACATAAATGTCGCGACTTTTGCAGGTTGCAGTCGGTACGGCCAAGGTCGCGAGCAGTCGATGCGCTTACCTCCGGAATAATCGACAGCGCTACAGCGAGTTCCCTTGAGCAGAGCACGAACGAGCGTCAGGCCCCCACCATACCAGACCCCTAGTTTGTCTCTCAATCGCGGAGCCAGTCATCGACAACACGGGCGTAGATGTACGCGATAGAGCAAGTGGAAATGCATACCGCGCCGGTATTCTTGATAAAGGTCTGAGCGGGTGCGATGGCGGAAGGAATGCCATAGCTGACTTCGACAGGAAAGCCGACTCCAGTGGACGTGAAGGGGGGTGCTGGGCATTGCGCTCTCACCAGAGCCTGTATGAAATGAGGAAGCGTGCTGCCTCAGTATCGATGGGCAGGGTGCCGTTGGAGCATCATGCATCACGAACTCTCTCAATAAAACCGCCGATGCCGCAGGAGCAGCTGTACCTGGTGGGCACCAAGGATCAGGAGAATGGCTTGGATTGATCTCAGGGTCATGGCGGCGCAGAAATGGGTGCGGGTAGCTGGGGTTTCGGTTCGTTTGAGCCCTCGAGAAGCGAGGCGGAAACCAAGGGTGCAATCCCCTCTTTTAGCACCTCGCGAAGTCTGATGCGCTGGCCGGGTTGGCTGACCATCTGGCGGGTTTCGAGCGGATGGGCTGGATCCTGCGCACTGAGGGGGGAGACGCAGTCCCGCGGATAACAACGGAGTCTCGCTCGAATGTCTCTCTCCCAGGGCTTGCACAATGCAACGACACCCGTGGGACTCATGCCCAAACGCATTTGAGATTCGCGCCCAATGTACCCAGGAGGCAACAGATGGGGTTTGTTCATGCGTCCCCCTTGCCCATTCGCCCGCCAACCCCCGCCCCTCTCCATCGCGGGCAATCTGCAGAGATCCAGCTTGGCCTGGCACGGTTTTCGCAAGAAAACAATATGAACCGGAGCACCCTGCTTGTGATGAGTGTGTGATGATTGCGATGTTGAAGGGACGGCCACCCTCTCGGAGCATTGATGCTCGGACTTGCTGGAGGCAAAACCCACCGCCAATATACCTGCAGAGTCAAACCCCCCCCCCATCCAATTCCAAGATGAATACAGTGTCAAGCCTGCATGCAAGAGGATCAGACCCCACAGCCTCCAAAACTCAAAACGGTGTGGCGGACCAAGGCGGGAAGTGATGGGATTTGGATGGGTTGTTCATTGACGACCCCCACGAGCCAATCCATCGGGCCAAGCGAATCAAGATTGGGGGATGTGGATGGCGCCAGGACAGAGGCGGTGTGATATGAGCGGGATCGTCTGCGAAGCGGGCGAAAGAATCGGGAGAGAAGGGTGTGCAGAAGGAGGACGGAGCTTGGATGCAGGAACCAGCGCTGCCATTTGTATGAACGGAAAACAGACACACGGGCATCCTATATTTCAGAGCGACAAGGTGGGCCAGCGCTTTCTCAAGAGCGCCTTGGGGCTTTGCTCTACAACTTGGTCGAGAAGGCGGACCCAGATGCATTCGCAGTATTTGGTCCCTGACCCAAAGGGCCGTGCCATGGAAGCCCCAGACGGATCGCCATGGTCTCGAAGCGATCGCTTCCAAAGAAGGACTCGGGTTCGCGGCCCTCCTGCTCGACGATGATCCAGGGCATGCCGAAGGCGCCGTATTGCTCGGTGGCGGCCTTGGTGACGGCCACCAGCTGGTCCTTGAACTTGGCTGTCTTGGAGAGCTGGATGTACTCCTCGGCTTTGGAGGCGCCGACTCTGGCACGAAGCACCCTTGCCAGTGTCTCGGGCGAGGAGAGTGGCTGGTTGTCTCCCCAGTATGCTTTCTGCCCGTCGCAAGTGGGAGAAGTCAGTGCGAAATGCATGACGTCAACGTGCGAGAAAGAGTCATGGACTCGTCATGTTGCAGGCCACAGAACCAGCAACCAGCGCATCGGAGCGGCGCTGCTTTGCTGGCGATGTGCTGCCGATTGCACCATCACCCCCTCCCGATCCGAAGGTCCGGCAGCAACGACAGAGATCACCAACCCAGTAGTCAAAGCTCAGATCGAGCAACACTGCCTCGTTTTCCAACTCCTTGACGACCCGCAAGAGACGCATGATATTGAGGCTGTTCGACGGGAACTCGTCCGGAATACCGAGCGGGAAGCCAATGTCGAAAGCTTGGCTGACCCGAGCAATGTCCTTGAAGAGGTAGCCGCCCTTGTACGGATTGGTGGCCGGCGGGACATTCCCGGACTGCTTCATGATGCCGCCGAGAAAGCACGGTTCATAGATAAACTCGCACTGAGTCCAGATGCGCTGGTATCGGCGCAGAACCTGGAAGGCAAACAGGGTGTAGGGCGAGACAACATCAAAGAGCAGTGTGATCTTGCAGCGGGCTGGCATGGTGCTCTGTCTCTGGGGTGCTTGAGAGGCAGCAAAAGGCGGCAGGCGCGGACGGATGGCTGGCCAGGAGGCAGGGAGCGACGGTTGATTGCGAGCCCGAAAGGTCGGGGGAAAGACTGGAAGCGCCGATGGCGGGATGCTGCAGGCGGCCGAGGTCTCTCCTCGGACGATCGGAGCTGTCTGGCGAACTCACAAGCCTCTGACATGGGAGGGCCACGACAGACAGGACAGAGCGGAACAGAACAGGCTGAAATCCAACAACACCCATGCATGTCGTCCCGTTCATCCCAGAGCGCCACCCCTTGTCACAAGACGGCTTGGCTTTCACACTGGCACGAGAAATGCTGCAGTGCGCGGCCAGGATCAGATTGCCCCGGGGGTATACAATGAAGATGGCAGCGAGAGGAGCGCATGTTTCGCGCAGAACGGAGGGTTTCATTCAATGTGTCCAAAACGCAGCAAGACACCTTGGGGTCATGGACGAAACTGCACCAGCTGCCGGAAGCGGAGGCATCGCCGTTTCGAAATTACAGCGTCCGCACCAGCATGCAGGCCTCCAGGATCCGAATAGGCACATGAGATACAGCGGTCGATAAAAGTCAAACGAAATATAGATATAGGAACTGAGACTGGGACTGGGAGGACGGAGGGGTCAGAGGCATAGGGCGAGACAGACAGCGGCGATTTAGGGACAGAATCGATCGAAAACGGAGCCGTGACGAGACAGGGTACAGAGAGCCGAGGCTGACGTTTGATCGTGGGTGAGGGAAGAATCTAGACCAAGCTGGCAAAGGCCGCGATGGTGATGAGCGAGGCCAAGAGCAGCGAGACGCCCTGAGAGGAAACAGCTGCGCTGCTGAGGGTGTTGCCTTGAACGCCGTTGGAGCCAGCAGAGGCATTAACTGCAGCATTTGATGGACAGTCGCAGGAACATGTTGTCATATGTTAGCGTCAATGTCGGGTTCCAGGGAAGTGCCGCATGAATATCAGAGAGGCTGCTGGGCCCGCATCGAGAGATAGACCCAGACTGTTGGACAGGAAAACAGACGCATGATCGAAACGAGCACCGTCCGGCTGGGCCGTCATGCTTACCAGAAGGGGGAGGGTGTACAACATAACAACTGGGATGATGGCGATACGACAGTGTAGCAAGCAAGATCAGCAAAGCAGATCAGGCATCGAGATGCATGCAACCGCTAGAACGATATCAATAATCGGACGCGAGACTTACGTTGGGCCGCTGATGTTGGTGGAGTGGACGTCCCAGCAGCATCCCTTGGAGTAGCACTCGGATTGGGTCAGGTCTACAGAGGAAGGGCGGGAGTTAAGGATAGGTCCGAAGGCAACCCATTCAAATATGACGACAGCAACGAAGGAAGGCACGATCCCAATACTCACTGGCTGTTCCGCAGTCGATTCGCATGATGACGTCTGCAAGGACCAAGAAAACGTGGTGAGGTGTGGGCAGCAGACTTAAGAGCGGCCCGTTCAGCATGGCTATCGCACAATGGGACATGTCACATACCCATGGGAGTCGAGGGACAATACGATGGACGCTGGACTGTCAAGGCATAGTAGCACCTTCAGCAGCACGACAGTAACAAGGCATTAGAGGCAAACCGAGATCGGATGGCCGAGCACTTTCCAGTCGACTGGATCCTGCTGGCTTGCGGGAACGATTCAAGGACAGATCATGAGCAGAACCGATCGTTACCAAGGGCCGATATCGCCAGTGGCGACTGAATCCCAACAGCAGTTTTTTTGGATGCACTGGGGACGGCTCATGCCTGTGGCGGAAGGAAGCACACATGAGTGCCAAAATCGAATGATCTGAGAGCCGCTGCCGACGAGTGCCTCGAAGCTCGGATTTAGAGAAGCGTCCACAGGAGACAGGCCGCACCGTTCTGTCTGTTGACGTTGCAGGCGAGACAGCAGCGGCGACGAGGTGAGAAGCAGAGGGGCAAGAAGCAAAGAGGAAGAGCAGCGGTGCATACCCTTGAAGCCACAGTCATATCGCTGGGTCGAGTTCAGGGCAGGGTTGGGACACTGCGGAGGGCTGGTGATGTTGACGGCTCCGGCGGGGTAGAAGCAGCTGCGATGGTTTGACGGGGTCAGGGGGAGATGTACAAATCTCAGCGAGGTATCATGGCATTGGCCGGCATATGGGAGATGCGGCTCCAAGCGGCTCTGTCGGCGTATCAATCGAGGGGCGAGAGCCGGCGAATACATACGAGCTACTGTCCTGCTGGGGCGACCAACAGCAGCCCGAACTGACGCAACTGTCCTGGGTGGTGTCTGAGAGAGAGATAGCGAGAGGGATATATCGATGGTTTGGCTCGGGGGGGGGGGGAAGTCGCCCAGCGAAAGCGAGACATGGATGCAAGATGCGGAGGCGGTTTGCTGTCAGGTGCGGACGTCGCTCATACCAATATTGCCACAGTCGACTCTGGAAGTAGGATCTGTGCAGATAGCAGAGCGTGAGGGACAAGCAAGCCCGACAGAGCCGGGCACACGGCTTCACGAACGTCGACACAGGATGGGGGTGGTGGGTGGTGGAGTTCCCGCCATCGCGCAGATCGAGGAAGCAGGAAACAAACACCAACCAACGGTGCACTGGGCAGGAGCTTGCTGGCAAGCTGCGGTTGCCAAGAGCAGCGAGAGAACAGCAAGGACTGGGGACATGGCACAGAGCAGGAGCAGGAGCAGGAGCAGAAGCAGGAGCAGGAGCGGGAATCAGGAATTCGTGATCAGGGATGGAAGAGAGCCAGGAAGGGAGGCCGACGAGGAGGTATTTGTTTGGGAAGATGGGAAGTGGCGCGAGGAGGCTGCGCTGGAGACAACGAGGGGCTGCACGGCACATGGGGCAGCGGTGGCGGGGGGCCTTGTATGCAATAAAGCGCCACAACACGAACGGGCACAGGGCAACAGAGACAGCAGACTTGTCACGACGGGACAGCCTTAATATTGTGTCTGCCAACACAACAGCGACTGTGGCGGCGCAACACCGGTGGCGGACGCAGCCACACGCGGGACACGGTGCAGCCATTCCTGTGAGTCACGGAGCGCGTTTGCGGTCCAGGCAGACCAACCAGCGCGTGGCAACCAGCCGAGAGGCGCATTTGGACTCGCACAAGAACGGCACGGCACCCGCCATACATGCGCAGCGCGGGAGCCACCCTTGTGCGATGGGGTGGTCACATCGACGCTGGCAGAAGCACTGCCAGTGCCGCACGATCGTCTGGGCTCACGCCGTTGCTGAAGCCGGCCGATGAACAAAATGCTGGTCGAAGCACATGTGTAGATGGGTCGGCCGGCGTGAGCATTTGCGACCCGCAAGCAAAAGTCTGTGGATGCGTACAGGGCGTGCACCAGGCCAGCGAGCAGACGGCGCCACAGAGGGCGCACACCCAACGTCATGTGTCTCGAACACGGCCTTGACGGCAGGTAGCACAACCGAGCGGCTCCTGCGCGGTGTGGCTGCCGAGATCGATTGTTCGATATAGACACAGCGCAGCAGCAGTATCTCGCGTGGCTCGGATGGACGGGTGGGGGTGTCGAGCACAGGCCGGCGTCATACCCGAGCTGCAGTTAGGTGCCCTGATCTGCAGGCCCGGACAAGCAGAGAGATTGCTCGGCATCTGCGAACAGCACAGTATCGACAACAGATACAAGTTCTCGCCGCCCAAATGCGAGGTGATCTTCTCCGAGGGCAATCCTGAACAAGCAACCGGCCTCCGACTCTACGGCCAGCCGCTGCCCATGGCAAAGGAGTTCAAGTACCTCGGAGCCACCTTCGACGTCAACGGCCTCCAGATGGACCGACAGATCCAGAGGATGACGGCGACGGCCCAAGTAGTGGCCCAACGGATCGCAAAGCAAGGATACACCCTCGGCAACATGACCGCCAGATCGCTGGTGCGGGTCTACAAGACCTTTGTCCGACCGACGATGGAGTATGCCCTGTCCCTCGATCTGCTCGAAGCCAAACAAGCCAAGACACTCAACCGAACCCAGATGCACTGCCTCACGGCGCTGTTCAAAGTGGTCCGAAACACATCGTGGGGAGCCATGCACATCAACTGCGGGCTCATCTCAATGTCGGGCCACCTCAAACAGCTGGCGATCCAATACCGGGCTGTCTGGGAGGACCGGAAAGACCAAGACGACAAGATGGTCTCGCTGGTGCTCCGATTCACCCGCGCGGACCCAGAACGCAAGTCCATATTCCTGGGAGCAACCATCTACGAGGACGACTACTGGAAGCGCCTCGAACAAGTCAAGACCCGGCGTCCCCTGGGAACAATGGGGTGGCTCTTTGCAGAAGGAACGGTTCAAGAACCCGGCCCAGCTCTGAAAATGGTGATGCACCTCGAAGACGCCCGCAGTTTCGACCGGAAGAAGGAGCTGACGGCGGCCTGCTCGCCTCTGACGACCATGTCGGGCCTGTGGGCTGCCAAGAAATCCAAAATGGACCGATGGCTGCACTGCATCGCGGCCCGATGGAGACTCGGAAGCTTCCCTGGCCATCCGAAAGGCGGGAGGAGGCACTGCAAGCAGTGCACGACAGACCCAAATGACCCGGTGATCCTCGACAGAACACATGCTCAGGAATGTGCGGACCCAAACGGGAGCCTCCACGAGGTGGTCCAAGAGTACAAAGCCCGACACCCAGAGTGGGAGGAACCGACCCACGACAGCGTGGGGCCGATAGACAAGATCCTCGACCTCCTCAGCCATGTTGGATACGACAGAAGTGAGAGGATGGTGCGCTTCGTGAGAATTGACCCAGAGGTAGAAGCCCTGTGGAGTACGATCTCACAAATCTTCGTGAAGCTGACCAAAGACCTGGCTGGGTGGGCGAGTCTCTTCCGGTCCAATAGATCCCTCGAGAAACCACTGGAGAGACGCTGACGAGGCGCTGGAGAAATCCCTCGAGAGGCCCCCGGAGACAGCAAGAGTCCACCCACTGCCATCCGTGATGGTGAGGGCAGGTCCACTTGAAGGTGCCTGGGACTGTCGTCCTTGGCCGCGTCGCCCCCCAAGCGGGAGACGCTCGCCCCGCCAAGATGAAAACCGCTTCGCCCCGCCAAGATGAGAACCGCTTGGTCCATGGCCACCTTTGGTTTCGGCAGCGCATTTCCAGTAGCCATACTGCATCGCGGCCGCCTCTCGTTGCGACCAGCGATTTCTTGGCTGAAGCTGGGCTGAGCGACTGGGAGCTCGTGTCGTCGATTGCACTCCGGCCTTGCAGCTCAGCCCTTCTTTGCCTCGACAGAGTGGACTTGCATTCGTAATCTGCGGTTCCGTTTTCCCGAAGCGGCTGGTTCCCTGTCCAGGCCCACTCAGAGTGCTGTGATTGCAGCACCACCAACACCCGCTTTTTCCGAGTTCACTGCTCGGGGACCGATCTTGGCCATCTCCGCACTCACATAAAAGGCAGGTCCGCAGCACCGCTCCTGCACCGCCACGGCCCTGGCCGACAAGGGTGTCCGCGATGCCGCTCTCCCGCCAAGAAACCCAGACTCTGGGCCAATCGCAAATATCGATCAACGCGGAGGCTTGCCGTCTCCTCCCTCCATGTGCCCTCTTGGCGGTCCGGATGTGCGACTCCCTCGACAACCATTCCGTCCATAAAACGCCGATCGCCTGCCGCCTGTCCCTGGCGATCCACATCCGATCTCCAACATCCCGCCTCTGGTTGTCCAGCATCCCTATTCGCTATGAAGCCTAGTCTCAACATCCTTCTCTTTCTCTATGCAGCTGCGATAGCCTCTCTGGCGGTTGCGGCCCCAAACCCCTCGCCGTACGAGTGGATTCCCTTCCCAGTCGCAAACTTCACCCGCCACACCACGCTCATCACTGAGGGCGGAACTCCCCTCGAGATGTTCTGGACCGTCAATGTCCCGGGCAACTCGACGACCATTGGCGTTGCCATCAACAAGACCGTGCCATGGCTGGGTCTTGGCTTCTCCGATACCGGGAGCATGGTTGGCGCCGACATTGCCCTCGCCATGGCCTCGAGCCCAGGGGTACGTATCACTGCTAAATACCGTGGATCGATACAGTTTGTATTGATCCACTCTGCATTGATCCACTCTGTATCAACGTGCACCCACCGCCCGGCGGATCACTGCTTGATGCTGGACCATGGGTTGTGTTCGACCTCGCTTCTTCATCCGTCCACTCTCTGCCCTCGTTATTCCGATCCCTTGCTCTTTCCTGGCACTTTCCCCTCTTGTTGACTCATCCGCATCTTGCTCCCAGTCGCCGCTGACCCTGCAGCGCATGTTCGCAGCAGCTCCGGGCCAGCCCTCTCCTTCTCAGGTCCAGGATCTCACGCTCGTTTACAGCAACTCAAGTGCCACTCAGACCTCGTTTGTCTTCACCCGACCCAACAGCGCTGGCTGCAACCCCCAGGTTCGCGCCATCAAAACGGACAACCAGACCGACCAAGTCGTCATCTATGCCTTCGGCTCGGGCTCGGGCTTCTCCCAACATGCCTCGGGTGATATGGGCTACCAGACCATCCTCCTGAGTGCCGCCAGCGATGCCGCTAACACCGCCATCGTCAATGGCGGTGTCATTCCGGCCGACTCCACTATCTTCTCGATGTTTATGAATCAAGTCCCCGTTCCAGCCAGCGTAACGTCGTACTGCTATCAAACCTTTGACTTGCCTACCGATGCCAAGTACCACATCATCAAGGAGGAAGGGTTCCACAACTCGTCGGTATCTCGGCCTGCATTTTCGCTGGTTGGCTAGTTGGTCGATTCGATTTGATTCCTGCCATGCTCCCTCTGCTCGACTTACTGATTGCTCGATCCCCTCGTCGCTAGGTCGTTTGTTCATCACATGGTCGGCTACGCCTGTGATCCCACAAAGTCCTCCACGAACAAGATTGCCACTCCCTTCTGCACCATCCCCGGGTCGAACGACTGGGCTATTGCCACTCAGGGCTGCAGCCGGTGAGTCATCCATGAGTTGGGCCGACACGGCATCCGCTGTATTGCAGAGGTCGCAACGAGCGCCGTGATGGTGCTGTGCGAGATATACGACCGTCACCGCTTTCAGTCGTCGACACCACCAACTTCGATCTGGTCCAATTCAGTCGTGACGGGCGCGTTCCGTCTATGTTTTCCTCCACCAAGATTTGCATCTCAACTGACACTTTTATCGCTCTTCATCGGATACAGCTTCATGTTCGAGTGGGCACCCAACAAGGCCCCTCGTGTCTATCCCGACGGTCCCAATGGATACGGAAAGCCTGTTGGCAAGGGGTTTGTCCAAACCATCTTGCTGGGTAAGTCGTTTTAGACTCTGACCTTCTCTTTGCGGCATGGCGTGATGCCCGGCTGTTGTCCACTCTGTCGATCCGCAGACCTGCTCGGTGTTTATGGCCAGCCGGAGGGGTTGCGAGCATGGTGGTCACGCACTTGCTTCTGCGGTCTCACTGACATTGATTTGCCTGACTGTTGCGACCGCGATTCTCCAGAAATGCACTTGAACAATCCCCAAACCGTTGCTGGTCAGGTCGTTCCATTTTCCGGATTTAACTTGACCCTCACCAAGACCCTGCGAGCCAACGATCTTGGTGTCATCACCCTGGGTATCCAACCTGTCCCCCAAATCATGTCCATTCCTCCAGGACAAAGCGGCTACGCTCTGCCGTCGAGCTGCTCTCCTTCGTGCACCAATCTGCTCCCCAAAAGCGGTATCAATATTGTCGGCAACTGGTTCCACATGCACGGAGCGTAAGTTGGTGACACTCAATAGGCGACGACTGATGATAAGATGCATTGCCGTCAACCCCTTCGTTCATGACTGTGTATTGTGATCTTGGGTCGCACTCGGTTCTGCACTCGGTGTTGCACTTGGCTCTGCACTTGGTTCTGCACTTGGTTCTGCAACGCTTTCTGACGCAATCATGTTCCCTGTGCAGTGGCCAGTCGATCTCGACCAGAGTGATCCGAAACGGCGTCGAGCTGCAAGAACTAGGTCGCAAGGACTACTTTGACTTCAACTTCCAGGTACGCCTATCAATCGCCGACGGATGATCGCGATCATGCTAGATTTTCAGCAATCGATCTTCTACTTGTTGAGCCAACGCATCGACATCGACAGCAGAGAGACCAAGCCTTTTCAAACTCGCTGGCCTTGGCGCTAATTGATCATATCTGCTCGCCTCTCGACGTGACTTGGGTGTGTACAGAACTTCCAGGACATTGCCCCTCGCCAGATCCTGCCGGGCGACACCCTCATCACCACTTGTGTCTACAACAGCCAGAATGCCAACTCGCCTATCGTCGGTGGATTCGGCACCAATAACGAAATGTGTATGTTTCCCAGAGTCATATGCAACCACTTGGCTTGAATGCTCAATGGCGGCGCGACACACTGTCGCTGATGGAGGCAGAGTGAATTCGCTGACGCTTTGTCCTTGTCCCCCCCCCCAGGCTACAACTTTGCTGAATACTATCCTCTCCAGCCGATCGGCGAATGCAGCAGTTCTTGCGGTGTCTTCGACAACAACGCCACCGTTCTGGCATATTACGATATACCCAACTTCTCTACACTCCCCACGTTCACTCCTCTCCCCAACACTTGCGCGATTGCTCCGCAGCCATCTACCTCGCCAACAAAGTCGTCGGCTGCCCATGCACGTACACTGCAAATCGGCGGCCTTGTGCTCGTTCTAGTGCTCAGCCTCGCTGCGCTGGTCCTTTAAGCCGTCACCGCCGTCACAGCCGCTCTTCAAACCAGAGGAGGTTAATTTTGAATTCCTCAATCCCAATCCGCGTAAACCCAACTATGATCAACAATGCCTGAAATAAACAAAGAATGAAGCGGGAACCCTTATTGTCGGTGGCAATGTGGCCCTTGGGCGCGTGGAAATGGATCTGCATTGGGCCCAAGAGTGCAGGCATCGTCTGAGCTCGTGGAGCAACGATCACCTCCCCCTCCCTCAAAACGAGCATATCACAGCTGCTGTTGCTTCCGCTGTGCCTTGAAGGAGTTACTTTACTGATGAGATCTAGGCAATGCCTGAAAGATATGGGCGCAGGGATTCCTCTGAACACAAAGCCCGGTTGAGAAAAAAGCCAGAGCTGCCTGGAGAGGCATCTAACAAGAGTGCAAATCGAGGGGAGGAATAACAGCGGAGCCATGCAAAGGCAGAAAGCAAGATAGAACACAATCAAAAAAAAAAAAAAACAGCCAGCTTGTTTGCTTGCAGAGACAAGCAAACACAGGTATTCAACCACTTGTATATGCGTTGTCTCGACGCATGATGCACAAAATCAATGATTCTGTAAGTCTATCGGTGCTCTATGGAGGATAAAAATCAGTTGTCGAGGCCCTCTGGCAGCTGGACTCGGCTCGAGATCGCCTGGATGTCCGAGATGTACTCGTCTTGCAGACCATCTCCGTCGGTGCCAGAGACAATCGACAAGATATCTTCGATGAGGGCGTGGTTGCCTAGGACTGAGAGTGATCCGCCCAGAATTCATTCAAGCACCATAAACAATGAAAAGGGTTAGACCAGGATGCTGTGGAGACCTCCCCCCTTCGTCTCATAATAATATGAGATCTAGATGATGTGAGGACGCACTTTTCGTGGACGCCGCGACAGCAGCGATAACCATCACACCAACGTGAAGTTCCCGGACCCCGTTGCTTCCACCCTTTGCACTCGCCAAATGCTACTCCGCAAGCATAGCCCACGCGATTGAGTCAACCAAAGACTCACTTTCGACATGCGTGCTTGTCGAGGGGCCACCTCGGAGGTTGGTGACTCCAAACTCGGAGCGATCGAGGTGTTCCCGTGTGATGACTTTGATGTTACGGGGATTGTACCGTTTCCGCTTCCATCCGTCGGCACACATGTACCCAAGAGAGATCAACGGGACAGTCGAATCGCTTCGGAAAGCAGAGGCGAGGGGCGAGGGGCGAGGTTACTCAGACGTGGCGCATTGACCCGCCAGAAAGATCGCCAACGGATCGGGCGCAGACATACTCACCCATCACTGAGCTGGAAGCCGTTTTCGATCGAGAGCTCCCTGTCGTTCACTGTGTAGTCAAGAACATAGCTCGAGTTGCAGTCCTTGGGAGTGTGTGCAAGGCACTGAGCCAGGGCGTCGTCCTTCAGGCTCCGCTGCTCGAACTTGTAAAAGTACTTGCGTTCAGTCTTCAGACCGACGCCGTACATGCAGTAGAGACGGAAATCGGCCTTTGTTCGCGGCAGCGGTGCCATAAGCGGGTTCGACCAGGTCGTCGGGTCGTTGACGGCATCACGCAGCTGCTGCTTGGATGTGGCGACCGACGAGAAGTTGCCGTAAGTCTTGGCCCATCGAGTCGTCACAGCATCGCTGATGCGCGAGAGGACACGGTCGACGCTGGCGGTCGCGGTCATGTCCTCGGTGTACTGAGGGGTTGTTACTGTGATCATGGACGAGAAGGAAGTGACTTGCTCGGAAGGCGACCAACGATCTGCCTCGGGCTCGTCTGGGGCCGGCATTCCGGCACGGCCCCAGATGTACTCGCCGCCCTTTGGCAAGATCGAGGCCACACCGCCCCAGCTGCGGAATAGGGCCGCAAACTCGTGGCGAGGGAAGACTCGTTCTACAAAGGAGGCACCATAGAGGTTCAACTGGACAGTGTCTCGCATTTCGCCCGAGAGCAACGCCGAGACGGCCTTGGGAGCGCCCAGCATGGCGCCGGCAATGTTGACCCATCCATGGATGTACTTTTCATTCCAGTCGGCACCGCCGTTGCCGCCTTCGGGACTGGATACCCAGTGGAGGAAGTAAAACGTCAGACTGGACCCCATGGAATGTGAGATCAGCACGGCCTTGGCGCGATCAGGGTTGGAGTTGACCATGATTTCAATCGAGGACTTGAGTCTCGAAAAGTATTGGTCGCGCTTTTCCATGTTGGCAAAGCCCAAGCGCCAGTCGTAGGACGCAAGCATCACTGCAATCCAATCGTCGAGAGGCAAGAGGCACCGGGTCAGCGCAAAACATGGGTGATTGAGTATCAACAGCGGTAGCATGCGTTCCCAGAAATGTGTGCTCCCGGAAAAGCGTGCGGTTTGCGGGGCTTACTTTGGTTGTTGTCGTATCCGATGGCGGCAAAGTTTGAAATAAGCCTCGCAAATACCCAATAACTGCACATACAGAGCGAATGAGTGAGTGAGTGAGTGAGTGAGTGAGTGAGTGAGTGAGTGAGTGGAGTGAGTGAGTGGAGTGAGTGAGTGCGATGGCGCTCCTACCCTGGGAACAGATAGTCGGCCGCATCCAAGCCCTGTGCGGCGCGCAGCCGGAAGCCCGGTGGGTCCAAGCCCGTTTCCTCGTCCAGTTTCATGTGGTTGATCCAGCAGTTCTTGTCCATAAGAATAGCCTGGAACTGGTTAAGGGTTCCCCAGAGTCGCTTCCGGAAGTACTTTTGGCCACAGCTCTGCTTTTGCTTCTGCTCGCCGCCGGAGATGTCGTTCCCATTCTTGCTGGCCAGGGGCGGATTCCAGGCCTCAAGGCCGGTTGACACGATGCCGGGTATCAGGACGACGGGGTGCTGGAAGTCAAAGTCCCGAAGGACAACGTGTGCATCAGTGAATAGCGAGCAGCATGCTGGACCAAGGACATGCCGCTCGGACTCGCCTGCTGCATTGTGCACTGCTCCCTGCAGACAGTAGCGCCGTCATCTGCGGGCGCTGGGTGACTCTGTGGTCCTGGGCCAGCCTCTATCGCCCGCGTACCTTGGCCTGCATTCCCTGCTCTGCCAGGATCAGCCCAGGCAAAAACTCGCTGTTGGGATCGGTGTTGTCGCTGTTGGAAAAGAGCGAAAAGTTGGCGATCGAGTCTGTCAGGTTGCCGAGGACTTCGGAAGGTGTCATCAGGTTGGAGGAGTTGGGTAGAAGCGACGAGAGATCGACATCACCCAGTACGGTGTAGAGGTATTCTGGGATGTTGGTGAGGTTTGAAGGCGGAGGGAACTGGATCGGGGGCCCGTAGCGAGCTCCCAGCAGGGTTGTGAGAGCAAGACCCACAAAGATACCGCCAAAGAAGAACAGACGTCGATAGTCAAAAATGGTGGTGGTCTGGGTCAGAGGAGCCTCTTCAACCACAACGGCTGGCGAAGCAGCGGCCGAAGGGGCAGCAACGGGGCTCACGGCGCTGCTCTCACGAGGTGAGAGCGGCACCGTGAGGATGCCCGAGACGGAGCTTCTGTTTCTGCGACGGAGGAGGCCTTCTGAGGGCATCGAAAGACGACGAGCGACGCGAACAAGCAAGCAACAGAAGGGGGGATGAGGCGATGAGAGGTTCGGCGAGAGGCGGTGGTGTAAAACTGAGTCTCTTGATCAGGCTCTCGAGCGACGGTAAAGAGGTCAGCGGATTGTGGGTTTGGTCAGCGAAGATGAGGACGATGTGCTCGGGACAGGGTTGTGGGATGAGGCTCGTTGATGGAGGCACAAGCCGCAAACGGGTGCTGCGGACGATGGAGAGGACGAAGAAAGGCCGCTGGCGGCAAAAGCGGAAGTCGCGGAGGATGTGGAAGTCGCGGGGGATGTGGAAGATGTGGGGGATGTGGAGGGTGGATGCGGAGCGCAGGGCAGAGCAAGCAGTTCCTGTCCAGCAACAGCGAGACCACCGAGCGCAGATCGCCAAAGGACCGAGCGCAGATCGCCCCGTGTACATCAATCCGGGCATTCCGGGCGGCGAGATTGGGACATCACCAACCCCCTCATTGGAGCGCCCGGCGCTGCATGCATCAGAGTTGCGATCTGGGCCACCACAGACGGCATCTGATAGAACTACTCACAGACGGCATATCCGCGAACACTATCGAGACGTGATCATGCATCCGGCTGGTCACGCCAGACTCTCAACCGACCGGCTCTGCGATGCGCTTTCAGTCCCAAGCACACGCACCAATGCATTCCGAGGCCTCTGGACCGTATCGCTGAGCGGCATCAAGTCTGTGTCTGAAGAAGCTCTATCGGCTCTGGGGTTACTCGGATTCTTGGGCTTCCTGGACCTCTCCTTCACGAATGTGTCGTGGAAGATGCTGCAGCTGTCCTCCATCAAGAGCACCGAAATCATGGACCTGGATTTGTTTGGATGCGCTGCTCTGGGGACCGAGAAATGCGCCGAGAATCGAGGCTTTGCTATCTACATCTTGCCCAAAGTTTGGAAGCTGGACGGCATCCTGATAACGTGCAGGGACCGCAAGAAATGGGTCGACCACTTTGACAACGACCCGGCCGGATGCTTCAGCGTGCTCAAGCGGAAGCAGCTCCTAGCCACCGAGCATCTCTCATCTCGGACCAACTCAGAAGCGGACGCTGCCAAGACGAAGACAAGCCAAGTGAGTGGAGACTGTGCCGCAACTGAACACTCTGGCGCATTTGCATCTGTGAGTGGCCGCGAGTGCGATGAATATCGGGGCTGGGCCTCCAATGAGGACGATCAAGCCTAACGATGGCACAATATTCACGACATTCTCACGACATTCACACGACATTCTCACGACATTCACACGACATTCACACGACATTCTCGTGCGTTGCGCTGAATCGCTCGGCATCTCTTTCGGCCCAAGTGTTCGATGTGGGGACAGGAGTTGTTGAAGCGCATGCCCCAGGGCTTTTTTCTCCCGTCGCATCAGAGCCTCTGGCGGATCACAACGTCGATGCGAGAGCTGGATCGTGTCGTCAAGATCTCACTCAAATCGAGCCTGCGAAAATGCTCCATCCCCATCGATTTTACTACAATCATCGCCGAATCCATTCCCAGCACCGAGGCTCACACGAGGCTGAGTCCGTCGAACGGGCTGTCGGCTCGGGCTATTCTGGTTCTGCTGCTGCTGGGCTCGTTCTGGCCACTCGACTTTCCCGTCGCATTGCTGTCGGGTGTCTTGCGATACCTCTTTAGCCCCCGTTCCAAGTCCAGCGCCGCGGAGCCGGTACCCCAGCCACAACACTGGACAGACGATGAAATATCCTGCCTGACCTGGACAGTGCAGAATAAACTCTCGCTGCTCAGCCTCCTGCTCGGGATGATAAAGCTTGACACGCAATCAGGTAAAGCCCCAAGGTCTGGATCGCAGCGACAGTTGACAATCGACAGGACCCATATCTTTGGCGACTTGCAGCTTTTGCGCTTGGCTCGGTGGCTGTTTCTCTATCCTCTGCAACGCCGTGCTGCATGAGCTCTACTCACCAGATGTTACTGCAACATGCCACGCACTCAGAGTCCAACTATCATCTCGATCCATCGATGTACATCATCCCGCCTGTGCTGCTTTCGGCCCTGGGACGGCTACAGCAGACGATCCTGTATGCATGCTATCAGCTGACGCTTGCGTCTCCTGACTACTGCTGCATGGAAATCGAGCCCCGGATCGTCTACACAGATGCTTTTCAGCAGCTTTTGCAGCCAGTCGATCGGGAGTGGATCAGTCGCGTTCACCTGGAGATTCTCCATCTCCTGTGCATCCAAAACAACGACTCTGCTTTTCTCAAAGAGTTTCCTCGTATCTATCGTACCTTCGAGAAGGCGGTCGCCGGAATCCTCCCGAACGTTCAGTCCCAAAGCGCCGGTCGCGGCCTGTCCCTCGAAGGGATCGCCATATCGGATGCAGAGATGCTCTCGCTTTCGATGCAAACAACCACCTCGGATATGTCGATCACCGCCAGGGCCTTTGAGCTACGATACAGGCTGTCGCTGGGCATCTCCAAAGTAATCGAGTTCATGAATGGCTTCAAGGACACAAAGTTCAAAGAGGAGCTGGAAGATATGCACATTGTTGGCGAGGGCCTCAAAGATCGCCAGGAACAGCCCGACAGCAGCGCTGGTCATACTCGGATCGGCGATATGCCGTCTGTATCCGATGGTTCGGCTCCAAACATTCCCAGAGTCCAGCGGCCGGCTGATGCTGGAGGCATCGGCCCTACCTTAAAAATCCAACTGCAGAAGCGACCGCCACACTTTACCGCCCCAACTGAAGCATGGAGCCGTCGCGAGAAACTCAACAAAAGCCGGGTGCTATACAAGTAGGCAACCCAACGTCCAGTAAAGGCAGACTGTCGCTCGGGAGTCTCGAACAACGCCAGGCGAAGGACTGAGGATAGCAGCGGTGGTGAGTCGATGGAGGACTATCAGTGATGGAGAGCCAACAGCGATGGTTGTGAACCGGAAATCTCAGGACACCTCGTTTTTTTCTTGGGAATAATATACAAATGGAGAGACGACATAATGACTGGTGATGCTTATGGAGTAGTTGGATACGCAGCTTGGGAATGGAGGCGCGGCGATTCGGTGAACTACACCCAGAACGATTGTGATGCCTAGATTCGAACGAAAATGATACCGCTGCGCTCCGAGTCGAACTTTGACTTGGACACGCTCTTTTCGTCATCGGTCTTGCTCCATTTGAGCCTGCAGACCTTGAGGAACGACTCGGAGGCGGCGATGCTCGAGATCAAAAGATAGAGGGATGTTCGAACGATTCGCTGGCCATCTTCCTCGCTCTGCTTGTCCGAAACCAATTTGAAGTCGATGTACTGCGAAAGATAGGTGAAGAGATTGTCGGCGTGGGTTTGTCGTTGGGCATCATTCATCTTCCAGAGATCGTAGAAGCGCTGGGTGCTCCAGGCGATGGTTGGGGGCTCCGGCGTGGCTGCTTCGGCGGCTGAGCTGTTGTCGGAACCGAACCAGGTAGTTGGAAAGACGAGGCACGGGCAGCCGTCAAAGAGAATAAAGTTCATCTTGACCTCTCCTGGGCAGTGGCAAGATTCCCAAAGGCCCATGTACGAGCCGATGCCGACGGCGCCGACCATGATGAAATGACGGCGGCGAGGCTTTTCTTTCTCAGCCTTGGGGAAGTACTCGTCCAGCAGGTTCTTGAAATAGGTCTTCATGTCGACCCTCTCCTTGGCCTTGTGGCCGAGCTTCTCGATTTCGGAGCCGCCCCAGATGAGCCTGTGTGCGCTCTGGAGAATGAGGGCACGGCCGAGATCGGCGTCGACATCGACCACCGGGCCGAAGACCATGACAACCGAGGGGTCAACCAGCAGGCCACCCTCCCAGCGCGGCACGAGGCAGTATCGGTTGCTGGCCGTCACCCAGGGGGCAAACCAGGCCCGCGACTTCATCGAGTTACGGGGCTCATTGCGACCATCGACCACATAGATGGCAACATCGGCTGTGCTGTAGAGCTGCTTGTGCACGCCCCGGATCATGAGGCTCTTGATCCTGACTGTGCGGAGATTGATGTGATCCATGGACTTGACATTCTCAGGCGAGCCGGTGAGGGCTGTCTCGATAACCTTTTCGTAAGTCGACTTGAGGACCTCTTGGCCGATGCTGTCGGCGATGACACCCCAATTCACCAAAACTTCGACGGCAACAGTACTGCCGCTGCCGAATCCAAAGATGAAGTCGACCACAGAGGCCACGCCACTATCACTCCACAGATCGAACGGGATGACGGTGACGAGGTAATGGGTGAGCACCATGACCGCAACATCCTGCACACGGATGTTGGGCACGTAGACAATATCGTTGTCACCCCATGCACTCAGGGCGAGGGGACTGTTTACGGCTGTTTGGACGGTGCGCACGGCCGAGTGAACGATGCGGCCTATGGAAGCAGGGATGCCAAAGCATGCGATTCGCCCGAGGACGGCAGGAGCCAAAGGACAGCGAGTTAGAGATATAGCCGTTAAGGCTGGGCAACACCGCTGTAACAACAAAACCAGCGCCGCTGTTCAGTGGATGGCGTCCGAGTGGACAGAGATGACGTGCCAAGATCCACCGAGCCGAATCACGCACAAAAAAGGCGTTGACGACCGACAAAGCCAGCAAAAGCGACGAGCGGCTCAAAAGGAACCCAGGCTTGGCGCGAAGCAGGGCCGGGACCCACCTTGGATGCCGTTCTCAAGCTTGCGATGGATGGAGCTGACGACACTGAGGGCGGCAGCCTTCAGATGGTTGGTCGCAGGCACGGGCTTGGCGGTTGCAGACTCGGAGCCGTTCATGGCGGGCCAGCGGGGTAGTTTGCACGGATGGACGGAAAGCAGCCAGAAGCCAGAGCGGCTGGGACGGATTTGGATCACCACGGGCGACAGAGTGGCGGGACGGGGACGGTCATGTGACTGCTCGAAGCCTGCGCCACAGTTCGTCCAGCCGACCATCGGCGAGGATAGAAGGCAGCCGCGCTCCACCAGAGACAGCGGTGGCAATGGCGGCCCAGCATTCCTGAGCTCTTTGCCTTGCGATCCGCGCGGGAAACGAGGGGCAGCACCGTCAAGAACACGCCGTTGCGGAATCCCCCCTCTGGTTTCTTTGCTCATGTCCCACCGATCGCCGGCAGCATGATCGCGCATGCCCAGGCTCGCGTTCGCGCACCCTTCCGCTTGGACCCCATCCAGCGGAAGTGCTTTGCCCTTCGAATGCTCCTCGTTCTGGTGCTCGCCATGCACCCCGTGCTGGCAGATCCCTGTCGTCTGGCCGTCATCCCGCAAACTGCTGTCGCCAACGCGAATGCCTCGGAGTTCCAAGTCGATTCAAACAGCACCATCGACATTGCCGACTGCGAAATTACCGATGCGTAGGTTGACATTCACGCGCCTTGCAGCGACAAATGGCCACGATCTCTTTGCGTCGACAGGCCATCACCCCGGCTTTTGAATCCCGCAGTGTACTATCCCAGTTCAATCCAGTTCAGGACAGTTTGGTCGAGGGCCCTGTCCATCGCGATATTTGACTGCTTTCCACAAACCCTATCGTCGCCCAATCCCTATATGGCCCTAACCATCCAAACTCGCCGGGCTGCCCAACTAACAACACCGGTTCGGATTGGATCCATGGGATCGCATGCGACCAAAGTGTGGTCATCAACGTGCTTGGAGCTCTGAGTCTCCGGAACTTGACGCTCTCTTTCAACTCGACAAAGACGGCCGTCCATCAACTCATCAAGGTCAATCAAAACGCCAGTTTGGTCTTGGAGAATGTTCGGTTTGTGGATACCGGCAAACTCCTGGCTAATGAAGCGTCGGTCGTTGAGCCAGACAATACCAGCAACGGGGCTGCGCCTTGGGCACCTAATTTTGTACGCCATTCTCCTTCGTCCGCGTTGCCATGACCGTTGTTGGATGGCGAATGACAGATATTCTGACAGCATCCTCCCACGGAACGCACCTCGACCCAGATATATGCATCCGGAGGCGAACTGTCGGCCATAAACGTCACGTTTCAAGGTAGCCGACGACCGCGAGGGGAAACAAGCCATAGTGAAATGGGGGGGGGCAACTTGATTGACAGCGCACTAGCTCTGTAATAGTCAGTACACTCCATGGAGCTACTCTAGAGCGCACCAGCGAGGATTGCCGGCACTAACTCGACCAACCAAACCAGCTATCAGCGCGCCCATTCAGCCGGTGATCGTGCTTACATCCAACTCCCGCATGGTTGTGGATAATTTGGCCTTTCTGATGGATCAGACTGCCTGGGCGTCAACGCCTGTCAGCCAATCGACTTTGGTATGTCCTTCTTGAGACCCCATTTGACCCAAGTTGCTTGGTGCTGCATATCTCCATGAAAGCTCTTGGTGAGTGCCGTACAGTACTGTACAGTACATGCAGTCTGACTCAACAGCTTCCAACATCGCCGACCAGATCGAGGTCTACGCTTCAAAGATTATCATCAGCCGACTACTCGCAGAGAATATCACTTCATATGGAGTTGACGGCACCGTTATGAATCTCGATAACGGAAGCACTGCGTATCTATCCGATTCAATCATTAGAAATGTCAACTCAAGCGGACACGGCGGTGGGATTGCTGTTCAGAGCGGATCAATTCTCGTGGCTAGCAACACTCTGTTCGAAGGGCTATCTGCCGAGCAAGGCGGAGCACTCTTTGCCACGCAGACGAGCATGCTGCGCCTCAAAAACGTCACATTCCACAATAATTTTGCAACGACCTTTGGGGGAGCTGGATATGCCGATGAAAGCTCTTTGGTTCTTTGGAACCAAGGCGCATGCATGGGATGCAGCGCGGGCTCTCGAGGGGGCTGCTGTAAGTGGAAAGCTATGACTACGAGGGACCACTCGATGAATGGCTCGATGCACGCCTCGATTGTTTGGTTGATGCGCGGCTCATCAACGGGCTCGATTTAAAGCAGCTGGGGAGAAGGAGGGAAGCAAACTGTCTATGAAAGCGATCGCATGCTGTCGGTAACACCCCGCCCCGAGCTTCGTCATGAACCGCCTTGACACATCCTACTTTATATTTCCAGTTCGCATTCAAAACTACTCAGGTCTTAGCGGTGCATCTGGATCGAGTCATGAATTTATCGGTATTTCCTTCACCAATCTTACATCGGGCAAGGGTGCTGTCTTTGACCTGGAGGGCAGCGTCACGGTCTCGCTTCAGCAATCTGAGATCGAAAGTGCGTTTGCCACCGACCAAGGTGGCTCATTTTTCATCTCTGATGGCGCCAGTCTTACACTCAACTACAGTACTGTGTATGATAGCTCCTCATCCATGGGTGGTTTGGCTTTTGTTGAGGTCAACAGTCTGCTCACAATAAGCAACACCAGCATTTCATTCTGCAACGCGACAAGATCCAACGGTGGCACTCTCGCTATCGTCGACTCGACGCTAGCTTTCTTGAGCTCAAATATCAGCAACTCAGAGTCTGCCGCAAATGGAGGCGCCTTCTATATCGACCGCTCCGACTTTGGGTCAGCGACGATGCACGCCGTTTTGATACGAGATGCAAGGTTCCAGAATCTGCACTCTGCGGTAGATGGCGGAGTACTTTACGTCACCAACGGTGCCGCTGTAACTCTTGAAAACACCAAGACATATATCTCTGCTGCTGGGAACGGTGGATGTTTTGCTTCCGTAATCACCTCGTCGACCATCACCGGGACATCGACGCTGACTCTACTCAACAACAACCTGCTCTGGTCGTGCTTCTCTCTGAGTTCGCACGGCGCACTATATGTCTCTGGGCCATCCAGAATCAACATTACCGGCCGTGATGATACTGTACTCACTGCCTCAAGCTCGGGATCCCCCAACAACCTCGGGGGCTTTCTTTACGTCGAAGGGAGTCCGATCATTGACATATCTCAAAGTATACGGGTCCAGAACATGTACTGTGACAGAAACGCGATCATATATTTGGGCGGATGCCCCAGCATCATGGTTCACTCAACAAACACCTCAAGCCCAAAGTTCATCCACGATCAGGACGACAAAATCTACATCGACGATCTTCAGTGCGCTCTCGACGTACTTCCGTATTACCCTGGATGGGAATCGTTTGTTGGCAACATATCCGCTACCCACATTGGCCCGCCTGCACAGCTTCAGAAGACGGTATCATCATGGGAGCCACCTGCGTCCGGCGTGCGGATCGCTGAGACCTTGGGTGCCATAACAGTCCAAGCTGCCGATATATTTGGCAATACTGCAGGTACGATCTCCGGCTTTGGATGACCCATAATAGGGTGTATGTCAATGGGATTCTGGGAGATCATCCAAGCCACGTCGTGGTCGATGAGCGCGACCAACGGCGGTCGGTAGGGTACACTAATATGGTGTGACTTGATGTACCCTCTCCATCACTTCGTAATCAAAGATGCAAACATCGGCTCTCCGATCGTTGTCTGGATCAGAGAAATCAACCATGGCACTCCAATCTACGGCGAATACATCAAAGCCATACTCAATTTCTCGACCAATTCCGTGACTTTCACAGGTCTGTCTCTGGCAGCGCACGAAAACGGCCAATATAGACTCTCTATCGAAGCTGTATCTGGAATTGCCGTTCACCTGCCCTGGCCGCAAATACTGGTCACCGTCGAGCCGTGCAGCCAAGACGGAAGCCAGACATGGAGCCAAAACTACGAAAAGTGTCTACCGATCGCGTCGGTTCAGCCGGCGGTTGAGATAGCCACGGTCGCTGTGTCAAGTCTGCTGGCGGGCATTTGCTTGGCTACAATCGCGCTGATATACCGCTTTCGAAGTTTCCAAGTGGTCAAACGATCCTCGCCGATATTTTTGGCCATCATCAACGTCGGAGGGATACTCGTATGTATCCAGTCCCTCTACACCCTGATTTGATGTCGCTGCACCAATAGTGTGTCACCATGTCGCTTTCTAACCCGGATACGTGGACATATAGGGTTTCTGTTCTGTTATTGTATCTGCGGCCGATTGGAGCGTGACATGCTTGCTTGCACTGTGGCTTGAGTTTTTCGGATTTTTGTCGGTGTTCCTGGCCCTGGTGAGCGACGCTCAAGTCTTAGCTGGATACCGGCGCACCCAAATGACACACCAGGTTTTGGGACAGTCGACGCCGAAGTACCAATGCATGACGCCCTGAGTGGCGGGAGGAGATCGATGGCCATGTCGCCCAATGCAACGGTAGCAACACCAACCTTTGTCGTCTCTTCATTTTTTTGCAGATCCTGCGCACATACCGAATCCATGCCATCTTCTCTGGGGGTGCCAAGCTGCAGGTGGTTGTTATCACTGATAGCAAGCTGGGCACGTATTTTGTGGCATTTGCCGTTCCATTTCTGGTAAGCAAATATCGACGGGCACCAGGATGGGCCATGATTTAGGATATATCCACGGACAACACCAGGATGGACCATGTACCCAAACACCGGCCGGAAAGATGCTGAGCAGTTCCTGTTTTCTTGGCTCGGAATCCGTTTAGATCTTTCTGGTCATCTGGACCATCCTGGCGCCACCTCGGTTTCAGTTGGTTGAAAATTTTGACTATGCGACAAGTCGAAATTGCACATCGCCAGGGCCATTTCAGCAGATCAGGCTTATTATCCAGTTGATCTTCGAGGCAGTGGCTGTTGTGCTGGGATACCTTGTCCGAAACGTAAACACCGTAAGTGAGCTAGCCTCAATGTCTGCATGAAGGCACCGGCCTCGGGTCCGTGTGGACGGCGATCCTGTAGAGTGATCGTGCTGGTACAACACATGACGCAGCGGCTTGATGAGAGCGTATGACGAGCGGTGTATAATCAGCAGTGTTACGCTGAGCGCTTGTTCGCCTCCAAACCCATATGCGATTGCTGACAAGAGACGCTTTGGTACACCCAGTGTTTCAATGAGTCCAAGTTGATTGCCTTCACATGTTACAACTGGGTCATCTTTGGTGCGATTTTGACGCTACTTCGGCCGGCCGTGAGCGACCCGACGTTTGGATACTTGATTGGATCGATTGCCATCGTCCTGCCGCACACGATCACCATCATTGCCCTCGTCGTCATCAAGCTCCGGCTCTGCATCGTCGCCCCAGACACAGCCTCGAGGAGCGAAAATGCCAACTTGATTGAGTGGCCATCGCTTCTGAGCGACGCCATGAAATCCAGTCCTCACCTCGATGCGTTTGCGGGACTGCAATCGCCAAAGGGACAAGGCCCCACGACCAACGACGGCGCAGACCAGGGTAACCAAAATGCCGCCAACAGGTGCAGCAGACGATCGGCCGAGCCATTCGAGACAGCGTATGAAGGGCACATTCCATCCAACGGACAGGTCTAGCCTGTGGTATTCTCTTCAGAACACCAATCCCACGAGCCCGCAATCCAGCACATTTAGCGATAGTTGATCAAAAGCGAGATTGGAATACATCGAGTCGTGTGCCATCGAGGCTTGGCGGCTATCCCAGGCAGTGTCGATCTGGACTCGCACAACGAAGGCCAAGATATGGCGTACTCATAATACAGCATGACAGGGCACCCACCGGTCAACCTCCATAGATGAGGATGGGCTTGTCTACCGCGATCACGGTCTTGGGTGCGGTGATCTGGAAAGCGGCAGATCATGCTACGCCGCTATGATAGGTCGCATCACACCGGCTCCATCTACTGCATGGATGCATCTGTGAGATGTTGAGCCCGTTGGCCAGCACCCTGGCGGATTCATGCCGGCTGTCCTTACATTGAGGGCGACGAGACTGCTCGAAACGCTCGAGCCTCAAACTGAAAGCACATCCCACGCCCGGCCTCCGCGAGGCGGACGGTCATTGTAGGCGATGGGTGAGTGTGTATTCACATCCAAAGAGATCTGACTGGCGAACGTGGAGAAATAGAACGCCCTATTACATTCTACGTACGCTATGAAACAAACGGACCCACAGAGCAGGTGTATCTCTTGGTACTAGAGCGCTGCCGGAGCGTTGGTGCACGCGCAAGGTGTTCCATGTGCAGCCTGATTCGATCAGACCATGCTGTTTGTGGTCGACCCACGACCGCCAAACATGCTCGAGATCCGATCAGTGACAAGACCGCCGACAAAGCTTTGGAACATGCCTTGGCTTGCGATGTAGTTTGTGACTTTTTTGCGCGCATCCTGAGGCATGGAGGCAATGGGGGCAGGGGAATGAGTACTGATCGTTCGAACCGACGCAGTGATCACACCGGGGACTTTCGGCATTGGCCGTGCAGGAGAGGATACGCTCGGTCGACGGCATGGACAGCCCAAGGCGAACACAGGCTACCTTTTCACACTTGGTGTATCCGATAACGTTGGCCAGATTGAAGACAATGGCCACGAAAGTGACCAGCATCCATGTGATGTTGAACCGGATCAGGCATATGAAGGCAAAGAACACCCAGATCGCCGGAGCGGCGTACAGGGAGGTCCAAAATACCCACGAGTCGGTCGAGTTGACGACACGGTTCTGCGTTTTGGTGGAAATAGCAGCGATCCGTTGGGCATGGCCCGCAATGGCAAGCGGACGAGCAACGCTGGGTTAGAGATCGGAGACGATTCAAGAGAGCCACGGGCCAGCGACAATACCGCTTCGACTGTGCCAAAGCCGACGCCCGTACGGCACTCGATCTTGGCAAGCGCCGGTCGTCATTACTCACCTGGGCCGATTCAAAAACCCACACGTTGGATCCGTCGTCCTTGATCTCGTTCCACCACCTCAAGCCCACCAGGAGTCGACCAGAGACATTTTTGACGGTCCAGAAATCGAAAGCCAGCAACAGAACGATCACCACGAAGGGAAAGACAAAGCTGCTCGTGAAGAAGCCACACAGAACGTATGTCACGATGGCCGCCCCACGAAAGAAGAGGTGAAAGAAGAGGACATATGGGTGGCTGGGTGGAAAATATGGTACCTTGGTCAGTAGTTGCAGAGACAGATGGCGGAATGCTGCTCCCTTGGGGGTGCAGCTACCTGGACAGATGGAATATCGACTTTTGAGCCGGTGTTGTGGCTGAGCCGGCGCCTTGCGGAGCCGAGTCCAGCCCCGCAATAGGCGCTGCGTTGTCGATGAGACCGACTCGATCGCTCTGGGCGGCATCGAAACACCGGCGCAGCACCGTTGATTGTTTGGAGAGCGAAAGAGAGATTAGTGCTCCATCCGGCCGGAGAGCGCCGTCGCCAACGGGAGAATCCATCAACGGGACAAGGGGGATGGTGTATGAAGGTGCTCAGGGTATCGGGTAGCGAATGGCACAGCGTCGGCTGCAAGCACCCACATTCCCGGCTCGTATCAACAACAGCTCACCATTTGGTCTTGAGTTGCGGATGGGAGGGGGAGATGGCGATGCAATGCTGGGCGGCGCCGCCAGCCGAGATGGATGCTGGCCAGCCAACAACCCTGGCATCGCGCCTTGCCATGAGTGCATTCCATTGCGGTTCGAGCCGCGTTCTTGGCACGGATCGATTCCTTGCCAAGAGCGTCCCAGCCAAGAGAATGCCCATGCAGGGCGGTGTCTATCAAGCGAAATTCATTTATACTGGTCTTTTTGTGGCTGGGGCGAAGCGGGGGGGCCACTCACGAGTCCGCTGTAGGGGCCATATTGGGGTGGTTCATGATTGCGACATGACGAATGACATCCTTCTTGGTCAAGAAGCCATGGAGCCGGCCGTGCTTAGTGACCACCAGATAGCGGAGACCCATCTTCTTGAACAGCTCCACGACGAGCTCGATGGGAAATTGGGGCGGCACCGACATGCTGGGCCAGGGAGAGGGAGGTAAATAATTAGCCCTGACCAACACGTCCTGCCCCGAGATGCAGCTCGTCACGATATCGCGCCAAGACTCTGCCAGCAAGAGTGAAAGGCGATCGCAAAGATATCCACATACGGGGTCTGATCAATCCACGGGCGCATGTCCAGAAACTCGGGGCAGTCGGTATAGGGCCACGACTCGGAGAAGCAGCAGATCGTATCGTTGGTAACACCAGGCTTATTGCGAGCGCGGTCTAGGAACAGGATCAAAGCCAGGATCAATGCCGTGTCAAGTTGATGTCAATCGGGGTCGATAAACGTGGAGTTGGCTTAAACACTGGCTGCGCATCCGACACCATCGCACCACTATCGCACCACCATCTGGGCACCATCCAGCTGGGCACCATCTAGCTGGACACCGCAACACATCCTTTTCTCAAAGATCGCTCGTCCAAAGAGTAGCATACCGAGTGCGAAACGGAGCTCGGCTCGGCCGACGAATCCGACAAGGACCAGCTCTTGTTTGGAGTTCACGATGGGATATCCCTTGAAGTCCGTTGACTGCAGTAAATGGTCTGGGGGAATCATCGCGTTAGCACCACGCCGGCACAAGCACAGCCCATGCAGGCTCAGACTCTTGCGCGAGTGGATTAGCACATCGGCGTTGATCGAATGGCTTACCAAGGCCCTCGATTGTCTCTCCATTTGCACTGATCGTCTCCAGCTCTTCCACCGGAGCCATAACCTCAGTCACGACTGTTCCGAGCTTGTATTCTTCCCGAGAGTCCAGGAATGGATATCCGTAGAGCCGGATAAGCCCGTCGTAAATGCCCTCCTTGTCATAAGCGTTGGCAACCCATTTGCTTATCATGATTGTGATCATGATCGGAAGCACTGCCAATACGGGTCCGGATTACGAGTTAGCGTCCCGACAGCCATGATCCAGCTAACCGCACAACCTCAGTAGAATGATCCGATCAAGCAGAGCTCGTTTCAGAACTCACCAAACGAGAGGGCTCCTGTCAACTCGAACATGATGACTGGCAATCCAATGAGCCATGGAGGTCAGCAAGGTGCATTTACCGAGTCGGCGGCCGCCTGGAGCCCAAAGTCAGCAAGTTCGATGGCGGCCAGAGCACCGAAATCGACTAGAACTTGGGTTGACCGCAGCTGCGTTGAATTGGCGCATATGGGCTCGCTAGATTGGCCCGCTTACCTGTGAGCGAAACCGTCATTCGCGTAACACCAGCTATAACAAGACACAGCAATGATCAGCACATGACTTGAACATCGTAAGCAATTAAATCTTGCAGCGCCTTCGAGCTCATGCAGAGAGTACCAGTCCTTCATATTACTCACACAGTGCAGCAGCGGCACCGATAACTGGCAAAGATAGAAGCCGAGTCAGCACTGTAGGATAGGGACGTAACAGTGCAACACACGCTGTTTGGAGGAAGCTTACCGGCGTAGATACCAGGAGTCACGCACTCCGAAGATGAAGAGCACTCCGCAAAGAAAAATAGATCGGGATAGGACCTTGAACGATGGTTGTGAAAGCGATTGTCAGACACAGGGTGACGTTGGGTCGCGGCTAGGCACGTATCGACCTTCAGGAATATACATGCAGGAAAAACACACCTCTGCATAGACTGGACAATGATGCCCAGGGCCCGTCCTACACAGGCGCCGATGGCCATGGTTGGGACACTGATTGACCGATAGCGTCAGTAGCTGGTGTTTAGATGAGCTGGGCATAGGACCGTTGTCTTGGCCGAGAAAGCAGTGATCGAGCCTTGGACTTACAGAATCCCACCGGGCACCTTCATGCCAAAAGTCACGATCGTCAGGGCAATCTTGATGGCTGCTGCAACCAGTAGCAGTATCACCGTGGATCCAGTGAAGCTCTCGATGCAGAGGCCATGGAAGTCACTGTCGACTTCTTTGCACTCCCGAAAGAGATTGGATAAAAACTCGACGGTGTTGACCCTGGAATGTATATGCGTTAGTTGTGTACATCACTGTTGGATCACTTACAGAGCAGCCTGGAAGCACATCCGGTACCACGATACCGGAATCCAGCTGGATGCGATTATCCGATCACCGGACAGCAATCAGCGTCGGATGACTCACCGAAGATAGATGTGTGCGTAGCACACCACCGAGGTTATCAGACTCATTAACGTCACTTCGGCGATCGGCCAGCTGGTCAAGACCGAGTTCCGCCGTATGGCCTCGAAGCGAAGGTTCTGAAGCCAGCGCGGCTCAAGTTAGCATACCGCGGACACGGTTGGTCGCCCTCGAATGCGTGATCATGGAGTGTGCAAGCGTCGGCCTCGGCCTCGGCTGTGACTCCAGGCTCCTTACAATCTTTATGAATAGCGCGCCGAAAATGCCCTAAAAGCGAGACACGGGAAGACGCAGCGTTAAACCAAGCTTTCTGGTAGAAACGTCGGTGGCAACGCTCAAGGCACCGGACTTACGCCCAATATGCCAAGAATGGCAAAGAAAATGAGCTCGAATCCGTGCCAATCTCGATTATAGGTGACTTGGAAAGGAACCTGCAAATACACGAGCGGTCTCGAATTAGAATCATAACATGGAGTAAACGAGCAGCAATTCCAAGTGTATAGTGAACGTAAAGCCATGGCGCTGCTCGATCAGCGATCGTACCAGTTTTCCAGTTCGGAAGGGATTCATAAGCTGCAGCGATATCGCCGCCACCATCGCACAAAAGAAGGACCGCCACATAGTCTGGTATGGAAAGTACGACGATATCTCTTCAAGGCTAAACAAAACGCCGCCTATTGGAGTCCCAAACGACACAGAGATGCCTGCTGCAACCGCAGCACTCTGTTGTTGGGCGAACAATGCGCATTTGTTAGGGTGCACTGATTGCTTTGTTTGCAAATACTACCACCTGCATTGACCCAATGGACCCAATGGACCCAATGGACCCAATGGACCCAATGGACCCAATGAATAGTGATGGATACGAACAGCACAAGACCAAAGCAGCCCAGATACAGGCTTAAGCCCAAGTCTCAGTCCGCGTCACAAGCCCGGCCTCCGCAAATACCGTCGTTCTTCGTGGTCCATCGCAACTACAATCGAATTCACAAGTCAGGTCCAGAGGACATACCAGAACTTCCCGTTGTTTGGCGCCGTTTTCGGCGTAAGTGTTGAAGAGGCGACTGAAAATGTGTCCGAGGCAGCAAGATATGTGAACCAAAGGGCCCTCAACGCCAAGAGACAGGCCGGAGCCCACCGATAACGGCAGCCCGATGCATTTGATCTGGAGAATCGCGGGCACGGGTGAGCTCATGGTGCGGGAATACAGCCGAGTGGGACTGATCATGGCGGCTCAAATACGCTATGATGAGCGTAATAAATCAAGCAAATGCGGCGACTCGCAGCATTCGAATACTTTTCCATCAGTGGAGAGGAGAACTTGACCGTGGCGGCAAATGATGAAAACGCAGCCCGGTCGACATACCGCAAGAGTTCTCAGTCCCAGGAACTGCTTGATGACAAATCCGCCCAGAATGGTTTTAACCTCTGGAATACCGGAGCCTGCTGCGTACCTATTTCGTAACCCAGGAGAATCGGTGAGGTTCTGGTGATGCAGGCGAACCAATAGGATCCGTTGGCAAACTTACGGAGCATAAGTTTTCACGAGCACCGAGCATACGCCGGCAAAGAGTGCTGCCCAAGCAATAAAGAGGATGCATCCGGCCATCCAGCCCCCGAAGCTGGACTGTGATCGTGCTGCTGCATTCCATGTAAGCCACTCGTCGCAGACGGCGTTTTCTGATAGCCAGAGAGAAACGCAAGTCAACCGTCTGGAGCCCAAGCGATGCTCCAGGTCATCGAACAACGACATTCAGTTTGCTGAAGGCTTCGATAGAACTGCAGCGCACTGCCACGCACATATGGCTGCATGCGTGCTGCTCAGGATCGAGACAAGTCCGAATGGATTCCGGCGTCACGCCAACGTACCGCCAATGTGCCAGCAACAAAACTTGCGATTCAGGTAGAATCCAGCAGTACAGTAGCCCTCCTTGATATCGTTGAGCCAGCCAGTGCAGACGTCGATCAAACCGGCGAGCCATCCAGTCGTGATTCCTAAGAGCCACAGCACTCGTTTGAAAAGGCCTGGTGCAAAACAAGATTCCCGGCGCTCGTACACAGAGACCACCGCGAGTACTTACCGACCAAAAATACAATGATCCAGCCCTGCGCCCGATCCCAGGCCAAATGCAGCTTGCCACGAAGACTTCGGAGCCCGTGAAGCTGCTTCATTCTGCGACGCTCTGGAGAAGCGAGACTCATCAGCGCATTTCCGCTGAATGCAAAAGTGAATCTCACAAGCCGATGCACGCACCTTTGTTGAGATCATGGATCCAGTCTTGTTCGAGCACACCGCAGTTATGTCGCAAAGAGGCAAGTTGTGGTTAGCATTTGCAAAAGCACATGCTCCGACGATCCAATGGCGGTTTCAACGATCCGTGGCGTTCCGCTGCGACCTACCTATCGTCGTAAAGTCGGTATAGGCCACTCGGCGACTTCCGTTGTACTCATCCCATTCGTATTCTTCGAGGTCCTACGCCAACAATGCATCATTCAGTGGGCAGTTCTAGCATCTATACCTCAACACAACGCAGTATCGCGGTGGCCTTGGCCCAACCTGTGTGCTCTGCTGTCGTCGGCGACTGAGGCTGTTGGCCTGTGTCACGACATAATGACGAAGGCTCGGCGCATACCTTACTGCCAAGAAGAAGAGCTCGGTTCTCTTCGCTGAGGAGCGAGCCAGCAGCGGCGAATGGATTGTGGACGGAATTGCCGTCTTCGGGCTGTGTCCGATGACCATGGCTCGCCTGGGATATTGAGTGTCCTCCCGGCGCCTCCAGTCGAGATTTTCGCTTGAAGGAAGGCTGCAGCAAGCCGATATCGCTGTCGGCTGCGGTATCTTGGACATGCTGGGCTGGATGCAAGGGATTTCCAAAGTCGAGTTGATCGTTGCTTGTGGAAGGTGGAAAGCCCAGGCCGCTGGCGGGCTCCATCTGTTGAGAAGACGATGGTCCGGGCTGTGAGTCCACGGCCCAGACTGCGGCGCTGTTCGGTCCAAGACCATCGTCGAGGCTGAATATCAGGTCAGAAGTCGGCACACGCTGGGCCATGGCTGCAGGATCGGTGCTGCCGGTGCGGATGTGAGGGAGACGGGCGGTGCTGAGCAGGCGATGAGGGGAGAGGCTGTGGCCCGGCGAGCCAGCAGCGTCCGTGGCCATTGACACGCCCTTGCGCTCGCTGTTTTTTGGGCCTGCCCCTTTGACCAAGCTGCACCCTCTCGATTGCTTTCGCAACCTCAGGACTCCAACCAACGCTACAATGGCAAACATCATCGAGTCGGCCGCCCGGCTGCTCAAAGGCACTGCCCAGTTTGTTAGTCCTCCGATGCTGGATCGAGACAAGCGCCTCACCGAGGCTCGCTCCAACGCCAACCGCTGCACCCGCGAGCTGCGACGCGACCGAGGCGACCTCGAGAGAAAAGAGCGCAGCTTGGTAGGCCGCTGGCAAGATGTGGCAGCGAATGCTGGGCCGGACCGCACAAGCACAGCACCCATCATCGCAGGCGTCTGGGGCACCGCAGGGAGAAATCTAATGGCAAATGCCCTCTTCTATTCGCGTGGGCGACACGCCCAGCAGCTCCAACAAATCAAGATACACATCAATAAAGGCGACATGAACAAGGCCAAGATGCTCGCCCACCAGATTGTCCGATTCCGAAGAGTTTGCGACCGCAATTTTAAGGGATCTGTCATGATCGACACTCGCGCTCAGGTGAGCATTTTTGGAGCACCTCATGTATTGCGGTTGGCCATTTGTCGTCTGGGACCAGAGTCACTTGAACACAGTACTCTCACTGACGACTCACTCGACCTCGCCCGTTCACACATAATGCACTGTAGCTCATGCTGTCCAACCACAAAGTAAATCGCGCCGAAGTCGAGGCCGTGAAGGTAAAGCGCCCGCTGCCGAAGGGCACCCCACATTGCGCGCCGACGCAGACGAATATTGCCACTAAACCTCCGGGGCCGCTCAGGGCAGCAAATACGGAAACGCGGGCGAGAATCTAGAAACATTCAAAAAGCGCTATGAAAAATACTCGGTGAGAATGGAGACCTACGAAGATATGGAAGAGCTGCGTAAGCGTCGATTGTCTGCGTCTTTGGCTCTCGGCATAAGCATGGGACAGACTCAACCCACGCATGGCAGGGACTCGCAGTCGTGCGCTCTAACGCCAGCCTATCGATCTCTGCGTCATCCTCCACAGTCAACGAAGGAATGGATGATATCTACCAAGACGCTGAAGAGGATAGTGAACCATCCGATTCGACTGCAACAACGGGCTTTGCGGACGATCTATTCAGAGAAACAATCGAAATCAACTCAATACTACGTCAGGCACTGAATCCGAAACAACATCGAGAATTCGTGGATCGTCGAGCGGCGACGGTATGGCGATTGGAGCTCGGGAAGGACCATTTTGCTTTATTTAGTCGTCTGGTTGTGTCCGTGCTTCTGATGCGATTCGGCTCTGTATCCCAGCTCCTGAATGGCTCACTCAATCTACACGTTGTGCTTTACAACTCTCGAGCGCAAGCGGCTGTGATTACCGTCGGCGCTACCCTGCCCATTCCAACGCTGGAAATCAGTGTGGACATGCTGAAGCGACATCTTGCAACGGACCCGTACTCTATTCGGCAGCTTCATCTCCAAGCTACCGATAGTACGCTCTATGATGCCATGTTTGGGTCCACCAAGAACTTTACGCTTGGCAGGCTTGGCGACAATGGTGACTTTGAGGAGTTTCCTTTCAGCGCCAGTCTGCGAAGCCTTGGCATTCAGGGAGGAGATCGCATCCTTGTCCGCGTCGACGATAAATAGGCTATCCAAAATGAAATGGGACACTACGTTTTGAGCCATGACAGTGGTCTTTTCTGTGACCTGAATACACCCATCCACTCATCGCATTCATGGCCAAACACAGCACCCTCGATTTCCGCATCGCTGCACTGCGACCGGTGGTCTTCACTCGGAGGGTGGTCTTCACTCGGAGGCTGCCAAAGTGATCTGTTATATTTCTTATGGCATAGTTAGACGCATGCCATCGCATACTACGCTGACAAATGGGTGTGGGCAGGTGTCCCATTTGCTATGTGTACAGTGTAGGACCTGAGCGGCCTGCATCAGAACCCAAGGCCAGATCCGGGGCGGATGCAGCGGCCTGTGGCGCAGACTATGGCTGTCACATGATCCGCAAGCCATGCAAGACCGCTCAGACTTCTGGCGGTTCGGCGGCTGGGGGAGGGCTGTTTCTGGACCTAGGTCTGCGCTGAACATCGAGCCATTATGACCACGGCGCTGATCTGGTCGGGCTGGGCCGCTTTGTTGGCGCTGACCGTAGCCGATTTTGTGCTCGCTCGGACCGAGCCGAAAGCAAAAGAAGGTGGGCAGCCATAACGAGCATAGACGGCGCCCATCCAGCATGCCGAATAACCCAGAAACATCCTTGCCCAGACTATCGCATCGATCGGCTCCCTGGACTCGACGATCAAGCCAATGCCAGGTTTACACAGTATTCTGGGTAGGCTCAGTCTCTGCCGTGCAGGCATCGAACAGTAGCGGCATCACCCCGAGCATCCTCATCGTAACTAGTCACTGAACCGGTGCATCCAACAGACACGTGCGATACAGCCCGAAGGACAACTCCAGCTTGTTTTTCTGGCATATACAGGCTCAACAAGGCGTCCAAGTTCCTCGGCTGGTGGGTAGGAGCGACGAGGATCGTTGTGCTCCAGCTCGCTTGTCCAGCAGCGATGGCGGCTGAGATGCTTGAATGGTTTTGTTGAACCCAGTCGATCGAAAATGTCGACTTAATTTGGAGTAATGCCCTATCCAGGTGATCTGGCTCAATGGAGGCCCAGGGTGGTAAGTGTTGCGATGCTCTAATTTCTCTCCGTCGGCATGGAAACCGTCCTAACGGCCGTCTCCACAGCTCCAGTCTGGACGGCGTTTTGCTGGAGAACGGTCCTTTCCGTATGACCCAAAGCGGCGCGATAGAGATCAACGAATACAGCTGGTGGCGACACGCCAATCTCCTCTATGGTAGTATTCGGGCAAAGCGGTTGCATGGGTGTCCGTCAGTGGGAAACGGAGCTGAAGAGCCCCATATCGATCGAAATCAGAGTCATCGGGACCCAGAACGAGGTGCCGAGAGCGAGATGTTGGGGAAGAGGTGGCGAGACGGGCGACTGACATGTTCAGGATTGCCTCAGTCGATCAGCCTGTAGGAACCGGGTTCAGCCTCGCAGATAACACATGGGCTCGCAGTGAAGCCCAAGTTGCCGAGCAGTTCATAGCCTTTTTGGATGAATGGCTAATGATTTTCCCTGAATTGAAATCGCACGAGGTGAGCCCAAGACCTTGTGAATGCGGCCGCATAGCTATTTCTAACAACTATTAATACTATGCCAGCTCTACATCTCGGGCGAGAGCTATGCTGGTGTCTTTATTCCATTTATTGCTTCAGCCATGCTCAAGCGAAATCATCTTGGAGGCAGCAATCAGGTAAGTGCATACACTGATCGAGGACGATCAAATGCATTCCCTCGCACCAATCAAAGGCGAGCGTAGATGGTACATGTTCGAACATGCTCGACTAACGAGTCCTGGGCAATGATATCGCCAAACAAAGACCGTGCTCAATCTGAGGGGACTGGCGATCGGAAATGGCTGGATCGACCCTCTGGCAACAGTAAGTCTTCTATGCACCAAGACCATCGACGAGTGACGATAACGAGAGCGCTCACCACTTTACGGCCAACCCACTGCGCAGTACGAATCGTACATCCCTTTCTCGGAAATGCATCAACTGATAGCCACTCGATCCAAGGTTGGTGAAACGAAGGTTGGCTCAAGGGAGCTGACGAGTTTAAGTATCTCTGATACCATGGTTCTCGAAGGCCAGTCTAGCAGAGAAGGCTGCGTTGTGCACCAGCACATACAATTTGAATCCAACAATCAAGAACGATATCTGTGAAGCCCTTCAAAATCAGGTGCTCGCGGATACAATGACGGGGTAAGAAGCTCAGAGACCCCGACTGCTGAACCCGGCGCAACATGAAGCTGACGCCTTGGATTCAGCGGCAGGTACTGCATAAATATTTACGATGTGAGGCTGCGGGATGAGGGTCCCGACGACGGATGTGGTCAATACAAGTGGCCTCCGGGATTGCTCCAGATGTATAAGTATCTTGAGGTATGTTTGAAACTGCTGATCCAAGGACGATCACAAACCGATCCCGTCACATATGAACCTATGAGATACCTCACTGTTAAAGCAGTTTCAAAATATCGTATAGACGCCCGAGGTTACAAAGGCACTGAATGTCGAGAAGAGAGATCCTTGGGTAGAATGTAGTTCTGACGTTCGATCAAAACTCTCTGAAGACTCACCTCCCTCATCTGAGGTAAGCTGGGGGTCACTGATACAGACAGAGGTGCTATGGTCCTGTCAGCTAACTCGACTGTCAACCAGCTTCTACCTGAGCTATTAGAGAACATACCAATCATATTATATTAGTAAGTGATAATCTAATTCTCGGAGCAATGGCGATCCAAACTAATCCACGATAAACCTCAGCGGGGATGTGGATTGGATATGCAACTGGATTGGCGCGCAAACAATGATTGAACGTCTGGAATGGAATGGTGAAATTGGCATGGTAAGCAACGTCATTGAATGAAAATAATGAGAATTCTCGTCCTTTGGAGATGAAAATGTTGTTTGACAACAATCACAATTAGGGCAGCGCAGTGGAGCAACAATGGTTTATCGGCGATCGAGCCGTTGGAACCTACCAATCGGCAAGAAATTTGACATACTTCAAAGTATACAACGGAAGCCACATGCTACCGTTTGACAAGCCAGCGGAGGCTTTGGCCATTATCAGCCAACTGATGCGCATCAGTGACACCAACATACTGCCTCCAATTTCGATAGGAAAGGTAAGCATAATAACCCGCATTATCTGACGAGTTTAGAGTGATGGATAAAAGTCGGCATATGACAAACCAAAGGCCATTGTCAATTCAGACGAACGAGACAGAACTAGGTTCAACAGGACAAGGAGGAGAGAACGAGGCCATCCCAAAAATAGGATATTATGAACTCTTGTAAGTTTGAAATGCAGAATGAACCATCATCAGAACAAAATATTGATGCGAATTATGAACAGGTTGATTGTTGGAGCAGTGGTCATCTGCCTCTCCTGCGGATTCATAATGAAGACCAGCAGACACAAATGGAAACGCCTGGATCTGGTTCGCTGTTGTGGATGGAAACGGTCAGGAAGAGACTGGTAAGAACACGATGATAACTAAGAATGGAGAAGAACTTATATTTTGCTAATCAAGGATAATTTCAAGGTATGAACTATCAAGAACTGATGAGGATGAAGGATGACAAGCAATATGAAGGTCAGGCACGATGGCATGAGGAAATTATGAAGAGAGGAAGACCTTTATCGAGCAATGTACGAATGACGAAAGAAATTGGCAAATCAGAATGGAATGGATCAGTTTTCAACACAGGAGACGTGGATCAAGGCATGGGCGGCTCCGAAAAGCGAGCGAGGAGGAGGAGAGGGATTGGCTTGGGCCAACTCCAGAGAATGGGGGCAGGCTTTGATGGGAAGTGTGGCTCAAAGAGGAGCAGACTGATTGATAAAGGATCGCGAGCGACACAATCGAAGCGATTAACAGAGCCGAGTCGGGGGAAGCTTGGGGACATTGAAAGGGCGTCGGTGAGACTCGGAGCCAGCACAGGAACGGGAAGAGAAGGATCAAAGTTCGACAGAAAATTAATAATTTATATACGATAAAAAATTTCCATTAGTATCCTCGGGGCCTTGGCGCAACGGTAGCGCGTCTGACTCCAGATCAGAAGGTTGTCGGTTCAAATCCGGCAGGCCTCAACCCTCTCGGCCGCATGGCCAAATGGATAAGGCGCTTGACTACGAATCAAGAGATTCCAGGTTCGACCCCTGGTGTGGTCGCTCTTTTTCTTTTGCTTCTGAGGGATTTTTTTTTTCTTTCTTCATTGTGCGCCGCCGTGGCGATGCACTAGTCATCAGGACCCCGTTTCTCGGGTCTGGTCCATCGTCAATTTGTTCGCTTATCGGAAATTTTGACCTTTTGCTTTAGTGCTCAGTTCCTGGTTCAAGTGTTGAGTCTGGACGTTTGCTGGCTGATCAATATCGGGCGCTGCATACATTCGAATATTCAAGCGGCTGACAGAGGCCCGACGACGCCATGATTTGCGGGCAATCACTCACTCATTAGAACAATAGCATTGTGGATTCGACCCCTCGCCCCAACACACTTTCTTATCGGCAAATAACACACAAGCACGCACACTCACACACACATATATATATATACCCAAGGTTATTGAGTACTCTTGAATCTTTGTGTTGCTGGTACATTATCATCCGATAGTTGAACCGCACTGGGCGCTGAGTAGTGATTGCATCCAAGATTTTCGACAATCACCTTCGACAGATATGGATCTTGGTCAAAATTTGTCGTTGTTCAATGCACTATTCTATTAGCCTAGCTTTATCAATCTTGAATGGCCTTTTTGGGACTCGTATCAACCCAAGGCAGATATCGATGGCTTGTCCAATATAAGCAATATCATCCAGCAGGTAGCGTGCCCTCGGGGGTTCAGAAGCATTTTTGGTGTTGATGCTCTCTATATCGTTCCGTATATTGATATTGGCGTCTTGGGTGGCCGTCTCACCCACAAGTATTGAAAATCCTGTCAGGTCGAGTGAGAGGAGCCCAAATTATTACAGGAATATCGGGCAAACTCGGCCAACGAAGGTTACCGCTTTTTTTATCACTGAAAATTGACCACCTTTGCACCGAACGTTCTGAAATCAATATAATTTTGTTTAGGCCTCTTCGGTCTTCAAAGTAGAGTATAGACGCGAATTCAAATTTTAATAAAAAAATATTCCGCCTTCGAACAGCCTGGTGTCCATCATTCACCCAAGGGCAGTGGTTCCAATGGGTCCCTTTCGAACAGGCTGGCTCGCGATTTTGTCGGTCAATGAATCTCCAGGTTGGCTAGCTTTTTGCACCAACCACCATGGAAGACCGGCTGGAGCATCGCGTTGTTGGTATATTTGTTAGAACTCAGATAGGTACCTTACTCGGGAGCTGAGGTCGTTTCTTGCCCTGAATCATCGACTGCAGCACTTGAGGTAGATCCATTTTTGATGGACTGTAGTCGGAAGAGTAATAATGGAAGTGCTGGAAAATAGAATGAGAAAAAAGATTCATTTGAGCGACAGCACAATCAACATGCGATAGAGCCCCGCTTAGGCATAGAGTAGAACCAGCTCTGTGTACGAGGCTCACGTGAGGGACAGATCCACTCAGTTTGCTCGAGTGTACAAGTCAAGGCCAACTCTATGCTTGTATAGGACGATTGCCAGTATTGCTCTTCACCTTTAGGGATCAACTAAACGATCAATCCAACTAGCCATCTTGTCGATTTCTGCTCATCTTGACGCGATGTTGGAAATCGAAAGCACTAGAATAGTCTCTCCGGCTCAATTGTAGTTTGGGTAGTGGCCGAAGCGGATACTCAGAAAACATAATATCAGAACATCAGACTATCATATTATTATACCGTCAATGCAAATAGATAGGGTATATCCGTGCAACCAGGGATATCATAAAAGGCTATTCGGATTGGGAGGAATAATGGAAGCGGACCAACAGAACAGAGGAGCAAAAAGAGCGACCACACCAGGGGTCGAACCTGGAATCTCTTGATTCGTAGTCAAGCGCCTTATCCATTTGGCCATGCGGCCGAGAGGGTTGAGGCCTGCCGGATTTGAACCGACAACCTTCTGATCTGGAGTCAGACGCGCTACCGTTGCGCCAAGGCCCCGCCTTTTCACTCGATATTCAAAAAGTGTATATATACTTTACATAATACTGTTTTAATCGATACTTTATTATTCACCCTCTGCTCCATTGCTGCAGGGCGATTGAAAAGACTTATGGATTCTGCTATATTTTTTATTTTATAATATAAATTTTCTTAAGCTTTTGGTACGATGAAGTTCACCCCACTTTATCATATGATCAATGTGGATAATATTCAACACCGACAATAATTCGTACCACCAAATAATTAGATTGTCTGGAAAATATTTAGTGTAATCACTGCCCAACTGCAATGCTAAAATTATGAGCCACAAATATACCCAAGACCTCCAGAGATCTAATATGTGAACATGGCGAAGGATCAATTGCAACCAAAAGTCATCAGTCCAAAACAATCGCCCCAACTTTTGAGGGCATCATGGAGTATAAAGTGCCCTCTGTTCCTCCCCGATGTGTTAGTACTCCGAAACAATCTTCTAAAATAAATCTATCATCTCTTCCTTGAATGCTTTCACGTTTCAACCTTGAATTTCACGGTACTCCCCGCTGGTTCGGCCTCTCAGCTCTTCAGCAATACAGAGAGCCCCAACAACGCCTCGTCCACCATGTTAATTAGAATGTATAGCCTATCTTTCCAAAAAATATTTTTCGAATAAACTCTGTTCTATCAAATCATCCATGCCGTGTCGTCTTTGTCTTTGTCTTGAATAATCTAGCAGCTCTGTACACTCCACAGCAATAAAGACTATTCTAAAGGGATTAATACTGACGATCAAAGTCATTATATATACCTCAACAATGTCTATTCGATGTTGAGATAGTTGGATCTTTGGATAATTGGCGAAATGTACGATACAAATACACTTCAGAAAGCTTTTGTCTCTACTTATATGGTCCTATTCAACATTTAAACTCAGGTGATACTGAATACGTTGAAGAAAGAGTAAAGTTATTACAGATCGTTGATCAAAAAAATTTCTTGAGAGAGTACAGAGTACATCTATAATACCTTTATCTAAAATGTGCCATGTATTAACAGTTACAGATGTGTGATTTTAATATTGATTTACTGGTCGACAGAAGGCCGTAGTGATGATTAGGTCTGCTAAGCTGGGTAAATGAGACGTTCTCAAAGTAATCACTGCTTCTACTACCAAGCACGAAATTTTATATCGAGGAGGTTCCAACATGGTGCACAGTACACATCATCGTGCATCATTGATTTAATCATAAAAGTGCGTAGCACAGACAGCCATGTAAAATAAATAAACAAATAAAATATGCGTATAATTAAATACTTTGCTGTCTCGCGTCAATATGAAGTATATAGAGTACTGTGCGGTAGGACGATAAACAAATATTTGAATGGTGAGTTTAATGAAATTTTGATTCAGTATTGGCTTCGTTAATTCAAGACCTATATTGTTTATTAATGCTCATTAGCATAATTATATTTTATCCCACTTAATCTTTTAGTCTGAATGCATAATATATTGATACGTGCACTGCTGAGCAGTTTGTTGATTTCCCTCACACATTATGACCTAATATGATAGTTATTCAGTGGCTAGTTCAGCTCTAGATCTGGTTCAAAAAAGACATTAGCCAAAACAGTAGGATAATTTGTCTAGCGTAGTATAGTGATTCGGTCGTCAGGCCCGTGTCATAACGACTTGAATTTCGGAAGTTAGCCTATCTATTATTCAACACAATCTATATGTTACTTGTTCTCTTATCAACGGGTCACTTGGTTTCTTCTGATTTGTTCGGCTACATCCAGCGGTTGTTTGAGTTGGGCTGCTCTATCACAACGGATTTCCGTCCCTATCTGCCGCTTGGATTTCCATGGGCTTTTGCACAGTTCGGGCAGCGGACGATACTGGCCAGGATGGCCATCGCGAAGCGGAAGCGGCGGTAGGTGATGTGGTTCGTGGGGATGGTGCTAAAGTCCGAGTCGCTAATGGCCCTGTCCCTAACCCCCCCCCCGATAATGAACAAGGCCCATGCCCTCTCCTTCTCCACGAAACGTGGGTTGGGGAGGCTGGGAGAGTCGCCGTAGAGATCGTGGATAAGTTTGCCGAAATCAAATTTGGGTAGGTCATGCATATCGTGTTCGGGTTGAGCGGGGTCGATGCTAGGGCCAGTGTTGTCTTCAGGCGCCTTTCACTTCTTAACAGCAATACCGGCATACTGGCCAGGGGTCCGGGTGTTAGTGCTATCAGGCATCAAAGTGTTGGTGTTAGTCTTGGTCTTGGTCATGGTCTTGGGGTTGGGCTGGGCTGGGCTGGGCTGGGGAGAGGGTGGGCTGGGTGGGCTGGAGAGGCTGGTTGTTCTGGGCTTTAGTCTTTGATATTAATGGAATTACGGAGGGTCTTGGTCCATTTCTGTGTCTCCAAGGTCCTGGTGGTGGTTGCGGGTCATGAAGAGCGGAGGAGAGTCGGTATTGTGAAGTGGGTTTGTCGATTGGTGCTGTAAAGAGCTCGGTATCGTCTAGATCCCAAAAAATGATATCAAGGTCAAGCTCGCATGGTTGGTCCAGTCAGTCAATAGGTGGGTCTTTATTAAAGACTTTGCCTTAGCGTCCCTTTTGGGCTCTGGCACTGGGTGTTGGCTTTGCCAACCGGGACATTTGGGTCGTCGGTGTACAGCTCTCTATCCCATGGGGCCTGTTTGCGGAGGGACGGCGATGTCAAGTTTTGCCGAACTCATCCATTCAGTGACAGTTTGGGACTCCAGCTCCGGCTTCCCTGTCCAAGTGTCTGCTCATGCGTCTGGGAGGGTTTCTTTCTCAGGT